CAGAATTGCACATCAAAACACAGTACAAATAGATGATGATAAATAAAAGGTTCACTCTGTAGAGTATATACAAAGCTCCAATTTTACTGCCCTTTTAAACCCACGGGATTTAACTGTACTTGGCAGATAATCTTAGTTATTTTATCCACCACCCTTACTAAGAACAACTTTCACCAGAAGAGGTGCAGGTGATGTTTACGAGTTCACATAGCAACAACAACGTATATTGATTATTTTCATTACCTCAGCGAAGAAGTTGTCAAACTAACGAGTTTTTATGTTTGCGTGTGTGTTTGGGCGCATTTCCCATTGGCCTAGCAAGAAGTTATTAAAATTTGGCTGAATTTGGATAAAAATTAAAAGAGAATGAAAAAAAAGTTTGTTTTGCTTTGTCTTGCTTCTTCCGATCAAATATACTGACGCGCAATTAGATCATTCATAATTGCTATCTATGATGTATATTGATGTAGGAGTTTATCCTGTTTAGCGTTATGCGGGACAGAAGAGTTAACCCCCTAGTTAACGATGTTTTCACGTGAAGATAACTAGTCTCTGTGTGCACAATACGACAAAATTTACTTAAGTTTTCCGTCGCTGCTAAAAGCCGTCTCCTTTGTCTTCTTTAACACAGTGATGGACAGGCAGTGATAAAGAATTCTATTCATATTGTCATTATGATTATTAATAAATTATGCTGTCAGAATAATTATAGCCATAATTGGCTGAGGAAATGACAACTGGCGTTTAGCTGAAAAGCCACAAATATTTCTCAACGTTTACGTAATGCAAATGACTTGCTTTTGCTGTCATTATCTTTATAATAAACGGCGTAACCTTCGCTTTCAGTTTTTTTTTAAATTGTATAAATTAAGGAGCAGAAGATGTTTTTCGTGTTTTCACAGGCTTAGGCTAAGCCGAGGAGACGTTTAGGAGAACTCGAGGGCAGACCGAAGAAAACCCAAGACCAAAGGTCGAGTAATCTGCTCCGTAATTCTCCCAAACCGGTCTCCGAGGTTTGCATAAGCATTTACAAACACGAAAAATGTCTTTTATTTCTTTTATAAATTAACAATGATGTAAAACAGATGAATTTGAAACAAATGAATCAAATTCAGTTTTCCTCTAACGTGTATTGATGATTGATTTGCAAATTATCTTTGATTGATTTATTTTCAATCTTTGATTGATTGCGCTCAAATCGGTAACCCACATTAGCACAGGCTAATGAAAACGCAGCAATAGACTAATTAGCGCACGCGTTATATTATAATGCACGATACAACAATTATCTAATTGTATTTGTCGTGATATTGACTGCACAGCAAAAAACAATTAAAATACCAAAATATTTCTTTTTGATTTCTTATTTCTAGAGACAACCGTCTCGTTTATTACGCGCTTAACATCACTATGGTATCACAATGCAAAGTTCAATATCTGTGGTAAGCGAAAACAAGTGAAAAATTACCAAGTCATTTTCGATGATCTTTACAATGCAATCAGAAGAAGATAGTTTCCTGTCATAAACACTTGAAAAAAATTAAGCGGTTTTGCATTCAGACTTTTGCTCACAAAATCGTCTTTGCATATTGATCTAAAATGCTAGAAATTGCACCTTCAAGGCCATTGAAATCAAAATTTTCTGGGGGACCATATACGGAACAATCATAGTAGGAAAACGCCTAAGGCTTACATGAATATCAAGTATAAAAAAATCCAAGACCCCCAACAGTCCACATCAGTCCCTCACCTTGCAGTATTCTCAGTGTTATGTGTTTCATTTGATACCGCAGAGCTATATAATTGAAACAAGAAATAAAGTTAAAAACATAACACTTCCAGCAGTAATGCAAGCCTGTCTTTCATTCCTTCACCACAAATGATCATGCACTGCATATGCATGAAAAACATAGTTCAGGTTTCTTAAACGATTTCTTAAAAGAGAAAAGGAAATGTTTTTCACGTAGTTATAATGGTATGTTGTTCGATATGTTCATGATTTGTTACTCTTGAATGCACATCAGTATTATTAGGAAACGTGTTCCTTAAATAATCAGGAGTGGTCCAATTTTCTTTGTTATAAATTATTGACAATTTCACGATTCCTACTTCATCGTAGGACGAATTCAATTAAGCCGTCTCAAGAGAATAATGCTTCGACAGTCATGATCATTACACAGAAATATTCTCGCAGCATGTTTCTGTACTTTGCATGCCCTGTAGATGTTGACTTAAGATAAAGATGTTCAAAAAGTGCTACCGTGAAGCATTGCACCAGTTTTAGCATAACATTATAAAACTGTAATCGTTCTCCATCATCATCCTTTTCAATACACCTATTCTAAAAGTTGGCTTTTTCTATTTACAGCGAATATGGCAGCGAATAAGGATGCACCTCTTTTCTGTTTTGAGTCTTCTAATTTGAAGCATTTTAATAATGGTGATTAAAAGACCTTAAACAATAACGTTTCCTCTCTTTGTGAAAAAATTGCAAACATTAAGTCTAATTGCACGGGCTTTTAAGCTGATTGGCTTTCAAAAGATTACATTTCAGCTGTGTATATGATAAAAAGGAAGGTTTTGAAGACATTTCATATCACATGTGAGAGGTCAAGTAACTTAAACTCCGAAGCAGAAGAAGGAATAGTTAAATTCCAAGGAACTGATGGAATTCACTTCAGCTGGACGAGTTGTTCTTATCTTCCTTGTTTTAGTCACTTCAAACTGGGTAAGTATGAAGAATCTACAGCTACAACCAAAGAGGGTAAACACTAACTTATAGTATGACGATAAACATAGATGCCTCGGTGAATAGACAACATATATGACCGTAAAACAGAGAATATGTTTAAGAAAAGAACACAAATACAAAAAGAGGGATGCCGAATTATCATGCTAAGAAACAGAGAAAATAAATGACATAAGTAAAAAGGCGAATTGATTACCTAAAAATCAAACAGAAAACTGGAATATTCTGGGATACAGAAACAAATAGCTCAAAAATGAAATACCTTACGAAACATAGAATGTGAATATCTTAGGAAACAGATAACACTAATATCATAAGAAGACAAAGTGAATTACCTAACGAAACAAAAACATGAATACCTTGACTTACAGAAAATTCTTTTAAATTCCAGGCGACAGGGCAATGTATCCCAGAAGGCGTACAATCGTGTACAGACGATAGACAATGTGAACAAATGTGTGGACCTGATCCGTCAGGTATATGCGCATTTAATCTATGTTATATTGACACAGGAGCTCCACCTATCGAAACGAATAAGGAAATTAATTTCCCAGGATAAAGAGAATGGATTTTCGCAACAAGATGATAAACATTCGTAAGAACAGTACAAATTATCAACCATCACAAATAGTACTTTGGTGTATTTACCACACATTTTTTAAACTTATATCGCACATCCAAATACAGTAAAAACATGTTATTAAATGAAGTTTATTCTTAGTGTACACCGAACTCAAAATTTTTCGCCTTCTTAAGCCCATGTGATTAAAGTTAACAATACAGAAAATCTGAGTTATTTTACTAACGCTCATGCTCTCTGCGTAAGTTCCAAAAGGAGACGGCATGGCAATGAAGATCTAGGTTGCGTTTTTATGTAGCAGTATGGTTTAAAATGACGTATGTTGAATATCTTGATTATCCGTCAAGAGACTACGCAATTACCTTAGTTATTATTTATGTATGTGTGTTTTAGAGGGGACATTTCCTATCAGCATAGTAAGTGAGCAAAATTTGGTTAACTTTGGATGAAAATTTAACAAGAAATGAACAAATGCTTGTTGTCCTTTTCATATCAAATATTGAGTGGATAATTAGATCGTGTATAATTTCTACGCATGCTGTATATTGTGATGTAGCTAGGAGTTTTAACCCGCTTCTATATCATTATTTGTTAATGCGGGGCTAAGGTAGCTAAGACGTCATTGAATGCCCTCTAGTTTAGCGAATTTTTACCAGAACATAGCTCAACTGAGGGCAGAATAAAACCAAATTTACTTTAAGTTTTCCATCGCTCCTGAAAGTTGTATTTTTTACATACTTTCATTGTAATATTAATTATGACATGATAATTGACTGAGAAAATCATGAATTCACGATTGCCTTAGCTGAAAAACTACAAATATTTCTTAACGTTTTTACGTCGAGTTGATGATGTAACCAACTTTTGCCATCAGCTTTTATCATAAATGGCGCGGTTGTTGAGTTTTTTCAAATTTTATCGATAATACACGATACAGCAATTATCTAATTACAGTTGTCATGTTATTGACTAGCTTTGTGTTGGTCAAGAACAACTAACTGCGATTAATTTATAATTTTTCTGAAAAATGTTTATGACAGGAAACTATCTGATTGCAAATGCTATTAAAATGACTTAATTATTTTTCTTTTTATAAAATCGAGTTGGTCAACTATTTCTAAAGATATTTATCGTGCTCATTACGCGAATGTAACGTCACTATGATATCACATTGCAAAGTTCAGTAAGTCTAGAATAATTTGAGTGAAATATCAAGTCATTTTCAATGATCTTAAGAATGCAATCAGAAGACTACAATTTTCTTTCATAAAAACTTTAAGAAAATGAAATACTTTTACATCAAAACTATGCTCACAAAATGCGACTTGCAATGCTCTAAAACGTTGAAAGTTACACGTCCAAGTTCCTTGAAATCAAAATTTTCTTGGGGAGTACTTGCCTAACCTGGGGCATAAGGCCCCAGTGACTGAAGGCCTAAGGCCCCCGTGACTAAATGCCAAAGGCCCCAGTGATTGAAGGCATAAGGCCCCGTGATTAATGGTCTAAGCCTCCCGTAACTTATGGCTTAAAGCCCTCGTGACTAAAGTATGAACAGTCCTAGACAACCTCAGTCATTATACATTACCCCCTCACTTTGCAGTGGACGTTTTTGTAAACCTCGACCTTCAGTTTTTTCGGTGTTACGCTTCTTCTTTTCCCAGAACTATAAAAGTAATACAAAAAAATACACTACAAATGTTATTTAGTTCATTCTCATATATTCTTTTGATGAATTTATTACGAGAAGTATGGAGTAGAATGAGAGAACGATACATGTCAAATTATATAGAGAAGCCCAAACGGCATTATGGGAAAATCCACGCCTGGGTGGTGAGTAGAGTAGCACTTTGGTCTAAATAATTCTGCAGAAAAATTTGCTTTAAAAAGCTTCTTTTTGAAAGACGTCAAACAATTTTCATACGTTTCCTGTCTTTGTCACAGCTTTGCAAAAATTAATTTAAATTGCTTGGGCTTTTAAGCTGATTGGCTTTCAGAAGATTAAATTTCCGGTGTATAGGTATGATAAAAAGAAGTTTTGAAGACATTTCACAACACATATACAAACTGCCAAAATCAAATAAATTCTGAGCTTAATACTACATAGTCAAATCTCTGTGAACAGATGGAATCCACTTCAGTTTGGCGAATTGTTCTTATCTTCCTTGTTTTAGTCACTTCAAACTGGGTAAGTATGAAGAATATAATACCACAAACCATAGCGTGTACAACTAAGCATGACGATCATAAACAAAAATTGTATGAAGGAATTGAGAATATAAAAACAGAGAATATTTTGAAAAAAATAAACTCTGAACATAAAATACATGAAATACGCGAAAAATATGTTATGGAAGAAACAAAGAACATGAGTACCTTAGGAAACAGAGCATATGCATAAATATCTAAGAAAGTACACATTATGGCTGTGGTTGGAAACAAAAAACGTGAATACTTTGACGGGAAGAGCCTACATTTATATTTACGACAGAAAATTCTCCAATATTTTAGACTGAGGGTGAATGTATCGTAGAAAATACAAAAATTTGTAACTCTCATCCAGAATGCGAGCCAATGTGCCAAAGTGGTTCTCAGGGTATATGCTCATTCGCACTAAACCCACCAAAATGTCTGGAGGACCCGGGAACACTACCACTCAGTAATACAAAAGTAGAAAAACAGATTAACAGCAAGAAGGAAACTGTAAGATAGTACCATAATGAACAGTTTACTGAATTTAGTATGTCTCTTTTGAATTACGGATCAAAATACATACAGTAAACGATGATAAACGTTTATGCCATATACAGTTAACTAAAATATAATTCCCTCCATTTTACGTAAACTTCAGTAGACAAGAAAATATAGTTGAAATCAACCAATGTAAACCAATGTGATTAATTATTAACTTAAAGATTATCTGAGTTATTTCACTTACGCTCTTTGCATGATGTAGTGTATATATGTTTGTGTATACATATATATATATGTTGAACTAGTTTTCCTTTTCATATTGTAGTCTTGTAGAATTAACGTATATTGAATATTTTATTATCTACGCTGGCGAATTATGTAATTATATATAAGTATTTTACCAACGCTCTCTCTCTGTAGCTACAAGTTTCACAAAGGAGAAGGCGAAGCAATGCATATCCTAGTTGCAATAAATGATGTTTTATCTTGATGTTTTATCTTAATGATGTTTTTACCTGAACATATAACGATTGTGCGCACAATGCAGCCAAATTTACTCGAGGTTAACCATCCCTCTTAAAAGCTGTTCCCTTCGAGTTCATCTGTAGCCAGTGATGAGCAAAATTTTTGAAAATAGTCATAGATTTACTTAATTAGAAAGCTATTAATTTCATCCTTACATGTTAATCTTCTTGTTGCATGTATTTGGTTCTGAAAAGCTCCATTAGGGAGAGCTGAAATGAATTATAGTATTGTATTGCACATAAATAATTTTTATCATTTTATAATATGTATAGACGAAATTACAATTCTTGACTTGCAACCAATCTTTAGGGATTTTACAAAACAATAACGTTCGCCCACGCCGGCTGGAGTCCACAACAACATTGATGAAGTCTTATCTTTTGAATAAACCTCCAACATGGCACGACGTGAAAACATTAATTGTTTTGGCTGAAAAGTTCACGTTTACGTGTCGTAAATGACCTAACTTCTCTTCAAATTCTGGAGATATAAATTGGTCATTAGATCATGTGATGTTTGTGTTATCTTTCAGAAAGTTATATCCGTTCATAGTTTTTCCAGAACATTCGACAAACAAGAAATAATCTAATCAATTCAAATGATTCGAAGTGTTAGAGACAACTATAATTAGCCTTTTCTTTATAAGGAAAAATCCTACTTTAATGCATAAATTTTTAAGCTTTTAATTGTTTAACTGGTAAGGAACGCATTGTCAAAAAGCTCCCTAAAAATTCTTTACTAGGAAAACCAAATGAACGATGCTTTTCATTTTTCTATAAGTTTGTTTTCGGGCTATTTCTTGACGACAGTAGTTCGCACAAGCTTGTCATCTTGTTTATCTACACATTACGACCTAATACGGCTGAAATTTTTAGATGGTTGTTTGGTAAAATTATACATTCTTGTTCAATGATGCAACTAAACTCTCTTGCCCACGAGTGAAGAAAGTTTTTAAAAATGTCTGCATTTACTTCCCCTTTTTTCTCCCACATGAATGGATCAAAATGGACATATTAGGCAACGTCATACAGCAACATTGAACTGTGTGGGAAGGCAAGCATTTTTAAATTGTTTGAATTTTTCTCATTGAATTTTCCATAGGCAGACATACCGAAAGTGCTATGGGACATGTGTCAACACGCTAAGCACATAACAACAGATGATTATATATAGAAGCACGATAGAATGTTGAGTGAAATCATTGTGATGGGAGACGCAGTTGATTAAAGAAGGCGTAGCATAAGCAGAGGCAATGAGATCCAACCGAACCCACATCTAACATGAGCGTTGCGGTTATTGCTATACGGTCCATGTTTAAAAACTACAATTGTTGAATACATACTAATACATATTACATATATATTACTGAGCAAAATCGAGTCATAAATCGTTAACACAAAATAAGATACGTAGATGGTATTTGAATTAACTGTAACGCCAATAGACCATACAATATGTCGACATGCTAAGATTATACACAACTCAGATGAAACCAATTCTAAAAAGTGTGTTTTGTATAGAAATGGATCATCCAGGTTAGTACAGTCCCGAGATAGACTGTTGATGTTTAAGTTGACTGACGTTTCGACAACAGGTAGTCATCTCGACTCCGAAGATCAACATTAAGAAACTTGTAACGATACTTCCGGGTTCAAACCATCCACTCAGCTAGAATGTGTATCATAATTATGAACAAAAGTGTAATAAAAACTGAAGATATGGACACAATTATAGAAGAGACGTAAACATGCACTTCAATCCCTGACGAAGCGTTTGAAACGTGGAGATAAGCCTAGTTTGAATTTAAGTTTAAAGTCTGTTCCAATAACTTATTACTTTCATGGCGTTAAATAAACAGCACAAATTTTTTCAAGAAATATATCATCATTTATGTTTAGCAATAAACCAAAAAAGTGCGAGTGAATATTACGTACGTGTAAATGTTGTGTGTAATTTTATCTTCGTCATGTAATTCGTGCCCGCGTGTAATTCATAGCAGAGAGCGCCAAATATCTTAAGTACATCCTAAATACTTGTAGTCCATGCTACTCCTACGCAAGTGAGCAAACATTAAATATTGGTAAAATTCACCAGGGTTACACCGAAAGAAATTTATATTTATATTATATATATTTATTGAGTATATTGATTAAGTATATTGAAGTATAAACAGCGAAACCGACGAATTGTTTTTTTGTCGGTTTCATTCACATAATTGACGTGGGTGTACACATATACAATGTACATTCTTCTGTGATCTAAATGCCAATATTTTCTCCATGTCTAGTCTCACAAAATATATTTTCGTGCTGTGCATACGGCAAGCTAGGATATTTTAAATTTCCAGATTGATGTGATTAGAGTTCTGTGGGTTTAGTTTTTACTAAAAGGTCATTTCCAAACAAATTCGTCCGACTACTTTTCTCGAAGAAATGAAAAAAACCCAGTTTTTTCTACAACTTTCCTTACGGGAACCGCTGCAAAATCACGTTTTCAAGTAAGTAAGTTCCTTGTCAAAGATTTCAAAAGATACCGGCATTGGTGAAGTTACAAAGACACGACTTTGAAATGGCTACATTTTGCTTTATCATCATTAAACAGCTGCTATATATTCCCTTTCCTGGCAACACAATTTCAAAATACGACATTAAGTTTAAAACAGTTCATATTCAAAGTATTCCCATCATCCGATGTGTATTTTTATCTTCATTACATTATCCAATATTGATGAATGTCATAACCTGATTTTTGAACTGAAAGACTCTGTTGGTAGTTATTTGTCGGCGTAACTTTTATCCTTCGTTATTTCATCAAATATCTGTAATACGCTGAGTCCAACTGCCACTTGGCATATACACCGTACTTTAAATAAATATTCAAGGAACATTAATATCCATGTCGATTACACTCACACCCATTAGCTACAACACGCAAAAAGTTTCTCCTACTTTAACCATCCCAACAAATAAATGTCTTCAAGAGTGGCAATCATGTTATGTACTTTCCCATATCTCAAAATAAATCAATACGTTTTCATTTACAAAATGTTATACCTTTCATGATGAAATATATAATCGATCATTAAGTTTAGGTAGCTCGTATCGCTTTATAGAGAGTTTAAAGCTCTGATTAGACGCTGTGGTGATGGTATTGAGCTCAAGTTAGATGCAATTAGATGCTTGATCATTGCAAATTACATCTTTCTTTTTTGCATGATATAGGTGATCTAAATAGGACAATCTATATACTTTATATTGTTTTGATCATATCACGTTATATTTGAGGGAAATACAGAGTAAAATCTCTAAAACATGTTTATAATAAAAACTTGCTATAGTCGACGATTGACCTTTAATTGGATAAGTATATTGTCTTTGTCATCGACACCGAATCTTTTAAGAAAACTCTTGACACTCGAATAAAACAAAATGACGCTTTCTCAAGTTTCTTTATTTTGAAATATTGTATCCCGAACACGCAAACTTTATTTGTGTTCAAAATCTGAACATGGTTGAATTTTCATCGACTTCAATCTTTTTAGGAAATCACGTGATCTAAGGACAAAGGTAGATAAAACGAAATGTTCGAGAAGCAATTTCGACACACCTGTTGTTATTAAACACGACTTCCTTAAGCTGATCAGTTTTTATTCCCTTTTTTATGCCTAACAAGGAAGTGACCTTCAATAAGCATAAGCGGGCTTGCCATGGGGTCGAGTGCCTTATCATCTAGACACAAAAGCAAGCTCTCAAAAACGAACAAACTTGGGCAGGCAAAAATTTCGCTGACTGATAGTTGCTAGAAAACAAGTACACGCCGCGGTAACTATTTGACGAAAACACGATAATTCCAATTTAATTGATTGAAAAGCATTCTTTACACAGCATAAAGAATGGGAATTAGCTTCCGGATATTGCGTACAAAAAAGCAACAATTAGTCATGTGTCGTCTTCATACAAGCCCACGCACGTACTAAAATATCCGCACACGTATGCACTGAACCCACAGAATCTTAAAGCCCACCATCCTTGAGGTTATTGTTACATTCTTACTAATTATCTCAGTTGAAATCAATTTCGAAATATGGAAAAAGCTATTCCTAAATGGTGTGCCTTATTCTATGTATTATTTGTGATTGTCGATGGAGCAACTCTTCCCAAGAGTTTAATTCATTCGAGGAGAGCGTTTGATAAACTAGAAGACGACGCTTCTTTTTGGTCCCATTTCGACAAACCGTCAAGTGCAAACTTCGAAGACGACGGTCTTCACGCGAGAGTAAAAGCACTTGATGCCGACAAGGTGAGTGTCGTTAACATCTGTCAACAATATCGATATGAAATCACGCTATCTAATATAAACTCGAGTAGAAAATAACAGAGAATTAACGCACTATAAATATCAAAATGGGGTATATCAAAATAATCGGTGTGCGTATTGATCACGAAAAGCGCGAGTATTATTATAAGTATGATGAAGCAAGCAAGTATGGACTTGATTCTAAATTACAACGAATTAAATAATTGCGATTATTTTCAATTAAATGAAGTGGCAACGAACGTCATTATACGCATTAACCTGGCTTTCCTTATAAGGAAGAGGCGAGTTCGCACGATGCCGCAATAAAGAAACAACTATACTGCACTTCACGTATATTAAAACATTGTTAACAAAAAATATAAAATACGAATTTGCATAAGCATTGCACACTACAATTTTTACTGAACAAAAAATTAACATCTTGTGTATGTACAACGTTAATAAATAATATAATAATCACTTAAATGTTCACGTCATGCAAGCATGCATGCATAACTCAAAGACGTTGAAAAATCGTTAACTTTGTAGAAAAGTCAAGCATGTTGCCATTGACGAAGACTTGATGAAGATCTATGTTTTCATACCATCGAATGATGTAATGTTAAAAAAGTACACAACGCCTATTCATGCATCAACTTTCATACAAAGAAACCATTTTCATTTCATATGCTTCAAAGACTCTTAAAGCCAGGCAGCGCAAGTTATTTTCTCCAGAAACGATGCAAAAAATAAGCCCCATTGACAAATATTGTTAAGCTATAACTCGCTACTTGAGCAGGACTTTACAGTTGCTATTTGCAGCATCATTTTAAGCATTCCCTTTGTCAATATTACAATATTGAAAGTTTCTTTGTTTTGGATTATCCAATCTAGAAGAACTCTCTCATTTCAGCAAAGAAAGTAGTCATTGCACGAGAGAAATATCCTAAGTAGCAAAAACTAAATATTTATGCATGCTTAACATGGAAAGGAAATGGTCAATTTCTTTTATGTATATATTTATAATCATCTGCGGCTAACATTAGCCTATTATATGAAAGGACTTCAACCTCCCTATGTGATAATTTCGAAATCAGAAACGTTGATGAGTTTACCCATCTTGTAATAAGCTAAAGAAGACAAAGTGTTTGCTAACTTAGTTGTTATGAGCCATCCTCGAATGACTCGAGACTATTTCTAAGTTCTATCCTCACATAGCATCATGAAAAATATCAAGGGCATTGATTTCCTACATGTGCACATGAAATGACAACAAGGAGATCAAAATAGATTGCTTTTTTGCGGCGTACCATTGTCGAGAAAGAAAATTCTTTACGACTCTAAATTATAAGTCTGGCTGATGTAATAGATTATTCACCCACACAGTGCCCAATCAAACAACCAATCCTGCAAACTTACAAAGCAAAACTACACTCAACTGTCCCAAGCAACGACTGACATATATAAATGAGTCTAGAGTATCATTCCTAAAGTCTTATGTTGTTTTTTTCGCTAAAGAATTTCGATGTAACATGCGTCGTGGAAGGTAAACTCTGCCAGAATAATGAAGAATGTGCTCGGATATGTGAGACTAAAGGTAGAGGTTTGTGTAGTAACAATGTGTGCATCCGTGATGAAAATGTGCCACCTTCAAGAGACATGAAAAAGAAAAGTCGTATTTCAGGCTTGAGTAGATGGTCATATCCATGAAATGAATGCTTCAGCGGGATGAACTACACCAAGAATGATGAACATCGTGCTAGTACATTGATTGATTACATATACTTTTCCATATATGTCCGTAGTCTATCAACGAATTATTAAGGGAAAAATCCCATTTTTCATAATCAGATCTCAAGATGACCTGCATAGTGCACACATACAATTCACATGTAAATAGATGTCTAGTCTCCTATAAGGATATGGCGTTTGCATTCTTTATATTGTTTAGCATAAAAGCACATCGTTAATAATTTAAAGGGAAAATGTTCCCAAAGACACGGATAAGTCTTGTTGCTTATTTATCTCATCGAATAGAAAGAGTAAACAATATCCATATAGAATCACCTTACCCCTCCTCCTCCTCCCGATGTCAAGGAATACAAGTAATCAACGCCCTTAGCATAAAAACCTTTAAACTAATGTTTTCTTTCTCGTTTAGGATCGATAGTAAAAACAACTTTACTACAACAGTTGTGTAAAAAGTTTATTTTTTGCTTTGAAAATATAAGTATAGCTACGTTGAAAAGGATACAATTTTTTACATGAAATAATAAATGGAACACCCAGATTTATTTCGAAATATTCATAGCAAATTTAATTATAGGTGCTTTAGCTACATTTGAGAAATCCAAAGGTGCTATTGAATATTTGCAAATTTGTCCTGCTTTTGTGATTGATAGTTCAAATGATTACAATTCAAAAAACTTTTTTCATCACACCCAACTTTGAAGAGAAGGAGAAATCTTCTCTTTTTCAACCCCTAATTTTCAGTGCATTGAGAAGCACGACTTAATACAACATCAAAAACGTCTTCACTTCCCGTCATATAGTTATGGTAGGCATTTATCCAAATTTCTCCTCTCTTGAACACCTGAGCAACGGTTAAAAAATCTAGCCATTCATGCTGGCCGTAGTGACAAATGCTTTGTCCGTGGCCGTCTATTCTGTCAAGTGTGTGAAAATCTCTCGAGTTCGATGGGATTGGCTCGCCGTTGCGTTGAAGAAGCTGTGGTGGATGGACAATCACGAGACTGGGGCAAAAATTTGGGTAATCATGAGGCAGAATTACGCGTAAGGTGTACATGCATCTCTCATTAGCAGGGGTAATTGTAACATCAATAAATTTATTTTCCAGCTTCAATTTTATTCCGTTTCTACGGTAGTATTCATCAAGTCTATTTATTTCACGTACGAGACGAATCACTTGAGCGGAGGACCACTGCGTTATTATACGGTACGTGACTATTACGCGTTGAAATTCTTCCAAGCATTGCCGAAGGCCTTGACTGCTTGTCAGATGTTCTTCATACGCAGCAAGCCACAACAATACTTTCATGAAAATTACATTCATCACGACGCGAGCTTCGCTGGGTAAAGGTGCATGAAGCGAAAAACAAATCTTTCGACAGCCGTCGGGAGGTAGACCGAGCCTTTGAAATCTCGTTTCGTTTTCACGAATTGGATTTCCGTCATCAAGCGGCTGTACGACGGCAACTTCTACACGAACGTTGGAAAAATTCCCAGGAAAATACACGCGAAGAATGTGAAGTTTCCTTTCGGCCGTCTGCACGTTTAAATCGACAATTATGTGTCCATGTTGCTCACGCCATGCTAGATGGTTTTCTTCAAAATACTGAAGTAAATCTTGCCGGATGTCTGCATTTGCTACTTCGGGTCCTTCAGCCATATTCAGTCGTTGTCGAAGTTACTTCATTTCAGAAAACATATACTCAACAGCTATTCAATTTCATATTTTAATAATGAAATATCTACTGCTTTTGTTTGAATACTGGTTGAAAGCTGTCGCGCAGTATTTTATTCTTCACAAACTGAGGCGCAGTATTTTATTCTTCACAACCTGTGGCGTAGTATTTTATTCTTTACAAGCTGTGGTGTAGTATTTTATTCTTCACAACCTGTGGCGTAGTATTTTATTCTTCACAACCTGTGGCGCAGTATTTTATTCTTCACAACCTGTGGCGTAGTATTTTATTCTTTACAAGCTGTGGTGTAGTATTTTATTCTTCACAACCTGTGGCGTAGTATTTTATTCTTTACAAGCTGTGGTGTAGTATTTTATTCTTCACAAGCTGTGGTGTAGTATTTTATTCTTCACAAACTGTCGCGCAGTATTTTATTCTTCACAAGCTGTGGTGTAGTATTTTATTCTTCGCAATAACGAAACCATATTTAATTGATTTCTAGGAAAAATCTTAACTGGAAGTGAATCTTTTGTGTAATATTTACGTGTTCAGCCCATCTCGATGGCAAAGCCATATTTTGCACATACCGAGATGTGACTTTCACTTTTCTTTTAAGTAATATAATCAGAACTCCAACAATTAATGTTGTTATGCATGGGGTAAATCAAAGCCGACTGAAGCATTAATCGACTGCTACAAAGAGCCGAAGACTAGAAAGCATACCTTAGCAGTAATGACAGTAAACTTCGTATTCTCGTATAATAAAATACGCTTGTCGTTGATAGAGACACACTCAAACGATAACGTTAAAAAAATGCTAAATTTTGGCATACTTTACAAGTCGGCAAAATGAATGTTTTACGTCATTATGGACTCCGTATATGTTTTGGGCGATTTTGTTGCAAAATTCAGTAGACGTAATGGAGAGTGGTACGTGAATAAAATATTTGTATTTCTTTCGTACATACATCATTCGTCAAATCATCCAGCTTTCCAGGATTCCATGAAAACAAACCACTAAACTTGAGAAATTAAGTTAAAAGCCTCTCGCTCAAATGCTCAGAAACAAATTATTGGTTTCAGTTGTGTTTAAGGAAGACTCGCGTTTCGCGCAAATATAGAGATGTATATGATTCACTATTTTGTACGAATACTCAATGATCTGCTGTACAAAAATGAAAGTATATAAAGTAATGCGAAAACTTATAATAAGTATAAATCACGCTGTAAGATACATACACCTGTAAAAAATGCCATGGAACAATTGAAACACCTCCTAAAAACACACATGCTTGCATTGTTTGAAACGTGCGATTTCCGCTTCAAAACGATCAAATACAGGATTTTTACACTTCACTAAAAAATTCTACAATAGAAATATTCTACGCAACTTCATATCTTTAGAACTATAGTATGTTTAATGTACTTTGAAAAGTATTGTACCTTAAGAAGTACTGTGAACTGTATACATTAGAAGTATAGTAGCTTTAGAAATATAGTGCCTTTAGAGGTATTGTACCATGAAAAGTACAGTAGCTTTAGAAGAATTGAATCCTTAGAAGTATCTAGTACCTTTAGAAGTATTGTACCGTTAGAAGAACAGTAGCTTTAAAAGAATTGTACCTTTATAAAAATAGAAGCTCTAGAAGTATTGTAGATTGAAAAGTATCGTACCACTCGTGTGGCATTCTAGCCCCAAAAGGCGAAAATTGTTATAACTCATTCATGTCACTTCACTTTCGCTTTTGTAATCTTAAGCAATGACGTGAATGACAATAAAATTTAATAAAATAACGATAGGTATACATGCTTCACTTGAACGAATGAATTGTTGGAATTTGATATACTGTGATAAGAACGTATTCTCCCAAACCTTGATATAGGAACAAGTAAAACTCGTCGATCGATAGAGACGTGATGGAACATTATTTAATTTTTGTGATGCACACAGTCGTCCATGAAAGTTTCAACCGAATGAAACTAAAACCTTCACAAAACCAACGCACTATCTAGGTCTCGCAGCTGACTACGTGTTTATAGGACACCGCAGATATTAAATATCTAGTCCACAACGATGTGCCATCTTTCAACAGCTAATAAATTTGAGGAATTATATCACAAGATATAGCATGTATTAGTTACCTGTGTGTTTATTTTGCCTGCTTTGATTTTCGTTTTTCGTCAAGGATATTGCAAATGGTTTTATGCTTGGCAATAACTAAAGAAAATAAAAAAGTATTTGTGAATGAGCTTTGCCCTTCAAAGCAAACAAGAAATGCATGCATTTCGGCATTAAAACAAGTATGAAAACCGAATCATATCATCGTCCACCAGACATGATCCAACAACCATGGAACGAGACGTACTAAAATTGCACTAAGAAACCTTCCACGTGAACGAAAAAACCTCAACTTATATGCATGTATAGAAAAAATGAGAAAATGTGACAAATTCATCAGTTATTCGATTCAGGTTTATGTACAAAATCATTTGATAAAGACACGTTTATTCAACTTTGTGAATTCCGCTTGAACTTGGGATGAAAAGAAAAAACGAAATACAGCAGTTTCTCCATCCCTTTCCCATTATCCTTTTCAAATACCGCCACACTTGACATAAAAATTACTCGTTACGCGAGGGAATTCGCACCTAGCCATCTGGCCTTGGCTAAAGGGGGTGCAGAACGGGTGCTAATTTCCTTACAAAATAATAATGTACCAAATAATTGAGAAAAGGAAATTGTGATTGGTGTTTGATGGTCCACAATTCCAAACATCCCCCATTCATAATTTTAACAAAAAAGTCTGACAGGTATGGCAACAAGTAAGTAGTTGGTGATTTAGTTTAGATCTAATCTAAACTAAATCACCAACCCTTCGCCTCCCCTCCCCGCCCCCCAAACACAAAGCCATCTTAGATTCATCCCTGTGAAAACAGCTATAGGGATCACATGATAGGGAGAAAGAATGACGCCCAATTAAGGAGGCCATCGATACTGTTTTACTTCACTTATTGAGAGCACTTCGATATTTCATATCTGTGTACTCCTTACAATCCATATATTACAAACAGTGTATTCCTTTACAAACACCAACTATAGTTGTAATGCCAACTTCAACTGAACTTTTGTCAATTTTCAACAAGCACACGGTCATGTGACAGTATTAAGTGGTCGAAGGAAATTCGCTGGTATCATGAATTTGAACGGAATTTCATTCATGCAAGGTTACGAATGCAACTTAAGCATAACTCAACAACTCCACGAGAGTTTATATAAACATTCTCAGCCGGCTATTCGCAAAGCGTATAGATTAAACAAAGTTTAAACCAAAAAGAAACATGTTTGTATCTTTAGCAAAGCACTTTATACACGATTTCACTCAACCTGAAAAATAAGATTTAATGTGTCAATGGTGCGGAAGATAAATCTATATCAACTGCAATCGTACGACCTCCCTTGTCGACAAATTAATAGAGCTACGGTTGAAGTTGTCACATTACGGTCAATCCAATATTGATATCTTTTTTACTTTTGTCATACATAAACAACTCGTTTTGTGTGAAATTTGATGAAGCAACAATAGAAAGATACAGTTTTTTTATACACATGTGTGAATAAAGAAGAAAACTTTTGTGTATATTGGAGAGATATCGACAGGAAAAAGTGACGAAACGAGAGAAGACTGTGAATATTTATCTAAAGAAGGAACATATAATGAGATTAAAACAATATTCCTTTTTCTATCTACCACCCACATTTCTAATTGCTTTGTTTTAGCAAAAAGCCGACGTCTTTTTTAACGAATCAACTCCACCATTAAAGCAAAATCTATCTTGACCAATAGTACCAATACACGTTCGTCTTTGCTTAACAAATCAACTCTATCATTTAAGCAAAATCTATGTTGATCAATATCATGAATACACGTTCATCTTTGCTTAATGAATCAACTCCATCATTTAAGCAAAATCTATGTTGATTAATAGCATAAATACACGTTCATCTTTGCTAAATGAATCAACTCTATCATTTAAGCAAAATCTATGTTGATTAATATCATGAATACACGTTCATCTTTGCTTAATGAATCAACTCCATCATTTAAGCAAAATCTATGTTGATTAATAGCATAAATACACTTTCATCTTTGCTTAATGAATCAACTCCATCATTTAAGCAAAATCTATGTTGATTAATATCATGAATACACGTTCATCTTTGCTAAATGAATCAACTCTATCATTTAAGCAAAATCTATGTTGATTAATATCATGAATACACGTTCATCTTTGCTAAATGAATCAACACTATCATTTAAGCAAAATCTATGTTGATTAATATCATGAATACACGTTCATCTTTGCTTAATGAATCAACACTATCATTTAAGCAAAATCTATGTTGATTGATTTCATGAATACACGTTCATCTTTGCTAAATGAATCAACTCTATCATTTAAGCAAAATCTATGTTGATTAATATCATGAATACACGTTCATCTTTGCTAAATGAATCAACACTATCATTTAAGCAAAATCTATGTTGATTAATATCATGAATACACGTTCATCTTTGCTTAATGAATCAACACTATCATTTAAGCAAAATCTATGTTGATTGATTTCATGAATACACGTTCATCTTTGCTTAATGAATCAACTCTATCATTAAAGCAAAATCTATGTTGATTAATATCATGAATACACGTTCATCTTTGCTAAATGAATCAACTCTATCATTTAAGCAAAATCTATGTTGATTAATATCATGAATACACGTTCATTTTTGCTTAATGAATCAACTCTATCATTTAAGCAAAATCTATGTTGATTAATATCATGAATACACGTTCTTCTTTGCTAAATGTATCAATTCTATATATCATCTATGCAAAACCTATCTTGATCAACACATGTTCATTACTACAACTGTAATACTCCTGGATCTATAACTATGAAAACAAAGGCAGCGGCGTCGTGAAATCAAACAAAAGCAAAGAAAATGCGATAAAAACAAATACCATGCAGACTACAATAAACATATTGTTAAGTTAAAAGGTCAGGTGGGCTTAAACGGAAATAATCCAAAGCTTTCTTCCTGAAAGTATTAGCTTTAACTTAACGTTTTCAGCATGAGCTGTAGTAAGTCTATATTAAATTTCTGTGATATTAAGAATTGGCAAAATATGGTGTATTCGATGACGATACAGATATAGCATTATTTCGATGAATCGAGAACGAGTAGAATTGGAAAAATTATTGCTCTTCACCTAAAGAGACCAACTCGAAAGCAAAAAATCAAAACTTGATGATACGTTTTTTTAAAATCATTTACTCCCGTTGCTGTGTCGAGATTTGTGATAAAAAATAGAAAAGTAGCTTTAAAATGGATGAATTGCGAGGATTATCTCTTTTTCTTTATAATGCTGTTTCATACAAACAATAAGAAAGGACGGTTGTTAGAAACGGTGAAAATCAATTTAACGTCAGTTTTCCCACCAATCATGGCATGAGCAACATACCGCATGACCAATCATGGCATGACCAACATACCGCATGACCAACATACCGCATAAGCAACATCGATACTGCACTTATTTTGCCGTGTCCTTTCAAAAGGTCAATGCAAAACCGTGTTATCTGTTCCTTGCTGATTTTTCTGAGCCCTCTTCATATCGATTAAGCATAAACAAACATTTCTCCCGAAATGGCGAATTAGAAACCTCTCGACAAATATGTCATGTAAATAAGGAAGACGACAAAAGAATAAAGACTTACAGAACACTTTAAAGCGCTTATTTGAGAATGGAGAGAATTAAAAGATAAATAATTTGATCAATCCGCCGTTCCAAACATACTTTAGACTTAAGCACTTCACTGATGAAAAAACTTGAGCATTCATACTAGAAAAAAATCGAAAAATAACTGAATCTTCAATCAAAGCTCGATGGACTTTCAAACTAGATCGACTTGAGTCGTGTCAGCTTCAAACTTAAGTCATATAAACAATTTTATCGCTGAGCGTGGTTGACATGTTCGATCTTATTTCAAACTGGCTAACGATAATTCTAAAGAAAGTTCTTGCAAAACATTTCAGAGAAATGTAGGCCTCGCATGATTGCCTCTTGCATCTCAGAAGCTAAAGGACATTTTCTAAAAATAGCATATAATCAAACTTTTTGCCTTTTTTTTGCCAAGGTTGTCGACACAAGTTTTTCAAATTATGTTCAGGACATCATACTTTTGATAGCATTTAAGCCATATATAAACTACAACCTAGCGATCGAAGCACAGGAAATTCTAAAACCCTTGAACAGACCTAAGCCTTCCGAATACAAGGAGTCACTAATCTATACAGAAACACGCACACCGATGATAATGAGGATGGTCATACCTTACTAACGAGTGATAAGAAGTACAGCAGTTGTATGTGATAACAGACATTCTCCATGTTATATATTTTCGTAAACTTTTGGACTCATTTCCTGCGTTTTGAGCACACGGCTAATTTAGACGTTCGACAACGACTGTTGTAGCAACTATCATCTCAAACATTGTAACGCGACATACATTAAGAGAAAATGTTAATTGTTAATTAAGTGGGATTGACTAACTTAAAGGACGATTAATGAGCTCACTACGATCACTGCGACTGTAACAAAATGTTCGGCTGCCACTGTTCCATGGTACAGTGCACGCTTATAATAAAACTGGTTAGAAATGACAAAATTTCAAAGACGTCATCAATTGAAGTGAGATTACCGTGACGAACAAAGATACGTGTGGCACATAAAAATAACAATAAACAACCAGTTTTAAATGCTACACTCTAATTCCCAACTGGACCGTCTGCGATGTATGAAGTGGAGAAAATGAGCAAGTCGTTTGAGCTATCCGAAACCAAAAGCCAAGATAAACAATGCTGCGCAAAATAATGATAACAAGAGAAGAGAAATTATGACAATAATAAAAAGACGTTGTACCGTTGATATTTCCTGTAGAAGGAAATGAACGCACTACACATTGCATTCCTCATTTTTCCCTTGTATTTTAAAAGGCATCATGGGATAGAATGAGGCAATAAATAAGGTCTCCTTCGCTAATGTTTAGCACAGAGAGAAAGAAGAACCACACGAGGTGATCTGAAAGATAGATAAAGTCGCAAGAGAAGGGCCACAAGGTAAGGATACTAATCCATCCGATAACGCAATCGTTATTTAGTAACTTTGTACATCAATGAGGCTTATCACATAGTCACATAAAGAATTAAGAATTGACATACAAATGTCCATGGTATTCTCGAGAAACGCACTTACACAACGCAAAAGACAGGATTATCAAATGCCGAGTAGTACAAGCAGTGAAAAACATATAAGTAACACAGGGAAGGTTTTTCATGAATAAGACAAGAAGAGTGTCTACTCGTAGGTTGGCAAACACAAATAAGAGAATTCTGCAATGAAAATTTTCTCCCGCATTATCAACTTGGAGAAATGTTAAAGTTGACGTACCTTATATTTGGATAGTAGTTTCGAAAACTTTTTGAAGCTTTTCTGTTTTGGTAGTTTGCCATGAGAAAAATCGTGGGCAATTTGCTTAGAGACATTGTCTACAGCCATTTTTAATAAAACTTATATAGTAACATGCGACGCAGACAACGCCCAATCATTTATCATGAAAAACTGTACACACGTGCTATATCATCAATAGGGACTCACCAATCTGAACATTCATTAAGTCTCCATGTTCCATGGAGATAACGGCTAGGATAACGAGTAGCAGCTTGACTAGTATGCAATTTTGCAATGCAAATGTAGTGGTCCTTCACTATCTTTGAAAACAAGAGATTTCTAAAGAAAAGAAAACAATAATGTCGTTTCTAAAATATCGGGAATTAAAAAGCAATTAATGCATGCAAAACGATCCTGAAAGATTAACATTGTTTTAACGATAGTGAATGCAAATGCTTTTTCATAAGTAAAACAGCACAGCATTTTCAACATGCAGTAGTTGTAACTTAAATAAGTCTTACGTTTTAAACGGCACTTATAAAATGTGCAACCAATGTAGCTACACATCTGGCAAAAGAGATGAATTTAGTCAATGAAAACGAAATGATGAAATTTGTACCTCAACAACATTGGTTATTAGTCTGCATTTAGAGCTTAAACATGTATTAAATGAGTTTGCTAGTGATAAGTAGAAACTTAAAACATGTAGTCATATTAACTATCTCAAACATAAAACGTCAGTAGTAATACTGATCTTTAGTTCATGTGTACCATTACGCATTGCTGCTAATGAAGTCATCGACCACGACAAACAGATATAGCAGATGAAAAACATCAAGGAATAAATTATAAACACAACTTTAGTCAAAACATACTGGCGACGAACGACACAAGATTTCAGTAAGGACACAAGATTTGAGTGTGCGTGAAAACACAAGTTTTGAGCATAAGTAGGAGACTGCAGATAGAAATCAAACACTCAGAAACAATTTAGGTCCGTGGCAATACCAAAACACGACAAGAGGACGAACATAAACAAAAAAGTGACAAAAGCTTTCGAAATGCACACGCGAACTTCTGAAAAGCATTTAGATTCAACTAAGAAACTCGAGCTCTGATGTCTGTAAACACAAATCGGGAAACGGATATTTTTCTTTTCGATTCTTGACAGTCTATTCAGAGTAAATTCTATACCCCATGCGCAATCACATACATTGCATCGAGTTCGAACTTTAAAATCTCAACATGAGGCTAAACAACTAACGCACACCAGAACCAGAAGTACTGTAGAACATAATAGGGAACTAAAGCAAGAGTGCCTACTATTTCTAGCATTCATCGAGTTTTTGGGTGACGCACTAAAATTAAGATAAAATGTTCACAACATTAACCTTTACGTTCCATATTACAGACAAAAAATGTACATCACAAAGACAAGTATCCTCATCGTGTTGCTAGTGGCGAACCTGTCCATTTCGTTAGCAATACCTCATGGCTACGGAGGGAAATTCTACGTGAGGAAACGATATATACGAAGGGTAGGTGCATCGCAGTAAAAGTAAACTGAACCGAGTTATAAAGTAAAGAAAATAATGCGCAGAGCTGTATTTTGCATGCAAATCGTAATGGTAATGTCATTTCACCATAAAATCGCATTCAGCAGAAATCTCACAACAGAACCAGACTAAACACTGAGCATGAGTGGGGGCGCACATTAGGTACGCCCCATGCTTTGTGGAATATGTCTAATAAAAAGTCAATCCAATCCAGCAAAAATTATAGACTTTTTCTACCAAGTATAGACACTTGGCAATCAAACAGTTCGTCTAAAGTCTCAGTGCGTTGACCTTAAATACTCTTTGGTATGTGCGCCCCTGCGCATGAGTACATAGAGTACGAAGAAGTCACTCATATTTTCCCTCTCTTTCCTCACAGGCAACGTGCAACATTCCGTGCAAGGATGACAAGAAATGCAGAAGTTGTAATAAAACATACAGATGTTTGTCTGGCACGTGTCATTTGGATCCCCAAACAGGACCGCTGTACAAAACACGAAACTTTTGGAACTTTAGAGCCTGATGCGTAAACATGGAAGGATTCGCATACAATATATAAATATAAATACATTTAATAATAAACTATTTATTCACTCCATTACACAATGTAAATATATTAAAGAAAAGTGAAAATGCAAATACATAACGAAACAATGCAAATGTTTGCGTTAAGTAGATACAAAAACTGCTCAATGTTACATGAACCTTGGTTTCTGTTAGTCTCAACCAAAAGCATAACGAACAGAAATTGATAAGGAAGTCCAATTATCATATTCGAGGATTAGGGTTATTATAGAAGACACATAATCTGGTATTGCGTTTTGTTTTGTATATTCAGTAAAAGATTAAAATCTCAGCAATTTCAAGTGTATCATAATTGTGCAATCAACCGGAGATGTCCGATCTTTGACCACGTGTACTAACATGAAATTACTAATGTAGGTTTCGCGATCAAACCACGAGAACATCAACAGGTTTTGTTCATTCCAAGAGACTGGCCCATTTTAATTTTTTGCCCTAGTTTCACAGTAAACTCAAAGTCTCTTGGCGCTTCAAATATCATTACTATGGCTGAGCCCATAGCAAACCAGCCAACTTCATCGCCTCTTTTCAGGTTGGTGTTTCCACTGAACTTCTTCTCGTGAAAATTTCCATTCTTTCTTTTCTTACAATTGGTCATCAGTGTGCGGTCAAAATGGAGATTGATTGAGCCCACATTATAAGCACCAACAGCGGTCATTGTAATAAAACCATGTTTCCATCTACCAAAGAGTGATACTCTCTCGTTGGTACAGAATACCTCACGATGCCTGCACAAGGCTCTGGGTGATACCGAGACAAGACTACCAGGAAAATGCAACCGGGACTGAACCTGCCATTCGGCAGGAGAATGAAAATGATGGTAGTCACCAGGCCCCAGGTAAAACACACACTGGTAGAGAAGCTTCTCCCTCTGGTTAAGCTCTTCATCGCATGGGAGAATTGATCTGGAACCAAAGAAACTTTCAATGGTGTAGGGTACACCTTTCACCTGTTCCAGCTTACCATTGCAAACTTGTCCAAAATGAAGGACTTGGCCATCCACGGGACTGACCTATAATGATAAAAAGAGCACAACCATACCATAACAACAGATTTCTATGACTAAATTGAAAATGTACACAATGACGTTCATAGACTTGCCAAGTCACACTTATCATCGATAGTTCTGCAACCATGTTTTAGTTTTCTTGTGAAAAATGCACCAAGATTTGGATACTTTGATGGATCTGGCTCCTCGGCCTCGTCAAGCCGGCAATCAAAAATCCAGATCCACAAATGAATCATGGGTAGTCTCAAAAATTTTGGCAACTCCATGTCATGAACAACTCCCCAAAACCTTGACAGCAGTCGAGTGGGAAGAAATCGAATGAAGTTAACATGCCAATGCCAGCCACTATTATTCCATAACTCCGTTTCCACGGGACTATAAACTCTTTTTTCACGTAAAAGCACATGACGAAACTGAATGATTGTTAAAAGCGCCAATCCCACACCGGTTGGCATCCAAAACCATCTTATTTTTCCTGTTGAGCCACTTGAACCACAGCCATTTTTTGTTGATAAACACAGAGCACTTTGACCAGAGAATATCTTCCCAACTTTTTCAATTCCAATGTAATATGAAAGAAATCTTCTATGACATGATGTAATACCCAAACCAAAAACTGACATCTTTTCGCAAATTCAAACGACCGGCCACTGCATAAATTTTCCAATTTTAAAGTATCTCGTATTTACGACGTTTTTAAAAGCGAAATTGCAGCAATAACTCTTGTTTTAAAGCAAGCTATCTGTGCTTGCAATGCTTACACAATATTGGATTTTAATAACCGAAATTCATCGAAATTTCGTGTACATACTGGCGCAGACGTTGAAAGCTTGTTCAAAGAAACCACTTTAAAAACAGGGGGGGAATAGCAATGTTTGTAGAAACTTTAATTTTGCCAGTAAAACCACAGCACTACAGTCTGTAGCTGATAAATTTCACAAAAATAAAATATGTAATCTATTTTACGTAAAAGAACAAGATAATAATCCTGCAAATGATTAAATACTGTATACTAGTGCCACAAGCAGCATTAAAAAACGAAAATAAGTACGATGTAGTTGGGTTTGAATAAAAGAAACGGGACAAAGACGAACACCAATCAGTCAAATGCGAAAACATTATGTCATTATTTAGTGCAGTAACTTTCGTACGCACGATGTTTGTATGATAAATTCACTTTGAAAAAATTGCTTACCTTATATGTTTTAAAGCTTCGTAGCGATAATTTCAAATTGGTTTCTTGAAAAAAGGCAAAAGTAAGACCTTCCAAACATAACTATGACTAATTACTGCAAAAATGTTTACTGTCGGCTCGTGCTGTGCACCCCCCCCTGCATATCGGCACATGGACCTCAACTAAATATTACTTACATAACATACTCTGCTACATAAAGATATTTTTCAAAATGTTTAGATGCCTATCTCTAATTAATTCAAAATATTCAGGTACGATATAAAATGATTGATTGTTTTTCTAGTCTAAAATGAAATAATGATGCTATTTTTTGACCATCAACTTTGTATTATTTTTTTATTTATCTTCAAAATAGCCCTTTCCAATGTGCTCAAGTGCACTTGCTTGAATATTCAAAGCTCTGTAAAGGTTAGAAAAGCTCTTTTCAAACTGTACAAACCATTTAAATAATACAATGGCATTGTGTTTTATTTCTATGTAGATTAAAGATGTCAACATCTTTAAGGTAACTTCAGGTATGTTGTAGTCCAATGCAAGCAAACATATTTTCAGCATGATCAAGTTTTTCTGGGTATAAGAATAGAATCCTGTTTCTGTTCCAGTTCGTGGGTTTGCTGAAGCTGTGAAGAAGGCAACTTTTAGTCGTGAGAAACCACATGTGAACATAGGAACCATAGGTCATGTTGATCATGGAAAAACCAGTTTGACTGCAGCTATAACCAAAGGTATCGAAATAGCACAGAATAGGTGGTACAGGAATGACCAAAGAAATGCCACATTACCCCCCCTTTCCCTTCCCTTTTTATCTAAAGTTGGTGATTAACTATATTTCTTTATTTTTTAGTGTTATCGGGGGCTGGAAAGGCAAAGTACAAATCTTACAAAGACATTGACAATGCCCCCGAAGAGAAAGCAAGGGGGATAACGATCAACACTGCTCATGTTGAATACGAGACAGAGAACAGACATTACGGTCATGTGGATTGTCCTGGTCATGCAGATTATATAAAGGTGCAAGCCACTATGCCAAAACAAAATTTTTAGCTTTGAAATAATTGGTTTGCAAAATATTTTTTGATATCATTGCGCAGAACATGATTACTGGTGCAGCTCAAATGGATGGAGCAATCTTGGTGGTAGCTGCGACAGACGGACAGATGCCACAGACAAGAGAACATTTACTGTTGGCAAATCAGGTAAGACTTACATCTTGCCTGACTATTCTACCAAGTACTGCACCAGTGTTAGCGTTTCTTTCTGTGCAATTTGTTTGTATGCAGGTTGGAGTTAAGAAACTTGTTGTTTATGTCAATAAGGCTGACATGGTTGAAGATCAAGAAATGCTGGAATTGGTAATGCACTTATCATAATAATTTAGCATTTTTATAGTGCTCGATGCCCGAGAGCAGAGCGTAAATATATGTAGTGATGTTAAAAAAAATCACGAAAACTACAGATTCATCCCGACAAGCCTGTTTTGTGATTGCTCACTCTTCAGGGGATTTTAATTACAGGACTCAAGTGCACTTGAGCACTTTAGTTGTGAAAAAAAAAACTACAAACAACACCAAAACTACAACATTACACTCTAATAATCTTAACACCAATCATATTCACAATACACCAAAACCCATGGCAATGCATTTCACCCCATCCAATCACATTAATCCAACTGCTAATCCAATTAGACGCTCTAAGCATCTACAAGCTAAAAGCAAGTGTAAATAGATAACTTCCTCATTCTTATGAAGGCTCGAAGCAACGAGTCGAAAGCACGATAAAATCATTTTATACTACATATATATATATATGATCAGCCTCTTATACATTTGCTGATTAATATGTGAGTTTGCCTTGACCACCTGGTTTATAATATTTATGTCACTTGTATGATATCCTCATCAACTGGCCATGAATACATTATATAGGTTGAGCTTGAATTAAACGAGCTTCTTCCATCCTTTGGCTATGATGAAGATACTCCGATTATCATTGGTTCTGCCTTGTGTGCACTTGAAGACAGAAATCCTGAGCTAGGCGTGGAATCCATAAAGAAACTCCTGGAGGCCATTGATTCATACATTCCAACACCACCACGTGATCTAGACAAACCTTTCCTCATGCCCGTTGAAGATGTTTACTCGATTGCTGGCCGAGGAACAGTTGTGACAGGTCGCATAGAAAGGGGCATTGTAAAGAAAGGTGATGAAGTACAATTTGTTGGACATAAAAGTGGAACTAAAACAGTTGTGACAGGTGCGTGGAGTATGAGTAGATAAACTAGAGATGAAAACTTTTTCAAGATCAGATTAGTGTTGATGAGGAATATAGATGGAGTAAATGATTCAATATTACATAATTCCTGATGAAAGGCAATTGACTTGAGTCATCTTAAGTTTGTATGTGAAAACCACTCTCTGCAAAGACACTAACTACACTGGAGTATATAAGAACTCAAATTTCACCTTTAATCACTCCTGATGTTGACACTAGACTTTTCTCTTTGTATTTCCCAGGTCTAGAAATGTTTCATAAAACGTTAGATAGAGGAGAGGCCGGTGATAATTTAGGGGCACTTGTCCGTGGCGTTAAACGTGATGAAGTGAAGAGAGGCGTTGTACTCTGTGCCCCAGGATCGGTGACTTCACATTCAAAGTTCCAAGCGGAGGTATTATAGTCTTTAGTAAATCTTCGTTCCTTTTCAGTCCATTGTGCTGAAAATCTCCATATAAAAGTAGACAACTGAGGACTCGAGACTAAGAAATACCATCCTTAGATTGAGATATCTCTAGGAAGAAATATCGAGGAGGAAATTTTAAACGGTTTGTGCCGTGAAGTTGAAATAAGCTAAGATTTTTTTTGCCCTAACTACTTACACTGAATCAACAAGTTAGCTACGATCCTTACTAAGATCCATAAGAAGATAGCGAAAACCGTAAGAGCTATCCGTTAAAAAAACAACAATCAAGTTTCACATTAACCGAACGGCGTAATTCTTTTTAAAGGTGTACATTCTAAAGAAGGATGAAGGTGGACGACATAAACCGTTTGTTACTAACTACACACCTCAAATGTTCGTGCGAACTGGTGACGTAGCAGCTACCATTACTCTACCTGAAGACAAACAGTTCGTAATGCCTGGGGAAAACGCTAACCTAAGCTTTCAGTTGATGTGGGACATGCCTCTGGAGGTTGGTTTACGGTTCACACTTCGTGAAGGTAGCAAGACCGTGGGAACTGGCGTTGTGACGCAACTGGGAGACTAGGAAACTGGAAACGAATCCTTAAATGTCGCACTGTATTTATCAAGATATTTTTATTTCAATGCAATATGTCGTGGTTTTACTTTTGATTGCACTTGGTATATTTGTCAAAGCAGTCATACTTAATGAACTCTGAACTACGATCATGAATTACGCAAAATGGATTGTAGGTAACTAGTATGAGTGTTGTATTGTAAGTGCTTTGTAAAGAATGATGAAAATAAGATTTCATGATCTGTGCAGTGGACTTATAATGAATATGGAAAACGAAGCGAATACTAGCAAAGCGTGAAATCTAGAATTGAGTGAAAGCAAATAAATATTAGAGAAAAAATCAAGAAAACCGCAAAAAAGCTACAGAGATGCGGCAACTATGTTTAAAACACAACTCTACATCTATTATGGTGAGTGTTAAACACTATATATAAATAAACTATATTCTATGACTGCACACTATTTAACAAGAACAAGCTGTTTACAAGTTTACAAATGAACGACTAAACTTTATCATTCAATCGAACAACTACGTAGTTATCGAGTTGTCTAGCCAAGTTTTTTAAGTCTACCATATGCTAAAAATCAAACATCTTCTTCGACCATGGTGACGTCATTTAACGTCAACGTGAACTTCTGCCCACTCGTAGGTTGAAACGGTTTGTACAATTTATTTTTAAATTCAATGACGTCATTATTTCGTGGGTCTGGCTCTCGCTTTTCAATAGACTCTTGCTCTTCCTTGACATCTAGAGCAGGATTGCTTTGATACAGCGGATTAATATTGACCATCACTGCGTCACCGTTTTCGTAACTGTCGCAAACGTCGAGGTTATCGTCCTTAGAATCTGCATTTACCACGTGATTTGTTTCGTATTTATGATGACGAACGGCATTAGGGGACAATGATGAAGTACAAGGTGAAGAAGGGTTATCTGTGAGTATCTCATCACTATTGTGATTTTCGTCTTCATCAAACGCTGGATTGTCCCAGGCGTGTAACTCAAGTTTGTCTTCTTCAACAACTACATTCTTATCGTCCATTTCGTTTCCAGATCTTTTTAAAGCAAGTCGCTTTCTCACAAAATGCAACAATGCAAGAACCAAAACACCTTCAAATCAGAAAATGTTGATATTGAGTTTTAATTTAAGTTTCGTGACCAATCAACTCCAAACAATTGCGATTGTCGTAGTCAATGGATGAAAAAACGCGGAATGAAAAATGACTGCATTAGCTATAGAAACAATCTTACCAAAAACGTGTTTACATACTTTAGAAATAAGAAAATTTCATATTCTATCCCTGTACTCATGTCTAAACAGACACAAGATTCATGCATCACTGGGGGAGGACAACTGGTGATGACAGAACCGCATATCCAAAAGAGAGATTGATCATAATCAACTGCAAATTTTTCTGATCAAATTGATCAAATCAAACAAAACATGGCTTGTACTTGAAATGTGAAAACTACACTTACATAGTAGAAGGAGTCCTGCAACAGATCCACCGATGACAAGACGTTTGTCTTTATTTCCAGATTGTTTTAGCAAATCACCCGACGTTATGTGCTTCTCGTCAGTAGTCACGTGATTTTCACTGTGAGTGACAACCTTTTCCGTCGTCGTGTATCGAATGTTTGGTTCTTTAGTTGTACTTAATGCTAAGACAAAATACGTTGTTAATTTATCACAAGTTGGAAGATATCGTTAAGATTAGAGGCATAACAAGTACAGAATGGGGCAAAATGGGGGTTGATGATGATCAAAGTTTAATGTTGCAAGACGTTGTCTTCTACTTTAAAGCATAAATATGAGACATTTAACAACACTACTTTCCAGTTGCAGGGATGTAATATATCACCCGAAGTTATGTTCAGTAAGGAATAGGACAAAATAACTATTGCCAGTATTCTAAAGCCTCGCGCTCACACTCCCGAGTGCTATATACACAGAAATCGCACTCACTCCCATCAATCAATAGCAAACTCATTTCTCAATTAATGTCAAGATGTTTGCTAAAATATTTCAAATCAAGCAAACAGTGGCGTTAAAAACCGTCTTCGAATCGTTATGAGATGATCTTCAAGCCCCATTCAGTATGTGTGACACATGCGCACTAGCGTAGCCAGCCGGACATTTTACTCTCGCCACGCAAATATTTTGGGTTTACTGACTTTGAGAACAATATATTTTTAAAGAGATGAATAATAGTAATTATTTAAAATTTACATAGCGGGAGTAAATCTGCAGGCTGGCTACGCTGCTGCACATGCGTATGTTTCTATCGACTTACCTTTACATTGCGTTACATTAACTGCACCTTCGTCGACAGTTGTGAATCCTTTAGGGCATTGAATACAATTTTGTCGTCCACTCTCGTGTTGATATGTTCCTAACGGGCATGCTAGACAGCTAGCAATACCATTGCCATTAATACGTCCATAATATCCGGGAATGCAGTCAACTAAACAGGATCATTCATTAATTTTAGAAGGTTGGAATCAACTGGTGATTTTGTTTGGTAAAATCAACAAGTGAAAATAAATTGTTCAAACTTTTCGATCACTCAATTAAAAGTTGAATGATTTCTCGAAGTTCAACCAATATTATTTAGTGTTCACGTGCACCAAAAACTAACGAGAATAAACTAACCACATTTGAAGAGATCTTCAAGAGATGTGCCAAGTGGGCAAGTCATCTTAACGCTGTCGATGCTAAGCGAATTCCTCTCTACCAAATATCTCATTTTACCACGTTCAAATAACAGATTGCCGTTCACAGCTTGAGCGATCCCACCAATAAAAGCACGCAAACGGCGCAGGGAGCCAATCACCTTCAGCGGATCTTTACCTGACTTGTTGTAGACTCCGTTGTATTTGAAAGACCATTTGCAAATTTGATCAGGAATTTGGCCACTACATTTAACGACGCGTAGATTTTCGACATTTGAGCTGAAGTACAGGGAGGAATTTGTTAATGTATTCTCAATGCGCTGTGCTGTGATGTTCAACACCGACGCCAATTTTTGCGCAAGTCCTGCTTTAGCATTTTCATACTGTGTAGGATTAGATCTCACAAGTCGTCGCAAGTCTAGCTGGCTTTGTGATAAGGAAACGGACAGTTGAACCTGGGGTATGGGCAAAATAAAATTCAGAACTTTAACATAACTGTTTGTGGAACGAGTACTGCCATAAATACTGCTAACACGACAGAAATACCGTCCTTCTTGTTCGTTTTGAATCGATAAGAGATTCAAATAAGGAAACACTTCTTCAGATAGTTTAATAAAAACGCTTGAATTCAGAGCCTTGAAGTACCATTGATATGTAACGTTGTTTCCAAGACTTTCAGCCATACAGGTTAACCAATTGTTTGAGAAGAGAATCGCATTAAGCCGTTCAACTGGTTGAGTTTTGATGTGAGGTGCGGAATGAACGACAACGAAAGCTGATGCAGATATTTCCATGGATATATGATTGAAAACAATGCAGGTATAATTCCCAGAATCCTTGCTCGAAGCATTTTTTACGTACAAGGTGTTTGAAGTTTGATCGTTTAAATAAGCGTTATTGAATTTCCAGTAAAACATTAGTTCGTCACCTGAAGCATTGCACTTTAACTTGAACGAGTTACCTTCGCCAATGTTCGTCAATGGTTCGGGCTGTTCCGTAATATTTGGTGGCCGTGCACAAAACAGTTTTACCGCGTTCATGTCATTTAAAATGTTCAAAACGTTTGAAGATGCATTGTTAGCATCCCGAGTTGAGAAATCAGTTCGTTTGAATTGTCCGAACTCTCTCCGTATTTTCTCGATCATCTTGCGAGTCCGCTGAGAACCAGGAAAGCCCTGCGCTTCGTTTACTTCGTGAAGACGATTTATCACGTAAAAAACGCAATCTTCCAAGCCGTTACAATTCGTTGCGACGACATCAAATAGATTTTCCATCGCAGAAAACCAATTTTTTAAAAGTAATTTAAAGTATAATTTTGCCGGCTTTAGTCCGTCCAGACGAGCTTCCTTTTCAATTTGCAGAGATTCCAGCATTATTGTATCATTCGCAAGGCTTCTATAATACGACTCTTTATCTATTGCAACGCCTAATTTTGATGCGTATTCTGAATTGAAGCTTTCCAATATTTTTGTTACATTTACGGGGTAAATTGCTGTCTCGACTTTCGTAAAATTTTTAATGTTTTTTATCACCTCTGTTGTCGAATAAAATAAGTCTGACGCAATGTCCCGAAGTACACTCTTATAATTGGTGAACTCCGAACATAATTTGTGGTACTTCTTTAGATTTGACAAGGCAAATGTCTTTTCATCAGAACTGCCCTCGGAGTACTGTTTTTCTCCACCGTTGTAATTGCTATCTTCAATTTTACCATAAAATCTGACAATCTCGTGCGCTGCGTTTTTCGATGAAAGTGCAACATTTTTGAAGTCAATGACAGCAGCAAATACTCCACTTTTACCTTGGATTTTAACCTTTAGTTTGACAGGAAGTAAATAACTCTCCCTTTCCTTGTGAACATAAACCGAGAAACTCGCATTCTCTACAACACTCATGTTATCCAAGAAGATATTTCTTAACTTTAGTTTTCTCCAGAGAGCCCGCGAAACATTATATCCAGCGTTCAAGCTCATATTATAAGTTTTTCGAAGTCGTTTTACGCAGTCTTGGGTAATATTTAAAAGCACACGGGCTGATTTCAAACGAATCTCGGCCAATCGTGCTTCCATACGACGTTTATGCACCTCTCCCACAGCATCCTCTACACTCTTCCATAGGTCAATATCGTTGCTCGAGTTGGCGAGTTTTTTCAACGCATCCGTTCGTAATCGATTGCAGAAATGATTTTGAGCCACACAAGTACGATTCACGGAACGAAACGCGCACGGAACTCGTGTACAGCACGTCGAAGGCAACGTTTCAGTTGCAACTAAGCTGTCGCACGGTTTCTCGCACAGGTAAGAAACCTGGTATGATTCATACCGAGAACCGAGAGTACCACAAGTTTGCGGGAGCACGCTGCAATTCCAATAACCAATGCGAATGTTTTTGTTGTAAAACCTATACGATGTCGGCTTGCATTTGGAATTGAGACATAATCCGTGTTTTTGATATCCTGGGAAAATATTAGAAGTTTGATGCCTCTCATAAGTTCGTTGGACATAACCGCTTCTACCAAAAGAGAAGATGTCATTTTGAAGTTCACTTAAGGTTTGCTGCAGTTGTAGATTTTTAAGACCTTCTTTGTGATATATTCTGTCACATTGGTGTCTTACACACGACACCCGGCTTGTATTCGTCTTCACTCGACGCGTCACAGACTTATAACAAGTCGACAAACATGTATTTTTTGATTTTCCAGTGATATTAAGTTTGCATTGCCTGCAAGCTAACCAGCCTGACAAATATCAGGACAGGGCCCAACATCGGGACATAATTGAAGCAAATATGTGGAGGAGTTGGCTAGCAAGCGTTGACTAGCAATGTCTTGACGACGTTGAGCATTTTCCAAGTTCATTTTGGCAACAATGTACTCGTGTCGTGTTTTGCTTACCTCTCGTTTCTTGTCTTCCAGCAACTCTTCAACGGCACGGAGACGTTCTTCAGCACGTTTCTGCCTTTTCTCGTAAAGCGAATATCGTTTCCAGGCATTCACATAAACTTTGTGAGCGTAATCTTTTATATTACGATTCAACGAAGATACCAGACCGGCTTCGTTTTTCGTAAATTCACCACGAGCGAGGAATTTTTGGTTTTTCCAAGCGTTCAATGAGGCATGACAAGTAACGTTGGCAAGAAATGTGCCAAATACTTTACCAGCAGCATGAAAGTGAACACCATTATGATTAAATGTAACATTCACCGAATCCTTGAAGCCAAATATGCTTACAGTGCTTTGGAAAAAGCCACAAGAATGATTTGGGGACTGACTCGATAAAGACATTCGTACTTCGGGGTTGTTTAATGTGAAAATGCCATAATTTGTGTTTGCGTACTGACTTTTTCTGCCGTGCAAGAGGACACTACTGTTCCTTCCCGCTTGCATTGTGAGCACAACGACAAGATTTTCGAATTTCAATTCGTAAAATCTCATGGCCCCGTGAAAAATCATGCTGATTGCGTTCGCATCATTGTTCTTTTCGAAAGAGAGCGGTTTTGATTGAAGAGCTCCCATCTCGTAGAAGACTTCCACACCGTAAGATGTCACAACTTCAAGGAATTTATCAAGATCGGAACCGAGAAAGGGTGACTCTTTAAACTTATGAGAAATATACAGGCCTTGTCGAGTTTGGTCGTCTGAAAAATAAGGTCATCATGTAGTTAGATTGTTTTACGTTTGCCATCAAAAACTCTGTAAAGGAAAGCTAGCCAAAGACTTTTTTTGTTTTTCATCAATCAAGAAATAAAGAAAGTAGTGTTCTTACAGTCATTGTCTTTTTTATATTTTAGGTAGCATAGCTTTCTCTTTTAGTTATACTTTATGTTCACTTAATCTGCATGACACACAATTTGTTTGTTTATCATACACCTAATACAGTGAATGTGCTTTTTATGAAAGTCATAATTAAATGTAGCCTCACCTCCAAATGATACAAAACTAGAAGACTCGTGAGCAGAGAGAACCATGCTGCTCATGAAGCCTTCCACCATCAACTCCACTGATAATATGAGATTTCCATATAGTTCAATCATCCACGTTTGATCAAATGGTGATTTTATCATCTAAAATATAGTAAACACGTTGCTCATATCTTCATTGTTTATTTGTCAGTCGTCACTACCTATATTGACATCCATTATCCTTTGTAGTTTTGATTAGTGTGAAGACAGTTTTTGTACTCCTTTGTCAGAGGACCATGACCTGGTGCAAACACAGTTCTAAGGTAGTTTTCGTTCGATCATTCTTAAATTAATCTATAGAATCTTTATGAATACAGACTCTTCACAAATTAGTGATACAGTCAAGTATAGTCATAGAGTTGTTTTTTCGTCTCTACGGTTCATTCGTCATCGCAAACTCTAAAACTCGCTATCTAAACCTAAAAATATATAGTCAAACGACTTACGTTGTCAATTTCAGAAACATCAATGACCATGGTCCCTTTAAATTCAAGACTACAACGACTTTTATTGTCAAACGCTTTTGTCAACTCGCCCACTAATGCAAGTTTCCCCTTCATGACAATGTTGCTGCGAATGAGAACAAAACCGTCCCAAAATCGCTGTTTTGGCAAATTTGTCACAATTGGCAGCGTCTTTGATACTTGAACGGAAAACACAAGCAACTCCCACCCATGTTTCGCTAACGATGTAAATAAAGTAGAATTTTAATAGCTTCAGCATAGTCTTTATGCCAACTCAAGATAACTGAGTCACTGCAAAGCTCAATAGCCAATGAGATTTCATGGCTGTGGTCATAGGTTTTTATTGCTTTGTCATTGTTTCCAATGGAAATGATAATTTTGGAGGACCGCAACAGTAAATAAGAAGATTTCTCAGAGATAGGTTGACCTTTCGCAAATGTCTTTGACTGTAGTTCTTCACCAGATAACAATTCCACTTCAACGTCAGAAGTTTGAAATTGACTTGGAAACATTTCCTTTTTTAAGATAAGTTTTAACCACTTTGGCAAAGAAGGTTTTACTGCTTTTAAAAAAGATCGTGCCAACACAAGATCATTCATAAGTTTCTTGATTTTTACGTCGTCATAATCATTATTGCAATTTTTCGTTATTTTTGACCGAGCCCCACTTGGAAGACTGGTGCCCAACAGAGACAATGGAAAAGTAGCAGTGTTTGTACGCAAAACGATAACACCATCAGATGAAGCTATTGGTCCGTAACGTTTCCATGGAGATGTTGACGAAACGTTCATAATGACATCTGTATAAGAACAATGAGTCAATTTCATGTTATTGCAACCAATAGGAACAGTCTCGTCCAATGTAAAATTCGAGTGATCAGTCGACCTTTCAGCGGTGTCCACAAGTATGACGTCATTTTCTGGTGAATAAAATGTATGGGCCTGCCGACCAGATATAAAATACGTGACAATGTGTATGCCAATTTTTCGCGAGGTAATTGTCACGGATTGACTTTGGACAGTGGAATTGAAACTCATTTGAGCCGGACTAAAAATTACGTCACGACTTCTCGGTGTGAGTATCAAATCGCCTGAATTCAGAGGCGAGGAGCGAAACGTCAAAGGTCCCGATGATATTTTCGTGGATAGTGTAGGATAACTGGGAGTAGTGATGTACCCAATTTGACAGTTTGTTCCTGCGTAGCCTGTTTTGGTACAATCACAGATATAACGGTCGAAGCTGAGCTGGGTACAGACTCCGCCGTGTGCACAAGGATTCTTGTCGCACGGAGAAATTTCTTAAAAGAAATTATGAATACCTCAACTATATCATCCTGAAGTGTTTAAATGACTATCAAATCAGAATCGAAAAACGGCAAAAATAGGAACATCTTCTACGAAGTGGGCAGATCCATATTTTTAGAAAAAACTTACAAATGACCAAAATATTGCTTCATACAATCTCTTCTATAGCTATAAAAGCCTGTATAAATGTTCTGAAACCTATCAATAATTCAAAAGCTTTAACTGTGCAATATTTTTAGAGGATATAGGCGGTATGCAACCATTCCCCAGGAGAGAGAGAACAATGGAATGTTCGCCATGTTGGATGACGTTTGCATAGTAAATAAGGAAATTTGGGAAAATCCTTTGTTGGTTGAAATCATCTAACATGGTGGGCGCTGTGACGCACTTGCAAACCAAGAATAAAAGATCCTAATGCTCGCACAAGTGCATCATCAAAGGCTTTCCTTTCGTATGTATGCAAAATAAATTTATTCCCAGTGTCATGCCTTACTACACCGCTTTAACATTATGGAGGATAAATACTACGCAAATATAATAAGAAACCTAAATGTTTTGTGCAAAAATTCTGCATACACTACAATACTATTATTTACGTACCTCGACATGACGAGTTTCCTAGATGCCAACTACCATTACCATTGCACATGGCCTTGCTCTGTCCTTCCATGAAATATCCTTTGATACATCCCAGCGTGCAATTTGAGCCGAAATGTGTCTCACAAGGTGAATAAACAAAGGCATGAGGAGGTCGCTTGATTTTAGGACAATAAATCACTGCAAAAGATAAGATTTGTTGATACACTGTATATTCCCTATACTGTGACACAGTAGTCCCACGCAGTAAATTGCATCTTCTGACCAATGAGAATGCTGAGTTGGCAACCGTATTAAATATAAACACCAAGTTGCACAGCGAAGTGGGACTACGGTGTTTGTTTCCTGTACTCTCTACTTACTTATGCAAGATGTCTTATCCCCAGTCCACTTTCCGCTCGCACTACACACGCGTCGGCGAGAACCATTCAACCTGTAACCAGTATTACAGTCGAAAACACAAGAATGGTCAGTGGTTTTGCCAGTGCAACGCACATCACCATTAACTGGCGGTCCTTGTAATTGCTCACATTCATTGGCTGCAAGAAAACGTTAAATGAAATAACGGGCCGTCGAAAGCAAACCAGTTTTGTTGGAGGAGATGATCCAAATGTGCAAACACGTTTCAAGGCATTTTTAAGGATTGTAACATGCATATATGAATATATATATCCGCCGCTTATTGATCTAGCGACGCCACTGATGAAAATATCTTCATATTCACAGTGAAATAGACAGCCGAAAATTGGTCATCCTATGTAAACTTCATGTAATCGGCTTCTATTATTTCTTAAGAAATCTATTGTTATTACAGCGAGCAAACATCAAAATAACTGCATAGCACGAGTAAACGAGGGAGCTGGCTACGTCCCTGTGTATTCTAAACAAACACCGGTGGGTTTGTTATCATAAATTGTGAAAAAGAAAATATTTCCTTCGGGATGTAATTTTGAACAATTTTTTTATAACATTTCATGAAACAAGAACCTGTTTTACTTCAAAAGAAACTTACCTTTACATGTTCTGTTATCTTGACTATTTAATGTGTAACCCGCTACACATGTACATCTATATCCCCCAGGGTAGTTATAACATCCCTGTTGACAATCATGTTCGTTGTGTGCACATTCATCGTGATCTAAGGACAAAATGTGTATCAATGTAGGTAGTGGAGAATGAATAACAGCGAAAAAGAAGAACAGTCTTAACATGCACTAGCTAAAATATAACGAAGAAACGCGTTTCAGGGACGTGATGAATAAACAACAAAGGGCATCGACGTCTCGACATTACTTAAATTTAAACTAATTAACGTGAATCGGTACATTAAAGGAGAACAAAACATTTCTTAATGCAGCCCCGAGATATCGTATGTTATATGGAGCTGCAATGAATGATCATCAGAAAGCGTAAGTCATGCACTTATAAAACACAAACTTTAAATGCGCGCTCAAGTTGGAAGAAGTATATTAAAATTACCTGAACAATTCTTCCCGTTTGACGTTAAAACATGACCGGTTGAACAACTGCAGTTGTATCCTCCGGGGTAGTTTATGCACTTTTCTTGGCACAAATTAGGAACACCGCTGTCCGCGTCGCATTCGTCAACATCATACTCACATCTCGTGCCATTCCACTGCGCGGTACAGTTACAAACGTCAGGTGCTATACACGAGCCGTGGTTTTCACAATTTTTGATGCAAATTGCTATCAAAAAGAGAGATGATTAAAAGCACGACCTTTGGTTAATCAACAATAGAACGTCAGTAACCGCATATGTACTCAAAAAAAGGCACTTGTACTAAGACTTTTTAGCTTGATATTATGCATGAGTAACGTTGAAATTTAAGCCTAAGCCATCGAGACATTACACCTAATTTCCGATAGGAGAATCCAATAGTTCACAATCTTTATAATTTGTTACACATGACAAAGCAAAGCAAATTTAATGAAATATTCCTTTTGATCCCTGGATAGTATAATTTCCTAGGGTTTTTTCATTTTGGTTGCCATTATACCACAGGTAAAGAAAAAACAAACTTCACAGTAAAAAGATAATTATGTGGTAAAACAAGAGTTCTACTATTCACGTTGTCACGTTTCCCTTTCGTCAGATAGATACATGAAATTTTGTCATTTCATTCAAACATTAATTCGTAAGCGCCTTCAAACTTTCCTAGAAAACAAAACTTTCGAATTTTTCACAAAAATTTCGCGTCGTGATATCTTTCTTGTTTTGTGATGGCAAGCTCTTTATCGAGCATAAGTGAACCTGAATTTCGTTGGTGATATGTCTTTAAAGCTAAGGCGAAATATCACCAATTTAGTACTTCTTCATTTTTTATATTCTAATGTCAAGAAAACAAAAATTTTTATCTTTAGAATGTGTTTTAATACCGCAAATCGCTAAAACACTTACGTATTGTACATTCTCGGCCACTTTGCTTCCATCCGTGTTTACATACGTATTTTGGTACTGTTTTCGTAACTTCCTTGTCTACTTGAACTCTCATAGTAAGATACATTCCTACGAGGAGAGAGAGGGAGAGACTGGTACAAAGTTTTGTCATTCGTTCTCTTTGAACGTGCGATATAATTGACACACAGAATCTGTTGTTGTTTTTTCGTCAGGCCATCGCAATCGTTTACAAAATTTTGGATTTTGTCACGCTAGCAAATAATTTCCATTCGTGATGGCAATGGGAAATTTGCGCATTAAACTATTTTGGTAAGAAAAAGCAATGCGAAAGTCCTTGATCACGTTATAATCTGATACAGTTGGTGATTTACAATGTCACTTGTTATTATAAGGTTGAAGTTAGCTCATACAACCATATCTGTCAACAACTCGGTCAGGCTCGGACTGGCTCCACTTCCTCCAATTTAGGGGCCATACCATTTCAACAGTTAGGGGCCCTTGAAAACTATCCCCACAAAATCTAGAATTTTAGTCTTCGGAGTTTCAAAAATGTATTTCTCACATTTTAGATAAATTTTAGATGAATTTTTATTCTAAAAATGTGGAAAAATTCCGATTGTCATCAACAACAATTTAAAGAAACACATTTCAGAACAAGTCTGGATTTCAGAGCCATTGCTGAGTAAAATAGTTTAGCGTTTTTAGAAAAACGAAGTCATTTCATTTGCTATGGACTTTGACTCTGGTTTTAAAGTATAATTATACACATGCAATCCTGGGTCCTTTATTGCTTTTCAATACTTTATTTCATTGCCTGTTCCCCTTGCTGCAAATCTCTTTGACTGTTTTCCTTAATTGTCACTCATTTTACAAGCATCTTTCCAATTTTTATGATACAGTTGGGTGTAATAAGGGTTCCCTGTGCCATAATACGATGGTGCAGAGGTCAGCCCGAGCGTGCATTTGGTTGAACGGTTTCATTGTGTGAACAACGTTAAGACTTTGAAATGATTAAAGTAAATGTTGCTATACATAAAGCCTTGACAACACCTATTCAAAAGTATGGTACACCAGTTTTATGTGTTGTAATTTTCGCTAATTTAAATGTTTTTAATTTCAAAAAGCATCTTGAAGAAAGATCAATAATAGAGGTCAGCTCCAGATCCTCCTGCATGCTCTATTTTATACATAAATTTTTAATACGCATCCTGAATAAATATTTGAAATGATTGACTGGTTGATGAAAATTAACATCAAACAGTTCATCCGTCTTTTCATAGTAAATGAAGGAAAAAGATTGATTGATCGTACCTGCACTTTTTACAATCAATAAACCAAATAGCCCAATGGCACGGACTCCATGTGCAGACCTTTTTGTGCTTGAGAATTTTATCCCACGTTTTTACAATAATCTTCTGCGTTTCGTAGGTTGTATTCACGTTTTTCCTATGCAAGGAAGAAAATAACTTATGAACAATTGAGAATAAAAACTACTAAAACGTCTTTCAAAGCACCGGGAGTTTTGCCAAAAAATAATTCCTCAAAGAAGATTCGCTTACAATTTGGCACACATTAACTATACAACATAGCTATTTAATTAGAAATCTGAAGATTGGCATGGTATCAACATGTTTCTCCTTTGTCGATTAAAATGGAGTTGAATTAAACAGACAAAACAGTGACTGGTCAATAACTTTCAACGATAAACTTTTTTGGTTATATAATGTTCCTTGCTACATCAGAAGACAATCCTTGTTCTCTGCATAGAAGGACGGGAGCTATCATTTCCGGGAGGCAGTAAATACTTTCTTCCGACCAACGTTAAAAATTTGCTCAACTTTTCAATTTTTAAGATTTCTTTGGGAGGGGGAGAAGCTGCCTCCCGCACCCCCCGTAAGCCTATGCTTCTCTGTTTCTAGGGCTAGTTATTGCATTTTACACGCCGAAACATTTTTCAACCCCTGCAAGTTATAATGCGTAATTATTTCATTTCAATGACTATAAGATATGTGTATGTACTATTCAGACGTTGTTAAAAAGTTATATAAGATTGTCGACGATAAAAGCTTTCCCATCAGTTGCACAACATTGCCCAGAATCAAATAAGCCGACATCTGATACGGATTCTTAAAAAAGCCCTGGATTTTTGTTGCTTTGCAAGTTGAAAAATTGGGACCACGTTGCACTTTCATGAATTTCAACGCATGGTCTTTGCGTTGGCATAGTCGAATTGGGGATGAAAATATCTATCGTGAATCGAAATGGGGATGCTCGGGGATGTAAGAATGCTATGCATGTGAAGTTTTTGGTAGTGGTTAGAGCCTCGCAGGAGGGGAAATTTACATCTGAGAGCCCTCTTCTTAAATATTTGCAAAACACCTCTGAAAAAAAAGCGAAAGGGTTTTACTCACTGCTTCAACTACGCTGAAAAACTCATCCAACAACAACTTCAGTACACGCTCAATTTTAAACGTTATCTCTAACACCCAAAACACTATAAGTTGAAGAAATCTTCAGTTCTCGCATCATCCCACATTTACACACCCACACACTGTCCATCAACATGACAAAACGACTTTTTAGAACTCTATTGACCGTTAAAAATCACATTAATTCAAGCATCGTTCGATCAGGTGAAAAACACGTGACTGCTCACTTTCATCACAAGACTTCGTCGTGGGCAAATATAGAAATGTCCAGCAACTATCCAGGTCTGAAAAAAAGTTGCATACTCGCGTTTTAAATCAAAGCAAATGCGTTCCCTTTTATTTGCGAATGACCGGAACACGAACGGTATCTTTAAACACGTAACCTTATCCTACATAATCTCAGAAGTATAAAGAAAACAACTTAAGATTATACAGAGAGCAAAACGTTTTCATGCAAACAATAATCGAAAGAAGAACCTCTGAATGTATTACTCTTTATATGACCTTCTGATTTGGAGCAAATAATTTAAACATAAGATTTCCGATTATCTCGTTACTACATCACACCATGCCACCATTTTGATAAAAAAACCCAATTAATTCGCGGTACCATATAGTATGGGTATCGGCAAGAACTCGTGCATGCTGTACCAACCATCTCCAGTTACGTTTTTGGCCGGCTGAAAGATATTTTTCATCATCAATTTTGGGTATTTTACAAAGTCAAGGTCGGAATTTCTTCCCTTGAAAGCAGCATATAAAATTTCACATTACATGCTTAATGAGAATATAGCATTCCTTGGTAATTTTAGAATTGATACTAACTTAAACTTATCATATAAATGATCTCTACTTCTAAGAATTTGTTTTTGCGATCTGTTGAAACACGAACTGGTATGAAAAAGTCGTTGCCAATCGGTAGCTTTTTGCGAATGTTATAGAAAGTCACCGAAGTAGCCACAACGCAGTTTATACAATATTCTTCTAATATTTCAATGTCAATAATTATCACCAAGCCTTATTTTGTATCACGGGGCAACACATGCATGTGGCGTATATTACTTGTAGTAAAATTCGAAGTGATGACATAATATTTTCATTGAGAATATAAAATAAAATAGAAGCTAAAAAGAAAACGTAATGTTCATATCGTAAGCAGAGAACGCACAAAGATATAACATGTTAACAACCAGAGCAAAGTGATAAATGGATGAAAACAACGCAGATGACGAGCGTTTTTTACACAACAACTTCTTATTTAATGTATTTTTGAAGATTGAAGACTGTTCTAACGCGCGTCCAGCCTACTACGTTATAAACAAAGAGTCATATACATTGTCATGGGATAAAAGGGGATGTAAAATGTGAGGGTTTAACGCCAGCACAATACGAATGAGTAACATGGAAACGTGCGTCAACTGAACTCACCCGTGTGGAAGTAGATTTAAAGATTGGACGTCAGTGATGAACACGGAGTCAATAACGAACAGGATCACGTAGATGCGAAACAGACTTGACAACATTAACTTACAACGCAGCATTTCTTGAAGAACACCGGGTATAAAATTTGTTAATACTCCATCAGCAGGAAGATAAAAATACCATGCTATTGATCGCAGCAATCATATTTACTCGCGCAGACAAAATGCTATATATGCTAGATTCTGATTGGTTTATTTCGGAGGCTTGGTTTTAGGTGTTTTCCTACACCATATTAAATGTGATCACTTCTTCACCAATTTTGGTGTCTTCGTTGATAATGTTATATTGACTTATGGGAAAATTTGAAATAATTAAAACTAGAGCCTTCCTTCTTAGATTTTCCCGAAGTATTAAACATACTTTTCGCGAGCTCCGTTTAAACATATTCGTTCACGTTAAAAACGCTCGTCAACCTGGCATCTGTTGCTGTCAGAAAATGTCCTGACATCGCGTGATACTTGTCTCAGCCAATCATGATTTTAACGGAATACGTACATAATACATTCAAACAGACAAGATTAACGAGAGTGTTGAAAATCATGATTCGTCAGCGGTGTGCCGGAGTTCTCGCGAGTCGATAATGCGGTGGTTTATGTGCCTGACGCAACACCTTCATTGACTAACATTTTCTTTTTCAAAGTAAATGGTTTGAACCCGGGAGTATCGTTACATGTTTGTACATGTAGATCGTCCAGATTGGTATAGTCCTGAGAAGGACAGTTTTTGTTGTTGTTGACGGACGTTTCGACAACCTTAGCTGTAGTCATCTTCAGAGTCAAATGAAGTTTCTTTTTTTCCAAGGAATTGAAAACCCACACACATGTTTATTTCAACTGTGCAACACGATGTAAGTACATAATGCTTTGAAGCAGGACTTCCTGTGATTGAGGGTACAAACCCAATCCGCCATAGACAAAATGCAGAATCATCATCTAAGATTTTTGACATGCCTTGTACAATATCAAGTAACCAAGGGTAATAAATGCGGTCACGTGTGACCTTTTGAAAGAGGATAAACAAAGAAACACAGTGTCAAATATCTGTTATGTCTGGTTTTACAATACTCGCCGTCCTGAAGACGTTAGCGTTGCTCGCCTCGACAATTCTACTGTTGTCTAGTTTTGTTTCTGTCTATAAACTGCAAAAAAAACATGATATATTAAGCGTTGAAAAACCTGACATGTCCACCACTGTATTCACCGCAGAAATCTTGCCGAAAGATGAGAGGCTTATGGCTACCATTGGTAATGGCTTTTTGGCAACTAGAATATACAGCGATTCGGTGTTCATTAGCGGTGTTTATAACGGTCGCGGTAGAGAACCGAGTCATAGAGCTAGAGTGCCTTCGACTGTCTCAGTGCGCATGTCAGTTCGGGAAAATGCCACAAATCGGTACTCTCTGGACGTCAAAAGAGGTATCTTCACACATCGATTGGAAGGAAACGGATACACCGCGGAGCAGTATATTTATGCTCACAGGAATTTACAGAACATCATGGTCGTCGAGTTTTGCATTCAAAACTTACTTAAGAAGAAGTTAGAAATTATTTTGGAAACAACAAGAGGGAATAAAAGCGAGGACATCAACTTCAATTCCGTCCCGAGGAATGAAATGCCTTTAAATACCCTAAACGCCGAATACGGATCTATCAACACCACAGAGGAAAGAAATAGCAAAAAAGTTGGAGTAGCTATAGTGTGGGATGAAATACCGAGTGTGCTGAGCATTGCTCCCGGAATGGAAAAAACGTTTTATTTCCTAACTGCCGTCGTGACCAGCTTGAATACAGTTCGTTACCTCGAGAGCGCTTTCGACAGTCACAAGGAAGCAAGGATGCTAGCAAACAATCATGGTTTACAATCCTCGCATATTAAGGCATGGGCTGAACTTTGGGAGGAATCAAATATTGAAGTTGTCGGCGATTTGAAATTGGCGCAAGCTGTCAAAGGCAGTTTGTACTACATACTGAGGTCATATCATTCATAGTTATCACGGTCATCATTGTTTATCATCCTCAGTTAGTGCTTAAATTATATTTAAAAAATAACAATACAACGAGTGCGCTGATTGGTCTACAGCAGGGTTTGTTTTACTCCGCGCGAAGCGATCTGAGCTCAATCAATTAAAACAATAGAATTTGCAAATCAATCATCGATATATGTTGAAGGAAAAATTAAAACATTTGTTTTGAGTTTATCTATTTCGCATTGTTGTTGTTTGATTAAATAAATAAAAGACTTTTTTCGTGTTTCCACTGGCTTATGCAAGCCTCAGAGAGAACTGGTCTGCTCTCGAGATCTCCCAAAGGTTTCCTCGGTTTGCATAAGCATGTGCAAATGCAGTAAACATGTTTTATTTGTTAAATGTAATAACTTTACCTTTTATACTTCAGCTCCATTCGCTCATCCTGGCCTTATGGCCTGAGTCCTGGTAGTTTATCAAGCAACGATTACTGGGGTCATTCGTTCTGGGATACAGAGACATGGATGTATCCATCATTACTCCTCTTGCACCCTGAAATGGCGAGAGATCTCTTATTGTACAGATTTCAACGCATGGATGCGGCAAGAGAGAACGCAAAAAAACACAACGTTTCTGGTAAGGAAAGAATCAAACACAATCGTTTTTGGGTAAAATAACAGGACACACTATTTTTTGCTATTAATATTTACTAAAATTGGAAATTTTTCTTATGAGTTCAACAAGAAATTGAAACCGAGAAAGATGTTTTATCGTGTGGAGCTGCGAAAGTTGACCAAAATTCAAACCATGTGGATTGTAATAATTTATCTTTGTTTTCAGGTACGATGTTTCCATGGGAAAGTGCATTCACAGGCTCTCCTGTTTGTCCGGAAGAAATCTACTCAAATTTTGAAATTCACATCACGGGTGATATCGGGTTTGCGGTCGAACAATATTGGATGGTTATCCAAGATCACGAATGGCTTCATGAGGTTGGAATACCGCTGATAAAAGGAATCGCGGAGTTTTGGGCAAGCCGCGTCACTTATGACAGTGTTAATGACGATTACGTCATTAATCACGTGATGTGCCCAGATGAATACCATTCTAATGTGAATAATTCCGCATTTACAAACGCAGTGGCAAAGCGAAATCTCGAATTTGCCTTAAAGGTGGTACCTTCTGCTCCCGCTCGCTGGAAAGATATTGCACAGCGGTTACGCATTCCTTTCGATACCAGTCTTCGTTATCATCCGGAATACGACGGATATCAATTGAACGAGACTGTTAAACAGGCGGATGTGATTTTGTTGGGCTACCCTTTGATGATTCACATGACGAAAGATATCAGGGAAAACGATCTCAATATCTACGAACGACGAACGGATCCCAACGGCCCGGCAATGACGAAAGCAATGTTCGCCATTAGCTGGATGGAACTGGGTAGCAATAGGAATGCTTCCAGGTCGTTTCGTGAAAGCTATCAAAATGTGCGCGAGCCATTTAAAATCTGGACAGAGTATCCATCAGGAGACGGTGCGGTGAACTTTATCACTGGAATGGGTGGGTTCTTACAGGCAGTAATTTTTGGCTTCGGTGGGTTACGAATACATTCCGATGCAATCTTGTTGAATCCACGGCTTCCCGAGAACGTTGAAACGATGCGTTTTCGCGGTTTGCATTATCGTGGCAACGTTCTTGACTTAACAATCGGCTTAAACGAAAGTTCAATCTACGCAAAATCGTGTGAGATTCAATCGAGCCCACTCGTTTTACGTGTAATTGCCAGCGGTAGAGAGGAGTATTTGACTATTGGAAAGACCGTATCTTTTAAAAATGATGAAGTATTTATTCAAGTCTCTGAAAATGGGAAACTGAAAATTTGACTTTCGTGAAGGATTTGATGAAGACTTTACGCATGTAGAATGATAATTCAAATTTTTCGGTTAAAGTCTAAAATGAGATAAAATTAGCCTATATAATGATGATTTAAATATAGAATCTATGAACTATCATATTCTCTTATTGCTTATACAAAACTTCACTATTATTGGTGCAACAGAAACCTCTAATTTCTTCACAAACGAAATATTTGGTGCCTTTTCCACAAGAACCATAGTCCATCGTGTGTAATAGTGTGTGCTTCGAAACCATTTCACTGTGTGTAAAACAGAACACAAATAAGTATTTTTTTCCACTCCGCACAGATTAACAGTTTCCGGCAGTTCTAACCAGGTCGAAACCAGCCCAGTACGCCATTGCCGCCGCCATATTGGATGCTTTTAACAAAGCCTTTTATTTATTTACAATGCAACATGGCAAAAATTCCATTGTTCTCTCACTCACAAGGGATTGGTTGCACACCACCTATAGCCCGGCCCGGATTTCACCTAACCGCCAAGTTTTCAGAACAAGCTTTCTAATTGGTCTGACGTTTGTTGACACAAAAATTTACTTAGTCATGTTTAGAAACACACGGACGAAAACATATGGAAAAGAACGTGGTCCACCAATTGCATTTCACTATCACATATGGTAATTCGCGTTTAAAGATACCATAGGGGTTAATTTGTGAAGACATGTTTTTTAGCAGGGACAGATTTAGTCTTCTTTAGGGAAATTGGGCGTCCCCATCACAGAATACATATCTTAACAGAAGGTCCACTCGTGTCGGAACTTTTGATGTTCGTGTCCCCCACTTTTCTGAAGCAAATTCTAAGCAGACACGCCTTCCAGCAAGATACTTCAGCTATATCGCAATACAAAATATAGATGTTTTTACAAATGTATCGTTTTGCACTACAAAAGATTGGAACCTTTTGCAAAGATGACAAACTTTGTAAAAATTTTGGCAAACTTTGCTTTAAACGTGAATTATTAGTAAGATAGCATTCTTGTGCAATACTATTCCATATTGATTTTGCGAAAGTATCTTGTTGGGAAATCACGCATGCGTAGTGAAAAAATACGCCACGGTTTTAGCCGAGTGGGCCTTCTGTTAGATGTCAATTCTGTGACCCATCCTGACCCACCTTCAACCAAGGTTAGAAGAGGTGCCCATTTCTTCCCTCGATGCAGCCCTGGGTTCTAAAGAACCTTTTTTAAGCATAGTAATTTCGTGGTTGAGAATTGCACAAACAAAAACCTATTGCTCAAGCCGAAAATTTTGTCTTGCTGCTGAAACGATGCATGCAGAAAAGCTAGATACTTACACATCAAAGCACAACATGAAATACCGTAATTCCAGCAACTTAAATGCACTATTTGGGCTTGTTTTCGATGATCTAGCAGCAACATCACCCACTCAAATTCGTCTCTACCAAAGTGACAAATGTACCTGACAAAACAATTCAACATTTTTACGACCTTGAGAAAGGAGCTTTCACATTGCACTATTAATAAATCTAAAAAATAAGAAAATGAAATTGCTAGTAGTTACATACCATGTTTTTGCTAATCTTGATATCATGCGAAAGCCTAATTCAGTAATTGTATTACTATACAACTACAAATGCAGAAGCCTTTAAACTATTTGGACAGAAGCCATAATGATTTCCGTGCTTTGATGAAATAATTTTAACGGTTAGCTTTCGTGTTTGCTCCTTAATAACTTGATAAAACTCTACTGACTGACAGTATAACCCTTTCTGTGTTATTTTTACGTCTTTATTCTCGACAATTCGAGGAAAATCTGTTCGTAAAAAGTTTGCAAATCTCCAGGAAGATCCGCCATCATACTTTTTGTTTTCAGTTGTCACTTGTCAGTGGTCAGCTGGTTGTCAATTAAATATTACGTCACCAACAGATAATTTTCAATGTTTTGTAGGTGGGGAGTTACTGGGACAATTTTGCATTTTCTGGTACATATTTCATTTTCAATTGATACATTTCATCCATTTACAAATCATGACTACAAATATTTCAAAAACTATAAGCCCACCTAAAACATTGACGTAATAGGGCAAAATTGTCGATTTTAAGTAAATGAATTAAATGCATGAATATTTACAATGGTTTGACTGCCTTTCTTCTGCTATTATTATCAAATTAATCACATTGATAACGTATTTCAACACTGATGCAGGGAAACCGGTATTTTCAGAGAATCAAATATTTCCCCACATCAAAGCAGCAGATTTTTTTTCAAAAAGGGCATACAAGAGATAAAGGGAGATCCGATGAAAAAAAATTTATGAAAATTTAGATAGCCGCTTTTCTTTTGTCACTTCAACATGAAATTGGCGGTTTCGGCGTATATCAATTCTGAAACGAAACATTTCTTGGATAAATATAATTTCAGGTCAAACTTTCTCACAATACAAAAGAATTTCTGAAGTGTTTACCTTTGAGTTCTTCTTTTGGAAGATTGTCCAATTCCGTTTCGAACCGAAATGGTTGTTCGGCGACGGGCTAGACATACACACAATAAGAAAAGAAAAGAAAAAGTAGTTATTTTCAACTTTCATCAATACAAAGACGATCTGATTGGCCGCACATTGAGGCCTAGGATGTTGAAAGCGATGGTTTCAAAAGAACAACGCACAGTTTCGCAGTTTAATAGAAAGGATGAAGTACCTCATCTGTAGGGTCGTAATACTGTTCCAAATACGGATGGGCTAGACATTCTTCAACGGTGAATCGCTTATTTGGATTGAACGACAACATTTTACCCAGAAGATCCAGGGCTAGCAAGCAAAAATTCAACGTCAATACAGACTACTGATAAGTGCACATTTTAAAGCTTTGAGCTTGTCAGAATCTCAAACTGCCAAAGGATTTCATAAATTTTACCGTTTGGTGTAGCATTGGGAAAAATTCTGTTCCATGGAATTTTTGGTTTGCATGGTAATGCTTGAATATAACTTCTCGCCTAAGTAACAAATAGAAGAGGCAGAAGATTATATTTAACATAATAAAAGTGAACATTGAAAAGTTATTGTTAGTGATTGCTATTTACAGCCATTTCCATAGTGCTTGAGACTATAAGGAAGTTTTCTCGCAACAAATCCCTAAAGTTCTCACAAGGGAGTTTCAAATAAAAAAGTCTCGCACCACAAACCTTATCATTTTTTATACACTGTAAATCTTCCAAAGAGGGTGAACCTAAAACACCTAGAATATGGTTCAATTGATCCAAATCTGGTTTATTGAAGTTAAGAACGCATGGGTTTGACTTTGCAAAACTGAAATCAAAGTTCACTAAGGCATTAGGGTATTACTACAAGTACAATTTAGTGCAAATTTTGTAAATGGATACAGTGCTTTCCTGGAAAGAGAGGTTTGTTTGACAACATCTCGGCCAGTATGCAGCCAACAGACCAGACATCTATAGCTTTGGAATAGCCTTTTGAGTTGAGCATAATCTCCGGGGCACGATACCATCTAGTTGCCACATACTCAGTCAAAATACCAGTGTGGTCATGCTCTGGGTCTGCGACGCGAGCCAACCCAAAATCACAGATCTGAAACATATAATCTCACAAGTTGAATCAATCCTGTGGAGTCTGACGTTTAACTTATACCAATAATATCACATCCAAATCAAACCTTCAAATCGCATGTTGTATTCAAAAGCAGGTTGCTTGGTTTCAAGTCTCGATGCAAAACATTAGCAGAGTGAATGTACTTCAAGCCACGCAGTATTTGATAAAGAAAATAACATGTGTGATCATTGCTTAAGCGTTGTGACTTCAGTAACTTGTACAGGTCAGTCTCCATTAGTGTTTGCACGATATATCTGACATAAAGTTAAGGCAGTGTAGACAGTGTATGCAAAAAGCATAAAAATCATATAAAATAAAGAAAACTTTTGGAAAATTATTTAAGCATCTGACCATCAAGTTTGCTCACCAACTTAATAATTCTTGAATACTTTTTCATCGAAAGAATTAGGCACATGAAAAAAACTTAAAAGTCGTCATTCAATTTGTTAAAATTACATTGCTTGCAAGAATTATTGTACCTAATGTAGAATTTTCAAATATATGAAAACACTATGCACATATTCTTAGAACATCAATGTATTTTTAAAACAAGGTTTCTAAATGGTTAATGGGGCATTTGTAAATAACAGATGACATCACAACATGAGATAAAACTTTGTTAATATGCAGGCATTTATATTGGAGCAGGAATGCAATTATATGCGACAATATAATGAAAGCAAACAAAGTTTTTCATATCTACCATAAATCTTTTCAAAGAATGGAAACAATTTATGTTTTTACGTTATACAAAAATTCTCCTGGCTCAGATTGTCAATACTAACATCGACCTTTACTATATAATGACAAACTCTGGCTTGGCAAAATTTTTCAAATCTTGTTCACGTGTCTCGCATAACTTTCCGCTCACTGGAACTTTTTCAAACAAACAACATGCTTTTATATCCGTAGAAACACAAACTTATCTCTCATGTATTCATTTTAAAAGAAATACTACAGCATGAATAAAACATTAAATTTCGAGTGCAAGCAACCGTCACGCAAGCTTTTTAAAGTAAATCACCCTTCGACCCTGTAGTCAGCCCAGTCGAACTAATTGAAACAAAAATTATTCATTTGGTGAAATAAAAAAACCCTTCTAGTGGTTTCGTCCACCATCATCGTGGAATCCTTATATCAAAGATAAACATGCATTGGGCATAACCAGTGGGCATAACCGATTTAAAGGTCATTACATAAAACAATATATCGCTCATCGTTTTGAATACTGTATCTGTTCATCACAAGGCGACATGCGAAGGGAGTTACGAATGCAAATGAACAATTAGACGTTAAATTTCGAGTTCGACATGCCCTTGTATAACAAATTATCAATATATCAACAGCCTCAACTAGTTTCAAACACATATCCATAGTACGTGTGAAAAACGCGTGCAGTTGACACGGCAGACGTCTGGCGGTGCGATGTTTATGATTTTAATGAATATAAAGAGGATACACGTCTTTCAGTTGACTTAAATCCGGTGCCCGAATTATGTCCATTATATTGATTATCTGCAAAAATCAACAATAAGAGATCCATTAGAAAGCGATGCAGCACTAACAAACATCACAAAAACCGCTTTAAAATCAACCACGGGAAAGCAGCTAAAAATATATGTGGAATCTCTTCTACGTATCGAAGCATGCAAGACGGCATTACAGTGGCATACGCACATTTTCATGCTTAAATCTCGTCAGAATTTTGATTTCCCTCAGCGTTCGTTGACAGTATGTTTGATGCTCAAAAGGGCTTATTTTCTTTATAGCAACGCGCTGACCTAGACGATTATCCATGGCAGAACTACAAAGAAAAATAGTCGGTGAATATACGACCACTCTAAACGATATTACCAGTTCGACTAGCTTGTAATTTGTAACCTTCGACTTCAGCACAAAAATATCAAAGAACAACATACCACACCATTCCATAAGCACCTTCTCCGATGTAAGTCAAGTTTGTATAACGGGGAGCGACGTCGAAAATTTGTCCGCGAACCATCTCAGGAAAAGATCCCGCCATGATTTCCAATTGCGTTTCCGAAGGCAAGCAGCATGCAAATATATTCAACCCCCGTTTGATAAGAGCGTTTCACGCCCCCCCCCTCCTGGACAATCCAGTGCCATCATGAGGGTCACATGAGTGAGAAATTATCTTTTATTTCATACTCCGGTCAAATTTCATTTTTTTGAAGTAATGTGATGCCAAATTCTACCCATTGTTTGACAGTGTAACGAGACTACAAGTCTCCTTATTATAAAGTCAAATACCTTTATGAGAGATGCCAACATGAAATTTGAATCCTTATATACTAAACATTGATTAATACCGATATAGTATTGATTTGATGCAAATCAAGAAACCATAGAGCAGGGCGAACATCGAGGATGGGTTGTGGGGCTATGATATTCCCACCTTTTGTAGAATATGTATAAAGTCGGTCTAGAAAATGAAAGAATACGAAAAAAGTCGGTCCGGCTAAAACTGTTGGTTTTTCTATCAAATGAAGAGACTAAAAGTCGGTTACAAAACATACCCCCCCCCAGTTTTTGGGAAGGATGTGCGCCCCCGAATAAATGATGAGTGCGCTTCACTTTCAAAGGCAAAATTATATGCTAGCATAGAAAAATTTTTTCCAGAAAACAACACAAAGCCTTCGAAGAGAAAACCCACATGTATTGAATGGTTATAGAATAATCTCAGTACTTAAACGTGCGAGTTAGCGAGCCTTCCTGAAGTTGAATAAATAAAGATTGTAGTCGACAACAGTTCTCTTAGACATTGTGCGAAAGAGAAACTTCTCTGCGCGCTTTTTACCAGTGTATTATAATACAATATTTATAATTTATATTAATGCTTTCGTGTAGAACACGTCGATTCTGCGTTGCCAATGACGTTGAGATTGGACCATAAACATTTGTTCAGAACAGTAGGGTCACGTTTCTACCCAACGAGCATATCCACGTCGCACAAACTCGCGGTTCACAAACAATGTCTAAAAAAGTTAAGAACGCGACATCACATTTTATGTGTACAGGGAAAAAACTCTGGGGTTTTAACTCTAGGGGATCAGTCATGAAAGACTTCCGGTAATGCAGAGTGCTTTGAGTTCAATATTCCGAACTTGTTTCATCAATGAAACAATTCATAGAATGGGAGATTCTTGAAATTTTATAAACTCAAGGTATGGTATTAGTCATTATGAATTAGGGACTTAGAGAGTTGCTCTTATTTCGTGCATAAAATGGGAGAACGTGCAGGCAAATATGAATCCGACAACAAAATCTAAAGAAAAAATCCTTATATTGCAAGGGTATTCTTTCATATCGAAGAAATATCTCGGAGATGAGTGATTTCAGGAGTTTGAATGTGGGATAACAGACTAAATACTACAGTTGAACCTCCCGCGAGCGGACACACTTGGGACCACGCCTGGTATCCGTTTACGAGAAGTGTCCGCTTATGACAGGAAAGGTAATACTTTATATTGTCGTGTACCAAAAGCAGCGACCGCTTCCGAGAGGTGTCCGTAAGTAGAGGCTCCATTGTATATTTATACTTATGTATTGCTAGAAATGCAGCATGCACAACTCCACATTATGAAAATCAGCATATCCAGACAGCGTTTCTAAAGTCTACAAGAATATCTTCGACCTCCCGGCGCACTTTTATCAATTTATTAGAACAGTCATTGCAAAATAATCGCAGAGAAATACTCGCAGATTTTTAAATAAACTCGTACCTGTCCGGTCCATTGATCTGAGAACCATAATTCTAAATTGGGACAATCTCTTTTGAAACCGGTGATCCTGGTTGTCAAAGCGACGTTAAGAGTGAGTTGTTCTAACAGTGCACACGCGGCCATGGAGAACTGATTTTCACCTTTAAAAAGAGACGCGAATAAATAGAAAAGATGCAAGCAGAGTTTTATACAACGAGCATACTAACATACCATGATTAGGTTCGACATTGCTAAGGTAGCATTCAACAGCTTGGAAAGGTTGGAGCAGAAATTCAGGTCTGGTAACACAAAAAAAAAACAAAGCAGTTTAAAGCAAAGTAATCAAAGGACATGTTCAAGAGCAGAGCGGGAGTGATCGATTAAAAGTTGAATTAAAAGAAGTGATGAGATTTTTTGTATCATCGATGTAAGAACTCTATTCTTCCATTCTTCATCAGTGAACGTAATATTATTTTGATCTTGTTTGCATGCATATCCATGTATATAAATCGTTTACATATATGCCTTCAACAGAAGTGACCAGATGTTAAAGCTAGATTGTGCTTTGTACTCGTGAACATCCTAGACTAATCTATCTTGCATCTTCTTGTGTATTCTTTCTGACATATGGTGTTGAATTTGCATCTGATATGGTCAAGTGTTCTTAATAAAAGTGAATTGATGCCGGAATTTAAATGCCAACATACTCCACTAATTCCAGTCTGGTGCCTTCATCAGCAGTCAAAACCTCTCGTACATTCTTGTCTAATAATTTCATACGAAGTAATCACGCATATGTAGAAACTTCACCTGCTTACAACGTATTGTACAACCAACATCAAGTAAGACTACCTTAGTTCCCGCAACATTGAAGTGGGAACAGTTACGCGTCCACCATAATCAAGCCACGTGATCTCGACGTCATCGGGCGACATAAGCAAGCCAACTACCTGAGCACGCCACCACCAACCGCTTGGCGACATTGCAGCACAAAGTACACCGACAGTTACGTCACGTTGTAGCACGTGAACGGTGTTGAAATTACAATAGTAATGGTACATTTGCTGTTCTAGCTGCCTCAAAAAATTCTGTACAGAATGCTCACACAGTTGAACATAGAAATGGTCGGCATTCACGATGTTCGTTACAAAAACCTGGAATAGCTTGTCTTTAGGTAACGTAATACGTGTTACGCTTGGTAGAGCCTCTACGTAAGGATAATTACCGTCTAATCTCGTGAAAGGCACGCAGGGGAACTTCACCCGCAATGCTTTTAATGCTAATTCCAGTCGTTTTACAGATCCTGTTAAGGCAACCAGTCTCTGCGAAGATTCCATGTTCTCCTTTTGTGGTATTAAGCGGATTTTTGTGCCGGTAGCTTCAGAGATTTTTTGCACGTTCTTTCCTTTTTTCCCAATAAGTCTTCCGCATAGCGCTTGAGGAAACTCCAACTCCCACGTGACCTCTTCAGTGGAGGCGTCATCATGACATGGAATATCACTTATCTCCACTTGACTATCACTGCTGCTTATATCCGAGGAATCGTCAAGGGATTGGGCCCGATAGTGGACTTTCCTTTTTGGATGGTCACCTTGAAGTGAGTCTTTGGTAGACGTTTGATTGGAGCTCCCCACTTCAATGCTTGTATTATGAACTACATTCATAGATGCAGATTTCGACTGATCACAGCTGTTTGCGCCTTGCAATTCTAAATTTGAACAATTTTCCTCGACTGATACATCTAGATTCCAACGATTATTTCCTGAACATGTAACAGGACTATGCTTAACTGGGTTTTCAATTTCTTTGCAGCGATGCTCGGATGTCTCTTCCGCATTTCCACAACCCGCGTCACCAATTTTAGAAATTTCATCATTCGCATTATTCTTGATATACTGTCCATCTTCCTTTGCAGTCAAATCATTGAAACTCACGGCCATTTTTTCAGGCTTGTGCTCTTCACTTTGACCTGACTCAGTATTATCGCAACATTGATCTAATGTTTTTCTAGTGTCCACCTCGACAAGGGGATTGCCGTCATTATCACGTGATTTTCGCGTGAACAGCAAACATATAGCAGCCAACGCTAAGCCGGGCATAGCTAAACCAATCAAAAACTTAACGCTAATTCTCATATGGCCAACGCGAGCAATGATGGCGTCGAGGTTGTGGTCTCTTTTCTAGGAAAAAGATAAGCTAAGTAAAAATAGAAAAACCTGAAAATCTAAAAGTCGGCTCACGTTTTTATAGAAACCTGAGCCAACTTCGACTTTTTTAGGAGCAGCGGTAATGAGGGGAGCAGGGAAAGGTGTCTATCACTACCCAAGCATTTTTTAAGGGTGTATAGTCGGCATTTGTCATATTAATAAATATACATAAAAGTGCAATTGGTAATAACCATTTGGGAAGGTTGATGGAGTGAAAATGGAACAAGTTAACAAGTTATTACATCGTACATTTCCTTCTGCGATCTCTGAAGTCGTGTTAAAATGAAGAGAAAATAAGTAAAACATCATTAAGTTGATTTTCGTTATATTGCTCAATATGAACCCACTGAGGTTAACAGAGAGAGTTCAAATTCGTTAAATCAAACTCTTAAATCCTTAATTCACACATAAGGGACTTAATATCGGTATACGTAGCTAAAGTTAAGCAGACACCTCTTAAGTTATATGGATCTCCTACAACCTCCTACTTTGAAAATCAATGAAAGTGGATGAAAGAAATACTACAATCACCAGTCATGAAATGATTAAATTAATGCAGATCCACTTGTTTGAATATCTGATCAGAAAGCTTTAATCCTAAGAAAAGCACGTCAAAATTTGGATTCAAACTACTAAGACACTTCGGGATTGGTAGCACCAATGCTCAGTGAGAATAAAATAAAAAGTTTTTGTTCTAAATAATAAGACTGAGCATCAAAAGTCAGCATTTTCAACTCTGTATTCAGTAAGCATTTGTTCCCTCCTAGACAATAGAATTAAATTTATCTTATCTATTGAATATAAGTACATTGATTCCTTCCCACCCATCCACCCTGCAAGCCTAAGATTATATGTTATCAGGATAAGCTTGGGGCGAAGAATCAGTCCCTTTAATTTATTCGAACAGCTTTAAATCCAAATTTCAAAGAATTATCATTTCCCAACTGTCGATTTTACGGGGTGATAAACAACAAAAGATCAGGGATTGTCTAAATATGAATAGTTTAAAAATCTTGAAATTTGGTAGTCCTTTTTTGGAAATGTATGAATGACTGAGAAATTTTTTTATCTATAGGATACATCATGAAAAAAATGACATGTGTCAGAGAAAACTAAGCTTGCGTCTACAAAACCTACTGCTTGCACATCAAGTATATCCCAACTAGTAAAAAAGACACAGTCTATACTTCTGACAATATAAAAAACACAAAGGAAAATACTAATAATTGATCTCAAGATAGTCTGTTCCAACTAATGGCCAACTGTAGGCGATAATCAGTCCAGATAACTTCTATATTAAACTAAAACTATCAACTAAAACACAGAGCAATCGTGTTTCTAAACAGCTCAAAGAAACCTTGCAGCAAACGAGAAGCATTTTCCATGACATAATTATGTAGCCAACTTAGACAATCAAGAATACATGATCACTTCGAAAGCTGTTAAAAACTTAAGCTGTTTAAAGTTGTCATCCACCCCCATTGATGGAGGGGGCGTAACAAGACATACAGCAAATTTAGTGAATTTTAATGAATTTGTCCAGTCACTTTCATGCTAAGTTCCCCATTAGAATAGATCATAAAATAGATAGGAGAGGTTAAAAATAAATTCTCTAGTGCTCCGTTGCATATAATTCACTTAGCTCAGTGAAGGTTTCGTTAACATAGTCGGATGTCCGCTACTTTTTGTTGGGGGTGCAATCAATTTTAAATGTCCTTTTCAAAGCAAACCAGCTTCGTACTGTGTAATAATTTTCATGCCATAATTTTGTTCTTTAATTTTCACCCACTCCATTTCAATAAACGAAAGAGTGCAGGGACGTGTTATAAATTATTAAAGCTACGTATAGTTATCACGAAAATATATATAACGGCTATTACAAAATACTCATAGAACTAATATTTTGAAGTTGAATGCATCGTATTTACAGATCGTATGTTTGCCTACTCATATGAGGCCATGCGTACCTCTAATGCCAACATAACTGCGGGAGTGTCGTTGAATTTTTGACGTAAAACATACTTAAATTTGAACAAGAAGTGTAAGAGAGTTTAGGAAATATCTTTTTGTCAACTTTTGATGAATGTAAAACGTAAGCATTCGTACAGGTGTCGCTCCTCGAATGGGAAGCGAAGGTTGACCGAAGTTGATTCGACCTCGAGCAAAAACTTTTCCCAAAAATCTAACTTTTCCACTTTTCTTCTTAGGTTCTTGTATTTTACCATAAATAAGTCAAACAATGAAAACAAAATGCTAACATTTACTGATACTTTTAAATTGAACCAATGAAACACGAAACATTGCTTCAGAAATTTGAATGCTCAGAAAATGAAAACAACTATATTTTTCAAACGTTTACCAGGCTCTTCACTTAACACACTAAATATGTTCAAAAATCCGCGAACGCAGAACAATAATGACAATAATCCCAAGGAAAAGAAAACTTTGAAGAACTTTAATTTTTCCCGTTTCCTTACCTTCTTGTTTCCGTTCAACTCCGAATGTCTGTTCGGTGACGGGATGAGCCGAAGCGAACACGATTTTTTAAACAGCACAACACTTCTTATACATATGTATACTATCACATACAACCTACAGAAAAGAATTCCCCTGTCTCGAGTGCATTTCACGGGACATGTGCATATTGTACAAACAAAGCAACTTCACTGTGTAAGGATATAATATATTAGCATTTTCTGAGTTGCGCTGTTCAGAAACGCCTCGATAAGTAATCGTAAACGCTCGCCCACATACGCCGGCTTTATAACAACCGTCCGCTTATGAAATGCAAAAGTAGCGCTGCTTTGGCGAATTTCAAAGAACATCAAAATTTCACTTTTACTTTAATTGAAATGAAAACACATGGTGATATGTTCGTCAGACGCTTTAATTTTCTAAAAAAAGTGTACAGTTCAAGTAGAGGAAGTTCTTTGACGCGCATATTATTGGGTTGAAAATTTATGCTAATTAAAGAGAACTAAACTAAAGGAAGAGAAGCCGAACGTGCGTGAAAAGGAAAACAAAAAAGTGCTTAAGGTTCTGTTCGTGATCCTTCACCATAAATAGATGCTTTTGAGCTTTCATTTTTGTATCATCTCATAGCTTTATTTTCTTGTCTTTTTATAAGATGACGTTCACGCTGTGTTAAATTAAAACAATTTCATTCATTCACTTTTTTAAACTGTTTCAAATGCAAAGTAGAACTTCCTTCAAAATAAATAATTAATCACATTCTATAAGCCATTGTTTACTGCGGAGAACGAAGGCATCCTTATTCAATTTATTATTTGCCCGTGATCTCATTGAAAATCCTGTTACGATACAAAAAATCCCAATGACACAAGAAAAAAAAAAGCTATCTGCTGGCCTATGCCCAAATCCAAAGGGCAAGCACTTTGTTAGAATCAACGTTTCCAGCTATTTTCAACATAGCGGGATAACTCGGTCTATTTTAAAACTTCCAGCATTCTCGTTCTAGGCAAAACCTCGCTCTTCATAAACTATTTATGGAGTGTGACGGCATTTGTGCAACCATAAGTAACTATTTTAATAAATTTATTTAACAAGTTCGGATTAACAAGTTTCAGGAACTTCAGAAACGTGCTTGAAGTACGATAGACGTATGCTTTTGAGCCTTTGTATGTTGGCTTAAATAAATCACACAGAGATGTTGTAATCAAAACAAACTCAAACATTTAAAAGAAAATGCGATCATATCCCAATAACAATAGCATATGGGAACACTTTCCATTGAATAGGATATAAGTGATCATTTCCCAGTGAAAGGGATGAATGTGATTATTTCCCAACAAGAGGGATAGATGTGAACATTTCGCGAGGAAAGGGATAAAGGTAATCTAGCCCCAGCAACAGAAACTATGTGATGATTTCGCAATGAAAGGGGTAAATGTGATCAAGTCCCAATAACAGGCATAAATGTCATCATTTCCCAATTAAAAGGACAAAGGTGATCAATTCACAATGATAGGAATAAAAATTAATATAATCAATTCCCCGAAACATGGCTGAATGTGATAAATCTCGAATTCATTGTTGGCAAGATTAGTTACGGACAATCATTAGATGCATGGAATGGTGGACAGTCTTTCAGGCCGACGGTTTTATTTATCGCTTTGACGATATTCCTCAATATTCCATGAACAATGACATACCTCACAGAAAAGGAGGGAACACTGGGCATGAATGAGATTGCCACGTTAAGCAAGGAGAGGGCCGAAGAGTATTTTGTCAGTTTCAAAATCACATGCATGGCATGATAAAGTGGACAGCCCTTGAATTTAAGCCCACCAAGATGCTCTATCGAACCAAACAGACAAAGTCGGACATGAACTCGAAAAGAAAACGATCACGAAAAAGATATAGCTACACTACGCAGATATACAGACGTCCTACTTCTTAATTTCAAAACATATCCAGTTCGTACCAAACATAAATACATGAAGGTATACGGTGAATACAATATAAATTGTTTTGAAGCGTATATCAATCATTAAAAGAGCTTTTACTTAGCTTTGACGACAGACCGCGGTGCAGCGCGCCTTTGCTCGTGCGTCCTCTTATCATAAGACTGCGCCATTGAGTTGATAATGGACAATAAAAAATAGACAATCATTAAGAGAACAAGCTTCTCGAACAACCACGCCAAAGTACTCGTTTTCTAAACAAAAAATTATTTTCAAATAATGAAAGGCTTCAACATCCTTGGTGAAAAACCCCATATTACGGAGAGAAAAATCTACGAGAGAAAAGTTCCCTTTGTAATTATTGTCGTATACACACAATTTTCACTAATGGCATGGCACAAAATAACCTGATGGCTTTTTCCAGCCCAATCTTACCTTTATTGTTGCTTCACCCTGTTTGCGACGTAAGCTGTCTCTTTGGGCCTGTAAGGCTTTGCTAAAAGGCGACTGTATGTAGGCACCAATAAGTGGTATGTCACTGAACAAAAAACAGCAAAAGCAATTCTTATCAAACTGTATTTAAAGTCAGTGTACAACAACAAATATAATAAAATCTAATCTTACCCAACAAGCTGCAAAACTCTTTCGATGTAAGTTTTGCTAAATGACAAAATAACGAAAGTTTTCTAAAATGAAACGAAAAAAAAATGCGCTTGAAAAAGCAGACCCATCGATTTGGAAGAGAAGGTTATTAAACAATGTTATCGAAAAAAGCCTCCGAGATCAAACGACAACTTTCAAAATCACCAAGTAATCTTCCTCACAAAATATATTTGGAAACAATTTGTGCTTGCGTTTGTTTCCGCACGTCACTTTGGGGCAGAATAAATCAGGCGCTAAAGGCACAGTGTTTGTTCATGGAGCACTCTCATATATGGAATGCTCGCCATGGCATAAAGACATCGAATTGACGCAATCAGCCAGGTTCGAAAACAATCATAATAATAACACTATCCTGAATTGTTCAACATATCATATGAAGCACTAAAAATGTTCAGGTGAGTGGGGTTGAGAGCGCTATAATATATATGTATATCTAGCAAATATGAATGTGTTTTCCGATTGGGCCATTTAGATAATAGCGATGAAAAATATTTGTTCTTCATATTCATCATTTCTACAGTGTGTTGTACTTCGTTGTACTTTGAATCAATCATAAACCTTAACAATAAATAGATACTAACGCACCGTGCATAGTTTGTGAGTTTGTTTGTCATCGTTTTATTTTGTTCTACCTGTAAATGCATCTTAATTATTGATTTGCCAATGAGCGTCGCTCCAAAGAAAGTCCAAAAAGGTATAAGACAATGACCACAAGTGATACCGGCCAAATCGAATAATGGATTGGGAATCTAAAATATTCAAATCGACAGAGCATATGAAGCTGACAATTAAATATACATGATGTTTTAGTGACACTTTTTGTAAGTCTACAAATGGAAATTTATGAAATTCAATATCTGGGCGAGCTCGTAGTTTCTTGAACGGGCAAGCATTAAGTTATTACCGAGGCACAGACGAGAATTCCGAAAAAACCAACTCTCTGAACAAGATCAAGGATCCCCTTCTTAATTCTAGTCCAAAAATCTAACTCTCTCCCAGACTGCAACTCTTCTAACTTTTCAACTTCTTCCAAATCTTCATCGTCCAATTCCACGCCTGACAAACGTGCTAAATAGGAAAGCAACAATGGTAGGTCTTACAGAGATTATATCGCAAGGCGAAAATGAATGTTAAATTAAATGATCCGATGTTGAAAATTGACACGTTTTATTCTCCATTCGATTGAGTTCGTTATTTGATGTTTAAACTTCCATTAGTCGTGAGACTACCTCGGGAAAACGTCTTCATCCGGTGTGATTTGATGTTGAAACTAACGCAAGCATACACACCAATCTAGTGTGCTCATAAAACTGATATTTTTAGGAGTCGTTTGTGTTGTAAGATTTTAACCAGCCGAATAAAGCAATCCTTAGGCCCGTTTCAAACATCCCATTGTACACGACCCGAATGCATTTAAAACATCAGAAATACGAAAAAAATTCCTCGTTATCCTTTGTTTTAAATGCATTCGGCTCATGTAAAATGCAACGTTTGAAACAGGCCTTACATCACATTACAAGGCGTTTACACATGCAAAAATGTATCTTCTACATCAGTTCTATGTACTCAATAATGTTTTCACAACAAGTTTGGATGAGAAAATTTTTATCGACGAATGCATACAAAATCAATTTTTTCAACAGCTAAACTGAAGGGCTACTTACCAGCTTTGGCCATAAAATATGGAGGAAGTTCGCCAATCGCTGTTCCAGCACCCTGCAAATTTGAAGAATCGCAATGAATGCAAATAGTAGAACATTTATTTACTTCATACATATAAAAAATAACCATTCCAAGACAATCACTGTAACCATATATATATAATATATAAATGTACAACGTGTATAAAAATGTGCCCTCACGGCTATGACCATAGTGCAATGGTGACTCCCGCAACCACTTGGGACATAGGATGTAATACATAAATGTATACATGTAGATGGTTTGAAACTGAGAGTATCGTAACATGTTCGTAGATGTAGATCGTACAGATGTGTATTGACCTGAGAAATACTGTTCGTGTTGACGTCGAAATGTCAGTTAATGCATGCAGTTGGAAATCATAAAAATGAGCTGACAAACAATACTCACCCACATGCAAGCTTCCAGCCGCACTTTTCTCATTATGGTCCATAGACTCACAGTAGATGTATGGCCATCTTCAGGACAAAATATCCTATTTTATCACAACACATACATATCAGTCAACAGAACTACACATGACAGGCAAAAATGTCAAAACTGAATAATTTCAAATGGAAAGTGTAAAGAACTGAAAATTTTTAACAAGTTTAAAAACTCACTCGTTAGGATAGGGAGGTTGGGGGAAATCTAAGGATTGACATTCCCAAGCAGCTAAAGTAACCTGCGCAATGAATGGACCCTAAAACATCCAAATTAAACATACTCTCATAATTATGAAACGTGAAAGAGGATCGTGAATGCAAGCTATAATTGAAAATCAACTATGAAAGTTTTCATATAAAACGAGAATCATCAATAAGAACTATCAAAGTAAGCCATGACTAAGAGCCATCAAAAACAACCACTACATCCAAATCTATGTTTAGCGACTGTGCATTAAGCGGACACTCTGTAACAGACATTTTCTTAAGTTGACAATTTAATCTATGTGATATGTAATAATAAAACCTCTATCAGACAGACACCTCTATTAAGCACAAAACACAAACACAAGAATTATTTCTCCAAATAGGGAGGGGGCTGGTGGCAAGAAATTCTGTTAAACAACCACTTCTATGAAGTAGACACTAGTATGTTTCCCAAGAGTGTCGGCTTAATACAGGTTAGAAGCAAACACATACCAAATATAAAAGGAAGGTATGTAAACCAGTTCCAAGACCAACAGATGAAAGTATGCCAAGACCCATCCAGTAACAACACCAAAGAATGGTGTCTTCAATGGCTTGGACATGCTGCACGATTTAAGAAGTAAAACATGAGAAGTGGATAAATTGTTTTGCCATAAAAACCATGTCCTAACTCAAATACCTTTTGATGAGAGCCAGGAATAAAATATAACAAAGCAAGGGCAATCACACTTGTAACAAACAGGGTGCATGATTTCCGATGCTGTAATATCCTACATACAACAACAATTTTACTGTTTGCATTAAGTCACACTAATGTTGCTTCAGTTATCCAACTACTGTTTACCGTTTCCAATATTCTTGAACAATGATCATCAGCTCAAGAGAGAAATAATGTAATGTTGTCAAAGGTTTCTTCCATAATACAATACTTTCTCGATTCTTTCTTTCCATAATTTTCTCCAGCTGAACTCGTTCACTCAAACCATTAAAATTACCATTGAAACTTGTTGAACTTTTGAAATTTGCATCTTTGTCTGACTCCTCTAGTCTGTTCACCTGTGCGTTATAAAAAAAGCTTTGATATCGACTATATCATGAATTTAAGTCAACATTCTAATATATTTTCAAAATTCTCCACAAAGAAGCCATATGTAATCCTCTTAATGCCAAACTACCAGACCTTTGGAGGTCACTTCAGTCAGAGATATTGTTTATTATGTTGGAAGTGTGACACTTGCTTTTCTATATAATGTATTTCTTATCTCTGGTTATGTCAGATACTTGCCATAATTTTTATTCAAACAAACTCAACACTGTCATTCTATTATAATCTTGACTTGCTTTGACAAATCCAACACGATTAACCTGGCACTATAAGCAGGTCTTTTTCCAGCAAACAAGTACAAAAGCAGATCAATACAAAAAAAATTTGAGATGAAACATCATCTAGCCAATGGTTGGTTGGTTGATTAATATATAGTGAGAGAGCACCTGCGTACTATTGAAAAACAATACCACAAGATAGATCACAGAAAATTGAGGAATTCAAAATTTAACAAGACTCACAAAATAATATGGCAGGGGTAGAATGAACGACCTTCTCGACGAAGTTTCCACTATTTAAGTAAATTCTCCTTCAAATAGTTTGAAACAGATTTAAAAGTATCATGATGCAAACTTTAAAAGTATCATGATGCATACTGGATCATGAAGATCAATAATATTTGGATAATAAAATGCTGACAATGTTAACTTCCTTTTTACAACAAATATACCGGTATAAATACTGACGTATCATATAACAAAATCATTTCATTCTGCTATTAGACAACAAAGTCTCTGAGCAAATAAAAAGATGGTTGTAACTGCTCATTTTGCGTTACGTTGGAGTTTGAAAAATAAAATTATACCCACCAAATCCGATTTGAGTCCATTCACCGAAAGATTTCGCCGTTTCAGTTCAGTTCTCAGATCTTTTACACTAAATTCAATATACTTCATGACACTCACGAGAAAATTAGCAGCGTTCAAATCCGTTTTTCACTCTTCGATTTCTTTTTCCTTCATGTAAGAATACTACGGTACCTCAGATTTATATATTTAATCTCCTTTCAACTTGCAAGTAAGCAGATTAAAAAACGAATACGTAAATTTTTGGAACTTTGTTTTCGCAAAAATTATCATTGTCAATGTGCAATGAAAGGAATATGCACGGTGCACGGTACTTGGTGTAGGCGTAACTGAACTGTTTTCAACTGTATACTTGACCTTCTTTCGGCATGTCCGCAGACTAAGAAAATGACAGCATAAATGATAAAACTATAACTCGCGAACCTTGCACGAACATTCTATCTTGAGACATTATGCAATGTACTTTGAACAACAAGTTTGATACAAATTCATCCTATATATGAGATTTCTTAGTCCAGAATGCAGCAAAACTTTAGAATCGGGAACCCACCTTTAACTAGAATCCTGGAAAGTAATGAATGGTGAAGGAGTTCAGTTAATTATACAGGAGGACGTTTTCCCTGAATTGACAAATCTATTCATCACGATAAGACTTTTGAATAGTATTGACAAGTACCAGCCGAGTTATTTCGCTTATTTAGATCGTATTAGTTGAAGTTAATACTTAATATTCCCCTAACATGAATTGAAGCTAAAACTAGAACTAAGCTAGTAAAGCTTGTGAAATCACGAACAATGCCTCAATATAGTTATATTTTCTAACATTAATCTTAATCAAATTGACCTATAAGAAGATACTGAATATGCAATATATCAATAAATCTTTCGAGTAATCAGTTGCAAAATGCAGTAAACCATACATGAAAATACATAAACTACATATGCAAGGCAGTTAGCCTTACATGAATAGGCTTGAACTCTTAAGAAGTGTTACACTTTTGGAATTAATCTCTTCTCGATCATCAGAATGGTATCCGGAATCCACGAGCTGGTGTCCGAAATCATCAAGCTGTAATTTGGAATCCAACACCACAACGGATTGCTGCTCATAGGGCACACCATAAACAACACCGTAAATATATCCTCATAACAGCGCTGGTGGTGATGATTTGTCATCGGCGCCTACAAAGCAGGGCTGTCTTCGGAGGAGAGAGGGGATGCAGTGTTAAAGTTATCTGAGTAACTGCGTTCAAAAGTCATCTAGTACAAAACAGCCTTTTTTATCAGTTTGAGAAATTAAGGAAGAAAACGTACATAAATAGTAGCAGTATATAGTTACTACAGTGTACTAAGTACACCAGTACAAATATACCGGATAAAAGTCATGTCGACAGAGGTTGGTACTCCTATAACTACTCAGTATTATGAGTAGCGATCTGATCGTGCCGTCCCATCCTAACATCTACATGTTTGTATAAGAATCGCTCTTTTCCTTATTCTGACAAGCACATATCATATAACCATCAAAATTGATGAATCATATTGGGTTGTAGCTAATTGGCTCTAACATATTCTTCGGGAGATCTCACATCAACAGCTTTCCTGTGAACATATTGTATTTCGATGTATATAGCATTTCACTTATGTTTCATATATAACCTTATTTGGTTGAAATAGAAACAACGGAACAGTGATGGCAAACTTGCATCGACAGAAAGGTTATCTTCATTGTTCACAACGAATACAGGAGTACTTAGGCTATATAGCTTGAACAAAAAATGTTTTTTAAGGCATTTTAAAAATGTACGTTTTACATCATAAATTTATTCCCAGCAATGATTGGAAGCACAACACGAAAAAAAATGTGAACGTAGTAGTTTTTACAGTATCTAGTCGTGTTTGCAAGGGCTGTATCAAGGGAGTGCTGAGAAACAAACGTGCATCACAACTGGACTTCTCTCTGTCTGAACTCGGAACTTAAACTCGAAATCTCAAATTCCAAACGTTACTACCATACACAATATATTGATTTTGCATTGTGTTTGAGGTGAAGTTATTTTCCATTTGATTTTAAAATTTTAAAACAACACATCAAAAGTTCGACTGATGCGCTTGCAAGGAGAGATTTGGGAAGAAAAAATTCGATTTCACAGAAGATTTCAATGTAGGACCGCCTTTTGAAGCATTTCTAAAGGCATAAAAGCAAACGCAAAGTGTTTTCTTTAATCAAATATCGACACAAAAACAGAGCAAAAGAAACGTGCTTTCTGCCGCGTCCTGCATGTGAACTCGGATAAATATACTCATTGACCTTTATTCACGCTTTACGTAATGAAGAGTGATGAAAGGGTGATGAAATATGAGCCATTTCAACGACAAATATTTGGCTGCTGACGATGACAAAATTTCTTTAATACAGACAGGTAAAATTCCAATGTGAACACAGATTTTCAAACTGTTAATGGTTACATCGAGTTTTTGAAAATTGGAAATCATTTTTTACATAGATGCAACGAGCACCATTTGACACCGTTGATTTCTGGGAGTTTATTCATTTTGATAAAGTTTGCTGAAATGATGTTTTTCAAAGGGAAATTCAAGATCCCATTAAAAACGTCAAAATATAACCGTTTCTTTTGCTATTATAAACAACGACACGAGGCGTTCTCAACCTTGTCTCTCATTTCTTCGTCATACACGTTTTAAGGTCTTCTCGTTAGAAAAAAAGATAGAAGCAGAGCGTTGCCTGAAATTGACAAAAAAAAATAGGTGAAAAATTAAAACAACGAACAAATATACCGGAAACATAAAACTAACAAATCTAAAATTTCTAAACACACACCAACGAATATGGCTCTTATAAACACACCTCTGGACCACCCATAATCTCATTTTGTTTTGAACTGGTTTTGTACGAATTTGCGTGCACAATTGAACTTTATTATCAATACGACATTGAATGTACAACTAAAAAACTGAACCAACCCTCCCCTCCCTGTCAGTTCTTAATATGGTAACAGACATTCAAGGTCAGTCCGTTCGTTATCGACGAATGAACTTTTGGACTCATTAGCACGCAGTCTGCCACAAGTTATTATGTTTTTGAAAAAAGAAAAATAACATGCAGTGTTTCTACAAGCTATTTGACCATTTTATCGGTCATAGGGCAAATGCGTGTCAGAACATTTGTTGCACGTGAAATTTTCAGGTTCTCACACTTTTTTGACACATCCGGCTGTACATAACTTGCGTCCACAACGATGCCGAAACTCCCGTTTGATAGACATCCAAAACACTGATTCATCATCAACGTGTTAAGACAAACATAGAGCATGCGCAGTTGGATTTTTTTTTAATTTTCGCCACAGGACGTCACATGTTGTAAATGCTATAAGACTAAACTATCTTTAGCTTCTGCCGTTTAGTACGCGGTTAAGTTCGTGAAGAGAAGGCAGCGTCAGTGAAATCAGTAAAGTGTCTGATCGAGTGTCGTTTTTTCCTTTACTTTGGACTCGCGATGAAGTCGATTTACGTGTTGGTGTTGTTTGCTCTTGTTGTGCCTGGTTAGTACATGATAGATATTATTTTATTGCTTTATTTTATCTATAGCTAGGTGACACACTAGGTCAGCTGGACACGGAATGACTTCGTTAGAACGCTGCTCACATTATTTAATATGTTTCGCTTGAAATTCATAACGCATTCAGGCTTCTACATCTTAAAGATCTGCGACGGAAACGATAAAAAACAAGAGACGAGCAAATCCTACATGCGCTTGGTTTGGGGGGGTTGAGTGATCATAAAAAATGCATACGTATCAATTGAACGCAAAGGAAAGTATCCTGATTATTTTGTAAATGTATTACGAGAATTTTGAGTTAATGCCGTTTGAAAAAGGAAAAATTTTGTGTCGTTAAATTATTGGTCATGAATATTAAGGGCAATAGCTGTCTTGCAACGTCAAAGCACATATATATTAAGTTTGTGGGGGTCGCAAACTCCATTCGCACACAATGACGCACTATTTTGCACCATGTGGTAAATTATTTGCATATGTTGCGCCTATGCGCAATGGTTCACCACTAATGCCAGATGCATCTGAAGACATCAGAAATGATTCATAAACTTCTATGTCTGAGATTTATGACAAATACCACCCTGGTCCAATGGATTAATTCATAATACTAGACACATGACTGACATCGGCACTGAACTTTGTTCATTTTTCTTCGCAAGGTGTTTTAAGAATGTGTATGATTGATTTGAACAAAATACTGACTGAAGTAGCATAAGTATGTCGCAATTCCTTCAACATAAAAAAAGAAAGCAAACCACTCAATCAAACATGTTGCTGGTATGGTGCAACTTCAATATTGACCTTTGTCACAAACGCAAACAAATTTTCAGTAAAAACATCACGCATTCTTCGAAAAAAACATATCAAACTTTTTAACGTGGTTTTTTACTAAACGATTACAATCTTCTTGGCAGTTGAATAGAAAAGATAAATTATAGCTCAGCAGTATAAACTTTTGCTGATATTTACCAGTACAAATTTCCGATAATATGAGAACTAATTATATACTAGCAGTGAAATAAACTCGCAGACTGACGCTCATAAAGAAGGTTGCTTGAAAACAGCAACATTAACACGATGTTCGGATGTGCGAGGACGTACGTCATACCAACTGATAATGTTTTGAGTTTCAAATATTTTCAGGAACGATTTTTGGTCGATGATTCAATAATTGTACTTTGAACTCGATCCGATCTTGGAGATCTAATAATAGCATGTCTTAATGAAAGAAGACAAAATATTCCCTAGACAATCGGAAGACCCTAATGTTAGAATGTATTATTTTTTTGCACAAAATTTTTTACTACCCTTCACTGCCCTTCAGGCAAGGTCAATTTCACGGCGCATGCTCAATGATAAAACTGTCGACACCAGTATAATGTATATACAGTTGGTATTAACCTCAATTCAAAGAGACGTATACCCTTACAATAAGGAAAACTTTACACTATGACGCTTAGATCTAACACACTTCTCCAAATTATTGGTTCGAAATTTTTTTTTCAAAACTCCTGACCAGATTGGCTATGTTTCAAAAAAGTCAACAAAGACAATTTGCGCAAATCGCTTGAAAATTACGACACAAGTTTATAAGCTGTCTAGATTTGCGTAATCATCAAACTGCTTATTCATAAGCCTTAAAGCAAGCAAGGGCGTTCAAGGGGCACACATGTCCGGATACCAACGCTAATTTCTTCGACATTAATCAATGAAAGACCCCAAGACGTCCGTCAATTAAAATATCTAAATTCCTTTGATAACGAACTTTGTCACCTTTGGAGGGAAAATAGGAATGACACGTGTTTCATATCCAAAGGACGAAGAAGCCTCTAGCAAATTTTTAAATCGAAAGTGATAAATTTTAATGTCAACGGCTTCAGTAATTATTTTTGTAATAATGACAGCCATGCGAGAAGGGTTAGTAGTAGAATCAAAAGAAAATAACAAAAGCTAAGGGATACGTGAAATGGTGCAATATAGACATGCATTACTTTCCAAGATACACCTATGACAGGTTATAGGCTACGTTGACAAAATAATGACAGATGTCATAATTCAGCGATTATAGATTTTATCAATGTTTCGAAACCTTTATGAGCGAACTTCTGTTTGTAGAAAAAAATAATCGACAAGATAATCCCTTTAGCGTATGAGATCTTGTATCACAAATGTCATCTCTGATCAACTTATACGTCAATGTTTCAATGAAAGCATCTATCAACTCTTTCACAACGAATTTTTTGTTGACATCATTCAGGTCAGTCCTTTGTCGACTTCGAGGCAATCTTCAATGGAACGTCTGAATTAACACCTATGATTATCAATGCAACATATTCTTCGTCTGACAAAACATGGGCTCTCTATGACAAACTTGTTAGCTACATCAACGAAGAAATTAAACCTGAGGTGAACAAATTTATCAGCCATGGGAAGGAGTACATTCAAAAACTGGGAATGGAGAAAAAAGGAAGGGAGATCTTCAAGACAGCAATAGAGTAAGATTATATTTCAATTGAAGATTTGTAGAATTGTTCAATCATAATTACCACATTTGTTTGTAGTTATGAATGACACGTAAGTTATACTAAAGTAGATAGAAAGGAAAAGTCAGAAAACAAGAACAGACTTGACATTATCAAAAATATAATCATCATAACAGAAAACGGAAAGGAGTTTTTACACAAAATAAATCGTAAACGATGCTTAAGTGTGATGTGGGTCAGGGTAACTTGGGGTAAATGATATACAGAGAACGAGAAGTTTTTATTTTACTTAAAAAATGGAAATTGGATAACACGTGTCAGTGAAGAATAAGGATAGTGATGAATGAACAATAGCAGAAAACGGGAACGGTTTTAATGCCAACATACGAATTAAACACTACTAGATAGCGTGTATCGATGTGGATAGGTTTAAATGAATCTGAACACAAAATGGTAAATTTGTAAATTTTCAGTGTCGTCGAAAAGTATCTTGGCATTTCTACTTTATAACCCCTTTTACTTTAACTACATGTTTAGAATGATGAACTCAACATCTGAGCTAGTCAACGAGCTTCAATTGGCCGAATATATCAAGATCTTCGAGGACAAGCTGGAAGATGGAAAGAAAATTGCCAATGAAATCAGCGAACAGATCGACGAATTCCTGAAGAAACTTCAAAAAAAGCAAAAGAGATGAAAGGAAAGATACCCGAGACACTATTGTCACTGACAAAGCTTAATGAGGAGATAAAAAAGCGTGTCACCTCGCTTCAATCCCAGATGGAAGAGCTGCAGAAGAAAGCAAAGAAGGCTTTCGAAGCAGGTCAAGAAAATGTGTTGAAGAACATTGAGCAACAATTGGAAATGATTCGCACACAGTTGAAGGTTGCCAAACAACAAACTCTGGTACGTCTTGGATTTTTGAAACGAACATAAAAAGCGATACTCTTTCTTATTCTTTTTCATCTTGAATTTCAATCAGGAGTTGAAAAAGAAGATTCAAGAGACTTTCAGCGATATACAATTGAAAGCAAAAAAAGTTGGCGGCGAGGCGATGAAGCATGTCACGTTACTCAGAAAAAAAACTGAAGAAGCAGTTGAAAAGGTAAGCAATAGCTACAGACACGTCAATCACACAAGACAAGCATAGCGAGTAAAACTTTCGTGAAATAAGCGACTCCATTCATTTAATTCAAATTGCAATAATCTGTTCAATTTTCGATGGTAACTTTGATATAGAATATATCAACAGTGCGTGACCCGACCCAAAAAAATCTTTTATTGGAATCACCTTCGGGAATTTAATTGAGTAAATTGCGTGTTAATCTCCTATCTGGGTTGGTAACCTGGATATATACATAGCGTGAACTTAGAACCTGTAATCACAAGATTTTATGTGTAGCTAGCTATTGAACATAATCGCAGAAAGGACAAGTTAATAAACGTCGCTACTTTGATCTTTCAGGCTAAGAGACATTACACGATCATGAAGAACAATCTTACGAAAAACTTCCAAAACGCCATGATGAAATTCCGCCAGGCAAAACGCGAGGCTCAAGAGCAGCTTGAGAAATTGCACAAAATGGCGAAAGAAATGAAAACAGGCATGGGTGAACAAATGGAGAAATACATTGAGACGCTAAATACCACTGTTAATGACATGAAAGATAACTTCTTCGAACAAATGAAAACACTTAAAGTAAGTTTGGAGATTTTTGTAAAACATTTAAAGCGGAAGTCGTCGTTTGTGTAGAAGTGTCTTTGCTTGTTCAAAGCTATCTCGATCCAGATTTAGCTAACTGCAAAGAGTTAAGAATTTATGATTGTCTAAAAATATCCATTTGACTTTTTCAGGAAATATCAGCTAACTACACCGACATCTTGAAAGACAAAGTCAATGATTATAGAACCACAGCGAACAATTTGACCACAAAAATGAAGGAGAACATGGACGAGTTCCATGCAAACGTCATGAAACACATGCAAAGCATGCAAAAGAAAGCGGATCAACACGTTAAAAAGATGTTTGAAAAAGCCAAAGATCTAAAAACGACACTGAAAACCCGCGCGCAAAAGACTGCGACTGAAATGCAAAAGAATCTTGACGCTCTCATGAAGCAGTACTATATAGCATTGGCAACGGCTATGGGCATGCAAAAAGACGCCGAAGAGAATCTCCGCAAGGTGATGGAAAGAATGAGCAATGGTAGTCAAGTCATATTCCAAAAGGCCTATGAAATAGCAGTGAAGAATGTCGAGAATTCCAAAAAGTACATGAATGAAGTACAAAGCTACTTTGTCAAACTGTTGAGCAAGCTCCTTTTCAAAGTAAGTTTTTTTTATATGTTGTTAAAACGAGTCCACGAAAGAAAATTTGAGAGTAAAACTTGTTTTAATTGAACGAAATTATAAATCGAAATGTGTTCACTGTTTTAACAGGAGACGGGAGGACATCTCACAAAAATTACACCTCAAATTCAGTGTAAGTATACTTCTACTCTCGTCACTGTGCAATCGTTTTGACTTGTGTTTGTTTATGACGACTTGCAAGGTTTGCCTATTTTAACTGAATTCTGGTCGAAAAAGTTTTACATTAAAAGCTATCTTTTTCAGCCTTAAAGAAGAAGAAGCTCGCCTATCTACGAATGCGCAAGAAGTTAAGATCTTTTTTTTCCGCTTCAGGCGGCAATTAAATTAAACGCATTTACGCTTGGTTAATACGAAAGAGACAGCATAATGAAACTATTAACAAAGTGATTATAATTTCAATTACAAACCAAAGGGCGTCAATGACATGTTACTTACAAACATTATATTATAATATTTTCATAACCGTTATATCGTTTAATAAAATTTTACTTTGGGGATAGTGAGTTACGGGCTGCAGGTCATACCACAGTTTGCTATGATCTTAAGTCATCTTACCGATCCTAGAACACGATTGAAAATAATGATTTTTAGTTTCGCACAACGTATTAAGTAAAGAATTATATGGACTGCATGGGGGGAAAGAATATTCTGACGGCTGACACTGAAAGACATATCTCTTAATACTTTAGAATAACATTTTACGATCACAAAAGCGATTATCTTTATTTCCTCGGGATGGAGATGAAAACATTGCCATTATAGTGACGAAATTTGTTTTTTTCATATACATTAAATACTGAGTGTGTGCTTCCAATGGTGTTTTTAATGATACTTGCGGTTGCACAGTAACCCGTCTTTCTTAGAACGTGCATATAGTGTAAAAAATGAGGTGTTCTTACGACCTAGCATTCAACATTTCAACTCGAGAATCAACAAAGATAGTCCGTCTAGATCGTTGTCTCAATTCGTTTTCGTGCAAGGCTTGGAGTCGTTTTCGGCGACAATTTCGAATAGTGAGCATGAACATCTTGTCGACTATGCGAGCGTTTGATTCCTTTCAGCTCGAGTATCTCCTGATCTATATTGCTCATCGAACTGGATAGTGGTGGATATTTATTCATTGCAATATGATTTGTGTTTTCCTTGCTCGCCTTGCGATCTCGACGAGATTGACGAGCAATCTGGCGAGCGAGTTCTTCCTTATAATAATACTCAAAATTACTGACTATTACAGGAACGGGTAGGGCAATAGCGAGAACACCCGACAGTGCGCACATTGCTCCGACAATTTTACCTGTAAACAACGGAAAGAAAATGGAAAATTTCAGCTCAATTTTAATAATTTCGATGTACATTTACATGCATGTTGAAGCTGCGAGCAGCCATAGTAATTGACTTAACTCACGGTTCCGCTTAATATGAAATATAACGGTACTTTTGGGCAAGCCAATGAAATAAATGGTATGACTCATACTGATTCATTTTGCGAGAACGCGTGTAGTTCTTACCCTGAAAAGTCTTGGGCGAGATATCCCCGTATCCTACTGTTGTCATAGTGACAACAGCCCACCAGAACGAGTGCGGAATGCTGGGAAAGTCGTCCTTATTCGTTAAATTTTCGCAGTAATAAGCACCGCTTGCAAAGAGGATAACTCCCATTATCATGAACAGTAATAACATAAACAGTTCACTCCGGCTTGATTTCAACGTATGGCCCAAAATGTACAAACTAAAGAGAAGAAGAGACGCATAAAAAGTTTAGTGGTGATGAATCTGTCCCTTAAAAATTGAGATTGAAGCGAAACTATGTAGGCGCTCACGTACTTTGATCAGTGAACCAACTTGTCCTTAGTTGTAAAGATGACATGCCTCAAATAACTTAAGTATTCTTGTTGTTAAATTGCATTCAAATATTACGTAAATAGCTCTATTAACGACCGTAATTCTCACAACATTTTCCCCCATGTTTACAATATGACCTCCATTATTTACCACCGTAACTCTGACAACAGTCAAACACAATAGTTACTCTATTATCAACAGTAGAACTCTACAGCAGTTACCACGCACGTTGCACGTTTGTTCGACGGTAAATTCTACAATAGTTATCCTACATGTTTACGTTATCACATCTATCAACAACCGTAACTCTTCCAACAGTTACGCTAAATGTTGCATGTTAGCTAGTACCGCTATAACCGACCGTAACTCTCACAACAATTGCCCAGAATGTTGCAAATTACTAAAAATACTGATCCAGTTATAATTATTTACACAAAGCTTTAGAGTAAAGTGTTTATGATCTTTCGTGATAAACAAACTTATAAAATATTGTTTCACTTTTTGTGTTCAGGAAACTTCATACAATCTAATAAACAGGATTGGTCAAAAGTTTTTAAATGTGCTAATAATGCTCGTTAGCAATGTAGAAAATTCTGTACTTACCCTCGAGAATGTCGAGTCAATTTAAAGATTCTCACCACACGAACGACCCTGAGTACTCGGAAGACTTTAACAGCATCACCCTTGATGTTTGCACTTTGCATGAGCAGTTGAACGTAAAATGGTAAAATGGACAAGACATCGATGATGTTCAAAGTTCCTTTCAAAAACGCGATTTTACGTTTTGCACAGATCAAACGGACAACATACTCCAAGGTGAACCATATGTTACAAAGCGCGCTGACTACCGACCAAACGCCATCAAGATGTTTTAAGTTATCCATACTCTCGATACAAAAAACGACAATGGAGATGAGAATAATGGCCAATGAAAAAATTGTAAGCATCCTTGCCGCAATTGACGAGTTAGGGTTTTCAAACGCCATCCAAATCATCCGTTTGTATTTGTTATCAGGCAATTCGTCCTCGCTTTCGTCCTCCTTTATAAACGGAGAAAAACAAGACATATTTCAGTGATCATTTGATTGATTTCAACATATAGATAAATAAGATTACAATATTAAAATTGAAAGGGAACCACAGAATGACAAAATGGGGAAAAAAATTATTTCTTATTATAAAATAAGCACAATGAAACGCGTGCGCTGATTGGTCTAGAGCTGAGTTTGCATTAGCCAGTGCAAAACACATCTGAGCTCAACCAATCAAATCAATCTAAACAATCAATCAGTCAAAGAGAGTTTGCAAATCGATCATGAATACCATTTAGAGGAAAAATTAAAATGTTTGTCTCTTTCGCATTATTGTTATTTTATAAAAGAAACAAAAGATGTTTTTCGTGTTTGCACTGGCTTATGCAAACTTCGGAGACGTTTGTGAGAACTCTCGAGCGGGTGCAACCCTAGATATTCGGTCTCGGGCTTGCACTGATCAACTCTCGAGTTCTCCCAAATGTCTCCTCGCTTTGCATAAGCCTGTACAAAAAACATCTTTTATTTCTTATTCTCCAATTTAAAGATGTAGATCTCTTAGAGAGAAAGTACAGCATGAGGCTACCACGCTAACCACCTATTTTTTGCATTACATTTTAAACATAATCAATAGTCCGCTTGTGCTGGGGTAAAAGGAACGCGTCGTTCGGACGTGGAGTAGTAGACGACAGCGTTTCCTTTTAATTTCATTCACATGTTTAACCAACCGCATTTAAGAAATTAAGAAATAATTTTTTTGACATATTGTACAGTCTCTTGCTAGCAAGCATTTTGTTATCCTCAACATCACCCTCCATCATATCTCACGATCTAACGTATGAGATCTCTTATATCATTAAACCCTCTCTCTGCCCCCGGCACACACTCACCTCAAGTTTGTCGAAGCCCAACAGTTTGTGAGCTTCTTCGCCGAGACCAAAGAAACTGCATTCTTGCATGAAAACGTCAGGAGATAAGTTAACGGGACGTATCAGCATTCCTTCTGACTGATAATAATACAAGATGGCCGTAAAACAACTGCGATGACGATCGAAGAAGTACTCTCCCTTGATTCGATCATAGTAGGCTTCGCGGATAGCCGGACTGCCGAGTAAGGTTTCGGGATATCTTCTGAGAGTGGCGTCGTACGTTTGATATATTTTGCCAGATACGTTAATATTTATTATAGTACAATCCACAAGCGACGTTGCACAAGACACGAAACTCGTATCAAATTTGTTGTCTTCTTCGGACATTTTGTTGAATACTGGCAGAGTACATAAATAATGTCTATCTCAGTGAAATTTTATGTTACTGTGAAATCCATGCACGTTCTGGTATGGTAAATTGCGCGGTGGAGTCTGAACGAAAAAAGCCTTTTTGCCATTGCTCTGCCATAACAGACAGGCAGCCGTGTGGCTATGATATCGCGGTTACGAAAGAAATCTAAGACCTTCCTCTATTTTGTCTTGCGAGATAGCAAGATAGCTAATACTCACTTCTGTTTAAGTGGTTAACAGAAGAAACGAAAAAAATAAAAGGAATGCATACGTTACTTTTTCCGGTTCAGTCGTCTTTATACAAAGTGTGTCGCTTCGATGCATTTGTCCATGGAATTAAAATGAACTTTCTACAGCTGTTTTTCAACTTTTTTTCAGCTATACAGCTGAAATATCTAATATGACGAAACGTCATGTCAATTTCTTAGACGAAATACGATGGTGTGGCTTTTAACCTCATGGACCGCAGTAGCTACATACATGGTTTCTCGATTACACTAAAATGACGTATAAATACTTAAAAACTACCCTTATTGATAAGTCTGTATTTTGTTATTATATTTGACTGTAAAAAACTGTCGTTTGTCGAGAAAAAACTGTAAAACGGTGGCAAACAACAAAACGATTGAAAGATTATGGTCTTTCCGTATTCCTAGGTTCTCTATGACTAATTATGTCCATTTTCATTGTTCTAAAAATTACCAACGAAAAACACAAACAAGTCCAAAAACGTCATTCTGACCACAGCATTTAACTCGTGAACTCGCAAAATCGCCACCAATTGAATTATATAATTGAGAACCGTAAAACATAGGGCAAGCGTATTCTGAGAAAGCAAGTTATTCAAGCTCCAGTGTATTCATGTTATTCATGAATCAATATATAGCCACAAAAACACTGACAATTAGAAACTATTGCTACAAATTGCTTCATTTGTTTCACTAAATTTCTAAAAAAAGACTCCGTCGCATTGATTTTTTGTAATCTTATGAAGCGATTATATCGAAAACAAAAAACGTCTAAACTGGAAACTGTGTCAATATATTATACAAATTAATTACCAAACTATTTCGCTCTCAATTCAAACGCACGGCAAGAACAAATTCTCCTCGTTTGTTATTAAGAATTTTGTTTACCTTTTATAACACGGTTTAAGTACTTTCTCATAATATCAAGTAGAAAAGCTAAAGAGAGGTTTCAATAAGCTCTAAAAATTAATGAAACGCTTGTAGAGGTCATAAAGCGGGCAAATAAAAATCTCCCTCGCATTCTGCATGAACAAACAACAAACACCTGCGAAATTAGCTACTCATCAAACAGCTCATGTAATTTCAACAGCAACATTTCCAGTTACTGTTTTCGTATCAAACACAAGTCGAATTTGGACCTTTTAGCGATTTGAAAAATCCCTCACAAAAAAACTTTACACGCAACAATTGAGAATAGGAACCCGCTTACTTTGAGTCGTTTTAAAAAGCAAATAATCCCTTTTAACGATTTCATCGGGAAATATGTGAATCGACTGTAATTAAAAATTCAAAAAATCATTATCCAAATAGACAAAAGTAATTTTCGTGTTAAGGAATTCAAGCGAGAAAATACTTGAAGAAGAAAAAAATGACCATCGAAAAAAACTCACCTTATAATTTCAAAGCTATGCTATAAAGGTTTGCTTTTGAATACTTTACAAGAACGGACAAAGTTCGTTTATATTTAATAGAGGTCTTGAGGCGAAAAATACAAAATGTTTTATTAAAGATTAATGAAAATCAGTCCACCAGTTTGGCCCCGAATAATTGATCAAGTCTATAATGCTTTTCGTTCACGACATGAGGTGATTTAAAGCGAGCCTTTAAGGTCTGCGTTTTTTTTTTCAATCCATTAGTAGCAAGCTAATAACTACCTGACATTCTTAAGGACGTAATTTCGACATTTTAGAAGACAGGAACTCTTCTTAAGAAGCTATTTACTTGCGCCTGCGCATCAATTTGCCGCGTTATACAGCTCTACTGAGGTGTAAAAATGCTCAATTTGAGATATAAAGTTATTTTGGGTAGGTTATATGCCTTATAATACAGGTGATATTTCTATGTGCAGTAAATCCAACACATATAGTTTGCATACAGCGAAGCTTGCACTGCACGAAAAGCTGTACATGTAAAGTACACGTAACAAATTTAATGCAGTTGAACAAAATAAAAATCATTCTTCGAAATAGAAAATTCTGCATGCTGGGAAATATTGTATATTGATAAGGCAAGTATGCACGACGCCTACTCCTATAGTTGATAAAAGGTAGCTCCACGCGCAGCCGGAGGAGTATTACACGCAAATTGTACAATTTGTCAACTTCGAAATCAAGATGAGCGTGCAAATAAAAAAGCAACAGTGGTTTTTAAAAACAAAATGAAATTTTTTTCAACCGCAAGCCTTCATTTATTTGAATACTCCTAGTTAACACCTGACATTCTGAAATTAAACTGGGACGCCATCATCTAGCGGCAACTTGCAATGAAAAAAGGCATTTCTAGACATGAAATGAATATCATGCATATCTCGCGTCACAGTCAAAGCTTTGTCTTCACAAAGCAGCGAATTCTAAATGGCACACACGATAAGAATATAGGGGATGATTCATTATCATAAAGCATTCTACGACTACTAATTTTATAGGAAAAAACTATCTCAAGCAACTAATTTACAATTCACATATTCGGTCATCGGCAAACCACCAATCAGAAAATAGGTTGCCGAAAAATAAAGTTAAACAACTAATTCATAATACGCGAAATACCATCGAACCGATTCAATTCGCCTTTAACGCAGCCGAAATTCAAGTTGTCTATTCATTCAAAAAAATTCTATGCTCTAAATATGTTCAATTTTGAAACTTATCTGAAATAGGTCATTCACCGACTGGGATCCAGTCCCTTGGAGTTTTCAAAACTTCCATTAGCTTGGCTTCTTCGCTGCCAAAAGCTGGTTCATGCATATATTCCCAGCGTGCGATCAGCGGTAGAGACATCAATATACTTTCTATTCTCGCTCCAGGCGTATATAGACCAAATTTAGTCCCGCGATCGTACACCAAGTTGAATTCGACGTACCTGAAAGTAATCTTAAAGTTAATTCCTCTTTAACTTGGGAAAAGTTTAAAATTCGGTTGCCAGGTTCTGCATTAACTTCGGAACGTAAATTTTCGGAACGTGGAGTTTGATAACAAAAAATGTAAAATGACAGTAAAATTGCAAAGCAAACGTTGATGAAAGTTGCAGTACTTGTGAACTAACATAAGTAGTGATTTGCTAAGTGATAACTCAACATGTTCAAACACCAACACAATTCTTCCACAACGACTTAATTTATCACAAAAAGAATAACTACATTAATATCTACGTAGTAAAATGAAGACTTGAATAGTAATGAAGGCCATTTTATTTTGATGATGCTTTTCTCTTAAACATTTGTGTCGTTCAACTGAATCATTTGCTCATGTCAGAGTGTTAATATTTTTGACTCGTGCACACCTTGGTAGAATCAACATACAAAAAAGCAAATATATTTTCTTATTGAAATCATATAGACCTTCCTCTGCGAAGTTGCTGCCAATGCTTTTGTTCGGATGTGAACGAGTCGTTCATATGTTTTTCGACGATGGGAATATACGATGGTATAACTGCCTGAGCGCAACTTTTCACAAACTGGAATGCTCCTTCCTGTGAAGGTTGATCGACGTCATCGAAAAAAATACCACCAACACCACGTCTTTCACCTGTAATTACGCAGCAAACATTGCAAAAAATAAAGGTAATCTTTTATGGCAACATGCTGCATAATCATGAAATATAAGTTTTAACTACATACACTAAAACTCCTTCATGTTCTCTTCATTCCCTGAGAAGTATGGGAAGAATGAGCAACCAAATGTAATGTCACAAATAATGTAGTTGGTCCGTTAACCTTTATTGTAAAATCAATCTTCACAGCTTGCCCAAGCGTTGACTTGCAACAGCCTGCGCAAGCGTTGACTTGCAACAACCTGCCTAAGCATTGACTTGCAACAACCTGTATAAGCATTGACTTGCAACACGTTGCCCAAGTGTTGACTTGCAACAACCTGCACAAGCACTGACTTGCAACACGTTGCCCAAGTGTTGACTTGCAACAACCTGCACAAGCACTGACTTGTAACACGTTGCCCAAGTGTTGACTTGCAACAACCTGCACAAGCACTGACTTGCAACACGTTGCCCAAGTGTTGACTTGCAACAACCTGCAGAAGCACTGACTTGCAACACGTTGCCCAAGTGTTGCCTTGCAACACCCTGCACAAGGGTTGACTTGCAACACCTTGCCCAAGTGTTGACTTGCAACACCCTGCACAAGGGTTGACTTGCAACACCTTGCCCGAGTGTTGACTTGCAACACCCTACACAAGAGTTGACTTGCAACAACCTGCACAAGGGTTGACTTGCAACAACCTGCACAAGGGTTGACTGGCAACAGCCTGCACAAGGGTTGACTTGCAACAACCTGCACAAGGGTTGACTTTGACAGCCTTAAAGATAAAAATATTATTTCTCACATCTTTAGCAAATCCCAAAAGATAATATCAAATATAAATATCCTGACGAAGGCCATTAACTCGAAATGCTGAAAAATGTTAATTTTACCCTGTGGTGGATAGTAGGAGTGGCTAGAGGGGGGCGGTCGTCCCCTATATTTTTTCAAAGAAAACATTTTTAACCATCTTTAGCCAAATATGACATTATTGACACACTGTTTGTTTTATTTGCCTTCCTTTTCATTTATTCAAGATAGCATGTTTTTAAAGTAACGTTTCCACTATGTTTCGAACTTTGAACCAAGCCCACAGCACTTTCTGCTGGATATGATGTACATTTGGAAAGCGCTGGAAACTTCAAGGTTGCACTGGTAATATATTCACATGTAGTGAATCAAGTAAGAGACGTAAATGATATAATTGATCACTAATCCAAACCCCAACATTAATTTACTTAATCTTTTGAACTGAAAAAGCAAATAAAACTCGTCAAGGACAAGTGTTTTTGCCAAAAAAAAACTTGTCAAAGAATGCTTTGATGTTGGGGGTTGAATTAATTTTGCATATTATCTAACATGGGAATATTACAGTTGTATTTGTTGCAATCTAGAAAATATATTGTATGTTTACATATCTTTCATGATCAAAAGTTTGGACAAAAGCTATTCATTTAAATTTGACTTATTTTAATAAGTAGTTGAGCATCATTGTTCCAGCAACATTTCAGATTATCATTTCATGCATTTTGCCCATCACCCCTCAATATTTTGTCAAGTGTCAGTCACTGATTTTATTGTTCAAGATGTCGAAAATTATCTTCAGGAAAGATCACGGTAGTCAGCATTGAATAAAAGATTCATAAAACATACCTCTAAATTTTATGAAAAAGTAATCGTCACACCATTTTTTGAACCTTAAGTAGTAACTGCTATCGTGTTTGTCACAGGCAGCCTTCAATGTTTGGTGAAAGTGCTTCACATCCTGGTACAAGAGCAAAAGGTTATTTTCTCATGAATGAAAACAAGTGAAGCCATCCAAGCTTGCACTTTACCTCTATGTCAAGGTAATAAGGTGTTAAATCTGTGCCACCTCCAAACCACCATGATTTGTTACCATCCTTGTCCTGCACCTCGAAGTAACGATAGTTGAAATGAATTGTGGGGACCATTGGATTCCGTGGATGGATAACCGAACTTATTCCAGTGGCAAAGAATGGCAAAGAATCGTTGTCTTTGATACCTTTCAATTGGTTCCTTTGTTTCATTTGTTCTATGGCTGCTTTTGGAAGCTTGCCATGAACAACTGAGATATTTACACCAGCTTTTTCAAATACTTCTCCTTGAACAAAAATAAAGATAATTTTGGCAAACAAAAAGGCAGAGTTTTCATGAATCTATCTGAAATGACAAGCAAGTAATGGTGATTCTTTCTTTACATGTTTGTAAATGTAGATCGTCCAGGTTGGTATAGTCCTGAGAAGGACTGTTTTTGTTGTTGTTGACTGATGTTTCGACAATTTCGGTGATTCTTTCTGTCCCCATGATTGATTGTTAAGTATTACAGAAAAAAAAAATTGTTAAGGTCAAAAATCCAACAAAAAAATTAAAAGAACGATGTAAGATACATCCTAAATACATGCGTTATATAACCAATTTCCTTTTTCAAATGTACGGGTAATATGAACTTTAGTTTTCCGAGAAAAGAAAGCACTTGAGGAAAAAGATGAATTTAAAAATGGACAAAGTTCTCTTTAATAAACTGCAAATTTCCTACGGTAGGTCGCATCATTGGGTAGGGCTAATAAAAGAATCTTATTCATAATTCCAAGGTCTCACCATCCTGAATTATACAAGTTATCCCGCCTCCACCAGCTTTTCGCTCCCAGCGATCAACCTTGAAAGCAGAACCATCAAGCCTCGTTAGCTCATCACAGAACTTTCTCTGTAGCTCCATAATCATCAATTCCATTCTCGTTCGCATGTCTTTGCTTTCTTTCTCTATTTTTCCTAAAGGTGTAACAGGTTCGGCCATAAAATCCCCATTGGAAAATTTTCCTTTTGCATACAGCATTGAAAATCCCAGAAGATTTTTTTTATATTGTGTTGACGATACCCAAGCAAGAAATTTTCCAATCCTAAACAAATGCTCCTTCACAAACGAAGACATTCTGTCAAGGATATTCACATTACAAGTGCAAGAGTTGACAGTTGATATGAAATTATTCAAAATGCTTATATTAAAATAACATCAATGATCAACTACGCCATGAGAGCTGACCACAACTATGTACACATCGCTGGCGCATTACATCATTCTCTTCTAGGACACTTCACATCGTATAAAAGGTGAGCCACAAATGTTGAAGTGAAATCCTTCATAATCTTGAGTCAGAAAAACATTTCTTTTGATTTTGACTTCATTAAATACTTTCCAAAATATTTTCTATCATGTCATTAACTTTCGTACGGAAACACTGTAATTTTGCGAGCAAAATGGCAAATGAATGTGACTTTATCAATTTAGTTCTCATCGACAACGTTAGGTTATTTAAGAATTATCTTACAGAAACGTCTCATTTTAAAAAAATCTTGCATACACTTTCCTTTAAAGTACACCTCCATGCACTTTCCATCAATCCTTGAATGAAGCTTCATTTTCTGGAGATCTAACTTTAAATAATAAATAATATCTGGCGTTGGAGTGAAAACACAAAGAAACATAATTTATGATCATTTGCAAAGACTAAAGTTCTACGAAAATTTTTTTTTTTGATTTTCCCTTTTTAGTAGAATAGTTACATGTCCAAGAATTTTGATTAAATTAAAATTCAGGTTTCAAATTAATACACATGGGACATGGAACATACATTATTAATTATGTTCAATGCATTTAGATGGCCAAATCAAGAAATGTGCCACTCACAAGGGGTATTGGCAAATACAGCCGATCTGCAATGTTTAAAAAGCGTGCTTTATATAAACGAAAGAAGGTGGGCACAAAGAAGGAATCAATGGAAATTGTAACAACAAAGATTAAAGAAATTGGTGGTGACAAGAATGGAAACACACGAACTGTTCCCATTCAAAGAGAGGTAAGTTTTCGTCTTTATAAACCAACTTATTAAGTCATCTATATGTCAGATGCATCTTTGTCTAACCTTAATTTTCTTGTGCTATAGCCTCGTTTTTATCCTACCGAAGATACACCAAGGAAATTAGCCAATCGCAAGAAGGCTAAGCCAACAAAATTGAGAAGCTCATTGACTCCTGGTACTGTAGTGATCCTCTTGGCTGGTCGACACCAGGGCAAAGTATGTCCTTTTTGGATCATTGAATTATGTTGGAAGTTACTTTGCTGTTCATTTGTGATTTAGGGCCAATGTTCTATCAAAGCCCTCGGATATAGTAAAGAGTTGTTTTTATAAGTCCTCTGCCGTAGATTCTGCCGCCACAAAATGTAACAGCACAATTTTGTAAAATGGACTTTATTGATGCAAGCTTTTGAGTCATATAAATGATATTACAATAATGTACTAATAATTTGATATTGTATAATGCTACAGTTGAAAAATTTAGTCTGTTGCATTTAATGGCATTTCTCTTCTCTGACTTTATAATTTATAATTTCAGAGGGTTATTTTCTTGAAGCAACTGGAGGGTGGTCTACTGCTTGTCACAGGTCCTTACAAAATGAATGGTGTGCCACTACGACGAGTGCCACAGTCGTATGTCATTGCCACAAAAACAAAAATTGATATCAGTGCTGTGAAACTTCCAGAGCGTTTAACAGACGACTACTTTAAACGTGAAAAGAAGCAGCGAAAAAGTACTGATGATATGTTTGAAGAAACAACAGAGGTTTGTTCTCATTTATTTGAGGGAATGTACTTCTTCATCCATCGGATTATACACTATTTATCTAGACAAAACATCTGGTCTAAGTGTAACAGAATGTTCATAAGGCACTATTGATGTACAAACTTTGTCTCTTAAAACAACATTTTTTCATTTATTTATTTAAAGTCAAAAGAAAGAGCAGATTAAAAAACTCAAAAAATGCAAAATGTCCTAATTCTTCCGTCAATGTAGTCTTGTGTTACCTTACAATCCATTTATTTGACATACTTTGTTGAAGTAGGTGTCATAGACAGGCTTAGGCCCTTGACGAGTCATGCAAACCAAAAAATGTCATCGTAGTAAATACGTCAATCATCTAAATTCAGATTTCGCGTGGTTCAAGAGATAAACATGACGTCTAGAATAAACTTCGGTCATTAGCATTTACTAAAGCGAAACATGAGAGGCACAAGGAGTAATGAAAGCAATTATGACGATTAATAACTAGAACAAATGTACTATTATTGCAAAGTCGCATAACATGTAGAATAAGATTAACGATTGGGCTCTCTCTCGTGTCTTAAAACTTAAAACAGTTTCTTTTTCCACATTCATCACCGTCTACGATAAACATGTTGTGCTAGTCAGTATTTTAGGTAGTTTTTTACCTTCTTAGTGTCATTGCCCCTTCGTTTCTAACAAAACAAAAGACGTTTTTTATGTACAGTTTTGTTACTTAATAAAATGCTTTCTTGTAGGAACGAACGGTGAGCGAGGAACGCAAAGAAGATCAAAAGGAGGTCGATGAACAACTCGTTCCATTGATATCGAACGAGGCTTATTTAAAAAAATACCTGAAGACGCTGTTTTCGTTGAGAAAGGGACAATATCCTCACGAAATGATTTTCTAAAATTGAACTCGAAATAAAAAATTCCTTCAAAGATACAACGCGTGTTTATTTTTTGTTGCTTTCGAGAGGATTTACGAATCCATCTTTGATTTAAAAGGATTATGTCTCTCAGAGCATGTTACAGACACAAGATTCTTATAGATTATCGTCCACAAATTCCTAACGTCAAATTGTCAATGCCCTTCATTGTAAACCTTTGTTTCAAATAAAATTTTGGGCGTGGTTCGAGTCGTACAAACGCAAATTAACGTCAACGATTTTGACAATAATTAAGCGTTACTTTTACCAGTTCGTCTAGAGAAATCTAGAGGAGTAGGCAATACTTGCTTATTCAAGTACCAAAAGCATACCATTCCTTCCCCACACCCAAAAAAACCCGCAGAAATCGGGCGCTTAATATTTATACGAACGAATACTTTGGGACTTTGACAGAATGCGATTTCCTAGTCGTGAATTTAGCACAATAATTAATTATGAACACAGGAAATTTTTCAAAAAACCAATAAAAATGTGGCATTATATTTAACAATGGGGATTTATACAAATTTCCTATTTATCCAACACGAATATTTCAAAATACGATAATGGTTTTTGAAAACGTTTCCTGTGAATCGGAACAAGTTGTTTTCCATAAAAACAAATCTTCCGAAGATTTGCACCCCAGCAAAGGAAGAGTCTGTTTTCATTCCTAGTTTCATTAGAAATTACTAAAATTTTTTGCAGCTGCGAGCATCGCTTGATGTTTTCAATGCAAGGTGGCTGAAAGTATTTTGGCTAACCTGCAAGACGGGATTATGATATGCAATTAACATTTCACAATAGTACTTTTGAGCCAAGTTTAATGGACGAAACCTAGTCTTCTGAAAAGACTGGGCTTTTTACGAGAAATTCATGATAGACAAATGTGAATCACGAGATGTTAAACTTACTGGCAATTTTACTTGTCGTGTAACATCCTAGGTGACTGTCAAAATTAGGGTCTTTTGTCTTAGCTATCGCGTTTAACGTGAAAAAAAATCATAAAATCTTTCATATTGGCCTTAAACCTCGGTCACAACAATAGCCTAATTTATCTAGTTATTGAAGTGTTGACTAGATAGAATTAAAAAAGCGCAGACAGTGTCACTTAATTGGATATCCTCGAGTTGACAGTGAAATACCTGTCAACTGAAATACTTGTCTTACGTTAAAACAAATTAGAGAAAATGAATTATGAATAACTCTCTTTATTATTTTACAGCTAATTTTCATTTATCTGTCTTACACTAACATCTATTTATTTCACAAATGGGTTGATGAAAGTAAAGTGAATAAGGATAGAGGGGAATAAATTGCACGAGTTTTCATCAAATATTCAATTAAACTCCCAACAAAACATTGACTATCGTAAGAGGAAAAAACATTTGCAAATGGACGTTTGGCAAAACAGGCACACTGTTCTATTAACAAAATTCGTGAAGATATGCAAAGCATGAAACAACTAGGGAAACCTAGCCTAAGTCGGTTATCAACAAGGCTAAGAACACCATAAAGTATTTCCATACGCCCACACAGTTTCACTTTATACTTTTTGTACTAGAGTTCAGACCCTGCCACTTGAATATTTACGCAGATGAAATTTAGTACGCCTTAATTTCGAGCTTAGCTTATTAGATTCAACAGAAAAAAACAAATATGAAAAAAACCCCAAGGAGAAAAATTTGTCGTGTTATTTTTTGTATCTCTCACTCACATTCGCTAAGTGCTACACAGAAATCTTGCTCTCACTAATCAATAGCAAACTCATTTCTCCATCAATGACAAGATGCTCACGAATATTTTTCAAATCAAGAAATCAATAGGATAAAAATACGGTCTTCGAATAGTTATGGGGTGATTTCGAAGCCCCTCTCAGTGAGTGTGAGTGAGGTTTTAGAATACAGGCGTGATACTTTTAAATGTTCTACCTGCACGCAAATACACAAAATTACATTTTAGCAATTTGGTCAGATCAAATAGAGTATTCCAGAATAGTCGCGCAAATGGGAAGAGAAGGAAGAGGGGTTGGTGATCAGACATCCGTGGATAGGACTGGGGTAGGTGATCAGACATCCCTGATCCATGAATCCCCTCAGCTATATTGTGCATGGAGCCATGTAATACCTCCAATATAGAAAACAATAATTTGTCATAATTTCCGTTGTAGTCGAAGCAGGGCGTATAAAAGCCGGGGCATCAACGAATCTCGCTATCAATGTACAAGAGCTTCCTTGAAGAGAACATTGAGTTTACCAGGATAGAAGTAAAGCGTTTATTGTTTCAAGGTATGTCAATGAGGTAAAGGAATCACAACGAATCATAACAATTTGTGAAAACGCACAGAGCAAATAAAAAAAAAATACGGAAAAGACACGTTTTTCATTTTCATTATAAAAAAACAAGAATTGGAACAACCCTAAATGAAGTTTTCCAAGCAGTTTTTGTTGATTAACTCGATTTTAATGTTCTTTATGTAATATTTTATCAATTGGACACTATCAGTCAACACAGGGCATCCAAGGATTTTGTCTAAGGGATTTCAACAAGGGCCTCGAAAATTCGTGAAGGTCAAAACGTACGTAGCGTCACTCATAATCTTTTAATACTATTTAATAAGTTTTCCTCCTCAAAAAAATGTAAAACAAAAAATGTCATCAAGAGGCTCTATTCAGAAGCGATGTGCAATTCTCCAAACACTCCTAAAGTCAATGCGCACAATGCTCTAGAATATTTCAAAACTATGAAGAACAAATGAAGTTGTCTTTATGACAGTGGTCAACACATGTGAATTTAGATTCTTTGTCATTTGTTGGCCTTGGAAAATTAGGCCAGATAATGTTTAATTCTTAATTACAGGTAGGTGTTGCGCTAAAAATTGATATTGGGTAAATAATCACGAATTTCATTTCAATTACATTTGAACATTAATTTTTCATGCAGCCAATTTAAATCAGACGTAGTTAAAAATTGCTTTTTAAATGACCTGCAGGACAATATATTTTTTTCATAAGATTGAAAGGCAGTACAACATACGCTATGTTCAAAACCCTTTCTAAGTTGATGAGCAACAACATCTCGAAGAAGCTTGAAAACGGCTTATTGTATAAACATATACACAAGCGAATAACCAATAAATGTGGACAATAATTGGGCTATCCGCTGGGATTCGTTTCTATTTGCTCGGTTAGCAAGCATTGTTCTACTAATAATTCAATACACACGGAAAAGAATCATATGAAAATCACAAATAAGCAAATCATTTAGTGTACTTGAAGCATCTTAAATACATAAACTCGTGCAGAATTCAGGAATAATTCGACTTGACGAGAACATTCTTCACAGAGTGTATTTCTATGTTTCTTAAATTCTTAGGCAAGTTTTAACGTTGAGTTTAGCATTTGTTGAACGTGTTCGAAACATAAGATGATGTGAAGGTACAATATGTTGTCTATGTCTTTACATGCACAAGGCAACGTTTGAGTATGTAATCCAAGTAGTCGAGCATTTGGATATTTTAACCTCGGTGGTAGTAAATACACCAGCGAAAACGAAAATGTTGTAAAATTGACACTCGCAACTATAATTTTAAATATTTTAGGATAGACAATCGTAGGAGAAAGAAATGGCAACTTCACGAATATTCTCAGTACTGATTATTCTCGTCGCGTTTGCATATGTCACAACAAGAAGAAAATTCGCCAGCCCAAAGCAGTTGGTAAGAAAAGTCCTGTTCGCGCATTTCTATTTTGTCAAATCCAAATCACTCTATCATCTGGAATGTATAGTTTCATAGCAAATTACAATCTTACGTTAATCCAAGACAAAAAAATGTTACGCAGATATTTAATTTTAGAGTTTCCTGAAGAAAGATATTAAAGAAATTTCTAGAATTTTAGAAAGCAGTTAGGCAAGACACACTCCAATGAGCTTTCCGTAACTTAATATCACAAATTACCCCCTTCATCAAGTATACCTATGTGCATGTGCATTTTTAAATTTTATTTCACAAAAAACACAAAGAAATTATATTGTAATACTAGTCACGCTCATGAAGAAATTATTGTTATAAAACAAGTCTTTCCATTTAGTTTTTACACAATCCTAATCACCCAAGCGCGTTTATTTTTCTATTTTCGAAATCGCACCAAGAGTGATAAAACGCGTATGTTATTAGCTTCATCAGACACTACAGTAATACAACGACGCGAGGTCAATACAATTGCTCGTATTAGAAAAATGTGTTTGTGAGAACGAGTTGCATTGTTGGATTAAACAGTGAAGACGTGCTTCTAATGTATGTTTATATTTGTTTTGTCATAGATGAAACATTGTCCTAAAGTGTACAACCAGAAATGTTTTAAACATGATGAATGCAAGTGTAACTATCCAGTAAAACTGATCTGCAACCACAAGAAACAATGTGGTCGAATAACTATTGCATACATCATGTCAAAGATAAGGGTAAGGCTTTGAAAAAGATATATTTTATAGAATATGTTCAACTATAAACATGAATACCTTAGAGAAAGAAAAATTCCTATGAAATAGAGAACAGGCGACACCTTAAGAAACACAGAACATGAAACATCTTAAGAAAGACAGAACACGAATATCTAAGGGAGAGAGAACATGAATATCTTAGGAAAGAGAGAACATGAATATCTTAGAAATAAGAGACATGAATATCTTAGGAAAGATAGAACATGAATATCTTAGGAAAGATAGAACATGAATATCTTAGGAAAATGAGAACATGAATATCTTAGAAAAGAGAGACATGAATATCTTAAGAAAGAGAGACATGAATATCTTAGGAAAGATAGAACATGAATATCTTAGAAAAGAGAGAACATGAATATCTTAGGAAAGAGAAAACATGAATATCTTAGGAAAGAGAGAACATGAATATCTTAGGGAAAAGAGAACATGAATATCTTAGGAAAGATGGAACACGAATATCTTAAGAAAGAGAGACATGAATATCTTAGGAAACAGAAAACATGAATATCTTAGGAAACAGAAAACATGAATATCTTAGGAAAGAGAGAACATGAATATCTTAGGAAAGAGAGAACATGAATATCTTAGGAAAGAGAGACAACGAATATCTTAGGAAAGAGAGAGAGAATATGAATATCATAGGAAAGAGAGAACATGAATATCTTAGGAAAGAGAGACAACGAATATATTTAAGAAACAGAGAACTTGGTCCTTAAAAATAACCAACATGAAATTAGTTCATTTCAGTGATTTTTGATCCACTTATGTTTAGTGCCCTAAAGTTTTCAAGAAAAAATGCACGTCTGATAAAGACTGTAAAAAGTGTCGAGGACTGATTTGCGAAGACAAAGAATGTGTTTTTCAGAAAAAAGTCAAGTCGATATGAATTAAAAAATATTTTCATGTAGCAAAGTCTCAGTAATTGTTGATTGATTTTAATAATGTGAATGTCGTCTATTCAACGAGGGCGCAAATCTGTGCTATAAGGGAAAGTGGAAGCGGGAGGTGGGAGCGATGAAACAAGAGGAAGAAGATATATCTTTTCACCCCTTAGCAATAATACCTTAGTGATCAATTTACTTATCAGTTCCACATACGTCATTTCTTAAATCTACATAAAATACTATTGAAAATACTATATTCAACTTTTCGATTAAGAATAGAAATACGTGTAAGTAGACTTGAAGATGTTTCATTGGCCATGACTGAAAATTTCTTTTATTAATATTTTATCACTTACATGTAATGAAAGTCAGGAAAATATTCATAAAACATAGCCGCATTTGATATACACACATACAGGTGCGTAGAGAATATTTCATGAAGACGGATTTGCGCCCTCAAATGTTGTCACCAACATGGCAATCATATTCTTAGATAAACAAATAAACCACTGTAAAAACGGTTTCGTGTATAGTTTAATGTTTAAGTTTATGTAATTACCATTATAATTACAGCTATATGTATGTAAAATCATCAAAATGTATTATTGCAATGTTCGAAGATTTTACTGGATGTATATTTTCTGTACAGTCAGTTATACAAGATAGAACATTAATCAAATAAATACATTTCCAAACAACACGCTGTTTTTTTATCGTTCTAATATGCTTTGAAAACATTTTACACAATTTTCGAAATGCCCGTGGATAAAGTGATATGGCTGACTGCTCAACGAAAAACGAAAATCTAAGCCAAGCCTATCCGTTTTCATATCGTTGTTCATATACTGCCTTATCGAGCTTATTGAAATGTGATGATCTCAAACAAGAACACCCGAATCGAGTTGTAACTGATCGAACATTATCTCAAATCGAAAATAATTCACATTGAACATCCAACCACACATCAAATAACGCAAAAAGTAACTTAAGACTGTGTGTATAAACGAGGTAAAACTTGAAATGTTTGATGTTCCTGCTTGTTAAATCCGAACTTAAATCATGGTAAGTTTCATATATGTGCTTTCAAACGGTTACTACACATATAACATTTCGTCATCACAAGACTCGATATGTATTTGAATTGTCGTCATTGAAGAAATCAATGGCTAGGAAAGATAATACGGTACACACTAGGTGAGCAGGAGGTATATAGGCCAGAGCGTTGATCCACCAAATGCCGATGGCACAACCAGTAAACGTAAATGGTTGAAAGATGAGAAATATGAGAAACACGGTCGCCCAGTCACGTTCGCCTTTCTTCTTTTGACCGCGAGGTTTGTCCCAATAATCCAAAATCATGGGAGATAACAACGCCAACCATAGTGAGGCAACTGCTCCCAAACCGTAAATAACCGAGAGAGAAATCAACCAATCTTCTTCAATCGCCATCTTCTAATGTTGAAGCAAAAAGCTGTTGAGTAAATTCATTCAAGAACAAAACACACGCTTTCCTGCCTTCAGTGATGAAATTGCTCTCGAGACAAATACTCCTTGCAATGCTTTCAATCACTCGCTCGAAAAACAAGACCTCGATTATTCGGTCTCTTTAAAGTGCTTTAAATTTCGCAGTAGTATAGCTACGTGTGCCAGTGATACAGCTACAATAGCATTTGCCGCAATGAAAGCATCGCGTTGCTACGGTTTAAGTGCTACAACCAATCATAAATTATTCACTATATACATCATTTTCAGCTGCACATTAATTCGCGACCGCCAACAAGTAGCAGGTTTAAACGTACCGAATGTTCGCGACCGTCAAAATTTAAGATGTTTACTTATGTTAAAAGCGGTTCAACCTACTGTATTTATTCAGCTGCCCTCTGCAGGGAGATTAGGATATATGCACCGAATTGAATATTTCAGTTACGGAGGACTGTGTACATCATATATTCAGATGTACGGAAATTATTCTTAACCGAGAAATGAAAAAGCTACACTGAACTTCCTTGAACCTTAAATTTATGATGCTCATACTAAGCAAATATACAGTATTTACACATGGTCAAAAGCATGGTGTCAAAAAATCAACTAACTTACTTGTTTAATACATCGTCAGAAAGTCACGCAACGTCGTGTTCAAAACCACTATAAAAAACGATCATAATTAAAACATCTTCATTAATGCATCGACCATGGATTAGGGCATAAAAATAGCACAGAATGTAAGGCAAAAATAAGCAGCTTTAACTTTTAATTAGATTTCTCCCGCAGTTAAACTGTCACTGTAAATTGTACTTCATGTTTAGCATGATGCATTGCAAGATGCGATATTGATGCTACGTGCTCAATTCAATTGAGTTGAATATATAACTGGAGGGCGACCATAACGGAAAACATGCTTTTCGTAATGAACCTTCTTTTAGCAATGCGTTTGAGGATTGCAACTTATTAAATAGCTAGCTTCAAATTTAGACAGAAAATAACCATCCAGTTATATTCAGTTCAATGTTCAATTCTCACCACTTCACGGCGATTCATTACTTCCCAGTCATCATCGTCCGAATTTTCCTATAATACAAACAATGTTTTAGGCCTTTAACTTTATCGGAATAAGATAGGGAAATATGTAAAAAGGCTTTGAAGAGTTCTGAGTCTTAGAAAATTCTATGAACTTATGTTGTTTTTTCATATCAATCCATGGCAATCCATAAACAGAGAGAGTAACGAAAGAAAAGAGTGCCGAATACCTATACATAGAGCAAAGTAGTATTTATTTAAAAATACTTCGCAATTCCTTTGTTTCTAAATTCATGATTGCGCTAAGCATGAAACTTAAAGTAGCAACAAAACAATTGTAAATCAATTTTCGGATAAATATACATATATACATGTCAACCAACCGTTTGTTCAAACTTCAGGAGTTATTGCAATGTTGTGTTATCACCGTGTTAAGACACATGTCACCATGTTTTATGTAGATGAAGAAAAATAAACAGATGCACAGTTTGCTCATAATTATACCTCAGAGCTTTCCGCAATCATATTTCGCTCATCCAAAGCAGCCAAATCATCGGGACTATCTCGGACCGTGCCGGCAGTAAGACTTTCCACACGGTGTATTCCGGCAATGGCACGACTGTGTCCGGGACACATACTGAACAGACAAAAAGTTCATAAAACAATGATAACAACAAGAAAGCGACGTTTTGCAGTTTTACACAGCTTTTCCAAATGATATATCTCATAAGTTTTGAAAGTACCAAAGAAATTTTGCCTTTTTAAAATGAAGGTTGACTTTGGCAAACAGTTTTTACGTATTTCCTTTCACTCTCAAAATGTTTATTTTCAAACGGCCAAAACTATGGCGTCGCATTGCACAATGGTCACCAAAATATATCAAAAAAGAACCAAAACAGAACCAATTTAATCGAGGTTTTTTACTTCCAAAAAATAGAAACCGGGATAAATTGCTGGAACTGCACAGCTCTCATATGCAATTTGTATCACGAGTAAGATTGATTTTCATTTTCAGAAAAGATTAAGGGCTTGTGTGTCTTTATTCAGCGGCCATTAAATTATTTCTTATAGAAACTTCGCTATATTTTACCTTATCCCGATGCTGTATTGATCCAACGCTTCTTGATACTCGTTCAGAGATGCGAGATTATCACCCAGAAGTATGTGAAGGTTTGCACTCTTGATGTGCGTTAAATGTTTTCTTAATCTATACGATTGAACGCAAAATAGCAACGAATTGAACAATTATTGTTCGTCAAGAGCTTCAATGATAACTGAATTTTGCTAGTCTATCATTTCAAGCTTTTGAAATGATTAAAAAAGGACAAAAAATGACGACAAAAATGACGCTTATTACAATGGAACATTTTGCAGGTAAGAACTCTAGCAATGCATGTGTTATTGAAATTTTCTCATTCCTGTTACACACACTAAACTGAAACTCGTTATATTTCATTCTCTAAGTAAAAGAGAGACCTGCAGAAGCAGAAGCCACTGGAAATGTACTTAAACAAGTTCCACCAGACTCATCAACATTCAACATGATTCTTACAATTCCACAGCTCCTTCGTGATTTTGTTCTTTCGTTAGCATCTCGGCCAAATCATATACAGCATCAGCAAACATTGGATCCTGAGCGATGGCTTTCTCCAGCATCTGTTTCGCCTGAAAGAAAAATCACACATTATTCACGAAATCACCAATTATAGCAGCATGAAATCTGAATTTCCCAAAGCAGTAAATGAAATACCTTTTCTTGAGTTTGACTTTCCTTCGACAAGACCATTGCTAAAAGCTGCATAAACAAGCAGAACAAAGTGCAATTTTCGTGGAATTCAGTCAATCGCCACCCATTACATATAAAAATTAGAAAATGGCAATGCAATTCCACGTACGTGCATAATTCCATATTTTCTACTCACCAGCAAGGTTCGAGGGTTTGTTCCCAGACATTTATGTGCATTTTTTGCAATCACTAAGGCTTCCTTGTGTCGATTGCTCGCAAGATAACATTCAATAAGACCTTAAAATGAAAAACAAAAAAGTTGATTCAATCACTCAGAATTTGGCAAGAAAAATTAAATTTGCTTTGAATGTGAGACCGACCTTTATTTCCTTCGTAATTATTTGGAGAAAGTCGGGTGACTTCACGGTAGTGGTCGATCGCCTCATTCTTTCGTTTCACTGACGAAAGTAGGGAACCTAACAACAGAATATGAAAGAAATTCGGTAAATATCTGTCATTGAATGAACGTTTGGAGTTGGTAGATATCTGCCATTGAATGTAAGTTTGGAGTTGGTAGATATCTATCATTGAATGTAAGTTTGGAGTTGGTATATATCTGTCATTGAATGTAAGTTTGGAGTTGGTAGATATCTGCCATTGAATGTAAGTTTGAAGTTGGTAGATATCTGTCATTGAATGTAAGTTTGGAGTTGGTAGATATCTGTCATTGAATGTAAGTTTGGAGTTGGTAGATATTTGTCATTGAATGTCAGTTTGGAGTTGGTAGATATCTGTCATTGAATGTAAGTTTTGAAAACAAATAGTTGAAATATAACAGTACGGTGTTGTAGAAAGATTCTCCTCACCTTTTGTAAGTAATGCCTGTATGTTTTGATTGTCCATGTTATGTGCCTATAAAATAAATGTGTATGTTTGAAAAAAACTTTCTCTTCAATTTAAGATAGGGCGGATTTTCTTTTTTTTAGTACGTAGGAATTTCCAGTGACATATAGTTGATGAATCCTTTTTCAGAATTGTCCTTAGTAAGATATTGATACATTAAAACACTTCGAGTAAGATTTGTCCGCAATATTTTACAAATGCAGGGATTTTTACTATAGTACATCGTTGCAGTTGTAAAAGCACGTAAATTTCAACCCCATTCCCTCAAATTCAAGCGTATTCTGTGCCTTTCTCCTGGTCCCTACCACATGCACATAAAAAGTAAATGATGTAAATTCGTTGAAAATTGAGTATACTTTAAAAATAGAGATGGAAACCTTTTGGGCGAAATAGATAGCCCGGGTCTTTTTATTTGCAACAGAAGACGAATGCGCCATGGCAATCCAAGGTTCGGGTCGATCCTCACTTACTCCTATAAGTTCCTCGGCCAAACTAAAACACGATAAAAATGACAATACTTATATGAAATGGGCTAAACTCATAGAACAAGCAAGCCTCTATTACAAGCCTTTCAGCACAAACCTTTCAACATTTTGTTTTTCACCGTTTTGAGCAAGAAGACTGGCGTAGAGATCCATTCCTTGTAAACACTTCTCATCCAATGAACGCACCTTAAATGAACTTCTGTGAGGATAAAGACACTTCGAAATCGCTAATACTGTTTACTAATTCAATTTGATCTGTAAGACAACCATACCCCCCTGTCCTTTGGGAGATGCATATACTATTGATACACAATCATCGTGAATGGCGGGGTAACATAACGTAATTTTATGTACCTCCAAATTGCTTAACGTATACCTACGTAACTTCACTTTATAAACGTAAGTAACTTAACTCATTATAAAATTCTTCCCTTACGAATGCTTTGTATTTTTGGAATTCTTCACTCATACAAGCCCTGTGATTGGTCAATTACCTGCATATTAAATATTCAGTCCATAATAAATCTTCATTTACGAACCCTATTATAAACAGTCTTCGCATTGTTCAAATCTCCCGACTGCCATTGACATTCAGCCAACAGACAGAGCACATCGACATTGTCTCGAAGATGCTGTAGAAAAATGTTAAAAAGCTAGCTGCATGAGAGAATAAATAAACACCTCACACAGCATACATCACCAAAAACAAACAAAACTCATTCTTCGCAAAAATTATCACTTTTGAAATAAGGTAAACATAATTTCTCAACAAAAACGAAATGCCTGAAATTAAAGAGAGGTATTTTACTACCTGAGACTCGAGTGTTTTCAGCTGCTGTGCAGCCTCTAAACGAAAATACAAAATGACAGTCGATTGTACTTGTTCATGTAGGGAAAGTAGCATTTTGAAAAAAAATCCGAAGCAAATGGAAAACATATAACTGGCGATCCAAAGTTTGTGCTAAGATTCAAAAAAACACCGTCGTTTACTGGTTATTTGAATTGATCATATGTTTCATTACTTTCATAAGCCAAGCTATTTGTATGGTTAAAGTTGAGCTCCACTTTCAACCCTTACACTGCGAAATTTTAATTAATTTTGGATACAAAATCGACAAAAATAAAATTTTGAATAAACTGACAAAAAAACAAACTATTAGCTTATCAACTGCACTCTTGCACTGTCATTCTTGATAGAAACTACTAGCGATCCCATTATCCAATGATAGTAGCTACAGAGTTGCATTGAAAAATTGAACTTTGCTATTTTAATACATATTAGTTTCAACACGCTCTCATCTTGATTATGTTTTGCTACAAATTCTACTTTAGACATCGTTGATCATTTATCAGGAATTAAATGGAGTATATACTTTACGTGGAAAAAAAGATAAGCACATAACGCAAAGTTTGATGGCTTTTTCGAGGCTTATACTCAACGATTTTGTCAAACGTTTCAATTTAATAATTGACTTTAGATTTACTTCGATACCCCTGTCTTTAGTGCTAGGGAGGGAAACTCGCACAAATTTTCAGCTGCGTCGAAAATAACAGATCGAAGATCCCGAAAAATGTTGTGTGCTGATTATCTTTCTCATAATAATCGCTCTTCACATAACAATACTGCAAAGTTTCCTAGCGTAGGCTTTAACATCCATCGCATGAACATACAGTTATATGATCCCGTGGTAACGTTATACATTGAAAAGAGGAGAATTTTATTTTCACATTAATTTTAGAACCAAGCAACAAAGAGGTTATTATCAAACATATACGTACTTGTGAATTTCGATGTTGCTTTGAGAGCGTAAGCCTTCAGCCAGTTCAACAACCTTGGTGAAAGTGAACAACGTGAAAGTATTTTTGACATGGTTGGACAGTTAACGTGCTTAAAGGTATATGTCAAAATCGCACACCATTCGAAGGTTCCTACGGAAGGCATTGAAACAGACATTAAGGATGTCACTTCCGTGGCGTTTTGACCAAGTTGCAGAAGACCCATTGCAGCTTCCAAAGCTAAAGGACACGATCTACGAAATTGATCGAACGCAAATTTAAATGAAAAATATGCGACATAGCTACATCCAAAATATTTTTCAGCCATTGAAAGATCTAAAATATTAAATCTATTTGTTGCACCTCAAGACATCTTTATAGCAAGCAATGGCAGGCCTAGAAGATATAAAACGATACATTCTTAGTTTCATGAAGTTTTTCAAATGAAGGTAACAAGAAGTAAATGATAATCTGAAACTGTGACACAAGATGAAAAACCAATGACAACGCTTTCAAAAGCAGAATTCTTGTTTTGTGTTGAAGAAATGCAGTTATGGTAACAAATTTAAGGTGACTGGGTTACAAACCTTTCAATACCCAGTTTATGGTAAAGTTTTGCCAAGCACATTGTTATCTGAGGTGATCGTTGCTTTGGAGGGATGTCGTCAAGCTGAAACATACGTAACAACATAAAATGCTTAGAAAACGAAACAATCATCGTGTTTTCAATGTAGACTCTTATAGTTCATTTGATAAGACACAGGTTATTAACCGACTCCCATGGATATATACATGCCATATCTCTGTGGCATCAGTAATCTGAGCAGTAGCAAAGCTAGCCCACAAGTTTTAGTCCTGCAAAGTAAACTTCAGATCGTTAACAATATTTCTTTCTTTAGATACCTATTGTTGTTCCAGCATATGAATACAAAAAAAATTACATAGCAGACTAAATAATCGGAGCTGGTTTTGCCATTGAGTCTGAGATATATTTTAACACAAAAAGATTTTCAACTTTGGATTCCACATGTGATTGAATCTTATTTAATTAATAGATAAGTCCCTCTTACAGTTTTCTGAGCACTTTTGTAGTCCTTCAGTTTCATTTGACACAGATAGATCTTGTAACGAATATCGACATCAGACATATTCCCCTAACAAAAAAGTTTACAATAAGCAGTGTATTTTAGCACCTGAAAACCAAATTAAAGGTAACTGTTTTGCATACTCTTATCAAAAATTTCAACAAATGATGGGCATACCATTGCTGAGGTTGATTTATACTTCTTTTTCATTAAATTTTTCTTGTATTGCAAGGCAGTTTGATAGTATTTCTACATAAGGAAAATGTGATTCCATTTGACATCAAAAACAACAAATTTTCTCCATGTAGAATGTGTAATATATTGCAATGACATACAAGCCAACCAAAGAACCTTCAATTCAAGAGATGATCAATGCTCATCCGACAAAAGGTGTGTAGATCTTCCTAGAAGGATGATTGGGGCATTGGCGTGCTTCAAAAGAGCTGCCAGCATTCTCAGGCTGTTGTATATCAAAGTCATTAATTGCACTATTACTCAGTCTTCCTCAACAATTTTCTAGCCAATAATATTATAATGACACTCCACAGTATACACTCAATTCTCAAAATTTTCCGGGAGGGGGGTGGTGCAAAAAGTTGTAATCAGTTAATTTTATATTTGTAACCTCAGCTCTCCTGAACTCTAGACTTTCAAATAAAGAATCAGCATAATACACAAGAAGGATGCAATGATTAGCCATTCCCTGTAGATCGTTCGACTTGCAAGGTGGTAGAGACGATAAGACCAGTCCAGCCTAAAAGTACCATAAATACCAGAATTACAATGAGGAAGACCAACATCATGCAAGCTTTGATATATCAAACAACTTCCAATGATATATCAGCGAAATAATAACGACCTATTTAAATAAGAATTCTACGTATAAACAGGAAGTCGAATTTGTCCCTTACGGTAATTCGCAGATTGGACAATAGTCCCGCATCATTTACTCTCTTTACTTGTTCTAGTAGCAATGTCATGTCTGATTAAATCGGTCTGGAATTTGACAATGAGAATCGATGATAGTTTAGTCTTTTAACACATCCACTAACTTGTATTTTAGTGTATTTTAGCTATATTTTTCAATATTTTGAACGTAAATTTAAAAAAATGGCGGTCAACAAATTTCTGAGCAAGCAGTCACGCGTACTAGCGGCTGCAGCGGACCAGAAAATGTACCAACATGGTTGTAAATTGTAAATTGTTTTTATTTAAAGATATTCCTTTTTGAAAGAGATAAAATTGGTTAATGAAATTGTATTCGAAATTGTCTCATTGATCGTTCAATGATCTAATGATATTGAATATTTCACTAGTGTTAATAATAACTCTGATTATCAAGGTGACAAGGTCTGATCAAGAAATGTTAGAAGCAGATGTAGGAGTGGGTGTATTATTTGGTATAAGTTGTGGTTTTTGTCTTGGTTGGGTACTGCGCGGTCGATACAGTGGCAAAATAGCCAGTGTCACGAACTTGGCTGACAAAGTTAGTGTCTATATTTCATGGTTTGGTGACATTCTGCATGTAACTTTTTTAGATGAGTTTGACTTAAATAATTTTACTAAACAAACAACCTGAATACTGAGCAATTGTTTGCAAGAAATGTTGACTAACTGTGCAGATAAAGTGTTTTTGTAAAAGTCACATTGATATACATGTACAGTTACTGTTTGACTTAATTGACTAGTTAACACAAGGATTTTCGACCCAATGTTGTTTGCTTGTTAATATGCTCAGTTATCAGTCATTTGTAGTGAGGCAAATCATATCAAAGGGACAAGCTAAATTTTGCTCTTAGTATTGACATTCCCCATTATATAGATAACAACATACACACCTGGGGGGTATGGAGATTATAAAATGGTCCTGATTGTCCGTCAAGACTTGGGCATGGGAAAAGGAAAAGTAGCTGCACAGGTAATATGGCCCAGTCTTGTTGTATTTTTGTTTTGTTGTAATGTTGCATTAAGAACAATCTACTCTTCTTAAAGAAATTAATCAAGTGTCTTTTCATTTTCTTAGTGCTCACATGCAGCCGTGGGACTTTATAGGCAACTTCTGAATTCAAATGCCAAGGTACAATAGAAACAGTTTTTTTCAAAATTTGTCGCTTTTTGACAATTCAACAACTAATTTTATTTACTTTGAATTTCATTTCTCTGTGTTTTCATCAAAATTTACATGATTTTAGGGATTTTTCAGCATGCCAAGTAGTTTTACCATAGATCTGCAGTGAATTTTTATCTACATGACTTAGATTATCAAAAGTTGGGAGAGATCAGCTAGTCCAAAAGTGGTCGTTAAAGCCCTGATGAAGATACTCTGTAAGTGACTTTTATAGGGACTTTCAGAAAGACCATGAAAATGTCTAAATTGATCAAAAAGCCTGTTTTATGCAGAAATGAATTAGGAGCGAAAGCCCGACTTTACGGGATTGAAACGTGCTTAATAAGTGATGCGGGACGAACTCAGATTGCTCCTGGATCACGAACTGTCTTGGGTATTGGACCAGGTAACTTAGAGGAAAAATTGTAGTCTTGTTAGCTTGTTGTCAAAGGACGTGAAATCAGTTGTAAAAAACTCTGCATTCTCTCCATTATAGGTCCGATCGATCTGATAGACAAAGTTACGGGGGATCTTAAACTTTATTGACTAAATGTCACAAACAGAATCACATGATGTTTTTGAATTAAATTTAAAGAAAATCGAATAAAATACATCTTTAACTTGTTCCTTACAAAAAGTCTTCGATAAAATTGGTCTGTTGCTCTGTCACTCACCTGAAGTAATTAAATTGACTTCGTATCATCTTCATAGGTTGCTACTTGTCGTTTTCACCACCCGTACAAAGGTACAAGAACATCTCACTACGAGCACCGTGAGGGAACCAATATTTTCAAACTCTTTGATATCTAATATCATCCTCAATAAAACATCGTTTTTCGTCAAAGATACACAAAATACTCAGGATTCCAGGTTGTGCGCATTTCTCATTTACAAAACAAAGATTTGACTGCGCCTTAAATGCATTAAATCTAACGGAGAAAGATCAAGAGCGACTAAATCTTGGTAAAGTCTCGTCAGACCTATATGATACACAAGAAAAATAAATGCCATTGAACATCAAATATCTTCATGTTCTTGTTGTATCCCAAAATACAGTTCGTCATCACACGTGTTCGCAGATGTAGATCGTCCAGGTTGGTCGTGTCTTGAAAAGGGCTGTTGGTGTGGTGAGATTTCGACAACGTTAGCAGTAGTTATCTTCACAGTCAAGTGAGGAGGACGATCTACATCTACAAACATACAGTCCATCACTCAGTATTGAATGATTTTATTGTTTTATTTGTGGTACGTCATCACACGTGTTCGCAGATGTAGATCGTCCAGGTTGGTCGTGTCTTGAAAAGGGCTGTTGGTGTGGTGAGATTTCGACAACCTTAGCAGTAGTTATCTTCACAGTCAAGTGAGGAGACAGAAGTCATCCTCATCCTCATTCTTGTTAACTTTGAAATAAAGTCGAAAATTTACAGTTCACTTCTCGTCTTGTTTTGATGCATATTTTGCAATCTCGAGATGTCTTGCTTCTTCGGAATTTGTTTTATACTATATTTCTTTAAATTGTCGGCTGGTCATGTTTTTTTCCATTACTCAGTATTGAATGATTTTATTGGTTCATTTCAGCGTACACATGAATTTTCTTGAAACGTAATCAATAAAAACACAATAACGTGTACAATCAACATTTATATACGATTAGGGATCTAAGCAAGGAACAAAGTTTCAAACAAACATTGCCTTTTTGACTTGTAATATGAATCAACCATTACCATTTTTCATACATTTACCTATTTTCTTATTAACTTCGATTTAATTATTATAGTTAACGAGTCCATTAACTTCGTGTAAAGTGAGTATATTTTTCAAACTATTATCTGCTTTCTTTTACTAGTACAATGGAGTAACGGTTACAAGCTATCGCTTAAATAGCTACTAATTGTCCGATGGTAAAATTTTGGTCAGAGATGAGTTTCCAGCAATCTGTGGGGGTGCAAATCTTAAGTCAGAGGAAGACGCTGGATATTTGTTGCAAGACGTTCCAAGTTGATTTCTTAAAGTATTCAAAAGCTTCCCAACATCAGATGATGGCGACAATCTTTGCAATGGCTCCTTGAAACTGAAAGTATATCGTAAAAAAAGAACAGTAAATGTATCATACAGCGGCACTGTCAGGTAACTATGGATAAAACAATCGAAATATTTCACTATGCAAAATCTTAACTGTTGCAATGTCAGGAGTTCCTGATGATTTTTTGTATTACACATTCATTTCTGGTTTATTTGGTGAATGATATGAATTGATTATTGAAATTTATTAGTTTAATGGCCGTACTTTGGTTGTGCAGAGAATTGGAGGTGCAGAAAATTCTATGCATACATAACCATGCAACGTTTACAATACATCAACGTAACTTACCAGTCACGGACTACTCTGTTGCAATCGTTACTGTCCAGTTCTACCAGGAGCTCAGTTTCATTTGCTGAACAATAGATAGGTACACAACTGATCTCCCTCATTTGTGAAACACAAGCATCTGAAAAAATCCTTCCTCCATCACTGTATCGTTGATTTGTAATATTTTTCAAAAACATTTGGACGCTAGCAGACTTCTTTCGATAATCTTCAAGGAACTCTGTTGTCATCTAATTGTAAATTCAAGGTATGATTTTATCATTTGTAATGATTTCTGATGATTTTTAGAATTGTCTCAATTGACGCGAACTATCGTCTCATTTTATTAAGGGGGAATTGAATTTGTAATGCAATTTTTTCGGTTGTCTCAAAAATCTATTAGAAAACAAAAAGCTACGTTCTAAAGTGATTTAGAAATATCTTAGTTTTGTAATTTTGATGCTCGAGAATTCTTGATTATGTCATCTAAAAGATGCTTCTTTTGTTTGATGTCACTACAACCCTCAATTTTAGGAGTGTCGCTTATAAAATGTCGAGGATAAGAGTGTTGAGGGTGAGAGTTAAGAGTCAAGGCTGAGAGACTTTCTTCAGTCTTATTATACAACCTGCAAGTGTCAAAAATTCGTTTCAAGCATGTGCATGTAGTTATCTTGTACTTGAAACTCAATAATGGATATAGGAGAGAAAAATTATTTGCATTCAATGATAAGATGAGCCTTTCGTCATTCATGTTACATTTTCACTGGTCTCCAAAATGATAAGGACATTGTAAAATTACATTGTACCTTTTTTAATGAAATATGTCATAAAAAATTTTGAAATAAGCACATTGACATTAAAAACATATGAGCCTACATGACATGAGCACAAATTAAAAAGTTCTTCATACGTACCTTAAACATTGGCTGAGGACAAGCACCTGTAACGTATGCAGTGTTGGCAACACATTCACCGTAAGAGTGTCTGCCCTTTTTCAAATTCGTGCAACAGTTGTTTGTCTTCAAACTGTTAACAAAACTTGAAGGACAATAAGAGTAAAGGTTGTTGCACAGCTTAGTTACATTTCCATAATCTCGACTGTAATTGCTTTCGGAACATTTCGGTGTCACTTGTGAACATAAGACTTCTTTGACAGCATTTCTGCATGTAGATGAATAGCCAAGTTGAGCATAGAGTTTGAGCGCATCTGAAACGATCTCATTTTCCTGTTCGTAAACGTTGGCAATGTATGTATTCAATTTCCAATTCAATGTACAAGGGCTTGCACTTTGCACGGACACGCATCCTTCTCTCTTTGAAAATACATAAAGTTTTCCATCGGGTGCTCTTCGTTTCACCATGCTGCACATGGAGTCGTCAATTAGTAACGACTCTAGAAGAAGAATCAAAATGATCGCGAGATAAGAATGTCGCATATTTTCTCAGACAATTGATGAGTTGCTCTGATGTCTTCTTTCCAACAAGGGCTGAAATAAAACTGAAAAACTCTAACGTTGCTAAGCTCTTTATATGGAATTTTATGTTCTCAAATGACGAAATAGGTATGACGCTGACGTGTGCTTAGCCGTGCATATAATACGTGGCCACAAAATATAGTAATTTGTAAAAAAAAGAGAAACTAATATATTGATATTGGTAACTGCATTTTTATGGTAAAACATACTATGTTTATAGCTGTTTTAGACATACAGTTATATTGGTTTTGTGTAAAAAACTGTTTAAAGTGGCGTCTATAGCTAATTATAGACGTGTTGACTTACGTCATTATTATGAGGTAATTGTTCTTAACTAGATTGCACCATCGTAATGCAAGAGCATTTTGAAATTGCTTCAAATTGCTTCAAATGAATCCAAGGAAAATTTAAAAAATATTTCATAACAGGTTTATTTCGAATTCAATGCACTTTACTTCGTCTCCAATATTTTTAACGTATTCTTAATGCATAACGAACAATACGTTTATTACAGTATTGTCCGAATAAATTAATTTGCTGTAATGTATTCTAATACATACTGAAATTCAAAATTCCGACTGAAATATCTTCTACTGAATTTTTATTTTTTCATTTTTTCTTTCAGTTAAAAAATGTAATTCGAATACTGCCCCGCACATTAGATAAGTTTGTGTATCTTATGAATATTCTCAATGAAACGTGGTTAGGAGTCGATTCCAGAAATCTTGGACAGTGTTGATTATTTGATAGTGGATTTTTCAATGGAATGTTTCAATTATAAAACTTGTAACAAGTTAAAATGCCTGCTCAGGTACTTATATATCACTGCGTTGCGTTGATTTATTGCAAACTTTACTCAAACAAAACGACTACTTGCTAGGGCTATCAGGTACAAATACATACAATGCAAAGACAAATGTATGTATGTTATGCTTAGACAAATGTATGTATTTCTCGGAAGCTTTGGGTTACAAGTTTTTAATGTGGATCCGATTAACATCATTCCATCAAAGGAAAATAAATTCATTGGCCGTATTGTATTGATTAAATATTGGCCTATTAGCATTCAAAATTTTGCGCCTGACACACTTGCAACAATAAAATATACGACAAAAAACAAGGACCTCTTTCTTATCTCCGTAGTTGACGCAGGAGTAATTGGATTGGAAGTAAGTAATAATGACATTACTGGCCGTATTTAAGAATTAAGAAAAAAATGTTGAAATTAGAAGCATGTTTAAAAAAAATTCAACAGTACATCAGCATATTGTTGAACAGTGAATAGGCGAACGACTGATTTCTATCAATTCTAAACCTTCAGACGTCTTTCGAAAACCTTGAAGAAAATCTAATGTGTTCTCTAGAAGTTAAATTATTAATTCCATGCAAAAGTTTTGAGTCGATTATTTTATCAACGGAAGATTTTACCGTGTTAAAATAAATTTGAGTTACTGAGCTTATATATTTTTACGAAAGGAAACATTGTAAACTAAGATATACTGTTGTTATATGAAACGATCTATAATTTAAGTATGTCCGTTTATAAGCGCACACCTTTTCTCGACATATATAAGTAGTCAAACGTCTAAAATTTTCTGCCTCTAGCTGAAAGACATCAAAAGCCAATTCAAGAGTAAAAAGGACGATCGACATAAATCCATTGCTTCTATGACCTGAGGATGAGTATGTGGTAATCCGTCGGGGATCTGGTCGCAGGTCTGACGAAGACACAGGGTGAGTGTCACACAATAATTGAAGTTGATTTCTTAAAGGGTTCATAATCCTCCAGTAAGACGCGTGCGACAATCTTCGGTGTGGTTCGTCAAAACTGAAACATAAAAATTCGAACAACTATATATGGTGGACAGCACTATATTAAGTGAAGGATTGAAGTAGAAGTTTGGATTCAAGTAAACACCAAAGAACAACCTTTCAAAATAAGGCTTTACTCAACACTAAATCAAAATCTACAAAATGTCTCTTTATAAGTAATTATCTTAAACTAGGCGCGGTTACTAAGGTGGGTGGACTTCATGTAATAATCACTACAAGGATAGGATAAGAACAACTGATTCATTATGAATGACAACACACAATCTTCGATGAATTTTAATCCGTATATGCGAAGCTTATTTTATTAATGAAAAAATAATGAACTTTTGTAATATATACAGTGATTAAATTTAACATAAATTATAACGTTAAAAATTTTGGTATGCAAGTTACGTCATGGCCACCAAGTTGGATGATTTTGGTAAAGCATTTTCCTCATTTACAATGCTAATGTCATGAGAAAACTTCATTGTTCTCTCACTCCCACACTACCTATACAACAACATAACTTACCAGTCACTGACTACTTTATGGCAATCGTTTCTATCCAGTTTTATCAAGAGCTCGGTTTCATCATCTGAACAGTAAATCGCTGCGCAAGCGATTTCAGCCATTTGTGAAACACAAACATCTGAAAAATCCTTCTTCTATTGCTGTACCGGGCTTTGCGCATGTCTGTCATTGTTGTTTGAAGTGTAATAGACCTTTTTCGATAATCGTCAAGGAACTCAGTGGGCATCTAATGATAAATTTAATTTTTTTAATGATATGTAAAAACTGATCGCCACAATAATTTCATTAACTTATCATTTTAGGAATTTGTGTTGCGTATTGCAGTCTTACAATACAACAAATTCTATTTTCACAAATTCTATTGTCACACATTAGAAAAATGAAACACATACACGTACATGTTTTCAGTTCAAGGTAAAACGTTCACGATCTATTTAAAAAAGTACAACCATATCAAAAATACTGGGTTTTATGACAGAACAAAGCTATAATTGGCTTTTAATTCTTCTCAATCGATCTGTTGCTATTCTAAAACGAAGATAATTTATAGCAGAAAATAAGGAAAAATTTTTCCTTCTTCTTTGTAAATTCCAAATGCATGGGACCAACCAACCAGCTATGTATTATACATACACGTGGTGACATACCTTAAACATTGGCTGTGGACAAACACCTCTAACGTATGCATTATTAGCAACACATCGACCGTTTGAACGTTTCCCCTTTTTTAAATTTGGGCAAAAGTCGTCCTTTGTCAAACTATCGACGAGTGTGGAAGGACAACGAGAGTAAACATTGTTACACAGCCTGGTGACATCGCCATAATTTTGACTGTAATCGCTTTCGGAACAATTCGGTGTCACCTGTGAACATAAGGCTTCTTTAACAGCATTTCTACATGTAAATGAATAGCCAGACTGGGCATAGAATTTGAGCGCATGTGAAGCAATTTCATTTCGCTGTGTGTAAACTTTGGCGATGTATGTATTCAATTTCCAGTTCAATCTACAAGGACTTGCACTTTGTACGGACACGCATCCTTCTCTCTTTGAAAATACATAGAGTTTTCCATGGGTGCTCTTCGTTTCACGATGTTGCACAAGGAGACATCAATCAGTAACGACTCTAGAAGAAGAAACAAAATGAACTCTTTACAAGAGTGTTCCATTATTTTTCAGTCTAGTATAAAGTTGCTCTCGGCACAGGCCAATTTAACCAGAACGTGTGGGGTGAATATTCATATACTCACCTCTGATTGACTGATTTGGTTTGTTAGTTATTACAATTTCAAAAGAAATCGGCAGAGTGGAGCTGAATATATGAATACTCACCCCCACTTAACATTCTATTTCTCCCGGCCTCTCAGATCTTGGTTCCAAAGGGCGAAAAAGCAAACTGAATAACCTCGAAAATGAAAAGACTTAAACATGATATAAATCCTATTTACGATTTATATTATGTATAATCTCTGATAATGGCTATGGTATAAAGTCGAAAAGACTTAAGACTTCAACACAATTAACAATCTTTTGTATAGCTATAATGTCATTGTTTTAAAGCATGAAAAATAAAAAAAAAGCCTCAAAAATGCATATTTTGCATAATTGCTCGAAAGCAAATGTGGAAGCACAACAATTTTGGCTGAAGGGATAAAGCTGCATGGTGCTTGCTTTACTTCAAATATAATAAATGACAAAGCTCGAATATTTTCTTTTTAATGGAAAATCCCCACTGATAATCGATCACAAGTATTTTATGATCTGGATGATTGCAGGAAGCGTTGATGCTAATTTAAGACATTTTACTTCGCCGCACATTTAAATGAGTAAATTTTCGTGATTATTAGTTAACTCCAGTTAGCTGAAATATGCGTAAGTATAATTTATATTCAGGCCCGTTTCAAACGTCACATTTTACATGCGCCGAATGCATTTAAGACGAAACGAAGATCCTCACTATCTTTTGTTTTAAATGCATTCGACTCATGTAATACGTGACGTTTGAAACAGGCCTCAAGCGCGTTTATTTCACGACTCTTTACTGCTGAATCACTACGAATTTAAATGGTAAATCATAAAAATTAACAAAATTAACACAGTGTTTCGGGACCTGAACCCGAAAGCCAAGAAACAAGAATAGAAAGGAAAGCTCAATATTTGTCGTAATGGTAATGGTATTGCTTGGCTCCAAATACGGACACTGTTTTTTGTTTTGAAATGAAACTGAGGGAAAACCGGCGGACCCAGTGAAAAACCCTCCAACCAAAGAAAAGTTCAAAATTTCAGAAATTTCATCTCTTTTTTGGATGTTTTAATTTTTGTTGTCCTTGGTTTTTGTGATCCCAATGATCTATTTCAACATAAAAAAAACGTAGCTAGCTTTCACATCAGAGTCGTAGAAACATGGTACTTTGAAAGAAAGGAAAAATATTTAACGTAGCATGTCCACATAAGCTTGCCCACATTGCTACCCTCCCCTGAGAGCGAAATTTTGGTGTTTATGCATGCATAACAAATGTCGATTGAGAATATGAAATAAATCAGCGCATAATGTTAACCAGACTTTTGTATTGATGAAACAAACGAAAAAGGAAACTAACAGAAGTCTATATACCGTAATATACACAATAAACAAAACTTACAAGCATATGAACAAAACACACATGCACAAAATACACATGCACAAAATCACTTAATTAAATAACCGAAGTGACGTCATGGCAAACAAGAAAATTATCTTGATGTCAGACTCAATTTGGCTTTGTTCCATTCAAAATTTCTCAATCTTGTTGTGTTAGCCCATCGTTAATAGCTGGTTTTCATCGCGGTTTTCGTCAGAAAATTTAAAGTTAGTGAAAGAAATAGGTTTTATGAAAATGTTTATCGAATGTCCGCAACGAGGAAATTTAAACATTCTGCTTAAAGGTGTCACAGAGAGATTTTTTCAGTCAGAACGCTTTCTTCTAGGTGTTTCTGTCCAACTTGGTTGTTTATCGATAGCCAATCTCCCAGCTTGAAATATCGTTCGTCCAATAAGCGGGCCTACAAATATACACGAAAAATAAGTTACAAACGTCAGTGTAGTGAATTGACAAGAATATGGAAATTAAATGCATTTGTAATACGAATAAATTTATTACCTGGTTTTTGTAAGCTGTCCTTACTAATCTGACACGTGGTGACTTGGAGTTGGTGTATTTAGGCTTTTTGTATTATAAAATTTTAAGTGATCTTTTTTTCTCTCAAAATATCAAAGAATGCTGTTTGAAACTAGACGATCAAATTGTAATTTTTGACTATAAACTGAAATATTTTAGCATGCATTTTTAAAAAGTGAAGAATGAAAACCAGCTATTTACTCGCACCGCGTGATCTCCTTTTATCTTTCGTTAATTTTCAATTGTCAAATAGACCATCGGGACCATTTTCATAAACTCATATACATGCAAACTAACTTTAACACTATATCTACTACACTTACGAACCACAATACCGACATCATGTTGTTCCATATTGGCCTCATTTTACTCTTCGTTGTGTACAGTCCGTTTTCATGATCCAGTACGAATGTTCCCATACACGTTCTTTTCATAAATTTTTAATGTTCCACACATGGAGTAACCAACATCTTCAACCATTGAAGTACAGATTTCACGGACTGCCTTTTCCCCAAGATGATTTGAATGTTCACATCTACGCAGATAAGTTGCTATACAACATTCTTTTAGTAACATACATAGATTATCCAACATCTTTAACAAAAAAAGTACAGATATCATGAACTGACCTCTCTGGAACATGCCCTATAGACTATATTTCAAATAAGAAGTCAGATTGAATAGACCATACAGGAATGCATTATATGGCTAAGGAATGTGGTTCTAAAATAAAACATCTTGGATAGAATATACTTGCAGAAACCTAGATGAAAAGGGATGATTTAAGAGTTTGCTAACTTTTCCATCTGTCTCAGACTTTTATCTGTCAATCCTGGGTATAAAACAGACTTATAAGTCATGTTCGTGTACCATACTTCTCGTCAAATTTATAGTTTAAATTTCAAACAAAAGTTTTTTTCTTGTTTTAAGTGCTTGAATTATCGTGTCCTTGTAAACATACAGTGATTGATAACTCACAATTTAAAATGTACTCACATGATAACTTCTACTGACATGAGACCAGATAGGAATGTGGACCGTTTCAATACCCCAGTTTAATCATCGCTCAAAGAATGTTTTCTGTACAGTCGATCTTAAGTGAATGTCAGATGACCACCCAAAGGTGGGTCCATATAACAATGGGGCCCATCATCATTATATGCACAAACAACTAACATCCACAAAGAATCCAACCTACAGATAAACATTCTTGGCCATGAATCACCATGACACATGAGTGCTGACAAACTAGTAGGAGTGATTGAATTGTTGGAATAAGTGGTTATAAGGGGCTCTCATAACTGCATGGATGTCACCAAAGAAATGTCAAGAAAAAATTTCAATGAAATGTTCCTGGTTTAGACTTTGTAGAACCAGTCACTGCAACCATCTTTTTGCTTTCCATTTGAAAACTCCGTACTTATGCACCAATGTCAAACATTCGTTCATGTGGAACTTCACAACTGATGTAGGTCAACCAGGATTTTTGTAAGCATAAAGAGCATATGCTTCTTCTTTGAAGAGACAGAGTTTATCTTTACAACGTTCAAGCGACCCAATATACATTGGTTGGAGTAACAACACACGAATTTAAATACTTTAACACTCCTTAAATTGACGTCATGACAAATATTTTTCTTTGTGATTGACTCTTGGGAAGTTCAATGCTTTACTCAATACTTTTGAACAATGGAAATACTTAATGTATTTGAATTTATAAAACCCTCAGATTTTTAACAAGATCACAATATGCAAAATAACGATCGTATGATGTGATTAGTTTAACTAAATAAAATAAGACTAATGGAGAATAAAGAATTTAGAAACTCGACTATCAAACTTTGTCAAATAATTATACATGAAGGTGTTATGTAAAAGAATATTTTATCAATACTGTTGTGCTAGGTTTGCTGACGTAGGCGAATGTCATTGTTTGGTAAATATTAAGAGATTTGTTGCAAGTCAAGAATTAATCATGTTTTATTAACAAGCTTTATATATGAATTGAATATGAGATAATGCATGGCACTGGCGTTGAGAATTGTGAGATTTCAACAAAATTACACGACATGTTGTTTACAGGCTTGTAAGAACTTGTATTTATATTATAATTGCTGTGGGAGACACGTTATGGCAGGTCCTTTTCAGGCTTGTTAAAGTTGCTGTTTTTTACGTGTGCAGAGTAAAGACGACATTAAATCGCTTTCAATTTTCTTTATAGATTTTCGATAAGTGAAATTATGTAGGACCTATAGTTGCATTAATTCACGTGCAGTAGAAATGCGAAAGCATTTTAATGGTTGACAAAGTTCTGGCTTTTCAAACATTCATTTTTTCAATCATAGCAGAAATTTACGAACAAATTGTTTACAATGTACTCCGTGGCTTAACATAGCTTTAATACAAGCTTAAGAGAATATATACGGTTCGTTGAAAGAAGGTATGCGCCAGCTTCGAACTATTCAGTCTCCGACATTTGCACGGGCTTATAATATCAATTAAGCACTGCATGCATACCAAAGATCGCTTTCACACTCATCACTAGGGCGTCCAATGGCGTCAGCGCTTTGTGAATCTCGTACATCTGATCAAAATAGGTTAATAAAGAATTCAAATAGCAGGATATTCAAGAGATAGGAGCATAAGACTGAAAACATAATTGCAGATGTAAGAGATTTCTAGAAACTTGTTAATATTACAAATGAAACGAACTGATGAAAACGCCTTCAATAGCATTACAACACATACGCATTTTTTTTCACAGAATATCACAAAGTTACGTGTGCGTAATGTTGCATATCATCTCAAGCCTCGGAAGCAAATTCTGATTTTCAGCCAAGCCCTGGAATTTACCAAACAATGACGTTTGCAAACGCCGGGTAGAGCCTTTAAACTGTAACCTTCAACATGGCTAGCAAAACAAGAAAAAGACTACAGTCGTTTTGAACCTTTTGGCTACGTGTATTACAGATCGGCTTGGATGGGAAAATATGGTTTTTCCAAGAAAGTACGCCAGCTTTCTAATGAATCATTTCTGAGTTATTTACAAGAGCAAATAATTACCATGAAAGAGCAGCATACGGTGATACGGCATACCGAAGATAACTTTCAAACATCAACTTACTTCATTGGCGTACAATGGTGTCGATTCATGGTGCAAGTCAATTGAAATTAAGGTAAATGGGGAAAGTTCAAAATTGCCGGAAATTCGAAATGAGCGATTTTGAAATAGCTGACAAGACGAGTGCTGGATCAAATATTTCGAAAGCAATTTCTGATTTTTCTTTGAGCAGGAGTTTCTGTTGATATTGATTTTGAAAGAAACCTATATATATATATAAGCAAAAAGCAAACAAATTAAGATTTGACATTTTAGTATAAGAATTATCAGAAAATCAATTGAACAAGTGATCAAAGTTCGTACAACAGAGGCACTAAACTTGAAATTTTATACTTTAAATCTTTATACTTTAAATCTTTAAACTTTAAATCTTTAAACTTTAAATCTTTAAGTCACAGATCTCAAAGCTCACATTTTTGAATTTTATACTTTAAATCTTTATACAAATCTTTAAACTTTAAATCTTTAAGTCACAGATCTGAAGAGAAGTACATTACAAAGCAATAAACTTGAAATTTTATACTTCAAATCTTTATAAAATCTTAAGTCACAGATGACAGATTCGTACATTCGGAGGCACTAAACTTGAAATTTTATCTTTATACTTTAAAATACTTTAAAGTCCAATCTGACAGAGTTCGTGGTAAACAATTTTATACTTTAAATCTTTATACTTTAAATCTTTATACTTTAAATCTTTAAGTCACAGATCTGACAGAGTTCGTACACTACACACGGAGGCACTAAACTTGAAATTTTATACTTTAAATCTTTATACTTTAATAAGTTTTGTCACGATCTGACAGAGTTCGTACATTACACACGGAGGCACTAAATTTGAAATTTTATACTTTAAATCTTTAAGTCACAGATCTGACAGAGTTCGTACATTGAGTAAACTTGTTTATACTTTAAATCTATAGTTTAAATCTTAAGTCACAGATCTGACAGATTACACTCACACAGGCTAAACTTGAAATTTTATACTTTAAATCTTTATACTTTAAATCTTTATACTTTAAATCTTTAAGTCACAGATCTGACAGAGTTCGTATACTGCACTAAACTTGATATACTTTAATTATACTTTAAATCAACTAATCAGTCCAGATCTGACAGAGTTCACATTACCACTATTTGAAATTATACTAAATCGTCAGATCTGCTTCACCTGCAACCGCCTACGGATTTTTCGCGGAAACTCGCCAGAATTTAATTGGAAACTAAACTTGAAAATACCTTTTCATTATCTTTATCAAGTCAATCTCAATGTTCTTTTAATGGCTTGAGGCGCATGTATCACAAGGATTTTTTAATTAGAACGACATTCATTTATAATCAGAAAAACTTTGGTATAACTGTGCACTTATAGAACTTCCAGCAATGTACGACATTCAAATGCCGGTTTCTCACCGGGTAGTATTTTAAATTAATCTGCACGATGAATGCATATCTGACATTTTTACGTGTAATACGAATACATCAGATATAACAACATAACAGTAATAAAAACTATGGTGATTGTGTCGTTAACTTGTAAACAGTTTACAACGAATATGACCATATATAGGACAAAATAGTTGAATTACTTATTGATTGAAAGCATCATCATCGGCATATGTGATAAGTTACCAAACACCATCAAGTTTTGTCTTGCCTTGCGTGATTTCGACTTATAACCTCGCGTTCCCGATTCCTGTGTTCAATTTGTGTTGACATGCTTTTTATAGAATCTATGGTTGAAACATAGAACACTGGAACATATACGTCATAACGATCGTTTCGTTTTTATCAATGCAGTGACTGTTATATTCGCCGTCAAAGGCGTCAACGCTGAATCGGCACTGTGTATTGTTCAGGAATGAATTTTTGCCGAAATCTTGAGATGCCTCTTTTCTATTTTCACTTACAGATCATTATTAGAAACGATTTACAGATTTAGCGGTGATGCGCAGACTAAAATATAGCTCCTACTTGTAATTTCAAAATGCCTTTACAAATTATAGCTATGCCATTGATTAATTATGGATATCCAATGAATAAAATTCCAATGGAATCTTTGCAAAAACCAAAATGTAAAAGTCAGACTGGAAAGACAAACTTTGATTTGTACACATTTTTAAACACCAATAGCTGTAAAATTTGACTTCCGTCCTTTAAATGACGTCAAGCCAATTTCGCATCAAAGCAAGCAAAAGTGCCATATTCTATTGCAATTTTAGATACGTCCCGTGATCTAAGTATGCAGTGGCTTAGGGACTCAGACTTCGGTCGCGACCGCACTCTCCCTGCGTAACCCGAGCAAAGCCTATCGCAGGCGATCTCGGGGTCTGATGGGCGGATACGCGTGTATGAGTGTTGTGTATCTCCCATTTCAGCTTTGACGAACCGTTCAGAAGATTGCCAGAACTGATTAACATCCAGTCACCCTTGATTAAATTAAGAAATCAACTTCAGTCTGCTTGCAGCACCTACCCTACGTCTTCGTCAGAACTGCGACCTGAAAACGGATTCGCGGAAACTCGCCAAATTTAAGTGGAAACAATGGAATCCTGTTCATTATCCTTTTGTCAATCCTCAATGTTCTTTTAATGGCTTGAGGCGCATGTATCACAAGGATTTTTTAATTAGAACGACATTCATGAATCAGAAACTATAACTGTGCACTTATAGAACTTCCAATTACGACATTCAAATGCCGGTTTCTTAGTATTTTAAATTAATCTGCACGATGAATGCATATCTGACATTTTACGTGTAATACGAATACATCAGATATAACAACATAACAGAACATTGTGTCGTTAACTTGTAAACAGTTTACAACGAATATGACCATATATACAATAGTTGAATTACTTATTGATTGAAAGCATCATCATGCATATGTGATAAGTTACCAAACACCATCAAGTTTTGTCTTGCCTTGCGTGATTTCGACTTATAAGGATTCAATTTGTGTTGACATGCTTATAGAATCTATGGTTGAAACATAGAACACTGGAACATATACGTCATAACGATTATCAATAACTGTTATATTCGCCGTCAAAGGCGTCAACGCTGAATCGGCACTGTGTATTGTTCAGGAATGAATTTTTGCCGAAATCTTCCGATAAATCTTTTCTATTTACTTAGCCTCTTTTATTATTTCACCTTAGAAACGATTTACAGATTAGCTGGTAGCGGTTCGGTGAGCCAGACTAAAATATAGCTCCTACTTGTAATTTCAAAATGCCTTTACAAATTATAGCTATGCCATTGATTAATTATGGATATCCAATGAATAAAATTCCAATGGAATCTTTGCAAAAAAACCAAGCTGAAAATCAGACTGGAAAGAAACTGATTTGTACACATTTTTAAACACCAATAGCTGTAAAATTTGACTTCCGTCCTTTAAATGACGTCAAGCCAATTTCGCATCAAAGCAAGCAAAAGTGCCATATTCTATTGCAATTTTAGATACGTCCCGTGATCTAAGTATGCAGTGGCTTAGGGACTCAGACTTCGGTCGCGACCGCACTCTCCCTGCGTAACCCGAGCAAAGCCTATCGCAGGCGATCTCGGGGTCTGATGGGCGGAAGCGTGCTATTGCATCTCCCAAGTAGGAAAGCGTGGAGGGGCCGAAATCTCCTACCGAAACGTTAACATGCGGCGTTCTAGTGCCTTGCGCTTAAAAAGGTATCGGGAAGCATGGACCGAAAACGGGGTTTTTTGCTTTTGAATTTCATCTTTTTGTTTACAAGAGTTCTTCTCATGAAAGAAACTAGAAGGAACTAGAACATCCAATTATAATTTAAACCAACTCTAAGTTTATACGTTTTTAACTTGTTACCTTTTACAATGTAACTTTCTCATTACACTCTCGTGATGAACGAGAGCCTCCTTATACAATATAACTCTCTCATCATGAACGAAAGCATCCATGGGCTTCATGGAAAAAAGGATTATCTATTTTCTTATAATAGTTTCTACAAAGATAACATTTAATAAGCCAAGCAACCTCGGTTGAACCTCGCATTCAACCCTTATGCTATAAAATTTTTATTCATTCTGGAATCATACCTTATTGGCAAATTCATTTTTTGATGTGGAAAGAAAACTTTTTGGGGGAGAACAGAAAGTGGCGAATATATTAGGTAATTTTCCAGTTCAAAGCAGCATTTCACCTAAACCAGACGTTGCTTTGCTTTTATGCGAGATTTGAGCATATATGGACATTGTCTGATGTCTCACCCATAGATTCTCCTCCGAGTCGCCCCCAGTGGTCGCCCCTCCCGTCCATTATAAACACATAAACCGTCAAAAACGACAACAGCCGACAGTATCCGTCAAATACCGACAACAATCAAGTACGATCGAAAACAAAAAAATTTATATCAAAGGCCAAAAGAAACAACTTCGAAAGCTGGAAAGTGAGAAGTGAAAAATTGTCATTACGAGTCATTAAGCATTCTTCGAATATACTTTGTAAGTTTTGTTGCTTTTCCCAAAAATGCCGCAGATACTAAGCCAAGATATTTTATGGGATTGCATCGTTGTTGGAGCGGGAATTGAGGGAAGTAATGCCGCTAGATGTGCTGCATCATTTGGTAAAAAGACCTTGTGTTTGGAACAGGTAATCTGTTGATAAAGTGCATTGCTGCGTGTCCAGAGGACTATTCCTTTTCGGTTTCTACAGCAACGGGGCCAACTGAGCAGCAAGAATATGCAAAATGCATTATGTAGTAACTATTAATTTTTAATTCAAAATAGGATAAATACCAAGAATTTCATAAGAGTAAAATTATACTATTCAATGGCTGTTATCAACCAATAATTTATTTTAGGTAATGTTGAACCTCCCCAGGCATTTAATTGTATCCCCTTACTCTGGGCGCTGGGGTAATTATTGGTCATAGCTTAGAAACAAATCTATTACAATTACCATACATGGTATTTCACAGTTCCTGGCTGTTTCCAATCATGAGCTTATTGTCTGCATTTATTTAGTTTCCAATTCCCCACAAAAGAGGTAGCTCACATGGTCAATCTAGAATTACGAGACATTCATATGAGGAGAAATGCTATGCAGACATGATGCCAGATGCGTTTTCTTTATGGGGAGAAATTGAGCAACTGGCCAACGAAAAACTTTTCATGTAAGTTGTTTAAGCTGATGGAAATTAACTTTCTTTATGTAAGGAGAATATCGGCATTTTTTGATAAAATGTAACAGCCATTTTATCCTAAGCCTGTTTTTCTTGTAATTCTTGTCCACAATGGTGAAAGGCTAACCAAGTACAGGGATCTTGCTTGCCATGGTTGTGAAATTCCTGCCTTATTTGATTGAGTATATATTCCATTTAGCAGCATGCTTGCATTTCTAGATAATTAACAGTAATGCCACTGTTTATGTTGCTTCTTGCATAAACAAATCTATTGATTGTAGGAGACCTTTCTAAGAAAACAACCGATAAAATTTAGAGAAGATCTTGTCAAGATCATGCAAGATATTGTGGAGATTTGCCAAAATTTTACTCTTGCTACATCTTGCTAGGTATTATGCAAGATCTTTTTAAGATCTTCAAGATTTTATTCTTGCAAGATTTTTCAAGATGTTAGGCACAATTTTGTCAAGATATAGCAAGATATTACTCATGCACGATTTTGCAAGATGTTAGGCAAGATTTTGTCAATATCTTGCAAAATCTTGCATGAGTAAGATCATGTCAAATCGTTTGTTTTCGGCATATTATAACATGCATATATGAATATTGCCCCCCCCCCAATTATCGAGGCAAGCTACAGAACTGTTCTGGCTGCTCTTCATCAGGTGTACATGTATTGTGAATTTTCTAGCAACTGTGGTTGTATGATGCTGGATTCTCCTCCTTACGAACTCATGAACGCAGTTCAAAATAATCTGGAAGCAAATGGCATTAGAGCTGAACATATCAACAATATTGCATTAAAAGAAAGTTTTCATTTAAATTATCCTGACAATGTGAAAGGTTTATTGGAACAGACTGGTGGAATTTTATTGGCTAATAAATGTCTTGCAGCTGTTCAGGTATTTCAAACTTGGAGAACTACATACATCTGATTTCACAATGGTGTTGTTTGAAGGTCTCTTGTTTAGTTCTTCTTTATGATGGTAAAAAAAACCCATCAGTATTTCAATAAAAAATACCACATAGGGAAAACGTTGTGCTGCCAACTCAAGAATTGAGTTTCTTCCATGAATTTCAGAAACAGTTTGTGAAATTTGGAGGTTTCTTAAAAGACAGCGAAAAAGTTATTGAAATCATTCCAGGAGATATCGTGAGTGTGAGAACTGACAAAGGATTGTACAGAACAAGAACACTGATATTGACACCAGGTATACGGAAATACTCAGTAAAAATCGAGTTTATATCAATGATTCTACATAATGGCATTGCCACGTTCTTGGAAATTTGATACTTAGAACTTATTTACGAAAATATTTGCATGTTGCATCAAAAACGACAATTTCGCCAGTCTCATTTATAAAACAAAGAATATGAAGGTGTTAATGTATAATTTGTAGGACCATGGGCTGGACCACTTCTGAAATCATTGGGTGTTGATATTCCTCTGACGGTTAACTTTGTTTGTAGATTTGCATATGTGAGAGGAGTTTGAACCTGGGAGTTTGTTAAACATTTCATTTTCCCTAGACATTGCGAACCCTCAACCTTTACTGGAAAGTCAAGCATTCAGATTTTAATGCACTGGAGAATTATCCTTGTTTTGTTGATCTCACCTCGAAAAATAACATTATTTACGCTCTACCATGTTACGAGTATCCTGGTTTGATAAAGGTAATAAACCGCGACAATTGTCAAAAAATGACGATTGATCAATTTTATGTACAAAAATGTAACGGAAGAATAATTCTTGTATTCATTACTTTTACGAGCTCGTCTCTTTCTGATATTCGTGCGCAGCATTATACTAATGCCTTCGCTTTAGGTATCTGGTAGTAATTCATGAACTCTTTTTCCAAGGTATGTTTTCATCATGGTCCGGCAATAGATCCAGACGCACGTGATGACGTAGACGACACGTGGGTAATTAACCTTGTCGCGGAGTTTGTGAGGAATCACATGATTGGCGTGGAGAGCAAACCTAGCATTGTGGAACCTTGTATTTACACTGTAAGCAGTTCACCAATTATGACATCATACTGTATTATTTGACATAATAGAAACGTAGAGCGTCTAAAACGCATGCTTCAACATTAGATTCCTTTGATAACGATAGTAGTGTGGTCTATCTTATGGATATAATGGTTTCTTAGATAATAACATCACCTCTTCAATTAAGCTTTATGAACGTCAGTTTGTTATTGACAAATATGTTCTTCATTTTGTTAGGTATCACCCGACAAGGACTGTATTTTAGATAAACATCCGAATTTTCCAAACATTGTCTTTGGTGTTGGATTTTCAGGTGATCTCTCTCTGATCTATATATATGATACGTAATCTTGCTGACCGAATTTATGTTATCGCTTTTCTAGGATCTGGTTTTAAGATATCACCTGTAGTAGGAAAGATTTTGTTCCAGTTGGCATTCGGCTTGCAACCAACGTACGACATGGAGCATTTCAAACTCTCACGTTTTCAGAAGCCTTCATTAAAGTCATCTTTGTAATGTTTATGTCCTTCATCTATGCTGCATCTATGCCTCTATGCTTTAGGTTGGGCAACATTGAATAAAGAAGATATACTTGCGCTGATTAAATAATAAGCTCCTGAGTCTTAAGAACTATTTTAATGAATCATTTTCAATTCAAATACAGCAAATAAGAGTATATGTGAGTCTAGACAGTGTTATAACTGTGATCGTAACTTTGGAATATAAAATTTATTTTATTAATTAATTTATTTCTTAAAAACATTAATTGTAATGTTCACAATTACATGAAGTATTTCACCTATCACAACACACGTGTATTTTGGTCTTTTCCATTTCAAATGTTTACAAATATTCCTTTGCTGAACTTTGTTTCTCGTAAAAGTATTCGTATTTGCAGTAATGTCACGCCTTATTGTTAAAAATCTTCCAAAGAACATCACGGAGAAACGAATGAAGACGATCTTTGCCGAAATGGGTGAGATTACAGACTTGAAGTTGAAATATACAAAAGTGGTGTCTTTCGACGTTTCGCATTTGTTGGTTATAAAACGTTGACCGAGGCTCAAAGAGCTTTGAAACATTTTAACAAAACCTACGTGGATACTTCTAAAATAGAGGTTGATATATGCAGGAATTTAGGAGATGATACGATGCCCAGACCTTGGAGTAAATATTCTGAGCAAAGTTCAGCATTTCAAAAGAAGCTTGAGAAATCGAACGAAAGAAAACGAATGTCGGAAGGCGATAATGTGGACGATAAGTCGTTTAGTGCGCGCAAAATCAAGAAGAAGAAACGAAACGAGATTTTAGGTGAGCTGGAGGACGATGCTGACTTTCAGGAGTTCTTGGAAATTCATAAAACTGTCAGCAAGAAGAATGTTTGGAATAATGACGAGCAGTTCTTTGAAGAGAAGATGAAAAAGAAATCTAATGGTCAGGTAGGAAGTCAAATAATCTAGTAGAAAGTAAAAATTCAATTTGATGCTCACGAAAAGTTAAACAATGAAACAATTCTTATGCTCGTAAATTGACTTAATGGAAATGATGGTTTGATAGCTGTGTACAATATGATGGAACGTCATTTAAGTTACTGTTCTTTTAATCTGTACACCATTCCAATTGACTTTAATTTTGCTGTTTTGTAGCAAGAAAAAACTGAAAAGTTGGAGTTTGAAGATTCAAATGAAAGTGGTGATGACTATGTGAACAGCAAACAAGGTTACTTTTGGTTTTTTGTAAACTTGTCTATCTGATTTTCATGACATTGTTATCCCATCATATTAGTTAGTGCTCATAAATTTATGGTAGAAAATTTCATGCATGTATAACAAACTTTAATATTTGCAATGTTTGGATCTGATATCACAGTTAGGGCAAATATCATGAGGTGTTTTCTGTAAAAGCACCTTAAACTTTAAACAATCTTTCTTCATAGAATCAGCATGTGACATTGAATCGGAAAGCAAAGATGAAGTCCAAGAAGGCAGTTCAAAAGAAGCAGGAAACCAAAATTTGTCCGACATGGATTATTTGAAGATAAAAATGGCGACTGATGCTCCACCAGCAAAGTCTGACAAAAAAACAGAAGGTAAATGCAAAAAGAGGATGTCTGAAGCAAATATCTCTTTCATGAAGGAGGATACTGAAATTCCTGTCGAGCAAACTAATCTGACAAATAAAGATGAAAAGGCAGATGGATTTGAACGAAAGACTGAGTTTACAATCAAACTTCGAGGACTTCCATTTCATGCAAAGAAAAAAGATATTGAAGTGTTCTTGTCACCTTTGAATGCTGTTGATATTCGCATGCCCAAGGACAACAAGAACCGACCTAGTGGTCGGGCATATGTTGATCTTGAGAGTCAGGAGAGTGTTAAAGAAGCATTAAAGCGACATAAAGATTATATCAAAGGACGATACATTGAGGTATTTGAAGACAGGAGACATGAAGTACTGCAAGATCCAATTGAAGATGAACTGCCATGGATGGAAAATGCCCGAGAGCTTGCAGAAAATAAAGATTTGTCAATTGCTGAGGTAATTTTTGAGTGAGTTTAGCTGTGCAAAAATGTCTTTATTAACGTGTTGTGCAGAAATTTTCACTGTTTACGTCTTCTGCTCTCTTTCTGTTGCTCTGTTTCGCTTTTTCGTCGTTTTTTCTCATTTTCTCTAAATTTATTCTACTTTTTGACTCATGAATGTTGCAAAGCAACATCATGTCTTAGTGGGAACAGATTGGGAGGCAGTTAAACGATGAGGCCCGCCAAGTATACAAAATATGCGATAAATTTGCGTTGTTATCAAGTAACATTACGAAATTGCATTTAGCCCGTTTTAAAAACTTTCAAACTTCTCCAAATCTTTTTCGTCTATTCAGACCATACAATGTTCCCGCATCTTTTATATTTATTCATCTTCTTTCATCTTCACTGTACTCAACCCTCACCACTTACCCCTTCCCGCACCCTCACCTAAATTCTACATGTGCGAGTTGCTTGTTTAGCTGTACTATTACGCTGCAATGTACTTTTCCATTTGTAGACAGGACGTCTTTATTTGCGCAATTTATCATACGCCTGTACGGAAGAAGAACTTTCCGAATTGTTTGCAAAATACGGTCCAACTACTGAAGTATTTATACCGATTGACAAACACACAAATAAGTCGATGGGTTTTGCATTTGTCACGTTCATGATGCCGGAACATGCAGTGAGTGCTTCAAATGATCTAGATGGCCACGTTTTTCAAGGAAGATTATTGCATATTCTGCCAGCAAAACCAAGAAAAAACGCTGAAGGCACAGATGAAACTGAAGGTATCGTTTCTAATTGATGTTAAAGTATCCTCCATTCACCTAAATTTAAAACTGGGACCATTCATAGTTAGAGCTATGAATATGACTATCCTAAAATTTGTAGTAAATGGTAAGTAAACCAATTTGGCATAAATTGCAGGCGGAAGTTTTTTGTTTAGCGTTATTATCCAACTGAAAAAATAACTGAATGATGCTGTTTTTTGTTTTACTCGCAGTAAAACATGAACCTTCATCTTTCAAGAGGGAAGAGGGAACGAAGCATGCAATTTTTAGAATTAAATGTGTCGTACTGTAACTACAAGGCAATTAAATTTCACACGCACTTTTTGAAGGAGAGACATCCTTCAAACGAAAACAGAAAGAGAAATTGACATCATTGAAAAGCAAAGACCACAACTGGAACACGCTCTTTCTTGGTGTAAATGCAGTAGCTGAAATTATGGCGGACAAATATCAGTCGAAGAAGAGCAATGTTTTGGACGTACAAGGGAAAGGCGGCCTCGCTTTACGAATGGCGCTTGGTGAAACACAAATTGTTTCCGAAACAAAGGAGTTTTTGCTGAGTCATGGAGTTCAACTAGACGCGTTTGGTCAGGTTGGATGTGTGCTGAAATTTTGACTTTTCGCGTATTTTTTAAGCAAATATCTGATTGGTTAACTATGTAGAAGCTTTGTTTATAAAGCAGCATTGGTTAGCTAAGAAGCAGAATGTAGCGAATGTTGCACACAAACTTCTGATTGTGTGCGCAAACTTTCGCTTCATAAGGCTGTCGGAAATGTAGAACATCCGATTTGAGCGAGTATTTTAGAGGGGTGCTATTTTATAATGAGAAGTGTGCTGAAGTCATCTGATATGAACAGTGTGTCTCGAAACCTTATAACTTCACAATTTGCTCAAAATAACTCCCACTATGGTAATGATCGATGATAATTGTTTTATTTTATACAGCCTGATGGCAAAAGAAGCAAGAAGGTTATTGTCGTCAAAAATCTTGAACATGGCACTAAAGTGGAAGATCTCAAAACCTTGTTCTCTCAATTTGGCCATCTTGGTAAAGTGGTTTTACCGCCCTCTGGCGTCACAGCGCTCGTAGAGTACGAGAAACTCAGTAGTGCCTCCAAAGCATTCGAAAAGATTGCATATACTAAGGTAGATTTCCTTTTATTGAAGTCAGAATGTACTGCGCGTACGTACTTTGCAGTAGTTAAATGGATAGTGTGAACGAGGCTTTGAGTCCTTGATATCAGGGTTACTTGCTCGGTTTTCTTTTTGAAAAAAAACGAGGAAGAACAATACAAGTTTTTGTCATTTAAAAAATTCAGAACGTAAGAGTTGAATATGGGTGCAATATAAACTGTACGAATGGCTTGACATATTGATTGTTATAAAGTAAATGGTTTGAACCCGGGAGTATCGTCCAGGTTGTTATAGTCCTCAGAAAGACTGTTTTTGTTGTTGTTGACTGACGTTTCGACAACCTTAGCGGTAGTCATCTTCAGAGTCAAATGTCTACATTTACAAACATATTGATTGTTATTATGGTCAAAAAACTTTAAAGTCTTGGACACAATTATTTATTCAAACATTAAATTTTTATTTAGTTTAATAACTTACCTCTGTACCTTGAGTGGGCACCGGCAAACGTCTTCGAAAAAACGGCTGTTGAAAATGCAGAAAAGTCGGATGTTACTACTCCGAAGGAATCAACAGAGCACGAATCTTCTGGTGAACGCTTTGTTTACTTTTCAAATTCAAACAATTAGTGTTAATTGCAGCCAGATTTTGAGAGGAGGGCTCTTAACATAGGTTCTGTCCGTCGTTCTTTCCTCGTATGATGATAAAGTAATGAATTTAAAATTCATTTTGTCTGGTATGAACAATTTCTTCCCTTTTTTTTGTAGAATCAGATTTAGAAGAGGAAGGACATGTCGTGTTTGTGAAGAATTTGAACTTTGACACAAAAGAAGAGGCGCTTAAAGAGGTTGGTTCGTGTCGATGCATTGAAAGCGCATCATTCATTTAAAGTTTTAACGTGGCTTGTATTGAAGATGTGTTTTTTGTAGCTTTTTGGAGAGATGGGAAAAGTTCGTGCGGTCACTATTGCCAAAAAGAAAGATTCCACAAACAAAGGTACACCATTCTTTCATTGTGGGCCGTCATCTGTGTCGTAAGCGTTAACAAAATGTAGTAGGGGAGGCATTAGTGAAGGCACGAGAATTTAAATGGTGTCTGGGGGCATGTCCCCCCCTGGAAAATTGTGATCTGTGAAATGACATTTGCTGCATACTGAAAACATGATTTGTAAAAAATGATTTAAGTGTTGAAAACATACTTCTATTTGTGTATTTTGTGGGCTTGCATACACGCCAAGCATTTCAAATCCACATTTTTAGGGGCCGTTTTGTCCATGGGCTATGGTTTTATTGAATACAAAGCGAAGAGTTCCGCGCAGAAAGCAATTAAAACGTTACAAGTAAGTATCTGATAACTTGGGTGTTACAATGATATTTATGTAACTTTTCCCGATCCATTGATGTTTAGCACTACGAACTGGATGGACATAATCTTGAATTGAAGATGTCCAACAAGAAGCAAACGTAAGGATTTCGAAAGTATTGTAACATGTGTGAAACTATAAAAAAATATTTAAAGATATGTGAGCTTTTGTCGGCAATTGTATGCTCCTTGATCTCACTACAACAGCTAAAACTACCATTTATCCACCCGGATCAAGGAGCATGCCATAAAAACTAAGAATTTCCGTTACTATTGCAATTCGTTGGTTTAGAAATTCTACAGCTACAAGGAAACTGCCATCGGACAAAAAACAGAAATCCTCCAAGATCTTGGTGCGTAACGTTCCATTTGAAGCAACGCAAAAAGAACTGCGTGAGCTATTTGCGACATTCGGTGAACTGAAAACTGTTCGCCTCCCAAAGAAGATAACTGGAACTGGAGCTCACAGAGGGTTTGCTTTTATCGATTTTCTAACGAAGCAAGATGCCAAGGTATGTGTGTAATTTATTTGCGTGCAAAGAACAGTGAAATCTGTACTACGTTAACTGTCACCTTAGTGAACTGACCATTTAAAACAGGTTCACCATTAACTTGTGTAATAACCACACGGGTTAAATGTTGACATACTATTTATTAAATTTGAAATATACATACAGTTATATTGTTCAATGTTCATACCATTACTATCTACAAAAATGATAGAGCTTACACTGACGAATAGTCATGGATTTCATACATAAAATTTCATATTTTAAACGACCTTTTTGAAAAGGCTGTAGGTTTTTGGCTACAACGTTTATTGGATTAATTATGAAGACATTTTTATGCTAAAATATTTGCTAAATATTTAGTTCGGTTTTTAACTTCCTATGCGTTGAATCCATTTTATAGAGAGCTTTCAAGTCGCTATGCACCAGTACTCATTTATACGGACGTCGCTTGGTGCTCGAGTGGGCTGACGCTACAGAAAGTATCGAAGAATTGAGAAAAAAAACTGCGGAATATTTCCACGAACGTATCCTTTTATTTCTGCGAAGGGATGCAAGGCATCACAAGTATATGATATTTACAAAACTTAGTGAAGTTTTATTCGTCAGGTAACACAACGTTTTATTCTGTTGAGAAAACTTTAACGTGCGCTTAGCTAAAAAGACGTTGAGTAAGAAAAATATGGTCGATGAACTTGACAAGCAGTGACAGTGACCTTTCACATATTCCAAGAAGTGGGCGCGAAAGAGAAGATGGTCGATTAATGCCACGAAGTAAATTCTGTTGAGTTAAGTGGAGATTCCATTCGCATTAAGTGTATGGCATCTTTGATGCTTTGCAAGCGTTTCTGTTTAAATTACGGTCATAAAATGGAACGAAGAAGAATATCTAAATGATAAAATTAAAACGAAGCGAATGATTTTGATTTAATTACGGATTCATCGACGGTGCGATTTAAAATTGGAACAACTTACTGAATTTAATAGAAAAGATAAGGGCACCCACACTGGCAATAAACCCGTCGAAAATGACCGTGCCTAAAAAGCATGATTGTAAAAATATAGTAATATTATAACTATATTATAAACACCTAATATTATAATGAAAGCAAAAGTGACTTGAATACTCTCGACGCTCTATTTTTGACTGTTTTCTTACATTTCCTTGTGTGCCTTGGAATCGTCCGGGATATAAGTCTATTTCAACGACATCAAGCCATCCGGCCTTTGTGTAGCAGAATATTTGAACAAAATTCTTTTCTCTATCGACGCTATGTAAATATATATCTTCCATTTCCGCAAGCCTCGCCACTGCATCGATTACTTTTTGAAGACTTTCTTCGGGAACTAGTTCTGGTATTTCCCATCTGTAAAAAAGTGCACACTTATACTTTTTTCGTATTTGTAAGTACATTTTATTGAGGCAAATAGTTCTTTGTGCAAATATCAAATTCGTAAATTTGCAATATCACTCTAGAGATTAGCAACATTTACTAATTTAAGAATAAATAGTGTATTTTCGCGTGAGAAATTCCCTGGAAATCTTCCCACGCTTTTTGTACATGTCCAAGTCATTGCTGCATGTTTATATCGACATGTAATAGCACAAATATTTACCACCTTTCTGCACACGAATGAAGATTTCTAACACCCGGAAGCCAAACAGCTGGTCGTAATTTTGCTTGAATATTTGATTGTAGTAAACTTAAAATACACACCATTGTACAGTTCTTTTACTTACTAAGTGAGGTCCTCATTTCGTCAAATATTCTGAAAAACAAGCCCATGGTTCTCGGATCTTTTCTTACTTAGAATAAATAATCATTTCCGTTAATATTAACTGCATTTCGTCATCTCCATAGAAACGAAGTGCTGTTATTTCAATAACAGTCGGCACAACAATCTTTCAAACAGTTGACGACGTTTCATGAAATGATTGAGTTATTTTTGTGACGAAGCCTGCGGGTATTGTAGAAAATTTCATGTTTTTGTTCCAGTAAAGAATTTACCTTGACAACATACAAGCTGACATCCAAGGCAAGAGCAAGCAATAATGGCAGACGTCTTGCTCGCGGAGATACCAATAACTGACGTAAAAAATCGCCCTTGTTTTAATAAAGAAAACTTGGAGTGCGCACCGTCACTTTGCACTGCACATTTTGTGCGAAACTCCGTCTTACGATGGAAAAAGAAACATGAAAATACAATCAACAAACGAGCTGAGAAGGCATGGCGTACACGAAGAACACGTGCAAAGGATAAAATGATAACGCAAAGGAGAATCTCTTTGGATCTATTAGCTCGAGAATGGCTGGATGCGAATCCTGCAACGATTGATGTTCGCGCCTATCTTATCGAAAACCTCTTCCCTTCTCTCATTATGGGAATGGAAAAATTGCTCAATGAAGCAGAGAAACTTGATTTGATTACATTTGAAAATCCTGTCGCGAATTTCAATCCCCTCAATTTCCTAGCACAGTACCTGATGCGAAACAATCCCCGGTATAGTAATTTCCCCGAGGCATCCCCCTACTCGGAGTCTGAGAAAGGTTGCCGATGACTTGAAGAAACAGATCCTCCAAATGGATTCGTACAGAAATAGTTTGATAGCGTTAAAGGAGGAAATTCACATGAAGCGAATGCAAAGAGAGAGGATGGAGAGATTGAAAGGCGAGGAGCTCAATAGACGGAAGCAACTACTCGAGAATATTTTCGTAACTTGTTTGCCAAATGAAGACACCATACCATTAGCGATGGTGAGTTCAAGCCATCACTATCTTCGATTGCAACACTTCTTATTTTACTTACTATTTGCAGGTTCAAAGTACACTCATGTCATTCCGACAGAATTCAAAATCAACTTCTGACGAGATTAGGCGAGGTAACCATTCCTTTTGTAACCGTGGGGAATCCGGATTTGCATGAAGCACATTGTCTTAGCTCAATTTTAATTCATAACTTAAAGGCCATGTTATCTGCTCTAAGATTGTTTATGTGTTTTGAAATGCTTAACGCTAGATTGCCGACACTGTTATTTATTTGATGTTTTTAGAGGCGTATTTTGCCATTAAACCACTGAAGCTGGACACTCAGGGGATACTGTTGGGTGTTAATGAGTTTAAAGAGGTAAATAGGGATTTTTTGTGGACTTCTCGTTACGCAGTTGACTTGCGTGTAACATTCATCATATTTATACCTAGGTTTTATCTTCCTCCACCATTAGTCTTTCAAATCTTGCTTTTGAGAAGTTTCTAGAGCATTTTGCTCAGTGTGCAAACGACTTCCGACTGGCGGCAGACAAAGACACAATAAGGCAAGCACGTTTGTTTTTTAACGTTAGCAAACATTTTGCTGGATTCTCTTGCGCCTTAATAAAATCCCGTACACTTTGAATTTAAATAGGCGCATGCTCGAAGAGCTCTTCATATCATGTGACATAGACCATGTAAGTAGTCGTCAAAAACGGACCTAGTTTTTCCCTTTTCTTTTGACGTATGCTTTCACTTGCTGTAAATTTTTATGTTTTTCTTTTATCAACGAAGGTGGGAGCTTTGAATAGAAAGCGTGTTTTGGATGTTCTTGTCAGCTATTACGATAGCTCAACAAAGGACGTCAGACGCAGCTTGATGGATCCACAAAAATGTAATGCTCAAATGATTTTTTTTTATCCGCCGGAACTGTAATGCTGCATTCATTTTTATGAAAAAGTAACAAATATTATCTTTTGTCAATATTTATTTCTTTTCTCACGTCCATTGGCATTTTGTTTTATGAAGTATTGATGGCGAGCAATGAAGAAAAGGATCTTGGAGAAGAAGGGAATCGTGGAGACGCAGTTGTAAACAAAACTTTGGAAAGTAACGGTCAGGAGGAAGGTAATGTCGCTTAGCTTCTGGTGAGATGCCTTTTGCGTTACAGGAGAATATGGGAATGTTTTCCTCTAATTTTTCCTAAATCTTTTTTTATTGAAGAAGACGCAATAAAAGTAAATGAAAACACCGAAAAGAGTAATGCAGAGGCTAACACGAGTCTCGAAGAAGTTCGCACGAATGTGAACGACGATGGTCCTGTCGATGTTGACAGCAATGTTTCAGATGGCAGTGAGAAGGCCGAAGAGACGATTAAAGTTGATGATGATCTGTCAGAAGGTGTGCTGCCAGTTTCTGCATCATTTTCTATATGATGGTCATAAAGCGCGAGATATTTGATCATTTAGTCATTCTTTTAAGCAGGATAATTTTGACCGTAGTCAAACTAATCTAGCTACATTAGTGAAGAGTCGGCCTTTTGTGAAAGCTTACTGATTTTGATTTTAGTCATATTAGTTTAGGTTACTGAGTCAACCTGTTGTGAAGAGTTATTGATTGCGATTATTGTCATACTGCTCTATGTTATTGAGTGAACCTTTCGCGGAAGGTTATTCATTGTGTTCATAGTCATATTAGTTTACGTTGTTGAGTCAACTAGTGCACTTGTTAAAACTGAATAAATGATGTATTTTGTAAAACTTTTTATCTTCACGTAGACAGTAGGTCGTGCTCCAGTAGTTCTACCATTTGCAAGGATTTTTCGAAATCTACGTGTTTGAGAACCACCCAACTACCACTTGAAACAAGTATGCTTGATCAGCCAGGCTTCATCAATCTTTTGAATTATTTCTTGGTAATGAGATATTGAGGTAGGTTTGTCGAGAACTCCACATTGCTTTCTTCTAAATCTGCTTGATGAATACTGAGTACTCTCACAATGGTTGTTTTTCTTGCACTTTTCTCAGGTGCGTTCTCGATAGCTTTGTTCGCTTTACCAAAGCTAGTTACAGAGAAACAGACGAAGAAAGGCTGGAACGACAAGCAAAGGTAGATTTTCACTTATTGTTCCTCACAATTGCCCAATAAGAAATAATTGCTAACGTGAATGAAATCGTGACAGCAAACTTTGGGGATTGTCAGAGTAAATTGTATATTGACGAACAATCTTTCATGTTGGTTGTTGGTCATGGTGATTGGTGATTTAATAGGCTCGATTTCAAGCTCGAATGAGCAAGAGGAAGCATATGGTGGAAGACCTCTTTGATTTTTGGGATGTTGACAATTCGGGAAGCATAAATTTCCAAGATGTCATCGACGTTTTATCAAAGTGGAAAGATATCTCATCCAGGCCGGCGTTTCAAAACTGTAAGGTTCCTAGTTGTGATCAATAATCCCCTTTTGTTCTTACTAACCCCCTTCTGTACTCTTTTTCGTGGAACGATGCTTTCTATTGCAGTTATGATAGAAAACTACACGGATACAGATGAGTTAGATTGCACAGAACTTCATGAGTTTATTGACTCTGTTTGTACTGCTTGCTTTCCTAACGAAGATCCATTTGATGCTATTGCAATTTTTCTTCAAACAAGCATTGAGGTAATATTAATTTTGGAGAAGCAATTTCATTCAACAAGTGAATTTTCTTCATAAAAGCATAAATGTAGTATAGATTTAGGAGGAAGAATTTCATTCTTTTTTCTCTACTACCCCTATCCCTCCTCGTAATTTTGTTTCTTGCACTATTACATGAATTAGGTTTTTTAAATACTGTTTTCAATCCAATCCAGCTATCAGCTCCTGGAAGCAAATGCATTGTGATTTTATGTTTGAAATTATTTTTATTTTTATTGAAATTCGATTTCATATTACCAGCGAAGGCTTGCAGAGAAGAAACGAGCGGAAGGCAGAATGACTTGGTTGAACAACATCGATATGGCATCAAAAACAAGTGCCGGGATAATAGATCCGGCATACGTAGCTACGTTTCATGCTCTTATGAACGATGCCAAATTGCACGGTCGAGGAAAGGTTTGTCTTTGAAGTCACTGATCTATATATTTAATTATTTATTGTTACCTACACTGCATGACAACTGAGTTGTTACATGCACCGTATATACGCACAGTTGATTTATTGCACACGTGGTTAGTTACACATTTCAATCAAACCAGTAGCGTAGCCAGCCGCTTATTTAATCCTATGAACGGTTTTCTGTGCTCTTTCTTTCTGTGTTTGCTGTAAAACTTGCAGACAGGCCACGTCACTGAACCCAGCAAAAACTTTCGCGTGTAGATATTATTTGCTCTATATAGCTGTTCCACGCATCGTAAATTCTTTGAGATTTTGACTGAACAAATGACGAAATCCACATCTTTCTTGTGTACTTGCTAAGCATTTATCAATTCCTCGTCTATCCGAGAGTCATCTATCTTATTGACACCTTTGTTTGTTGTTACGACAAGCTCACTAAGCTGTTCACCATTTCGTACATGACTTTTTGTCTTCTGCTCTTTTAAAGATTATTAGTGCATCAATTGCGTTCCTCGAGAAAAATCTTGATCCTGAGAAACGAAACAGTGGTGAGACGTTTCTGCGATATGTGGCAGCAACGCTCAACCATGCCAGATACGTGTTGAAGAAATGTCTTTATCGTGATATGAATTGTATAAGCTTCGCCGCTGTAGACTCTGGAAAACCTATTCATGTTTCAAAATTGCAGAACCATATTGGAGTGCACTTATGGAATCCTGACCGCAAGGAACTGGTAATTAACTCATGATGTTACTAAAATAAATAAAACCACTAGATTAAACTCTTGGTAAGATAGAAACAAAATATTTAGATCTGATATACCAGGTAGTTTACTTCGGCGCACTTTCCTCTACTTTATTGCTGTTACATAACGCTTGGCTGAACCTCGGCTACCGTGCTCGTATAAACAGCCCTAAGTCAAAGTGATGAATACTAATCATCTGCTCTTTAGAATCATTATTTTACTAGCTCATTGTAGTTCATTGTACTTCGAACCAATCATAAATTCTCATCATACAAGTACCTAAAAAGCGTGGTTTCAATGAGAAAGCACAATTATATATTTCGTAATTTCTTGTTTTCAGGGAGTTCAGGGCTCTCTGATCATCCTTCCAATCAAAGATCGCGAGAAGAGAGTGACAGGCGTTCTCTCGGTGGACACTATCAACGATTCCACAGATAAATCGTCCTTCATCAGTCACGAAATAAGCTTCTATCAGGTAGGGTAACGTGAATCAGTTTATTTTCAACAGCATGGCAGCGAAATTTCAGAGAAACCTTGGAGGGTCATGCAATATGGTCTCCATTCTTGCTATTACCTATTAACGTTGATTTCGCTGTTGTCATATCTGAGACTTGCATTGACATCATTTACTTTATAAAATGAATCTTTCTTGTTCTGATTAATTTCACTTACTTGATCATACGTATATTCTTCGTATTTCAGAGTGTTGCAAAATCTTTAAGTCTGGCAATACAGTTTGTTGAAGTTCGCAGTAAGACTATAAAAATTGCCGACTCGGCTCTACAATGGATTCATCGTCGTGTATTCGGTGTTCAAAACAGCAATTTTTACATTGTTGAGCCTGGTATAGGAGGTGTAAGACAAACATAATTGTACCTATTTACTTCGTCCAATCCCTCTTACTTATGTACCCTTCCAAATCATTATCCTCTAGTTGGATCATCATTCCTTCGTGATTCTTTCACTAAACTATCGTGTTTTTTTGTAGACCTCCGAGGAACAGGTACTTAGGCTAATGTTCACTATAAACAGCGATAGAAAGCGAAAATATTACAATGATCCTGCGAGACTGTATCGCAAGGATAACCTTTTCAGGTAAGGATGTCTTATCAACCAATACCTCTGAAAGAATTAGAGCCTTGACCTAACGTTTTTGGGGTGATTAAAAACTTTATATCCTTTGTCTGATTTGCGCTTGTTCCTCCACAGAGAGTATTTGTTTAAGTGTATCGAAAGCTCAAAAACTGTGACAGCAGATGCTTACGGCGAACGCCATCTTGCTTTCCCTATTCTTGATCCTGATGGTGTTGCCATAGCAGTAGTGGACATTAGTATTGGCGAGGCAAAAGTGTTGCCATCTCATGAGATGGAGGAAGTACAGAAGATGCTTCGGCTTCTAGCCGTAGCCCATCGTGAAGTGACGGATGAGGCTGCTGGTAGACAGAAGAACATCGTTCTTGGTAAGGCTTTGAAGCTGCAGGTGTTAAACTAGACAAGTGTTCATCTACCTTTATATATTCATAGTGACTAGGAACAGTAATTTGAGTGTGTGAGAATGGAGTTTTATCGCAATATTGTGTTTGTGAATTGATCATTCCCGTTATCGTCCTATTTAGAGGTTGAGAAACAGAACGAAGATCTAAGAATCGAGATTATGTTCGATCGTCTGATGTTGACTGATTTACGAGAAAACGTCTCAAGACTTGACAGCAGGTTGTTACTGAGCCCTTAATAACCGAGCTCGAGGTCTTTACGGAGAAATATCGGACTGAGGTGTTTTTGTACAGATCGAGCCCATAGGGCGAGGTTTGTACAAAAAGACGGAGGTCCGATATTTCTCAGTAAAGACCGAGAAAGCGAGGTTATTAAAAGGTTTGTTATATAGCATTATATGACCTGAAACGAAGCTTTCTTTCTTTCTCGTCTTTGCTGTTTTGTACAGATTGACTTTCACTTTTCTAGTTCTTGTCAATAAAAAAGAAATCGTTTCAAATTGTATCATCTGGATAGTTAAACTGTTTTCCAAGTGTTTTTCCTTCGAATCACATTCGTAAATGGTTTTTTGTTTCGTTTATTTTGCCTTTTGCATTACGAAGTTTGTTTACATTTGACTGTAAAGTACGCGTTTTGGACCGTTTTCAGGGCGTATGCAGAGTTAAAGAGCTACAAAGATCCTCCTAAATTGGTCCACGATATCTTAAAGACCGTCCTCGGAATATTTTCGATTGAGGAAGAAGAAAAACTCGATAACTGGCCGACTTGTAAACAGTTTATAAACAATGATTTAATCAAGATGATAACACAGTATGATCCAACGGCTACATCCACCTTGGGAGTCATTGATGGCAAGAAGCTATCAGATCAGCTTGAAGGTAATAAATCCACTCGTTATTATTTCCAACTCATCAAACACGAACATCCGAAATTCTTTGACGATACCAACGTAACTGAGAGGGGTACAAACCTAAATTTTCAATTAACACAACTGATAACTACACTTGATTCACCAAGATGCTTAGTTCATACTACCGAAAACACGGGTGAAACAAGCGAACGTCTCAGTTTAAGTGAATACAACCGAATTCGTGAGATAATACCAGCGAACTCATCGAATGATACCAGCAAAATATCAGCTGAGCGGACAATATATTTAACATCATAGCGCTATCAGTTTTTTTTTCGAATTTCAAGGAAGTTCATTCTTCACTGATCTGTTGTTTTTACAAGGGAAATTATGCTGCTATACAAGTTTTCATTCTTTTTTTTAATGGACAAACACTACTTAAAGGATAGCTCTATCGAGCTGAAAGAAGAATCTGAAACATAAAGAATTTATCGCAAAGCAATCCGTTCAATAAGTTCGATTTTCGAGCTTTCTATCCTCAATATAGAAAAGGATTCTATTCTCTATTCATATCTTATTTCTAGGAATATCTCCAGGCTCAGTCAGCAAACAAGGTTCGTTGCCTGCTCAGTATTTGTTCAACTGGGCGTTCGTTTGTCTATCGTTAATCGAGCACACAGCGAAAATGAAGCTGGTTGGTAATGTTCAACATCCGTCAAAAGGAGGTAACATAACGCCTAGCGAGAGCTCTGCAATGAGCTCAATGGGTATGACATAGGTTTCACTTATAAAACGTTTCTGATGACTTCACTGTTATTTCGGATAGCCGATTGATTGCAACATATTTCTGTACATAATTTATTACATCAAATTTTTTACATATATTTTATAAATCAAAATATACCTTTGAGTAATTTCATTAATCGACTGTTTTCTTCCTAGTTCGTACATCCAGGAACTCAATAATTTACCGTTTAACAAAACTCAACTTAAAGCTTTACATTTGTTGACAGCGAATGAAAGAGATGAATTTAGAGGAGCTTTTCTCGTAACTGTTTATCAATGTTGTCATAGTACTTCAGTTTTGATAAGACGTCTTTTGCGGCGTTCAAGTTCCCTAAATTAAGGCAGGGAGGGAGCTTGTGAAATTGAAATAGTCGGAGTATTTGAGTTATGATTGAAACTGAACCCAACTTTTCATATAGTATACCTTGTCGAAATGTGTTTGATGCTTCTTTAATACAAGAATTCATCTTGTCTAAAAATATTAGCAAATATTACATTAATATACCATTGTCATGCGTTCATGACGGCAAATTCTTTTAACCAAGATGGTACGAATAACTGTCTTTCCTTAGAAAACACAGACCCCACGAACAGAGTTCATTATGACAAAAATAGTACAGGAGACAAGTAACGTTAGAAAATTCCTAACTCATGGTCAAAGGTCCCCAAAAGGAGGGCTAAAGCACTGGGTTCTAGTGAACATGCCCCAAAGTTATCAACAGTTGATAGGCAAATGACAGCCACTGACAAAACGAAACATTGAAAACACAACATTGTGACAGCACTATCTTTTGGGAAACAGCATTTCAGATTAGTAGCAAGTGCTACAAACAAACAACTATTCAAAATGGAAACTTTAATAACATTCCTGCAGTTATTCCACAAACTGCATCTCAAATTTTTACTGAATGGGGGAGCTAACGTTTGACAACAGGTAGGGATGTGGGGTGGCGGAAACCCTCATGTGTCACCTCTGAAACAAAACACAACAAAAACCTCAAGTACAAGTTCATTTCATCATTATCCTAATAAAACTCCAGGGATGAATTTACCAATGAAAGCTACAAAGATACACATATCTCTGTGTACTTTACCTTTGATTTCAAGCGTAAATTATTTAAACTCTCCATTGACCCATTTTCCAACACTTCATTTAATTCCATGATTTCTGTGAGAAATTCAATATCATGACCAACTTGGCCTTCTTCAATTGAAAAACCTTGTAGGCCTAACTAAAGAAAATTAATGGTACAAATTGCCAACGAATACAAGGTAGAAGTGGCAAAGATTCTATAGCAACTGTTAGTTATTTGAAATTCAATTTAATTATAACTAACAGTAACATACTGCATTGAAACTTGCAAAAGTTACCTTAATTCATATGGCCGACAAAACTAACATGGGCCCCATGAAACAATTACATCTAGCTATAATCAGCTCAAAATATGCATAACTCAACTTAAAGGTTTTTAGAGGTGTGAATTTATCTTTAAATTAAGTAGTTCCTACCATGTACAACCCTCTTTTCAGTGGTTGCAATAGAGTCTGGTAAGCCTCATTGACAAGTGAGGATTGTTGACTTGAAAATTCTTGTTCCACCTTGAAATGATGGAAAAGAAGTATTCAAATATTTTATCATTATTATTCTCAATATTCACTAAAGAAATGTACGTTCAACTCTTCATTCACCTTTGATTTCAAAGAAAATTTATCTGGATGCAATTGGCTTTGAAGGCGACGAAAATGCTGAGTCAGCAAGTTGGTATCTAAGTCAAAGCTGCGGTCACTGAATAAAAGGATTATGGAGTTAATTTTGAGTACAACCAGCATCTTAAGTGCAGGAAATACCGTACCAGTTCATTATATCAAAATAAGTTAAGTGCAGATTTGGTTGTTGTACAACATGACATGAAGGGCAAAAAAATATTGCTTTGCCATGATCTGTTGACAGGTATCTATGATGGCAACTCCAGCAAATTATCCTTGGCACATCACATAATCTTCTAGCTACAATCTGTGATATCAAAGTTTTTGCTGATAAATTAGCATCCTTGATTTGAGTTGAAAATACTTGTCTATTATTTGAACTAAAAATCATGACATCACGAATTCTGCATCGGTATCTTATATCAACAAAAAACGTCTTTCTAAATAGTCTCGCAATACGTTGCATTTTCATCCAAGTCGTCAAATTTTCTTCTAGTCATTCACTCTTCTTTATACTTGTGCAGTTCCAGAACACTTTATGATCAGACATGCATCCTGAAATACGGGCAAGTCCTAAAATGTCGTCGTAATCATTACTGTTGTTCTTTGGCACTTTGTATACAAATCAAAAATGACCTTTTGCTAGATCATTTTTGTCTAAAATTTTGTTTCTAGGAATCATTATCACGCATGCCTTTTAAAGTCCTTATAATAATTTAAAAACCCTTCAACTCGTGTGAAAAAAATGATATCTTTTAATGACAAAGAATAAAATGCCTAACTAATGCCCGAGCCCGAGTTAAAGCCTGGTTGCAGGTTTTCTGAACTTTGAGCTATCTCTTCTCTCCAAATGTCAGCAAAGTTTTGAAAGATTTCGTGAAATGAATGCACTTCACAACTTTGGAAACATAAGCTGGTCAGTATGTCGAACGGCAAGGATAAGACCTTGGTTGATTGTGGAAAGAACGAAAGCGATGTACTACACGTCTGCCTTGCCAGAAACTCACGAAATGTTACGTCAAACATGTCGATATTTTGCTGATAATGAATTGTCACCTATAGCAGGGAAGTTGGATCGCGAGTCACTGTATCCTAAGGAAAAGGTGAATTTCTTACTTTTAAAATGTTTGTGTTGTCACCTAGATTGTATCAACCAATCCATTTTGGGTTAAACTGATCACTGATAGAATCTTAGTATTATGAATAACATTGTATACTTGTTTTAAACAAAGAGAATTCTCTTTAAAGGTTCAAAAACTTGGTGAACTTGGACTGATGGCTATAACAGTACCCGAAGCCTTGGGTGGAGCTGGATTAGATAATCTTGGATATGCTATATCCATGGAAGAGATAAGCCGAGGCTGCGCTTCAACTGGTGTCATCATGAGTGTCAACAATGTAATGCATTATAACCAAAACCCAGTAGACGTTTCCCTAATCCTCTTATTTGGCCACGTTTTTGTTGTTTCTAGTCGTTATACCTTAGTCCAATAATGAAATTTGGCAATGAAGAACAAAAGGAAAAATGGATCAAGCCTTTTGTAACTGGAGAAAAAGTTGGATGTTTTGCACTTAGTGAGCCAGGTATTAAATGGCTTGATGATATTGTGCCAAATATTTTGTGAATAAGAACTAACTTTCTTTGAAATTTTCAGATAATGGCAGTGATGCTGGTGCTGCCAAGACTACGGCAGTTGATAAAGGGGATCATTGGTTGTTGAATGGTACTAAAAGCTGGATAACCAATGGCTATGAATCAGAGGCTGGTGTGGTAAGTGTATTCTTATATTACATCGACCAGTGTTGTTTATTTAAACAAGTAAATTCTTAACGTGAATACAAATTCATTTTTAGGTATTTGCAACTACAGATCGATCGATGAAACACAAAGTAAATGTCTATATTACTTTGATACAGGAATGGATTTTCTGGGTAGATGCAAGAGGCTGTTAGCTAGAGTACCCCCCAAAAGATCATCCTGGATTTATCATTGACTTAATGCCCTCTGTTTCAACACTTATTGTCATTATTATCTTTATGTGACAGGGTATTAGCTGCTTTGTATTTCCAAAACCAGTTGATGGATTATCTCTTGGTGCAAAAGAACATAAATTGGGCATCAAAGCTTCCTCGACTTGTAATCTGATCTTTGAAGATTGTGTATTGCCTAAAGAGAACTTACTTGGCAAATTAGGAATGGGCTTTAAAATTGCAATGGTATAAAGGATGTTTTAGTTTTAATAAATGAGAAAACATTTTCTTGTGAATTTTTTCGAACATTTAGTATTGAAACGTTCTTATGTAATAGATGACGCTAGATTGTGGAAGAATTGGAATTGCTGCGCAAGCATTGGGTATTGCTCAGGTTATTCATTTCACAGCTTATATTGTTATGCATATGTCATTTTTATTTTGTAAAATAAATATGTATTCTGTTTTTACAATTATTGTCTCACCTTTTCAAAATGTTTTTCACAGGCTGCTTTAGAGTGTGCAATAGACTATGCTCAAAAAAGGACGGCATTTAACAAACCAATAAGTGCATTACAAGCTATACAGGTGCTGCAAGAAGATACTACAGTTTCTTCTCAAAAATTTGTTTTGTTGCTACTGATTTTTCATTTTTCTCCATCATAGTTCAAACTTGCTGATATGGAAACAAGAATTCAGAGCTCACGATTATTAACATGGAAAGCGGCTTATATGATGGATGCTGGTCAAAATTTCACAAAGGTTTATAAAATATTAGGCTCAACTGTGTTAGTGCTCATCTAATCATTTATTTATTAAATTCTACAAATATTTATGTTAGGAAGCTGCTATGGCCAAACTGTCAGCTTCTGAAACAGCAACTTTTGTTGCTCATCAGGTCAGAATTTTTTACTTTGCTTTGACCATGTTCTACTTTGCTTTGACCATGTTCTACTTTGCTTTGACAATGTTCTACTTTGCTTTGACCATGTTCTACTTTGCTTTGACCATTTTCTACTTTGCTTTGACCATGTTCTACTTTGCTTTGACCATGTTCTACTTTGCTTTGACCATGTTCTACTTTGCTTTGACCATGTTCTACTTTGCTGACCATGTTCTACTTTGACCATGTTCTACTTTTGACCATGTTCTTCTTTGCTTTGACCATGTTCTACTTTGCTTTGACCATGTTCTACTTTGCTTTGACCATGTTCTTCTTTGCTTTGACCATGTTCTACTTGCTTTGACCATGTTCTACTTTTGACCATGTTCTACTTTGCTTTGACCATGTTCTACTTTGCTGACCATGTTCTTCTTTGCTTTGACCATGTTCTACTTTTGTTCTACTTTGCTTTGACCATGTTCTACTTTGCTTTGACCATGTTCTACTTTGCTTTGACCATGTTCAGTATTGCCTCATGTACATCGATACTCAAGCATGCATCGACAAACATTTTTTACTAATTTTCTTTTCAATTTTTTTCAGTGCATACAAATTCTTGGTGGTATGGGTTATGTGAATGACATGCCAGCAGAGAGACATTACAGGGATGCAAGGATAACAGAGATATATGAAGGGACAAGTGAAGTTCAAAGACTAGTAATTGCTGGTCGATTATTAAAGGAATATGATCAGTGAGTCTGTAGTAGTTAATCAAGGTTTTCATGTACTATTATATTCTGCTATATCCTGTACAAAACTAAAGTAATGTGGAATATATATTGCCAAAACAAATGAAATACCATAGAAATGTTAAAATACAGCTGTTTCTATTCCGTCGCATATAATTTTAATTTTAGAAAATATGTACTTTTTCCAGTGTTCATTATTATTGTATATATCAAAATTTACATTAAAAGTAAATTAGACATTCAGAATAATTGTGTGAATTATTCTTCAAATATCATATCGACAAGATCTTGCTTCTTGCAATCATCTGGACCAAGGCGGTTAGGCTAAAATATACATAGCAGTGTTATAACATTGCTAGAATTCTAAGTTCTGCTGAATTATTAATGGTTATTGAATTACTGTTTTCCATTTCATCAAAGTTGGCACTCCAGTCAGCTTAAACTGTGGACTCTTGCGAAACTCATTCTCTGGGTCTTTCCATCTAAAATGGATATAGAATATGAAGCTTTCTTTCAAGCAATAAGCTCCTAAACTGTTCAACTTACACCAGTTTGTCACCAACATTACAGCTAATGAAAACACATCCTTCTGGTGAGTTTTCTAGGCCTTTCTTTATAACTGGATCGGCTAAAATGGAAGTATTGTTACCATATGGATTGTATGCTCACAAGTTTACTTATTTTACAAAAAAACTGACATATTTAGTGTATAAATACATGTACATGAATAAATTCTATGAAGAATCTTGAAAATATTTACCATCATTGCAATCTGGACACCAACTTTTTCCAGAGGCATCCTTAGACCCAGTGAATAAAATGAAAACATCATTTTTATCTTTCAACTCATCTAATTTAGTTAAAAGTTCAGAAAGACCATTGACACGAATTTCTGGTGGCATCTTTGATGATGACATGATTATGATATCGTTAATAGCACTAATAGTCAAAAGTCTTAATGTAGTTACCCCCCTTAATTATTTTAGAATTTTATTTGAATCGGGGGTGAGGATCACGTAAGGTGTTTCTCTTTCAATCAAGTTTCAAGTAAAACAGACTCAACATGTCTGTCAATTTAGCATCTCTTGATTTAGGTCTGAAATCTCACTCGAGACAAGTTTCAACTGTAAGTGTACGATTGAAAGACAATCTTGAAAATGAAGAGAGTGCTGATTTTTCAAAATTTACTGGCTGTGAACTTTGCTTAAAGAAAGTTTCAAAGTACACTTGTCCTCGTTGCAACGTGAAATATTGCTCTTTGGAATGTTATCGGGGAAGAAATCATGTTAAGTGCTCAGAAATGTTTTATAAAAGTTGTGTGATGGAAAGTCTGCATGGTCAAACGGTTGAAAATGCCGAACAACGGAAAATGGCAGAGATTCTTAAACGTTTTGAGAACGAAAAAGAAGAGGAAAGCTTCGACGAGTGTGGGTCAGCCTCCTTTGTTGGGGAAAATCTGGAAGAGCGCTTGAAAGGTTTAGATTTGGACCATGATTATGAGAAAATTTGGGAAAAGTTGACTGCTGAGGAGCAAAAAGAATTTGAGCGTGCATTGAATGATGGCTATATTGGTACGCTAGTTGATACTTGGATACCTTGGTGGACAGCTGCAGATGAAAGGTAATTGTTGTTGTTATGTCTTTCATTTGAAACAGTTAGTGATGTAATGTGTAAATTTTAGTGGCAATGAACCAATTGAAAGCAAGACCTCCAAACTCCCAAGATTGTTAAAGAATATCCCAGATTTGAATTGCCTTACTAAATCAAAGCCAGTCAGCAACCAGATTAAGTTCAATGTTGTCAACATTCTCTACAGTTATGCATATGTGTGTCGACATTACAATGGTTGTCTTGGTGAATTTCCTGTTGAAGCAGTAGAAAATATCTGGCATCTTTCTGTTGTGCTTGACCATGCCATAAACTTTGAGAGTTTAGATTCAGCACTGAAAAGTTCTGTGATCACTAGTCAGCAAAATAAACATTTGTTTCATTCCAAAGAATTTTCCATCTCCATAATTGATGATGTTTTGTTGTTATTGAAAAACAACAAGAAGGCTTGTTTTGTAAGCTTGGCTTTCTCAGACGTTCATAGACTACTTGCAAAAGCCTTGAAAATGAAGAATAGTTGGTCTTGTAGAAATTTGGATTCAAAACAATTTTGGTTTGGTAAAAAAGATAATGTTCATGTTGTGTTGGGTTCGTGAAAATAAGAAAGAACTATCCTTGCTTGTCCCCTTCTTCAAAATGGTGAAAGAAACAATCAACTTAGATCACAAGCTAATGCAAGAAGATAAAGAAAAGATGGAGAATTATCGGTGGAAGAATTCACGAAAAAAACTTATTGAAGAAATAGGATGAAACATTACAGAACTATTTAGGAAATAACTTGTTACTAATAGATTTTATGTCATTTAAAAGATGTTGACCATTCAGGTTATTGTAGCTACTCCCATTATTTCGATCTGCAAAAGCCTGTTGTGTTTTTTATAGAATTTGTGATCAATTAGTAAAACATCAAATGGTAAACATCCTCCTATTTCTTGCATGCTCATGTCTGTGGGAAAGATATGCGACACATAAGTGCATGATAACAGCTAATCAACTATGATTTATCTTCTTGATTTTAAACAGTTAGAGGACAAATGGTAAGGTGGACAAATGGTAATGCCTGCAAATCTTTCTCATGACTAAACTAATTGAGAGAATAAACATGGACAAACTCCACAAGATGATTCCCATGTTCAAAACATTTAGTTGACTACATTGATGAAGGTTGACCATTAAATGTTGATGCAATTTGTAACAATGATTCTCTTATTGTGGAATATGTTTCTCCAGTCAGAAATTCCTCTGAAAGCTCTCTCAATGTGATTGCAATACGTCTAGATGTGACATGCTCCCTCTTGATCCCATGCATCCATCTATGTCTGGCCTCACCCTCAAGGATTATAAGTGATCGCCTCGGCATGGGTATTTGAACCTCAGACGTAATATCCGAATGTGTAAGGGTGAGGGCAGTATTTGATAGTAGATTAACAGTAACAAGACGTTCTCCCCAAACCCAGATATCATCAATGTGAGGATCTATTGATGAACCTCTTTCAGGGCAATATTCCAGGTTGCATAACTCCACAGGATGGAAGTCATTCATATGCACGACATTGCTGTGTAATCTTTGAACAATAAATTCACAGAATTTTGGAAGACCAGTGAAATTGCCCGATTTCAATTTCCTTCTCTTGAAGTTCACTTTCGGTCCGAAGTCCTATGGATCAATAAAAAACAACTAAAACACACGTCAAGGAAGAGGATGACTTGAAGGGAAGCAAAGAGTTGATTATCAAGACCTGTTTGCGTCGTCCAGACTGTGACATTCGCCAAGGAAATTGATCTATAACTTTTAATATCATATCCTCTTCATCTCTTGTGATAAAATTCTCAATCACTCGAATGCCGGAGGCGAGGTTGGGATGAAAAAGGTCGGAGTGATTATCGACATTACATTTACAATTAAATTGTGTTTTTCTATACAATTTTTTACATTTATTACAAAAATGTAAATTCTTCTTAAGACTTAGATTCTCTTCATTTGGGTTGTCATTTTTTGAGCTGATAACACAGTTTTTCTCTTCGCAAATCAAACAGCTTCGTACTCCTGAACAAGAACAATTCGCCATTTTAGGATGGGAAACTTAACTCAATCCAAATTTTATTCTTAGTTCTGAAAAACTTCAGTTTATCTGCTTTAACAATGGTTCAAAATCCTAAACCAGGCCATGATCTAAACAGGGGTTTTCTCTAATCCATATTATCCGAAAGTGAATAAGCTAACTCAATCCGGTGAAAATAGCGAAATTTTGGCGTGGTGTTGAGAAAAATGAACGATACAATGGTGGAAGAAATGGTGGAAAATGTGAAATAGAAGCACGTGTAACTTTGTAATAAAGATGTCGAAGAACAGCACTTACAACACAAGGAAATGCCACGAAGTCAATTCTTAAAAAATGGGTCAAACCGTGGGAAAATCTGATATAGGAGAGCTCGAATTATGTGAAATTACAAGCTGTAATTCTCTAAAGGAAATCTATAAACTCAGGTGCGTGAGTCGTATAATAGAACAAATACATACAAAAAGATGGCTATTATCTCATTCATTTAATGTAAGTATGAGTACACTGGTTATAAACATTTGAAAATTACTTAAAGTTTCCACCGCTGCCTTTGCATTCCTTGATTTCAGTCATTTGTCTTACCAATTGTGTAAATGTCAATATATCTCTTTCTACAGATTTATTTAATTACATCATAAATGTATTTTTTTTGTCATAGTTTGCCTGGAGTAAATTTGGCATCTGTGAATGAGGCTGTTCTGAAAAAACTGACCAATTTACGTGAACTTGATATTTCAAATAACAAGATATCTAGTTTAGGCTTTCATGGCATCACATTGGGATTGTTGAAAGAACTCAATTGTGCATCTAATAATTTAACAACAGTTGATGACTTTGCTTTGTTTCCTAACTTGGAGATGGTTGATGTTTCGAATAATGTCTCCCTTGAAGTGGTTGATCGATATAAACTTGTCTCAATGTTGCCAAAATTGAAAGTCTTAGATAACATGGATGTATCAGTAATGCGAGAAGCTGTGAATAAACTTGATGGCGACTTAGCAACCAAGGTGACTTTCCTTTCTCTAGTGTTTAGTAGAAAAATCCCAATTTTCTTGACTTGAAGCAAATAAATAATAAAACAATGTTATAGTAAAATACACATTCACAAGGCTTTCATAAAACAATTTCCATTTGAGGTATCTGAGCATTGGAACACTCAGTTTGAGAATGCTTACATTAAATCAGAAAGTGAGAACTATAAAGAGGAGATTTTCAACATGTTTATCCATTCATTACAGGTTTGTTTTTTGAAAGCATGGATGCACTTCATACACATTGTTCACTGTTGTTCTTTAGTCTTAAATGTCTCTATTCCAGACAGATGTTGTAATGGGACCTCCAGCTCTTAAAAAATATAGGGAATATAAGGTGATTGAATGCATTGCTCCTCAAATACAGAAACTGTGGTTTGATTGAAGCATCCTAATTCTTTGAGTTTATTGACTTCAGTTGACACTTCTTGGAAAGAACATGCTTTGAAAAGAAGAAATGACCAAATGTTGGATATTAGGCCTTCCAAGGTTGTTAAGATGTCACAAGGTAGAGAAAATTCATATCTCGATCATCCAGCTCAGAACAATTTATAACATTATGGTCGCATATTTTTTGTTTAGACTCAGAGGATGCTATCTTTCAATCACAGAACTATAAACCTCAGTTCAAATCAAAGGTGAATGAATAGTCTTTGTGTTTTTAATCGGACGATGTGTTCATTTGCTTTAAAGGAATGATTATGTTTATTTATGGACATTTTCAGAGGACTGGAATAAACTTTGCACAGTCAGAATATCTTCTTTCCCAACTCTTGCAAACTCATTCTTTGAATAACGATCCAAATGATAGGCACACGCAGGTCTGGGCTTGTGAGTTTCAGCCTGATGCCAACAGTCCAGGTAAAATGTATAGCTCTGTGTTTTGCTATCTTTCTGGTTACCATTTGAAATAATCATGTCTGCATGCATGCATAAGATGAAGTAGGGATAAATGGCCAGTTGAAAACAATGAAGGACAATATTTTTAAACTATGTACTTTTAACATACATTCAAACTAATGCTACAAACTAATGGCATGAGCAACCGCAAGCTATTCTAACATGGTGTTTCAAAGTTATATGTGTATCAAACTAATATAATTCTTGTTGTGTAGGAAAAACAACCACCCTTTGTGCAACTTGTGGAGGTGATGCTGTTTGCTTTATTGAATGTAAAACTGGAGAAGTCACCAAAAGTACAAGCAACCAGGAGATGTGTTTTACTGTCTTGCATGGACAGTAGTTCCAGTGAAGGAAGCTTTCGGTGTACAGTACAGAACGGCTCTTGCTGTTGGCGGAAAGCTGTGTGAAATTAAGATTATGCAACCTGAGGATTTAGTTTGTTATGATAGCATCGAGGCACACGATGGTGCAATACAAAGTCTACACTTTCACCCAACAGAACCAACATGGTTATTCAGTGAGTTTGTTTCTTATCAGTTCATATTGTTTTTCTTCTCTTTCATGAATGGCTTTTGATTCTGATTATCTACGTATGCACCCAATGGCATACGTATCTCACACACAAAAATTTGGTCGTGCTTTGCAAGTGTGTTTACTCACTGCAAATACAAGGAAAAGAAATGAATGAATGATAAGGTCATGAATTATACAAAGCAGAACCCCCAAAACTTGGGTTTTCCACTGTGTGTATCACATACAATGGGTAAACTCTTGTTTCAACATCATTGCTTGTGTTATAGACAATCAAATGCTTGTGTATGGAATTCAACACCCGATCACTCCTGATAGAGACACTAGACCTTAGCACACAACATCAGGTCACCTCCTGATAAATTGTATTGTGCTTCAGACATAGATTGTATTTCAGTTTCATGGATCAAGTTTATTTTATTTACACACAGGTGCTGGCGATGACAATCAGATAGTCTTAAGTGAACTGGGTTTCTCAACATCCACCGCAACCAATCCAAAAGCAAAGTATGTATACGTATGTAAAATTTCGTTGTAATACAGCCACAAGAACCTAGCGACATCGTACGTTTTCAGTATTCTCATGAAATTAAAATGCTACGGTATCTTACGATCGCTTACAATACCACGCCATGGCGAAGTATTAGTCGGTGGAGGTGACAAAGGATGTATAGTATGGTCAATTGCTGCTTGTGCTAATAACAAAAGGTAAAAGATGCAGTGGACTATATTTATGTGGAGGAACAGTGTAATTTTTCACTAAGGCTAATTATTCAGACTGAATGTACTTCTTATGTTTCAGCGAAACTCCTCTTTACGAATTGAATTTCCCTGGAAAAAAGAAAGTTCCACTGGATTGCGTTAAATGTTTGAGTGATCACGTGATTGGTAAGGCTTCATTTTTTAGTGCAAAGTTTCCATGGAGTCTTTGCGATATTCGATATTCTATTACGAGTAGTGGCAGAAATTCAAGAGATGACTGGTAGTGTAAACTTTACGCGGGTGTTCCAAAATGCATGATTTCCGTTTTGTCAACTTTAATGCAATTTAGAGATTTGTTTGAAGAATTATTATTCTTTCTCGTGGAAACATTTAATGTGTTTTTTTGCGTAGCTACAAAACGAATTAAAGAACCGATGATTATGTTGTACTATTCTGAATCAAGTTTCCAAAAGGTAATCTACGTAATTTGTTATTCGAATGAAGTCAAATCGTAGGAAAGTTGCTTAGTTAAGAGACTAGAAACATCCATTATTTCGTCCAACTGTAACGATGCAACGAGTGTGTGTTTTTATTGTTGATTATCGCTAGCCTTTTGACCATTGATCTCTCGGAACTCTGAATATCATGTTAGAAATAAACTATAGGATACACCAATTGCTCTGTGGTAAAACAAGCCTTTCACACGTGAGCATATTCACGTCATTTTAGTGGTACTATTGTATCGTTACTATTATAAAAGTATCGTTACCATATGCCATAAACGCCCCAACTCATAAAATGTCGCCCTCTAAAATAAAAAAGTTGATGCGTAATTGCTCAAACTGCTCAAACTCGTCTTCTTGTTACCATCCATTTTGTAAGAAAGCTTTTTCATGTAGTTTTCACTTCTGAACATGTACGTATGTATGCAACGAAAAATTACCTAAAATAAACGATATCAATAAACGTACTTCTCTTGGCGATACTATTGCAATGCATATTTCAGAACGACGCCTCTCCTTCTTTTCGTCTTCCATGGAAAACAACCGACATTCCGTTTCTCAAGTTCAACTTCCGTCCCGGTAAGCTTGTGTCTTGTGTTCATTGCATTTTATGTAGACATTCGTGAAGTAGTTGCACAGTTGATTTGTTATAATAGATTGTGATATATTTATTGCCGGCGACGATCTTGGGCAAGTGTGGATGTACGACGTGAATAGATGTTTGTGCGAATCGAGACAAGGAAAGAAACTTGAGGAAGTTAAGGAAACTCAGGTACGTTTGTGGATGTTGTGATTTTCTACTATCTTCACAGTGATATATTTACCGAGATAAACGCCTGGGGCCGGTTGCACGAAGCCTGGATGGCGTTATCCATTGGATAAATTTTCAAAGTTGTAAAAAAGTTGTCAGAATTTTTCTTACGACAAAGAAGTTTCGTAATCTTCGAAACAGTGTTTTATTTCAGTGATTGTTTAGTTCGAATCTTATACTTTTTGCTTTTTAAAAGGTTTTGTAAAAGTTTAAAAAAACTTGCTATCCAATGGATAACGCTATCCAAGCTTCGTGCAACCGACCATAGTATTCCAAAAGCTCACTCGCACACACTGATTAGGATTTCATAATCACATCATAACTAGTAAAAGACAGTATTTTCATTTCATTGATTGCTTGGTTTGTCATTTTGCTCATTTGTGTGATTCCGTTCCTATGACTAAGCATGTGAGCATTTTTTCTTTTTTTTATCGTTAGAAGTTGAGTTGTCCCAATAGCACTGTAAAGACTTTTAATCACGTGTGCTCTAGCTCGGATATGGACTATGTCATCGCAGTTGCCGATAGCAACGTCGTGTCGATATGGAAGAGATTAAAGCCCTCGCCCTGATCTTCGGTTTAGTTTAATTCTCACAATGGAGCGCGAGGGAAAGAGTCTTTACGTGTAATTTAATCCAAATTTTAATTTTTATTTACATCCAAAGTCGGGTTATGTGGTCATCGCTTGTGAACAATTGACAGCTACCAAAGGTTCATTGTTGTTGTGTTTGTGTTGTTGTTGTATTTGTGTTGTCTTGTTCGTTTGATTTGATTTCAGTTAAGCTCTTCATGACAGTTAGACCACCTGATCTCATGTGAAAAAAAACTTTTATTTCCGAATGAGCTTGGACACGTATCTTTTTAGCTGGTAATTCTCTGCTGTAGCTAAGTTATTTAATCATTTCAACCTAATGAACATCCTCAATGTATCGATAGCTACTTTTACCTTTGAACGTGTTCAACGTAATTTTACTTAAACTACTGAACATCAATATAGTGGTGTTTTTATCATAGAAAATCTTCAGCCTAATGGTACTTACACAAATATACTTTTTCAATGTTGTGGTATGTTACAGACTGAAGTCGGTCAATGAACAAATGTATTCATGTGCTGTTTATTTATTGAAGTTTTGAAACAATCATTGCTTTAGTAAATACAGAAGATAAAACCCAGGCAGTTAGCATATCTAGTGCTGCGGATTCACGACCAAACTCCCCAAGTTCTTTATAAAACTCGTACCATTCTTTTTCGTGCTCGGGGAAAATGAATGACAAGACCTTAGTGCATTGAATTCGGTCATCCGCAGTGTGAAGCAACCTCACGGCTTCACTTGGTCGACAAGCACGAACCAATGACGTTATGCATTCTTCACGATTTAATGGCGACGATAAATACCCATCACCAGTAAGTAGGAAGATTTCAGCCAGTCGGTAACTCGGATATGCCTCGAGAATCCTCATGAAATCTGTCTTATTGAACTTTGCCACATTTCTAGCATGACTTGCGGCCATGTGCAACCGTCCCTGGCGACATAGAGAAGAAACCACCTTTTCATGAGCCTTGGCGTGTCGATATACGATTTCCGCCATTATATGGCAACCACATTTACAAACACGCTTGCATTTACAAAACTGTAAGATACAATCACCTAACGTGTCCGAATATTTAAGTTTATTTTGTGTAAACCATTGCATGACAAGGTCCTGTCTTTTTTCCGACAACGCTCTGACTATGGCATCAATTGATTCGGACGCAGAAAGTCCCTTTTGTCCTGTATTTTCACTGTTTGTAATAATAGCCTCGCAGTAGTGGAGAAGAGGGCTCATCTCACCAAGAAGTGGGTTTTGTTGCTTAAAACGTTCAAATGTCTGAGCAGTGCGTAAAATGTCCTGGGGCGAGCTTGCTGCAACTGCTGCTGCTTCTTCGTAACGACGCTGGGTGAACAGTTCTTCAAATTTCTCCATATGTTCCACCATTTCATCTTGTTCTTGCTCACCTTGCATTTCTTTCTCGCACGATTCTTTCATTAGTTTGTCTAATGCAATGATTTAAAATTGATCTCGTGGCGTTTTTTTAGTATAATTACACACGGCTTAAACTCTTAAGTCGAGTTCGATAGCTTGCAAAAAGACTGCTCTTACCTTCAAGTCCTTCAATAATATCGCTTTCAGCCTCACTATGTTTCAACGCAAGAAGAATTAGCTGTAATATAGTTGTTGGTTTTTTTGTCCTTTCCAAATCTCGTTTCCTTCTTTCCTCTTTTACTTTTTCCTCAAGTTTCAAGAGTTTTTCTTTCAACATATCACCTGTTTCAACAAGCGCTGCATAATATACTATTCTACATACTATGCTATATACTCCACTAAATATTGTACTACATACAAAACGTAACTGTTTTACGTGGATTGAAAAAGGAAAAGGATCTATGTAGCCTAGCAAGATATATTCAGTTACCTTGTATTTTTAAATCGTGTTTCAGTTTTTCTTTTTCCATGAGTTTCTCTATCAATTTATCTTTGGTTTTTCTGAGTCTAAAGCGTTTGTCAAAAAACTTTACAAGTTCTTGAACCTCTTTACGTAAGCGTTCCCATTCCTGTTTCAAAAAAATCACATCAGTTTGCTCTCTACTGGTATATCGTTGCAGAATTTTAACACGAAATTTCCCAAAACATTCGTTCTTTGTAAATAAATTTTGTTGAAAATCACGACCACGAATGGTCGCAATTGATTTACGGAGATCATGAAGTATTTGCTCAGAATCTTCTCTTCTTCGTCCAGGCATACCCTTTTGAGAGTGAACTCGAAGCCTTGCGTTTTCATCTACAAGAGTTTGTATCTTTTTTGCCAATTCTTCGATCCTCTTTTGGTAGTTCTTAATCGTTTCTAAGCCGTACATGTAATTTTTCACATTCCTTCGAATGAAGTCTTCAGAGTTCTGGCTTTCCAATACAGCTCTAATGCAAGTTTCGTACTCCAGTTTTATTGCTGAAAGCAGTGGCCCAAAGCAGCGGCTGTGGCGAATTATTTCTTCAAAACATTGACTGAAAATAGCACGTCTGTCTTTACGTGTTTCATGTTCAAGTCTGTCATGATCATGTAACTTCTCGCCCAGTTTTTCCTCCAATTTTGAAACGAAATCATCAACACTCTTTGCATTGATGTGCCAACCCAATGTTTTTGCATTAGATTCATCATCATAGTCCATCTTTTACGTTTTTAGCATTTAATTGTCGAAGCTATAAAATGTGAAGTTGCGAAGGTTTTCCAGTTTGACATGGTGATAACAGAACTGTTTGTACACGTCATTACTGTAAATATGAAATGGCCTCATACCGTGTACACGAGAAATTCAGCAGTATCACGAGAAATTCAAGTTTTACAAGATGAAGTTGTGTTCAATGAGAACTTTGCACTATTTATGTGTTGGTAGTTGCTGAACTAAAAAATCTTTAAAATCTAACGAACGTTGTTGTCTGGGATGAACCCATACAGAAATTAGAATGAAAGAGCTGTTTCGTTTTTTAAATGTGAATTATTATTAATGTATTAGTTGGCAACTTGCATAAAAATAAACAATATGAGTCATTAGTATATATAGTATATATCCCATTGAACAGATGATATATCCCTGTTGTAATCTTGTAATCTTGTAATCTTGTAATCTTGTAATGCCGTATTTCTCCAACCCAGTTTCCTAACCTTACGCCATTTTCAATATGGTCGCCTTTCTCATGTGTTTTCAAGTGCAACGGTTCCTATGATATACTAGTATATTTACGAATAAAAAACGCGAAATTACCAAGAATATTCATACCTGGTAATACAATAAAGCTTTCAGTGTACCTATAAAAATACGAGATTACTGGCTTTTGATCGAAAACAATCATGAAAAGAGCAAAGAGTGACGAGGAAGACGAAGATGGCAGTTCTGGAGAACCGTCAAACAAGAAATCTTTTGTTGCCATACCACCTGTAAACATTGGTCCAGTTTCTACAGAGGTTTTTGATTATGTTCCAATGTTTCTGATTCTTATTGTTCAATGTTTGTATTCGCTGAATTTTACTATCCTATGAGTATTTCATTTAATTGTTTACAGGAAGAAATGGATGTTCAGGTGTTGAAATTTCAAAACAAAAAACTCAGCGAAAAGCTCGAGGAAATAAAAATGGAAGAGGAAAGCTTTAAAATTCAGATTGAAGAGTTTAAAAAGAGAGAGAGGGACAACACCGAGTTGTTGTCTGTGATTCATCGTGCATGGAATCAGGTAGATAGTATGAAAAATGTTTCATGCAAGAATGATTTAGTGTTTTGAGTTTTGTTTTGAATAAGAACTGACTTTGGCATTTCAATATTGAACTCATCTGAAACCCAGTCTGGGAATATCAAGCCCATTCAAAATCTGGGAGGGAGCAGTATATTGCATCTCTATGTGTGGAGTGCTAAATGTTACCCAATGATATGCTTGTCCTTGGAAAAAAAAGGGGGGGCATGCTCCCCTTCCTCACTGTGTGGTCCTTGGTTGTAAAGTTATCTACGGTGTCCATTATCCAACCAACTCAAAGCTTACTTGTTTCAGCTTTTGATCCAATTCTAATCAAATGAATTTTATAAAATTCAACAAAAAGGAGAAGCTATGGGATATGTCATTATCACACATCCATGGAATAGATATGTTGATACCATTAGACGTGTTTTTATGTGTTTCATTACTATTAATTTTCACCAGTCTTCAGTGATGAAAGTGTCGTAAAATTATCTTTTAAGGACTTCAACATAAAATTTTACAGTGTTATATTTGATTTATTCCTCGAATTGACGTTCTAGATGGAAGAAGAGACAAGATTGTTAGTGAAAAGGTTTGAGCAACCTAGCAATGATGAAAATAAGGATTTAGGTACAGTTTGTTTGTGATCATAATGTTTGGATTAACCTGTTGCCATGATCTTATTGATAATCATTAGTTGATTGGTTATTACAGATTGACTGGTTGTTATTATAGGTCAATTTTCGACTATTAATTGAATGATCATAATTAAGTTAATGAACATTAACTGATTACTAATCATTGATTGACTAATAATGATTGATTGACTCGTTACCATAGCCTGACTGGTGACCAATTCACCCTGGGTATTACTGATCACCATACACAAATTTTTTTTACGTCAGTTCTAGATGATATGACCAGTATATCATTCATCAACCATCTAAAGCAAGTTACACCAGCTGAGAGAGAAGATGAGTTGACAAAAAAGATATCCGCTTCAAGAGACATCATTGCTAAACTTCTTGAGCTTATCACAAATGCCAATAAGAATAATAAAGAATTAATCACAAAACTTAATGAAGGTAATGTGCTACTTGGTATGTATCAGAAAGAATGCTCTTTTTGCTGTTGACTAATATGGACTTGGAAGCAGGGAAAGGGGAAGCTGAGAGCAATGATTGGCAGCATCAATTGTGATCAAAGACCAAATATATTAAAATAATCTCATCTTGTTTAATTAGAGGATTCGGTGGAAGAAGTTACTAAAGATTCGATGAATGGTTTGGTAAGAGAGAATGAAAATCTTCGCAATTTAGTATCATCGCTTCAGCAGCAACAAACAACGAACTCCTTGGAGGTTTGTCATTGGCTCTCATAGATAGCAGTTCATCTCAATTGCTTCCAATCTGGATTGCTAGTTTACTGGTCCAGATTGTTTTTAGCGAAAAGGACTTGAACAAACGGTGCACGAATCGTCTTCCATAACGCGGATTTCATTTCTTTTTTGTTTGTTTTACCTTTAGTTTGCGGAACTTCGCGATAAGTACGCCATCACTCAAAACGAGCTGTCGGAGAAGAACACTAGCCTACAGGAGGCGGAGTACGATCTTCAGAAACGAAATCATCGCGTCGAAAAACTCATAAAACGTTTGACTGAAGTGGAGAAACAGTGCAAGAGCCTTCCCGTTGGGGTAACAAGTGAAAGAGTTTTCAAGGGTGAACAAGCTGTTAATGCTGGCGAGGTAACACGATCATGTATGATGTGAAGTTTGTTGAACTATACGTCAAATATATCGGGAAAGTTATCTTCCTCTAAAACTTGAAGTTAGCAATTCAACTACTCTCAATCTTTTCACCCGCGGCTTAAAAAAACTTCGGGAAAGTTATCTCCCCCCAAAACTTGAAGTCAGCAATTCAACTAGTCTCAATCTTTTCACCCGGCGGCTTAAAAACTTCGGGAAAGTTATCTCCCCCCAAAACTTGAAGTCAGCAATTCAACTACTCTCAATCTTTTCACCCGCGGCTTAAAAAAACTTCGGGAAAGTTATCTCCCCAAAACTTGAAGTCAGGAATTCAACTACTCTCAATCTTTTCACCGGCGTCTTAAGAATACTTCGTTACTATAGTGTAGCTACAGTTAAGTAGCTACAGGCATGCTCCTAAATCAACCTTTCTTCAATCTCCACTCGTTGCTTGTAGATATCGGATACAGAAATATATTTATGGATTTACAGCCTGTGCATCTTCAAACCAAGATCTATACATCCTCTTTACGTTCATAATACGTAACGATCTTTATTAAACATACCTATCGTCACGAGTCATCACGAAATCTTCATCATAGGAGGAAATCTTCTCATTGCTGCTATATCTTTCTTTTTGTGATCTGCTTTTGAATGCCCACCCCCCCCTCCCCAAACATCTCTATTTCCTTAAACACGTGCAAAGACTTCATTTGGTACATCGCCTTTTCATTCCTCGTAGAAAATTTTGGTATGGTTTATTTTTATCAGGCAATCAAGATGCAGTCTGATTACGAAGAACAAAAATTGCTTGCGGAGCAACGCTTAGCAGAATTGGAAAAACTGACGGAAAACCACAAGCTATCTTTGGAGGAAATCGAGAAATACAAAATGGAAGCATCCCAAATTCCTGAATCAGCTGTTCTTCAGTCTGTACCTTACAGGACTTTACAGTCGCAATACTCTGTCATCTTCAATGAACTTAATCTGGTATGCTAAATATTTTGTGATACGTGATTTTACTGCATACCACAACAATGAAATATACTGTTGCAATCTAGGTCCGACAGCAAATCGAAGAGATTCGGAGGATTGCCAACAACAGCCGAACACAGCACATTCTTCAGTTGGAGCAACTGGAGGTAAATTTTCACGAAACATTTGTTTTACGAAATCCATATGTTCGATTGTCTTGTCTTTTGACTTGTCTTGTAGATGTTTCTTCCCGTATTTTTTCCTTGTTTTTAGAACGAAAGCTTGGCTGTTCAGAAAAAGTTTCAAGCTGAGAAATAGCTCGCGTTGAGGATGCGTTGATGCAAGTACGACGCGACTACGAACTGCTACGAATGAAATACGAACACTATTTGAAAACCAACGAACAGACTGGTGAGATGAATTTGTATTTTCTAGTGCAAAGTTTCCATGTAAACATTGCAGTATCCTTCCATATTATAGTTTATTTCGTGAGTCGTACTCTTTTACGTGAAATAAAATTCAAAAAAATAAAATAAATTTACCAACCATTTCAGTATTGATTCAAATTGTTTGTCCAATGGCAGTATTTTTTGAAAGTTTGCACTATCTTTGTATCCCTAGTATTGTTTGCAATAGAAAATGATGAAACTTATTGTAGACGTATTTTGTTTGATTCAAATCACCTTATGACACTTCATACTTCATACATTAATAATGAATTGGATACATCAATTTAGGGTAGAGCTGATACACATTTATTCTCCTACAATTCAAAGACCGTTCATTTAATTTGCTCTACGAATTGTGTTTTTCAGACAAGGGAAGTTTGAATTTTTGGTTTTGATTATTCGTTACTTAGTTTCGTTTCATCTTTCTGATGTAGCACCGATGATCAAAGAAATGGACTACATCATTAAAAGTTTACGGGTTAGGAAACATCAAAAGCACAATAAACTGCGTGGTAAAACACTTCTTCTGATAAATTATTGATTGGTTTTTAGAACAGCAACAGACAACTGAAAGGGGAAGTAGCTCGTTTCAAAACAAAACTCACGAAGGAAGAAGAACAAACTCAAAGGGTACTGTTATATTGTTTATTTCATGCATGACACGAATTGCTTGAACAGAGTTGTAATGTAAACTTCTGTTCCTACAAGTTTTAAAAATTTTCTTAACGAAGTCAGATAGGGCTTTGATTGCTTGACTATAGCAACTTCGTTTGTTATTGAAAACGTTTTATGTGTTACGCTTTGTTTTGTTTAGTATGCGTAGACTTTCGCAACCTTTAAACTAATAACCTTTATTATCTAACAACTTAATTTTTATGGTATATAGAATAACGCGGCCGTAACGCCATAAGTATATTTAGCCAGGCCTTGGGGAATGTACATCTTCTCTACCTCATTTTCTTTTGAATGGCGTAACAGCGATCATACCACCGATTAATTTATTGGCAGATTACTTCGTAATAATTATTGTGTGTTCCTTGCTTCATGCCGTACTTTATCAGCATTCTCGAAGCCTTTCGATTTCATCATTCTGATGTATGTCTTTGTACGCGTTTCAGTTGCATGCAGAACTTGAGAGCATAATATCGGGCAAGAACTCTATGAAAACAGATGTAGAAAAACCGGAGGAAAAGTCGACGGAAGTGGACTTGACAAAAGAGACCACTCCTACTGGGGCAGACGAGGTCAAGACAGAGGGCGAAAACTTGCAGGAAGATGGAGAACTGCCTAAAGAAAGCGACGAATTGAAAACGTTGAAAGCGGAGCTCAAGTAAGATACGAATTCATATTATTCAACGGTATGCAATGATTTCCACGCAGGTAAAACAAAGTAAATATTGATATTATAAAGTATTTTGCATTGAGATCATATGAAATATCAAGTAAAATCTGGAGGTCGTATGCAGTAAAGTTTCTTTAAAAGTAATCGATTATACACAATTATACACAATTAACATAATTATACTTCTTGTGTAAATTTCATGTTATCCATGCGAACAATTTGTGGGAAAAAGCTCATAGTTTTTTTATGATACGTTTGCGTCGATGGCATTTTTATGCATGCACTTGTTACCAGGCTCTCCCAAGAAACTGCGCAAGAAATGAAAATCATATTGGATGTATACAAGTCCGCGTCAAAAGATGATCGCGAAAAGTTCGAGGTAGAAAAGCTCTTTATGATCCCCATACATGCATATATGAAATAATTAAACATAATATCATGTGATGGAACTATTAAGAACGTCACGGACTTCGCGTGATATGATATAAAAGGTGTTATACCGTAGATCCCATAGGATATGAAGGGATTGAATATAGATTTAAGTGAAACGTTATGTTAGGTTGGTGATAGAATAGTATCATTTTAATGAAAGATAGTATGCAAAATGATACTGCTTTTAGCTCTTAGAAAAGGAAAAACGTCAAGAAAACGAGTTAGAGGATCTCCGCCATCAACTCAATGAAAGAACAAAAGAAATCGAGAAATATAAAGCGGGAGCAACGGATGAACTGACAATAAAACGTCTCAAGGCTGCGAATGAAACCATTGAGATGTTACAAAGAAAAATTGCTGCTACTAAACAGGTAGTTATATTTTATTGTTCAAATAGATGAAGTACACGTTACAGTAATTTGCCATAAAGGAATACATACAGCTTGGTGTCCAGTCATCACTTCTCATTGGTCATAGAAAAATAATATGTTACTCTGTAATCAGCCATTGAACTGGTATTGAGTAATCAACCGTGGAGAAATGCATGCTATTCTATAAATAGTTTTAAAAACTGCTCGTGGTACTTTATTCATCCATAGACAAGTGTATACTAAATTGCAATCAGCCGTACAGACGTTCACGCCATTCTGTCTTCACCAGACGCATTTACAGAATTCCAACCGTCTTAGCTTGTTTTTGAATCGTAACGTTTTAGGAAGAAGACGCTCTTTTGTCCGAGATGGAGTTTACAGGACAAGCTTTTGAAGAAATGCAGGAACAAAATATCCGAGTCTTGCAAGAATTACGTGAAAAAGAGGAGGCAAATTTAAAATTAATGTCCGAAGTAAGCCAATTTTCGTTTTAACTTTTCTACAAGACTCCGCTGAAAAATGCTTTGAAAACATCATCATGAACAATCGTTTTTTCGATACCTGAAACGGGTAACGATATTTATGCAGTTGTTGGTTTTGTTTCTGTTGATGTTTATTCGTTTCTTATTGTAGCGTATCAAAGGAGATCAGATTCAAAAGCAGTTGAAAGAAGAAAAGGATGTGATGGCAGATCAGATCACAGCATTGAACTCTCATATAGATGCTCAGGAACAAGTGATCAAGAAGTTGGAGGAACGAGAGAGAAGTTTACAATCAACGCTGGTATTGACTAGTGGAAACATCTATTGTTTCGTGTCCAGTGGTTAATTTATGATGGACATATTTTTTCAGATTTCCATCGACAAAGAACTCGTTCTTCGACAGCAAGCCATGGACTTGCACAAAAGAAAGGTGCTTGTCTATGCTTACGCAGTAGAATATTTTAACCGCTTATTTATGCGTCCGGACTTTAACAATTTTTTATAGGCCACCGAAAGTGCTCAAACTGCACAGGATTTCAAAATACGCATCGAGTCTTTTCAAGTACAGCTGCAAGAGGTTTGTATCGGTTTGTAGTAGACTACAATTTGACTAAATCTATTTTGAAACTCTTCATTAAAATTCCAATATCAATAAAAAGGGCGTTCACCATACATCTGGGACATTGATTTATGGCGTGTCTTCAATTTTGCAGTTTGTAAACTTTATAACTGTTATGTGTGTGTAGGCGGAGAAATCATTAAGGGGAAAGACTCGATCTCTAGAAGAAGAAATATTTCGTAGTCGAAGAATGCAGGTATACGTGCCCTCTCGTCCAAATATGCTATCATTGTAAGATATTTGACCTATCGCTCAAAATTTGAGACCAATATCTATGCATTTTCGCTGAAAAATAGTCTGGGAGTAAAGTATCATAATATTGGGGATTTACTCGCTATGAAAGTCAACGAGCATTTTTTCTGGTGGTGGTGGCTCGTTTTATTCATGTAGAACTTTGAATGTTATCTTGATTTCTATGGTGTTTTGTGTGTAAATTTTAAATATTTGTAATACTTAACGTTTTTCAGCTGGAGTAACTTAACTAGGCTGCAATTTATCTATCTACGATACTGCCTGTTGATTTATAAAGCTTCTTCCCATTAGGAGGAAATCTCGAGTTTTAAACGAAAACTGGAAAAACAGAAGAAGATGGACATCTATGGTACCGCGGATGAGATTTTACTTGAGGAAATCAAAGAATACAAAGCAAGATTAACATGTCCTTGCTGCAACACAAGGCAAAAAGACGCCATATTAACCAAATGTTATCACATTTTCTGTTTTGAATGTTTAAAAACACGTTACGACACGCGGCAAAGGAAATGTCCCAAGTGTAACGCGACATTTGGGAACAATGATTTTAAGAAAGTTTATCTGTAAAAGTATGTTATTGATCAAGAACAATACACTTAGCACTTAACTCTTCAATTTCATTGACCGGAAGTTATTTTTTGACGTATTTCACTTTCTTAAAGCTGTCCAAAACCTACATGCAGGAGTTTTTTATCGCATTTGCCGCCACTAAACAATACTGGTGTAGATTGACGTGCTCTGTTTACATAGGAAATTATTTATTTCCACGGGTGCTTCTACTTCAAGTTTCATAATCGCTTCCGTTTGTAATTTCAGCGATAAACATCTATTAAAAAATATTTTTGGCTATTATCCAGTCCTATTTTGCCTTGTAGGTAATTCTTATGTCACAGGAATGGTAATTGTTTTGTACTTGACGACGTATTGTTCTACTAATTATGGTTCTGAGAACATTCTCAAATTTTGTAATTTACATCTACATTATTAATTCGAACAAAAGCAAGATAAATGAGTAGATGAAAGCTTTTCGACATTATTTACACGCGTTTGTCTGCGGTCTTTAGTTTCCTGTCATCACCAAAATGGATTGATTACATGTTTTACTGTGACGTACTAGAAACAATTTATCTTTTTATTTCTCTCCTTTGTAAGACCAAATACAAGACATTCCTGAAAACCGAAGTGTTTTCACTTGCATTTTGTTAGATAAAATAATAAGGTTTTCTAGAAAGTCGATTTTGGTGTGTTTTTGTCAATCAAACTACGTGTGAGACTGATCCCTCCATCTAAATTTACTTAAAATGCTCTAGCTGGCGCATTGCGCATGACGTTTGAAATATTTCTGCTGGCTTCGCAAGCACAGGCGCATTGGAGGACCAACCTTCAAAATGAATAGTGTAGTAAAAGATGCTAAATAAGTCGTACGTTTTCATTAACATTAAAACCCTATCTTGATCATTGAAATGGTGAGAAGGATATCAATGTGAAGTGCGGCAAATCTATCTTCTATTAGAAAGCAAAATCTAATGACTTCTCGGGGAAAATCGGCCGACATTTGTGCTGATTGTAGTGCGCTTAGTACGTATCCATTAAATTCTGTTAATGTGTTTTTAGTGCCTAGGTTTAAAGTACAATAGTACGTGTTTCATCTGTTCTTTCAATTTTGTAGATCCATCATGGGCCTCGATAAATCGTGGGGTTTTTATTTGCAATGATTGCTGTGGAGTACATCGCAGTTTAGGTCGACATATCAGTCAAGTTCGTCATCGAAAACATGGAAATTGGGCACCATCTCTGTTAAAAGTAAATATTTATCACTGCTAATTCGTTCGCTGTCTATTTGTGTTAATATCAGTTGACAGTAGTTCTGTCTTGAGAATATTGACACTGTTGTACACTCAACGAGTATCACGACGAAATCAGGTGTCAAAATCTCGATTTTGTTTGAATCACAAGTGTCTTGATAATTCATTTAATTTTATAGCGCTTCTTCTATGAGCGCTTCTATGCTCAGATTTTTTATCGTAGACACTTAAGTTGTGAATCTGGTGAATCAAATGTAATAGAAATCAAAATAGCTTTTCTTTGGCACGTTTACATTCAACATCGTTCCCTGTCGCTTGACAAATTTAAACACGGAAATTTTGACAATGAAAGTAAACAAACCCATGATACAAGCGATACTTTGCTCACTGTTTGAATTGTCTAAATTATTCATTATAAAGGAAGACTTTCCTCAAATAAACGTTTTCCTAGAATATTTCGTTGTGTTTATAACTCAAATGCATCAACTATTCATAAATTACAAGGACAAAGGAAGTTCCTCTTTGTAACTATTACAAAATATAAATATTCTTTATATCAGGAAATAGTTTTTGTTTTCCAAAATGATTTCAATTAATTGATGAATCTTTTACAAAGATGGTCAATACGCTTGTGGCAAATGGATCAAATTCAATATGGGAACATTCATTGCTTGATCCTAACCAAATCAAGAGTGGAGTACGCAAACCAAATCCTAAAGACACTGTCATGTATGTTGGATTTTTTGTGAGAACTCAATATTTTTGTTATATTGAAAAGTTAGATGAAGTGCTTATACTACAATTGTAGACCCACAAAAGCAAATTTCATCCGAGCTAAATATCAAACACTTTCATTTGTCCATCGAATGCCTGGCCGTGATGATGATGAAGCCTTTACAGCCGACCTTAGTCAGGTATGAAATGTATTTCAAAGCTAGCTTGTTCACAAGAGCTCTGAAAAGAAGTTCATTTCTTCTTTAGCAACTTCATTCAAGTGTTCGAACCGGTAATTTAGAAACTTCTTTGAGGCTTTTATCGTTGGGTGCCCAACCAAATTATTTCTTTCAGGTAAATTATTAAAGCACACACATACAGCAGTCTCTTTCATATATGCATCAATTAAATCTTGATTCCTCTAGGAAAAAGGAAACTATCCACTTCATATAGCTGCCAACTCTGGACAACTGCTACAAGTTGAGTTGCTCTGTGTTCATGGTGCTGACCCATCATTACTTGACTGTGAGGGAAAGGCTCCACTTGATTATGCCTTGTGAGTAAGAGTAACCTGGAAGATATGTTCGGTTTTCAATGGCATCATCAGCATAATAATTGATACTCATATATGCATGTTTTGTCAAACGAAATTCTTTGAAATCAGTTGTTCTTAGGGATCATAACATGCATATATGAATATTATCTTCCTCACATCTCGAGCTGGCAATGCAAGGTCAATCTTTTTGCTTAAGATTATTCCTTCTTTATGCCATTTTGATAAGCATTTTAGCAGTAGTGTGGCCAGCTTGCTTGTTTAATCCAACAATGTAATTTTACTATGTTTACTATGTGAAAACAACAGATTTCAAAGGAAATCATTGATAGAATATAATATGAAGTTTGCTTAGCTGGACTGAAGTTTTCAGGTTGGCTACTATTCTAGTCATCAAATTATTCAGCCTGTCGTCAAATTGTTTCGATAAGAATGTAGGAGCATTTTTTAAAAGATAATCAATGTCTGTGATTTCAATGAAAGTAAAAGCCTAAGAAATTTGTCGTGACAATGGAAAATGTTTAATATTGCTCTGACTGGAAAATGTGATCTCATTTGAGAAGAGGATATGTCTGTCTAGTCTGTATTCTATTTCATCTCTCTACAGTTTTCTTCATTCTTTTATCAATGTTTTTGTATATAAGGGATGCTGGTCACATGACAGTGGTTGAAAGACTCATTAACATACAGTGTGAAGTTACAGACAGGCTTACATATTACTTGTGTGGAAGAAAACCAGGTAAGATTGTGGGCTCAATTGTGGTATTTGGACCGTTAATATGCAATATTGGTCATGTTCATGATTTGCTGTTAGATCACAAAGATGGACACAAATTTTTCATTCCTGCCATGGCAAACAGGTATTAATATATGTCAATTATTACAATAATTTATATTGTGTTTATATATAACAACATTTATGTGTCATCTTTTACTATTTAGTAATTTTTACTTTTTTATAGTTCTCTGGATTTATCAGAAAATGCCAAACTTGCCAAACAAAAGTTACAATTGGTATTGTTTTGTGGAGTTTTTTTTTCAACAAACACCTTTATTCATCATGCAACCATCATTTTTTTCTTTATATCAGCTTAGTAATCATCTTTTCGAGGAACTTTCGTCTGATGTGTATGATGAAGTTGACAGGCGAGAAACTGATGCTAGTATGTATCGTTATTTTGTCTTTCTTACGAAATGAATGAAACGAATTCAAACATGCTGACTTTAAAAGGTGCATCTAATTTTATCTGATTGCAAATGTGAAACGAATTAAATTTCATATTAATATCCTAATTATAGAAAATGGGTATATTGCAAAAGGGTATTTGTTTGCCGGTGGTTGGATCGTGTTCCTTAAACATTCCAACATGCAATCGACAAAGGATGAATCTCGCTCCCCCCTGTTTAAATACGTTTTCTAATAGTAATCACGTGGCGTGCAATGTAAATAGCGCAAAGTGAGCGAACATCTTTTTATGAACTTTCAGCTTGGATAGCGACCCAGAACCATAGCGATCTTGTCAACGATCGTACGGCCGTTCCATTTCTACCTGTAAATCCAAGCTACTCGTCTACAAGAAACCAAGGAAGACAGAAACTCGCCCTTTTTAACGCCCAGGAATTCTCGACACTTGTTCTGGACATAATTATTGATGCAAGGCGGAGAGAAATGGGATCGCAACTTTTCTTAGATGATGGTACGAATATACTTAACGTCAATTAACGGATGTTGAGTCTTGTGCAGACATTACCAAGAGAGGGGAGGAGGGAGGTGGGAATTAAATCTCTTCTGTACATTTCTCATTTATAAATTTTCATGACGAAATCTCTGAACTGATCCGTGTTGACCTGGCTGCATCTCGTTACAATGTAGCTTGTTTTATTTGGAGGCTAGACTCCTGGCATTTGTTGCCTTTCTTTAGATGATCTCGGAAATGAGTTGGAGGGAGACGGCCATGACTATGACGAAGTCGCTAGCGATGATGGAATACTCGAGGTAATGCAAAGTGATCTATATGACTGTTTGAATAAGCTGCAATTTTGCTCGTTGTGCTTAGTGTATAAATGTCTGAATAATCGTCTACTTTTTCACTGCTATTGTTGTATTGGTTAAAAAAGTACACATGTTTGCACTTGATTATTCCAGCCAATCAATGAGTCCGAACCAGTCAAGGAGAAACATAAAGACAAAGATGTCGATGCAGAGGAAGTTCGCAAAACAGAAATTGCTGAGGTACATTGCTCGAGTCTGGGCAACATTGACAATCCCCCCTTATCGACATTCTCGCGTTTTTCAGGAAAAAAAAGATTCCCGAACGTTTAAGACGGAAATACCTAAACCTAGCGAAGAATATAAGGACTTCGTGCCGATTGCGCAGTACAAGAAATTACAGAAATCATTTTTCGAGTCACAGGTGAGAGATGTTTGTACTTTGTTTATTGTCAAACTGAACGACTGATCGGTGATGGGTTTTTTCTAGCATCCATTGTTTCCTTCCTTACACTTAAATGTAATCATATCTTTGTCAATGATATAAGACATGCTTGCAATAGAGAAGTCAAACTGATATTTTGTTTCAGCTATGCAAATGTATTTTTGTACTCATACGCTGGAAAAATCAATGAATTTATTTTACTTTGAAGTTTGTATTGCAAGGGCGAAAGTTAGGGCTGGCTTTGTCATTGCTTTCATAGAAGATCTTGTCTATTTAGGAAAGAGTGAATGAGCTATCACGCGAGAAGGAAGACTTGCAAAACGAGGTCAATGTATTAAAGGCAGTAGTAAGTATACCTTCGAATTTTGAAGACTTCCTCCACAATAATCTCTGTTATTTCTGCAATTTTTGTCAACATTTTTATCGCCCTAGGTACAAACCTTAAAAGAAGAGATTTCAAATCAAGACGTTTTCTCGTCACAACATCGCCACTCCATGTTTGGAATTCAACACGTCAGTGATGACATGATCACAACTAACGTGAGTACGACGACTTTATGTAAAGTCGTTGTAAAAACAACGATAATTTTTTATGCACCCGTGCTTAATTCAGGTGTAGAACAAAGAACGGCTGCATCTTGAAAAGTGTTTTTTTTCTGAAACGCATATGACTTTTGAAATCATCTTTATTGGCAACAACTCTACTGACAACATCTCTATTGACAACATCTCTATTGACAACATCTCTATTGACAACATCTCTATTGACAACAACTCTACTGACGACATCTCTACTGACGACATCTCTACTGACAACATCTCCATTGACAACATCTCCATTGACAACATCTCCATTGACAACATCTCCATTGACAACATCTCCATTGACAACATCTCCATTGAAATCTCTCTTAGTAACTGTTCGGTTGATTATGTCTCACTTAATCAGGGTCATGAAAGCAAAGTTGGAGATGACGAGGACTCCGAGGATGACATGGTCGAACTAAGCGAAATTAAAAGTTACGAATCGCCCAGAGCCTTGCTGGAAAAACCTCGCGAAAAGGCTGACTCCGATTCGTCAGCGAAGTGTTACGATAATCTGCCGACAACACCTCCGAAATCTGTAGATAGTGAAACTTCCATTCAAGGAGAAGAAGAAAAACCACTATTGGATTCTGAAGGTTTGAAACTTATGAGACATTTACTCTAAAAACAACTCAGCTATGTATCAACTATCCAGTTTAAAAATTACTTGAGTTAAATTTAGTAAAGTTTGTTGGTAATCCTTAATGTATGTAGGATTTTTGGTTAGTTATATATTTTAAATATTTTACTAGAATTTTTGGGCAGTCATATCTTTTAAATATTTACTAGACTTTTCGAAGGAAGAGTTAGAAAAGGAAGCCACACGGATCATGATTGAAGCAGATAGTCTGATAAACTTGTCTCAACCGCGACTCACGAAAGAAGAAGTCGTTTTATGTACAGAACAAATAACGAAACGCATACAGGAATTGCTACTTGCAGCTCAGGCGGGCAAACACAACAGGTATGGAAGTAGTGTTGGCATTATCTGTTGGAAATTCAATCTTAGTTTTTCCAATTACTTTTTTAGTTTTATACCATGCTCGAACAATATCTTATTCGCGGTCAAGAATATGACGTCATTATTTCCCGAGGTAAGATAAACAATAATCATAGAAGTTATAATGTTGCCAGGGGGGTAGCGTTTACTCGCGCATTCTCATCCGAGTATATGGGAAAACTCTTGTTGAAAGGGGTTTTCCGATTGAAGATTGTAGGCAGTAGAGATTTTGTCAATAGTCAATGTTGTCAATGGAGATTTTTCAATAGAGATGTTGTCAATAGAGATTTTATTAATAGAGATATTGTGTATAGAGATGTTGTCAACAGTGAATTGGTAAATGAAGATTGTGTCAATAGAGACGTTGGTAATAGAAATGTTGCCAATAGAGATATTATCAATAAAAATGTTTTTAGTAGAGATGTTGTCAATAGACATGTTGTAAATAGAGGCGCCGTCAAAAAATATTTTGTTAATAGAGATGGTGTCAATAATACAGATGTAGTCAATAGAGATGTCAGTGGAGGTTATAGTTTGTAGAAATTTTTTTCAATGGATACGTTGTCGTAAGTGTCAAACATAGTGTCAGTTTGTCAATTTTGATGATGGAAATTCCTCATTAAGATGTAAGTGGACATTTGTGGATTGAGAGGATATATTCATGATATAAATGAACATCGTTGCTAGACGAAGTTTTGTATATCTCTATAAACAGAATCCTCCAATGATTGCTGTTCAAGCAGCGCTGGATCTTATGAATCGTAGCACGGTACGACTTGAAGTTGAATGTAAAAACACGGTTTTACCAGAGAACTCTATTGACATGGCGCAACTTACGCAACAAGTGATTCAATGCGCCTACGATATCGCAAAGGCCGCAAAAGAACTGGTAACTACAATAGCCTACTGAATTGATACACGATGAAACTTCTTCACAAGTTTTATGTCGTGACAGGGGATGGAAATATGGACTAGGAAGAATATATCTCGATCAATCGATGATAGTTGAAATTCTTGCGTTTTCCATTATAGAAGTTTGATTTGTCAAACGCCCCGCATTAACTTTCCAAGCTGGAAATTTGCGATAGTATTTCATTTTGATATTGGCTTAAATTAACTTTTAACTTTCTGACATTACTCTCGTAATTCATTGGTGATTCATATGTAAAATATACGAGGTAGACGACATTTTTCAACCAGCGGTCTTCTGTGCTGGTTATCTAAGTGCGTTTATACAATATAACTCACGCTGTTAATATATAGCTCGTTTCCAGTTAAGATCAATGGGGGGAAAAATTCTGGTCTATTTCAAATGTTCTTTAAACTAGTGCTCATCAGATCGTATGATTGAAATGTACATAAAATTTCGAACGTTATATTTTTTATTAAGTAAACGAACGGTGGTTAAATAGTTAATGAAATGGCTGTTTCACTGTTTGTACAGGATGAGATCCTTCGAATTGTGCCTCTTTGTAGCTACTGTTCATGGTGATCGTGTTCCTCGAAGATGTGTCGTTTTATTCTCCACTTTGCTTGCTTTTTGCTTGAAAGATTTTATTCCACAAAGCAAAAATCCCCTTTTCTTATGTTCATTTCGCGATGATTAGTTGATATTATTTTAACACTTTCTAATAGACATAAAGGTATACACAAATGTAGACACAAAGGTAGACATAAATGTAGACACAAAGGTAGACATAAAGGTAAACACAAAGGTAGATATAAAGGTAGACATAAAAGTAGACACAAAGGTAGACAAACTTCATGAGCAAAACTCTCCGCTGTCAGCAAACCGCTGGAGAGAAGTAGCACAGTCTCATGTAGTAATATTCAAGGGAAACTGGTTGGAAGAGTGGCAATATTGGTGATGCTGAAATCAGAGAGGATCCTTCGTTGGACTTACATGGGAGGGTGTTAGTTGAAAAAACAGTAAGAATAAATCAATCATGTGTGCTTTATTGCTCGTGTGTTAATATAAGCGACATTATTGAACAGTCTTGTGTTACACATAAACTATTCCTTCCATCACACGTGGTACAACGTGAGCAATCTTCTAGCCAATCATGTCAAACTCACAGCAAACGTTTATTGAATGCACCACGTGATCCATTCAAAACTTTGTGTTGTAAGTCAAATGAGGAAGAAGGAAGTAACATTGACAACAATGAAAAAGATGAAAAACCTGTGTCATACATGGAACTTTTCATTCGCACAATCCAATTCCTCGATTCACAAGCAATATTAGGTCGTGTTTAGTGTCATTGGACCGCTTGAAGGCTATCTTACATCATCACATGGTAATTCATCTTTGTTTGTGGAGCTATCGTGTCACTTTCAAAACATAAATTATTTGAAATGTTTTTAAATCTTTGTTAGATAGAAATGAAAAAACAGGACGAATGTTTGCAGAAAGTCGACCGCGAACTTTGATTTGAAAAGGAAAAAGTTCGTGGTGCACATGAAAAAATAAAACTACAGGTAGATTTGAAAAGCTATTTCACTGTACAACAGTTTTTTCTTATAATTTATCCACTTTACGTAGCCCAGTGTGAAGAGATATACAAGTTAAATAAGCTCAAGGAACAAGTAACGAAAAGTGCAGTGATGGAAGATATTTTGCAGGTTTCTTACGGTAAAAGAAGTGAATTTTACAGGAGCTATTAAACTCATGCAATCACATGTAGCACTAAACAAATTCACTGCATTTACCGATATGGTGTGACTTGATCTTCTCGTAGTTACCAGGAACTGGAAGTGTTGCCGATCTTGAGAGTGATACAAAAGATTATATGTTTGGTTAAAGTAGAAATTTCTGATACAGAATGTCATCGATATAATGAGTTTAGCACAATGCTGTCTTCCATATATACTTCATAAGCAAAGACGATTATTGCAAAAAATGATTTATTGACAATTCGATTGATCATAAATAAAATGAAATAATAAATTTTACGGAATTTATTTCACGGTGTTGTCCTGCACCCGTGTAGCGTATCAGTGAATTGCTATGTTAAATAATTTGTTTAAATTTCAGGTGTGTAACAAAACAATCCTCCATCGCAGTCTACTGGTGTTGATATTCTACACCATATGCTAAAACTGTCCATAAAGCCAGGCCAGTTTGGAAGTCGTCGACGATACAGACAACGGAAAGATTTTGCCATCTCTAATTGGAAACGTTTCGACGTCGATTGACCCCATGGATTAGAGGAGAGTGTTTCGCCGTGGAGCTCACCAATATGTATGATAATATCACCTCGGTAATGATGTAAACAGTCGAGAGAAAATTGACTTTGCTCTGATGAAAGAAATTTTGAAAAACTGCACCCGGGCCTCTTTTAACATATAAGCTGTAGAACATGTCTCCCGCCCCCCGGGCTGTTTTTTTGGCAAACCTAGTCGACAATTTCACTACTCCCTCCAAAGCAAGGTACCACTAACCGCACCAAACACAAGGCCTCCCCATTCACAGATCCTTAAAAGAGGTCCTGAATGTATGTTTCTTACCATCCTTATCTGGCCACGCAAGAAGCAATACACGATCTCCAAACTTCTCCAGTATTTTCGGCCCTTCAGTCTACAAACATTTATGATGTAGTCGCATTTGTTACAAACAATGCCTAAACCAGAAACGGAAACAAAAGCGAGGATAACAACGAATACACGTGTACTTACGAGAACAGTCGTGTAATGCATATTCATTGGATAAGTTGTATTGTTATCAAAGGCAATAACGTCGACTTCATAGAATGTCTTCAAAAGATGCTCCCAATAACCAGTGCCCTTTGATGCAAACAGGGGTTATTTTGAATTGTTGGAAAAACTCTTGACGAACAGAAAATGTGAAGCATTACAGTGAGTTTAAACTTACTGAACCAGCTGAAATAATCGCTTTGCCCAGACTTTGAATTTTCAACATGCTTTCCTCGTCGGGTATGGAGAAGGCAAACAATACTTGCAAATATTGACTTGATGTTTTGTCCTCCAGATTTCTACAAAAGGTAAAAGGATTACAAAATCATACGCTGTCCAATAACAAAGTGCTTGACCTATGACCAACACCTACTCACATGTTTGACTAGAGGACTGGACTCGAGCAGCATTTAACTTACCTGAGCCAACGAACTAGTTTGCTTCTGTCACTGTCGTTCATAGTTCCATCACAAAAATTTCCGATATTTTTTGGTGCATGTTTCATTTTCCATTTGTATATTTCGTAGTATAAGTTATTAATGGACTTGCGTTCTGCCATTGAACTAAAACTATGCGGAAAATCGGCTAAATTCATTTGTAAAATAAGTAAAGATTTTCTATAAACTTTTTCTTTTGTAATGTTATGAATAAGGAAGACCATACTTCATTTATGTGTGCATGTTTCTATAGGAAATTTTGCAGGAAGAAAAGTTTCCAATCGTGTTGAAATTTGAAGCCTATCGATCATATTATGGAGCTCTGCTTGTTTTGAATGGCTGTAAAATACAATTATTATTTTTGTTTTACATCAAACCAACATTAAAATTACACAGAATTGGACGAGGAGCAAAAGTTACAGGAAAAAATATTTAATATTGTTAAATAAAAATAGATGAGTTTCAAAATGAGAAGTACGCGTACTGTTAATGGAAGCACGACCACCTTAAGAAGACAAACAAAATCCGAGTAAGTGAGCGCGTTTTCAAAAGATTTTTGAGGTAAATCTCATTGATTTCTTTCAAATCGTGCTTCATGACGTGGAAAAAGAGACAAAGTATACATTCTGTATTATATCGTGTTAAATTTTAGTGGTTTTTCTCTTAAAATGGAAAATCAATACCGCGTGTATTTGGGTCGTTTGCCATACGGAACAAGGGAGAAGGATGTGGAGAAATTCCTTCAAGGATGTGGCAAGATCCGCGACATTAACCTAAAAAATGGTTTTGGTTTTGTGGTAAGGTCCTTGAAATGTTTGTCATTAAAATTTTTGCCAAATTTTGCCTTATGGTTTACCGTTTATCTTGATGTATTGTTAGTGCTAAATGGTAATGCTGGTGCATTCATGCAGAGTAATGCAGTCAGTACAATCATTGCTATGTATGTTGACATGTTACTATTTTAGACATTTGATGACCCAAGAGATGCTCGGGATGCAGTTGATGATTGTAACAATCGAGAGTTATTGGGTGAAAGGTGAAATGAAAAACAATTGTAATTTCAAAATATATTGTAGTGACAGTTCCTATTTAATATTTGCAGAATAATTAGAACTATTTCATGAACTTTGCATGAACTATTTCATTGTCCTGTATCCAGCATTTTTAATATATCTGAAAATTTGTGTTTTCAGTGCATCATATACCTTCATATTTCAATGCTCATCAGCAGCACTGCCCATGGAGCATATATGCATTATTACAATCTAACTATATTGTCATATTGTTTCCTTGTTATATGTATGGTGTTGTAACTTAATGCTTCCCCACTTCCATTCAAATTTCATAACATTAATCTCTATATTTGTGAATTATTTAGATATTATGTTTAGTTATTGTATTTCCGGGTTAATCAGTTCACTTCGTTTCATAGAATTTTGGTTGAGGCTTGCCGTGGCTCCAGCTCTCGTGGCTATAGTGGAGGTCCAAGACAAGCTCGTGGCAGGGACAAGTACAAGAAAAATCTTATTGTTTGTTTTTATGAAATGCCTTTTTTCGAAACCATTTTTGTTTTAGATATGGTGCTCCATTACGTACTCCATGGCGTGTTCTTGTTGAAAATCTGTCGTCAAGAGTTAGTTGGCAGGTGTGTTCAGTGTTTTGTTCCTATGTTTTGTATAATTTGATCTTGTTAGGTCTAGATAAGCTCAAGTTATCTTTGTATGGAAGTGTTCTTGCTTTGCAACTAGTGTATATCCATCAAATTTTAAAAAAGCACAGGTTTACAATTTGGATGAAAAATACTTGAAATGCTAAATTATGTAAAATTATTAAAATCAGTTATGAATTCTGAGAACCTATTTAAATTATTTCAGTAAGCTGCATAGATGTGATTGACTGAGCCTTGTGCCAATGTGGTGGTCAGCAGGCATGCTGCGAGAGATAACTGATGCTTGAGATGTCTGATGCTCTAGATGTTGTTAGATGCTGATGATGTCATCAATCATGATGTCATGATGATAATTGAAGTCTTACTGAAGCTTGACGCGTTAGATGTTTGATGCTCACAGTAATGTGATGAGATGAGGAGATGTGTTTAACCGTAAATGAAAAAGAATATTTTTGCTTTGAATGTGCTTTCAATGTTTTCAAAACAATGAATGGAAATATGATGAAAATAATTAATGAAAATATGATGAAAATAATTTTGCAATTGAATGCAGCTGATGGTCTTGAAAACCTTAAGTGATTCCATACAAATATGAGACAATGTTTATTTATACTTCATTTTGTTTGAAAACAACACCTTCTGGCTATCAATGAAAATTAGATTTATGATCATATAGTATGTTACCAAATATTTTTTGGCCATTGTTTCTGGCTCAATGAGGACACCTTATGATATTTAATAAACAACCATTGTAGAATTTGGGTCTCATACATTTCTATAACATTTTCCCAGGATTTGAAAGATTATGTACGTCAAGCCGGAGAAGTGACCTATGGTGATGCGCACCGACCAGTTAAAGGAGAAGGGTAGGATAACTAGGATTGTTTATGAACTTATAAACGTTATTTTTGAAATGATTTTGACCACTAATGTTTTAAACACATCATATAGGGTCCTTGAGTTTTCCTCTCATTCTGATGTTCGCAATGTTATAAGAAAGCTTGATGGCACTACTTTAAATGGCAAAAAGATACGACTTATTGATGTAAGTGTTATTTTGCAACGTGTTTCCATGAGAATTTATTCATTTTTCTCGTGTTTTCTTTAGGATAGTCCAAAAAGTCGACGATCATCCCGATCTCGTAGTCGTTCTAGGTAAATCTCTATCTGTATAAAGTAATTATAAAATAAAAACAATTATAAACGCATGCTCTGATTGGTCTACAGAAGCGTTTGCCTTAACCGATCTAAGCTCAACCAATTCAGTCAATAAATTACTCAAAGAGAGTTCGCAAACCAATCGTAAATAAATTTTAGAGGAATAATTAAAATGCTTATTTTAAATTTGCCCGTTTCGTATTATTTTCATTTTATAAAAAAAGTATATGATGTTTTTGGTTTGCGCTGATCTGCGCTCGAGTTCTTCCAGCATTGGTCTCCATTAGTTTGCATGAGCCTGTGAAAACATATTAAACATCTTTTCCTAAATAATATATGTTTCCATTCAAACCATATACTATAAACATTTTGTAACAAATCTTAATGTCTGTATTTCCAAGATGTTTCCACTGCCATGTTCGTAGCCATCAATCCAGCATCATAAATTATTGTTTACAATCGAACTGTATTATACATATGTAACTTAAAACTCAAAACTTTGCATAAACATGTGCTACACTGAGCAATGAAGTATGAAATACGGATTGATTAGCATTGTTGCTGCGCAAGCATGGAGTAACTTACAGCGTATGATATCAATAATTCATCGTCGTATTTTCTACAGTAGTGAATTTTTGAGTTTATTATCTACATTTTACCAATATTGCTACCATGAACCATGAAGAATCAAAGTAATTTGCTTTCAACTTTTTTAAGATCGTCATCACGTTCCAGACGACATTCTCGCTCGCGCTCTAGATCGCGTTCAAGATCAGCATCCAGATCTCGTTCAAGGTCTCTGCGCTCGAGATCCAAGTCACGTGACTCAAAATCTCGTTCAAAATCACCAAAGCAATCCAAAAGTCGTTCCAAGTCTCCATTGAAGCAATCACCTGAAAAGAATGGTGAAAATGTCGACGATTAGACTTTAGACTAGTTTATTTTTTCTTTACATCATCTTGTGTGGTCACGTGTCTATCGCGAGAGCGTATGATTCGGTCTCTTATTAATTCTCGCAACCCTGTACAGTTACCGTATATGGTTTTGAAATAAAAGTATCTGCCTCTGATCTCACCGTAGTTACCGTTACGGTAACGAAATTGTAAATCGTCCAATTGTTTTTTTTTTGTTTATTTTGACAAAATGCTGCTTTTCCGATTTCTCTTGCATAAATGTGTTAGTAATTTAGTTTGTGCTAAATAAGTATCGACTTTCTGGATCTAATTTTACTGAACAAAATATTGTGGATTGTGTTAGTACATCGTACCCCAACCCTAACCCTCCCCAGCCCAACCAAACTTTTATTTACCGCCATGCAAACTACATTCTACTTTGCAGTTTTGGGCGATATGTACAGACATTTATAAGTAAGGAGTTGGGTCGTCACTCCATTTAGAGATGTCCGCAGTAAGTGCGATACATGGTGTATCAAAAAATGAAAGCATTTGGAAATAACGTATATATGGTGTAGAACCATTCCTTTTGGATTGATAGAACAGTGGAATTTCGCCATATTGCACGACATTTGCGACATTAGCATCGTAAACAAGGCCAGTAAATGAAACGTCCTTTATTGAAATCATCCAACATGGCGGACATGACATAACCATTGGACATAACTTGCACACCAAGAATTTGTGATAAAATCAATGCGTGATCACTCTGCTAAGCCAACAAGCACATAAAGTATTATAAGACATTGAAATTTTGCAATAGAGTAATTTCTAAAGGTCTTTTTTATACATACTGTATAGCATCTCATCTGCTCTTCAGGCGAGAAGATGGTGTAGTGAAGAAGTAAAATACAAATTCACAAAGGTACGCTGTTAAGTCAATCGTTTAGGGTTTGGGCTTGGCCATTGTCGCCTCCTTGTTCCTATGTGCCTGCTGAAGAAAAGTTATATTGCTTATGAAAGTGTAGTGGAATAATTCTTTTATCTTTAATCCTTCTCATTTTATGTTTTATTATAATCCTTAGAAATTTACAATGCTAAATTTATTTAACTATATTATAAATTTAAGAATACGGTTTTATTATATAAAATTTAGGACGACGAATCTAACTACTTTATTAAATTGAAGACTACAATTTAACATTATAAAGTATTTTGTATAAACCGTTGTTTGCTATGATTATTTATATAACTTCTATTTGCAAATCAAACGGATCCCTTCGACTTAAATATTTGGTTACAGTGTTCAATCCCATTATCCCTATTATATGAAATCTCGGAGACATGCATGCTGTTTCTTTTGCTATAATGCGATCAACAGAGGCAGCCAATCGAGTCAATTGGCAAAGAGAGCCAAACATAAACAGCAAAAGGGTTTTAACAAAAAGACATAAAATGTGTCACGTGTTTAGTTGATGTGCAAGCTCTTGCAATGAGCCAAGATCTTTATTTGAGATTGTCGTGTATCCAACCATCGAAGTCAACTATTGAGAGCAGTTTTGACACATTCCTAACCTCTTACCTTGAAAATGTTTGTCCGGGAAGTTATGATATGTCTAACATGTTTGCTTGCGTGTGAACATTTGTTTGTTCAGTTGCTTCTCCATTGCACCAATGAGACTATTTGTCCACATTCACAGCATGAATAGGGACCTGCGTTTCCTTTTCCCCATGCATGCAGTATAGTTTCCTGTCATGGAAGAGCTCTTTTTGAGTTATACAGTGTTGAATTTAGTATAGTTTCTGGTTATGTAGTAATATATTGAAAAAGAAACTGTTCATACATAAATTATCATGTTCGGTAAACAGACATTTACTTTGCATGACATGATAGAAAAATAAATTTAGAACAACTACATTAAAAACTTACAGACGGTTTCTCTCAGACTCTGGGTAATTTTTTTAACATATGTGGATTTTTTGCCATATTTAAAAGACGATAACATTTCTCCATAATCTATATTGTAGTATTTCATTTAAGATTTTAATTACGTAATTTCACTATTGTAATATACTATGTCTTGTTCTATATACATTTTTGCATTCATATTTTCACACTTGAAATTTATTTTTTGCGTAAAACTGAACGAAATACGCGCAGGCTTTTTCAGCAAAGTACAATATAATTATGCAACAATGAAAGTATCACATCAAATATTTCTCCAGTTGAGTTTTTCTAAAGAGAGGACAGCGGCTCGTTTTTATCCAGATCATTATCATGCAAGAACCAGGACGATACTTTAGCACTGTAAATCAATAGTTCCATTTTCAATACAACTTTCATATTTTTTGTATGTATGACATTTTATGACATTTGTACAGGAAGAAAACAAGCTCAACCTGATTTCAATTATAACGATCAATTGATAAACCTAGTGTTTGCATGGTGATAGACGTGTGAAGCAATGGCTGCGCCTCCCTAGTTTATGAAAAAGGCTTGAAGGAATCTTGAGTTGAATTTTTTAATTTATACTGACGTGGATGCCTTCATAGATTTACATTGAATAATTTTTTGTAAGTCTGTGTTTCCTATTTATCGATAAAATAGCATACTGCTCCCTTGATTATCATGCAGACAACATAAAAATATTATTTCCTCGTCTGAGTCGATGTGAAGACGTCTTGTATAATAGATCACATAGCTCGAAGATTGCCATTTCAGCATCAAAAATTTGCATGAATTAAAACAGGACAACACGGTGCTATAAACACATTTGTAGGACTGTCAGTTTTGATCTGTACTATTTTAAAACAAAAGTTTGTCTGTTGCGAAGTAAACTATCTCAGATTTTAACCTTTAAACCATACGTCATTTTTTATTTTCAAACTGGTCGTCTGGTATTCGTTTTTGTGAACGTACTGAGAACAGTGTTTTGTTTTGTTTTAATTCATTTACAACATCCACGTGAATTAAAATAATTGCTAATCGAATGTTCCTAACACAACCTAACATGTCTCACCACATTGCTGGTACGCTATTCATATGAAGATTGAGTGCATTAGCTTCGTATGAATAAGTATTGTTTTGGTAAAATCCACTCTCTTGGCTGGCATTCTGTATTGGCGAATGATGCAGGGTTGCATGTTGAGAAAACTTCATGTACGGTGGGTTGGCATGCTGACGAAGAATGTTTGAATAGCTGTTATCTGTCGTTATATTACTGTTCATCGCTAGACCTCCATCCAGGCGTTGATGGACGTCGAACTGTCTGCTTTCGTATTGGGGATAAATTCCTGCGTTGTTGTAGTAGTCGCCGTTTCCAAGCAAATCCACTAAAGATAAATATAATTTGGAAGTTAAAGCAGAATAATAATCACAAACATATTTTCCTGCTCGTTGTACCCATACTTTTAATCTGTATTTATGCACGAGGAATACTATATCAGCAAGAAATATAGGTATGCTATATAGGAGTATCATCTGTCCTACGATACTCAGATCTTTTTTGTATTATAGATTTTTGTACACTTCAATGTTGATATCGATGAACTACATTATCATTGTCTCTTCAAACATTTTATTTGTCATTCTAAAAAGCTGTTACTTTTACGTAGAACACGAGTGCTTTCTTAATTGCCACGGGTTAGCCAATGTGTTGACTCTCCTTCTATCGCCCTTTCATGCCAAAATCATTTATTTGATATTATTCTGAAACACAGGGTTGATTTTAATTCGTATAAATGAAAAATGTAAAAATAGCTAAGATTTGGGCAATTTTAACTTTTTATATAAAAAAAAACATGTGGGTATATATTCGCGTAGACAAATTAGGCAATTTTGGATTGCTGTCTTCCCTAATCTTTGATGGCTAGCACGCCCGTGACTATTTCAACAACTGATTTCTTCAACCATTGACCTTGTTCACATGATACATATGAATCCACTCAGTAGAAAACAATTCTTTACGATGTAACGCTAAAACTATTAGCGACTAAAAGTTTCACCATCAAATTGAGAATGTACTTCATGTAGCTACTATTTTACTCTCCTTTGTCTTGATATTGCGATACGTATTCATATATGAATGCTACATTTCTATTATACTTGTACAGACAATATATACATGCACTTTTTCACTCACAAATTATTTTATATATATAAGTTTGTTACTTTATAAATTGTGATATCAGATATTGTTATCTGTAAGTTTGCGCAAAGTTAAGTATTTTGGTTGGCCTTTCAACTTCTCCCGATTGCTTTTGTAAAACATACAGCGAAAAAATCAAGAAAACTCCATGTATACTACCGTTTATTACGGATGAGTCAGTAAAGTGTGACTCACGTTTTTTTTGTGTTGGAGACATCTGTCATTGGCAGATGTCTTCGACAGATTTGCGTAGTTTAAAGAAACGCTAGGATATTTCACATCTGCCACATCGTCATCCCACATTCGTTCTATCAAGGCGTTCATATTTTGGGTTGACAATCCAAATGAATTCTGTAATTCAAGCATGATATGTTTTACAATAGCCTACACAACAATCTTTTTGATCACGTGAACACCCCTACTCATGCATGGACTGTACATTCCAAAATTTAACTTTATAATTATTTCACATATTCCCTTTTCGATAGGCTATCTGAGCCTGCCTACAGATTGAGATTTTATCTTAAGAAAGTCGCTTGATGTTAAATATTGCGGTTTTTCTAGTTATGCTTGAAGTGTGCGGGGCGTTTTATCACCAAGGTTCAAAATATACCTAAAGTGCTTGTGTAAGTCAGTTTTTTAAGGCGTAGCTGCGTGGAAAACGTGCACTGAAGATACTTCGCAATCATTTTTGATATGAATGTGCATGTAACTAAGCAATATATGCATCTTAACTCGCCTATGTATTGATATGTTCCGTATATTTTTGCTTATATACAATTCCTTAATGAGCGCTATGTACATAAGTCCTTAATTTAACAACCTCAGTCATCAAATTAAACAGTTGACTCTTAAGTTGCAGCCTTCGCACTTCAAATTTGAAGCTAACCAAGTGTTTTTACGCTCGTTAGCGGTTTCAAACAACTGAGATAAAGTGACCGCCACTTCGTACATGAATCATTGAAGAGTTTATGACTGGAACGCCTCAACGTTGGGGACATTTGGTGCATTTTTTAGTGTATGTCTGTACTTAGAATGAGGCATCCTTCACAAGAGAATTTAGCATGTAAATGAAATAAAATATGTCTCTCAGAAAATTTGAAATTCATTGGATGATGAAAAAATTGTAAAAGATAATTTCTTTCAAAGATAGACCTTACATAAGCATTCCGTGTCGGGATTTGAGGATTCTTATTTTGGGACGATACAGACCGAATGACCGATCATGTTTTGTGAATGTATATCGCAACGGTTTTAAAACTAAAATGAAACAATATGCATTAAAATGCAATACGTTGATAGGAATACTACAGTTTGCTAGGGTTTATTTGATGTAGCGTGGTTTATAAAAGCTTATAATCCTTTGCTTCTCATAAAAATATTATTTGTTATTTGTCGAAAATACTGCAATGCTTTGAAGTGTAAACAACTGTGCTTTCTTTTCATATGGCGCAGTTCAAGTTCAAGCTGAAATCTTTCAACGAAAACGACGTTTTATAAACATTTTCGCATCCTTCGCTCGATCTTTTATGCCGTTCAATTATATCGTTCTAAGAGATGCACGTGAATTCCTTTCTAGTTCATTGGACTTAAAGGCTGATAGAAAGTATAATTAATTGACTATGGCGTAGAAAGAATATTGGAAGTAAAACCACAAAATGGCCTGATAACAAGGCTCTTTATCCAAAACAAATATAAGTTATCGAATGAGTAGTTGAGTATACTGCGTTCTATTGTTGGGCAAATGTAATTTTCTGTGTCGCCGTAAAGAGATTGTTTAACCATCTACTTTTATTGGTTATCTCAAACTTAGTTGTGTACACAGAGAATCGAACAGTTTTTATTGTTTTCATTTAGATACATGTATATTAATTCACGCGCAGAAAAGTTTTATGTTCCTTCATCCGCGAGATCAACGGTAAGTGTGTCTAAACATTGTTTTGAAAATACTATGCATTTGGAAATATATGATGTATATGTGTGTAAAGGTATACATTTGAGTGCATATAAACGCTGGCCGGCAATACATGCTTGCATTCTTGGATTATATAGAATGTACGTTTGCTATTCATTTACTGAGATTTATATTTGTGTTATGATGCAAACAATGAATGAAATATCAGCATGCAATTACGAGATGCTATACTATCAACATACCCGATGCATTTAGTCCACCTTGTGAATCTAATAAGGCGCCAACCATCCCTTCGAGCAAGTCGTGATTTTCTGATAGCTTTCGTGGTGTTCTAGATTTATTACGGTTTTGTTGTCCATTTAGTCCGCTGTTATTTAAACGTCTCTCTTTCGAGCGTCTGTTCTGAAACCAAACTTGAATAACTCGCATCGATAATCCAGTGTCTTGAGCAAGTTTCTCTCTCATATGCCTTGTTGGCTTTGGTGTGGCAGAAAATGCAGCCTTGAGGATTTCGAGTTGTTTTGCTTTAATTGTGGTTCTTGGACCACGACGTTTTCCGTTTGGACCGTTTTCGCCTTCCTCTTCAATTGCAGAATCATCTTCATCTTTCAATATTTCTTCTGTTTCAGTCTCAACTTTCACTGATGGCGATCCACCATCTAAAATCAGGCAGAAGTATTTATAGGTAGTGGACGTGATTTATATCTTGATCTTCCAAGCCTACATGTGCATGTTGAATTGGATTGTATTTTAAGGCCATAACATAGAAGCAATTGTCTTGATAAATCGTTGTTTAAGAGGTCATTCAGCTAAGTTTTCCAGTTAGTTTTCAGTTAGTTTTTAGCTAATGTAGCGTGTACAAAAGAAAAATCTATGCTGTCAAAGTATTCATTGACCGCTACTGGCTAGAAATTTTGCCTCTGAAAGGCATCAGACAAAGTCTATTTTATGGAGGAAATATAAGCTGACTTTAAGCAAGCTGGTCTATAAATTCGTGTACAAACGCAAAAGACATAGTACATACTTTCTATCTCCTGAATTTGAACATCATAATCTTCTTCACAAACAAATTTTGTTCCTCCAACATGGTACAGTTTGTCACCAGTTGTAATTTCTTTCATGCAGACAGAGCAGTGAAAGCATTGAACATGAAAAACCATTCCTTTCGCTCGTCTCACCAAGTTAGTTGGCAAGATACCCTCATCACATCCAGAGCATTTTGTGCCGTAACGCCTGTTCAAGTTGTAAGAATGCAATTGTGTTTTATTAGTCACAACATGTTGATACAATCTACAAAGGCAGTTGTCTCACGATTGATGCAGCAAATTACCGTAAAATCTATGCGCAGGCTATCATAAACTTACTGGCACTCGCAAAATACATGCTTAACCTTATTTACTACGTGGATTAAAACTTTGCGCACATTACCTATAGAAATCTTTGGCGCAATACAATTTCCCCTCTCTTGAATAGCACTTCTCAGTCAACTGTAGTTTACACTCGTCGCATTGCAAGCATTTTGTATGCCACATACAATCTAAGGCTTTTAACAAGTATTTGTCGGATATTGGCAAATTACATCCGCTACATTGCACCATTATGTGTAGACAGAGTAAATAGCGTTCGCGTGTTGCAATATACGAAATGAAACCAATTGATGTTTATGGCGTTACAGATATCAGTGCGTTAACACAAACGCCGTTCTGCTGCAAGCAAGAAGTCCTCGGTTTGTTTTTACCAATTCATATACTCGCACAACGCTTAACTCTTTTATTTCGCACGATAGGAGGGTTCCCCGCCTATACTCCAGCTGTCGGCCTCATAAAAATTCTGAATATATCATGAAGCCGCGTGAAATCTATTTGAATAACCCGTAATTCTCAACACCCTCATTGTGCGACGCACATATATAAACTCGAGTCTCCTTTTGCATGCGCAAAGTATGTGTGCTTATATGTTGCGTTATTCAAGTGCAGACGGCAGATTGTTTAAGTATTGTGTCGTTTTTTGTAATAACATTCTTGTTGTGTTAAGGCCTGCACGAGGATTCGCTAAGAATGACAAAAGCACAGCAGAAAACTTAAAATGACGTTCGTTTCTAGTTCCACGATGTTGTGTAGTTTCCTGAACTCAATGGGATTGTAGCATCACACTCTTGTAAGAATTCAGTATGTGGACATTATTTTGCCTGTGCGCGATTTTTGTCCATTGTCAATAGGCTTGTCACTCAATGGAAATTAGCTGTATTCTGCCTTGGCAAACCGAGATCAAAGTAACTAGAGGGAGTTCCGACTGCGTAGTACTGCTGTCATGTGCGTTCGTCGAATTACGTTTTTTCCAACTCCAACACTAACTTTAGCTTGAATTTTTTCCCCATACAGTCATACCATGATAGAAAAAAATCGAAGGGCATTATCATACCCATTGCAATCATTCAATCGCTGCTTCTATTTTTGTCAAGCAGTAAACATTGACCGACAAAATGCAAAATTAAAGAGTAAAATAGATGAAGACATCTATTTATGCGTATATGATTACCAACGCATCATCTCCCATTGTACGCTCTCCCTCTAAGCCAAGACAAAAAATCGACGAGTCATTGAAATGCATGTTACAAAACACAAATGGTCCTAAAGATCAATTTCTAGCGATATCCTAGCACAGTTCTATATACCTCAGTGTTAGATAATTCCATGTAGTATTTTTATTTAACACTTTTTTGTTTATCATTCATATATGATGCGCATTGTAACTACAGCGTTTGTGAATATGAAAGAAATATTGAAGGCCTTATATGTATACATAAATATATTTCCCAGTTCCCACGACTGATTCCAGTTTCTATAAAAATTTTGCGATTTATTGCGATTGCAGTTGTCACAATTTACTTCAGACTATTAAAGAATTGAATAAATTGTATGGGACTTCGTTCTATTTGTACAGAATGTAATTTGTTCCATTGTTTAGAAATGGAACAAATTTCACAGGTGGAAAAATATGTTTGTACTCTAAAGGTTGTCGTAGTTCAATATTCAAATGGTTCAATAGTAGAAACGTTCGTGTGATATGAATGAAAGCTCCCCGTTCATGCTGAATTAGACTGAAATAAGGAGCGCAATATATTTGTGCTTGAAGGAACAGCTGTTTTCAGTATCAAGATATTTGCTTTTACATAATTGCCTGAAGTATCTAGTCTATACATGATCGCTTGTTCTCATGTATGTACTATTGTGATTTTAATGAGGATATAGACGTTAAACTAATGTTGAATTTGTAAAAAAAGAAGTTCTTCCTTTCTACAAAGATCTTATATGACTTGGTATTAATTTTTATCAATAGAAATATTGTTGTCTTTTCAGCTATTTTTATCTTTACTACATGCTTTTTTCGTTTGACAGAACGCGACATTTTATTTTGTGACTATAGGTATATGGACATGATTTTTGCGAATGTTCATCTTTTTTAAGTCTAATGTTAATGCTAATTTTTACACTATACGTTTTTCGTGTCTTGACCATGCTGACGTTATCTCCATTTCAAATGAATCAGCTGTCGTGATAGAAAAACAAAAAAGAAACAGTTTGCCATTTTATGTATGTTGTTTAAATGGACTTATACACATTCTTTTTATTTGAATCGCTTATGGATATTATCAAGTCGACCCTCTGTTTAATCATGGAAAAAGTGTTTTCAAAACCGACATATTTTTATGTCCTCTTATGGAAAAGATTAGCTGCATGCAAGTCATTTCGGATAAATCATCATTTGTTTACATCAATTGATTGCAAATATGTGCAAACCAATTTTGTTTGAATGCTTTTATCATTACTAATGTTAAATAGCTACTATTTTTTGTGCTTTGGCGGTTATTTCAGCAAAAACCCCGCGTTATATGCTAATTTTATGTGTGTGCAAAGTTTGAATGAAAGTTGCCCCGCACTCCTTGTAACTCATTGCTATTCAGTGTTTGTAAAGATAATTTTTAAATTTTATCGTTATCAGTGAACACCGTACGAGGCGTATAGAGACGTTTGGACTACAAGGGACGTCATTTTCAGATTAACGTGATATTAAAACAAATGTTGCGCAAACACTTATATATATAAATGGCTTTATTGTTGACTCTGACTCTCTTGTTTATTCACCTATATATCTATATTCGACTCGTCCGAATTTTAGAAAAACTGCGCAGTAAAAAGTGTGTCATTAAGTATATTTTTTCAAACTCTCTAAATTCATAGTTTACGTTTTTTGAATTTTGTCACTTGAAGTTTAATCTTGCCGATAGATACATCTATGCAGCTACATTCAAGAGCAGCAATTAATAGAACTCTTCAGCAGCCTTCAGGAAAATCACATGTCTTTAACAAACGTATTGAAATTTCGCTCCAAATACGTCCGACTATGTTATATTTGTTTGAATATTCGTGCATGAGGTTTATCTCTGAATGTGATAAACACGTCGTCAGGAAAAACACTGTACACAAACAATCGAGATTTGCTTCGGAAGTTAATACACCAATATGTATTCCACACCGCCCATCAATATTTGAATAAGAATACGAAAATAGGGACAGCTGCGCGCGAGGCAAATCAAGATCCTTCTATTTCACGTCCTAGTAAAAAACCTGCGAATTTAATTGCACGACCGACACTGTAGGTTGCATGAGCGTTATCGTTGATAGATTTTTGGCGTTTGAATAAGTGAGAGTGTGTGAAGGTCGTAAAAATCCAGAAACGAAACGAATGCAAGAGACTTAATTCAATGCTATATCTTCATTGATAAGTGAAGAGCAGATAACAATAGGATATATTTACCCGCTCTTTTTCATCTAAAATACATATAGTAATATATATTCACCGTTGCGGAGTTTTATGTCGTATTTCCAAATGCAATCATCCTCGCCTCATTGTCAATGGTCAAGAAAAGTGTGACATTGTACAGAACAAAATGTAAAAGCAAAAGCCTTTATTTCTCAATCACAGCCAGTCACTCGTCTCTGGTTATGAATGTTTAGCATTCCATGTAAACTTTTCTTGCCATGCAAATAAAAGAGCAAATTTTTATTTGTGAAAATAATCATTTCCTATACTCACATAAAACAGGCAGCATTCATCTCCAGGGAAACCTTTTGAAACAAATCGTATGTATCTTTTCAATTTTTGAGAAAAAAGCACAAAGCGAATCCACTTAACCGTGAGACAGGATGAATCAAGTTACATTGAAAAGACTCTAAATAAGTAATCATGCCGTGCTGGTAGAAATATGGAATGCTTATAAGATTTCAAAGTTCAGTTTTTAACTTTGCTGATTTTTGTTAATTTTTTTACTTCCTTTCAATTTGTGGTTCGATTTTTGACTAAATATTTGCTAATAGAGATAATCCAACCTTCTAAATCCTTATTCTATTATGAATGAGGCAGATTTTTTATTCACAAAAACAGATGAATGCATCGCGCTGTGAAACTAAATAGCCATAGCTTGAATGAGTCGTTTAAGTCTTTGTTCTTTACGCTAAAAGGTTGTGCGACATCGGATATCCCACATAGAATTTTTTTCATGTTGTGTTTGCGACAAAGCTTAAGTACTCTGTTTGAGTTCCAATTCACAGTTGGGATAAGTTGTTAATGAACAGGGCTTGCTTCCTTTGCCTGCACTTTACTGCTGTTTTTATCGTCCAGCTTTTTGGCAGCTGATTTTACTGCTGAATCCGTTCAGCGAAATTGAAGACTGATGATGCCCGTTGGGCATGTCTTAACATATAGTTTGTAAATGGACAGCTGAAAGCGAGAACAGTCTTTACATTACATAAAATCAATGACGTTTGATGGAGTGGGTTTATACATTATATCTACGTTAAAATTTTATATATTATATCTACGTTATAAATTAATACTGCGTGAATCAAGGAACGTCCTAATGAATGCAAAACAAGAAAGTCAAAACATGATATAAACTAAAATTACACACGTCAGCTAGTGTAAAACATGATGAATAAAATATGTACAGAAAGAAAAGAATGTGCGCATGTCTTAAAATAGGAATTGTGCTCACATTTCATTCAAAAAAGCAAACAAATGAAAAGTTTTCGAGAACTGTTTGTTTTAATTGTTTACTTAAAGAGTTTTGTTTGTTTTTCAATCAAAAAATGAACATCGTCTGATGAAGAGTTTGGAAGAATACCCGCCACTCAAAAAGCCATCTAAGAAAAGGTGCGGGACATGTGTGTATGTTAATTATGACGTAAAGCGGGGGGTCCTCTTGCATAATTTAGATTGTTTGTCTGTTTTTCTTGGCGAAAGTTAGAATTTAAAGTATTAGACATAGAAAAGTGCTTTCTAACCAATGATCAATACTTTAAAACAAAAGAAAAAGAGAACTTTGCTATTCACTGTCATATGTTTCTCGCTCCAAATTTTCATTCTTTATATATGCATTGGTTTCATGAATGCGAAGTCAATGAGGTTTACTCTTTATTTGTCTCTCTTGCTTCCTGTGCTTATGTTGTAAATATTATCGCACTCCAGGTCTAAATACGTCCCAGCCGATATCTCTCTTTAGCCAAAGTCACACCACATGAATAACTGATCTTGTGATAATTTTCGCTGGTTAATCAAATTCAACCTACGTATATTACTTTGTGGAAAAACTTGTCTGTCCTGAACTGCTTTTATTAGTTTGTTATGTAAGACTTATCTCGGTCTACCGTTACTAATATTTTTCGACCTAATGACATTCACGAGCTGAACCAACTGATTGTCGTCAGCTTTTTATGTGTGCCTCTCTTTCATCACACAAAAAAGAAATCGACTTATTGTTTCACAATTTTAAGCCCGAGAATTATAATGGCTGAAAAAAAGGAGAAACATCCTACGAGAAACAATTGTGTAACATCAAGCGATTCTACCCATTCCATCAACATTTTTCGTAAAAAAAAACGTAGCAAATTATGGGCATATAATCATTGAACAACTGTGTCGGGGCATATTACGTCGAACAGTTACTCATCAAGTCAAGTTTGCACATTTCTAGCATTTTCGTCAATAAGCAAGCGGGGAGCAGCCAAATTGATTGGATTACGTCAGATGGCGTCAGAGAGACTCAATGAGAACCGAAAGTTTAGTTGCTGTCGATCATGTCAGTGTAATTTCAAATATATTAACGGACAGTTGATGTCAATAGAAGAATTGGTTGCCATTACTAATCATTTGTAGAGTAAAATATTCCTATGTACTACTTTATTTACCTTTGTAACAACAAAAATGCATATTGTTGCCCGTTGTTTTTCTTATTTACAAATAAATTACACAATTACAAATCCTCTTTGAAATTCAACGTGATTGCAACAGCTAAAACAGTTGAATGTAAGCTGTCGTACTTCCGTCACGCCAAGAAGGGTTTCCAACAACTTTAGCTCTGCATAAAGGACACGTCTGCTCACGATCAAACCATAACGATATACAGTCTTCGCAGAAAATGTGCTGAATAAATAAATGTGACATATTGAAAGCTTTGAAATTCGAATCAAGATTCTGCAATAGAAGTGAACAGTGACAACTGAATGTTGAATATAAGGACCGAAACAATTCTTGAAGTTTCAAGGCAGTTTGGATTGTGTTACTTAAAGTATTCAAAGACACATAGGAAATAAAAATAATTTCTATGATTGTTATCTTTCTCAAGTTATATAACAAATGAACCATTGAAAAATGGACAAGCATTACTGAATCAATTGATGACACAACAAGGGCATTGCCTTGCGCGATAGGCATTAGCTAGTACCAGTGATTTCTGGTCAAGTCAATTTCCTCGCGCATCTTTAAAGTTGCGCGTGGATTTTTCGTGGCTCAAACTTTCAAATTGAAATCATACGTTGTCAGTACGAATTGCTGTTAACTACTTACCCTGCAACCGCGTAAAGAGATAGGTCTACAAAATTCTTCTTGACATATTGGGCAAGTGTTTCCAAGTTTATTAATCTGTTCTTTGGAGGCTGCTGCACCATATTGCTATACAAAATATATAACAATAAATATAAGAGGAAGTACTAAACAACAAACAAAGCACAATGATTATGTAACAGGAAGACTTCACTGTGTATACTTACAACATCACGCTGAACTGTTTTTATTGCAGAGAAAAGCTCCTTGAGTTTCGTTCTTATTATTCGTAACTTGTAACGACAAGAAAGAAACAAAACAAACATTAAACATCGTCATCATCATCATACTTCGAGTGATATTATTCAAAGGAGCCAAATATTTCTGCACGCGATCAACGAGTTAAATGAAACACCCTATATACGATCGATCAACGTGTATAAACTACTATATCTAGAAGAGTTAATCATTTAAAGGAGTTGGTATTTTGTGCAAATCAATTAATCGAGTATTGATGAGTTAAAATATCTACATACATCCGAGATAACACATTGAAGATGAATGTTATTTAAAATACATCAAATCACACAACATTGTGCGATTTTTTAAAAGAGTTGTTCACGAACAGCTTTGTAGCTACATGGCTAATTGGGAGCACTCTCATTTAAATGAATGTTAGCGCAGATAGAAAGATATGAATGTGTTATTGATAAATTATCGATGCAACGGACGCTTTCTTCTGTGGTATCTTATTGTGCTCTTTTTAGTACTTTGACTATATATTTGTATCTTGCAGTTTTTCCGTTTGCGTCTTTCCTACGTTTGAAAAATTCAGTGAAAGTGGAGGTAAAAAAATATGGATATCTTTGCTTTGGCGATTTCATTTGCTCCCGACCAGTCATTAATTGGCTTTGTTGCATGGGAAGCCAAAAAAGTTGGGTGCAATGTCGATTTCTTATTGATACTATATGAAAACATCCTCTCTATTTGTTATTGGAAAATCGAAAGCTTAATAACAACGAACGGAAGCTTGTGGTTTTAATATGACAAATATTAATCTGAAGTCGTGACTTTAGTTTTTTCTTTTCGCAAACTCGAAATATAACTTGGTAAAGGAAATGACAGAGCGAACTTCAGTACCTTCAAGATGAAGTAAAATATTGTGGAAAATATGGCAAAATATTCTCCTCCAATGTTATAATTGCTGAAGTACTGGTACCACAGAGGAATTGGCGTGAGTATGCGATAAAATTGGGACATGCTCTCCAATAATAAATAATATTTTCCCTACAACAGAAAAAAAGCTAAACTTGAATCAAGTACTATGCAGATAAACTTCAACAATTCCCAACGAATGGATCATTATGCACCCTGTTTTTGAAAGGGAGTATCCTTTTATCTACAATTATGACCAGTGACTTTAATGCCATGGTGACCATCCGAATCACGTAATCTAATGTATAAAATATGAAAGATGAAAAGTACGCGATGCGCTCCTATTTTTAACAAATGACATTTTCATGGCCTTTACCTGTAATTAATATACACCAAAACACTATCCATACATCGAAATGAGTAAAATTTGGATGTTGAAATATCAAACTAAGACAAAGAATGATTTCAATATGCATGTTTAACTCAATGAGGTTGAAATACTATAAAATCATCGTACCAGTTCTGCAATTCTTGACTGTAAAATACATAATAAATAAAGCAGACATTTCCACAAAGAAAAATGATCGTCCATAATGATACACTGTTTTGTCGCCTGTCCTAAAATGTCATGGAAACTTGCAAAAACATCCTATAGAAAATCATGAAGTTTGATATACATATATATATATACCTTTAGGGCAACCTGACGTTTTATGGTGTTGTTGGCATGAAGAAATGTTCCTGTCAGTCCAACACCTACAAGGATCCCTTAAGACAAAGTAGGGAGCTTATGTTTCATATGCAACTAATAAACTAATAAGTTTTGAATGAAATGAATGGTTTGAACCATGGATTATCGTTACATGTTTGTAGAAGTGGATTATCCTGGTCAGCGAAGCCTTGAGAAGGACTGTTGTGTTGAGAAGGATGTCCATAACACAGACACTACAACACCATTGGTCGTTCTCAGGATTCCACCAACATGGTCAATCAACATCAACAAGGATGTGTGTTTTATTATTATTGGGATCATACCAAGTCGATGGTCCCACATAATACGACTAAGTAACAGCAGCAAGAAGGGTACACTTCTCTCAATCCATTTTATTGCTCCTTGAAACTCCATTCTATCCCCATTCGCCCTTGTACCATTCCCACTGGTACTTGTGGGTCCACTGTCATTGCCATTCGTGTCGGATTGACTTCCATTAGTACTATCAGTACCATGCCGTGAAAAAACTCTGGAAATCCCTCTCTCATCCCCTCTTTCCCCGATGTCAACAAACACGGAGTTAGATGGATTGTCGCTGCGATCAATTTCAAGCGAATTTCGATTCGTAAAAGTTGCCTGTCCAAAACCTAATCCCAGTTCGCGAATAACCGTCGTTATTGGCTGTAAATGCGATGATAGATCTATTTGTCCATCGCCTCTTGTGTGTGACCAACTAGCTGAACGAGAATGACTTGAACGGGGACTAAACTGACTGGTAAAGCGATTTGTACCAGATGAACTGGCAGCCATGTTGATGTAAACAGTGTGTGTTGATTATAACACACTTATGTATTCTTCTCCCCCTGAAGGTAGAAGTATTAACAGAATTGTAATAAATAAGAATTATAACATAACGACATAATATCATAATGAAAAGTATAAATTCTTGTTCATAGTGCAAGTCTTTACTTTTAGAAGTCGGAATATGGTCATATAGAGAGGCCATATATTATTCACAAAGAAGGAATGACGGTTATCATTAAATGTGAGCAGGGGGGAGGTTTGTCAGTATAAAAATGACTAAGAAACGAAAAAGAGAAGGTAATAAGTCTGATAGTTCAACTTCGACGCAAGAGAAACAGCACAAAAAGAAAAGGCGTAAGCACAAAAAAAAAGCCAAGAAAACTACGCATAGCTCGCCGGTTGAGTCAAGTTTGTCATTATCGGAAAGCGAAAGAGAGCTAAGCAAGAGCAAACGACATAAAAAGAAGAGAAAGAGGGATCAAAAGGATTTTGATACCAAACATGGACAGCGAAAAAATGAAAAACAGGATAATGTTTTGACGGGGCCTTGTCCGTTGTCTGAAATGATGATATCCGGAGATAACTATGAAGACAGCAAAACAAAGAAAAGGTTTAACTGCAATGAAGTTTTTGAGCATGCAAAATTTCTGTTAATACTCCATGTATATACTATGTACTATGTACATGTACAAGCCACATGCATATGCTAAATATGATTCAACTTATGTAACTCCATATGAACAATAGCTGCGGTTATCCAGTTAAGCATTTCTATTGTTCAGAAAATACAATTGAACTGTGTGACCAAATAAAAAATTCCCATGGAGTGGCCCTACTATTTTTTTCACATAATGTGACCTTGTCCTCTTTGTAGCAAAACACCACCAAAATGTCACTTACATAAAGTACACATTGATGTGTATGACTGATATTTTAAGTTACATATATTTTGAGTTACATATATTAGAACCTTAGCAAAGGAAATATTGGAGGCAGTCCCCCCTGCCCTTAGCAGAATATTTATAGATGTACCTAGTTGCTCAATAGCGTTAGCAAAGATGCGGTTATTTTTAGTGGCAGCCTGGCAGGGTATTCCACCATACTATATGTAGTTTTATTTCAAGTGTAATTTCCATTCAGGCATGCAATGACTCCAATGACCAAGGAAGAATATGAGAAAAAACAAAGTGAAGTTCGAAGAGTGTTTGATCCAGATTCAGGGAGAAACAGGTTTAGTGATAAACTTAACATGTTGTTTGCATTGGAAGAATTCTGTTATGTACACCAGTAGTATTGACATATAACAGATAAGTGAATTATATCTGGAAAACATCATATCAAGACTTTCAAACAAAATGTTTAGTCACATGTCCGCTACAAATAAAATGTTGAATTATTAAAAATTTTGTATCACTCTTAAAAAGTGATGCTCTTTGTGGTAAAACATGATATACTGAAAATAAAATGCCTTAAACTATTTTTGTGAGCATTCTCGATGTAACAGGGAGCATTTTTCAGATTTTTAAACAATACATTTTCAGGCTAGTGAGAGGTGATGGTGAAATTATTGAAGAAGTTGTGAGTTACGAAAGGCATGTGGAAATCAACAAGGTAATTTATATGATTTCTATTGATGGCCATTTGTCCAAGAATATCTTAAAACTTGTATTTTGTAGATTGCAACCAAGGGTGATGGTGCCTCATTTCGAAAATCTCTTGGTTTGGGTGAATATGATTGATCATTGGTTGTCAAGACTATTCAATCAGTTTTTTCATATGCAAGCCATGCAAAGTAAATTGATTGGTTCATATACACAACAAATTGTGATAGTTATTGATGAGAATTCTTGAAAGAGCTAGAATTGGAATTCACCTTCTCTGCAAGATTGCAAGTTATCATTACATTATCATTACATGATGCATGTAAATAAAAAAGACAAAATTAAATGATTTTGTAAGATTGCAAATGATGCATTTTGCACCAGAAATGTCATTTACAAGGATTGTAAGAAAAAAAACCTAATTGGTTTTTCATGTAGTCTTTGCCTCTGCTCTTCAAGCACCCAATATCATCAGGTACTTTCCTGTCCTTCCTCTTCAAGCACCCAATATCTTCAGGTACTTTCCTGCCCCTACTCTTCAAGCACCCAATATCATCAGGTACTTTCCTGCCTCTGCTCTTCAAGCACCCAAGATCATCAGGTACTTTCCTGCCGCTCCTCTTCAAGCACCCAATATCATCAGGTACTTTCCTGCCCCTCCTCTTTAAGCACCCAATATCATCAGGTACTTTCCTGCCCCTCCTCTCCAAGCACATAATATCATCAGGTACTTTGCCTTCACCACTAAAATGTCTTGTCCTTATTCTTCCAAAGATACACCTCCACTTCAATTACAAAGGTTCAGCTTCAGGTAGCTTGAAGCCAAAGCAATGCTTATGTTTGCTATTACGATAATGGTTTTCATGGACAACACTCTAGAACAAACAGACAATAGTCAGCTATTCTCAAGGTGATATAGAGCACAGGCTCTGGCATAGGAAACTCAATCCACAAATCTCGTTCAATAAAATTTGATTTTTAAAGGTCATGACCCATAAATACCAAAAAATGGCAGTTAGACCATACAATCACATTCGGTTTAAATGTCTAGGTAATGTATTCAAGTCATTTCTCCTTATAAATTATCAGCTGGATAACAATTCCAGCTCATAAAGAGTGTGGTAACTTTGATTCTTTGGCACAAATGAAGTGCCCCCATGCATAGCTCAATAGTAGTTTGCTTCAATTGTCTACCTGGGACGAGGTTCGACATTTGACAATGCAAAATTCAAACTGGTCAGTCACCATTTTTAGAATCTTTCTACTGTTGTTTGCCAAAATTGAGCGAAGAAGTAATTTCTGAAAAGAATTTTAAATTTATCATTTCATCAGGTACCATAAACAGCAACCATTTTGACATACTTTGTTGGGATGGAGGCAACATGAAACGCAATGTTCATAGACACTACAACAATGGTTAACAAGGCAGCTATTGCAAACAAATTGATTAGTTGATGGACCTTTAGGGAAGCAGCAACCATTGGATAGCCTGTCTGACCATTCACAGATATAACCTTAACGAAAATGGTAAATTTCACAGTATATTTTGTTGAAAATCAATTCTCTAAATTCAAGGCAAATATTGGCAAATACTGATGGTAATCACAAAAAATAAAGCTAATTATTGTTTTGGTATAATTTCACTAGCAAACATGGATTTGATTGACAATGACAAAGTTGCAAGAAAATGACTGTCGCATGGCTTTTTGAAAATAAACATTTTCTTGCAATGAATGATTAATCACTGGTAAACAATGCCTTAGATCTATAGGAGAATGATCGGCTAGGATGCAGTTTAGCAAATACCTGAAGTGCTTACATGTGGAGTGTGGGCTCATTTTTGGTTAGGATTATAGGGTTAGGGTTTGGGTCAGCATCTAAGGTGTCCACTAAACTGTAGTAGTCCCGAATGATCTCATGAAAATGCTCAAAACATAATTTTTACTTAAAAAACTACACCAGTGTGCAATTCAATGAATTCATATTAGTTGAACTGGAAAATGGTTAAACTGATCTGAGTTATACCAACCTAGATCATCAACAATAAGCTTGTAACCTTGTACAGAGTTCCTGCACTTTCGATGGCTCTTAAACTCTACCCATTGAAATGTTGGTGTCTCATCATTCTCTTTTAGCGAAGAAGTCTCGTCCTACAGCAAATAAAATGGGCAATCACCTGAACTAAATAGGTTTATGGTATCATAATTTTTACTTTCTGTTACATATCCCACCATATAATAGTACATTTGAACTATGAAGACATGATTATTGCATTCTCTTAGTTTTGTCAACAGTCGTGACAGCACACAAATAAACATCCATTATGTATTGTACACACAAAATTGTACAATACATAATGTATAGTACATAATTTTACAATACATAATGTAACGTACCTGATAGTCGGTTGAGTAATTTCGCCATATGATGACAAAAAAAAGGACAATAACGATTACAAAAAGCCACTTATAATACAATCTCATTTCATGCGAAAGTAGATCATTGCTAATCAAAACTGTCAACTTGCAATTGTTAACCATTGACCATACATGAAGTTGATGGATAATGCATCCTGCTGCTGACGATGTACACATTGAGCCGACAAAAAACACGTGCTCTCGAGTTCTCGACGTATTTCGAAACCTCGATAAAGACAATAACACGATATGGAAACGTGATTGGTTCGTACATTGTAGTCACAAGTTTTGGTCAAAACAATAGCAAACAGTGCCCTTGCTTGTTACCATAAATTCTTCACAAGTTTGTGGATTATTTGCATTGCGTAGAAGGGGGTACAAATTACGACGTTTGTCTCTGATCGGGAAAGCATTTTATGTATAAACTCGTCTCAAGCTTTTTAAATGAGTCTGAACACTTTGGCTGCTGCAGCAAGTTTTGTCGAAGCGCAAAGTAATAAGAGCGAGGTTGACACACGTGGTAAATGTGAAGTAGCCATGTGTTTTTGTGTCATTTTACAAATTTGAAATCTTAAACGCTTGCCTTGGCTTGTTTTGTAGAAAATTCATCGAAACGTCTAATTAGTTCTCCAACATCTGACTCGGATTGTGAAAAAGACAAGAGACGGCCAGGAGGGTAATTTTAATTTGTCTTAACATTATTAAAGCTGACCTTACCATACGCCGTTTGAGAATTGAAGATTTTTCGAAATATGATGCCGCATGTACAGTGTACGAAATATTTATTGTTATTCAATATAGAGCAGGGACGCGTGAAATTCATAACAGACTCGAGAAAAATCGGTAGGCATTCGAATTTTACTCGTGAGTTATTTTAACCGTATACGTATTATATAACATGTTTTAACTATTGTTTTGACGTGTAGACGGGCTCATTTAAAAGTATGTTTTGAAACTTTGAAGAAAGAGATTCCAACCTTGGATGACAAAAGAACTTCGAATTTAAGCATCCTCAAGAGTGCTCTCCGATACATAGAAGTAGGTTAAGTTTAAAGTTTAATTTGGATCGTATAAATTCATAGTTGAAACGACGCGCTACCGTGGTAATTAATGAAAATGTTTACTTTTTTTCGGAAATTCTTTTTAAATTTGAAGGTCAAGTTCTTATCCATGCGAAACACGTAAACGAGGCAATGCCACAATGCACGTTTAATGCTCAAAATTTCCTTTGGAATTTACTGATTGAAAAATTCAATGCATTCAAAGTCATAAAAATATAGATTTCGTCATTTTGTTAAAGTGAAATTATGTCTTGAACTTTGATGTTTGAACAAGAATAGCCCTTTATTGATAATTTTAATGTTTACAGCAGACATGTTTGGGCATGTGGAACAAACGACAATTTTATCATAATTGTTTAATGACACGAGCCAATATTTGTGTTGTTTCTGGCATTATTATTTTATTATAATTTGTCATGTTTTGGAGAACTTTACTATGTGCTCTTTCATCATTCTTTTTAAAGTAAACAGAAGTTTTGTAATGTCTGCACATTTGACCTTACAGATAATACCAAGTTCATTTTAAGGGAATACATTAATAAATTGATTCATTCAATTGTGGTTGCTCTAGATTTGAAAAGCAAATTGATTACAAGCAAATTAAACTCACATAAAAAGGAAGTGAAGAAATTGAATATTTCAAGAGGTTTTGTTCACTTTCACTATCTAGTGTTTTAACTGGCTAGCATAAGATTAACAATATAGCTCTATATGAATTTTTTAGTTGTGGGATAATCGATTGAGTAGAATATACTGTCTGTTATTATTTCAAGTTTAGCTATGTTTTTATTGATTTGAATTCTAGCAAGGCAACAGTCTTGGCATTTTGTATTTGTCTTGTTATATGAATTACTCATTTCATGAATATTTGCATTGTTTGAAAACATTGTCTGTATGTGTAAAAAGAAAACCAGGTGGTCATGGTGTTCCCTATTAGAACAAAATTATTAATGGGTGAACAGAAGTAATGACTAGTTATTTTACCAAAATAAAATATCTGTAGCAAGTATGCAAAAGTATGTTATGTGATAAATAAATGGTTGGACTAAATCTACAATGTTTACTAGAATTTGGAGAAAAAGGCCAAAGAAGTGACAAAGGAAAAGGAAGAACTAAAAAAACACAACTTGAGTTTACGAGAACGACTGAGAACTTTGAGGAATGAGATTAAAGTTCTTCTAGATGCCTCAACTGGCATGAAACAAGATATTTCAAAAACATCTGTGTCATTTTGCCCTCTCCAGAAAATGCAAATGCAGCTGTAATTAATAAATTGCCAGAACCTGTTGCAATGGCAATATTACCATCCAACCCCAAATCTCCTAGTACTTGCGAAGATGAAGAGGTTTATGTTGATGATGATCTAGAGTCTTGACACTTGTCAAGGGCTTCACAGGTGACGAAATATTTGCATAGCAATGATTATCACTTTGCTATGATGAAAAAAGATAGCCATTAGTGTATACTCATATCACTTAATAGCACACCCTTGTTGACAATGTTTGTTTTGATTGCCCAGTAATAGCCACTTCCTTTTTTACAAGTACTTTTTGACAAAGCAGTCAAGCTTTTTTTCATTTTGGCAATTTTTATGATTAGTAGCGTTTGTGTTTACTGTGGGACAACTTAACTTGTAGAACTATACATTTCTAAAACAATGAATAATAGTAATTATTTAAAATTTACATAGCGGGAGTAAATCTACAGGCTGGCTACGCTACTGTTTATGGTGGAACATACGTCTAAAAGAATTTTTGCTAAAATGTTTCTCCAACTTTAGAAAATGAATATTCATTTTTATGTAAATTAATTGCACATTCCTATTGTCAGTTTTATGACACTAAACTCAAGTCTCAAATTGTCCTTTTAGTGTTATTCACAAATTATGATATATTGACACAAAAATTCAAGGGACTTCAATTTGTTAACCAGTTAAAAACAAGTTTTACTCATGTAAATACATCAAATAAAATAACTAAATTTAATTAAATGAGTTTGTTACAAACAATGCGATTCGTGTTGCTTTTTAATTCTTTGAAATTTTCTCTGAATTCCACTAACAAAGGTCGACAAGACATTTACACGCACGGTCATTTCAACCATTCGATTACAATGGTGCCCGTGTAATCATTCATCGTTATTCATTGTAAGTTCTTACAACAAGATGACTATATGACATGACGATCTGACGAGTTATTGGCTTCATTTTGTATGCCTAAAAGAAAACGGTAGTTCCAAAATTTTTGACTGAAATTGCAATCGATTACATAAAACCATGATTTAGGAAGGCTGAGAGCAAACAGATCTTAAAAAACGCAAAATTCGACGATTCAAATTTAAATATTTCGCGTACATGATGAATAATGGCGTAAACACTTGGTACCAGCTTCCTGAACTTTGTCAATGTTTGGTGGTTGTTCTACGAATTTAAATGTACAAATAGCTGCTGTCAAGAAGTTGTTCAAAAAAGCAAATTTAATGGGTACAGTTGCATTTGGAGAACCCGTATCGTGGAGCTATATTGAAGAGGAAAGTATATTTGAAGATGAACGTATTAACCATATTGTAAATTTAACAGAAATACCCCGTGAATTGAGTTCTGGCTGTTCAGCAGACATCACAGGTGAACAACAAAATGACTTTGACTCGCACTCAGTCAAATACAGCGCAAATAACTCTGCCAAGGAACTGCAATCGTTGTTTGTCACTCAGAAAAGCGAATATGCCATGTATTTTCTGTACCGTCTAAGAGCTTTGGAGAAATTATGGCGAGAACGACACAACTCAAAGCGCTCGTCCAAGAACAGCAGCACAACCAACTCCAAGGGTCTGCAGTTGTCAACTGTCACAAAGAACCGTGCGGAGTCCGCGGAATTTTCTTCACACATTAGCCTGCTTTTGCTTATTCCTTTAATAAAGTCGCACAGTAAAATAGACAGTTGTTTAGCCCAACAGTCAACACAAATTTTATTTCAATGTCTGAAAGATTGCAAACCGAATTCACTACGTGACGAGCCGTTGAATTGCGTGACTGGTCTGGCGGATCTTTTAACGGGATGGCTAGCCGACGAAGTCGAGGGCAAAGAAAACGTAGACCTTGTTAGTACTGTAGATGGACAAATTGAAGAACAGACACAAAATGAAATAATCATTGGATGTCTTGTTTCGCTGGCTTGTGCCAGGTAATATATCAACCTGCTACAGGTTCAAAGCTCTCATTTGAGCCAAAATTTATTACTTATCGGATTATGCAACTCCAATATAAAAACACACCATCAAGATATGGTTTACATTAATAAATTTTTTTTCATCTTTGTATAACCTCTCCAGCAATGTGGACGAGGGTGCAAATCCGTTTTCAAAAATGGTTCAGGGTGTAGTGACAGTTGTCCAAACAGTGTTGTCCTAAAGAGTGTGGGAGGGTATGTCCCCTCTGTCCCTCAAAGGATTGTACATGGGAATTAAGATTTCTTGCAATTTTAGAGATATCCCTTTTTTTATTGATTGCTTGCATGTATTTAGTTTAAGACATTACCAATTGACAAAATGACTTGCGCAATGGATGTTGAACGGTGGATAATTGTGTGAGAGTGGGGATATTCATATATGCATGATGTCCCATCTTTAAGCTCCTTTGAAATTCATTGGTTTTCAATTCATCGGATATTCCTATGTTCATGATATGTAACAATTTGTACGTGCATATTTTTGTACCGTACATACAAACTTATCAATTTTGCTACAAACTGTTATGCTCTTGTTAAAGATTAGGTGCTCACTATTCACAGTCAAGTATTGTGTCCTGTTATTTATGGTATATTATTATGGGTATTCCATAACAATCAATCATTACTGATATAGTTTTCGTTTACAGGTTATCACTGAGCTTGTTCACCAAATCTTTATTGATGCTTCAAAAAATCAAAGACAGATTGAGCATGCTTTCACTTGCAGTTATGTTGGAAAAAACTGTTCATTATGAGAAATGTGGATGGCAAGTCAAACCAAGTGTTGTTTTAGCATCAAACCTGAAAAAAACGTGGAAATATGAGCTGCCAGGTCCAGGTATTGCTTTAGGATATGAAAGTACAAAGATTGTTTTAATCTTTATCCAGTTATTGTGAGGAATTATATAGGTCAGTAAAATTGAAATTCTTTGAAGCCGTGCAGACCAGGCATGTCAATATTACATAACTCTCACATAATCTTTTAACATTCGATACCCCAGGCACATGTTGTGCTAGAGTTATTTATAGAAAAACATAAATCTTTCAAGAAGCACTCAATTAATTTGAAATGTTCAAGTTTAAATTGTGGCATCGATTATGACTTTTATCAAAGCAATCGAAGCATTAATTTGATGGTCTTGTTCGCTTCAATAAACTATAAATGACTTTTTCTTAGTTGATATCCCAAAAGCTCCAAACAAGTTTCATTGTTCTATATGTAGGTTGTATGAAAGGTAGTACAATCACTTGTGATGGAAAGTTTTTGTACATATTACACGTATCGTGCCTTGTGAAGTTGGGAACTGGTAAACAAAACACAATCAGGTCTGTGTATACAACCTACAAATGTGCTAATCCTCATACTTATCTTTTGAAGAATATTTCCTCAAAAATAATTCAATACATGATTCATGCAACTTTTTGTCTTCTTCTATTTTATCAGAGGTCACGTGTATGAGTCAAACGGAAGCTTTCCTGGTGGTTTTATGTGTTTTGTTGCTGGTAAACTTCTATTTCGGCAAAACACAGCCGATGGAGCACAAGGAACAAAACATTTTGCTGAAATTATTGACACAAAAACATTGTTGGTTAGTAATACAGACCTCATACTTTTGATTGCTATACGGGTATTTCAAGGTCAATCTCACGTCACGTGTGATCTTATTGTTTGCGTTTATAAGGCCTCTTTTGCCCCATACTGTTTTTAGAACGTTTTTAGAGCGTTCGCTTAATTAAGGACTAAAAATTTTGATGAGTGCTAAAAAAATTTACAAAGTTGTGTCGCTCTCGTGTCTAACATTTGCACACGCGATAAAATGTTTTCCCAACGGTCTCATGTGTGCACAAGTGTATTCTTATCTGTTATTGTTCATTTAATCAAGATTATCTTCTCTTTCACAATAAGTCAGTGCTGCAGCAGTTTGTAATGTTTGTGTGTTGGTTTCTCAGATCAGATCGAGTGTTGAGTACAGTTTGCATCATAATACGGCTGTCTCAAACAGAAAAACTGTAAATGTCATCACAGATGGATTGTTAATATATTGGGTGTACTACAATGCAGTTCTTTCAAAAACCGGTGGTCGAGATACTCCTGTCAGCCAATCAGGATCAACAAATGGAACGGCTAATTCAATTGAAGTATATTTGGAGATTTTAGCTTTAAAGGTAATTGGATTATTATTCTTGTTGTTTCTGCGACTCCTTATCGAAAAGAAATTTATGATTTATGTTGCGGTTATGTGATTCATACAAATCGAATCTCTACGCAAGACAAACTCAGCTTGTTGCTCATAGTCTAACATCTATTTTACTAAAACAGACTATCAAATTTGTGTAAATTGTAAGTGCAAAGAATATTGCAATCTTTTACTCATTTGCTAAGCCAGCCCAATGTACGCATTGCGTATCTGTTTTATATCATAAAGCTGAGGCTGAGAAATGCACGAACAGTTTAATTTTTTTAACTCTTTCTGCAGAAAATATTACGACAGTTGCGATATCCAATGATTTACAGTGACATTTATAAATGTGTGAACGCCATAGTTCTTCAAGAATGCATTGTAACCATTTATTGTTAAGTGGAGTTTATCATTGCGATTTATGAATTTGAGAAAAACAGCAACTGGGATTGTCTATCAAAATGTTAAAAATGGGTGTATTGCATGTTTATAATTTTCTTTAAAATTTCAGGAAGAGGACGGAAAATACTTTGTCGCCCCTTTGCGCGACCCTGTTGTTTTAAGTCATAAAAGCGAACCTGCTGTGACCAATGAATTCAGCATGCCGCTCGCCATAAGACCTGTCAATCTATCTTCTCCATCGCGGGAGGACAACAGTAAGACCCGTCGTTTTTTCATTGATTGTTGATGTGTTATATTCTGATATCTTATCATCAATATGAATATAAGTTAATGCTACCCATAATCGTGATGGGATTAACTTTTGCAGACAAGACCAGCTGTGGTCTTACTACAAACTCCTTGCTACGAGCTAGTATGCTCACAGATGGAACATTTCTCGTTATGATGATTGGCCATCCTTATCATCAGAGCTATCCTGTTAGTAAAGGTAACGTCTCGTTTATGTGTATGTGAGATGGTATGGTATGTTTGGTACCTTATGTTTATGTGTATGTGAGATGGTATGGTATGTTTGGTACCTTATGTTTATGTGTATGTGGGATGGTATGGTATGTTTTGTACCTTATGTTTATGTGTTTGTGGGATAGTATGGTATGTTTTGTACCTTTTGTTTGTGTGTTTGTGGGATGATATGGTATGTTTTGTACCTTATGTTTGTGTGTATGTGGGATGGTATGGTATGTTCGGTACCTTATGATTATGTGTATGTGGGATGGTATGGTATGTTCGGTACCTTATGTTTATGTGTATGTGGGATGGTATGGTATGTTTTGTACCTTATGTTTATGTGTTTGTGGGATGGTATGGTATGTTTTGTACCTTATGTTTATGTGTTTGTGGGATAGTATGGTATGTTTTGTACCTTTTGTTTGTGTGTTTGTGGGATGATATGGTATGTTTTGTACCTTATGTTTGTGTGTATGTGGGATGGTATGGTATGTTCGGTACCTTATGTTTATGTGTTTGTGGGATGGTATGGTATGTTTAGTTCCTTATGTTTATGTGCATAAAATATGAATTATGATATGGTATGTTTGCAATCTATTGTTTATCTCTATGAGAAATGACACGTTTTTTGATGACGATCATTTAGTCGACCCTTTCGTCATTTGAGTCCCTACCATTTTGTTATGTTTTATTAGCGCCTTTTAATCGTTGTTTCTCTGTGATGGATGGAAGGTTTGTGGATGACGTGAATCTTATTGATGTTCCTAAAGCTGAGAATCCTAAATGGCAAAATATATCGCTGATGAATACAGGTAAATATGTTGCTACGTTTCCACCAACGTTATGGAGTTGAAGCACGATCTATTTTATACTGAAAACAGGTGTCTGTTATGATCATTTTAATAATCAAATTTGGACGAACAACGAGAATTGCGTCGAAGAATGGCGAAATGTTGGAGCTCTGTCATATCATCACGTTGTCCATAAGATAGAGTCAAAATCTCAAGGTCTTTTATCCATGACATTGATGATGATTTAATGAGCAATCGATGCTATTTCATGTTCTTTTTCTTCTCGTTTAGATGTATTTGAAAATAATAATACGATCAGTCCCTCAGATTGTCTGACAGCTGTTGCATTGCAAATAGGATTTCTCTCGTCTTGTGCATCATCTGACGATGACTTGTTGAAGTACGATGTGACTTTGGATGATGAGTATCACCGACAGATCTATGAGATTTTGGATCACGCTGTCCGCGAACATGATCAAGTCGTGATTCATGCTATTTTCATTCTCATACAGGTATCTATCAATCAAGAAATAATAAAGCTGGCGTCAGTACTTTTTTATGAATCAACTTCTCCGTCAGCTGAAACTTTGCGAGTGATAAGTGAAGTTGGCAGTTGCTGACTAGTTATCAAATCCAAACCTTTTGTTTGTCTTATAATACGTAACGTGAATAGAACTACCAGATCTACTTTCTGATATGTATCATGCAGTTGTTTGGTACATAGTTTTAATCATCCATATTCACCCAATAATAAATACGTTATCCTGTCATGCTGTTTTTGGTTGTAGGTATTGTACACTAGGGAACTTTCAAAAGCTTTGAAATTGAACGAAGATCTAGTAGCATCTGTAAGGTAATGAAATCAAAGTAAGTATTCATTCCCATCCTTTTCATTATCGTACTTGAATATTTTGTTTTTTATTTTCTGTAACAGGTTGTGTATTTGGAAAGTCATCTGTTGTGATATTGTCGACGTTTATGATGATGTTCGTCGCGAAGCTTGTCAAACACTTAGGTAAACACTGATCACGTATTATATATCATTGTCTCTCTCTATCCATATGTTTCCTAGATTTTTCATGTACAGTTTCATAAATCAATTTCACTAGTAAAACTTCTGGCATGGTATAATAATTTGATATGTCGCATAAATCCCGCACCATGTGATTTAAATCAAACTACACGCCAAAAAATGTTTATGACGTCATTATGCTGATGTGGTGTGCTCAATTTAACATAGTTGCTGTGTTAAATAGTATTTGTGGTATGTTTTACCATTTTAGATTATGTCTGGGGATATTTTATCCATCCATCACAGAGCAAAGTGCCGTAATGATGATTCTTTTTAATGAACGTATGTACTATCCTTGGATCTCTAGTTACTGCTCCCTTTGATTTACAATCATTGTAATCTGCAATAAGAACTATGTTACTGACCGAACGATCGACTTACATTACATTACCCAATGAAGAAAACAAATCAAATGCAAAAAATGTATTGATGCAATATATGTGTCGTAAAATGGTTAATTTCAGGCGATGATAATGGAATTGTCTACTTAAAGAATGCTCTTCTTCGTGATTTTACTAATGCTCTTATCAATGATCAACAACATGATAGTAGCTGCCCTGGATGGTGAGAGGACTTTAACGAATTTGTTTCATTAACTACGAAGCGTGATTATTTTAATGCTTAAATGCGCTTGCCATCATTAAAATGTTCTACGTTTTCTTTTGTACATTAGGCTTACGGAAGATGTTTTGTACACGATTATCCATCACTGCACTGTAGAATCCTGCTCTATCATATCCCTGGCTAAAGATGGAAGAACGGGTGATGATGAATTTCCCGTGAGTGGCGTCCACCTTATTCATTACAATTCAAATTAAATATTTGCGACTAAAATTTGCATTGCGCTTCATTTGTAGTGTCTTTCTCCTTTGTTGGCCTACCTTAAGGCGATGGTTACGAAGACATTTGAAGAGTTGTACCTTGGACATGAACCTTCATTTCCCGTAAGTTTGTGGGTTGTATGGATTGAATGAATGCTACTAAGAATAGTGGGATCTTCGCCATCTGCGTTTCATGGCAAACGTTTCTTCTTTTGCTCTATTTTTTGCTTTCGTTGAAGTCTTCTTTTGCCATCTCTTTTTACTTAATCCACTTTTCCGACGGTTGACACTCATGTGAAAAATGCGAGATCAAATTACAAAATTCTCGTAATCAAATGGTCGGACATAGTGTTGTTTATGTAAAATAGTAGCAATAAAATCGGTGCTAGTGGATGCAGTTGGTAGTTGCCATGACCATGAACTTGGGCTACTGGTCAAGTCGACTGCGGATGGGCAGATGATTTATCCGAAAATTTGTGACTGAGAAAATTCAAACATTGCTTGGTTTTATTTATGAACATTGGTTTATTTTATAAACAAAAAGATAAAATTGAAAAGCAAAAAACCCCGTTTTCGGTCCATCCTTCCCGATACCCTCTTAAGCGTAAGGCACTAGAACGCCGCATGTTAACGTTTTGGTAGGAGATTTCGGCCCCTCCACGCTATCCTACTTGGGAGATGCAATAGCAAGCTACCGCCTATCAGACCCCGAGATCACCTGCGATAGGCTTTGCTCGGGTACGCAGGGAGAGTGCGGTCGCCACCGAAGTGTGGGCCCCTAAGCCACTGCATACTATATCGCACCCAGCTTCCACTGCTAGTTGACATCTACTATACCTAGTATTGCCTTTATATATTTATATATACATAAATTCAAAGGCTTACGAAAGTTGTGGTATTATTAAAGTCACTACTGCGCATGCCCAGATTATTTCTTTGATAATTTGCGACTAAGTGAGCTAATTGCCACGAAAGTAGTGCAAGTGCATCTAGTTAGTCGTTGCCATGACCATGAACAATTAGTGAAGTGGACTGCGCATGCTTGAGCGCATGCGCAGATGATTTCAATATTAAATTGTTACTAAGCATGCTATTAACTTCAAAATCTGTGCTAGTAGATGTAGTTGGTCGTTGCCATGACCATGAACTTGGGCAGCTTGTCAAGTTGACTGCGCATGCTCAAGCAAACTGCGCGTGCTCAGATTATTTATCTGAAAATTTGTGACTGAGCAAGCCAATTACTCCATAATCGGTACTAGTACATACAGTTGGTCGTTGCCATGACCATAAACTTGGAGAGTTGATGCAGTTGACTACGCATGCTCAGATTAATTCTCAATGAATTTGTGACAGAGCGAGCTCTAAAATTGGTGCTTGTTTATGCACTGAGCAAGTTTTCAATCATATATTTTTGGCATGCTCTTTGTCATCAAAATCATCAGCACTTTGTTACGGCAATCGTAATATCCGCGACAACGTTAGAAATGTTTTTATTTTTTTCTATAACTTTGTATCTGCATATATATTGCATGTCATATCCAAGCTTTCCTCTGATTTGACGGAAAATGGTTTTTATTCACTCTTGCACCTTCTGCTTTTATATTTAATCGTTCTGCATTTTTAAATAATATTTAAAATGCCCGAAGGGCATCTTCTTTCTATTTTATTGCCACCATTTTTCAAATACAATGCTATGTCCGACCATTTGATTGTCCAAATTTTGTAATTTGATGTCGTATCTTTGACACATGTGCTTACCGTCGGAAAGGTGGATTACTTTTAATCTATTTCATGACTGAACCTGCTCAATTGAATATTTTCTGAATTCTCAGGGTGATGTCGAAGATTTTTCTCGAGATTATTGGACTCATTCAAGGAGGTTTAACATTTTTCTTCTTTAACGCTTCCTTTCTCATCATTCTTACACGTTATATGACACGTTCATCATGTCTTTCACAGGTGTCTTGTACAGTTCTTGATGTCTTTACTGCCATAGACGCTAAGACTACGCCTGGTTTAGAAGATAAACTGACATTGTTGCACATGGCAATGAAATCATCTATCTTCCATCATGTAATGCCGATATTTCTAACCGCTTTGTGTTCTCAAAACATTTGCAACCTTGCTGCGTGTAAACTATTGGTTACATCAAGCTTAGAACTTACCGTTACTCTTGCCAAGGTGAGTTTGAAACCTTTGGGTCGTACTCTTTGTTTAGCGTTTGTTTGTTGTAAAAATCTGCGTTTAGTAAGCATTATATGACTTCGTTACGAGTTTTGAATGATGTGGTTCTGGTTTACGATTTTTCGCGTGCTGTATTAAGTTTGCCTTTTACGAGATAATGTTTTATGCAAAGAAAGCAAAACTATTTCATCAGTAAATCGCTGTTCTCCAGTAAAATATAGCTTGACGTGCCATCACATCTTTGAACAGATTGCTTCACTTTATCGAAAACTCTCACCGTTGCGTCACACATCGTTGACGCAACCTCGATGCAAAATGACGTCAACAGATAAAGATAGCAAGACCCCCTTCGATAAAGTCTCCATTCCAAAACCATGGCTGGCACCACAGATTGTAGCTAGCATGCATCCCGTGTGTGATGAGTACGTGTCTCAAAGAAGAGTCACGCTTTATGGAGCGAAGGCATTGTATTTGAAGTTTGATGAAAGATGTGCCACCCAGTATGACTACGATAAGGTATTTATATATCTTAAATGGAGGTGCCGTATTTGTGAAGTATAGTTAATTTGGATATTTTCAAGATCTGTTCTTCAATAAAGATGTAATCATCTTGGTTGTTCTCAGTATTGATATTTCTGATATGATTTAGTGTATCTTTTTTGAGTTACGTGCGAGTCAAATTTTCAAGATTTGGTGCATTTGATAAAATTTTCTTTAACATCAAAAACAACGGAGAGGCATTTGCCTATATTTTAGAACATGTCGTTTCATGGAAAGGTTTTAGAAGTGCTGACTTTTCGCTAATTGACTAACCGATGTCCTTTTAATCAGGATGATAGGTAGATGTTGCGCATGTTGCCGAAAAATGTATTAGATATGTTTTTGATGGCATGAATAGTGGTGGAGTTGGTAAAAGAATTGTGTGTATTAACAATGCTGAATTAACACTGCACATTGTTTTTATATCAGCTTGTTGTGTATGCTGGGGAGAACACTAACTGTACGAAAGTTGGTGAATATGGCGGGAATTGTTACGGATATGGTGGTCGAAGTGTTGTAAAGACTGGCTGGCCTAAAGAAATAGTGAAGGTGTTTTTTACATTTATCATTCGCTTGTATGACCATGTTATTTTTGATTTCTTTGTACGTGTTCTGTGTTGGGATTACGATGTATTTCTGTGGTTTTCCGTGAACATATTTATGTCTCAATCAATGCAACTTTACTGCTTTATTTAAACAAGGTAAATGGTGACACAGTCTTGTTGTGTTTGGACGTGAAAAGTACTCGTGAGCGAGCGACGCCCGATAAAGCTGTCTGGGGGTATGGCGTCTTGATTGCAGCCGATCCAGAATTGGTGAAAGAGAGAAACAAACACAAGAACAGTCTTGATATGTACACGGATGCCGCTTTGGCGTCTTCGCATTTCACGTACAACCTGCTGACCACTATGTACTGTGGACCTTTTCCCTCGGAAGTTGAACAACGTTGTTCTTCATTGCTTAAATCGAAACTCCTCCAGAGATGCGTATGGAGAGACAGTCATACAATAATTCATGACTCACCAAAAACGGATACATCAAATCCTCTCAAAACTTACAATCCATTGAGTGCTTCAACTGTCGATAAGTTACGGTCATGTTGTCAGAGTCAACGACCAACCTTGCGCCCGAGCATACAGAAAGTTGTTCGTCCGCTTACCATAGAGACTGCTGTCCTGAGTGCAATCGTGAAACATTACGGTTTTGCGTCGTGTGTTGGAAAGTTTGAACTGGCAAAGCTTGATATTTCGAAAAAGGTGGAATTTTCTGAGCTTCTTGATGTTGCCGATGAAGCATTCTTTCGTATCGATGCCTTAGTCCGTCAGCTTCAAGCTATGGCAGAATTGGAAAAGAAATGGTCCCAAGATCTTGTTGACATTCATGAAGGGAATCTGCAGCCTACAGCGACCTTTTTCAACGATTATCATTTGCAGGAAGATAAAGCGAAGGAACTCGAACTACTTTGTAATCTTAAAGGAATCGTTTTTGACGCTTTCGATCACGAGAAATCCGTTGGAAGACTAATTCAAATTTTGGAGTCTGAGTCCACTGCAGTTGCTGGTTGCCATTACGATATTGACGTGAGCAGCGAGTTTCCACGCACGAGCAGCTATGTGAAGTACATAATGGAAAGAGCCGAGCTGTTGCTGACTGTAACAATCATGGAGAACGATTCTACGATGGCTTTTTCAAGGAACACTACAGGTATTGCTAATATCAACAGGAGTTCATTCATTCTGGATATCTTTAGTAGTTTTAACTATACTTCTTGATTATCCAGAAAGGATGCTCTTTTGTTGGGCCAGTGTTATCATAAGGGCAGCGGCGGCGGAACATTGATAAATGAGGGGGGCTATATTCATATATTCATATGTTATAATCCGTAAACACAATTGATTTCAATAGAAAGTAATTACGTGAAACATGCATATATGAATAATACTCTCCCCCCCTAATTGTCAATGCTCCGCCGCCCTTGCATAAGGGCACGATCAAACGTAACAAATTTTGTCCCTCCTGGATATTAATTCTAAACTTTTCTTCATAGAGACCTCTAACTTTCTTGATTCTTGATATCAATTCTAAACCGTTTTTCTTAGAGACCTCTAACTTTCTTTATCCGTGATATCAGTGCTAAACCGTTCTCCATATAGACTTGCTACGAATTATTTCTTTTTTTGTGGCAATGCTTGATAGGAAGTCTACACTAATTCTGTATTAGTGAAATACCTTTAGTAGAACGATTCATTTCTGTTTTATCTAGATAACGTGACAACTGACGTAACTCGATCCGCTTCTGCTCCGCATCTACAGCATCCTGGGGACAGTCTTCAAGGTGTAGAAGATCTTCAAAGATTTCGTCGATGGAGCAAGACATTACGTCATCGCAGCAAGACATCGTCCCTCCACAATGATTGGAGTAATGAAGTGAAAAACGATCATCCGTCTATTGTTGAACAGATCTTCTGTTTCGTGGCCGGCAGCAGTTTTGATCAGAATGTTTCCTGTAGCTCATTTCTTTCTGCTGCACGAACACGATGGCGTCGTGGAAAGTATCGCCAGCTTTCCATTCTTCATATGAACAAACTCGCGATGCTATCTTCCACACTCGGCGCAACTGGCGTACATCTTCTGGGCGTTGTTGTCTCTGTCATGAGTCAAGGAGCAAAACTCGATGACCTTGAATGTAGTGGTATGCTGAAAGATGTTCGTGAGGAATACGGCGTGTTATTGCGTCAGGTTGTCGATCAGTGTATGGGAAAGCTTTCTTCTTATTGTGAAAAGGTTATAGTTTTGGCTACAATCCCTTTTGTGCCTCAACAACTGGATGATGTGTTGCGTAGTAATCTTATGATCATGCTTAATAAACTGACCAGCGGTAACAGTCGTGATTTGGGATTATTGCATTACACGCAGAGGAGTCATGCTTGGAAAAGCTTTCAATTATTGGTTCATCGTCTTGTCACTTGGGAGAGCGATAAATGTAAGTATGGTGTAATTGACGAGAACGAGTAAATGTTGGGGTTTTAAAGTTGTTGAAGGTAGAGATATGTTAAGTAATTGTTATGAGAAATTTTCGAATGTAGAATTTGACATGTATGTTGCATGTTAATAGAAATGTTCTCAATGGAGCTATTTGTTTTGGGGATGTTTTCGAAAGTGAAGCAGTCACTTGCGATTATGCAATACATATTTGATCTATAGAGATGTTTCCAACGGAGAATTTGTCAATAGACGTTTGTCGGGAAAATGTTGTCAAAAATAATGGTGTTAATTAAATGGCGTTCGTAGATGTTAACGTTAAAGATTTGTCTAAAAAGATGGCGGTGTCAAATCTCTTATCGCATAGACTTCTTATCGATGGGCACGTTGTCACGTTTCTAGCTAAATTCCAGATTTTTGTTATCAGGTCATGATCCTAAGGCTATCGAATGGTCTGGTGTTGCAAGACAGGTGACCACGGTTCTTACAAACTACCTGCAATATCTTGAAAAAAAAGTCCGTGAAAAGGATCTCGCTAATGATCCATTGCATGAAGTATTAGAACTACTGCAAAGAATTTCAGGGTAAGTCTTTAATGTTTATGGCTTTGGTAGTTATTATTGGTTATTTATTGGGAAGAACAAGGCTGTGGTAGTTATTATTGGTTATCTATGGGGAAGGACATGACTTTTGTAGATTTTATTTATTATTTATGGGGTAGAACAAGGCTGTGCTAGTTATTATTGGTTATTTATTGGGAAGAACAAGGCTGTGGTAGTTATTATTGGTTATTTATGGGGAAGAACAAGGCTGTGGTAGTTATTATTGGTTATCTATGGGGAAGAACCTTCTCTATCATGACGTGATTACTGGTTAATAAATTGAACTTTGATTGTTGTGAGGACACGTCGTATTGTATGCACTAAATTTTCATTTCATTCGTGATGTGCTAACGTTGTGCTCTCGTTTAAGTTCTCAGAATTTTTATTTACTTCATTCAAGACTTATATCTTGAAGCTTCACTGATTTCCAATGTTCTCGTTAAATGAAAACATGTGGGAATCATTGTCATTTTTAGGACTAATCTCGGCGAGTGCGTTCTCACTCAACCTCACATGACCAAGATTCTTCTTTCTGTGGTCACTGATCGCCAAGCCTCGCCGAAACATGTGCTCACCTCTCTCACCCTCCTGTATTCCTCCTTACCCCTGACTGATCCAGATATCAAGGACCCCCTCACCTCACCATCGACGGATGCGCTTTCTCAAGGACTCTCGCCATCTCATACTACCCATCAAAAGTCTTCGCATGCCGTAATCAAGGTTTTACTTCATAAATTAGGACAACTATTGTTACCTAGTCACAATAATGTTTCTGAGGAAGTGACATCAAGTACGAAACGTCAACGACGCTCAACCAGTTATGGAATATCAGTATTGTCGGTATATGTACATCACAGAGGGGATATTCCCGCACATGAAATTGTACAAAAAGTTCTAAGGTAACTGCGCGTTGTTATGTTAGTGGTGTTGAACGGTTACGGTGATTGGTTAGTATGTGGTCACATGATACAAAATAATTACCTATAATTGCAGTTCATCTGTGTTGTTGTCAGTCATTGTTGCTTTTTAATGAAAAAATACTTTCATATTGCTGCTAAACGTAAAACTTAGGGCTTGTTCGCTTAGAAACAAACTCGGTTTTGTAAATTTATAATTGGTCTGGAATTTGCTAAGGAGAAGTGCATTTCAGTGATTTCTTTTTGTTTCTGTAGCTCAAGTGGTCAACCATTCTTGTTTCAAGTTGGTCTCGGCTCTCAGATGGAGCGAGCAATAAATTTAAATCGTGTGCTCACCGAACGTGGCCTTGCCGAAGTCCTTACGGGCAACATGAGCACGTGTTTGAAACAAGCCACACGATTGGCTCAGTCCGGTATCTGCGTCAGCCTATCAGCCCCGCACGAGGTAAAGGGAATGTTGGCGGAGACGACGGCAACCGAAGGACAAACATCAGAGGCTGCTTGCTACGAAAGAAACAAAAACTTATCGCGGTAAAGCCTAAGAACACATTTTTTTTGTTTAATTTTTTCCGGAATATTTTCTGTGTGATCTCATACTTGCATGTTCAATCTTATCTGTGGGAACTTGTTTTGTGATGGTGATCGTTTCAACATAATTGAGAACATTTCAACATCTTCACCAAAAATTACACCACCATTAAAGAAATTACTATCGACATCACATGCAAAATATGTGTATATCATCAATGAGAACATGCCTATCGACAACATCTCCATTGATTATATTTTTTGTTTTGTTTTTGGTAACACAGACTCGGCAACACCCGGCCTTTTGTCAGCGGAACTGTTGCTCACAATATGGCAACGGAAGTTATTGCGTTACTTCGTAATCTCATGCAGGCCAAGTCAACATGGTCGACAATTGTGAAGGATGTTCTTGCAGAAGGCCTTAATGATCTCGTCTCTGTTGGACCTGTGTTAGACGAGAACTTTAGTGGTGATGAGTCCCACTGGTTTTAACTGCGCAGCAAATCTTGGCTATTATCTGCACTTTGGGTGGATTTAACGAAACTGTCAGGCCAGGATGCTCAGCTTTTGTAAGTAAATAATTATTTGGAGAAACTCGCTGTTCTATTTTCGTGGTTTGTTTTCGTGTTATTTGAAGAAGAAACCTAATTAAAGTCGTGTACATCAAACTGTTTACTTTTATGGATACATTGTGGACATTTCTTAATTATACAATATATGTTCTGCTTATTGTTATTCAGCATTGATCTCTCTTCACCCTGTGCTTGTATAGACATTTATCGTATGGCCTTTAGTAATTTATGCTGAATACCTTTTGCAGTATAGTATACTTAGAATGCTGTCTTTGTAATTTTTGATGATAGTATATAATTTTACCTTTAATATTTTGAAATTACTTATGTGCTAAACGAACTTCATCTTTTTTAAGATACATGGTGAAGGATTACGTTCAAGCAAGTGCTCTATCCTCTCCGTATCCCTGAACAAGGCGTTGCACACGTGATTGTGGATGATAACGAGGCGCTGAACACTGACATTTATAATCCTAACAATCCCATAAACATCCCTCTAAATCTCTTATTTGTACCTCGTGAAAAGGTGCGTCTCTGGTGGTGGAAAAGTTGGGATATTCTCATTGAGAAAACTACTTGTTGTTTACAATGATTTTTTTTTAGATAATTTCTGCATGTTTTATGTTTAGGTTGTGCATCTTATCGATGAAACTCTTCACAGTAATGTTTTATGTTTAGGTCGTGCATCTTATCGATGAAACTCTTCACAGTAATGTTTATGTTTAGGTCGTGCATCTTATCGATGAAACTCTTCACAGTAATGTTTTATGTTTAGGTTGTGCATCTTATCGATGAAACTCTTCACAGTAATGTTTTATGTTTAGGTCGTGCATCTTATCGATGAAACTCTTCACAGTAATGTTTTATGTTTAGGTCGTGCATCTTATCGATGAAACTCTTCACAGTAATGTTTTATGTTTAGGTCGTGCATCTTATCGATGAAACTCTTCACAGTAATGTTTTATGTTTAGGTTGTGCATCTTATCGATGAAACTCTTCACAGTAATGTTTTATGTTTAGGTTGTGCATCTTATCGATGAAACTCTTCACAGTAATGTTTTATGTTTAGGTTGTGCATCTTATCGATGAAACTCTTCACAGTAAACTTGTATTGGCTGCCAATAAAATGCTGGAGGACGACAGATCTTTAGAATCTCTGAGGAGTGTTTTTGCAAACAACGATTCCAATCTTGAAGTCCTAAGGATTTCAGCAGAAATTAAGACGAGGTTATTTTGTAATTTTTCACGTTGATGCCTTGATTGGCAAGTTTTGCTTCTTCGAAATGTTTCAATTGTCAATATTTTCTTTCCAGGCTTTTTGTTCTTTTGAATGAGTGTCTTGACGACGAAAATATTGCTCGAAATGTTTTGGAAACTTCTCCAGACTTGCTAGCAAAACTTCTCACCTTTGCCAGGAGTGTAGATCCAGGCGAGCGACAGGTTGTGGTGGAAAGCCACTGCGAAGAATTGCGGGCCCTCTTCAAGGAGTACGTTCGTCCGATCAATCACGATTTGTCCCCGGAAAAGCGGCGATCAGATGCACCGTGCGAATTTGACATCATGCGTGAATTTCCTATTCCATTTGGTTGTGTTTTCATGCGTGATCTTACTTCAGTACATTATGTATGTGATCCAGGTGATAATCCATCCTGTAGGCAGCCCCGTGGAGCTTTGATCTTTGCTGATAAAACAATACCTACACGAGTGAGTATTCTTGAATCAAACGGAGTTTTAAGATTATGAAGTTTCTTCACGAACGTTTCGTAACGTTTATCTAGGTGAACTCTTATTACTGGGAAGCAGACATCTTGTCGCTCGGTGAGGGGAATCATAATGAGTCGGGTCCTTCTTTATCCTTTGGTTTCATGCCCAATCATCCCCCCACTGATTCAGCTTGGACTGTCCCCCCTGGTAGCTGTATGCTACACAGTACTGGTCGTGCTATACGATACGTGTCTGGCGATCCACTTTCTTGGAAATCTGTCACGTTTAATCTGAGCATGCGTGAACATGACATCATCGGCTGTGGTTGGGAGGCGATGGATCGCGAGGAGAACACAACTGGAGTTGGTACTGCATTTTTTACTCATAATGGTAAAAGATTATCGGAGGTTTTGGATGGTGTTGAACGTGGTCTATTTCCCGTCGTACATATTCAAAAGAAGGTAATTTACATCTTCAAACATATTTTTTCTTTGCTTGTTATTGCACAAGTTAAAAATTGTAAACTTTCATACGCAGCAGTCGTTGCAGACACAATTTATTTTATTAATTTTTTTGGCATAACCCTTACAGGATGTTCGCGTGTTTGTGAACTTTGGAACGCGATTATTTCATTACCAAGACGCCAACACCCAGAAGATGTCCATAGAGAGCGTACATAGTTCATCGGTAGACGAAGTAAGAGCAGATCTTGCCGAATTGCCCTTTTCTAACTGTACAGAGTCTGATGAACTTGAAGAGATTGTTATTCACACCAGTCTTGGACCTGTGCAGAATAGCGAAGGTTTGAGAAGCATTTAGTATTTGTAACAAATCATCTCTGATTTGAGAAGCATTTAGTATTTGTAACAAATCATCTCTGATTTGAGAAGCATTTAGTATTTGTAACAAATCATCTCTGATTTGAGAAGCATTTAGTATTTGTAACAAATCATCTCTGATTTGAGAAGCATTTAGTATTTGTAACAAATCATCTCTGATTTGAGAAGCATTTAGTATTTGTAACAAATCATTTCTGATTTGAGAAGCATTTAGTATTTGTAACAAATCATCTCTGATTTGAGAAGCATTTAGTATTTGTAACAAATCATCTCTGAGGATCTTCAGAAATCACGGAAGCGACTTTGTTGCATGCTTGTAAATTATGTAAAAATGAACATTTGGCTTTTTTGTGATTTGCTTTGAAAATGTAAAAGGTAAAGGCTTTTGTAGCAAATACATTAATGTGATTTCACCGTGAATGCTGTACATGTCTAAGGAGGACCTAAATAAGCATTTTATTTATGATGGACCTATTTCAGGTTCTACACAACAGACTTCGACAGTTGTTGAAGAAAAGGAACCTGACTCTCTGGAGTGGCAGGAGAAAGGCTATGATCATCATATCTCCCAACTGGAGTTTCTCGGCAGTAGTTATGATCTCATGTTAGACAACGGTCCTCCAGTTTACATGACCGCTGACGAAGACGATTGTCGTCTTGCCAACAGACATAAGACATTCCGCAAAGATCCACGTAGCTTACTTGTCAAGGCTTGGGAATCAAAGTATTTCCAACCATCAGACGTCGATTCCGTAGTGAGGCTGATCGCCGTTCTGGACTTGAGCAAATCAGGGGTGCTCTTATGGAAGGTAAGAAGGAGCGTTTGCTTTATTACAAAATATTCAAATTTACTTCATGTGCCGTTGTTTTAAACTGCATAATTCAATTCCGAGAATACTATGGACAATTTCAATGATTTAAGGCTATATTTCTATGATTTAAGTTATTCGTTTTTTCTCGAGGTTTGATTGACATCGCTATATCAACAGTGGAAGATCTTTACGAAGATAGTGGTGGTTTACCAACGTCTCTCACCTTTCCACGTATTGAAGATATCGAGGCTGAATTGGATAGGACTACCGTCAATGATTTGCGCCAAGCAATGACCGTCCAGATATGCAGATCAGTTTCAATATTTCCTGGCTTTGCCGAGCCCCTGATGCGAAAGACATTTGGTCTTAGCGGTGTTGTGCAAGATTTAGATAAGGTGAGTTTGTTTATGTAGAATAGAAATAATTTTTGTTTCTTATTCATCACAACCTTCACCGACTCTTGTCACATATTCTAACTAGTGTAGCTAATCGTTTTCTTTTATTATTCTTTTCTTGTTAATTTCTGACAACCTCCATCCTATTGCAGGCAAAAGAGCTTGTTTTGGTTGACGTTTACATCCGGGACGAGGGTTCCGTTGTTCGTTATTGGTACCCAGTGCACGCCGTGAAACCTCAACCGCCGGCGTTTGGTCGGTTATCATCGTTGACTTTCGTAGATCAGGAAAAAGCCAGTTTTGAGGTCTACGCAGATTTATGGAAGTGTGAAAGCGCTCTGACAAAGATGTATTGCCGTTCTTCTGCCATCAAACTCCTTCATGGTAGGTATTGATGATTCTATTAAATGTTGTAATGGGGTAACACTGTTGAACGTTATCAGTGAGGTAACACCGTTGAACGTTGTCAGTAAGGTAACACTGTTGAATGTTGTCAGTAAGGTAGCACTGTTGAATGTTGTCAGTAGGGTAACACTGTTGAATGTTTTCAGTAAGGTAGCACTGTTGAATGTTGTCAGTAGGGTAACACTGTTGAATGTTGTCAGTAAGGTAGCACTGTTGAATGTTGTCAGTAGGGTAACACTGTTGAATGTTGTCAGTAAGGTAACACTGTTGAATGTTGTCAGTAAGGTAACACTGTTGAATGTTGTCAGTAAGGTAGCACTGTTGAATGTTGTCAGTAGGGTAACACTGTTGAATGTTGTCAGTAAGGTAACACTGTTGAACGTTGTCAATAGGGTAACATAATTGAATATTGCCATTGGGGATATAGTCGATTGAACTTACATTTATTTCCACATTTTAAGCCATCAATAATATGGAGTCAAATGTGGACGAGATATTGTTACTAAGTGAGCAATATCTTCGTGATGCTCATTCAGATGGTGCTGTGAATGCTCGTTACATCGCTGCAAGTAAATCGTTGGTTGAAAGTCTTAAAACAACGTCATGTTCACCCCTCGCTGTCTTTTATAAAGACGAAGAAAAATTATCTTCTCTGCTAACTCGGTTGCTTTACTCATTTCTGCGTGATGACGTGAAGTTCCAGGATGTTGGTGAACAATTGTTTCAATCCGTGATTGAGAAGTCGTTTTCACAATGCTTGCAACAGTTTGAAGTATCCAACGTCAGCGCACAAAAAGATGTCCATTTTGAAAATGCAGCTATTACGACAGTCTCTTGTCTTGCCACCACAGATTACTTCATGCCTCGGTGTGTTCTTATTTTTGTCACTTAGTGAAGATCATCGACGATTAATTCAAATGTTGATAAGAAACTTGATATTATGTTACGTTTGTGTATGGATGCTTCTGTTAGTAGCTAACTCTGTCTTTCTTTGACATCCTGAGAAGATTTTCGATAATTGATCCGAATGTTGTAGATAAAGCCTTGCATTGTCTACGTGTTTTGTATGGAAACTTATGCCAGTTGTCAAGTCTGTCCTTTCTTGTCATCCTGTAAGAATTTTATCTAACACATACCTTGTCATAGCAATCTAAACGCTCCTAACTAAGTATCTCTTTCAATTACAAGCCATTCTTTTTGAAGATATATTCGGGATCGTTTCGTTTGTTAGCGACGTAGTATTATTAAACTAAACTTTGTATATTTCAAGAGTGCGCTCCCCGTGTGTCGAGATGTATGGCTATTACGGGCGACGTCGAATCTCAAAGGATGGGAACATTCTCAAATACAAGCTTCTTCATTATCCCGATTTTTCCGGTCAGCAAATCAGCCATTTTGGTGATGGAAGGAACTGCATGAATCTCGGACGCCTTCTACCCACGAATCGTTTGCATGTCAAGCTCGGCTCCAGCAATGCCAGAGGACTGATTGTACATGTGAAAGGCATTACTCAAGAGCTTTTGCTGTGCCTTGCGTCCATGGAAGCACTTATTCATATATTTTCAATGCGTTGGCCGTTGGTCTCATGCAAAGCTGATAAAATTCCAGAACCACCATACCTCACCGCTATGTTTACGTTGCTACAACATACGTTAATTTCAATAACACTTTCGCCATTTATCCGCGAGATTATTTTCCATCTTCTTTCACAAATATTACGGCTGCTTGCAAAATTCTCGTCTGCTGAACGTCTTGAAGTTTTTCTTGAATCCTCATCGAGTTTTTTGGCTGCCATGAAATGCGAATTTTTCAAGTTGTTCGAGAAGGAAGTGTCCCTATCTCGCTCGAACGCTGTGGTGTTCGTCTTGAATTGCAATTTTGAAAAAGTGAAGTTTTCTTCCTATTTTCAAGCGCTACTTGATGTTATTCTCGCTGCTCTTGAGCTACGTACAAGGATATTAGGAGCAGAGTGGAATTCTAAGGAATATACTGGTGCATTGTGGGGTACGTCTTGTGATGTTTATGATGAAGACGATGAGGATGATGCTGACACATCCCAGGTGATCTGTAATACATCGAACTCTGGATCATAATTCAGAATAATCTCTTACAACTTCATATCTCTCCCTGTTTAGGAAAGTTCTGATCGCAGAAGAATACCAGAGTCAAGAAGTGAAGACTTGAGTATTGAAGTATATACAGGGGGAGGTGAAAATCCCGCCACATATATTCCTTTCTTCGCATCGCTTCCCGTGATGAACGAGAACCAACGATTGGTCACTGAGATGGGGGAGAGTCCTGGGAGAGAGTCAAGGTCTGCAGCGCTCTCTATAACTTGGAATCAACAAATTATACTTAAAGATTATTGATTTGGTTTTTAGCCCTCAGACGCTTCGCCGCCTACGTTTCCGTGAACGCAAAAAGCTTAACACAAAGAAAGCCACATCCTCTCGAACAGATATGTCATCTGAAGACGATAGAGCAGAAGAGAATCCTGCTTGGTTCGGCAGACTGTTGCGTACATTGGTCGCACTCCGTCATTTGGTACATAAAGATTCCTCTGGAAAGTCCTTGGTTTTAGATGTTTTGAGAACTAGTCTTCCTCTACCTTCAATGGCCTGGAATCGAGTGATCGTAATCACCAATATTCCACATGAATTCAGCTTCGATGTTGTAATGCAAGGTGTGTTGTTATAAGACAATTTTAAAGAATGTGTGTCAACCAAGATGCATTGCGCGCTTTTGTTTATGTTGACATCGTTAGTTTTTGCAGCACCCTGAATTCAATTTTGTCACTACATCGTCTAATTTATTTGAAAATTTAGCAGAAAAATATCGATTAAAAACTCTATTTTACATTAATTATTATTGTTTGTCAAAGTTGCATGGACTACAATAACAAAATTCGCCATTTTATCGAGCCACAAAATGGCCGTCACGCTGTGATTAACTCGCAGTGCATCTTGGTTGATACACATTCTTTAATGTCAGCGATGTTATCTTAGTCTGAAGTACAAATGGCCAAGTTTTGTTCGATGAGTAAGTTTTGCGTATTGGCTTTTCTAAATTTCTAAACTGTCATGCTTTCTAAACTGTGGTATTTTTTAACTGTTGCTTGAATATCCAAATGTGGCCGAATTGTTTAGAAGTATATATTCGTGGTTATTGTATGTTTTTCAGCTATCACAAAATCTGCGCGATTAGCTGGAGGATTGCTACCCGTTGATGGAATCATGATGGAAGACGAGCCCGTTATGTATAAAACGCCTGGTGATAAAGAGAGTGAAGGTGTTTCATGCGTTGATCAGTCCGTCGAGCAGCTCACAAGATCAGCGGTTGTTCAGTTACGTACGAGCCTTCAAGTCGATCAGGTTCGTCAGCGGTTGTTACAAGAAAAGCTGTTGATGATTAGTAGCACTTCGAGGACTTCAATACAGGTATATTATATAATTATGAAAATATTTATTGTTATTCTGGTTTTTTATGATAATTAAATGTTATGTGGAAATATTATGGTCAAATTGATAAATGTCACCATTATCCAACCTATCCTTCAATCACTTGTCATTTCTCTTTTCTAGGTATTAAAGGTGAATTCTATGCTTCTCTTCGAGGGTGGCTGGGCTGCGACTAAAGCTTGCTTGGCTTGGGAGAAATTTCTTTCAGATAAACTCATGGAGAATACAGACACATTCACATCTATGGCCTTGCAAACACTTGCTGAAATCTACCTGAGTTGTCATCACGTTGCATTATGCCATTCTAATAAGGAAACAGAGTTTAAAACAGATGACGTTTCTCTGCCAGACTTGGCCAATACCGTTGCTCTGTCTGCAGACAATATTGCTGATGATAAAACCGGAAATTTGCTTTTAGGGTTTTTCAAAACATTGAGTGAGTGTAAAAAATTAACTAAAGATGACTTGGTGGATGTTGTGGTACATTATAGTGACGTTCAAGACGGTGGTAATGACTCCCGCGAAAAAGCTGTACTCCATTTTCAGGGTTTTCTACTTTACGTAAAAAAGAGTGTGCAATCAGATAAAAGACTGGTGTGGAGGGCTTTTCACGCATGTGGATATGACTTCAGGTTTCGACGGTAAGATTGATAAATTCTTACTAATCAAAATCATATCCTGTGTTTGTGGCATTCAGGTCATCAGAAATTATCCAAATCTATTGAATTTATGATCAGCTTATAACTCGTTGATTGCGTCGTATTTTTCTCAAATTCAGATCGACGGAAATCTTCCCAGAAGATGTAAGCCGCGAGAATGAAAGGTGGAGTTTTGAAGATGATAAAGTCCTGGTTGAGTTTGTTGATGACATGTCTAAAAATCTTTCCGCTTCTCCACAACGATTCAATGCGGAAGAGGTCTTTTGGGAAAGCGATTTGATGAATCCTCGATTTGCTTCGTTGGACAGTATGTTGCATTCTTAAAATAATTTTGAAATTGTTTGTGCTGAGCTTCTGCAAATCGTTAGAACGCAACATGTAATTTTATTGTAGAATATACCAATCGAAGCATCGGGTCTCGTTTTATGCTTTACAAGTGCATAAATCAGTTTGTTCAACGGCTTGTATTACCAGTCGTTGACCTACGAGTTGCAAAGACATACACAATGAGCGTGTCGTCTCTACTGGCAGCTGCCAAAGACATCTTGTTTAGAAATACAAAGATCTCCGAGTTAAATCGCGTGTTAGATCTGTCTGCTCAACGCAATTCTGATGATCCTTCTCCGGAAATATCAATTGATCCGCTTGAGAGCATTGAAGGTACTTTGGCATAAGAACTGTAGCATTTGTAGTTTTTTGCATGACACTTAAAGGGTGTGTATATTGGTTCTTTTGAGAGTACTGAAGGTTTGTACTTTGACATAAGAAGTGTAGTATTTCTGATTGTTGTATGGTGCTTGAAGATTGGTCAGTTCTGACTCTTACCACCAGATTTTGCAACCAACCTTTGGAATACGTTTGACATTTTTTGCCTCTCTTGAAATGTTATTGATAATCATTTGTAATTCTCATGTGAAATCAGCAATCCATTTTTTTAAGGAAGCATTAATTCACAAGGTTTGATCTTAGAGACCATTTGAAAATATTTCTTCCAATATCTGAAGATCTTTTTTGGTTTGAGCATCTTTTACTCAAGTATCTTTGCCAGGATTCTAAAGCATTTCACTCATTCCTACATAGCCACCAAAGTTGCTGACACTGGTCCGCAATTGTATCAAGTAGCAAGCCAGCTGTCCAAAGTTACGACTGCCAAACTCCGTGTTAAGGTGGCTACGGGTGGTGACCCATCTTTCCCATTACGCGTCAACCTACGTGGTGAACAAGTGCTTGGTCTGGGTGGAGCTTATCGCCATTTCATGTGGATTATGGGACGTGAAGTTCAAAGTTCACATCTTGGCTTATTTGTCCCATGTCCTAGCGCGGCTGCTAACAAGAACAAAGTAAGCATGCGTCGGTCGCGTTATCTAGTGGGCGACATGAGAGGTTATAAAGGGGGGTTGTTTTATATCAAACTCGTCCATGACCAGTTTGATATCATCTCATTTAGGGAAAGTTTATACTTCGTCCCGGACTAATGACCTTCAACGTACGCAATATTCTAGTCTTCTTTGGTCAGGTATGTATATGGAGTTTTCGTAAAATAATTCAGGTCGCGTGTTTACGTGTTAATGCATTGCTCAGTCCCATTACCATAGACCTTGTTCAATGTTCGTGCACTTTTATGTATTTCGTGTCTTTTGCTTTTTTTTGTGTGTTGATTTGAATTGTTGTTTTCCAGCTTCTCGGTATCGCTTTAAGATCAGACATTCCTCTAGCACTTGATATTCTTTCATCGTTTTGGAAAAGTCTTCTTGGCGTGCCATTGGACGAGAACGACCTTTGGGAGGCCGATGTGTTGACGTACAACTACACAAGGCGCTTATCTAAGGTAACGGAACTTTTATGTTTTTAGTGCAGTGTTTGCATGGAAAGGGCAGTGTTTGCATGGAAAGTGCAGTGTTTGCATGGAAAGTGCAGTGTTTGCATGAAAAGTGCAGTATTTTGGGTACGAGCATTCAAATTTTGGGGATGACATATTGTGTAAACTTTATGAGGGTTGTTCCAAAATGGATGTTTTACGTTTTATAAATTTTGAGCGATGCAAATCGATGGAAGAAATGAAGTTAATGAAGAAATGAAATGAATGCATGAAACATTTTATGGTTGATTCATATTACGAGTCAAAAGGCTGTGCTCTTTTGAAACTTTGCACTATCCTTGGATCCTAGTTGTCTCTTTACTTTAAATTCTACTGTACTAACGCTTCTTTATTGTACTGTTCTTTTTTCTCGTCGTAGATTTCTTGTAAAGAAGAATTTGAAAGGTTATGTTTAGAGGCCGATATTTCCGAGACACGTTTCACCTTCACCTCCCTTAATGGCGAGGAGGTAGACCTTTGTCCTCAAGGAAATGAGATTGTTGTAAGGTAAAATCAATGTATAGCACGGCTATACACAACTTAATTTTTCGCAATGTGTAATCTTGATGAAACACGCAGCCTGTTTGATTGACTCGAAAACCTCAGTCAATGTTATGAAGCATGACGTTTTAAAAACCAAAAACTGACATCTTGTGTCTCAGTGAATTTTCACTTTCATTGTTCTCTTCTTCGTCCAGCTGGGAAAACCGTTTGGAATATGTTAAAATGGTGCGAGAATATCGCTTGCAAGAGCTGGTGTGCGAGAATCGTGTGTTGGCAATCAAATCGGGTCTTGCTAGCGTAGTGCCTCTTCATGTTCTTACGATACTCAATCCCAGGGATTTGGAAATGCGTGTATGCGGTATACCTAATGTTGATGTTGATTTTCTTAAGGTATGAACTTTTTTTAGGTAAAAAAATAAGTGTTTACTTTGTTTCACCCACCTTATCGTCATTTACGCCCGTGACATTTACCTGAAGTATTTTAGTGGGAGTATCACTTTCTTTTTGAAATGTGTGTTATGTCCATGGTTAAATACTTCATTGACATGGCAAAACTTTGATTATTGCATCTGTTGAAAATACAACTCTTGATTACGGACAATCCGTGAAAATAATAATTTACGTTTTCTTTAAGATGCATACGACATACGTCGCAGGTGTTCGATCATCCGACAGGCACATTGAGTATTTCTGGAATACGCTGGAAAGTTTCTCAAAGGCAAGTGTTATTTCTATATATTCAAGCCTTTCATATGTTGTAGTGGCAAACAAACTTGTCTTTTTTCAGGAACAACAAGGAAAATTCATCAAGTTTGCTTGCAATCAAGAACGTTTACCAGGTCGTTGTTCTTGTCAGGACGGCGTGAGTGATGTACATGTACCACCTTATCCGATGAAGATTGGACCGCCGGATGGCAGAGGTAGGAAAAAACGAACGTTATGCTTGCTGTATTTCTGGAAGAGTTTGGAAGGTTAATGGACGCCTAGAATTATAGAGAGCATTGACCACACTACCATGGTTTTACGTATAACTATATGTAGAATACACAGTGCACATGCGCAAATTGAAGGGTATTCTATTCAAATTAGTTTGATTCCTACGTGTTTGTATAACGTCTTTCAAGGTCCACCTGATGCGAGATACATCCGCGTCGAGACATGCATGTTTATGGTGAAGTTGCCGCGTTACACAAGTGAAAATGTTATGAGAGAGAAACTGATGTATGCCATTAATTGCCGCGAAGATCCATTGACAGATTTCAGATGATTGGGATGGTTTGTTGACAAAATTTGATTATTTATTATTTTTAAAACATTTTAAACTACATGAGCGAATAAATATCTTAAAAGAGAAATTGTACAGAAAGACACAACATGTATATTTTAAATTTGTATATTTACACGTTTTTGAGATGATTGAAAACTCTTATTTTCTAATATAAAAATAATATTTGTGTCTATTTACAAATTAAAATAACTTTTACAGTATTTTCATGCCAACATAACAAATTCATTTGGATAAAAAAACGATCGTCTTCATAACTAAAGGGCCGCTGACAATACCCATTTCAGCATGAAAAAAATACAAATAATTAAATTCACTCAACACAACAAAGTTTCACTTAGTTGTGATGCTAAACCCAACAAATTCAACTCCATTGATCAAAACTAAACTAACACAAAGGTTAGTGTTCGTATGTGGACATTATTAACGTTTTCATCCAATGAATGACCATGCATTCAGATATAAAAAGTCAATGTATGAATAAAACGTATAATAGCTAACTAAACCAAATAAGCAACCGTGAAAGTTCAACATAATCATATAGCGTCACTTGTCAAAGCTTGTTCAGCAATGGCTTCTAACAAGATATCTACTTGATCTGAGTCCTCTTCGGGTGCAATGCTACTATCCTCAGGATTCTACAGAATAGAGAAGTAAGTACAGTCAGGTTGTAATGGAGTGTTGTAATCTTCACATTGTTCAATCAGTTTACAGTAAAGCTATATAACAGTATAACCTCACACACCTCGTTCAACGCTCGTATCAGTTTCGCCGCCGTTCGTCTTAGACCGGACAGCTTTGTCCTACATTCGGTTTCGCGTTTTGTGATCTCGACTATCTCTTTTTCTTTCTCAGCTATTTTCTCCGCCATTAATTTATTGCTTCTTTCATCCATCATCTAAAGAGACGTGTTTGCTAAATTATTACAGACCTGAATGTAAAGATTTCAAAAACAAACACCGGTAAGTCCAACTAAACAAAGATATTTTGTCAACTTCTCACCGCCTTCATGCTGTCGCTGTGAACATCAAACAGTTTATCCTATAAAAGTGAACGTAAGTATCATGTACTGCTACTACTTCTACATTCGTTTGTTACGTCTAAATTCAAGAATTCAAGGATTTACAGCGTGCAATTTTTATACACTAACAATGAAATACGTTAACTTCAAACAAAATTCTTGATTCTGTGTGTGTGTTTGTGTTTATACTCACTAAAGGAAAGTTCTGTAATGACTCTAACGACATGGCATCAAGTTGACGTCCAGTTGTCGGAAACTCGGGCACAAGGATATAAGATACACATGATCTAAAACAAAAAAAAAACAACGAACGAAATTTTACATTTCACATAGCAATTGGTGTGGTGATGTAGCTATGTTGCCACGAACACGGAAGCAACGTTACATACGACACAGGTTCATGTAAACAACATCATTCACTGATATGAACTCACCTTAACATTTTATCTAGAACGATAATCGTCTCTTTTAACGACGCATTTTCGTTTGCTGATGACGTTATGGTTGCCTCGCGTTGGGCACTCAAGGTAGCTGGAAGCGGCCCTTTTGGATTTGTTAATGTTGTAGGCTTCAGTTTGCCGCTGTCCTCAGATGTCGCGTACTCCTCCTGGACGAGAAAAGTGGACATTGGTATGTTATAAAGATTAGTAATAAAAATGAAACGAGAATTGTCACTTACAGAGAAAAGTTTGATGTCAGCGTCGCTTTCATCGTACCTGTCGTAATATTTGGAAATACTAGTTCAATGATAAATCATGGAGAGGAATTTTGAGGATGATTTCTTACCATTTGTCGTATTTATCTTTCTGATAACTGTCAAATTTCACCTTAACTTTCGCACTGGTTTCTTTACGATATTTGACAGCCACAACCTTTCCCTTGTACCTTGAGACATCAAAAACAAGGTGAATTATATACGCGCACAAAAAATCCAATCCTAACCCAACAAAAAAATAAACACGCCATAATTTTACCATTTTGGTGAGATGAAAACTTCAACAGCAGCACCTTTCTTATCTATAGGATAGAAGATGATATATGTGGATATACATGACACATGTTGACAATGGTTAGCGTGTTGAAATGTTGAAATAAATTATTCATACATACATTATACATTCAAACGATATTACGAGCACTGAACTGGCAATAATTAAACTCACATTTCGAGAGATTCGATGACGCAGTGGTACCGTCGCTTGTGGCCGTGTCACTGTTTTCATCTGGATCAACTTCTTTGGACTTTTCGTTCAACCCAACAAAAAAATGTGCGCATAGTTGAAACATGTTTGACGGAACCGAAATTATTCAAAACCGGAATAAACGATTCATTTTCATAATTACCTTTGGTGGTGGAGAGATTTCTTTTCTCATTCGCTTCGGCTGCACCTCGCAAATCTAAAAATTTAAAAAAATGGTGTGAGTTTGTCAAGAAATATTTCACCACACAGTTTCTCCACACGGTACTGCCTTGTTGTCACCAACCTCTCTCTCTGCCGTAGGATGTTCACGTTTATTGGATCCCAAGACGGATGATAAATTGTTTGATGTTTTGTTGTTTTCAACATTCGGTTGTCGTGCTATTGGAGTCTGAGAAACAAGGTAAAAATATACAACATCATGACATGTGAAACATGAGTTGTAATGTGTTTCTTGCAGGAAATTTTGTGCTTGTTTTTTTTTCTTCACAAAAATAAGGAAATGAGATCTTTGAAAACGCGAGTTTTGCAACCAGGCAACAATAGCTACATGCTAAATTACTGTGCTGCTCTAATGAAGATGCAAATTTTATTCTCTATCATAAAGGAAGCATACGATTGAAAAATCCCCAAAACAGCCAGAATTCTGCTCCATTAGAATTCAACTTTAAACACTCACGAGTTTAGCTGTAGGTTTATCGGACGTAGTTTTGGCATCCTTATAGGGAGGAGAGGCTCTAAGCCTGCCCACTGCCACGGAGACAGGTTTTACAGCCTTGGTTTGCTTCATAGTTGAAGAAGGTTTAGGGGCCATATAGGGGGTAGACCTTTTGGTTGTCGTAGGTGTTCGTTCTTTCTGTGCGTTACTATTTGTCTTTGAGGGGGCAGTGACTGTTTGTGATGTCCCTCTATTGGACGTGGGAATGGGTGAAGGTGTAGTCGTACTTCTGGGAGGCACCTGGAGAAACAATTCAAATTTCCTTAAAAAGTGAACAGCCTGCTACTCCTCCTTACGGCATAATAAAGGCTACCGTTTCTAGGCGAGATTAGTTCGTTAACCAACCTGAAGTACACGCTTCGTTGGCGCATCTGGTGTAGCTGTGTTTCTCACATCAAGCTGATTGAGTTTCTCTGTCTTTTTCTTTATATCGTCCATAAGTTCACGCTGTTTTTCCTCGGCTGTCTTCACTTGTTTTTTAAGACTACCCACGGGGATGATAGATTTAAGCTCAGGTGCAGTACATCTGGACGAAATGCAGTTATTAGCAGAGAGATATGCGCAGAGTTATTCAAATTTAAACATAAACTGGATGTATACACGGGTGATCTGATAGAAAATGTTTACTTCAAGAAACGCAGTATAAGAACTTTAGAAATTACTTGTTACGTTCAGGATCACTATTTAAAGCACACGTCCATTCATCATCGAATGTTCGTCCGATGTTCTTCGCAGAAAACGGCAGAGTTCGCCACTTGAGACATTTGACTGAGATAAAACAAACGTGTGGTGATGAATAAATGAAACGATATTGACCAATACAAAAATAACAGTAACTACAGTTACCACATTGTACGGTACAAGGCAGCTGCATGGCTCGTTTTCTTGCGTATTTAGGCTCATCCGACGGTTCTTCTTCAACATCGTTTGATATGTAACCAAATTGCTTCCAGAATCCATCAAGACTCCTTTCTAATAGTCAAAGGCGACAAGAACACACAATAGGTAAAACACCATGTTCTTTCACTTTCGCCAAGATTAGAACGTGTGTAGCTACCTGTAAATCCGCTATCTTTCCAATATTGTGCCAAGTGGTCGGCCATAGAACGGAGCAAATGTTTATACTCCTGAAATAGTAACGATACGAATTCCTTGAATATGTGTCTTGCTGTGAGATGAAGGTGACTTAAAAAGGAAGTCGTTGAATACCTTAGCATCAGCGAAGTCTTGTTTATTGTGAGTAGGTTCTAACACTAAATATGGAACGTCAACGAAGCCGACGATGCCAGCATATGTTCTAGAATATAAGAGATTTTAGTTTCAAACCACGCTGTTAAAGACATTACATTTGATCAAATCGCACCTCTTGCCATCGGATTGGAAGCCTGATTTCTCGTACATTTTAATCAATCTGAGAAAGAAAGCACATATTATGCAGAGGAAAGTATCGTGTACGATATCTTACTGAGAGGAAGGGCACAACCAACCTGTTGCAGTTATAAACAAACATGCCGTAGGAATGTCTGCGATTGATGTTGAAACCGAAGGTGAAAGTCAGCGTTTTAGGTTCGTTCAAAGATCTAAGTGTGAGGACATGCAGTGTTAATAAAAAAAGATGAAAGCCTCGTGAATGACACACTGTTTTGTCTAAAGCGCCTAATGTCCGTACTTTTTTTTGGTCATGGCAATATGATTCTTTATATCCGCTTCGGTTCTTGCTTTCAAAGCGTTGTCCTGGGCTTGCCTCAGTCGTGCCTGTAGTTATACTCATGGTCAATACATCATAGTAATCATGAAGAAAATCAAGAAAGTGAGTTTGTTCTTTTCTTACTCGAGACTCCTTGGAGAGTGTTTGTTCTTCAGCCTGAAGTTCCCTGCAAAATGATGTACGCAGTCGCTCAGCATCAGAAGAAATTCACAACAAACGCGTGATGAAAATTCAAATAGTAAATAAATTACTTAGCGATCGTCTCCAGTTCTCTGGCTTTGTCCGCAGCTAAACACACAGACAGGCATTAGCACGATAAACTTTGAACAGCCGTTTCTTTACGAAAAACATTAGCTGAAAATAAACTTTTACCAGACTTAGCAGCTACCATCGCCTTATTGGCTTCTCGTTCAGAACGTGTTTTGAATCGTTTCGATGAAAACAAGTAACTCCTACGAAGATACGAAATAATTTATGAAGAATCCACTGAAGTACAGCTCTCGCTTTTATGATAATATCCATGTGCAGACGACTACCTTGGTTTGAATAAATTGTCACCAAGTCTTTTCGTGAGTACTTTCTTGTTCTAAAACCACCACATCTTGCATTCAATTTTCTGTTTTCAAAGTTTCCTTTTCAAATTTATCTACTTACCTGAATGTAGATTTTCATTCTTGGATCGAGATACAGAATTGAGCTATAGGCCCGGAACGATTTACGTTCTGGCATCACACTATTGGAAAGATCAATCAAGGGACTTTACAACAGCTACAACTGTATTACTTTTTTTATAATAGGTTTCCAACGCGTTCGTTTTATTCTTCTGATTCTTATTTGTTATTACCTTTTATCATCATAATGCTCTTCGTGTAACTCGCGCATCACAAAATCATCATCACAGACCTTGGAAAGACAAAACACGACTCGTTTAGCTGTATTTTCCTCTTCCAACTCGTGGAACAAAGGAGCAAAGACAATTACTGAGAAGCTTCAGCCGCTCGTCTTTTAAATACCTCCAATTCTGTCTCGCCAGAATCCAACAATTTCAAATTATACACCATTATCATAGTCCCTATTTACATTTACATAAAAGTGTGTTGACTAGTGACGCTCAATGTAAACCCACAGTATAACATGAAATCATATCGAACCTTTTGTTTTAATTTTGTCAAAATAATCGAGCAAATCTTTCTCTGTCTTGAAAGGTGAGTACTTCAGTATTATACTCAGCTCAATTTCATGCTGAAAGCGCAAGAAAATATGAAAATTTATGACATTTGTTCCAAGTAAATTCCGTGCCCATTTTTCATATTTTGTCGACATACTTTTTCAAGTTCTCGTTTTGTTCTTCCAAGCGGTTTTTTGGTTGCAACATCCCACGAAGGAATTGGTACGACGACCTAATGACAAGTATTAAGCATCAAATTCATTCCTTGGAGTTGAACGATGAAAAGAAAATTTGTTTTGAAGGCTTCTACTGCAAATGCAGTTTTCCTGAAACATTAGGGTGGGGTTTTAAACTTGCGTTTCCGGCCTAAGATCTTTTGTTGTTTCGTTTGCCATACTTTGAAGCAACTTGTTATGAAGAATTGCAACCATGTTGCTAAAGACCTTGTAAGAATGCTGAAGGATGTCAATACTTCTCCAAATTTAAAGATCAACGTTTGTCTTTTTATGCAGATAACTTACTTCACTAATTCCTTCTCGTTCGTGAAAGGTGCGTGACAGAAACAGACAACTCATCGTACCATGCCTGTAGAAGACACTTGTGGTTCATCAAATAAACATCAACCAAGTACATTGAAACCTGAGCCAATAGCTCATATCCTATAGGATTATTGCTGTGTACACAAGCATTTTGTTCATACTTGCCTATATTTATCAGTTTAATAATGAGCATTGAGATAGAAATACCTGAAGTGTTGGATCGTAATGAAAATCGCTCGAGAAAGTATCAGAAGAAAAGGTGGGTAAAAGGAGGTTATTTCCTTCACGGTAGCAGCCACTGACCATGCTTACTATGTTGTGTTACCACCAACAATTTCATTAATAATTATTTCGTTGTTTATCAAAGTATTTTAATTTAGTTGAACTCGTGAACTCTCTATCCATTTTATAATGAAAATATAACAAACGTTATGAAGTGAACGTCGTGAACGTCATGAAGTGAACGTTATGAAGTGAACGTCATGAAGTGAACGTTATGAAGTGAACGTCATGAAGTGAACGTCATGAAGTGAACGTCATGAAGTGAAGGTTATGAAGTGAACGTTAAGAAATGAACGTCATGAATCGACTGCACATTAAGTTGACAAAGTATTTATCAACAACATTTTAGGGTGTTTTAGATACAAATTTAAAACAATACTGCTTGTAAGAGGTAGTTAGCGAAGTAGGCTTTGCAGTACAAGCTTTTAACAACAATATACATTTCTCGACGAATTATAAGAAATAGGTCAAACTTTTATTGTTTGATAAAATCAATCATTAGTAACACATGATAAAATTTAAAGCTACACTTAACATCATATGGTATTAGAAACTGACAAACAGATTCGCCATTCTGGACTTACCTGTTCAGAGAAGAAAAAAGATAAATATTGTATAGACTTGAAATTACTAAGAAAAATAAATTTCCTTCAGATATCGCAAAATTTTTTATAGTTTGCCTTCCATGGTCAGTGTCCCATGGCCAACTTTTTTTGGACGTTTTTGATGATGCGTGTTAAGCACCCAGGTATTTCTATCTCGATGGAACCGACCAATTTTTATGAATATTTTGCCACTTACTTTTTGGTAAAAAGGATCATGTCTTTTCCAATACGCATCGAGCCTCTGTAGAAACATAAGATGGCTTTTTTAGCTTGTTTGAAGCAGGTTACTTGCTGGTAAATTAAAAAACCCGACGCGGGCTCGTGAGATACTACTTACGATTTCAGACCATTTCCATATTGCCCGATCATTTTAGAATCCATTACTCGTTTCGTGGATCTTCCAAACTGGATAACGTTGGCGACTTCCGCTATAAAAATAAGGCATCAGTTGACGAACCTTATCGTCTAAATGGGCCTGTTAATCGCACTTGGATGAGGTAACCTACTTGGATCCATGCCACTTCCATCATCACAGAAACACAGAAGATGTTTTCCAAGAACGTCGTTATTAGGCACTGGAAAAGATTTAAGCTTCGTTTTAGAGGACTCTCCACGTTTCTCACTTCCCATAGTGAAAAAATTCTTTGCAAAAGAACAATTTAGTTTGAGAAATTATGTGCAAATAGTAAAAAAAGGGGGACTCAAGGAATCCTATTTCATAATGTAATTTTGACGCATTGCTCTCATGTCGACGGTGGTCTTAGCATATAGCTACGTTGCAAATGGAATTCTTTTCAGATTTCTGTGTCTTGGTTGTCCTCTTTATATTACAGGAAATATAATTTCACCCAAGTGAAAATCTCTTCAACATTACCCTTGACGCAATTAATGTTTTTGATATCAGCCATGTTGGAGGTTTTATACAAAACAAAATTTTGTCGATACTATTGTGGTGGGCGTGGGCAAACGCTATAGTTTGATAAATACCAACAGTTTGGTTGCAAGACAAGAATGTCGTCCAGCCATTTCCAGTTGCGTGTTGGATAAGATTTCATTTATCAATATGTGAAATTGTTTGGCACATTTCATCTTTTGGTTTTTCATTTTATCGAGTTCAACAATGTAATTTACTTGGGAATTGATGGCCAATTTGATTCAATACCTTCCAAGGCTATTCGCATTTGCATGTTGGCTATATTTTGTTTTGTTCTTTTGTTAACTCATCTTCCAACCGGCATCTTTCTTCTTAGGTTATCGACGTCAACGATATAGTTCAACTGAAAATCGATGGTCGCCTGCAAAAGAATTTGTGACTTTCCGTTGCAGTAGCTAAATTCGCAACTGCACGCGATGTAAAATTTGCTTTATTGTGAACTGTTATTTTACATGGCATCTTTGGCTTTTCAGTTTGTATAATGCTTAAACTTCCATTATATTTTTCACGAATTTACTGAATACCATTTCCTTATTCTGTTGAAATCAACAAAATAATTCAATTGCGCATCAATGGCTATCCACATCCTTAAATGAATGGCTCCAAACGATTTTCCGTTATAACATTTGTTTATCATTTTTTGAACTTCTGCTTGATATGGCATCTTTTTGATTTCAGTTTGTATAATGCATAAACTTGCATTATATTTTTAAGAAATTACTGAATACTCTTTCCTTATTCTATTGCAATCAACAAAATAATTCAATTGCGCATCGATGGCTATCCACATCCTTAAACTGAATGGCTCCAAACCATTTTCCGTTATAACATTTGTTTATCATTTTTTGAACTTCTGCTTGATATGGCATCTTTTTGATTTCAGTTTATAATGCATAAACTTGCATTATATTTTTACGAAATTACTGAATACTCTTTCCTTATTCTATTGCAATCAACAAAATAATTCAATTGCACATCAATGGCTATCCACATCCTTAAACTGAATGGCTCCAAACCATTTTCCGTTATAACATTTGTTTATCATTTTATGAACTTCTGCTTCACATGGCATCTTTTTGATTTTTATTGAATTCAACTATATTTAATGGAGAATTGATGGTAGTCCAATAACTTTCTCCTTCAATTACATAAGTTGCAACGCCAAATCTTTTTCTGTGAAGGTTTATCTAAAAGGACGCCTGATTTGCTGTCTGATTGTCATTTCCTGACACAACCACCACCAAGTGATACATTGGGATAAAAATGCATGTTAATGCAATATGTTTTAACCACGATACCATCATTCTTGAGAATTTTGCTTTACAGAGGCCATAACAAACTCCATAAACATAGAGCGTCCTTCACTCGTGAGCACGAAGCCTCGGCTTCTTATTTGCTCGTCCACGCCTTCAGCTATCCTTCATCTTTAAATATCTTTTAGATATTATCTTTTCCCAGAGTAAAATCCAAGCCGCCTTGGCGACGATTCTCTCCGCGTGAAATCTTCAATGAATTTTTTGTCCTTCCCCAGAACTGCATTCTGCCTGCATCGTGTTTTTATCATCCATTTAAGCAGCATCTTATCCTCTAGCCTTGTGTCTTCAACAAATACAGAGAAATGCCTTGATTTTGAGAAATTCGATTACTCCTTTTAGTTTCGAAGCATCGCCAACCAAAACGTGCTGCTTCAGTTGTTTATTTTTCACCCAAATAATGGCATGACGGCTATCTGGGGTCACTTTTGGTATGCCTCCAGATGTTTGTAATTGCCTTATCGTAATATTTCACATGGAATACAACGACATATCTTTCTCTTCGTTTGCATTTAATGGACAATTTACGATCTCCGACTCGTCACGGATCATGTTTCATTGATTCACGTTGTTGCTAAAAATCCATTTAAAGGTATACCAAACCACAGTTGTCAATGTTTTAGGCGATAGCTGACAAATTTTTGAACAATTCTCGTTGTGAATCTTTTTCACTTGGGCTGTTTCAATAAATATTTGTTATAATACATTCGACGTTTTAAATGCATAAATTTGAAATATTTCCTGTCCTTTGAAATGCAATGGCACCCAACTGACATCAAAAATAGTTGTAAATATGTGCTTAGCAAAGCAGATTTTCTTCACACAGCAGATTTTCACCGCACAGGAGATTTTCACCACACATGGCGTATTTACGATTCTATTCTATAAAGCATGCGTTTTATTACATAAAACTGACGACTAATATGATATTTACCAGAAAATATGTCCATTTTCGTGGCGCCTGCGTCCCTGTACAAGTAAACAAAGAATGTTTATGTTTAAATAAAAATATTGATTACGTGTTATTTTTCTTTTTTCCATACACCATGGCACAAAATTTAATTTCGTGTTCTCTGATATTCGGTCTTTTATCGAAAGGGGCTCATTTATTACCCATTTATTAGATCTTCTTTTGAACATAATCCAAATACATTACCGTGCGTTGTCAACAAGTTCTGCAAGCGCCCCAAACAAGAATTCATGAGTGGTACTACAGAGGGAAATAAGTTAGATCAAGTAGCTTCAGGGATTAATATAACTTCTGACGATTTAAAATGATTTTGTAATTATCGATAATCGATATGGTTGGAGTCAAGTTATGTAATTTCTACCAGAGCATTGGCCTCACAAGAATCATCAATCTGAACTTAGTAAAAACACAGGCATGTAACAATATTCGTTTAGAGAAATGCTGTAATTGTACGTCAAAGACATCACATGAAATCCACGAGGAAGTTTTATTTTGATGCTACCTAATTTTGTACCATATTTATGCTAAAAATCGCGTCTCTACGAAAAGAAGGAAAAAAGGAGGATAGATGACAAATGCTCAATTCAAGGTCTGTTGGACAACAAGATGAACACATGGCTTCGTCCTGCAAAATGCTGAAGGAACTCGCTATTTGTCTTCGTGTATAGACTGAATTACCTGTTCGTATGAAGATATTCGACTGTTAACTGTGCTCGACTTAAAGTTGAATAGGAACTTGACTGTTGAGCCATTTCACTTCTATCTCTGACAAGCCGAAAGAATACAATGTCTATTCTCATCCATAACATTTAAATGATCAACGTGCGAAGGAAACCGTCCAAAGTCTCATCACACAATGCTCTGAGAACCTTGTCACCGTTGCACCTACCTTGTTTTCGTTATGTTTAAGAAGATAAATTTAAATTTCCTTTTAAACGAGCTTCTATACTTCTCGCCACCACAACGTTTACCTAACGCACAACGGCAATGCTGACTAACCTTCTCGCCGCTTCTCGACCTATCATGCCATGTATCACGCGGCCCTACCATAAATGGTAAAACAAAACACGTTCTACGTGTCCATTCCGTTTCATTGGTCGCTCGATAAATATGCAAGTCATCTATGACGCACGTCCTCAGTTACGCAAGATTGATACAAATTGTTTTCAATGTATCAATCGCGTAGCACACACAAGAAGCAAAGCACCACATGACCAAAGCAAAGTAAAAACAGTTAGGAAAATGTCATGGCAGATGGTGAGACTTCAACGCATTTTTCAACATTAATTTTTTAATGTTTTTTTGTTGCTTAGCATATAATAAGACTTCACATATTGTCACCAGATATATACAGAAATCTACTTGTTGTGGTGTGTGATATAAATCCTGTATGGTGGGGACTTCAGGCCAGGATCTTACAAGAAAATCAGCCTGCAAACTTGCCAAATGTAAGTTTTACATTGGTTCTTTTCAACGAGGGAAAATATTAATCGAAAATAATAGATAAAATGCCAAAAAATAATATTTGTTAATGAGTGCAAAGTAAAGTATTAAGGTCCCATCTCGCAGGTAAACAGAAGAATGGACAACAATAGCCAAAAGTATTGCTGATTAGGTATAATCTAGACGAAAAGTGGCATAGCCAGCTTAATAATTGGAGGGGAATGTGTGGCATGTTCTGCCATCTTAAGCTCTCTTGAAGTCAATTGTTTTCTGTGGATTTCATCATGCATGTATGAATATCCCCAACAAAATATTGAGGCTAGCTATACCACTGTAACTGAACCAAAAAGTTTAGTATAAGGTACAATGCAGGTGGTTTTTAAGTCAGTAGATAGTAGTTGCTGTTTTTGACAGAAGTAATTGAAGGATATTAAAAGAGTCTGGACTAAGTCTTCCACTATCATGATCTGCATCAGTTGCAGATTACTCAGTAGGCTAAATAGGCTGAAGCATACAGGCCAAGGCTTTTGAAAGGGCCATTGTATCTAGATATAATTAGTGTTTAGTTTTTGCCATTCAGGACTGGTTAAATGTTCTTAATTTAGACCATTTATGCTGTTACAAACCATATGATCTACTTTTCAAATGCATGATACTCAGAACTCATGAAGTAGTGAGTTTTCGCAGTGACAACTTTAAATTTACTCCTTATTGTTGATACTATACAAAAACAAGCTGGGAAATGCCAAGGTGTGTCAGGAATGCAAATGTTATAAAGAGACTTTGTGGGAGAAATGGATATTCGACTTTAAGTCCAACAACTTTGTTTTAGCTCACAGGCCCCGTAATTAGTAATCTGCCAATGCTCTGCATGAGATGAACTTGTAAACCAAAAGGATAATTTGCATTCACAGGAAAATGAAAAACAATGCAAATACTTTAATTTAACCATTAGAATTATGGAATATTGTTTATTTGGTATTTCGACAGTTTTTGCCCAATTTTGTGGACTTTTGCTCTTTGAACTCTATTAAATATTAACCTTATTTTTTACAACCAAGCATACTGTGTGATTGTACATACAATTTTTTTACAAAATTTGGTGTGATGAGCTAAGACTCCCCCCCTGCATTTTATATTTGTAGAATTCAGATTAAGGGGGGATTGTTTAAGCTCATCCCACCAAATATAAGGTCACACTTTACACAAGGCATCAGAGCACACCTTGTTGTTTTATTTGTGTAACGAGTCTACCTTGTGGACAATACTAGAAACATTAATCCAACATCCAAAAATTTTTTTGATAAAGATAATATTTTAGGAGCCTGTTGTGCCACCATTAAACGCGTTTTTGAACAATGTACTGGTATTCTGTAATGCTCATCTCATGATGAAACACACAAATGAACTGGCAATACTTGGTGCCACTTGTACCAAAAGGTGACAAAACAATAACAATTCTTATCATTAATAAAAATAGCTATGTAAATCAAGTGATACTTTAACTGTCTTCTTCATAGTCAATTTATCTATCCGAGTAATGAAGAGAATGACAATGATAGCATTAAGAACAAAGATGGAAAGTATGAACACTTTTCATCCATGAACAATATAGTTGTTAAAAGAATTAGAGAAGTAATGAAAAATGAAATCAACAATGATGGTAAGATATGTGTGCAGTGTTCCCATAAGTAATAGATGATTTGTAGTTGTCTGTTATCAATTAGAATATATTGCTGTATGTCCTTTGACCATTCTTAAACACTCAATGTTTGGTGGCTGCATTTATTTAAGTAAAAACGTTGTTTTATGGTCCATCCAATGTGCACTGCATTATAGGTAGCGATGTTAATCAAAATACTGCCTCGCTCTTGTCAGGAGCGCTTTCAATGGCTCTTTGTTGTATCCTTATTACTCTAATGGATCAAAGTTGAACATAAACTTAATGCAGTTGATTTAAATCTTAAACTTCTTTACCAATATGTTAGATATAAAGCAAGCCGAGCGTGATTGCCCTCGTAAGATGTTTTTTTTGTCTTTTTCCTACATTTCGTTGAATTCTTTTGCCTTCTTTGTTGATTTTTGTTGTTTTCTAGTTGGACAGTGCGTTAAATCAAGATTATTAGTAAGGAAATTAAATGAATCAAACTCAAAGGATTGCCACTTTTGGGGAACTTTTATTATTTTAGATCCTGAAAGGAACGAAAGACGTGTCCACACAGTACATGGCCACAATGAATTGCATATTTGCAGCGCAAAAAAATGTACGTTCTATGTATTTACGTTCAGAATGTCTTTACTTTGCAAAATCCTTTGATATTGTGTTTATCTTTTCCTTTGATTGTGTCCACAGAATATAGTTATGGATTCTTGTCTCCTAAAGTCGGATTCCGGATTCCTTCAACAAGTAGGAGTGAAGACTAAATGAATATTCAGAACTTCAAGTTTTTTAATGTAGCTTGTTGTTTTTTCAAGGCATCAGACATTACGGGTGGCATGTATTTAAAAGTTGAAAAGATGGAGTCGCTACTACAATATTTATTGGTATCGTGTACATTTTCCCCCTTTTCCCTCTGTTGTGAAGGATTAACTACGCATTGACCTGAAGTTAGGCTTTAATCAACCTTAAACATAACCTAATTAACAAACTTGGCGGCTGCCAAGACAGAAGACCGCTGACAATGATAATAACTGACTCATAAGCTACAGCAACCCCAAAACCATATAAAATGTACATAGAAGCGAATGCGGTTATCACGACATTCACCCTGTCCTTTAAAGATTAAGTCTATCAACTGGGTGCCTGATTCGCTCAGAGCGCCGCACAGGGGTGTGTTCAGATGTAGTAGGTATGCTAGCTTGATTGGTAGCTGTTGGTACTTCTTGTTGCCCAGGAGAATTTGCAGCTGTAGTTTCTGGCGCATGATCGTGAGGCTGAATTTGAACTTCAGTTGTAGATGGAGGTTTGGGTGCAAGATGCTTCGTTGACACAGTTGTCTGCCTACCATCAGGATAACGTACAAAGGCATAGTGAGGGTTTGCCTGGAGTAGCTCCACCTCGTCGACTAACGGATCAGTTTTATTTGTGCAAACATGACGCTTGAGGAGTACAGCACCTGGTTCTGTCGTCCAAGTAGGAATCGATGCACCCGAAGAAGATCGTCTAGGAAACTTGAAGAAGCGCTCGTGAGGTGTCTCATTTGTAGCCGTACAGAGTAAGGAGCGAATGGAATGGAGGGCGTCAGGTAGAATAATCTGCCAATACTTAATATGTAGATTCTTGGATTTCAAGGACGTTTCAACAGCTTTCCATACAATACCGTTATATTTTTCAACCTGACCATTTCCTGCAGGGTTGTAGCTTGTTGTTCGACTTGTGGCGATCCCTTTTCCTCTTAGGAATGCTTGCAGCTCATGGCTCATGAACGATGCACCACGGTCTGAATGAACAAATGCTGGCATGCCAAACAGGGAGAATAGAGTAGTTAAGCATTTTATCACTGTAGATGTTGATATATCTGAGCATGGAAACACGAATGGGAACCTGGAGTATTCATCAACTATGTTCAGGAAAAACTTGTTTCCGTTGTTGCTTGGCAATGGACCCTTGAAATCGATATTGATTCTTTCGAAGGGTTGAGTCGCTTTAATAAGTGGGACTTCCTCTGGCTTGTGATATCGAGGCTTAGATTCAGCGCATATTTGACATTGGTTTGTGACACGCTTTACCTCATCCAATGAATAAGGTAAGTTCTTGCTACGAATAAAGTGGTTAAGCCAGGTAACACCAGGGTGGCAGAGTGCCTCGTGGAGGTTATACAGGGAATCTTGAGGTGCAGAAGCACAGGTCGCTCTGGAGAGTGCATCAGGGAGTACATTCTCCTTTCCTGGGCGGTATACAATGTCAAAGCTGGTAACATGCTAGTTCAAGCCTCCAACGCATGATTTTGTCGTTCTTGTATGATACAGACTTTTCGTCGGTTCTCAGAATGAAGTGTCGCCCTGTCAGGAAATGCCTCCAATGAAGGCCTCAATGACTCAATGATAGCTTGTGCTTCTTTTTCTATGGCAGCATTCTTCAGTTCGCTTCCTTGTAGTGAGCGATAGAAGAAAGCGACAGGCCTGCCCTCTTGGCTGAGTGTGGCTGCTAGTGCTACATCAGATGCGTCAGTTTCGACTTCAAATGGTATAGTTTCATCAAAAGCAGTAACAAAGGCTCCTTCTACAGTTTTCTTCAAGTTGTCAAATGTATTGACAGGTTCAGGTGACAGAGGGAATGACTTTGAGCTTGTTAGTGGCTTAATGCGGTTGGAGAACTCTGGGATCCACTGAGAGTAGTAAGAGAACAGATCAAGGCACCTGTTGAGTGACTTAGAATCGTGAGTCACAGGTAGGTTGCGCAGAGGGCTTAGCCTTTCTGGGTCTGGACGAATAACGCCTTCTTCAATTACATATCCAAGAATAGCAAGTTTCCGAGTTGAGAAGACACTCTTTGAGTCGTTGTAACAGATGTTCTTCCTCTTTGCTGCAGCAAGAAATTGCTCAAGGTTTGCATCATGTTCTTTTTTGGTCTTTACCGCAGATAGTGATGTTATCCAAGTATGGAAAAACTGCATTGAGATTGTTCTGTTCAACAAACTTTACCATCTCACATTGAAAACAGGCAACCCCATTTGTCACACCAAATGGGAGGCGTGTAAACTGATAGAGATTGTTGCGTGCTTCGAAGGCTGTGTATTGCTTATCTTCCTCTTTGAGGGGAACCTGATGGTGCGCACTTTGTAGATCAATTGTGCTGAAGACTCGATACTGTGCAATGTCATTTACCAAGTCATTTATCCTTGGTAGCGGGAAGGCGTCTAGTTAAGTAAAGCGATTAATAGTTTGGGAGTAGTCGATAGCAAGTCTCTTTTTGTGATTATCATCCTTGGTCACAACGAATTTCGCTCTCCAAGTGGAGTTGCTTGGTTCTATGATCCCTTCTTTTAGCAGCCTTTCAACCTCTCCATCAATGAACTTTAAATCATCCTTACTGTAGCGACGAGATTTGCTTGCAATTGGACGACAGTTCTCAGTTAGGTTAGCAAATGGCTCAGCTGGGTCCATGTTGGGGGTACTAAAACCACAGACAGACAGTGGCGGTTGGCTACCCCATACTGAAATGTAATGCTCTCATGCTGTAACTGGAAGTCCAGGCCGAGTATGAGATCGGCGCAGAGTCCAGGAAGGATTGAAAAGCGAAGGTTGGTGTATTTCTGGTCCTGGTATTCAAGTACCCGTAACATTAGCTGACAAGGTAGTGGAAGCCATGGAAACAGTTCCACTAGCTGGTTGCACAGTCAGCCCAGCCCTTTCAACTAGATTTGGGTGTATGAAACTCTCAGTGCTGCCACTGTCAAACAATGCCTTTACTTTCAATCTTCCTAAGCTGACGTTTGCCATTGACTTTGATAGAGACCCAGGACATGAAGTGGTGGCTAAAACAGGGGAGTGTATGGATGCTGATACCTTTAAGGTAGCTTTACTTTGACAAACCTTGGCGTAGTGACCTTTTTTCTGACACTTTGCACATATAGCTTCCTTTGCAGGACATTTAGATCGTGGGTGCCCATTGTTGCCACAGAAATAGCAGCTGGAAGTTGTTTCGACTGCAGCAGCAAGAGTATTCTCTTGGCCCTCTCCAGACCTTGAAGACTCAGCAGGAACAGCAGCATTGATGAGTGTATTTGGAGTTGAATACGACTCAGAAGTCTTCATGGCTGACTTAAGAGATCTAGCCTGATCGAACATAGTTTTTAAGTCGAGTGTCTTGTTTTCCAAAAGTCTTTGGCGTATAACATTTGACTGTAATCCAGCAATAAATGCATTTCTAATGCTCTCTTCACAGTATTGTACAGCTGTGACGTTCTTGAAGTTACAATCTTTGCTTAGTGCCTTCAGGGCTTGTAAATATTCGTCTAGTGTTTCTGTTGGAGCTTGTTTCCTAGTAGCTAAAAGAAGGCGAGCAAAAACTTCGTTTTTCGGTTTGATAAAGTGATTCTGAAGTGTTTCAATCGATGTCTTATAATCTTCACAATCTTCTATGTGTTGAAAGATGCTTGGGGAGACGAAATTGGATAATACTGCAAGTTTATCCAAACCTTCTTTTGGCAAAACGGCCATGAAGTTTTCAAACGTACGTTTCCAATGAAGCCATTCTTTTGTCGCTGTTCCACTGTTTGGGTCGGTTTCTAGCCGCTCTGGCCGTAAGACTTTATCCATTTCCTCTTGAAATTATTGTTGATTAAATTGTTGTGAACTCCTCCCAGGTGTTTGGGTCTATGTTGCAGCTCTTGATGTTGGCTTTAAGGGTGTCTTTGTATCTCTTCAGCGGTCTTCCTTGGACACGGCTTCCGTCTTGTAGTTGACCATACAGCAGCATCTTTGGGATTCTGCTGTCATCCATCCTTACGACATGGCCTGTCCATCGGAGTCGAGCTTTGATGATCAAGCTCACAATGCTGGGGAGTCCACACCTTTCAAGGACTTCAAGATTGGACACTTTGTTCTGCCACTTGATGCGGAGGATTTTTCTCAGGCAGCGCTGGTGGAACTGTTCCAGCTGTTGTATGTGCCTGTGATAAGTGGTCCAGGTTTCACAGCAGTACAGCAGAACACTCAGGACCACAGCCCTGTAAACAGCAATTTTGGTGACGATCTTGATGCCGTGTTCCTGCCAGAGTCTTCTCTTTAGTCTGCCGAAAGCAGCACTGGCCTTTGCAATACGCAGCGTTACCTCTGCGTCCAGGGAACTATTGTTGCTGATGGTGCTGCCAAGGTAGCAGAACTTGTCAACAGTCTTGATGTTGGTGTAGTTAATGATGACAGGAGGTGGTGGTGAGGTGTCACGAGTCTGGGATGGTGGAAGCTGGACCAGGGTCTCAGTCTTGCCCAGGCTGATGGTCAGCCTAAAGCGATCACATGCAGTTTCGAAGCGGTCTGTTATGCACTGGATGTCTTCATGAGAGTTGGCGGCTAGTGCACAGTCATCTGCGAAGAGAAATTCACGCAGGAGTGCCTCGTAGACTTTGGTCTTGGCCTTAAGTCTTCTGAGATTGAAGAGCTTTCCATCAGTACGGAACTGAATGTACACCCCTTTGTCGAAGTCACGGAAGGCGTCGAGCAGCATCGCTGCGAGCAGGATGGAAAAGAGAGAGGGGGCAAGAACACAACCTTGCTTCACACCGTTCTTCACAGGAAATGGGTCTGATGTCTCCCCACTTTCCTGGACTCTTGCCTGCATGCCATCGTGAAAGGAGGCTACCAGAGAGACTAGCTTCTTTGGACACCCAAATTTTCCCAGGATCCTCCAAAGGCCTTCCCGATTAACGGTGTCGAATGCCTTAGTTATGTCTACTAAGACCATGTGGAGTTCCTTGTTTTGCTCGCGGCACTTTTCCTGAAACTGGCGAATAGCGAAAACCACACTGAGATTCAGGGACGATGGCCTCGGCAACATTTGTGATTAGCCTGTTGAGGACTACTCGGGCCAAAACCTTGCCTGCGATGTAGATGAGGGATATGCCTCGATGGTTGTCACATGAGGTCTTATCGCATTTCCTCTTAGATGTGCACGACGGCAGCATCTTTGAAGTCCTGGGGGACCTTGGCAACTTTCTAAACCTCCTGGAACAGGGATGTCAGTTTGTCCAGGAGTGCCTGGCCTCCGTTCTTGTAAACGTCAGCTGGAATGCCATCAGCCCCAGGAGCCTTTCCAGACCTTGTCTGCTGGAGGGCTTTCGCAACCTCGTCTCTGGTGGGTGGGTCGGCAATTTCCTCTTTGATTGGCAGCTGGGGGAGGGACTCAATGGCTTCTTCGTTCATCTGTGACTCTCTATTCAGCAGTTTGTTGAAGTGTTCAGCCCAGCGTGAAAGTATGTCAGCTTTGTCTGTTAGCAGTGTCGTTCGGTCTGCAGACCTGATGGGGGTAGAGCCTGACGATTTTGGACTGTACACCGCGCGAAGCCCATCGTGGAGCTTTTTTGAGTCGTGAGCATCAGCTGCCACTTGGATTTCTTCGGTTTTCTTTTCCCACCAGGCGTTCTTCATTTCCCGCAGCTTGTGTTGCACATGATGCCTCACTTGCTGGTAGTCTTGCTTCTTCTCGCAAGCTTTGTCTCCTATAAGGTCGCTGTGAGCCTTATGGAGCCTGTCAATAAGCCTGTTGATCTCAGCGTCATTCTCGTCAAAGCAGTCTCGATGTTTTCGCTCAACGTATCCGAGGACACTCGCTGCAGAGTTGTAGACGGCTTCTTTGAAAGTGCTCCAGTCTTCCTCTATATCCTCGCCCGTGATGTAAATGTTTCCCAGGGCTACCTCTAGCTTCTCTTGCAGCTTTTCTTTGTTGGGTGGATTGCGAGCTACATTCAACTTCCTCGGTGGCTTCTCTCTTGCTGATTTGTTCTTTCTGGCGAGCTGGATGTTCATCTTGCTCCGTAGCAGGCGGTGATCAGACCAATAGTCGGCACCACGCATGCAGCGTGTGATGTGCACGTCTCTGCGGTCCCTCTGGCGGACGATTACGTAGTCCAGCATGTGCCACTGTTTGGAGCGAGGGTGCATGCATGTGTTCTTCAGCTTGTCAGCTTTTTGAAAGAGAGTGTTAGTGATGGTTAGCTCGTGCTGTGCGCACAGAGATAGTAGCATCAGGCAATTGGAGTTGCACTTGCCAGTTCCATGGCGACCCAGGATGTTTGGCCAGATGGTGTAGTCTACTCCAACTCGTGCGTTAAAGTCTCCAAGGATGATGAGTTTGTCTCTGCGGTCAACACTGGAGAGTAGCTGGTTGAGCTCTTCGTAGAAGGCTTCCTTCACTTCATCTGGGTTTGTCATTGTAGGGGCGTAGGCGCTGACAATTGTTGCGTTGCAGTCCTTCTGGAGTTTCAGCCGCAGGGTCATGAGGCGATCGCTGATGCCATGTGGCAATCTGACTAGTCGCCTTGCGAGCTGAGTGCGTATGGCAAATCCCACGCCTGAGTGTCTTGGGTGCGTTTTCCGGTATCCCAATGCAGTAGAAGGTGTAGCCACCACCGACCTCTTCCAGTTGAGTTTCATCTGCAAGTCTGGTCTCACTCAATGCGGCTATGTCCACCTGGTATTGTCCAAGCAACCTTGCTATTAGAGCAGTGCGTCGCTCTGGTCTGTCTCCCCTGTCCAACAGCGTTCTCACGTTCCATGCCCCAATGGTTAAGCGCTTTCTTGTTTTGTTATCCTTAGTTGTACGACCGCTTAGTTGGATGCCCAGGCAGGTGCAGTTCCTGCCAGGTGCAAGTATCAACAATAAACATAACCTAATTAACAAACATGGCGGCTGCCAAGACAGAAGACCGCTGACAATGATAATAACTGACTCATAAGCCACAGACCCCAAAGCCATATAAAATGTACATAGAAGCGAATGCGGTTATCACGACACCCTCAATCCTTTGAATCTGTATATGTCCGTAGTTATAACTTAAATAAAGTTGTGGTTGCAATAGCGAGTCTTAGAAATGTTAAAGAAACTCGTAACTGCATGGTGCATTTCGGTAAATTTCTCTGTTGCTGCACGTCTTCTATAGAGAAAACACGAAAGTATTTATAATGAATGATTAAGAATGTTGCATCTCAAGGAACAACTGTCTTTCAAAACGTAGATTACTTAAATGCGAACTTCTTTCATCCGATCTAAATACAAACTTCTTTCATCCGATCTATTAATTATTATTACGTAAGGTAAAAACAATGCGGCACATAGTTTTGTTGTATAGAAGCCAAAAACAGTATAAAAATACCGAAGTATCTCATTTTTATATTGTTATTGGCTTCTACATATCATAATTATTTTGAAATCAGACTTTCTCTCTCCTGTTGCTGTTGTCGTTCTTACTCGTTGACTCAATTCTATAGTGGATTTTCCTACCCAACCCCAGTACAAGGGAGAGCTTAAACATGCCACGTGCCATAGAAATCGACTACAGAGCAGCTTGCTTTTGTCACAGAACATTGGTGGACATTGGCTTCGTGTGCTCTGTTTGTCTTTCAAGTTAGTTGAAAATGACATCTTCATTATAAATCTTAAGCTGTCGTGTTTCATCTAATATGTCTTCTTTTATTTTAGTTTACTGTCAATTGATACCACGATGTCGTACTTGTCAGTATGTTTCTACCATAGATTTGTTTCTTTCATGGTGTTTTTGATGCATTATACATGATTGAACTTGTACTTAGTGTACATGTTACTTTCAAATATCAAACTGTTTGTGTTTCTAGAACAAGATTCAAACTTCCAATGGCTACACTAGCCCGACCCAAAAAAAGGAAAAATTAGGAGCATTCCTCGACTATGGATTAAAAAAGCATGACATATACATATGTATACAAACGTCAAATTCAGCACGTTGGAGTTTTTATATCATAAGGAAGGCACTCTTCGACGAAGCACCAGATTTAATAGATTGTGAGATTCAAACGATATGAATGACAAACAACAAAAATTGTGAAACAGAAATTAAACCTAGATCTTTGTGTTTTAATTTTCATCGTTCTTCTCTTGCGTTGTCTATTTTTATTTTTAAATATCTTCTCATTTTTATTTTTAAATTTCTTTTTAATGTTTTTTTGGTTCTTTCGTATCATTTATTCATTTTCACAAATATTTTTTCTTGTAGCAGATCAATGGTTTCTTTGTCGTTAAATTACAATGCGTCCATTTTGTAGAAATTTGCTGTTTGTAAAATCGTCTCCGTCACCATTCGCAGTACTTATTTATAACCATGTGTTTCGCCGAGACACCATTCCAATCTCTCGTTTCTAATTGAACTCTTTTTCGAAATTTTCGTTTTATTAGATCATCAGCAGTAGGATTCTACCTGTGGATCTCTTATATTTGTGTAATTTGATGTGCTAAATTTAGAATACATACTAAAATAAAATATCCAATCACTGCCAGAATAGCACACAATTACTTGTGTTATAAAATTTACCTTTTTTGGTTTTATTACATTGCTGGTTAGATATTCGCCCTGATCCCACGTTCTTTGACTCCTACTCATCTCCAACTTCTGACTTACCTAATTTTTACCTTGCTCTAACATTCCTGTTGATACAGAACAGAAAGTATCATATAAGCTTAGTTCATATAATTGAACACAAGTTAGGGCAAATGAAAAATACGAGTGATCGCTGAATTACATTTTAAATACTATTTTTGGAATAAATTCGGTATACTAATTTTATACACAGAAATTCAAAGAGTTTGTTCAAATAAGGGGGTGTATACATGAATCCGGAATGACTTTCAATCCCGATCGAAACGTGATGTCAATCCGTGTTTACATGAAACTAATTGTTGTTTTTCTTCGCACTCATTTTAACCCATTTAGCCTCTTTATTTGCTTACGAGCTTCAATTTGCCAGAAGACAATACCCATGCCACATGCGTGCTTCGTCATTAATCACAATATCATTCCAGAATGAAACTCAATTCGCGTTTACATGAGATAACAAGTAAATTTCGATCCGGAATGAAATTTCGATCCGGAATGAAACTAGGAATGAACTCGATCCGGATCGAGTTGTGACTCATTCCGGATTCATGTAAACATGCAATAGGATTTCATTTAAAGTGGAATGAGTTCATTCCGGATCGAAACTCATTCCGGATTCATGTAAACACCCCCTTACAGCGTTCTATGTTGTAGTCTTCCTTTGGGTATTCCCCAAACTGTTCTAATTTTAGTTCAAAATAGTTATTTAAATGGTGCTCGGTTTTGAAGACTGGGCCAGAGACCAAGATGGCAGAACTTTTTATGACGAAATAGTTGAGAAGGTAACAATACGACAGGAACGACACCAGATTTAAATTATGAGTAAAACTTACACAATAAAAGACAAAAACTTCGAAGTGAAGTTTGTTGTAGATAAACGATACAATGTTCTTGAAAATATCGGCTGTGGGGCCTACGGGATTGTCTGCTCAGCAATTGATACGGAAACAGAGAAAAAAGTTGCAATCAAGAAGATACCAACAGCTTTGGACGTATTGACAATTGCAAAAAGAACTTATCGCGAACTGAAGATATTGAAACACTTTAATCACGACAATATTATCGCAATAAGGAACATTTTACGTCCATCTGAAGACATAGCGTTGTTTAGTGATGTATATGTCGTATTTGATATGATGGAAACAGACCTGCATCGCATTATTCATTCCGATCAACCATTGACTGACGAGCATATAAGATACTTTCTGTACCAACTGCTTCGAGGGCTGAAATATATACATTCAGCAAATGTTCTCCATAGAGATCTTAAACCCAGTAACTTATTGGTAAATGAGGACTGTGAATTGAAAATTGGTGATTTTGGAATGGCAAGAGGTTTAGATTCATCACCTACTGAGCAAAAGCGTGTTATGACCGAATATGTGGCAACACGGTGGTACCGGGCGCCGGAGCTAATGCTCTCTCTCAGTGAGTACTCACAAGCAATGGATATATGGTCTGTTGGTTGCATATTTGCTGAAATGCTGGGAAGGAAACCTCTATTTCCAGGAACAAATTATCTTAATCAATTGCAGGTATATACAATGAAAATCATTCGACCCGTATGTCATTGATGTTTCATGCTAATTTCTGTTTGTTCATAGTTAATACTTAGTGTTGTTGGTACACCCTCAGAGAATTTCTCATCAAGAATGGGAGCTGAGCGCGTGAAGACATACATCAACAAGCTGCCAAAAAAGGAACCGGTTCAGTTTAACAAAATATATGAAAATGCCAATCCAATTAGCTTAAGACTTCTGGAAAAAATGTTGCAGCTGGACCCGTTGCAACGAGTAACCGCAGCTGAGGCTTTGGAACACGAGTACTTGGAAAAATACCATGATATGGATGATGAGCCTTGTTGCATTTCACCATTTGATTTTTCATTTGATAGTCAGAATGTGAGTAAGGAATCTTTGAAGAAACAGATATTGAAAGAGATAGAATTCTATAACAGTCCAAATCAAATCAGATCTTCAATATCAGGTGTGATTTACTTTCAAAGTGTTAGCATGTATTTGATGAAAGTGACTTAGCTGATTTGTGTTCATTGTGCTGATCTTAGTTTTCAATTTATTTCCAGACAAAAGCTACACTAACATACCTGTTCAATATGAGCAAAAAATTATAAAAAAAGCTGATGGTTCTTCAAACAATAAGCGAAAACAGGAACCAAAAGAGGCCAATAATAACTCTAGCAAAAGGAAGTATTTCAAAAAGAGTGGAACAATTGAAAACAAAACGGACAAATCTTGCGGTGTTTCGGAACTTAGTGATAACGACAAGAAACTCCTTGATCGCTGGAAAAACATGGCAGCACAGACTAAACCTTTTATTCATCCGATAAGAAAGTACATGGAAGAAATAAAAGCTTTGAAAGGGGAACAACATTTGACGACGGGAAAATTTCAACAAAATACCTATCAGGTTGTGAAGCAGAATGGCGTTTCTTATCAGTTTACAAATTATGAGAAAGGAGATGGAAAAGAACAGTTGAAAGCTGTTAAAACATCTGGGATTATCGACTATCCTGGGACCATCACTGCATTGACAAAAACCATGTCAGGTGCGTATTATTATTTACTACCGTACGTATGACTCAGTCCTTCTCTATTCTTAAGCAATTCTCTTCGCTTCTTGGAGATGTGCTTGAATGTTAATGTCTTGTGTAGGTGCTTCGCAAATTGCCCCATTGGATGAAACAATCGCGCAGAGAACACGTGTTGAAAAAACAACATTAAATAATGCAACTGTTGAACAGATGTTAGCTCCACCGCAGGTAACAAAAGAATATGGCTCGAATCTCGGTTCCAAGGCCAGCTTAACAACACAGTTAGAACGACAATGTCTTGAGCCTACATTAAACGTTACTCGTACATCTCAGGCATTCCCAGAAAACTGTGTAGTTAATGAGTCCTTACAACCACCCTTGGTGTCTACCGCTATTCCGTTGAAGAATGCAGCGAGTAGAAAAACGAATATGTTAGGTAATACTCTTAATACTGGTGAACCTGCAATGAAATTGAACAACAACGCTATACCTCAGATGGGTATAGAAACAGAAAAGATGACGAACTGGCCGACTTTAAGGCACGATGAAATTGTCCATAATGGATCTAAGGGAATTGATAGATCTCAAAATTTACTACAAGAAAATGTTCCAATTCATTCAAAGAATCAGGCTTTCAACTTAACACAAGCGGACATGCTTTATGCCAATCCTGTTGGAAATGAAAGACGCGAGACTTCGACAGATTCCTCGGAAAGCATCATTTCTGTTATAAGAAGCATTCCAAATGATGGAAGGAACATGACAAAAAATGCAAATATCATTGTTGAAGGACAAGTCTATGAGCCTACAGCAATCGCAAGCAAAACACTCGACACAAAGTCTGTAGATATTTCTCTTACTTTGCCTTCAGAACTTAATGCTATTGGACAAAAATCTTTCAATCTTATCGATTTCATTGCGAATAACAATTCTTCAACGAGATGTTCAGAGGTTTTGATTTCGAACGAGAGCTGCAATTTAAATAGATTTGCTGGTAGAACATTTCAAGACGGTCTAAACGTTGACGTCATGAACCCTGACTCAATGACATTGCCCCTCACACCACGTGGATCGTGTGGTTCCGGTTATGGTCTGGGTCTTGATGTGGACGAGTTCCTGAACAGTGAAGATGGACAGAGAATGTAAGAAATTTGTTCTTATCCATGAGCAGTTTTTCGCAACTAAGTTGTGTCTTGTTCTAACAGTGGAAGTGCATGCAGTAGCTGACACCGGAATAACTGGACATTATCTTTAACATATAGAACTATTACGTAGAAAACAGAGGCAAAGAAAGCTTGATAATGAGAGATGGGCATATTCATATTTTATCAACTGATTGATTTCAATAGAAACTAACGAAGTAGAACATGCATATGTGAATATGGCTTCCCTCGTTTATCAAGTTTCCGCCATCCCTGAAATACAGTTTGTTTAGATTAGATTTCTTTCGGTAGTAACACAGGATCAACATTAGTTTGGGTTTCGTATTTTTTCAGGACAGGTTCATCTGGTGTTGGAGATGAACAAAATAGGGCGTTCAGTTTAAATATATAAACAGTTGCTATATATTTACATTTAGGTTTCGTTCTTTTCGTGATCCGAGTAACATGGAACCCAGTCCACCACTCTCTGCATCTCTGTTGAATGCTTGGCTTCCCGATAATGCCATTGCTCCTGTTGACGTCACTGAAATCCAAAACGAACTCGAGTCCGCCGCGTTGTGGGCGTTGTTTGAGGGAGAAACAGTTGAAACTTTTGTATCTTGAAAAATTAATGTGTTGATGGTAATGTCGAATTTACCAATCTTCTTTTCAAGCAATTTTATTTTATAGCTGACTGATTTTTCTGTCTTCAATTGATAGTGAGTAAAACTGTATTTTATTCCACTTGTTTTGTGTTCCCTTGTATCTTTTATACTCTGCCACCTCTGCGTGTTTGCCAACATTTGAAAATTTTTGCGGGATAAGTACATGAAACTCTATCCTTTGTGGCTTTTTTTTAAACCAGAGACGTAGGAAGATTGATAATTGGGTGGGGGGCAGTATTCGTGTATGCATGATCCGCCATCTTAACTTCCTTTGTAATCATTGTTTTCTTTGGATTATAACTTAAACATATGAATACTCCACCCAACCCCAATTATCGATCTTCCTACGTCGAATTTCAAAACAAGTTATAAGTTGCAACTTATAATTCATAGTGAATGTGAATTGTAATTGTGGTGTGTGGGAGTGCGAAAGGGGGTTGGCGAATAGTTAGTATGGGGTGTTGGAATTGTTGGCGGTGAGAATCATTGCAAAATAAAGTCTATGCAGACTATTCAGTCGTCTTTAATGACAAAATTCAGTATTCACTTTCAAGTTGAGAAATGCCGCATTCACCCACTGATCACGTGCGATTACAAGTCTGCAAGTCGCCGCCAGTTTCCTTAGTAAGACGCGCTGACAAAATGGCGCTCAACGATGTGAAAAATTATTTTATGTTTGTAAATGTTCAACTTCTTTTGTACAGTCTCTCATGTGTAAGGTATCTCAACAAGTCTTTGAGTGTGAAATCCTGAAACCTTAAATAATGAATGAAAAAGCTGGAAAGAAGTAAGCTGATGGAAATTGTGAAAAACTAAATTGTTATAAATATGTTCTAACTTGTAATAAATTTTGATGTTTTCCAGATATGGTCTTATTATCAAGAAAAAACCATCAGCTTTCCAACAGAAGCAGTCTGTTTTCAATGAAGATGATTCTGACAGTGAAATGGTATCAAAGTTTGTTTCAACTAACGTAAAAGATATCTGTAATCTGTTGAGTTCCAAAGTCTTCAAAAACTATACTGAGCATCATTATTGCTGTCAGTTGTTTATATCATTATTGCTGTCATTTGTTTGCATTATTTTAATAATCATTTTATAACATTTTATACAAGAAAATGCTTCAAGCTTTTGCATCAAGCTTCCATATCCATACACATATGTGAAAGAAAGCTTTAATGATGAGAAAGTTATATATTTTTTTAGCAAAGTGAACAAAAAAATGTAAACCACAGCATTCGAGCTGAGGCTGCAAGAAAGAAACAAATAAGACAGGTTTGTCATTTGACTGGTTTTTGAGGTTGTAAACTTTCTTATACAAATACACACTTCATATACTATAAAGTAATCATGATTCTACAAGATAACAACATTGCGCGATAAATTGCTCGCTTTAGTAAACTAGGGTGTACGGGCAACCCTTAATGCAAGCCCTGTGTACAAATAAGTACTTGTCTTTTTACTATGTTACCACCAGACGGAAGTGGAAATGGAGAAAGTTTTGGCAGAGGATCCTACAGCTTATGACTATGATGCTGTTTATGACAAAATGGCTGAAAGAAAGGCTAATATGCTGATTGCCAAAAATGCCAAAAACGATAAAAAGGTGATTTAGTATGTGTTAAAATAATTTAATGATTATTTTATGAGTATGTCTACTATATAATTATGTGTTGATGTTTTGATTTATGTGGTAAAGTGGTATCTGAAACTGTCGTTAAGGTTCCGTATTGATCAAATAAAATAGTTTTTAATTTTTTTTAAATGCCAATAAATAATACAATAAATTTATAATCAAATCTACACATTCACATGTATTGGTGAAAAGTGTGCTTGTTGATTGCAAATTATGCTCCTGTAATGAAATTAAACCAAAGTTTTTGTTGATTCTCATTGGCTAAAGTTATTTATTTCGGAGAAAAACTGAATCACGTACATTGAAAATTTGAATGTTGTATACTTAATGCACTAAATCCCAATGAGGAATCAATTTAACAGGGATTTATTTATATTTCTAGCCCAAATATATCACTAACCTTCTCAAATTTGCCGAAACAAGAAAGAAAGAAGAAGAACGGCGAATTGAACGACAGGTTCAGAAAGAACGTGAAGCCGAAGGCTCTGAATTTGCCGATAAAGATGCATTTGTTACGTCCGCGTATCTTTTTGTTCACACAATGATGTCCAAACCATCATGTTTTTTACGACATCTATAAAACGGCGATAAATGAATGTTGTTTTGCTAATGTGAAGCTTAATGCGTGAACTGTCTTGTAACGTATTCACAGAGAGTAGTGGTTACACAGAAGTTATTCAGGCTTTCCCGTCAAATATTCTTATCAAGTGGCTAAATAACTTTAATGTTTTGAATAGTAATCGAAACTCTGAAATAGTTTCAAATAACTCCGGGAAAAACGTTTCGTATTTGTTTTACATATGTGATGTTTCAGCAGTATAGATTTCAATGTGTTTTATCCTTAACACTGAAAGTTATCGCCAAAAAATGCAAGAAATGATGGAAGCCGAAGAGCGTCAAAGACGACAGGACGAGTTAGATGGTATGGATTTCATTATTTTCCAACAATTTATCTTGTGTAAAACAGGTTTTCTCCATTTTTTTTTACCCCGCTAGATTTTCCTAGGCATCTTTACATGGGGAGCTCTCTGAGTGTCTTTATTAAGTAGTGGGTCTATACATGGCAATCTTTTGCCAACATCTTTTCACGGAGGGTTTTCCCCTGAAGTATGTTCCCGCCAGTCTTTTCTCGGGGGGGTCTATTCCCGTGTAAACCAATGGTAGACTATCTGAACAAATTTAAATTTCATTTACTATCTACCAAATAAATTCCCGCCAGTCTTTTCTCGGGGTGGTCTATTCCCGTGTAAACCAATGGTAGACTATCTGAACAAATTTAAATTTTATTTGATATCTGCCAAATATAAATAACTTCACTTACCTACTTTTATCATGCTTGCCCTGTGAAAACACAACATAGTTGACATTGTATGTTCACAAAGTATCATCTTACATTTTTTCGTTGCACAGAAGATGGCTTATTGCTTGTAGAAACATTTTTGCTGTAAAAGAAAAACTTGTCTTTAATCCTATTTCTCTTGTTTTATTTGCGAACTTCATTAAAATTATACATCTCTTGTACATTAAGGTGACGTAACGAAACAGACTGACTTGAGCAAGTTTTACAGAAATTTACTAGAGAAAAACGTTTCAGCCGGTGGCTCGTACAATACCGAGCAACGCACGGAAACTACCGAAGATAGAGGGAATGAGAAACGGAAACGGTCGGGTCACGTCGAAAGTACGGATTCAAACAGCGAGCGAAGTATTCAGGATAGAGAAACTAGTAATGCAGAGAGAATGCGAGATAAAGAACCTTTTGAAAAAGATGAATACAAGAAAGATCGGCATGTTTCGGAGGAACGGCTACACGAAACACATGAATGTCGAGAAAATGAAAAGGAGAGTAAAAAACGAGAACGAGATGAATCTGTAAACAGAGCAAAAGAACAGCATGAGACGGAGGTAATTTTCTCAGACAAGGATTGCAATAGCAAAAATCCAGAGGTAAGTGGCAGTAAGGATGACACAAAATTAAAGACGAAGTTCGTTAAACATTCGTCCGATGCAACCGTCATGTCTGCTAGAGAAAGGTACTTGGCGCGTAAGAAGTCGCGTATCGTGAAGATAGCAAACTCAGACGATGAAGATTAGTTTCTAGCTGAAAATTAATTTTAAATTCTCAGCTAGATTAATTTTTGAATATACCCTAGCCTTTAAGTGGCGAGGTTCTGCAAAATTCTTATGTTAACAAGTAATAACACCATGCCAATGGAATAGATAAAGACAACAGAAAGCAAAAAGTACGCCCAGTTTCACAATCGACCGAAATAAAACACTCAAGCGCGACTCCATTAAAGCCTATAACAATGTTTTTATCTTTAAAGAATTACCAAAACACCATGTTTTTTGTTCATTACGACCGTGCATTTGCATGTGCTGGGTGTCGTCCAATACTAAATCATACAATGCTTTGAAAATACTTGGCAAAATTGATTTATTTAATTACCATTGCAATTCGTCATTTCTTCGCTACTTCTTCATTCGTCATTATGATTATGGTGGACTACACAAACTACACTGTAATCTTCTAGTTCATTGGCATTCGATCATTCAAACATTCAATTATAGTATTGTATCGCATTACAAGACAATTGCCTACTAACGTACGTGTTTAGTCTCGTATGTTTTTTGCTTCAAGTTTGTCGTTTTTGTAGTCTTCGACAAACTTTTTCACCATTTCTTCATTTGAGATCTGCGACGATTCAGAATGGTATATCTTCCCAGAGGGAACATCCACGATAAAGAGAGCTTTCTTCTTCGGATCAATATTCAAGAAATCGCTGAGCGAATCCAAAATCATATTTTCCTTTGTTGCGATAAAGAAGTGGAGCTCTTGTGATAAATTTTGTGACTTTGCTAGTTTTTGCATTTCAGTGGCTATCGGCAGAAGAATCTTTCTCATACTTTCAGATGACTCTTCGTCTTTGTTTTAATAAGAGGAAACACATATCAAGACAAATTTCTAACTATAGTCATCTTATTTAAAAAAGAGTTTGGTAGCAAGATGAACAAACTAAATCGATATGCCCCCAAATAATTGAAAAAAAAAGCTTTGAAATTCTAGTTGGAATTTTGTTTAAATGTGGCGCGAATCAAGCATAGATATAAATATGGAAATATTTACCTTCACCAGGAATGTAGATCAGACAAGGTTCTTCGTTGATTCTCGGTCCAGACACTTCATCAAGTTCTTCTACCGGTTCAGGGAGCCATGGAAATTTCTAAAGTATAAAAAAACAAGTGATAAATCCTAGCAGCTGCTAAATACATTTCACAAAACAGTGTTTCAAGGACTAAGTTTTCTCGCCAACTCTTAATTTTATTTAAGACGTCTTACATAATTAACCTTGTTATAGCATCAACAAATGAAATACACAATACAGACCTGTCCCTTCTTATCCCCAGACACCACTGCTCGTCCACTTGTTGTAATTAAGTTCCCTTCTTCATCGAGGAGAATCAGTGTAGGAATACCTTAATACCAAAATATCGATTCAATCTATCAGATTGGTATTTACTTGCAAAAATTCTATCTTACTTACGTATATGAGGTGCAAATAGAAGAATGTTCAGAACTAAGAGACGAAAAACCTAACTTCAGATATTTGTCTTACGCGAGTTTCTAAGGATTACGATTGATTTTCCCAGCTATGTCTGTGCTCGCCAGCTATGTCTAAGATTTTTATTTGCAAGTATTTCTGAAACATCCCAGTTAATTTGTCGGAAAGGTATGGATCGTATCACCAACCTTCGATCTCATAATGATCGCTCAGCTCATCCTTCAGCTCGGCTTTATACGGCAAAGCAAGGAATGGCATTTCAGCAAAATATTCTTTATACGCACTTTCCGTGTTGTCCGAGCTCACGAATATTATTTCGAACTTCTTCTCGTCTTTGTTGATCGCTTGGTACGCCTCGCTAAGGATGGGTGTGAATGCCTTACAAGGTGGACACTAAAACATTCGTTAGACATAAACATTTTCACAATTCTGTCTTCAGAAATGACTCAACCAAGTGACTCAATTGTTGTTTTAGAAAAATAACAATTGAATTAGTTATTAGTTATATTACGATGAAAAATTCAACCTCCAAAGTGTTTAAACACATACAGTGCTGTATACAAAATTACCCCAAAACAATAAACCCCTATTCACAAGACAAACTAACCCGGGTTTAACCCAGGTTTATTTTTTAACGTGTAACTACTACTAACGAAGGTTTAACCTAGGTCAAACCTACCTCATGAGATAGCTCGAATTTAACCTAGGTTAATCCTCGGTTAGTGGTGTTTACACGCAAAAAATTTAACACGGGTTAGTTTTTATCGTGTATATAGGGCTTAACTCGAACATTTCCTCATTTTCTACATCATTTGACTCAGCGTGCTTCTCTTGCATTAATGTGAGTGCTGTTACCATGCATTATCATGACAGTGAATTATGGAATAGTAAATTTATTGAAAAAGAACACTGCCCCATAATTCCCATTTTAAGTTTTTGCTTAATTGGCAAAAAGCTAAAGTTTCTAAACGGTTTTTAAAACTTGCATAATTGCCAATTTATTAGCAGCTTAAAAAATTTTCGAATTATTTTTCATAATATACGTACCCAATGAGCAGAGAAATAAATACCAATGACCTTTCCCTGGATGTCTCTCTCAAACGATTTTGCTTCATCGCCATTATTGATGTATTCGCCTTTTCTCAACAAGTCAAATACTGTGGGTGATTTCCAAGGAAATTTTCGGCCCGACTCATCATTCTCGACAGCCGATCGACCGTTTCTATTGAGGATTTGCCCATTCTCTCCGTCAAGAAATATCAGCGTTGGAATTCCACTGACTTTGAAAAGTTTTGAAAGCTTCTCCTGTGGTAAGATAACGCGGGAAGAGATGTTCAATTATGATGTAAATTAATGCTGCTGGGAAAAAAGGATCTATCCCTTGAGCGGTTCCTTAACTTGAAATGTCAGTTACAGACTAATTTAACGACTTGTACTGTGACAAGTACACTTTTTAACGTGGAATGCGGTACCAGAAGTACATTTGTTGCAAAAATCTTTTTCTGGGAATGTTTATGGTCGTTGCTTAGAATATAGCACAGCCATCATGTCGCTATTAGCAAATGCATTATGCATATGATTGGCAAAATATCGTATAAGTTCGTGTCAGTGTGATGGTATATACACAATAAATCTCTAAATATACCGTAAACCGTACACAAGTTACATTTGAACAGGTTGTAAACCACTCCATTGTGCTCATGTTTCAGCTAAATGTCGCATAAATTCTTGTCAGAGAGGTTGTATAGGTTCTTACTTTGGGTGGTTGTATACCTAGGCGTACGGGGCGGGGGTAGCTGTAGTCGAGCGAAAATATGGCGGAACCTTTGCTGTGAGTCGGGGGAAATATTTTACTGCCCCCCCCCCCCACCCACAAATGACAGCTCCCCTACGCCTATGGTTGTATACACTGTATACAATTAAACATATAGTAAACACTGCATTATGCATGTTTCAGCCAGGTTCAGCATCGTTTAAGACTTAGCAATATTATACATAAAATTGCTATGTCTTAAACAGGTAAACTTTGAATTGTTTACTGATGTCTCAAAAGAAACTGCGTCTTGGTTATGCATCAACTGAATTGGACATGAAGGATAAAGCGTCGTCCTTTTTTTGTTCTCTATCATCCTGCACGACACAAGGAACAATTATGAAAAAGTGGGTCTCAATTACCATAATTTAGTAAAGTATTTCTCAAAATTCTGACTACCCATAATTTACAGCAGACAGATTTCAACAACGTGTGCTTTTTTTGAGTTTGAAGGTCACAAAGAAGCCAACGTTTAAAGTGTTCTAAAATGATGAAACCGAGACTACATAAGGTAGTGTGAATGATCTGCACCATTTATTTGAGTGTTTGTCATATGTACGGTTTAGTACGATTTGATATTAAACAGGTCTTTTGGCAATTATTTACGAAAAGTTATGTTTAAACAACAGCCAACGACAATCCCAATAATCGTTGCGTTACTATTTTTTATCCCTAAGTCGTTTTGGGGAGTTTCGAGAAAAAGAGAAAAAAATTGATGTGATGTTAATTTTCATTGAACGTTATATTTTGAACATTTATCGAGTAATTTTGATTGGTCAATTGACTTCGGAAATAAATACAGAACACTCCAGTCGGCAAAATCATAGTTTTAGGCAAAAATCCCAAAATTAACAAAATATGACATACGAAAAAAAAGTTATTGACGTGACGTATAAAAAGTGACTGGAACAGCCGGTTTATCGTATTCTCGGAAATAATAGAACTGAATCAAATGTTGCGCGCATATAAAAATAAAAATGATCTTTTTCTTGAAAAATTACCGAAGTTTAAATAAGTGTTGTTCAGATATAATACGACAATTTGTTCACCGCGGTTATCAGCAGCTTAGTGGGAGTGGACGAATTATGTTGCTAATGAAAATGCTAATAGCAACAATAATAGCAAATTTGCAACATTGAATGTTGCCAAGGTGACCGCAATTATGCAAATTTGTACACTCCTTAGATTCAATGATTTTTTTATTCATTTGCACAACAATGACTATGATCTTATGTTTGCATGATAGTAATATATACCCGGATCACACAGTCAAAAAGCACTCCTAATCGTCGGAAAGCGGTACAATTTCTCAAAAAAACCCACAAAATATCTTGCTACCTTAGTTGAGAAACAGAAATCGACGTTAAATGCTTTACTGGTTGCTATGCAACTAATCGCTTGCTGGCTTTACGTTATTAAACAATTTAAAGTTAACTAATATCTGTTGGGTGAATAGTACAAGCTAGCAAGTTCAAGCCATAAGAAATATCTTCACACAATACAGTCAATACGAGTTTAGTCGACAATAGACAGCGTTATGACCTTAGTTTAATGGGCGACACATCTTTAAAGAGATGTAAAAAAGCTATCTACGTGGCCACAAGCTGTCCTTGATTATTATTAGTAGCGATTTATCCTAAAAGCCGAACAAGTTACAATTTAAAAGGAGATAGCGAATTTAAATACCAAACAAAGGTTGAGATCGCATAATCATAAAGTAATAAAAAGTCAAAAGCTCTGTGTACGTAAGATGTTTAGTTATCAAGTTATAAAATAAGGTCATTTTCATTTATACGGACAGAAGCTTACGGTCCGACCAATACTTGTTAATCTCCCTACTATCAATGTTTGACTATTGGTCAGCAAACACGATCATCCTGATTTAACATACCTTGGCTGAACGTTTCTTGTAGGGCATGGCATACCAAGGCATGTCACCAAGGTATTCGTCGAACTTATCTTCACTTTTATCGGAGCTTACAAAAATAATCTCAAAGTTATTTTGGTTTACTCCTTTCTTCACATTCTTATAAAATCCTGCCAATTTAGGAGTGAAAGCTCGACAAGGTGGGCACCAATGAGCAGAAAAGTATATCGCTATTACTTTTCCCTTTCCTTGTATCAAACCGAAAGACAATTCCTCGCCATTTCTATTGATCAGACTTCCATTGAGGGCGTCAAAAACTTGGGACATTTTCTGCTGTAAGCTGTAAGGCAGTAAGCAATAGTTGAAGTGTCAGGAAGTCTCTGAAGTCTTCTGAAGCGAAACGAGGTCAATTTATCTTTTTTCGGCACATAAAAAAGTATTATGATAATTTACATTAAGCTAATTTGAATTTCAAACAAAAACGCCCAGCAAGATTTCAACTCGAAATGAGTTTCGAATGAAATATAACACACCTGCAATTGCAAAAGAGTCATGTCATACAAAGAAGATACGAATGTACGGTCCGATCCTTTTTTCTATGATTAACATGTTTCTACAAAGCATTCTGCAAACTCTCCATAATTAATGGAATCGTCAAAATCTATTAGATAATTTTTCCAGTTTAGACTATGGAAAACTGTCATGTAATATAAACTTCGGTAATAATCTTCCTAATTTATTTTGTCAGCTTTTCTCTCCTTTTTAACCTAGTTCTTCCCTAAATCTTCTAATACCTATTTTATTTCTAATATTCGATCTCTCTTGTCATTTTACATTTGACAATTTTCTACTTATCATTTTTATTTTTTTCTGTTTATTTATTTTGCCCGTTTCATTCATTGCCCGTTTCATTGATTGCCTGTTTCATTGATTGCCTGTTTCATTGATTGCCTGTTCCATTCGTTGCCTGTTCCATTGTTTCATCCATTCCATCCATTGTTTCATCCTGTTTCCATTGATTTCATTCCTTCCATTTCCATTCATTAATTCCATTTTGTTTCATTCATTCATTCATTCATTGCCATTCCATTCCATTTCATTCATTATTCCATTCCATTGCCTGTTTCATTCCATTATTCCTGTTTCATTCCATTCCTGTTTCCATTCCATTTCATTCCTGTTCCATTCATTCCATTCTTTCCATCCATTGCCATTTCATCCATTGCCTGTTTCATTCATTCATTTCATTCTGTTGCCATTCCATTCATTCCATTCCATTCCATTCCTGTTTCATTCATTGCCTGTTTCCATTGCCTTTCATTCGTTGCCTGTTTCATTCTGTTGCCTGTTTCTGTTGCCTGTTTCATTCGTTGCCTGTTTCATTTGTTGCCTGTTTCATTTGTTGCCTGTTTCATTAATTGCCTGTTTCATTCGTTGCCTGTTTCATTCATTGCCTGTTTCATTAATTGCCTGTTTCATTCATTACCTCCTTTCATTACCTCCTTTTTTCATTACCTCTTTCTTTCATAGCCCGTTATTAGACCGCCTGTACATTTTTTCATTGATGGCAAGTGCCATTTGTACTTGACGAAGAAAACACTTCTTGTGAAAAGTCTTTGATGCTATTTTCAAACATAAGTCAGCATTCGAGCCTGTGCTTCTTGATTTGATGTCAGAAGATTGTTTTTTCGATTGCTTCAGCTCGATACATTTTTCGTCTCGGAAACTGTTACTGTCAAGTTTAGAGGCGCGGTGATTTGAATGCCAGGGTGTATTAGATCTTGGTTTGTCATAATTACTTTGCTCTTCAATCTTTCGATTATAACTACATTTCATTTCGTTGGAGGGGTTTTGCAAATTCTTGTTTACAATCGATGATGAAACATTTGTTTCAAGTCGTCTATCCTTCTCCACTGACGTCCCAACATTTTCCTCATCACTTTTCCCAAAAGTTCTCGCAGGTTTCCAGACATACTTTTCTCGAGAGATAATTTTTTTACATGGAGTATTACCACTTACGACGGAAGGCTTTTTGTTTTCATGCAAGGAAAGTTGGCTTTCATGTAAAGAATTAGAAGATTGTGTACGAACTTTCCCCCTCTTATTCTCGTTCAACTGTTGATCAGATTTAATGTTTTGACATTTCCCACGACCATTACCGTGGGAATTATCACGTTGACTAAGAGAAAGCTTTAAAGGGTTAACATTGAATGTTGCCTTAGACATCAACTGAGCGTCGTGAGAGAATGGTCCCATTTTTAACGAACCATTAAAAGAAGTATGGAAACCATTTTTTCTAGAAAAGGTACAGGGAAATTTTATGCCATCACTTATTGTCCGAGTACAAGAATTATGAGCGATGTTGAATGCTTTTTCAATGTTTCCGCGAAGAAAGCAGGGGGCACTCTTTACCTTTCTGTTGTCTTCCACATTACTGTAACCATTAACTTCAATATCTTGACCAACAACACCACACATCCTCACAGCTTTTCCATTCTTAAGAAGAAATACGGACCTTTTATCTTTGTTCAAGCGAGCCCGTATTTTAGCACGATCGCACCATTGACGGACGCGCGAATATGCAGACAGACTAAGTTTAGGGTGTACGCTGGGAACACGAAATTCTTCTGCAATGAGAAATTTGAAGCACTCGCTCTGTTTGAACCTACGGGCAGTGTTACATGGTGTTAGACCATTTGAGTCTTTACAAACGACAATGGAACGATTGAACATATGAAAATACTGTAGGCATTTTAGTCTACCACACTGAGCTGCTTCATGTGCCGGTGTCTTTAAGTTATTGACATTCGCAGACGAGCCACACCAAACACGTGACGGATGCTGTCCAACTGGTGCGTCCGGTTTCGCACCGCATCTCATGAGCTGAGTCCCAAGTTGATGATAACCGTAATGAGCTGAGATAAACAGGCACAACTGTAGTTGATACAAGAGCAGATGCGGAGAGTCCGGAAGCGAAGCAAGAGAGCCAATGGTAGCAGTTATATCGTTGTCACGTGATGCTGTAATCACATGAACAACATCAGACCATATCTCCATTGCAACAGCATCACCAGTACCAATACCATAATCGCCGAGGGTGTGACAATCAAAGAGCTCCAAACCTTTTTTCGCGAAAAGTCTGAAAGCACTAACGTGAATTCCAGTCGTGTCTTGTATCATCGTACGTAGTGCGCCAACAGACGTCTCCCAAACGACAAAAAATTTATTGTAGACGATCCTTAGCTCATAGTTGACACAATTTATTCGAAGGATAGGCTTCCGTTGTTTTTCCACACGACATAAAAGTGTTGATCCGGGAGGAAGAGACAGATCACCGTAGACATAATCATCTTGAAGACTACATCCTTGATAAGCTAACGACAAGTGTTCATCGCTCTCCTCGCGCTCGTTTCTCAAATTCAAATGAAATCGACGACGTAAAATGGTTTTGAGGTCCCGTACTGTTACTTTGGGATCGATCGAGACGCTGCGTATACGATTTTCGTACGAGATAAAAACGCGCATTTTGCGAGAACAGTATTTAAGTAATTTTTCTTCATTCCTATCATAATTAAGGAATATATGCTGTAGAACACCTGTTAGTTGCCACGCAGCGGCACAAAAATTGAACGGGACAACGTAACAGGTGTAATTCTATAAAAGACAATTATTGTTTTTCCACTTGTCCTCAATATATATTTAGAAATTTCAATGCTTTTTCAAAAACATTTAACGTATTTAATTCTGGAGCAAAATGAAGGCAAGCTAATTAGCTACAATGTTCTTTGGTAAAACTTATTATTCTTCATTAAACAGACCTTTCTTAATTATTTAAACTAATTTACGTGAAAAGACCGCATTATTACAAAGGCTTGTGGTTTTCAAAACAAATGAAACTTCTTTGCGTAATATCCTAAAAACTTTTCAAATAAAATGTTCATTTGTACAAGTTGGTAAAGTCAAAACAAGCTGACACTCAGCGCATTGTATTGTAGGAGTTGAAGTAAAAGAATTGAACTTCGTCAAGTACATATGTAGCAGTGCTTGCTGAAATGTCAGGAATGATTGTCTTGAAAATTGGTTTCATCAAAATTTTTGGATTTGCGCTACGTCCAAAACAGGATATCTCAAGAGAGGAATTTGCATTACAACGAAATCTTCAGGATAGACTCAACACATTGTACTCCAAGAGTTGAACGAAATGAATTGATTCTGTTCAAGCATTCATTTATGCCACCAGGAATACCATTTATACGAATGAAAGTGGATTTTTTTTGAATTTTCTGTACACGCACAGCAAGCAGCGTGGCCACTGGATAGTTCGTTTATTTACTCGCGTAATGTTAATTTTTCTTATCCAACAACTCCACCAGCCCTGACATACAACGAAGAGCGTTGTATCACTTGAAATGTTCATGGCTTTCTACAGTACCGATTCTCCCAAAACACTTTACAGACATTTGATGAAAATTTTTCGCCAGCAAACGCTCCCAACAATAATTTTAAGTAGCAAAATGTAAATCTGCCAAAGATCTTGAAAAACAACTCCCTTTTTATTGAAATATCACACCAGTCACATTTAATGGGTAAGTAAGAAAAATGTGTCCCACTCCACAAATCACAGCATAACTTTGTTGTCAAATAGTTGCATGTACACAACCAGCAATGTCAAAGACATACCGATGCCTCCACACAAGCCACAACATACATTGACAAAGCACTACTTAATGCAAACACTAATCCTAAATTTCCCTTATATTTTACAAAATAATGCTAGTAATAAACAAAAACTAAACTCTGCTCATTGTTACCTTTTAAAAAACCTCCTTACACATATTTACTTCATGGTAAATATCTGTGTTTATTGAAGCTAGCATGCAACAACTTACTTTTGATGATGACTTTTAACAAGTTGAAACATTTTGGACATAACCATGACTTAAATAACATATAAGGCATTATCAAAAATAACTGGCGTTTATTGCTAATTGATCATATCGTTTATTTATGTTTATGTGATCAGGGTCGTCTTGAAACATTGATTCCCAAAAGGATTACAATTTCTTATTTCGTCAATAAGCAAAAGCAAGATACAAAATGGAAGTTAGAGAATATACTAATTACCTTCAAAGTGGGGTAGAAAAGATCGCCCAATGTTTAAGGAAATGAACCTAGATCAAAATTGGATGAATGAGAAATAATTGTCCCAAATTTTAATCATAATGTTAGGGAGATATGGGAATGTTCTTTATGTGAACACAAATCTACAAATAAAGCCCAACCACAATGAAGTATGAATTTTAAATAATTTCATGGACATTTTTATATATATCAGTAAGATAGGCATCACTGGCCAACTGGGTTGGTCATATTGCTGTAGGCCTAAAACTTTAGCGAAATTTAGATTCTGACAATAGATAACTTGCCTTGTTTACGTTTCTAGTTAATCCCAAGATAGGTTAAGCTTTGTTGCTGATGTTGCCTAAAAGCACTCGACCAAATCTGCCTGCCGACAAAACGTAAACAAGACACGTCATCTAAATTTATAATGCAATAAATACTGAAAGTAAAGTTTTACTTTTACCATTTAAATTTGTTCCCTTTTAACTTCTTGCACTCCAATAACCAGCCGTCAGTTCTAAGAAATAGATATACATATGTGACATATACAATGTTATTAATTATGTTAATTTATTGGTTTGAAATCCGCAGTCCAAATTCAAATGCCAATGTTAGTAGCAAGGAAGTCGCGCGTGGCGTACACGAAATGCCAAAGTGTTTTCACGAATTATATGTATATACGATTTTTTTTCCCGGTGCAGTTGCAAATCCTTGAAAGAAAAAAGAAACAGAGTCAATACAATAGTGAAATAAGTATTTAAAAATGTTAAGGGTTATTTTACCTCTTTTTGCCGGCTGACAAAAGAAACACTAAAATTATAAGTCATAAAACAAAGATGGCATCTACAGCGTCAACAACATTGAGTTCTATTCGAGAATTTTGGAGAAATTTTGACATTATTTCGTTGCAGGTAGAGAAATTGTATTTTATTTGGAATCATTAACATCTTTTCTCTAAATAAGAGATGAGTAATGTATATTTTCCATTTCCTTTACAGAAAAAGTTAGATGGCGAAGCCACTGAATTGGCTGGGAGACAAGATAAGTCGGAAATATCGCGTAAAATGTTAGTTGATCTAAGTCGTGAATTCAAGAAGACCACACCAGAGGTGATGATAGGATGTATGACTTGCCTATATTGAATTAAGCAATATGGAACCTGGAGGAAGGGGAGGGGGTTGAGTTTAAGAAACAGGGAAGGGGGCTAAGTTTAAGAAACAGGGGAGAGGGTTGAGTTTAAGAAGTAGAAGTGACGGGAGGGTCAACGAAATTCTACAAATTGAATTTTTCTACCTAGGATTAATTGTAACATCTCATTTTATCTTGCAGAATGTGCGTAAACAAGTAGCCCCTTTACTCAAGAGTTTCCAAGGGGAGGTAATGTATATGTAAAATCATGGCCAGAGATTTGCCTGGCGGAATGCGAATTTTCAATATGAACATAATAGCCCAACATAAGACTTTTAGAAAAGCCATTTATTAATAACATTTCATCTTTAACTTAAGACATCTTCAGATTATTTGATATGAATTATATACAAGTGGTTTTAAATACAAGCATATATTACAGGGTGTTAAATTACATGTGAGGGGAGAAGGAAGCTTCAATGATGGATTTAAGTGAGAATGGCGGTATTTTAAAGAAGGTGAAGGGGATTGAGTTGCCTTGGGTGTTAAGAGGGGGTTTAAGTTTGGATATAAGAAGGCTTTCATGAATCATAAGGTCATAATTGTCAGAGGAGGAAGAGAGAATTGAGAAGTCATTAAAATCGGCAGAGTGAAATGTATTTCTTATATGGGAAAGAACTGCAGATGGTGGTGGACATAAGGAAAGTTTTCCCTGTTAAGGGAGAGATTCCCAAGTTTTCCCTTATTAATAAATCTTTCTTTATTTTACTATTGTGATGGCTTTTTTAAAAGTCTTATGTTGGGCTATTATGTTCATATTGAAAATAATGTATATGTGATGAGAAGCATTATTCTTTTTGTCCTTTCTTCACTCATTTACCATGAAAAACAATAAATTTCTCATGCTTTCTTTGCTTTGAATTTACGTATTTGTTTTGGCATCCAATTAGAATTAGTTTTTTATACAGGTAGATTCATTGTCAAAACGAAGCAAAGCTGCAGAAACAGCATTTTTATCACTGTACAAGAGAGTCGTGGAAATTCCTGGTTTGTGAAAACTATTTCTTAATTTGACTTTGTGGAAATAACAAATGCCAATTTCTGTTCATGAATCTGTTCTTAGATCCTCTTCCAGCTTTGGATCAGTGTGTTGCTAATCAATCAAAAGTTTCAAAGTTCCATGTAAGTTTTGTGGAATATGTACATGCAATCAACATAGCCCGATTTAGAACTCAATTAACATATTAGAAGAGCAGCATTATTGCAACTGGTATACTTCATATAAGTATTCTTCTTCAGGATTATGAAATTGAAAACAAGAAACTTCGTGATACACTTAGCGAATACAACAATGAATTTGCTGAAGTAAAGAACCAAGGTTAAAAGATTTAAATTTGATCATTTATCGTTTCTTCAAACATCAGTCATATAATCAAGTGAAGATCCATAGGAGAAATAAAGGAGAGGGAGGTGGGCTGTGAACTCCTCACTGAGCTCAGAACTTTGATAGCTTGTTGAAGAAAATGATATTTTATAATGACATTTACAAATGATGGACTCCTAAATGAAAGTCTGGATCTGCCTTTAATAAGGATGACAGTCATCTCTCCCCCCCACCCCAATGCATCGGTTATCTTTTAAGAAGGCAGCAATCAACCTTTCTCATTATGTGTCATCTTTTTTTGTCACGAATAGTTTTCATATCTTTTACATTAACAGAGGTGACAATAAATCGTTTGCGTGAAAAATTGAAAGAATATGAAGATAAAATTGAAGAAACAGCTCAGGTATGTGTATCATGCTACATTGTGTCCTTAATGTCTTTATTGTGCTGACAATTACATTATTGCTTGAACATGTCTCGTGATACGTAGTTGCGAGTTCAGGAAAAGGAAAAGGAAATGGAAAAGTCTTTTGCTGAAAGAGAAAGGTAATGGTTTGAAAAAACAGAAAAGTTACATACATGAAATTGGGTTATGAAATATGACAGGTTTCTTTTGGCTTGTGCTCATGTTGAGATTCTTTCACAGCCATGAAATATGCACGTATATTTGAAATAATTTTGACATCCACATTTTAGACAGTTACAGGAGACCCAGCTTGAAGTCGCCAAGAAGTTGGGAGAAACTGAGCTACAAGTTGCGAATTTGAAATCTGGTAAGTCCTCGAAAATGGACTACTAAAGATGTGTTTGACAGCAAATGCAAATTATGTATTTACTAAGCTGATGTAACAAGCCTTCATGGAATTTTGCATTGGCTACTGACAAGTCTGACATATAAGTATATTTTATATTTCTTCTTAGCTCTGGAAAGCACGCAGTCTGAGCTGTTTGATGTGAAATCAAAGCTAGATGAAGAGAATGAAGCAAGGTAGGCTGATGCAAACCAAAGTACCTCAAAATATATCTTGAACTTTTTCTGTAAATGAACTCTACATCAGTTAATTCATGTTTTATTGTGCACAGGAGTTCAGCTGTAGAAATTCTTGAAGCAGACCTAGAAAGAGCAAACCAGGTACTTGACAACAGCTTCACATAAGCTAAGATGACAGTTTCATCGTGTATGTCATGGTCGTTATTTTAACAGAGGGCGCTGTTATCAGAGCGTCAAACGGAATCGTTGAACGAGCAATTGAATCGATTGAAATCTGAGCTTGAGGTGAGCATGTAATTTTATTGTTTTTAACATTGGCGGTACGTCATAGCTTGGTCGTCGTTTATGTCAAAACTTTTGACGTTTCACTACTTTATGATTATAGATGTCGGATGAAAGATCTCAGAAAAACATGGTTTGTAATTTAACATGTGATTTTTATATTTCTAAACTATCTCCGACGTTTTTGTATTGTTTTCATTGTTAGGATGACGCTTTTCATTCCATATCGAAGACAAATTTAGAACGAGAACTGTCTGCGAAAGAGAACGAGGTATTATTTTCATTTAGTATTTTAGAACCTGAAAATACTCATTTTTCAACTTTAAGCGTGAACTTTTGAAGAAGAGACGAGAGTAGTATGCGTATCAAACAAGAATTCGTGAGTGGTACTATAGAGGGAAATAGTTCATTTGGTTAAGTACTGAGGATTTAGTCACCAACAAAACTTATTACAAACTTTTGTTAATGAATATCTCTGTTGTTTTCCATTTAAGTTAGTAACAGTGTATGAATTAGTGGAAGAAATGTACTTGGGAATAGGTTTTAGACTGCAAGTCAAGAGCAGAGAAACACAGTAATATTGAGGATGAAATTTTATGGTTTTATTAACTTGTTCGTTTTAGTTTTTACAACAAGGTTTTTTAAAGCAATACACGGATGAATGCTAGACAATTGTGTATTTAACCAATTGCATACTTCAATCCAATCAAAGAAACGGATCCATCGCTTCCTCTTTGCGTTCTTCCACCACAACATTGAGATCAGTTATTTTTCCAATGTGTATCGATTGATCTTCCGTCTTTTGGTTTCTTGGTGTACGCATACGTGCCTATTTTTAATGCCTTGAATTCTTTAAGATCACCCAATTGGTTGACGACATTCAACGACTTCAGGCTGCAATGAATAAAATGCGCGAAGCTGGAAATCAACGCATCGCATCACTTGAGCAGCAATTGGCCGAGAAAACTGAGTTGATAATCGAACTTGTAAGTGTATGAATAGAAATGTCATCACTTTTCAATACAATATCAATGGTTTGAGTCTGGGTCACATGTTTTCCACGTGACCTGATTATATAATGTTAAATTTCGAAAACTAATTACTTTCATGTCATTCTTATATTCCAGGAAACAAAATTGAGACAACAAGCTGATTACGAGGAAATCCGTAGAGAATTAGAGTAAGTGAAAATGATACAATCCTCGAGGTCATGTAGCTACAATGACGGGTTGAATGCCAATTTTTTTGCTCTTTTGATAGCATTTTAAAGTCAGTTGAATTCTCACGATCACCAAGCATTGAAGACGATAGCGATACAAAAGACAGGGTCTTTGAAAAGGTTACAATCAATTTTATTTATTTCATTGATTTGTGTTTGATGAAAGCCAATTCTCTGTTGGGCATTTACAGGATGATCGAAAGTCATTGGAAATTCTTCTTCTGGAGAAGAATCGCGGTATGTTGGTCTTTATGTTTGCACTATAGTGCACGTATAAAATTGCAAACGTGTTTGGAAAAGACCAAAGCCTCTTTTTTGTATTTCAAGGGTTGCAGTCGGAAAATACCAAGCTTAAATTTGCAATTGAAGAGCTAACAGGTCAGTAAGTCTCTAAACAGCAAGCTCATAAAACTCTTTTCATCAAGAACTTTCGACCTTGGCAACGAATTTGCAAATTTTGCCGTCTGAAATAGACGATAATTTCTTAGGGCATGTGGTATGTGCGACACTTTTTCAGGGACTTGTGGGGTTTTATGTGACCCTTTCCGGATATAAGGAGTATGTGACTCGTAAAGGACATGAAAATTTAGAATTTGTTACTCGTATTTGATACTAGTTTTGACTCTGAAGATGACTACCGCTAAGGTTGTCGAAACGTCAGTCAACAACAATAAAAACAGTCCTTCTCAGGACTATACCAACCTGGACGATCTACATTTACAAACATGTAACTCGTATTTCTGTTACTAATTTGAAGCAATCTTGTCTGCAACCTTTAAGCAACTCGTTTTGCTTCGGGGTAAAAACATCCCATGCTGTGAGTGGTGTAAGTATGAATTTTTCTGATATTTCTTCTTCAGAACGTCACGAGAACCTCCAAAAACAGTTTACCGACGCAGCTCGCACTCTGAAAGAACAGCAAGAATTGATCAAACAGCTTGAGGCGGATCTTCTCTCCGTCCACGCTTTACCATCAACGCATCGAGGGCAAGGAGAGGTGAAATATTTTAAAGTGCTTATTATAGCACAAAACATATGGTGCATGATTGATAAATGAAAACATAATGAAAAAAATTTATCGTTTTAGTCTAGGTTCAATGTGGTGGTATAGCCATCGCGCAGGTTTGCTCGTTCTATGTAATTCTCAGATCATTAGCGTTTTTTGTTTCTTTCGAAATGTTGTGTGTTTTTCTTGTTGTTTTACAGTTGGCGAACGTCGAAATATATACATAACACGACGTTTTGAGAATATTCACCCGTCAATCGATGTATTTCTCACTTCTCTCCTCCTCCCCCCCTATCTTGTCTTATTTCATCGATTCTTTTTTATGCTTTCCCATTTCCCTCTCTTTCCTACAACGATCTTTTTGATTATTTTATGAACTTCCCACTGCCTTTTTGTAATTCTCCTTTCTCTCTTTCTGTACACAACACCATTTCTATTTTCATTCTTTTTGTTCAAGGGTGAATCTGGACCAACAACTGAATCAGAGCTGGTGTCAGTCGCTGTACAGGGAGTTGTAAAAAGTCCGAATATCATACCATCAGGTAAGATTGTTCAATGGAATGATGTATTTCATCATTTTATAATGTATTTGATAAAAAGAGTATAGGGAACTAATGCCTTTGGTATATTCGTGTTTATTCATATATATCTCTGTGTCGTGTATTTTGGCTGACGGCAGTTCACATGACTTCAAATGTCCAAATTTTTTGCCATCTTTTAGAAGCGATTCCCGTGGAAAGTTCTTCATCCGCCGACTCCCTTCTGCCCATTATTTCAAGTCAGCGTGAGAGATTTAAGACGCGAAATATGGAACTTGAAGCAGTATGTAATGAGTTTTTCAATCAGTGAAATTAAGCCATTAAACTGTTCTTCCTGGTATCTTGCAAAGATGATCTTTCATGTGCTTTCGTTTTTATCTTTCAGCAAGTACGTCACCAACAACGACAAACAAGTCTTTTGCAAAATGAAATCGACGGCTTGCGTTCTGACAACGTTAAACTTTATGAGAAAATTCGCTTTCTGCAGAGTTATCCCAACAAAGGTGGGAATAACCGAGAAATGGATGAAATAGCTGTCAATAAGTATTCTTCCCAATATGAAGCACGACTTGATCCTTTTGCCGCTTTCAACAAAAACGTGAGCAACTTGAGATTTCGGTTGTGAAGTGTAGAACCTCTAACATATTTCACAATTCCTCCTTCAGGAAAAACAACAAAGATACCTTGGTTTAAGTGCTCATGACAGAGTTACACTGAACATGGTAAAAAATACAAAACGAACCGCGCTCGTGTTTACGTATCTCTTTGTTTCAATGCTTCAGCATTGTTGCTGTCATTATGAATTTACATTACAACGCAAGCTAAATGTTGATGGTGTTTTTTTGTAGGGAAAATTCATTCTGTCCAACAAAATAGCTCGGGCTGTGACCTTTTTTTACACCATATTACTTCATTGTCTTGTTTTCTTGGTATGATATTTTTGTCATTCATAAACTGTGCCGTCACTTTCATATATGATGATCATTTTCAATTGTATATTCACATGATTGGTGAATTTCATTCAGGTATTGTATAAGTTGGCATATACAGAATCGTGCAAACGAGTTGTTGCTGAAAAATATGACACTGGGTAAGTTTGAAACTTGCCACACTAGAAATACATTTGCAAAGGAAAGGTAGATAAATGAGATACTAGACAGAAAAGGTAAATCAATGCTATAGATAGATCATAACCTGTTGAAGACAAGCAAAAGTGAAGGCATGTGGTAGTGCCCTGGAGAAGATGAAAGTTGTATGGCAGTCAGTCACAAGGGACTTATTTGTTCAATTTTTGATGAAGTTGTTCAAAAATATACTAGAAAGTGAGGGAATGGTTAATGAAGAAGTGTGTTAGTACCAACGAACAATCACGAAATGCAAATTCAAAGCTAGCCTCTATAGAAGAATGAAGTATTTGAAAGCAACCACGAAGTTTCATGCTTAGGAGAGTCGTACAAATGCATATTTTGCTTTTAAGGTATTGAGAAAGGCAAGGAATGTGAGAGGGGCTGTATACTGAGATCTTTTTCCATTTTTAGTGATTAACACAACATATTACCAAAAGTTTTGATTTGGTTTTTGTGCTTCCATTTTAGAGTTTTTGAGCACATGCAAAATGCTCATGAAATGCCAAATGTATTTCATCCTACATGATGCAATGGTAATTACTGTGATCATTACGTATCCTAATAACTGATTAATTAAATCATGTACAATAGAATTGGTTCTTATTTATGCATTTGATTTCTATACATCTTTTTATTAACAAATTGTAGCATTTCCATATGATGCAATGATTAGACACATAGAAATTCAAGAATTCATTTATTGACTACTAGTTCGTATATAAGCACAGTTTCAGTTTAATGTTGCAATAATTTATCTTAGCCTAATGACTGCCCAGAATTTTTGTTTTTCTTCAAGATATGATATAGGCAGTATAAAGTTTTCAATAAGCATAGTTGGCTTCAAAAGTCTTTTGACTTCCAGCAAGGCTTTCAATGCCAGTATATTTTCCACATGAAGCTGCACCATTGGCCAATGCTCGTTTAGCATACTCACATTGTCCTGCTTTCACATTATCTGGTTTACCACTCCATGCTTTTAAGGCACTTGCCTGAAGGGCACGTCCAAATGAAAAGGTCAATGCCCAAGGCTTCTTCCCTAAGAACAAAATGAGAAGTATGAAATCAGAAAAATAATTAACTAATTAACAAAAATGTTGAAAAGATGTTTGAGAAAAGATTGTAGACAAACCAGGATGCTTATTGACTGCATTAAGGTTAACTGAAGCTTCCTCTTCAGATTGACCACCAGAAAGGAAGGTAATACCAGGTACGGCAGGAGGAACAGTACGTTGAAGGGCTGTGACTGTTGCTTCACCTATTTGTTCTGGTGTGTATTTCTTTGAGCAACTCTGACCTGCAATTATATTTAATATTGTACAATAGGGACGAACAAAAGCACTTGTACTTTGACTTTGACGTCACCACAGTATGTTCTTGTTTAAAATTATACAACTTGTGCAACAAGGAAAAGCGGAAAGGCCGGCGTGATAAAACAACAAACAAAAACATAATATTGTACGTAAATTTCACATACACTAACATCATTTCACAATGTCGCATAGTGTACAATTAAGGATATGGAACCGTATTAAAAACATTTTTTTGTTAAACGTACCTGGTGTAACCATGTTCGGCTTGAGTAATGTGCCCTCCAAATAAACATGATGATCCATCAAAGCTTTGTACGTTGCTGACAGCACGGCTTCCGTTGCTTTTTGACACGTTTCAAGGTCATGTTCGCCATCACAAAGAATTTCAGGTTCAACAATTGGTACCAAACCATTGGCTTGACAGATAGTTGCATATCGCGCCAATACGTTGGCATTCTCCTTCATCGCCAATTCGGAAGGATTATTAGGGCCAATTTTCAAAACACAACGCCATTTAGCAAACTGACAGCCATCTTTCTTATACTGAGCGCATCTCTCTCCCAAACCATCTAAACCTTGGGTCGTGCACTCATTCACGGTCCCAGCCAGAGGTACAACACCTTTATCAACCTTTATACCAGGAAGGATACCGAGGTCTTGAATCATTTTCACAAACGGCGTGCCATCGTCAGCTTTCTGATAAAGAGTTTCGTGAAAAAGTATAACGCCACCAATATTCTGAGCAACTTTCGGGTCGGTTGAGAATAGAAGTTGTCGGTAAAGACGGCGATTTTCTTCAGTGTTTTCGACAGATATATTCTTAAATCTTTTACCCATCGTGCCTGTACTTTCATCAGCAGCTAAAATACCTTTCCCCGGTTTCACAATAGCTTCAGCGTTGTTTTTTAACTCTTTCTTTAACTCTGGTGTGAGTGGAGCATCCATCTTTTTTCAAAAAATAAGGGAATTTGCAGAAATAATGTTGAAAATGGAGAGCGTAAAGCACTTCGGACGGTGTGGTTAACGTCGACAGCTTTGTGGAAAAGTGAATTTGTTTTTATCTTAGCAAATCTAGCGTTGTGATTGGCCAAAATAAAAAATTATCATTGTATCATTAAAATTATTCTAAATATTTTTAAATTATATTCATAAACACGAACTAACACATATGCACAGCCTAGAAAAGCAGCTTCTTGTGAGGACTTCAATCTGTTGAAGGTCGTTCCTTCATTTTTCCACAAGTTTGTGAAAAACAAAATTATCAGCACCAGTTTTGAACGTAAACACAAACTTTACCAACGAACGGTGGGCGTTTCGTAGGCGCGATTCTATCGAACGGCATTCAACAATATACATAATATTTTATTATTTCTTTTTGTTGCTATTGGTGTTGTAAATGCAGCGTTTACTAGCGTTGCTATGTCACACAACACAAATCACACTCGTTTATAATGAAAATGTAAATTAAGAGTGCAATGTATTTCAAAATTTTCAGGTTCTTTATCAAAGTTGAGTTGACCAAATACTGTCATTTCCCCTTTCAACTTTTCAGAATAATCAACAATTTGTCAGATCACTATTGTCACTGATTCCAATCATTTGATGGGTCATCTCTAATTTCCCAAACACAGTGTGCAAATCTTGAAGACAACATGTATTCCTCTTCATGCTTCCTTGATATAAGACTGTCCTGCAAAACAAATCCAAACTTGTCTGTCAATACATCCGGAACGGAGAAAAGTAAGTGGCTCCTTGGAAACTCATTTAGAAAATTCCTTCAATATTTGCAGCCTTAGACTTACTAAAGCATCCACAGACTTCCTAGTCTTCCACAGAAAACAGTTTTTCAAGTCTTTTTGATAAACCTTGCAGTCTTCGAATTTCCCATATTGATAATATTTACGGAATTGATTTGAAGATGCTGAAGATTGGTTTGTTGTTAATTTGTGCACAACACTGATAATAAAAATATTTTGATATGTAGTATTGATTGAATATTTTAGTCAATAGTATACCTACACACGTTCTCCACTTACTCCAATAGTCAATACATCTAGGCTATAAATTAAATTATATAAAGATAAGTTGTGGATCAAAAATATTTTGTCGAAGTTTCTTTAAAAAAAAATCAAGAATTTAAAAAACGGTATCTATTTAAGTAAAGTTTTCTTACTTTCCAATGAATTCTATCAAGCATTTTCTCTTCTTCGGCCGCCATATTGAATTGATTATTTAAGAAATAAAAGATGCTTTTTTGCACGGGCCTATGCAAATCGAGGAGACCTTTGAGAGAAGTTGAGAGCTGATCAGTGCAAGCCCGAGACCGAAGGTCGAGATCTTTTACTTCTTTTATAAAATAAAAATAATGAGACAAATAAGACAAATAAAACGTTTTAACATTCTTCTACGTGTATTCATGATTGATGTGCAAATTCTCTTTGATTGATTGATTGATTTGATTGGTTGAGCTCAGATTGGTTTTGGCACAGGCTTATGCAAACACAGCTCTAAACCAATCAGCGGACGCGTTTCATTGGTTATATAAATATAATCATCGTTATCTGTGAAAGCATGGTATAGGTTACTTTGCACTTCTGCATTTCTATTGTTTTTGGCTTCTCCTCATCTACTGCCTCAAATATCATCAGTATATTACTTCATTATGATCGAAAATTTCTTTATCGAGTGTGGTAAAAGGAAGAAGAAAGAGGAAAACGAAGAATTGGAAGAAGGAAAACGATCAAATAAACTAGCGAGGAATAATATTTTGGGTAAATTCGATGACATTTCGATACTCTTGAGCAGAAGGCTTGAGCCTGAATGGAGGAGAATTACAGCTGAGAATTTAGAATTGCAATATAGTATTCTGTTTAAGGCTGGCGATGCGTACAAGATGTTCAAATTCCTTGAAAAAGAAATTGAGTATGAGAAAGAGAGTAAGGTTCAGGTTTTTGGAAAGTGGCATCAGGTCCCACGGAAACAAGCATCATTTGGAGATTATGGCTTGAAATATACATTTTCAGGGACAACAGTTACTGCAGAACCATGGACTCCATTTCTTGAAGCACTTCGGGACATGTTGGTGAACATGATTGGGGTGTATTTCAATTTTGTTCTGATTAATCGATACAAAGATGGTATTGACCACATGGGTGAACATAAAGATGATGAAAAAGAGCTGATTGCCAAAAGCCCAATAGCTTCTCTATCCTTTGGTCAGGAGAGACAATTTGTTTTTCGTCACCAGGATTCAAGAGGAGCCAAAGCAACCAGAAAAATTGAACCTGTCAAACTTTGTCTGCAATCAGGCAGCATCCTGCTAATGAATCACCCAACTAATTCATTCTGGTACCATTCACTGCCAATTCGTAAAAATTGCCGTGGACCAAGGGTTAACCTTACATTTAGACAAATGCACACAAGGAAATGATTCTAATGCTTGCATTGGATGTTTATATTCCCTCTGGAAAAGGAGATGTATTATGTCGATGAATAAAAACTACCCTATTTTGGAAAGGCGTAAAAAAGGTTGTGCAACAAATGTTGCAAGCAATAAAGTGTTTTGAACTTTTGATTAGAGTCTTGTATCCAATATATCTCAGAAACATTCATATCTTTTTATATTTCTAGTTATAGTCATGTGCAAATTAAGTAATTAGGTAACTGAAACTTATCAGTGTATGTTACTGATGATGGCTAAGATTTGTGAATTAAATCAATAAAGTTTAAGTTAATAGACTGGATATAGGATATAGGATATGTTTATAAATGTAGATTCAAACCATTTCAAACCATTTACTTTATAAGGATATAGGATATGATAGTCCAGGCTCCTCAATGTGTGTTGAGGTCAATGTATAGATTAAATTATGCAGTTGAATAAAGCAAATATGTCATATATGGGTTCGAGAGATTATTTATAAGCATGAGAAAACTACGAGAAATTGCTCTAAAACTATTTGAAGAGGTCGAACGTGAAAAGCACGAAGAGCGAGAAAGTAAATTTACACATTTTGGAATGGCGTCTTTGAATTTATTTGATATTTCTGCTCTTTCATACAAATGAATGAAAGATTTTCATCAATTTTTCCTTTTTTCATTGTGGGTAGACAATCAGGTGCCCAGCGATGAATTACTATCTGCGTGAGTACAATGTTTTTATTTCTTTCACGATGCAATCTTACTGTTATTCATTATTTATACAATTTGTGTTTATGAGACGAGGATCGAGGACGACGTCCATAATTATTTAATGTATGCAAGATGCAAGCAGCTTATTTTAATATTTATAATGCTAATGTGATATAAAAAGATACAGTACATTTTAAGAAACCGTAGTAAAGGTTTAAAACTGTGGAATATTCCATTCAGGTTACGGCTTGTATTCCCACAGACATTGCTGCAAGCTTTGGATTTGATTGATCGTCAGTTGGTAACGAGAGTACTTTCTCCTCAAGGCCGAGAAGCATTCCAAGTAATAAAGATAAACTTGAAATTGAGAGATCTTTTGCTTTTGCTAATTTTTGAGATCTTTCAGTTTAACTTTGCCTTTTTACATTTAAGGTTAAAGGCTTGTCTGGACGAATTTACTTGTGTCTAATGTCCTCAGAATATTGCACATGCCCATCATATACTTACTATGGTATGTGTTGTACATTCTTCATTTTTCCTTTTACTACAATAATAAATTATTGGTTGGAAAACCATATCTGCTTGGTTGTATTATTTCTTTCTCCTATAATTAATAATAGTTCTCATGATTAACTGTTAAGAACAATGTTTACTTCATGTAGTCTTGATGAAAGAAGAGATGCTAATGGTATGACAATCTGTTTTATTAGACAATTTATACCAGCTCAATGGTAATGATTTGATAAATTCATCCTTGAATTATTCTAGTGTAAGCATGTGTTGGCTGTACATCTTTCTCTTAAACTTGGAACCTCAATTGTGAAAAATGTGAGCAAGGAGGACTTTGCCAATATCTTAATGGAAAGTCCCTCATGAAATATTGATTAACATTAAGTAAGTATTGGCAAGATATGATCATTTGTATTCATTGAGAAAGGCCATTTTTTGGAAGATAAATATTTATTTATGTTGCAGTAATATGATATTAATACTATTTTTACAGTCAATTTTTATCTAACATTGCTTTGACTTCATAGTAGTCATATTAGGAAGTTTAATCTGCTATCACTTAGCCTTTGAACTTATGAGGCTTCGTTAATGCTATTAGACACAATGTCTCGTGCCACTTGAAATGCTGCAAGTAATGAACCTAGTTGTATCTTTTCTGAAGTACCTGAAGCCAGTCGATGCCTAGGTATAAAAAACGAATTGCTTTCAGTTAAAAGAAAAATATCATAACAGAACGAGCTTTAAGAAAAGTACTTACTCTACATTTGCCATTTTGTCGAGTAACTGCATGCGCACCACAGCAGGAAAGTCAACTAAATCAAAACAAGCCATGATTTGATATAATAACATTTAGAGTCTCCTGTTTATGTTTTAGTCATTGTACCTCTATGTACATAGGTGTGAACTTCTGCCAGGATATCATCCAATGCAAGTCCTTTCCTTGTTTTAAGTTCCATTATATCTTATTGCATTAAGATCTACATTTCACGCAATAAGCAAAAATAGCAACCACATACATGCTTCAACTTCAACACTACACTTTCAAAGCTAAGGAGTATTTTGAAATGTTTTTGTAAAAGGATACTATGATAAGATGTTTTATAATCTTCATTCAACATCCAATCTACAATTTTGGCTATATCATTTCTTTGAGGTTTTCCTGTGCATGTGTAGATATTTTCCTCATTGACAATGTCAAATGCGATCGAAGTACTCTACAAAAAAGCGAAACACTGGTGCAAAAAAGCGAAACACCGTTGCAATTTATTTTCGAAAAATGTGCTCCTGATTGGTTACTCAAACAAAGAAGTGATGTTAGAGCCAATCAAAATAAAACATTTGAAAAGCAGGAAAGTTAAATTAATGTAAACAAAGCAATTACAGTGGCTGGCGTAAGTTTTAATTGAAATATACGAGCTGGTCGATAATAATAACTTGCCGACTGAAATGTATGTACACTTAAGTTAAAAGTCAACAGAATTGAGAAATTTTTTCATGTATATTATTAATAAGTAATAGCATGGTTTCTCATGCAATTTGGAAAACATGCTCTTGTGAGGTTTTCAAAGACTTCAAATTGCACTTTTGCAATTTTGATAGTCTTTGAAAAACTCACTCTGCATGTTTCTTCCAAATTGCACTCGAAACCATGCTATTACATATACAAATCAAATACACCTACCTGTAAGATATTCAAAGCCTTTCTCATATCACCATCAGATAATCTTATCAAACTCTTTTTGCCATCCTCGACAACATTTATTCTATAATTTGAAAGTAGAATGGTAAGGAAAGCTATTCACGTTTGCAAATCAAATCTTGCATGATAGTAAAAACTCAAAGATATACAAACCTTTCATTTTCAATCACAAAGTCAAGCCTTGAACTCATTTGTTGCATATCGAGTGGACCAAATCTGAATCTGGTACATCGAGATTGTAATGCTGGAATTATCTTGCTGAGGTAGTTGCAAATGAGGCAAAATCTGGTGTTTTCTGTAAATTTCTCCATTACTATATGTACAAAAAGCATTATAAATTCCGGTGGCATGTGCTGTTTAAGTAGAATTAACTGTGTCAGTTGACATTATTCACCTCTCCTTAATGCATTTTGAGCATCAGATGTCATTTCATCTGCTTCATCAAGAATCACCATCTTAAATCCAGACCTTTTTCAATTTGGTTTAAGAAATAATTAACTGCAAATTAATATTAACCATATGCAATAATCATTGAATTACTTAAAGATTGTTCTTGTGCTTGCAAAACTGAGTATGGATTCACGGACAATGCCGATTCCTCTGTCATCTGAAGCATTAAGCTGTTTGGAAAAATAGTGAATATTAGGAAGAAAGCATTTCAAGACAAGAGATCTTGCCAATGTTTTCATTTTTTTTATGAAACTCACTTCCAAAACCATAGATCCAAATTCTTTTTTAGTATAAAGTTGCTTAGCGATAGCAAGAATTGTCGAGGTCTTGCCTGTCCCAGGTGGACCATAAAACAACAGATGAGGTAATCTTTCTTCTTTGATAAACTTTTGAACTGGAAGGATGAGGTTTTAAATGTGAATCCAGAAACTATTTGCAAACGGCCGGTTTTATGCACCGTTGGAATTTGGAAATACTTCGAAATATCAAATACTTATCTAGTATCTACTCACTTGTTTTGATAATATCTTTGTGAGAAATCAACTCGTCTAAGTTATTTGGACGATATTTCTCCACCCTAATTAAACAAAAATTTGAGTTGTAAAACGTTTTCTTGCTTAAGTCAGTTGAAAGTGAAGGCCTATTTACCATGGCAAATTTACAAGTTCTTTATCCGCCATATTGGAAATAGTACCCGCCATTTGGCGCGTATATTATGCGTATATTGGTATGTGTACTTTAGGGTACTATGGGGGTACTCATACAAAAAGTTGCGATACATTGACAATGACCATTTTAATGACCCCAACATCGACAGGAGTGGTATTTTGAAATTAAAAAACTTATAATGACGGGGCCTAGCGGCTAGTATTTCGTGGGGTTACCTAGCGACTAGCAATTTACCCAATCTTGCGTTGTTTTTCCGAAAATTTGGTAATTGCCACTCCCCTAGCCTACCTTCACTCCTACCGGGGGGTACGCCCATGTTTATCGTTACCATCGTTACAGGCATTCAAGACAGCTCAGTCGTTTATTGACATAATTATGTACAACAGGAGGAATTGGCACGGAGAAGGTCACTTAAAAAAGCATCATAAACTCATTTCGATATTTGTGGCATTATTCAATTTGACGCGTCGACATTTATTTGAATTTGATAAAAATTTGGGTTCCCCTTTCATTACACAGCTTTTTGCCCCTTCTGTGTAACCCAACACTCGCAGTCCACACCCTAATAGTTACGTCATCGGAAAATATTAAACCCCTATTGTGTGAGGTGGCTTTTTAAATGCACCCGAAATCACATGTATATAATATTTCATTCATAATTACAACGATTCACCAATGACGCGTGTCTAATTGCAAAAAACCTGTGTTCGAAATATACCATTAAGAATGACGGTAAGTCTCTATTGGCTTGTTAGAACAACTTAATATTACCATTATATCGCATAGAATTGTTAGTGGTAAAGCCACGATTAACTTTTTGCCACATTATTATTTCATCCTGTCAAATTCGTCTGGCTTCGTTATTTCATTTGGTGGGCCAGAAAACGTTTGCATGACTGCAAACAGTTAGGTTCGTTTTGACCTTTCCAATAAAAAGTGTTTGCCTCTGCGCTAAACTCGATTGAAGAATTCGTTTGTGGCTTATGGTTGAGCTTATATATGATGATGCCAGACAATTTGAGACAGATGCTCGTAATTTTCTTCAAAACGTTTATTGTTTAGATTGTATTGTTCTCTGTTTAGGTAAGTAATTGTCGTATTTGTCATGTGCACCTTCGAACTAAAACAAATTTTCCAAACCAATTTCACGGTTATTGAGATGTCATTCAGTAATTGAACATTTATTGTCTTCACACGTTTCTTCATCGAGAGACGAGTGAAGTATTTATTATTTTATTAACTAGCAATTGATTTTTGGTATAATTTTCATGTTTCTAGTCTAGGATGCCGTATAAAGATTGTTTTCATCTTATTTTGTACTTATTTTATTGATCTTTCAACGACATGTGAAATAGACATTATAAATTATGGAATTCCTTTTCGTATTACAGATCTTCACTTGCGTGAGTATTGAAAACGGTGATATATTGACTTCGGAAAGAAAATTCACAAACTACCAGAACGAAAATGCTGTCTGCGGAAAGCAAATGTGAAGGTACATAATTTTACGTACATTCGAAGGTACATCACTGAAACTGACTTTCTAAGTAAAACACAGAATGTGATTTCATAAATGAGATTGGTTCAAAGGTGAAATAGTTTAGTTACGAGTGCATATAAGCGACTTAAAAGGATTTTCCAAAAACCTCTACGAAAGTGTTCACACTACGTAATAGTTAAATTTTGCAAAGTTTAAATATTTTTGCGCATAATTCTCGTCAGATGGCCACTGCAACATCAACACAGAATAAGATTTTGATATGGGAAAAAGCCATCCAAGGTTGTCGGTTACACACACAAAAAGGCTTTCTTTTAGTCGATACAAAAAAAGATTCAACAATATTGCTGTGCATCTACAACATGATTGCCAACGACGATGCAATAATTTTTTCCATTCTTCAATTTCCAGAAGGTTGTTGAGAATGATGGATGTGTTTTTCGTGCCGTGCAGCACAACATAATTCGTGTTTGTCATCACTATTTAATTGAATTTTTCCGTTTGCAAAAAAAAATCCGAGCAGTAAAGTTGAATTTAAATGAAAAATATTCTCCCTGTAAAGTGTGCGATGTTTTCGCCTTTTTCAGAGCTCGTGATCAGGCCCACGTCAAACGCATCTCGGGTATTTCAAAAAGCTGCGGCTAAACTCACAATTATATCGGTGTTATCTCGACAAATCGGTACCACTGTCTATGATCAACTGCCAGGATCGCGAGGAAAAGATAAAACTGAAGAAAAATTTGATAAGTCTATCGTTATGAGCTCTGTTGGTGTTCTGAAACACTTACCTAGGGTTGTCGAGGGATCGAGTGAGATCTTGTTGACAGATAGGGATGTTGAAAATGAGAATGTGGCTGGAGTTGAAAAAGACGAGGTCGAGAATGGCGTGGTAAAGTATGGTAAAGATGGCAAAAGTAGCGATCCATTTGATTTTATGAAAGAAAGAAAATTATCTGAACCTGTTTTGAGCGCAAGGTTTGTTGTCATTTCTGGGTAATCGTCATACTTCATTTTCTTGTGATGTAATGAGCGATATTTAATACACTTGAGTTCTTCAATAGACATGATTAACCGAGTGATTAACGACGATTGTGTCGTGATTTGCAACGATGCCGAACACCAACATACATTTCATCCGAATCGTGTGGCATAGACGCAAAAAAATTGTATCGTAGTGAATAATGTAAAACGTGCCTCGTGTATTACAGCTTACGGCCTTACAAATCTCGATGTATGCATTTTATAGGAAAAAGAGCGGTGTGCTCAATCCAAAATTCTTCCGCTGTCGCAGTACTCTTGATTTGAGAAAACCTGAGAATGGTAACACGTTCTAAATTCCTTATAATTTGGTGGAAAATATGCAAAATCGTTCATATTTCAAAGGGGGTGCGGGGCTTAAAGTATTTGTCAACACCTATGGTTCTCCTGACCTTACTACTTTTAAATTGTCACAATTTACATTATAGTTAAGTCTCTTTTGAATTTACTGTAATCCTCCTTCATACAGGGACCGTATCGAAGATCGATGACTAAAGGGGCTACATGTTTCATTTAAATTTATTCGTTTCTTTTGAAATCAATGGTGATTGTGGATTAAGACGAATTAACATACATGGATGTATCAATATGAGCCCCTCTCCACAAGTCATCGATCTTTTGCGGTCCATTTTATATGAACGAGAGGTTTTCTGGCTGAAAACGAAAACCCGGTTTTTTTTTACGACAGATAAGCCAGTGGTACTGCGTGAACTTGGTGGATACAAATTCTACACTAAAGCTAGTGACACGAGCGACAAACGTGAAAAACATAACGCCAACGAGTGCGACACTGACAGCAGCAGCAGCATAGTTTCAACGTCGAGTGAGGTTTCAGCATTGAAGAAAACCATTGCTGAATTAAGGGAAAATTTCAAAAACCGCGAAAAAAGTGTACTTCACTTGGAAAAGAAATTATCGCTAACGGAGCAGGAGAATGCAAAAAATAAAAAACAAATTGTCACTTTCAAGGAGAAATTGAAAGATGGTTCGGGTACAATGGATTACTTACGACGCGAGAAGGATGTGTTGGCATCAGAACGCGATCGTCTCAGCTTCATGTTGTTAACCGCCGAGCATGAACTCAAGGAATTGCGGGCGCAAAATACGAATCTAATCACGGAGTACGAGTGTGTTGAGCACAGTCGTAAAATTGCCGTTGGTCACTTGCAAGAATGTGAAAGAGTCTGTCGAGAAACTCACGAGGTTAAATCTGACTCTTCTGTTGCGAAGAAAAACTCTGAAATATTATTGAAAAAGTTAAGCTCTACGAAAGATATCGTACAAACACTACGTAAAGAAAGAGACGATCTACTGTACGAACAAAATAAAATCGCTGCTTTTTTTACATCCACTCTGAAGGAAGTCTTAGAACAGGTACGAAACGTCGAAGCTCAAAAGAGAAGAAAACTGGAGATGGAATCCAAGAATAATTTTTCATTAGAAGTCATACCTTGCAGCAGTGAGGAGGTTTTTGTCGAGCCCGAAACTTTGCCGGCTGATACTGAAGATATTCTTACTTTACATGTGTTTAAAAAGAAGTTGAAATCCAACGAACAATGCATTGATGATTTAGCCAACAAGATTCGAAATCTTGAGAAGCAGAAGAAAGATTTATTGGAAACGAGGTTTGCGATGATCCAGAAATTCCAATCTTCGAGTGACGTCACGGGGGAGTTGGAAGCAGACACAAGCGTCAGTGACATGGAAGAAAAAGTAGACGCTGTCGAGGAAGGTAGGAATGGTTTAGCATATGATTTGTTTACGCTAAATCGTAATTCTGACTTTCACTCCATATTATTCTGCAGATGGTGATCAAAAACGAGCGCGTGTTACGAAGAAGATTCGAAAACTTGAGCGCACTCTTTCCATGGATCACGGTGTGGGGAAACTGGACTGTATTCAAAAGCTGTGCAAGAAGTTGGAGGACAGTGAACAGCGTATTCACGAATTAGAGGCGGCAAATTCCGAACTACGAATGGAGCACGAGGATATGGAGGAAGAAGCGAAATATCTGAAATATGTTCTGTCATATCGTGGTGACGTTATGAAGGCTCAACTCAAAAGTGAATATGAGAAAAAGATTACTGCTCTCAAGGATGAAATAGAAGAATCACAAGGAAGGAGCTTGAAAAAAGCAAACAATGAAATTTCATCTCTTACAAAACGGAATCAAGATTTGGAGGATGAGGTTTGTGTTCTTCGTCTTATGAAAACATGACATTGACAAAACGTATTCATTTTTTTTGACATGGTTAAGTTGTTTTTAAATAAAATACTTATACTGCTGCATATCCATTCAGGTTCAGCGTCTGCATGAAGAGCTGAGGACATTACTTCAAAACCTTTTTTCTTTATACGCTGCTCAAGGATCTCCTTCGGAATCGAGAGAACACGATAATAATAATTTTGCTGACACTTCTTCTAACTCAAACAATTCTAAAAACATTTCCAAGGCATCCACTATGACTGTAGTTGAATCTGAAAATCATTGTCACATCGAAGGAAGTGATGATGTAACTTTGGAGACAGATAGCGGTAAACCATGTGATGATAAAGACCATTCTAAGGATTCCGGTGCTGAAATCACATTCGCGGGAAACCTGGAGGACAAAGTTGCGCAACTTCTTGAAGAGAAACGGGTTCTACTCCAGAGCATGCAGTTACTTAACAACCAACGAGAATCCTCTGTTGGTAGCGCAACAGAATCCGAATCCTCGGCGGTCGTTAAAGCCGAATGCACGGACATTTTCACAACAGAGCAAAGATATACATGCTTGGCCGACACTTTACAAAAAATGCGCAAGTTGCTTGCTGAACAACATGAGCACGAAAATGACGAAAACGACGAAACTCTATCAAAGTTGAAAAACGAATTGAAATGCTTAGATGAAAAATTGACGGAAGGCCACTCCACACAAAAATATGACATCCAAAAGACAGACGTTGAAGTCAACTCAGTGCATAATGATAGGCGAATTTCTGAACTTGAAATGGAAATCTACCGTCTACACGAAGAGAAAAAATCCCTTCTTTCTATCATAGTTCGTTTACAATCTGATCCTAACTTCACCCTTAGTGATGACGTAAATGATAGCTCGGTCGTTAGTATCTGTGACGTCATGGTTAAGAACGATACCACTCATAATGATGATATCAAGGAAGATGACATCATACCGACGAAAGAACTCCACTTAAGCAATATCCACGAATTATTTACTCCACTTGAGAATGAGGTAATACTTGAAGATGGTTGTAGTACATCAAAGGATGAAGTTCATTGTGCCACCAGTGACGACAATTTTCTTGGGAGGACATTGAGGGATGAGGGGGTCCAAGTGAACATTAACAGAGATGATGTCCGTGGACTCTTAGGATATTTAGAGCAAGGACTTGATAAACTGAGAAATGCTTTGGACGATGGAAATTTAATCGAAACTAAACCACAAAATGAAGAAACGCTTTCTCATGGTAAGTTGCTCGTGTTGTTAAATCATCTCCCATCATATTTCTGCATAATATACTTTCTTGTCAGATGTCTGTGTAAAATTCCTGTGCGTTTCAGACCCTCACATGTGTCCATGCAAAGGCTCTCTTCAAGACTTAAAGCAGCTAAATAAGGAATTAAAGAACTTAGGACAGCATACTCAAGTTCTGGAGGAAAAATTGCAGGAGAGCGAATCCATAAGGTGCGATCTTCATCGTACTATTTCCATAGCAACAGATATGGCGACCGAAGAGCGGCAAAAATGCGAAGAATTGAAGAGGACGAAAGCAGCTCTTGAAAAAGAGATGCTAACATTAGCCAAAGAAAACCGCGATCTACGTGATGGGCTGGAAACTTTATCGATTTCGAAGAAGCGACGAGGACGTAACCAACGCTCCAGTCTTGCCAGTGATACGCAGGAAGAGGACTGTCACGTGACTTATTTGCCGAGAGCTAAAGCACAGAATATTTCTGAAAGCGAACTGTCTGATATTGAAAGTCCTTCTTTTGAATTCAAAAGTTTTTCTCGCAATCCCTAAATGACCTCAATTTGACAATTGTTGTATGAATACTTTGCATTTAGCAAACAAATCGTGTTCATTTTTTGTTGTTTTTTGTTACTTCTGAAGTATTCCAGCTCAAATTGATAACTGCTGTTGGGAAAATTACAAATTCGAAATATATCCATGATTTCAATATGCATTTGAAGTAAACAGCAACTTTTTTGGAAAAAAGACTGTGGCGGTGGCATGCTTCATATGAAACAACTACTCGTGTAAGTTATATTAACTGTCCCTGTGTAAAATTAATTCACAGTCTAAACATATTTAAAAGCTTGATGTGGTTAATGTCATGTATTGATTGATCTTCTTTGATATTTTTGATAAAGCGCATTTTCAATTTAATAGAAACCATGACGGTGCCTGAGACTCAGAGAAATACGAATGGTTGTGTAGTTTTACATTTTGGTAAATAGTGAAGTCAAGGTGATGTTTGCCAACGTGTGAATTTGTGCATGTTTAGTATTGTAAAGATGGCGAGTTGTCTTAGTCAAAATGTATATCGAGAATTACAAAATTACCACATGATTACACCATTATTTTACACACACACGACCAAATTGAAATCTAAGTTCAAATTTGAGCGCCTGCGCAGTGAGTACTTTCAACAAGCCAGACGCCATCTTAGCCATGTGTAGTATGAATAAGCATGAAGCATGTTTGAATCAAAACATAGCAAGAAAAAAAGGCTTTTGAAAAAGGGCTCAGTAATGTTCGGCGTTAAAGAAGGACACACAGTTTACTGCGACGAAGATTGCAGCTACACGCATCATGAAATATTATTGCTGTTAACTGCGAGCAAGAGAAACGACCCTAAAAGTGCTGAGAAATTCAAACAAAGCGTTCTTAAAGCGATATCGCGTGGATGGAACAAAAACGGTGACATTGAAGACAGCTGTACGTTTTTTCGCTTCCCGTTAGTTCACTGGGCTGCAGTGTATGGAAAACTTTCTGCCCTGCAGTGGCTGTTAAATCAAGGATTCAATGCAGATGTCATAAATTCTCAAGGGGAAACAGCCTTACATCGACTCATTGCTTGTCAGGCTCACGAGCGGGCGGTGGATCCTAGAATGGGTCGTGGTCGCCGATACTCTTTAAATAACATTGTTCAGGTGTTCACCAAAGTTCTTGATATTTTTATGACGAAATCACCCCGGCTGCTACTTCGCTTTGATTATGTTGAGCGCAATACTCCTTTTTCTCTGTGCCTAAAATTATTGAAGGAAAATCAATGTACCTGTCCACGACTAGCTCACTACTATCAGGCCTTGCTCAAGGTGCTGTGTGAGAGCCTTGTGCATTTATTAAAACAAAAGAAACTAAGAGAGGAGTATATTAGAAAAGGCTTTTTGCAAAAAGATTTGGATGGTAACACAGTTTGGCATCTTGCAGCCATGTCACAAAATGAAACTGTGAACTTGTGTTTTGATATGATCTTGAAGAATGTTGTGGGGTTTGATCTAAGTGTCTCAAATAATTTTTACGAAACACCTATTCTAGTGGCTTTGAAGAACAATAACCAGAGATTTGCTGCATTGATAGAAGCATACAAGTTTTCCAGTTGTTCAGTTCCTATCGTTAAGATGGAGCTGCAATCAGAGGAATGCTTGTGTGAGCACCGCAAAAGCAATTGCACCTCAGATAGGCAAGGAGCATTGTCCTCAAATGTCTCAGAAAAATTAAGTAGTTCTTGCACTGATGTTTCTGTCACAGAGGCCACTACACTTGTCAATTATCCCTTGGGAACAGTTGAGCAATCTTTTATGGAAAAGCCACAAACAGTGGGTGTACTCGATGAAGAGAAAGTAGTTTTTACCAGAGAGATGAAGCTGAAAGTAGCATTGATAATGACTCAGTCACAAATATTGATGCTGATGCTAGTCAATGTGACATGGATAATGGAGGCATGACTGACCACCAGACATGCGATTTGGAGTCTCTTAGTGGTGACAATGAACAGGTTGAAATCGACAAACAGATAGACCTTCGTGTGAACATAAGTCATGCAGGGGATGAATCAGACATGTCATGGTCGGAAGACATATCCAATCAAGAAACACAATGTTCAATTGATACGAAATCATTAGATAAATCAATTGAAAGTACAGACATATTAGCTGAGGCATTACGGCTCGCAAATGTTGATAATGAGCTATTGCAACACATTTCCACTGAGCATAATGCAGTTAATGAAGTCACTCAAAACATATCAATACTAACGCCTCCAAATAGCAGCACAAGTCCTGACTTGAGTGAAAATATGCCTGAAACACAACCAGCCACACCACCTATGATAGAACATGTTATGAAAGGCAATGCTCTAACTCCTGTACTTTTAATCAAGTTGCTTTCGGAACCAGATGTTTCTTTGAAGTTCCAAAGTCTACTGAAGGATGTAATCACTGATGATACTGCAAAAGTTGACTCCATGCATTCTACACTGCACAGTCTTAAAATGTCAAAAGGAGAATTGGATAATGAGATAAACTCAGTTGAGGAAATGTTGGGATGTATTGATGTGAAAAAGTTGAAGCTTGCCGAGGAAATAGAAAGACTGCAAAAAGAGGTCTGTGAACTACAAACATCGGAAGAAACTGTGAAAAACAAACTATCCCATCTTAAGGAAGAACAAGCTAAAGTGATAGAAAAAATTGAAGACAATGAATGTATGTGCAAAAAATTAAAAAGACGTCTCTCCGACTGCACAGGTGCGCTAATTGGTTTATCACCAAAGACACAAAAAACATGTTAAATATGTGTATATTGGAAACGCAAATGTGAATTTTGGGTTTTTAAATCAGACTGTATAAAATCATGAACTAGTTCTTTTTATTGTTTGATTTTTAAGGCACAAGCAACAAAGTTTACTTCGTTAATACTGATGATGAATGCAATTTATTTGATATAGTTATATTTTTATATTTTCAAGGGATTGTGTGATGACTTTGAGCCACTTCTTCACAAATATTTCATAAATATTTGAACAGTTTGTAATGAGGGTGGCATTTTGACAACTTGGGAATAAACACCTTACATGTTGTTACAACAAGACAGGCATATATATGATAATGGTCGGTTAAAATGTGCTTGAAAGTGCACACTTCTATTACTTAATTGTTTTGATTCATAAAGTTTTGATTCATTATTAAGCAAAGCAGTCACAAATTATACTTTTTACATTCACCTCAATATTCTGTCATTAGCGATTAATGTTAAACATTTTATTGGCCATCATAAACAAACACTTGCGTGGGATCTAAAACAATAAATGTATTGCTAATCAGACATGAATGATGATAAAAACCATGTACTTTTCCTTTTTTATTGTTGTAGGTTGCTCCCTCCCTGGTAATTTTGGTAATAACAAATACTCAAACCTTTTTTCTGCAAATTGTTTACACTTTTCCACACTACAATGAAAGAAAACAATGTTCGTGTCTCTTATTTTTAACACAAAAATTCAATTCTTTTCAACCTTACCTGATGATAAATAATCCACTGCTAATTCTAGATCAAATGCTCGTGATGGAGAAGATACTCTAAGATAGCCCTTTGAGTTTGAAGCTACAACAAGACCAGTTTGATAGGATATATGACAAGAACACAATTCAATTGCCTACGTCATAATAAAACAACATAATACCTGCAATTGAACCAGATTTGAGCAAAGCATCTCTGTAAGAAAATTTACTTTGTTGTGATTTATTCTTTTGAACATTAGAATCATTCTGTTTTTCTGACATCATATGTCTCTCTTTCTGACTCTTCATGTGTCTGCTGTCTGTTTTCTTTCCTGTATGACCACGACGTCGTTTCCCAGCGCTTTCCTGTTGGTTTACACTATTGCTTTTCTGTTGATCATTATTACTTTTCTGTATTGACTTCTTATCCTTACTGAAACCACTTTTTGTAGATAAATTTCTATGCAGAGAATCCCCCTCTTTAGATAAAATCTCTGTAACCTTGGCTTTATGGTCATTCGTTCTATCTTGATCACTTCGTTTTTTGCTAGTCCGTTTGTGTCGTGTTTGCCATCCTATCAAGTTTTCTTCACATTCTAAAGAGTTCTTTTGTGGGTTAGTCAATGCTTTTGTTGATTGTACCTCTTGATCGAATGAAGAATTTTGCTCCAAATTGCTTGCTTCGGAACATTGAAATTCAACTTCAACAATAGATTTCTGATTACTGCTTGCATTTGTGTCACAATCAGTTCCATGCTTAATGTCAGTATTAACCATACTTTCCACCATCCTGCTTGTGGTGTCCTGAACAATGTCATTCTCGTCAACTAGAGAAATACCAGAATCATCCTCTTCTTGTGTACAACTTTGTGGACTTTGCTGTGATTCATCAAAACTATCTTTATCTGTAGATTCTTGTTCTGAATTTGTGGCACTTTCCAATGTTAAAACATCCTGTTCAATTATTAACTCGACCTCATTTTCTTTGAATGCTTCATGGTCAATTTTACTGGGAGATTCACTTTCCATAAATTAACATTTCCATTTGTAAATTCTGTTAAGTCATTTGCCATTTTACAATCAGGTACATCATGTTTCACAAGCATTTTTTCAAAAGAACTTAACAGATTGTCATCTTCTGGTGCAAATGCCAAAGGTAGATGATCAGGATACATTCCTTGAAATATAAAGAAACCATTTAATTTGTGTTGACACACTGGAAATTTATAAACCTGTGGTCATGTAGGCCAAAGTGAAAAAATATCAAAAATAAAGAATAACCTTCAACATGGAACTCAGGTGGTGTGTGAAACTCATAACTATCATCATCAATGCTGTTGAAAGCTTCTTTATCTCCAGCATCACCATGATCATTCTTTATCGTGCTTTGACAAACACCAGAGTCATCTAACTTAACATGCAAAGGCAAAGATAAGTTGTTTGTTGCCTGAAGGGACTTCAAGGAATGGTCATCAAAGTTGAAACTCTTCTGATCAACTGGAGTGCAACCCTCGGGTGGCGTCTTAAACACACTCTGGTCCATAATGTTGAACTGGTTACTCACGGTTAGTGGTGCGGGTATCGAAAGAGAGTGGTTAATACCATAATATGAAGAATAACTGACGTTTCGAGTTCGAGCTGCAACTTGTCTGGCCATTTCTTTTATATTGTCAAGCTGAAAAAAATATAATTGACATGAAAGACGGCGTCTGACTAAAGAACAAAATCATCAACTTTAAAATCGCACTTCGTAGCAAAGCTATAGACCTTTGTTCACAGGCAAATATATTGAAGGTATTTGAATGTGCGATGATGAAATCGATTATAATAAAAATAAATGTTTCGTTCTCAAGCCGTAGACGTCTGGTAAATCGTTAAAATCTTGTAAATGTATTGAATATGAATGAGTAACCAACTTTTGAAAACTTTTACGAACCAAAACTGATAAAAGTTTGCCAATGTTACGAAAATTTTTTTACAGTAACAGCAGGTAAACGCTGTCGAAGTATTTCAAAATAACGTAGCAATATTGCGTAATCCCCTCGGTAAATTATATAATTTAAAGTTATACCAGTCATGCACCGTATTGATTATGTTACCAGTTTCAATCGCTTGACAAGGTTTTACGCTATATTAATAATTTTTGTTAAATCATAACAATGGCACGTTTTTGAAGAACGAAATCCACAACATCAACAATATGTTGATGTTGATGGACAGCAAATGATATAAAATAAACCAAGTCCTCTTCACAAAATACACACACAAGTCGACAAATTACAGCAAAAACGGTTTAATCATACTCGAGTATTGATAACTTACTCAGGAAATGAAGTAAAACTAGCCAAGCTATTTATGAACAAATGTACATATGTCAAAATTTGTCCAAGCAACGTGTCAACGCGACGAGAACCTGCGAAATCGCCATCAACTGCTAAAAGCTGCTGTACTACTTGTGATATGATTCCAATTTGTATAAAAGGCAAAACATTCCACTATTTAATTTCAAGAAATCATAAGAAGAAAATTTCAAAGTAAATAGCAAAATGAAAACCTTTGAGATGAACTATGGACTATTGTAATGCGCAAGCGTGGCGAATACAGTGGAAAGTGTGAAATGTAAGATTAATTTTGAAACACAATATTAAGTAAAGTACAAACCCAAGACTTTCGTTTATCGTTTGACAAATCTACATTCTCTTTCTCTGAGGACATTGCGTCAAGCGAGAAGCTCTTTTAACGCGGAACTTTTAGCATAACTCGACTATGTTGTTCCTTTGTTCAACTTTCAAAAACTTTTCTTTTGACTTTTGTGATCGCGCTTTATTTGAGCGTCCCAAGATCATTTGCACGTTATAAATAATAAATGGCGAAAATTACGTGTACTTTGATTGATAATATCAAAATGTTATTTATCCCACACTAGGGTCAATCTTACAACATACCGAACCAATCAAAAAGTACTGTTTCTTTAAAAAAAATTCTCTGATAATTTTTGGACGCCTACGTACGTGCTAGCGATGAAATTAATAGCTTTACCGTCTGAGAAAACATGAATTTGTTTTGACCATTCTGCGTTTCAAAAAAAATTCAATTGTATCTGGTACCAGTTAAAAGCAGTTACACTATGTAATGTGTGACCAATTTTTCAACAAGATATGTTACAACTTCGGTTGATAAAAGAACATTTTAAATTTTAACGTATTGAATTGAACACATTTACACATTACATTTTATTGTCTACACATATTGAATTGCACTTAACGGGAGGGAAATGTATACTCAGTTTTGTAAATTCAATTGCACCTTGGGAAAAAGTAAAATCGTGTTTTAAAATCATTAAGGAGGTGGAACGTGCACATACGAAGCGGAAAAAGGGGAAAACAAATAAGCGAGGGCTTGGGAAACCGTGGGTATCTGGGTGTGGGTATCCGAACACCCACAATTCTTTTTTTTTGTGTACCTTAAATGAAGGACACCCACAAATTTAGCTTCTCACTTGAACGTTTATGATAGGTGTACCAAATTTTCAAATTATTGAACGGGCACCAGAAACCAGGGAAATTTTAAATTGTTTGACCATTCACGAAATGATGGAAAGTCTCTTGCGTTATGACATGGCGAATGTGGAACACCCACAACTCTTGAACGCTTACAAAGCCTCTGCAAATAAGCTTCAACAAAGCTTTTTACACATTCATTGTTTGTTGTATATTGAGTCAAACACTAATAATTTTGAACCTTCGCTTTTCCTTTTTTGTCAACTTTCAAAAACGGTTTTCACTTTGTATACTATGGACAGGGGGGGGTGATTTGCAGATGATGGACATTAAATGAATATGGCGGACGATTCTACAACAGAAAAGGCTGTCATGTCAGACGATGTTTCTCATGCAGAATGTGATGTGCAAATGAAAATGAGAGAAGAGAATGATGATGAAGTTACTTCTAGTGATGATGAAATGCCAGAAGATAGTCAAGTAACTGAACTACGAGAGTTCGTAAGTTAAATTTTTACGAGTCCACTGCCAGTCTGCCACTGTCAGCCTAGAATTTATTCGGGAACACGTGATAATGAAGAACCTCATACTGTTGTTTTTTAGTTACGATTTTTTATTTTGCATTTCTTTACCATTAGCATTTAGTAAGATCAAGTCGAATAAGGAAAAGGCTTTAAGAATAAATTATTTTTGCTAAGGTTTGGGTTCAATAACATTATAACATACAGGGTAGTCTGTTGTCATTCGAATTGCAATAAAGTATAAACTACTTTTTGAATATTTAACTGAAAGATAAACATTTTTCATAGCTTGAAAACTCACCTTTCCATTATGAGAGTCATCTTAAATTGATTCAAGCATTGCGCGAGATTGGTGACCTGGACAAAACAAGGCAAGCCAGAGAAACAATGAGTCGTATGTTCCCTTTAACCCCAGGTAACCCATATTTTCCTACATCATAACAATATCTTAGATCAAAACAGTTAATTAGAAGGTCTTTAATTGAATAGAAATTTGGTTGGAATGGATTAAAGATGAGATGCCACTCTCTTGTATCACAGAACAGAAAACTTATATCCATGATCTGTTTGAGAAAGCTGTTCAAGATTATCAATGTATGAAGTTACTTCTGTGGAGAAACTATTTACTATCTTGTGATTTACTATCATTCATGTGTCAATTCTTGGTAATAGAGTGTATTTCACACTAAATCATTTGATTGACGATTATTAATATGCACTCAGGTCTGATGCTTTACAAATAACTGGAAAGTTGAAATTTAGTTCTGTGACCTTTCTAAACATTTCCAGCTGTCAAACTGTGGACAGAATATTGTCAGTTTGTTATGGATAACATGGATGGTGAGGCAGGGATAGAAGAGGCTCGAATGGTATTTGAGAGAGCAATAACTGCTGTTGGTCTTCATGTGACTGAGGTTGGGGACTTTGTGATTTTTTTCAAGACTTGTGTGATATATAAGTTGTTAAGGTTTTTATAATCATGAAAATATGGAAAATAAATTGTTATTACAGGGTGCAGCTATTTGGGATGGTTATAGGGAATTTGAAATGGCCTTGTGCGACTCATATCAAGTGAGAAATGGTTTATATGCTACTGCCTATTTGTCATATTGTCATTGCTGTTTTTGGCATCCTCGATGTTAAATGTTTGCTCTAATTGTAGACAATTGCTGAAGGATCCAATGGTCCACAATTCCAGAAGAAACTGTATGTTAAGTCGACTTCATTGAAATATTTTAAAATTGAAAAATAAGTTCATACAAATATATGCTGATAATATCTTACAGTAGCCAACAGAAAGAAAAAGTGAAAACTCTTTTCAGACGAGAAGTCTCTGTCCCATTAATTGGTAAATAAAAAAATGCTCTCATATAATATGTTCCATACCAACGTTTCCTTATGTGTGAATGTTGTACAACCATAGGAATGCAAGCTGCTTATCGAGAATATGAACAATGGTTAGGAGATGAAGGAATACAGGAAAATATCATGCGAGAATACAAACGAGCCGAAACCAAACTTGAAAAATGTTTACCTTTCGAAGAGACATTGGTAAATTTGAAATTTGCGTCAACCCTAGTGAAATTCTTGAGTAGGATGCTGTAAGAATGTGTAAGATAAGATCTTTTAGAATACTGGATAAGATAAATACTTTACAGGAACTCAGGAAAGAGCTCTGATACATCCCACATTATTTTCAAAGGCATCAGCAGAGTCTCCAAAGCTTACTGAATACCGCGAGTATATAGCATTCGAGATGAAAGAGAACGACTTAGCGAGGGTTCAATGTCTTTACGAGAGAGCTATGTTGGAGAACTGTTTGAATTCAGAATTTTGGATTGAATACACGAACTATTTGGTAGGAACAATATTTTCTCGAGTTGCAATCTTGCTTTTGTGAAAAAAATATATCTTTTGTCGATGCTGCAATATAGGTATAAGCAGTAGCGAAGACATCCCGCGCATTTTCTTCCTGCTATGGAATTTTCAGAGCACTATCATTGTTCATTTTTTTTTAATAAAACTATTGTTTTCACATTGATTGAAAACAGAAAAATCGACATAGCAGGACTTAATAAGCTGATTGACTACGCTAGTGGGTGGGTGTAAGCTGACCCTGTTGCATTGAATTCTGTTGTACAAGGAAAGCACGTGTTTTTGGAGGTTTTTTTTATTTGCATTAACTCTAGATTTTTAGTGTTGGCAATTAATTATCTTAAGCTAGTTGGAATTCCAAATCTTTGTAAAATGTTTGGATAACGTACACGTAGGATAACATTCACAAAATTTTTCCCGGATTAAGGTGTTAAGGTAACGTATTCAGCTCAGTCAGATTAATCATTTTTGTATTTGGTACAACATTTCCCTCGAGAAAATAGTGCGTAGGTATTATTCCAACCTGTATATTTTTCTTCTCATTCAACTACTTTCCATTAAACAGGATATGAAAGTCAGTATTATCGATGTTGTCTTACCTGTTCATGAACGCGCTGTTCGTAACTGTCCGTGGGTTGTAACGTTGTGGTGTAGTTACATCAAGGCCTTGGTATGATGTTTTTGTTTCATTATCAACTACCATGAGACATTTCAGGAAACATTTACGTTGATGTCGCTCTTGTAATTTCGTTAAATAATGTTAAAATGTTATTTATAAATGTTTTGTTGTGTCATTTAAGGAACGAACTTCTCAAAGTCAAGACAAAGTACAAGGTATTGTATGTCGTTGAATTTTTGTATCGATTTGTATCAAATGATGCTAATTATTCTTTGGGGCATTTCTCTAAAATAGAATTTCCCTTCCATGTCATCTAAACAACATCGTTAGTATAGTCGTCTTTTGTAGAGGTTTTTGACCGCGGAATGAATGCAATGATTTCAAATGCAGATGATTCAATCTTGCTTTGGCGCTGTTTTTTGGAATGTCTGAGACGGCGTGTAAAAGACTGGAAACAAGGTTAGCAAATTGCTCAGAACTTTTAATTGTTTTGCCAATTTTAATGGCATGTGTTGTTTTTTTATGATGTCGTCAGAAAACGCAGAAAGGGTGGACTTGATGAAAGCATTTGATGACGCTACAGATTATATCAAGTCAAGTGTGTTAAACTTCTCTTTATTTATAGGAACAACTATTTGAGGGAGAAAAGATATCACAAGTAATATATATTGAATTATAAGATCAAGTGTTGGTTTCTTTTTTTTCAGACTTCGGGAAAGACGGAGATAGTCAGCATTTCATTTTAAGATATAAGGCCTACTTTGAGGTTTGATTAGCAACATTTATGCTATCGCATGTCAGTTTTATCATTTCTATCAAATCTGTGTCGAATGTACTGGACTCATACCTACCATTGTGTTTAGGCAACGAAGCTGGACAATATCTCAGGTGCCAAAAAAATATGGGATTTCATTATGTTACATCATAATCGTGAGTCAAAGTTTTGGGTTGAATACATTCAGTTGTTAAGGTTAGTTTATTGGAAATTCCTGAGCGCTATATAGAGTTAGGTTTTGTGTCATAGCGTGTACAAGTGTTTTTTTGTAAGTCTAACATTAGTTTTTATGAGGGAGAACTGGAACGCGATGGTCAACGAGGATAAATTGATGAAATATATAATTTGTTTCAGACAAGTACAGGATAACATCGGTTGTAGAAAGCTGTTTAATCGTGCGATACAAACATCAAATGATGAGCCTGAAAAACTTTGTGAACTTTATCTTAAGTTTGAAAAAGAAGAAGGTTTGTTGAAATGTTTTAAGTGGTTTTGTAATGATATAAGTTATGCGCATTTAATGAATACGACAAGTTTGTTTTCTGAATAAACCTGTTTCAATAAACATGTAACAATAAGCATGTTTCGTATTCATTAAATGAGCATTATCAATAGTGCTTTTACGCACTTTACAGTAACGTTATAAGTTATCATAGTGGGCAATGCTTCATTTCTGAATATACTTTCGATTAAGGTATTCATGAATTTTGAAATAGCGAAGTCAGCATGTATTTATTTGTATTGTTCGTTCAGGATCTTTAAGTGATCTTGATGTCGCTGTTAACAAGTGTTCTGAAAGACTGAAACGAGTTTGGGCTCAAAAACAAAAGGTATTTGTCCTCTGCATAGAAGTTGCATGTAACCTTTCTCCATCCATATGATGATTCTGTAAATTGCATGTTACCTTTCTATATCCATATGGTGATTTGTAAGTTGCATGTTACCTTTCTACATCCATACGGTGATTTGTAAGTTGCATGTTACCTTTCTCCATCCATATGATGATTTGTAAGTTGCATGTTACCTTTCTCCATCCATATGATGATTCTGTAAATTGCATGTTACCTTTCTACATCCATATGGTGATTCTGTAAATTGCATGTTACCTTTCTACATCCATATGGTGATTCTGTAAATTGCATGTTACCTTTCTCCATCCATATGATGATTCTGTAAATTGCATGTTACCTTTCTCCATCCATATGATGATTCTGTAAACTGCATGTTACCTTTCTACATCCATATGATGATTTGTAAGTTGCATGTTACCTTTCTACATCCATATGATGATTCTGTAAATTGCATGTTACCTTTCTACATCCATATGGTGATTCTGTAAATTGCATGTTACCTTTCTACATCCATATGGTGATTCTGTAAATTGCATGTTACCTTTCTATATCCTTATGGTGATTTGTAAGTTGTATTTTACCTTTGTCCATCCATATGGTGATTGCAAAACTCGTAATTATCACAGGAATATGAGAGGAGTGATGCTACCCGTCAAGCGGAGGATGAAGCGAATGCCAAGAAGGAGAAAGTAAAAGCTGATAAACGCACCAATAAAAAAGCAGAAGAGAAACTAAAAATTCAAAAAGTCAAACGAAAAGTATGTAAAATTTTTCTCTGAATAATCTTCAGTTGTTTTTTCGTAAAGATTTTTTCCGCATTGATAGTTGTGCCTTTTTATGCTTGTAGCATGAAGATATTGACGATAACGATATTAAAGATGAACAGCCAAGCGCAAAACGTCCTTTCGGTAATTACTTCAATGTCCACGCTTCGTTATTCATCTAGATTTCGTTGAAAGTTGCTTTTGGTGGTTCTTGAAGGATCATTTGATAATGTTCTGATGAGGATAATTGGATACTTCGAATGTACATTGGGTACATTGAGAATACTTTGAAAATAGAAATTTTATTTCTTTCTTCCTTCAGTATCGAAAGACGAAAAAGCACCACAATTGAAACATCCAACGCTAGCGACTAAGGAAGATAAAGTTCATGGCAGGTATTAAAGATGATACAAAAAGGTTTTTAGTATCATTTATGAAAAAAAATCGTTTCCTCTTGTCGGATAAAAACATTGCCTTGTACAGAGAAATGAGTTAAAAAAAAGCATTGCTTTGTATGAGAAATTGCGTGCAATAGAAAGTTAATTCAGTTTGGACTACATTAGATTGCATTGTTTTTGAATAAGTTATTTTTCCATGTAAGGCCAATCACTTACCCTTATAAATTGTTTAAAAATTATATGCCAATATTTTATTTGTTTCATGACGTATTGTCTGTTTGTTTTTATCGTTTATCGCTAGCTGCAAAGACCATTTGAAAGTATTTGTTAGCAATTTACTCTTTTCTGTCGACGAGGAGCAATTAAAAAGTGTATTTTCGCCGGTTAGTTTGTCAATAATGTTTAACTGTTTCATTATCCCCGTAGTTCTTGGTCTTTTATTCTTTTTTTACTTACATAGCTGGGTGAAATAGAGGAAATTCGTTTGATTAAAAATCTACAAGGAAAATCTAAAGGATACGCATACGTCGAATTTAAACATCAGGTATGAGGATTGTAGCACTCTTGTCACGTGATCGTATGCTTGTAGCGTATTGGTCCATACCTACTGTTGTTGCAGACAATTTAAAAATAACCATTGTTGCTTTTTGGGGTCGCCCTTTTTTTGCCTATGCATTAGTGACTTTACCAGTTGTCGTTATGACACCTAGGGACTTTTGCTCTTTGGTAGTATGACACCAACAGGGCTTGCCGCTTTTTAGACGAGATCTCCCTTTTTTTAGTAAGACAACGTGGGAAAGGGCTGCTTCAACAGGTGTTTTCATTTCCTTCAATAGCTGCTTCCATTTCTGTTCATGTATTCATTTATCTCTTCAGAGCTCTGTTTCAGCCGCTTTGGCTACAGACAGACAACAGTTGTGTGGACGACCGATGTTTGTTTCGCAGTGTGTGGATAAAACTCAAACTCCGACCACTTTCAGGGTAGGATATCAGATTATTAAAATTTCATAACATAAAGGTTTAAAATGTAGGTCAAGTTAGATTTTACAAATGGCTCACCTTATTATATGTTATTATTGTAAAAACTTTGAACTAAAGGTATTGGACTTGATTATTATTTCAAATTTAAATGAGAAAAGCAAAACATGTAATCCTTGTTTGCCATGAAGATCGTGGATGTTTTTTTTTCATGATGCATTAAACATGATGCATTAAACAGTTCCTTATTCTTTTTTTTGTAGTTTTCCACAACCCTCGACAAGACCACCGTCTTTGTCACCAACCTGCCATTTGAAATGAATAGTACAGAAATTGAAGATGTTTTTAGCGAGGTACGTGCAGTGATTGTCTTCATTGTTGGATTTTAGGCTTTTCTTCCCGAAATTTATCACTGATGTTTTTTACAGCATGGCAAAGTAAAGCAGGTTCGTTTGGTCACAAATAGGGCAGGAAAGTCGAAAGGATACGCTTATGTAGAATTTGAAGACGAGGTATTTTTTTGTCATTTTTTTAACCATATGGGATAGTACATGTTTTTCAAGAAGCAATAGACTGATTGATTGATTGATTGATTATAGAGTCGCCCACTCTTCTCTATGATTTATTACTTAATAACTAATGTACAATTTTCTTAAATGATTACACAACAAGACATATACTTCTCCTTGTATGAATTATATAGATTGTATGCATTTGTCTATGAATGATTACAAGATAGTTTCACACTTCATGGATGACTGCTTGTTCAGTTGATAGCATACTCTTCTCTCTACATTTATATATATTAGAATAAACACTTCTACATGGTTCATTACAAGATAGCTTGTAATCAATTAAATGCTTTTTATCAAACACGTTGCGAGGACGTTATTTGTAAAAGTTGAAAATGTGTTGATATTTTAAGTCGGGTGCTGCAGCGGCGGTTTTGAAGCAGGACCAGAAGACTGTGAAGAATCGCGTTATTAATGTAGCTTTATCAAATCCACCAAAACGAGAACGCCAAGAAACTGACGTAAAACACATTCGTCCTGACACAGGAAGGTGTGTTATATTTATTCGCTCTTTTGTAAAATCGTTCCTTTCAATTAAAATTTGTACTGTTTATCTATGTTTTATTTAATTGTTCGTATAGTCGTCCCGGTCGTGCGCGCACGCAGGTTCAATTTGTACCCAGGGCTTTGAAAAAAACACAGGTCGCGGACAGTTCGGAAGCACACGCCATCTTGGACAGCTCAGTTGAATCGAAGCAGTCGGATAAAGTGAAGTCTGGACTGAGCAATGATGATTTTCGAAAGATGTTGCAGAAATAGAGGTTCGTGTTAACAATTAAATATACACCCGTTTTTAACAGCAGTTTCATTGTCAGCCTCCATTTCATGCCAGTGTTTTTCTTGCGATGACTGAGTGTAGTATATATCATGTATTCTACAATGTCTAGGTGTAGTATATATCATGTATTGTACAATGTCTAGGTGTAGTATATATCATGTATTCTACAATGTCTGGGTGTAGTATATATCATGTGTTTTACAATGTCTGAGTGTAGTATATATCATGTATTGTACGATGTCTGGGTGTAGTATATATCATGTATTATACAATGTGTGGGTGTATTATATATCATGTATTATACGATGTCTGGGTGTAGTATATATCATGTATTACACAATGTCTAGGTGTAGTATATATCATGTATTACACGGTGTGCTATATATTATGTTGTTTGGTAGCCGGCTGCGCTATTGTGGACAGCGGTTAATCATGATGTCATTTTACTTGTCGAAGCGAAATGTTAAAATCTTCCCTGAAGCCTGTTTTGACATCGTCACAAACTCGTCCTGCCTTTTTTGTTCAATCCCACACAACGACGGTTTAATATACATCGAATACACTGAAACGGCCTTTTCAACACTCTGTGTTTGTAACTAGTTGGATAGGTTCCATGTTTTTTTTTAAATCGTCCCAAACTGTCTCATCAACGATTCAATTGTGGAGACCATCTTTGACCTATTTTACCTTAGCTATACGTAAGAAGTATCACTCTGCACTGAGCATTATTTTTCTATATTATCGTGATACTTCGTTCTCAATCTCGGTAGGAGGTTTTTATCAATCTTTGTATCGATCGAATGCATGTTTTACATTTAATTAATACGTTTCATTTATTTACTATACTTGCAAGTCTTTTGCTCCAATCTTAATTTTTTTGTTAATTTGATATCGTTTATATAATCTAGTTGTTATTACAAATTATAATTCATTTCAATATACGTATTTATATATATGGTGTTGTTCTGATTTCAGAAGTTCTTCATTCGCCTCTCTCTTGCGTACTTTTTGCAAAATCCTCCGACTGTTTCACACACATGAATTAAACCGTTTCTGGCTGTGAATTGCTGTATCACAAAGAAAAAACAACATTAGGAATTTGCAAGAATAATATTTTTCAACTGTGGAGCTTAATTAGTAAAATTGAGGACATGGTATATATTTTAAAAATGATGTATATTGCACAGCTTGTTGTGTCGTTTTATAAAACTATGGCAAATCATATTCAAAGATTTTGTCGGTGGATAAAAGTTATGAACTCGCCAGTGCCAGTAATATCATTTAATTTGCTTTGCCAGCAAACTAATTTCCGAGAGATGAATAAGACAAAAAACACGATACATTATATCTGTTTTGACAATATCAAAAAAGCCGAAAGAATGGCATTCAAATATACTGTAAAATTTAACTAATATGCATCAATTTGTTCACTCACAATCGAAATTTGTTGTCCATCGAAAACATTGCAATCGTTTCAAACGGTTTACTTCGCCAAAACGAGTATGTCTTATGGCTTATGTATAGCTGATAAAAAGTTTCTTTTGTAATCCGGAGCTCGTTTGTACTTAATGTAATCTTAGCAGCTAAGACTAGCTACGAACGACAACAAAAAAAGATAAGACTTTCTCAGTATGTTATACCTCATTTGTGAACATTCTTTTCCTTCCAAAAGCACCACCACCAGCCGCAAAACATTCAATTTCTTTCACGAAAACAATTGAAAAAAGAAATGCAAAAACGAGAAGCACTGTCACTCTTTTCATTTTCTTAACTTTTTTTCCTAAATAGCTGTGTCTGTATGTAGTAATTGCTCTTTCAGTCGAAACTGCCTTCACACCGAAACCCGACTTCGTTTTATAACTATCCAACTCGTTAATTAAACAGGATTATCTTCAATTTTATACAATAGAGCGTTTTAATGAAGTACATATATAATTAATGTGATTTTTGCGCGTCATATATTAACACCAGACTTCGTTCATTAACTTTTCACCTTTTCGCATTGTCTTACCTCGATTACCACGCGTTTCGTCTCGGTTATGTAAATAAAATATTATATGTTTTGACTGTTTAATAAATTTTCGCGTGCAATTTAAACTGTAAAAAATTGAATTTCGGATGTGTACAGTTGTAATTTTTTGTGATTTAAAATTTTTGAGTTTGACGAGCGCCTTTTGTTTGTTATTGGTCTTTTGTAAATTTCCTGTAATCTAAAGATCAATGATTTGGAGTAAATCTGAATTTGTCGAGCGATATATTTCTCTTCGATTCTTTTCTTCCTTGTCGAAGGTTGTTTTACTAAGAAACTCATCAGGACCTTCGCTATTCTTTATCTTTTAAATAAAACCCCATTCTCAAAACTTTGCGTTTGTATACCCAAAACTTTATCGAAACCTGCATGATACGCGCAAATCCTTGACATGTAGTACATGCTAAAATTTTCAATCTCGTATTCGTGTTTAAAATAAACATTCTCAGTTTAAGTTTATTAGACAGGTGCAAATATACTTAGTAATGCCACGCGTTCAGCACATCTCAAATGAACATACTTATATTGATGAGGACGATAAATATGAATGCAATTAAAACACTTAGTCGTTACTTTGTCGAAAATTTGCCATGTTTTTGTCTTTGCATCTATGGATAAGTGGAAAAGGATTTTTAAATGTAAACGTGTGAGAGCTAGGTGTATATATTGTTACAGATCATGTTGAGAACATGAAATTTCGCATGCATGGAGTGTAATATTGTTCATATGTTGTATCGTCTGTGAAGAAGTTAGGCTAGGGTTTTAAGTTTACCTAGGAATTTATTAGTTTTTAGCATCACACCGAAAAATCCCAACGCTTGCCATTTTCGTGCATGACACTACCTTCGTTACGTAGTCGTTTTATCATCATCTTATGCAAAGTAGATAGTATTTTATTCATGCACGATAAGTTACCAATAATGCATATGCTGTTCAGGCCAAATTTCTAATTTTTTCTAAAAATGTTGCCATTTTCGTGCATGACACTACCTTCGTTACGTAGTCGTTTTATCATCATCTTACGCAAAGTAGATAATATTTTATTCATGCATGATAAGCTACCAAAAATACATATGCTGTTCAGGCCAAATTTCTAATTTTTTCTAAAAATGTTTCCTCAAGAGTGAAATTTATTACGTGTAAATTTCTTCAGGCCCCTACATGTCATTGCTAGTTGGGATGTTTCGATCCTTTTTTAGTTATTTAAAAATCCGCCTTTTTTGATAACGGTCTGTACTCCTTATCCAGGTAATAATGTAAATTTTAGGAAGGAGTGAATGAGAAAACATTTATGCTATCGCTTAAACTTGAGACTCAAATCTCGACTTCAACGACAAAATTACTTCATATTTTTGAAATATACGTTTTGATCTTTTAATCTGCTAATCGTACAACACTATTCTATTTCAAAGACATTTAAACATCAACAACATGATAGTATAGTGTCGCTGACTGTTCAGTTCAAGGAAACTTGTTTTCGTCTATCTCCCATTGTTGGCAGTGTTGATATGTTAAGGGTTTTCTGCGTCTAAGCGATAGGCCTGCAGGTTTGCCCCTAGAGCCAAGTGGATTTTGCCAGTTTCTTTTAAGCTGCAGTAAAAAACAAAGTAAAATAAAACTGATTTATGGTTCTTTTTCTGTCCAATAGATTTATGCTACTTCCAAAACCGTTCCTCCTCTCTTTAAGCCAATTTCTGTTGTCTGTTTCATTGGATAATTACAATTAACCACTTTACTCGCTATTCTTTCAAGGTTCTTTTTCTAAGCACCTACCTTCATTTCATCTCCAAATCTGCCCGTTCCAGCCGAATAAGCCAGATTCTTTTTGACTAAAGCTAGCGAACACAACACCAGGAATAAGCCAGCCAGAACTCCTTTCATTGCTTCACAATTCTTTAGAACTCGTTAAGATTTTGTCTTCGTTAAGATTAGTTTTTGATTGAAGAGGAATATTCTGATTTTGTAATGACTCGACGAATCTTTTATAGCCTTAACAAATCCATTTGACAAACGTTGGATCTTCAGTGGAACGCCGGTAGCCATTAGGAAAGCAAATACACTCCATCGTAAGACGCCAATCTGTTAAACAATTTCTGTTGATATTTCCGTTTATTCAACGAGCAAAAAGTGAATTTAATGAATTTTAAATGGTTAAATAGAGTAAATTCTTAAATTTGCCCAAAACCAAGCGATAGGTTTTGGACATTTTGCAAATATCGTTTAGTGAAGGCAATTAGCTGTTTTTATGTCAAAAACATAGCGCATCAAACCGCGAGAAAAATGAAAACAGTTTTAATGATAGAATTCGGTTTATTTGTGAACAAAATGAATTTCTTGACCGGATTGTACATGTCAATGTACAAGTTAATTTATACATTAAGTTAAATTACAAGGACGATGCACCTGCATTATGCAAAGAGAAGTTTGATCTAATTGTAAACAGAATGAAATCATTACTCTTAGTCAACACTATCTGAACAATGAAGTCGTTGTTTGTCCGGATGAATTCTGTCTATGCAATCCTAAAATAGCATTTGGCGAGGAAATATACGTTCTCCTAAACCATAACATGTGTGTGTGAGCAGGGACGTTGGTCGCGAGTATTGTATTTTGTACAACGATTTTGCCCTGGAATGACCTTTAAACGAATGTGCAAACAGTTACGGCTGAAATGGCAACACAAACCATGTCGATACGATATGTATCCTTCTCTTACTAGTAAACTGATGGATTTATTGAATTTGAAGTTGCGTTTACAAATGTTTCAAAGTATGTGAATCGGACCTTAATCTATCTAACTGAAAACTCCTTAAGTATATGGACAATATCTCCTATTCTACCATGTACCCTCAGTGTAGCCAAGTCATCTGCCCTGGTTTCACCAATATTCACAATAGCCAACGGTAGTTTGTGCTCGCAAGCCCTAACAATAAATCTATACGCCGAGTAGACCTGGAGACTAGAACCCAAGGCCAGCACCGCATCGGACTCACTTAAACGATCGTGAACAAGGGCGATTCGGTCACGTGGTACAGTGTCTCCAAAGAAGACGACATCCGGTTTCAGCACTCCACCACAGACTGCGCAATCAGGAACAGTAAAGTCTCGGAGTAAGTCTTTGCTTAGGTGAACATCTCCATCAGGAGCGGCTAGCTCGGGCGATGCGTTAAAGAAAGGGTTGAGCTTTTTAAACAACCCTTGGAGCTCTTTCCTTGATATCGTCCCACTGCAAGTCAAACATGTAACTCTAGAAATGAAATAAGAAATCTTTAGTCTTCATAACAGTTGGTTACTTAAAGTCAACTCTGTTGCTTGCCATTAACGGTGAAAGAAACCTGCTGGTAGTTCCGTGTAGTTCTGTCAATCTTTTCGAGCCAGCCTTCGAATGCAAAGAATCGACATTTTGAGTGACAAGCCAGTGAATTTTTCCAGCCTTTTCCAGTTCTGCTAACACAAGATGTCCTCGGTTTGGTTTGTGCGTTGAAAAATCTTCCCATCCAGCGTAATTTCTGGCCCAATATCGCTGCCTTTTCGATTGACTTTTGACAAAATCTTGATGTTGCATTGGTTTATCATTACTTACTGCATACAACCCAACACCTTCAGATCTGTAATCTCGTATGCCAGACTCTGTCGAAATGCCTGCTCCTGTTAACACGAATAGCCTTTTACTTTTCTCTAAAAAGTCTCTTAGTTGCGATAGAATCCTTTCGTCTTGATGCCTGTTACTCTTGGGGACGAAGTCTTCAATCGTCGCATGACTTGTTGAGCGAGGTCGTTGAAATACCCAACGCTTACTACGTTTAAATTGACAAATAAACCGTGATTGTGCTGCAGACATCATTCAATTCTTTATTTCAGCGAATTCAATAGTCTCTAACATAAATTTCCTCATTTATTAATGATATTATAGCGCTTTAAGAGTAAGAAAAGCTTGTAGTTTTCAATCTTGCATTACAGCGGCCATGTTGTTGATGATGTAAGGATTGCGTCACAAGACAAAATTGAAAAAGTAATTTTTATCCAGGCCGCGGTAAACATTTAATTTTTATGAAAGTTCCCTCCTATTTCCGAAGAAATCAATGGATTCTTGCATTTACATTGTACACAATCAATGTTCATAGTAATTTGTCTGGCAACGACGACTGATAGATAACTGAAGAGGTGCTTCAATATGCGGATTCCCACATCTGCGACGATAGACAGACAAAGTTACCAATCCATGTCGTAGTATAATGGATTTTCGTTGCATTGCACAATGTAAGAGGAGTATCACGATCTTCAATTATATCAAAGGCTCAATTTCCTCGAACAGCCCTCATAAAGTCACGATTATTTTACATATATAGATTCGGCTGTCTCTGTTTGACACAACATTGTTTCTATTCCATGTTTGTCATAGTGTATATTTTACTCCACATCCAAATTTATAAATGTTGTGACTAGGCTTACCAAATGTAATGTTGTGGGGAGCCAGTGATATTAGTCGTTCATTTTTTAAAATCTAGAACGCGGACCCTTGGACCCTTAACCCACCGCCGCCCCCCCCGTCCCCCTTCCAAATAATCTTTTCAATACCATGTACAATAGGAAAATATAAATACAAATGTGATATGTAACTAAAGCCCGCTGCACACTGGTGAACTTGCCGCGCGTACTTGTTATTCGTGACAAGCGTGATCGACAAAATTTCCTAGATTGCGCGGAAGTTTTGAACAACGTTTGTCATTCGTGACAGATGAGTCATGTTTTTCAAAACTTCCGCGCACACAAGGAAATTTTGTCGATCACACTTGTCACGAATAACAAGTACGCGCAGCAAGTTCACCAGTGTGCGTGCGGTTTCTTTCTCTCCCTCAAAAAAAAAACTGCGGCGCGCATAAAGTCGAGTATTATTTCCTGCTATGTCTGTTATTGACCATTCAAGCATTTTACTAAATTTAAAGCTAGGAAACATTAATAACATGAAAAACTTCTTAGTTTGATTTACTGGCTAGTGAGAAATGTACAAACATGGCGAATAGAGCTTCTTATTTAAATTTGTAATTTTGTATAAAAAGGCAGTTTTTTGAACGTTGCCTTTTTTCTTTCATTTTCTGATATATACACAACAGTGTATATTATACCGGTCTGAAGTCTGGAGTAATTTGAAGCATGCACGAGTGATTATTGAAGAACTCTAGTTTAATCTTTAAAAGCAATGCACATTTGAAACAATTCTATTACCAATGTCAGTAGCAATTTATAAAAAATTAACCAATTTCCAATAACCATATAATTTTACATGTTTTTGACCACCCTTTAGAATTGCACCGAATAAAGATATTTTTTATTCACTAGTTACTGCTCCATTGAGCATATACCGTATCCTATGTTAATTCAACAATGTAGCTGAAAACATAACTCAGAATCCGAAGCAATGAGACAGAGCCGGACGCGGCTCGGAAACAAAATAAATTATAATCGCTAATTTTAAATTTAAAATACCGTAACAACGAAGTCATTGGTTATAAAATGAATGAAAATTAACCAATCGATGCGTTAAAGGAATTTATTTTGCCCATATAGCTTAGGCTAAACCGCCCCCGTGGGAAAGAAATATCGTTTAGTGAGTATCTCGTCTCGTGACCGCAGTCGAGCATTTTCCACTATTCGTTTTATGTTGGTTTGTGAGAGCATACTGCATACAGTGACTTCAGTCACAGTTATAGACAGCGAAGCTCTAGTTTTAAGGCAATAATTGTTTGAATAGATTTAAAAAATATAGTTATTTTGTCTTTGATTTGCTATGGCGAATGGAAGCAAGGATTACTCAAACGGCTCGATCATATTTCCATCTGATTTAAATCCCGTAATCTGTGAACAGCCAAGAAACTATTCTCCCGACATGGTAAGTAAGTTTGTTGATGAATGCATTGTTTCTCTCTCCATTTAATTGAGGGTTTGTACATCATTGTTTTATGCAGAGACAAAGGGTGATTTTCATGCCCAATATAAAGACAAATTATACATGCTCGAGCGTTGCTGACTAAATACAATGATTTTTATTTTGATTGTGAAATAACCATGATTTAAAGTAAAATGATAACTTTAACTTGCCAAATATCTTACTTTGTCTCAAGTCAGGCTGGAAAACATAAATTTCAGCAAATATTATATACTGGGAATTATTGGCTCAAGAGCCCCTCCCCATTTAAGCGCCGCGCCTGTGTAATTCTTGAGTTGCAATTCAGCCATTATGGTGGTATGATAGAAAAGAATATTTTATCAGTGTTATTGTTGGCACCAGCCGACGTAGGCGAGCAACATTGTTTGGTAAATCTCAAGAGAACGGTCGCAAGTCAAGAATACAACCAACAAAATTCATGAACTATGAGACGTTGTAATTTGTTATGGACGTTGGACCGCGCAAAACGGATAGTTTGGTGAAGTGTTTCCCGCACTCCCCAGGCTCACCCTACAAATTTTTCGTATAATAACGAATTTCATTGCAATCTATTAAAAACTGCATGTTAGACTTAAGCTGGTAAAAGGGAAATGTGCGGCATCTTGACGCTTGTAAAATGAAAGTACCCAGACATTTATTTGCATCTTTGTATTTGCAGTTGAAGTATGTGGCCTTTATTTACATGGTAACATCTTTACTGAGGTAACATTAGCCAACTTACTTTTAGCTTTTGTCTTACGTATGGGTAAATTACATATTTGAAAGTCTTTTTTATAATGAAGCGTCGTTGGATCGTCATCGATTATTTTGTTTGCATTAAAAAAGAAAATTGTGTCAAATCACGAGGTGACTGAAATGTAATTTTTCTCATCAACTCTTACTTTCTTTGCTTTTCATCACTACCACTCCGTGTAGTTTCGTTCGTCTTGACCCCTTTTCCAAAATACATCAATTGCAGCCATGATTTGTGTTACTTTTATAGATCCAACCTCTGTTCAATTTGTCTCTCGCTGACTTTTTTCTGGGGTTCGGTTGGTTTCTGGCTACATGTCTGTGGTGGGTACATCCTGATGGCCCCTCAATAAGTACAGAGACATGCTTCTACATCGAGATGTTCACACAGGTTTTTATCTTTCACTAAATATGTTTAGCTTGAGTTGTGTTAAGTGCGAGAGACAGACTTCAACACACACAAAATAACGTTATTTTTTTTTATTAAAAATCTTTGACAAAAACCAGACAAATGCATACACCTGTATTCCAATCAATATCAAATGCATTTTGCTCACAACTCGCCCACTATATATGTTGTTTTTTTTTTCTCCTCAGATTTTCCAAATTACCTCCTTCTTTCTTACTGTTAATTACGCTGTTCACGTGTTTATCCGTGTTCAACAAAGAGCCGTGGAATCGGTGGGTAGCCGTAGAGAGTTTTGTATATACTTTATATATACTTTCAATTTATTTAAAAAGATTATAAAGCTTCCATATCGCTTGTCTCCTTGCATATCACAAGCAGTTCTTTACAAACATTGACTATTTAAGTCGTTTTGAACTATTTAATACAATTTAGTGTGAAGGTTCCTCCTTCTCACGTTATCATAGGCGTACGGGAGCTATCATTTCTTGGGGGTGCAGTAAAATTTCCCCAAACTCAAAAAAAAAGTTCCGCCATATTTTCGCCCGACTGACGTTTAAAATTTGCCCAACTTTTCAATCTTCAAACTTTTTGGGGCGGAAGCTCCGCCCCCCCCTTTTCCGTACGCTTATGCATGTTATAATCGGCCAAAAATAATATTGCAATTAAGATTACACGTATTCCTGTTTGCTAGTGTTGAGAACCTGAGATAACGGTGTTACACCATTTAGGGTACACGTGGTTTCTATTATCGAAAGCGGGGTCTTTTTCGTGGTCTGTACATGTTTTCTTGGTAAACACAAAAGATTTTGCTTTATCTAAACCTTTGTGCTGATTCGTGAATTCTGATCATTTGTTGAAACATTGACCAACTTTGAGCATGTTTATTTACAATGAATAGGATCACTCCTTTGCTGGTCATGTTACCAATGATCATATACCACTCTAGTCATAATTTTGTCCATTGCTCGCGGTAAGTGGAAATGGTTTATTGTAATCTTAAGACAAAGAAATCATATACATTAACACGTACCAATATCTTGTAGTTGTTTAGTTTTGATTGATCAACCGAAGGCTCGCGTTTACAATGAGGTATTCCGTATTTTTTTTTATCTAATTCTTGTCTATTTTTTCTGTTTTTCATAGCTGTTATTAAATTTTTTTTGTTAGACGAGGGTGGACGTAAAAAATTTTGCTTGGCGAAACTACGCCTCGATTGTCCTTCTTTTAACTATTTGTTTTGCTATTACTGTCATGTTGGTATGTTTGTGCATTAAAAGTGAATGCTGAAATAGAAATTTCTCACCTACTGCCTCGCTCATTAGAACTCTTTTTACGCATAGGTATTGTATTTCGTGGCATTGAGAAAACTTGCTGGTACAATGAAACGTTACAGCCTGTTGTCCGTTCAACAACGACAAAGGGCTGAAAGTAATAGAAAAAGAGTTCTGTTGTACATTGCCGTGTTTTTCGTATGTTGGCTGCCAGGTAGGAAATTGTGAAATACATACAGGTGCATTGAAGAACAGTGATTTAGACTGAATAGCATAGAATTTTACTATGGGTACAAAATTTAATTATATACATTGGCGTAGTATATGATTTACACACCGCTTACGTAGAGAGATGTTTCACAATGAGATATTGTACGATTCAAATAGAAGACATTGCAAATGCTTTTATACTTTTCAGCTCTGGTTGTTGTATTGGTTAAGTTGGCGACTGAAGAGAAATACTACGATTTCAAGAAAATGTTTGTCGTATTTTTAATCGAGGTATTTATAAAGAAAGTTAAGAATTCATCCGAAGTCCACCAAAGTTTATCTCTGTTGAATTCATTTACAAGAAAAAACCTAAAAGACAAATTCTTGGTCATGTTGTAGGCTATTTTCACGCCTTTACAAGGCTTTCTGAATTCTCTGGTCTATGGTTGGACGAGAAGCTCGTTTCGTCATTTCAACGAGAGCACATCTTCCTATCGACGTCCATTGCTTCCTCCAGATCGTTTTACAACAAGCATTTATGGAACAAGCTCTCCGCTAGCTCATTAACTGGAGTTTTCTTTTGGTAATATAGAATTACTCACAGCATTGACGTGAGTGTGTGTGACTACAACGTCTTATGAATTTTAAAAGTTTCTAATGCCTTTCATACGAAATCCAGCGCTCTTATCTGATCAATAAGAATGTAAAGATATATCGATATTAAAATGCCATGATATTCTACGTACAGTTCTTAGTCCCATGTCATAGTAACTTGTTGCATCCACATAAGTATGTCGCGCTTGTCCGAAGTTGAAATAAAAATTTGCATCTGGATATGCCTCAACGTTTTGGTAAATTTAACAAGTTGTCAGTCAAAGAAGGAGTGTTTGAAGCGTTATAAAGAGGCGTACGTGACTGTGTTCGTGATACGTCTGGCGTTCCCTGTGTCGTCAATAGTTGAGGCGATGGAGAGTAACTCGAACGCAAGGCTTTGTCCGTGGCTATTCTTATCCCCAATCTCTCCGATGCCAATCTTTGGGCAGCTGGTGACATTTTGCTGAGTCTTTCATTAGTACTTCTGCTTCTGGGTGACCTTAAATACATAATTTTATTAAATATAACAAGGATTGTATCGATGACACTTTGGCATCTCTTATATAGGCACGTGCAGGAAGATTAATTTGCAAGAAAATCTGTTCTTACTTACTTTCCAAAAGCTGAAGCAGCTAAAGCCTGCTTTCTTTCCTCTCGATGTCGCTTACTTGCTTTCTCTGCCAGCTTGTGGGCCAAAACCTCTCGATGTTTTGGCTGTGGTATCTGAAATGTGGGTCCTGGGGTCGATTTGACATTCACATCGCCAGCATCCAATCGAAAAGGAGTACCCTCTATTGTTCCCCATGTCATCAATGGCGAGGCATCAACACCTACAAATTTAGCATTAAATCATCAAATCTTTGGTCATCCTCATCTTTTTTACAATCACAAATATTTAAACTACCAGGAGCTGGTGATGGTGTTGCAACAAATCGAAATCCATTAACATTAGGAGTCTCGTTCATTCCAGTTTCTTTCCCATCTACTCCAAATTTTCCTCTCTGTCTGACCCCTTGATTTTCTGAAAATTTATTCATGGAGTTGCTTGTTTCCTTTTCTTTAACAAAATCTTGAGTTAGTCGGGTATTTGCGTGCTTTATTTCTCGCTCTTGTAACTTAGCTTGGGCTATTTCTTCTTCAGTTGTTAATGTAGTACATTCTGGTACATACATGAGGGCATTTTTGTTTGTGTATGCCCAATTATCCAAGTTAGCTGGTCGATCCATTATCTGCAATTGATCACCTTTGACATTTGTTGGAAGCTCTAGTCTCCTTTGCACTAACAAAGCATGTTCTTTCTCTTTTTCATATAACCAAGCATGCTTCTCTTTATTTTTTTCCAAACTGGTTTCCATTATTGTCTCAAATGAAGCATTGTCTTCACTGGTGTTTTTAAAGAGAAACTTGTCAAGAGATATGTTCTTATCAGGTTCTTTTGAGTTGTCCTCTTGTTTTTCTCTTTTCATGCTTTTCACTTCTTCCCCGCAATTAGGATTTGGTGTTTGTTGGCCTCCATCTTCCCATCCTTTACCAGTAGGTGGTCTGTGAAAACTTGCAGGAGTTGGAGCTGCAAAATATAATCTTGATTGCATTTGATGAATATAAAAAGAAATGACTATCAAAAAAACAAAAAATCCCAGGTTACAATGATTGCAAAGGTGCAAAATGTTTAAAAAAGTCCACAATTTTATTTTAAATGTAGCAGCTACGATTGAATTCTTGTTAACTAAAATATTGACAGCAGTATGTATTAAACAAAAGTACATTTGTAGGTATTGGTTTCAATGCCCAAAAAGTATATGAACATGGATATTCTAAAGCAGATGTAACATTTCTTTCCATCAAATGGCATTTTTTAGTCCAATTTTACCTGGTGTTCCAGCGGGAGTATGGAGGATGTTGTATTGTGAAGACAATGCTCTTAACTTTTCAACATCTTGAGCATTCACAGCTTCCAAATATTCGTTCTGAGCTTTTAACTTTGTAACCTCGGGAAAGAAATCTCTCTCGATAATATCCTCTATTGACTGCAAAATATACACATCACATGAGTTAACTTCCTCCCTCTGTTGACATAGACATTTATGTTAAGTGGTTCAATACTGAATACAAAACTGTAGCAATCATTAAACAGATATAACTCATATGTAGTCATTGATGAAGATTATTTCCCGAAGCTATCAATGGTTGGAATAAAAAATACATTTCTCTTTAAAATTATACCTTAATATAGGTGTCTTCATCAAGAACATCTTGTTTTCTCAAGGATTTCGGAGGATTTTTATTCGTAATGGCCAAATCCTTGGAGTCAGACTTCATCAGATCCATCTCAAGTTCTGTATTCACATACCATTTTCCGTGGACAAGAATTATTTATGTCAGTACACAGGCATTGAAATTGCACACAACACAATGTATACAAACATTAACAGTAAAAATGGACAAAGTAATTTATCATTTATCACATTCAACTAAATACTATCGCTCAAAATGACATTTAACGAACAGAAAGATGTTTTTTCTAGCTTTAATAACCTTAATAACATTAATAACTGTAAAATCCTTTGTAATAGCCTAATATGTAACCTCTAACCAGTGCCTCTAACCAGTGCTTCAATACCTCCTAAGCTCCAACGTAATAGAACTCAATATATATGACTCATCTATCCGCCTTAGTTTGTGTATTTTTGATAAGTTTTTTCAATGTTTATGCTACAGCAAATGATATATTTAATGCCTAAAAAGATTGTAAATAGCAACATTCTGTGCTTGTTTTCAAAAATTTCATTCGCACTCCAAATAACAAACTCTTCTCCGATTGTCATTTTGAGCGATAACATTGAGTTCAATATCACAAAAAAGTTAGCAGCATCAGAAGAAGAAACAAGAAAAAAGCCTAAGCAATACGAATTATTTTGAGGTTGCATTCAGCAATTACGCTATTTTTATGTCTTCAAAAAGTCCAAAGAATGGTTTCTTACAACATCAGGAAAGATATAAATTCTCTACTCCTCCTTGGAAGGACGTTTATCGCAAGGTTGTACAGAAAATGCTTTTTGATATTTACTGAATAATCAAGAAACTTCCATCTATACAGTACGTTAAATTTTCAAACAGCGTTGCTTGCAAAGACTTCACAATGGCAGGAGAAAATTGTTGGAAAAATTTCGTCAAATGGATAAATCGGAAAGTTTAGTGAAGGAGGTTATGGAAGAAGAGTGGAATATGTTACGTAAAGACACTGATTTGTGTTTGACACCTGAGTATAAACGATACAATCTGTTTTGCTATGAACCAGAGGTGTGCATCATTTTATCTACTTACCTACCCATATTGGTAGAGTTTGGCTATCTTTACCATTCCTGATATTGTTTTTCAACAATTGTACTTCTTCGCTCAAAAAATTTAGTTAATCTTACTGTTTTATGTAATGACTTACAAGGAAAATTCATTGTATACTGACAAAAGTGTATTATGCAGCTAGATGTTGTGTTCACTTTAATATAAAAGTAGTATGTTGCCCCTAATCTTCAATGGGATGACATAAGTCATGTTTGATGTGTAAAATATGATATTAAACAAGTTTATGTTCTAAACAGCCGCTTGTTTAACCATCAAAATTTTGGTTTTTTATTCCTGACCTTTTTCATAACTAAATTAGAATTATTGTGCATCTTGCTTTGGAAAAGAAATCAAATTAAAAGATTTCTGTCTTAAAGAGATTACCAACATAGCATTATGGTAATCAACTTTGCAAGATGAACCAATGTATTTGTTTTGTCACATGTTGATGAGTTGAGTTTCAATGCAAATAAAATGATCTTCTTTGTAGTTTGGGGATGATGAAGATCTAAATGACTTAATCAATGTTTTTGAAGAAATTCAAAATGAATTAATTGAGGAAGGTATGCATGTATAATGCGCTCAAAAATCATTGTAGATCTAACACTTTAAACATGAACTAAGTTTGGGGCTGTCTATGTTTCAAAGTCATCTCTTGTAATTTATTCTTTATTTCCTTTATATTTTGTGAATTTTCTTTAGAAAAGCTCTTGCTTAGCCAGGAGTATGAAAAAGACTTGATATTTGAGGAAGAAAGACTTTGTGCAGCTATTGAAAGTCTGCAAACCAATGATCTTATTTGTCCTATTTGTAAACAGTACGATTAGCATTCATCATTTCTTGTTGCTTACATTTCATCCTTTATAATTATAATAATCTTTTTGTCTATAAATTGTATGTTTTGTTGTTATTTTAGAAATCCCTTGTTGCAGAACAAGCAGGTTATTTTTTGTTCATGTGGATTGCAGTTTTACACAGAGGTGATGAGAGTTTGATATAACACAGTTCTCATTTTCTGTGGCATTTTGAAATGGACTTTTTCATCTTTTGACAGAATGATGCCATAACTTTGGATTGGGTTCACTCACAATTGATGGATGCAATGGAGCAACATAGGTATAGTCATGTACTCATAGGATGCTTGGAAATTATCATGCATTATGGGATGCACTAACAAATATTGTTACATATTTTATCATTAGAAATTATGGTTGTATGGACCAGGCATTGTTTAGCGTAACCTCCCATCCTGAACTCCAAGTCAAAAATTTGATTATGGCATGTAAGGTATTAGTGCTTACTTATGTCATTGCTTTTTTATCAATGTACTGGTCATTTCAATGTTTCATTTTACATTTCAGAGCTGTGATTTTTTGGCAATAATTCTGTAAAAAGTGTGAAAGATTATATTTGTTATTTATAAAAAAATGTCATCGTTAATAAAAAAGTGTATTTAAAAGCATTCTTATTGTGAATAATGATATTAAAATATATTTACATAAATAGAAAGTTTTTTATCATACTAATTTTCTTAATACAAATTTTCAATTATGGATTTCCATTGGTTAATATTACATGAATTCCTGCTAAAAAAATATTTTGTTCGAAGGCTCGTGTAATACGACTCGAAATCGAAAACATCAATTAGGAAATTTATAGTAGTTTCCTTTCGATCGTTTTGTTTGAACAGGAAAGAATCAACAAGCGTCACGATAAGGCATCCTTTTACCATGTTCGGGGATATTTCTGTAAATTTGAAGGTCTTGTGGCAATTTTCACACTTGGGAAGGACTTTTTAGCAAGATATTCGCTCGTAGCAATTCCGTGGTAGGATCTTAAATTGAACGACGATGCAACGCGATTCCTCTGTCAGATGGGAAGATTTTTGCCGTAAACATGGCGAGAATGCTGCGAAGTGCTTTGCAAGAGAGGTGAAACAGTTTGTGGACAATAATCCAGTTTACGATGGCATTGGTTCGGCCAACATTTTCGCAAAAAAATTCATAGAATGTTTTAACCAAACATTTACAGCTGAACTGATAAATGCGACGTGGTCGGATCTAAGCGATCCTGAATCGCCTGGACCGTTTTCAAATGAGCAAAATTTTGCTTCTAGTTTCACTCATATCAACGGACAAGAGCCAACAAGCAAAACACGCTCCAAATTTAACTTTCGGCATTTGTTCAAGCGATCTAATAGTGCAACGCAAATAGAAAGTCAGTCAACGAGTACAAGTGTTCATGATACTAGACAGTCTGGGAGGTTTCGACCACCTAACTTGAGTCTGGAACATGAACGAACGCCTGGAGACATTAAAAAGGACGGTATTCTTGATTATTTGATGAATCTAGATTCTGGTGCAGATCTGGAAGAATTCTTCTGGCAGAAATGTCGTGTTTTGTTGTATAAAGCGCCCGGGGGGTACATGTTAGAATTCTACGCACCGCCAAAGGTAGAAAGTAAATGCTATTCCTTTATTATTTTAGTTTCTGCTTGTTTATTAACTTACTTTGTTCATCCTTGAAGCAAAAATAATGAAGTTGATTTATAGGTAATTATAATTGATCTATTATACTTGGTATGAAAAAAGAACTTCCTTGTTTCAAACAAAAGCTTTTACATTTATTTATTTTGATACAAATAGTGCTAACATGCCCACTTATTACCCTCTTGTGTATTTCTGCAGGAAAACTTGGAGAAATTATATTTGTCATATGTCTAATTATATTTTCCTTCTACATATTTTTTACATTTCTTTGTCAGTTCCTCTTACGTTTGGCATGCATCAAAAAGGACTGAAACATATTTTAATTTTAGTAGCTGAATACACTTGCATGTATGTACAAATTGTGTGTAAGAATTGATTAGATTTTTTAGATTTCTTGATATTGCTTCAACTTGAAATTACAATTAACACAAGTCTATGTACAATCATTTGAATTACCTATGTACAAAAGTTTGAGTTCAATGTATTTTTTACATGATAGGCCGCAAAGCCGAAGAATGGTGTATTTTGTTTTCTTATTCACGAGGCAAGACAAGCGACTATTTTGGAAATGCCAGATGGGGATAATGTGTTTGTTATTAAGGCAGTGAACAAGAAGGAATACATGTTGAGAGCAAACAATAAGTATGAAATGGATACTTGGCTTAAGGATATTGTTCATTGTATGGAGGAGGATCAAACTGGTCCTACAAGGTACATATTTTACTTTAAATGGTGACTTTAACTCTTGGTGTAACATAAGTTGGTTGTTCTTGAATTCTTGATTCATGAACTTACAGTGGAAGTTTAAAATTATACAGGTTTTTCTTAATTTCTGATAGAACCGCATCATACTCTTCAGATAGACACAATATTAATGTCTAATATAATTCACAATTTTCAAAAAGGAATTGCATAAAATTTGGCAATTGTTATCATGATGCCTGACATAAACTTTGCAAAAGCTGTTGCCATCAATGTAGAAAGCTTTCCCCCTCCTTTCCAAATCAGCCAGACATATTGTTGCAATTCCAAGTTTCTTTGCACTAATATTTACCAAAGAGCGAATCAATACTTTTCATTAACATTGTAGATTTTTTATGTAGTCCCTCGACTCCAACTGCTCCTTCTTCATTCTCATCCCTTCCAACGCCACCTGTTAGTGGACATGATCCAAGAGATGAGCCTCTTATTGTTGCTTTACCTGATGAGGATGGTAATAATTTGTTATTAAACCTTTGTTTTTGCATGCAATAATGCTCCATATCAGTGGCGGATCCAATGTTCTTCAAAATAAATTATATGACATTATGTGCTTAGTTTTAAATTGAATATGCCTTCAGAACTGAACTATTGTTTGCCTATTTCTAAAGAATAGAATTTTACCAATCTATATTTTGCCTCTTTAGGGTAGTTGAAATGCAAATGTATTTAGTTTTACGTACCTTAGATTTGTCACTGTACCAAATCTCTAACAACATTTTGTTAATGCAATAAAATTCAAACAAACCACATTCACGTATACGTTGTTTGCCCCTAACTTTCTTCTGGGGGGAGATATCAACAAAACATCAGCAAAAACTTCAATATCTAAAGCACCTTGGCAAATGTTTATTTCTTATTCAATTATTTCTTATTTCAAAATTTAAAGGATTTGGTAGACTTGTGATTCAATATGTATGACTTTTCTAACGAAAAATTTCGATGTTTTATTTGTAGTATCAGGTAGAAGACGCTTGTCAAGACAAACCAACATTGAAGCAAATACTGGAATTCGTTGTTAGTACACTATAGTTCATTACAAATGATCATTTGTGTTGTCTTTACTAGTTTTCTTTGAACTTTTTTCTCATTAGATTCGCCCGCACCTTTCATGTCCAGCTCACCACCACCTGCCTTACCTCCACGCTCACATTTAATGAATGACTCCGAACTCCAAACTAACGCAGACAACGGAAATGACGCGCATCGTGGCGTGTCCGAGGAGACGCCACCGCCTAGTCCGGATATGTCCACTACACAAGGTTAGAGGAGCATTTTCACTATTTTTTTTCCGATATAGTTTGTTGATAGATTTTCCAAGGTATAGTCATGCCGTTTGAGTTTCTTTAACTTATGTTCATCTCGGAAACGACTTTACAGGGAGTATATACATTTATAATAAACCTTTTTAGCGCGTACAAATGAAAGGGAAACGACTTCTACAGAGACGCAAAACAGTCAAAATTGGATGTCGTTTACCGGGGACAACCATCCTCTGGCTCCCTACCCCTGGTTTCATGGAACTCTCTCACGTTTGGATGCTTCTCATTTGGTTTCCCAGGGGGGACAGCAGTGGCACGGAGTGTTTTTATTGCGTCAGAGCGAGACGAGACAAGGCGAATATGTACTAACGTTCAACTTTCAAGGTCGTGCTAAGGTTTGTCCGACAGTAAATTAAAATGCATGTTTTTTAAGGATCGACTCCTTTTATGAATGCTGATAAAGACACTTCAGCACATGAAGATACAGAACAGATTTCGATGTCACATTAATTAAGATGATAGTTTTACATACAAGTGCATTTTTGGGCCAAGATATTACTTAGCAAAGACACTGCTCTTCTAATTTCTCTGTTTTCTTTTAGCATCTGCGATTGTCGTTAAATGCAGAGGGTCATTGCAGGGTGCAACATCTCTGGTTTCCAAGCCTCTTTGACATGCTCGAACATTACCGCAGCAACCCCATCCCTCTTGAAAGCGGTGGCATCTCTGACGTTATGCTGACCAATTTCGTCGTACGTACCGGAGGGGAGAATGAAAGTGCGCCCAGGAGGGCGTTATCCGGAAGAGTAAACCGTGAAGAAGGACTAAGGCGAGCTCATAGTGTTCAAGCCAGTAGGATCAACAGGATAGCAATAATACAAGGTGGCTCTGTTCGTCTACCTTCCAGGTCAGCCAATCAACAGCCGATACGTGTTCGTGCTGTTGAGAACCATTATTCGGTCATGTGAATAGAGAGTGGGCAAGCTGAAGGCTATTTAGGCAGCGAAAACTGTTAAATAGGTAAGAGATTGCTGGCCTTTGTTGTAGGTAATTGGTTCCTTGAGAGTATATTTCTATATTCATGGATTGACATGTACATGTGGGTGAAGACAAGGGCTTTGTGAGACGAACGGACAACAGTCAAACAATTGAGACTTCGTCTTTTCCCAAATAACGATATTAATTAATAATAATTTTTAACTTATTACTATAGTATAGCTGTTTCGGTTATAAACAGAAAATTATATTGTAAAGTTGTGTTTACGAATATCAGTTATGGCCCCAAAGACTTTTCTCCTCATTTTAGTTCTTTTGCTAGTTCCAGTTCTGTTCAGATTTTCTTTGCATTGTGATCAGGATTTGCCTGATTTTCTTATTGATTTTCTGCAAAGAAGATGCTTAATTTCGGCTCTGTGTACACTTGCCGTGCAATACTTGCATCTGCAAACAATTTATTTGTGTAAGGCTGTTTAGGCTGACCTTGGTGTACCTGACGAAAACTTTCTTGTCGTAGCATCACGCAAATTTGAAGCAAAACGTGGGATGTTTAGACAGCAGTATTAATGATATTAAAGCGATGATAAGTGACGCATTTGTTCAAATTAGATATCCCTCTAGACGCGTGTGGTACACAGCTATTTATTTTATGATCAATGATGTTGGTGGTATGCCAAAACATACAAAAGTGAGTACTGGTCATAAAATTAGACAAATAGGACAGGCTCGATAAATTTATTAAAGAACTGCGTTTCGAAGTCACCTTGACCTTAATTTCAAGTTCAAAAAGGTACCGATAACTTTGAGACGCCGTTCAAATCTATATCAAAATCTATTGGTTGTTATAAAGCGAAATCCATCACCCTGCGGCAACTCAATGCCCTGTTAAGTGAATCATACTCTTGATGAAAGGTTCATCCGGAAGTCAATGTTTAAGAAAAACAACAGATGATTTACTTCAATGCTGTTCAGAAACTATGTGAAATCTTTCGTGAGACTTATATATAATAGCCTTCTCTTAATTTCGGCGATGGGGAGTTACGTATCATCAACAGGAACACGTGGGTGTTTAAGTCTGTGATGATGATGAGAAGCATGTGTTATTTGCTGGCCTTGAGTTCATTATTTAGTTCTTTGTATGTTTGTATGTGTTTCATCGATATACTTGATAGATAAGATCTTGAGGTCTTACTTCGCTTTCTCCAGCTTATGTATCCAATTTTGACATTTTGTTGCAAATTTGTGTAGTGCAGGCTCATTTCTTCGGACGTTGCACCACATTGTCCGTCGTTCGTATCTCCAATATCAATATTCTTATTGGTAAAGAGTTCATTTGTTGCTTGTGATTGTGGCTTTTGTTATACTTCTCAATGGAAGGTTGTAATAGTAGTTGTTAGAACTATTGGTTGGCTTTATTAAATGCTGGCAGGCTGCAAAAGCAAGTTTTGACTTTTACCAAAGTTTTCTAAAGTAGACTGTAAACTTTCTTTATTCTTACGTCACGAATTGTTCTCATAACGAATGATCATATTATAAAAGTTTATCTACAAGCTGTGGCACTGACAAGGTTGTTTTTCTTATGGAGCCGAGAAGGATGGCTCAGTATTTTTCATTTAGTTTTACCAAGTTTTACACGGCGACTTATGCTATGTGACGTCATGGTTCAAGTTCAACCTCAGTTCTCACGAACCTTGAAAAAACTATCTCAGCAAGTCATCCGTTATTTTAAATGTACTTTTCATTAAGTCTAAACAATTTGAATATTTTTTACGAACGTTTAATTTGTGGTGAGGTTCCCGAATCATGCCGACGCATTCAAAATTTTACCGAACAATGTAATTGATTTTTCAAATCATATAAACGAAAATAGCTTTAAAAAGAAACAGTTAACAAATAAGTTACATTTGACAAATGATTTTCAAATAAAACGTGCGTTTCTTCCTTCAGTTCTTCGGCGACAAACGAAGTGTTTCACCTACCTACCTTACGACTTTTGTCGCAATTATCCTTACTTGAATTTAAATGAAGAAACGTCTCTCAGTTTTATATAAAATCACTTTCTTTTAAAACCATAAACTTGCGTTAGTGTATTTACGATCATATATCTTGAGAAGATGACGTATAGCTTTCTGAACCAGACGTACTGTGTCTTGTGAGCAGCCATTGCTTTCTAAAACCAAAAATTTGAAACTGTCATAGATCAATAAGTACAAAAATTATTTTACCGTGAATGAAAACCGCACAACATTGGAAGTAAACTTGTAACGAATAACCAGCAGTAAATCCTGTTTATAAAGAGAATGCTAAATATTTATTGAATTGTTATTGGTAATTAGTATGTTAACTTTCAAACAAGCAAAGAAGCAATGTGCTGTGTAAACAGGATTCATTTATTGATTGCTATTCTTTCAAAGTCATGCATTGATATTTCCACCATAGAATTAGATATTTATTGGTGATCTTGTTACAAAATAAAATGAAATGGCATTCGCTTTCATGACTAAATTTAAAACCACGAATATTACTTGCATGTATTGTAACACAAATGATGAATAAAGCTACGACTTTCAGAATTGAACAGAAATACTAAGATACTTCATGTACCATTAAATATGAAAATTCACACCACTTCTCAAAGAAAGTAGTGAATTGGTAATCATCATATGATAATGTGAAAATTGTGTCCTTTGACAAGATATTTTATATGTTATCAAGTATTATTGAAACTTCTTTATAAAGGAACTGATGTCAAGTGATTTTCATGCAACTAGATGACAATGTGACCTTAGAAAAACACAACTAGGCAATCACATGAGGATATGACCATATGGTGATGTGACCATAAGACTATGTAACCAAACAAGAATAACACCATAAGACTATGTGAGCATAAGGCTATGTATCCAAACAAGTATATGGCAATAGGATGATGTGACCATAAGACTATATGAACATACAACTATTTTAATTTAAGGCTATGCAACTATGCCACCATTTAAATTTGTAAAGACAATGCTATATGCAACCATATGACTTTGATTGTGATCATGGAAATATTCAACCATTTGAAAGCATTTCATCAATTGTGTATACTTAGTATTAGATTTCTGTCAGACATCAACCCGATTGCATGCTAACTTATTGACAAATATTTGTTGCAGTAACTAAAATGCTCTGACCTGACAGCGTAGAAGATGGCTAAGACTGCTGACATAAATGAGTCTTCGCGTGAAATAACTCCAAATGAGATCAAGTGCAAATATATATTTCCTCAGTAACATTACACTGTCAAGTGTATAAACTGAGACAATATATGGAATGGATTTCTGCTCTATTAACCGCTTCAAGCCAGGATATATTGATCTGTGATTACGGTGTCCCGATACACCATACTTATCAAATGTTATAATCTAAAGACAGCATAAGTTTGAAATGAGTATTTGAAACATCAATGCTTAATGGAGATGTCACAAACCAAGTTTATGTTATGGGTGCGGATATGCTGGAGTAAGATATCACTGACCACATTTGCATTCCACATCACATTTGGATTATCAACTATATTTCTGAATAAAAATATAATGCAGGATTAGTTCACAAAACTATATCAAAATCGTTTGTCAATCAATGTTTCTCAAGGTATGGGACTACACATACTGATTGTCCAAAGTGGTGACACTTTTTATTCCCAATATTCTACAACTTTGCAAAAGTTCCTTTTTCCTTTCATCACCTTTTTTGTAATAGTTGCCTGTAAACGATGGACAACAAAATATCGCGGTAAAGTAGGTATAATATCTGACCTTTTGACATGGCCATACAGTTTGTGTGTCATCCAAGAAATAAGATTGAAAACTAAGACAATACAAACCTTTAGTTAAGCAAAGTAGCGAAAACGACGAAGCCGCTCTGCAAGCATGATAAATTACAGGTCCAAAAAACATACATTCGTCGTCGGGGTGAGCAATAACCAACAGAACTCTTTTTCCACTGAACTCCATCCAAGATCGATTTTTCAAAGATACATAGCAAAAAAACACAACAAAAAAGAACAAGCAGCTGTAGATAGCAACAATTATAACATTTTGCTGAAAAATCCAGATAGAATAGCCGTCCCTGTCCATTTTTAGGCTCTACAAGCTAACATTTGGGTAAGAAAGTCGCATGGAAAACGTCGCCAACACAATAAAGAGAGATGGTCTCGTAGGCAAACTAAAGTGACGTCATATAAGTCATCTCAGTCGATATATTTACATACACCACATACAATCTTATAAATTGTTCTAAAAAATCAAAAGTTGGTTGCTGAAAGAATGTAGTTATCCTTAACTATAATTAACCTGAAAATTTCATTCAAATTTTTGAAAAACGGCAATGCAATGCACTGAAAAATGGGTAGATTTTGCATATCGTTTTGACAGATGTTTTCTCGGAATGTTTTCGCGCGAATAATACGACATTCAAGCAGTTCAAGCAAAATTTTTTTTGTCAATCGTTAAAGCAAGGCTGGCTACCTTTCTGGAAACTTTGATGATGCTTATTCAAGTACAAGCTTAACGGTTTTAATGGCAGATGCGACAAATTTTAAAGAATTCACCATTACTGGTGTAAAAGTGAAGTTTCCCTTCAAACCCTATCCAAGTCAGATGTCAATGATGTCAATGGTAAGTATTTGTAGTATTTGTGAGACGTTTGCGTTCAAAACATCACAAAAAATCATAGTTATACGATATTTGAACATATTTATATTACAGATCATAAAATGTATCGAAAAACGACAAAATTCTCTACTTGAGAGTCCCACAGGCTCGGGAAAGAGCCTGGCATTGCTTTGTTCCAGTTTAGCTTGGCAACAAAATGAGAAAGGTAAGAGTTTGGGGCGCTCTATCCATTGATATCAACTTCTGTTTGTTACTTTTTATTTCGACACCTTGCAGAGCGTGTTCAGAAAAAAGAAAGGGAACTGGAGCAATCTTTTCGCAATCTTGGTACAGTTGTTGTTTATAAACATTCTGTGATGTTATCTTTCTCACATTTTCTCTATGCTATGGATTTTCTAGAGAAATTAGAGAAGATGAACAAAAATGAAAATGAAATAAAGACTGAACCCCAGATTGATGTGAAATATGAAACATGCGAGCAGAAACCTGATGCAAAGTTCCTCATTAACTCTGCTATAAAGACTGAAATTAAAGCAGAATTTAACGAGGCGGGTTTTCAACTTACCATAAAAGCTGAAAGGGATACAGAAGCTAAACCATCAGTAAAAAAGGAAGCGAGTACAGGAAATATAGAGAAATTGAATGAGAGGAAGAAAAAAAAGAATAGCCATAATGGATGTGATAGTGAAGATGAAATGGATTTTCAAGTACCACGAAAGCGATTTCGGACTCCTCAAGAACAGGTTCATTCCACAATTCCTATTATCAATTTTTAGCATGAAATTAGTATTATTGAAAGTGTTTGGTCTTTCTAGTTGTCTATTTTATCACTTTCTATACATTTTGTGTGTGTATACTTTAATGACTATTGTCACAACATAAATATCCCTAATTGATATAACTCAATTCCTTTTATTTACTGACAATACTGTCTCTTTCAGATGCCTAGGGCCAAGAAATCCCGTCATAATGTTAATGATGGTTTACTAGATTCTTTGCCAGATGCACAATGTCTTTTGCTGATGACAGTCATTGGTTTGAAAATGATGACTTGGAGATGTGAGTTATTTAAAAAAAGTTTTAATTGTATTTATAAAATGTCAATAAGATCCTGAAAAGACAACTATTAATTTGTACCTTTTGGAACAACAGAGAGAATGTCCCGAAAATCTACTTTGGCACACGAACACATAAACAGATCACACAAATTATACGGGAACTCAATCGGACTGAGTATAGAAACAAAAAGTAAGTTCTTGCTAACTCTATTTTTTTGGCATTTTTTTGTTTCTTGCCTGGGATTTAATTATCTGTAAGTAAATAGTTGTTGTATTTTCATTACCTTGCAAAGAAAAAGGTTGTGCAAATGTATTTGTGTACAACAAGATAAATTATACTGAGACTGCATTTAAGTGATATGATGATTTGATGACAAAAAAAAGTTCATGTGAAAATTTGATTTTGTCTTTCGCAAGGATGCATTAGATGTGAGACTCAACCCTCCATTGTGAAAATTCCATTCTAATTTTGCAGAGTCCCACTTGTTAAAACTTTTGCAATACATCTCTGCAGACTATGTATCATTATTGTTTATTGCAATTTTTGTTTGCCAATGAATTAATAAGACAAAAACACAAATGCTTCTGACTTATTCATATTGCTTTCTAATTGTGATGAAGAACATGTGGCTTGACATTTGTTGTCTGTAAGGTTTATGAAGAGTTTAATGCAAAAATTTATGAGTTGGCTTCATACAGTTGCTTCCTTATCTTGCATGCTGAGTGTCTATCTAAAAGTGATCTCAAACAAGGTCACGTGGTCTGACACCAACCTGCAATATTATCCAAACAAATTATAGACTAAAAACTTAATTTAAATATTCTTTCTAATGACTGGAATGTTTAAATGTTACAATTAAAATTTTTGTAGCATGTGTATCTTAGCAAGTCGAGAGCACACTTGTATTCATCCGCATGTTTCACAAGCGAAAAACAAAACAGAAGAATGTAGAAAGTCCATTGAAAATCGTGAGGTGATGTTTATGTCCATGACATAATGAAGTATTTTCATATATTGCTGATTTGATCTATTGTGTAGATATCTCCATTTTCACTCATTTGAAAACAATATTAGATTTCTAACGAAATATTTTGAATAATGCAAATGATATGAAATTTACATAGTACAAGCAAAATTGCAGGTTGGCTACTCCATTGGTTGAGCACTAGCATAAAATTTCTCACTGATTCAATGAGACAAATTTTCACCTTTCTATTAGAGACTGCAGTATAACATGCACTAACCTTTTACTTGTGTCATGATAACTTACACCTAGCTGTGTCTGATATCAATTTCCATGCAGTGTGTAACATACACCTGTCAGATTAAAGCCTACAAGATGTTTATGGTTTGTCGTCACGTTCCTGGGCTATGTGTTTCAGGGAAAATCTTGCAAATTTTACTCAAGAGCTCAATACGTGAAAAATCAACAGGATCTAGAAGATTATGGCATAAAAAAGCTTGGACAATTTCAGAACTTGTGGAGATTGGGGAAATGGTTAGGTAAGCCTGTTTGTTCGTTGAGTTTAGTACAATCTTTTCCGAGTTAATGTTTGAACTTTGAAATACTTTTTAACAACCAAGTCACCTTGCGTTAGTATGTGATGGATATAAACTTCCTCCACATCATCCAATGCCTAACCAACTGAGCTATCTTAGTGGTGTTTTCTACATTTTGAGTTTTTTCCAGGGATGTCCGTACTACATGACACGTGAAATCAAGAAGAATGCTGATATTATTTTTTGTCCTTATAATTATCTCATCGATCCGATTATCAGAAATCAGGTTCGTACATACATATACGTATTGAAGATGTTAGATTAAAGACTGATAATAAATCTTATTATTTGCGGTTCGCAACGATGACTCGCGTCATCTTAGTTTATAGCTTAGATAATGTAAAAACTTTTCTCGTTCTCTGTGGCCGCCAGTTCTTTACTACCGATAGTGAAATGAAGGGTTTGAACTCTGGGGGGGGTCCATACCTGTTTATGGGACCCATATGCACCTGGACGATCAACATAAATAAACATGTAACGACCAATAAAACGTTTAGTTTGCATTTTATAGATTTGATCTTTGTCTTTTTTGTGTTAAGGGCAGCAGCGTAGCCAGCCTGCAGATTTACTCCAGCTATGTAAATTTTAAATAATTACCATTATTCCTTTAGAAATGTACTGTTCCCACTGTCTGTAAACACAAAACATTTCCATAGCGGGAGTAAAAAGTCCGGCTGGCTGCGCTACTGATTAAGATTTAAGAGTTTGCGCAGTTTCAGTTTTGATTTTCAGTATTTAAGGTGTTTTCTGTTCTCCTCTTTCCATAAGCCATAACGCCCATTTTTTTTCAGATGGACATAGATCTTACTGGTGAAGTGTTAATACTTGATGAAGCTCATAATATAGAAGATTCGTGTCGTGATGCTGCAAGCTGGTCGGTCAATACCCACCAACTTGACGAAGCACTATCTGATATTGATTTTATGGGTTGGTTATATACACTATACTCAGTGCTGTAGAACTAAATTTATCAGATGGGGGGCTCTCCTGACGAAGCCGAAGCCATGAAATTATGAAAAATCACCCATTTCAAAGGTAGAAGGGGGCTCCTCCACCAAGCGCCCCCACTTCTACAGCACTGACTATACTTAGTTTACTTTAAGTTAACGTACTTTTTTAAAAAACATATACACATTACTGCATATTGGAGATGAACTGTTTAAAATGATAGAAATAGTAAAATAGAGATTTTGTCATCGTCGTGACAATTTAAAAATTGTTTTAGAAAGAGGAAATACCATGGTGAATGGGCAAAAGCAATAATTTAACAGCTCTTTCAAGGATTATTACATTATTATTTTGAACATTCATCATGGTATAAGCTCTTTTTAAAACAATTTTTTAATGATAGAAATATTTTGCCAACACGTAAAGATACGTTACGTAATTACACAATAGTCTTTTAAGACACGGGTGCTGATTGATTGAATGCATGAAAGGTGCTGATTTGTTGCATGAAAAACCCGCGCTTCTATGACTCTAAAGAGACACAGAGAATGTTTTCTATTTCTTAATCTACTATTAATGGTTAGAGGTGGTTTGTCGTGAAGAGAATTAATGGTGATTTTCCTTCTAGAAGTAATAGAGATTTTTGCAGAAGTAATAGAGATTTTCTATGCGGATTGCAGAAGTAGCTAATAAAGATTTTTCATGCAGAATTAATAGAGATTTTTCATGCAGAAGTAATAGAGACTTTTTATCTACAATTTAGAGATTTCCATCCGGAGGTATTGGAGATCTTCCATAAAGATATAATGAGAGTTTTTCTTTTATATTTAGTGAGTAAGAACATCCACCGAGAACAACATGAAATATTTCATTATATGGTAAGCATTCATCTCATTGTCATTATCCTCACGTTCGATAATGCTTTGAGCATAAATTTTTCATTGTGGCTACTACGTACGCAGTATTATGTGCTACACTAGATATGCGTTTGCATTGAGATTTTTTAACTTTTAGTGTGCGACAGTACGGAAGTGGATCGTGGAAAACTCGAACGTTATGTCGGGTTCGTCAAAAAAGAACGATTTTAATAAAAGTTTCGAGAAAAGATATGGGAAGGAAACGAGATAAAACAAATAATTCAGAATCTTGGTTTGGGACCGGACCCTCTTAAAATGTTATGGGTTGGTTGACGCTTTTTGTTTTATGTGTGTGAAATTTTCTGATTTTATTGACGTTATTTACATCCTTGTTTGAATGGTTTTTTACACCTGGAGGATGAATTGATCAAATGTTTTTAAACAACGAAAGTCCCCTCCCCAGAATGTTGAACGCTAGGAAGCCCCCTCAATTAAGTTGAAAGACTAAAAATCATACAGCAAAGAACACAAATCACATCTATATAAATACATTTACAAACATGTAATGTATTTCTCATAATAACTAATGACTACTACGACTGATTGACTTAAAGCTTCTTCACTTTTGTTTTGGATAGGATATTCCTATAAAGATGTCCTTTCAGTATTCTTTTATCCTTCGCGTTTTTCTTTAATTACTTTCATATGATATCTTGAAGTCGAAGATCCTTTGAATATTTCGACTTTTTTTCTTTTGTCAGAGGCATTTTGGCAAGGTGATGAAGCCCGTCGAATCATCAGTGTATGTTATACATAAGATCTTACATTTGAATGTCGATTTATGATGCGAATGACTGGGAAATGGGGGGAAATTTCGATAGCAAAAATCACAAATTTCGTGTGAAAATTTTGGTGTTTTCAATTTTTTGTGGTGTCATTATCTGTTGTTCATTTTTATCATTTATTTGGTTTTGTCGTTTTCAATGCAAAGTTAGCAACTGCTCAAAACTAATAATCTTAAAAATATATAGCCCTTAAATGTAAGTGAAAGATCACTGTACATCTACCCTGTCTTTTTTTACTAGATGAGCGGTGAGTTGATAAGCTAATACTTTAATGTCAATTTTCTATCCAAAAGGCATTTACATTTCACATTCATTTCATTTGCACAAACAAATGACTTGATTTAGTAAACCTTGTTATTTATTGAATGTTTCAACATTAAATGATATAAGGGAAGCAGAAAATCCTGGTTTGCCAAAAATCTCATGGATAGGTTGCTCACTCGTCACGGAACAGTAAACGAGAGAGTTCAATCGTGAAAGATATAAACCAATCAAAAATGTAAAAAAAACATGTTTAGGTTTGACTTAAATTGTTAGTCAAAAAGGGCAGAAGTTGTTTGAAACGTTGCAGTATCTTTGGATATTGTAGTTGATTTTATGAGATGTAGACGTATAAACAAAAAAAGTTGCAAAAAAAAATCCCGATGCCTTCGCATAACCAAGAGACTGTTTAGCACTAGAGCGTCGCATGTTAACGTTTCTGTTCGAGATATTGGCTCCTGTCACGCAATATCCGACTGGGCATGACAATAGCAAGCTTAAGATCATTGAATTGCCATGAAGGCAATGAATGTTCATCTTATAATAAATATATCAAATCAAATTGGAGTTAATGGTGAAACTAAAGAAATGTGTGAAACAGTTCATGATTGATTCATGATTTTTGTGAAACTTTGCACTATTCTCGGATCCCTAGCTTGTTTTTTCTTCATTCCCATCGTGATTTATTATTTTTTAGTATTTATTTTACTTACGGATTTCTTTTGCCGCATTTAGTTTTGATTTTATAAATATTTCACGTATCTTGCGATGACGTCATTTTCACTACTTTCCATCTTTGACGTGTAGAAAAATAGACAGGAGGGAGAGGACGGTAATGAATGCTGCCACGAGTAGTTTACTTGAAGGATTGTTCACGGTTTCATCATTCATAACTGAAAAGAATTTCAAGTTTCTTCATGATTACAGGTTATATCCTGCAAACCTTTACCGTTGTTTCAAAATCAATGTTCTTTCAAACACTTATCTTCCCTTAGGATGGGTATCACAGAGGAAAATGTTATGGTATCTACGGCTACCATAATGGTGAGTTTGTTGTGTTTTCAATGATCATATTGGTGAGTTTATGGTCTCTATAACCATCATAATGGTGAGTTTATGGTTTCTACAACCATCATAATGTTGAGTTCATGGTTTCTACAACCACCATAATGGTGAGTTTATGGTTTCTACAACCATCATAATGTTGAGTTCATGGTTTCTACAACCACCATAATGGTGAGTTTATGTTTTCTACAACCATCATAATGTTGAGTTCATGGTATCTACAACCATCATAATGTTGAGTTTATGGTTTCTACAACCACCATAATGGTGAGTTTATGGTTTCTACAACCATCATAATGTTGAGTTCATGGTTTCTACAACCATAATAATGTTGAGTTTCTGGTTTCTACAACCATCATATGTTGAGTTCATGGTGTCTACAACCACCTTAATGGTGAGTTTCTGGTTTCTACAACCATCATAATGTTGAGTTCATGGTTTCTACAACCACCATAATGGTGAGTTTATGGTTTCTACAACCATCATAATGTTGAGTTCATGGTTTCTACAACCACCATAATGGTGAGTTCATGGTTTCTACAACCACCATAATGGTGAGTTTATGGTTTCTACAAACATCATAATGTTGAGTTCATGGTTTCTACAACCATCATAATGTTGAGTTCATGGTTTCTACATCCATCATAATGTTAAGTTCATGGTTTCTACAACCACCATTATGGTGAGTTTATGGTTTCTACAACCATCATAATGTTAGGTTCATGGTTTCTACAACCATCATAATGTTGAGTTTCTGGTTTCTACAACCATCATATGTTGAGTTCATGGTTTCTACAACCACCATAATGGTGAGTTTATGGTTTCTACAACCATCATAATGTTGAGTTCATGGTTTCTACAACCACCATAATGGTGAGTTCATGGTTTCTACAACCACCATAATGGTGAGTTTATGGTTTCTACAACCATCATAATGTTGAGTTCATGGTTTCTACAACCACCATAATGGTGAGTTTATGGTTTCTACAACCACCATTATGGTGAGTTTATGGTTTCTACAACCATCATAATGTTGAGTTCGTGGTTTCTACAACCATCATAATGTTGAGTTTCTGGTTTCTACAACCATCATATGTTGAGTTCATGGTTTCTACAACCACCTTAATGGTGAGTTTATGGTTTCTACAACCATCATAATGTTGAGTTCATGGTTTCTACAACCACCATAATGGTGAGTTCATGGTTTCTACAACCACCATAATGGTGAGTTTATGGTTTCTACAACCATCATAATGTTGAGTTCATGGCTTCTACAACCACCATAATGGTGAGTTTATGGTTTCTACAACCATCATAATGTTGAGTTCATGGTTTCTACAACCACCATATTGGTGAGCTTATGGTTTCTACAACCATCATAATGATGAGTTCATGGTTTCTACAACCACCATAATGGTGAGTTTATGGTTTTACAACCATCATAATGTTGAGTTCATGGTTTCTACAACCACCATAATGGTGAGTTTCTGGTTTCTACAACCATCATAATGTTGAGTTCATGGCTTCTACAACCACCATAATGGTGAGTTCATGGTTTCTACAACCACCATTATGGTGAGTTTATGGTTTCTACAACCATCATAATGTTGAGTTCATGGTTTCTACAACCACCATAATGGTGAGTTCATGGTTTCTACAACCATCATAATGTTGAGTTCATGGTTTCTACAACCACCATAATGGTGAGTTCATGGTTTCTACAACCACCATAATGGTGAGTTTATGGTTTCTACAACCATCATAATGGTGAGTTCATGGTTTCTACAACCACCATAATGGTGAGTTTATGGTTTTTACAACCATCATAATGTTGAGTTCATGGTTTCTACAACCACCATAATGGTGAGTTTCTGGTTTCTACAACCATCATAATGTTGAGTTCATGGCTTCTACAACCACCATAATGGTGAGTTTATGGTTTCTACAACCATCATAATGTTGAGTTCATGGTTTCTACAACCACCATAATGTTGCGTTCATTGTTTCTACAACCATCATAATGTTGAGTTTATAGTTTCTACAACCACCATATGGTAAGTAGATATACAACCACCATAATGGTTGTATATCTACAACTAAAGTAATGGCGAGTTTATGCTATCTAAACAGTAGATTAAAATTATTATGTTCAGACTCTTCAAATAACTTTTACAATTTTTGTTTATTTAGCCCAACGGATATATTATAAGAGGAGGTAAAGGCTGTTGTTTGTTTTTATGAATGAAATTATAACATTAGGCCAGGATGGGGTAATCATCAATTTATGTCATAGAAAAATCAAAAAGGGGCTCGAACGAAGCAACAAGACTCGATTAAAATATCTTTGATATCATCTTAATTTTTGTTCTTTTGTCTTGAAGATCCTAAAAGAGAAGAGCTCTATGTTCTTAATTTTTGGTGTCTTAGTCCTGCTGTGGTTTGTCCTCACTTGAATATCTCTCTTTCTGTGGAATAAAACTATCCGTACTTAAGTAATTCTTGCTTGGTAATGTGCTGTTTTTCTTCATATTCCAGGTGTTTTCTGAGATCAATGAACAATGTCGGAGTGTTATTCTCACGTCAGGAACTCTCTCACCAATGGCGACATTTTCGTCAGAACTTGGTTGTCAGTTCCCAATACAACTGGAAGCTAATCACGTCATAAGCCGTTCACAGGTAACCATGACATCGTGAGGAGCATTATCTTTAGTGTTTTTCGTTCGTGTTTTGGTTCACGAAAATGACTAAAAGCGAAAGAAGATCTTATCATTGTGTATTTTGTTCTAAGGAATATCTTATCATTGTGTATTTTGTTCCAAGGAATATCTTATCATTGTGTATTTTGTTCCAAGATCTTCTCATTGTGTATTTTGTTCCAAGGAATATCTTATCATTGTGTATTTTGTTCCAAAAAGATCTGATCATTGTGTGTTTTGTTCCAAGAAAGATCTTCTCATTGTGTATTTTGTTCCAAGAAAGATCTTATCATTGTGTATTTTGTTCCAAGAAAGATCTTATCATTGTGTTTTGTTCCAAGAAAGATCTTGTCATTGTGTATTTTGTTCCAAGAAAGATCTTATCATTGTGTATTTTGTTCCAAAAAGATCTGATCATTGTGTGTTTTGTTCCAAGATCTTGTCATGTGTATTTTGTTCCAAAAGATCTTATCATTGTGTATTTTGTTCCAAGATCTGATCATTGTGTGTTTTGTTCCAAGAAAGATCTTCTCATTGTGTATTTTGTTTCTTATCATTGTGTATTTTGTTCCAAGAAAGATCTTATCATTGTGTGTTTTGTTCCAAGAAAGATCTTGTCATTGTGTATTTTGTTCCAAGAAAGATCTTATCATTGTGTATTTTGTTCCAAGAAAGATCTTATCATTATGTGTTTTGTTCCAAGAAAGATCTTGTCATTGTGTATTTTGTTCCAAGAAAGATCTTATCATTGTGTGTTTTGTTCCAAGAAAGATCTTGTCATTGTGTATTTTGTTCCAAGAAAGATCTTATCATTGTGTATTTTGTTCCAAGAAAGATCTTATCATTATGTGTTTTGTTCCAAGAAAGATCTTGTCATTGTGTATTTTGTTCCAAGATCTTATCATTGTGTGAATTTTCACACTGGTCTTTATTTCAGCATCTTTTTTCCAACGTTATTTTTATTACTAATGGACTACAAGCGATCAGTTGAAAATTCTTAAACTTCGTTGCGTTTTTTTTTGTGCAGGTAATGGTTGGCAGTCTTTCTACAGGTCCATCAGGAACAACTCTCAATGGTTCTTATCGTTTTTCCGAGGTTTGTTATTCAATGAAGTATATTCCCTTATAAACTGTTGTCAAGACTAATGTAGTATTTTTTGCGCACACGATTGGTTTTGCTTGGGGCTAATATCATTTCTCTTTAGAAACTACAGTTTCAAGACGAACTGGGGGAAACAATTCTCAGAGTCTGTGAGGTACGATGTATCTTTTCATGTGCGTTTATTTCTCCTTCTTTTTTGACTTCACTGGTGTTTTTGTTTAGAGTCAAGCTAATTTTCTTGAAGACTGCTTTGTGGTCTTTGTGTGTATCGTATCCTCAAGATTGGTAATCTACGTTTAACTTACAATCTTTCGTTAATCTTTAAGGCTGTTCCACATGGCGTTCTTTGCTTTCTATCTTCGTACGGCATGTTGGATAAACTCACTAAACGATGGAAGGTATATATGAATTCTCCTAATCAACACTTTTGAATCTTTATAAAGTCAACAACCAACATCTTTTTAAAACCAACGTCTCCAAATGTCTATTAACGTTTTAACTCACTTTCAACTACCGTGTCCAAATCTTTAGTAACTCAATATTTTAACTCTGTATTTTATCAAATACACTAATATCCATTTCGCCTCTTTATTTTAACTTTAACGTTGCGATATTGATTTATGTTTGCACCGATAGAGTAGGCAGGCACGGCATCAAACGGGGGGAGGCTAACGTTTTTGCTAACGTTGAGGCAAAGACGCTGTAACTTCAGTAAATATAAGTCGTAGCCCCCCTCCCCTAGATTCAATTTCGTTGCGCCGTCCATGGTAGATAGAAGAAAATTACATCTTTAGTGTCCTATTCTGTATTTAATTTTTCTATACCTGTTTGTATTTGCATAGTGTACCAATCTTTGGACAAGATTGAAAAGAGTGAAGAACACTTTCTGCGAGCCAAGATGTGGAGATAAATCAGGTTTTATATCTTCAGCAACAAATTTTCTTCCACGACGTCCTATTTTAAAACAAAGCTAATTGATTTGAACCTTCTTTCCTTTTTTCATTTTTTTAGATTTTAACGGTGTAATCAGCGACTATTACGAATGCATAAGAGTTTCTGGAGACTCTGGTTTGTTTTAGTTTTGTTATCAGGAATAGGTTAATTTGTATTATGAATATGGAACTCAACAACCGTGTAGCCTTTGTAGAATGGTTTGAATCTCGTTTAAAAACAAATTTTATATTTTCTAGATGATTCAGACTGCGAGTATGCGCCTTCTGGTGCTATTTTCTTTGCTGTTTGTCGTGGAAAAGTCAGTGAAGGATTGGATTTTGCGGACAACAATGCGCGTGCAGTTATTACAGTGAGAAATTTTATTGAATTTGATTCTGTTAATGTAACTGTTGCATAATGCCCTGATTAAATAAAGCAAAAAAGTGAGGTGTTATTATCGTGAAAATGGCCAGCCCCATTTTTGTGTTTCCATTATACCCGTGCACTTTTGAACTTTGTACCGATTACAAATAAAACTCAAATATTACTATTCATGTTTTGTGTCCGCTATTAAATTTTTGACATGTTCTTTTGACATTTTTCAATCGTACCTTCTTCATTAAGGTGGGAATTCCGTTTCCCAGTTTGAAAGACATTCAAGTGGAACTGAAAAGAAAGTACAACGATAAGAATCATACCTTGAAAGGACTCTTGAATGGTCGTGATTGGTACGAAATTCAAGCTTATAGAGCGCTTAATCAGGTATGTAAACTATCACTTAACTAATGATGTAAAACAGAGAGAAATCCCCGATTATCCTTTCATTTTTTGCTTGCTTTCAGGCATTAGGACGTTGTATCAGGCACAGGTATTGTTAAATTCCTTATTACTCCTCATTTTTATTTAAATAATCATCACAGGTATTTATAAGTCCCTCATTATCCCTCGTTTTTATTCAAATAATCATCATATTTAGTATGTTAAATTTTTGTTTATTTTTGCGTTCATATTTAGAAATGACTGGGGTGTGATTTTGTTAATTGATGAAAGATTTGGTATGTCTTCCAAGTACAAAAATGGTTAGTTTCTTATTGGTTTGTTGTACTACATTACAGTTTTATTGAAATGGCTACTTAACAAACTTTACATGTTAGTAGAATTGTTATAATGATTAAGTAACAAACTTTACATGTTAGTAGAACTGTTATAATGACTAAGTAACAAACTTTACATGTTAGTAGAATTGTTATAATGATTAAGTAACAAACTTTACATGTTAGTAGAATTGTTATAATGATTAAGTAACAAACTTTACATGTTACTAGAATTGTTATAATGATTAAGTAACAAACTTTACATGTTACTAGAATTGTTATAATGACTAAGTAACAAACTTTACATGTTACTAGAATTGTTATAATGATTAAGTAACAAACTTTACATGTAAGTAGAATTGTTATAATGATTAAGTAACAAACTTTACATGTTAGTAGAATTGTTATAATGATTAAGTAACAAACTTTACATGTTACTAGAATTGTTATAATGACTAAGTAACAAACTTTACATGTTAGTAGAATTGTTATAATGATTAAGTAACAAACTTTACATGTTAGTAGAATTGTTATAATGATTAAGTAACAAACTTTGCACGTTATTAGGATTGTCTAAATGGTTACGTAACAAACTCTCTCATCACAACTCGTTCGGTGATTTTTTATCATCAGTAAAGGAGTTCACTGTGACACGCGTGAATAATTCATGTCCTCAGAATTCTGTACTTCAAACACCGTCTCGTACCTCTGATGTCTCAAGTCAGGATTCTTCGCTAACAGTCTGTGCAACCTCCCAGTTAACTCCATCGAGAAACGTCGAGAAAAACATCAATGCGAATGTGTCATCTTCCATTTCCTTGTCTGATCCCACGTTAAATAGCCCGCAAAACACTGTGCATAATTCAGTGTTTCAAGGCATGCATACAGTGAACAACCTGCAACCTGTCAATGATCTGCAACAACCCAATAACATGCAACAAGTCAATAACCTGCAGCAGGTCAATAACCAACCGCAAGTTGGAAAACTGAAACAAATCAGCAACATGCAGAAGGTCAATAACCTACCACAAGTTGGAAAAGTGCAACAAATCAGCAACATGCAGCAGGTCAATAACCTACCACAAGTTGGAAAACTGCAACAAATCAGCAACATGCAGCAGGTCAATAACCTACCACAAGTTGGAAAACTGCAACAAATCAGCAACATGCAGCAGGTCAATAACCTACCACAAGTTGGAAAACTGCAACAAATCAGCAACATGCAGCAGGTCAATAACCTACCGCAAGTTGGAAAACTGCAACAAATCAGCAACATGCAGCATGTCAGCCATTTGCAACGCAGGGGCAATCCGATAGTTTTCAATAACGCAGCAAATGTTACCAATCCTCTGCGAAGTGCAAACCATCAACAACTGGGTAACCTTATGCAGCCAAGGTTTCCATGTGGTAACGGACCAGTGTTAGTTAGATTTGTCAATGCAAAAGGGGAACCCGTTCGATATGCACTTTTACCTGGACAGCGTCCTCCGTTGATGACCTCGCCAAACACCAAAAATCATATGGCAATGACTAGTAATGAATTAGGGACCTCTGAGAGCACAGGAGTAATGAGTTCTGGGATTGCCATGGACGTTCAAGTATCAAATGCTCCGATAACTATGGTAAAAATCAAACAAGAACCTCAAAGTCCCCCTGATGAAGTGAAGGGTATGTGTTTGGAGGATCAAACATCGTTGAGGAATGAAGGCAGCGGCGATAATCCTCAGAAAACAGTTATTGGTCAACATGAATTGTGTTCAGATGGTATCATTACTGACATGCGCACTAAGGCCGGCTCAACGTCATCAGAGAACGTGAATGCTAACAAGAGTACATCACACAGCACACAGGGATCTTTTTTCTCTCAAAGACCTAATGCATCTAACAATGCATACGGCTCGACTCAGTCGATCGGATTGCCAAGAAAAGCACTGTTTTCTTCAGAGAATTTGAAATCCAGTGTAGTAAAAGAACCTGACGATTGTAAGGAATCGCCATCAAAGAAGTCTCGAACTAACATTCCTCCACCTTTAGATCTAAATAAATGTTTAGGAATATCACAATCCTGTGAGACTGTGTCGAATGATGATGACACCTCTGACTCACCTATCCTCTTTTATACCCCACCATCAATGAACGCTGATGAAACTTGTGGGGATAGTGAGGAATGTTTAGAAACAGAGAATTATAATACGGGAACACCGAAAAAAGGGAACAAAACAAATAAGAATTTCGCGTATGACGAAAGGAATATAGATAATTGTGGATTGAAGACTGCGTGTACGACAGTCACGTGCACTCGTTGTGATACAGCTTTGTATTCAGCTAAAACAGGAGATAATGGTAAGATGTATTTTTTTGTAGTTACTTGGTCTTTGTGTCAATGAGATGATCAATATTGGATCTCATTTATGAACATCATTGTTGAAACTGTTCTATTTAGATGTTTTTTTAGTGCGTGATTTTTTGTATATTTTTACGTAGCTTCAATTACAACTGAAGAGATCTCAACCGATGACATTCTCGGAGTTATTATACACAGATTATTTTTCATTGCGTGGAAGAAGAAGAAGAAACCACCAACAGTAAAAGTTTTTAAAGCGGTTCGCAGTGATTCAACAGTTCTAGATAAATGCTGTCCGGCTTTTTCAGACATGAATGAATCACATACCGAAGCAGGTATTTTGAGACTTTTTACTCTGTCTGTTTACACCATCATTCTTGTTTATTTTATTTATCTTGACAAAGATACGCAAAGATTAATTTTGGTGACCATTTGAAAAAATAAGATTAATAAGGGCAGTTTTACGAGTTTACGTCCCCAAACACTGGAGAGCGATGTAGTGTGACATTGTTTTGGCTATGCTTAACATGGTATGTTGAAAATCCTCATTTAACTCGTATAATATTGAATCAAATTATAACTTGCTAACTGGATAAGGCCTTCTAGTTTTAATGTAAAGCTTCCATGGAACACTGACGCATTTGATACGAAAATAAACTATTCAACTCGTTGTTTTTTCGTAGTTCTTTTAGCGTTTGCAAGCCATTCTCTGAAAGAAACTTTGCACTATTCTTGGGTCACTATTGTGATTATTAACTGTTATCGTTATAAACTCTGAAATCTTTGATTTTATTTCAACATTGAATGATACAAAGGAAACAGATAATTATATAAGTCTCGAAAAGGCAAGAGTTGACTGAAGCATAGCAGGATTCTTGGATAGTATATTTTTTTAATGAGAAGAACTCTTGTAAACACAAGAAAAATTTTGAAAACGAAAAATCCCGTTTTCGGTCAATGCCTTCCGATACCCCAAGATAGTTGAGCACTAGAGCGTCGCATGTTAACGTTTCAGTGGGAGATTGGCTTGCTTTGACCCCAGCATGCGTAAAAGAAAATTAGCCAACACACAACCATGGACATTACTCTGTAGACAAAAAGAAAATTGCTTACTAAAACTGAAGTGGTTATGTAGACAATAGTTTATGATGGGTTTTATTAAAATGTTTTTATTTGCTATGAAGTCAATGGATGTTCGCCTCATGATACATGAATCAAAATATGGAGAAATAAACTAAATGTATGAAACCTTCTATGTTTGCTTTAAATTACGAATCATAAGGCAGTATTTTTTTGAAATTTTGCACTATCCTTGGATCACAATATTTGTATAATCGCTTCCCGATGATCGTGATAAATGTTGCTTTACAACTTTCTATTTTTATATAGACGCAAGGGTGAACAGTATTTACCGCGAGGAACAGTCGTGTTGTTACATTCCACTTTTATGCAAATCGTGTGAACAGGGCATGCAATCTTGTAAACGCAAGTCTAGACTTCATGTTGTTGCTGTATCCAGTGTTCCTTGTGGGGAGATTAGGGACTGTCCACAATCGGTAATTTTTCATTTTGAATATTTGTAAAATATTATACCCGGTGGCAAAACCAGTACAACCTTTTACTCCTATCATACAAATTTTTTAGGGAATTTATTCGTTTCTTTTAAAAAGTGATTTCTGTCATTGTTTTTTCAGTGAACGAACACAAAAGTATGTAAATAGGATATTTGTGTATTGGAGAATATTTCAATTTGTAGGAGTTGAAACTGGGTCGTATTATACTGCTTATAACATTGATGCTCTGTAGAAAAGTCTTTTTTAGTTTGTGCGACGTGTTAAGATAAAAATCGTGTTACAAATCGTATCGATCTATTGTCACTGCAGGAAGAAACTTATAAAATACTTATTTTTCTTCTTTTTCCCTCAGTGCCTTGGTATAATTTCGTTTGTTAAATATTCTCATAGATTTGGTTTAATCCCGAAAATGTAAAGCTCGTCGAAGAATACGGAAATATGATAAGGAAACCACTACGACCTAAGTGATGCTGAAACTTTGTAAAATGCGCAGGTAATACAAAGGGAGCAGGGAAATTGTATTACATAGCAATTGAGCGTCTACAATATACAGAATGGTGAAATTGATAGACAATGATCGTTGTATAAGCTTACGAGACTGAAGAATGTATTATACATATATATATATATATATATATATGTATCTAAAATAGATACTCGTAATGCAACAGTATAAAAACTTTCAAAAGACTATATTGTGATGATAACGATAGCCATTGATTTTGTTCCATCGTGCACTGCGCATGATTTTGTATCGAAAATAACCGTTTAAGGTGTTTATGAAACAAAAAGTTTTTCCTATTTAAATTATATTTTCATTCGACAAAATTCTTAATATGACAGTCTAAAACAGTTTATGCATATCTCTTTTCATTCTCAAGATGTTGGAGTTTTTGCAATGTCCGATATACACAAACTTGAGTCGCTGCAAACCTTCAAACATCCTTCAAGTTTCCCGGCAACTTTAGGTTGAAATGATTAGGCCATCTTTTACACAATTAAGTCTTAGATGTGGCTAATATAAAGTGAACTCTGCTCGGTTAAAGTAACATATCTGCACCACAGAATAATAATTATACTGAAGGGTCACTCAGGTGTACAACGTGTCCTCATGTCGGCCATTATTCCAGCAAGATGATTAGGATTTCTCACTTGTTTCCAACCATTAAAATTACATGACGTCCATACTTAATAATGAATTCAAGTATATTTTGACTTAAAAACTTACTTCGGATCATTTTAAAGGTTTGGAAAAAGTCAAAAACCCTCATCATCTGGCTGGAATAATGACTGCCACCATGCGCGGCACGACATGCTCGAGGACAAAAACATCAAAGGTTCCGACACGAGTGACTCGTCTGTATATTCTTATTCTATGTCTGCATATATACCTGATTATTTAAATTTCATTATGTAACGTGACGTCACAGGTTGTGTAATGCGTACATTAGATAAACTTCAGTATCTTGAGAATGAGAAGTGATATGAATAAACTGTTTTAGAAAATTCGCCGTCATTTTGAAAAATAAATTTAATGAAATTATAATCTAAATGACAAAATTCTCGCTTCATACTCACTGAAAAACCCCATGACGCCGACCTATGTATGTTCTCCGTAAGTGAAAAACAATTATAAACAACTGTCGTGTTTATAATGCAAAGCAAACCACAGAAGGGCTTTTGAAAGAGTTTGTCGTAAAACCTTATTTTGCTGAAGATTATTTAATGGCACGGCGTTACACAATCTTCTACCCTACAAAGTTTGGAACAAAATAAAATTTATTCCAAAGGACTTGAGCTATTCTCCTTATTCTTTTAAAGCTTATTTTGAAAGCCCGCTGAACTATATATTATCCTGGGGTAGCGTTTCATGAATGGAAGCGCTTAACGCGAATGCAAAATAATCATGAAAATTCGTGATCTCGCACTTGCACGATGATTATTTTGATCTAAACTTGAAGCGATCGCTGCTGCATCAAACTCGTTGGGCAGTTTCCCGCGTGGGGTCCACACATAGCGCGCTTTCACACGAGGGCGTACTTGCACGACGATTATTTTGATCTAAATTTAAAGCGATCGCTACTGCATCAAACTCGTTCGGCAGTTTCCCGCGTGGGGTCCACACATAGGGCGTTTTCACACGAGGGTGTCGTTTAAACTTACTCTTAATCGATGTATAATACAGTGTTGTGTTTAGGCGTGAAGGCGTGAACAAAAATATACAAGTTGCTGACGAATAACTAAAGATAATGTGTATTAATGTTTCCAAGTTATCGAGCAGATTTTCGCCGCTAATTTTGTTGTGGTAAATGGGCCAGCCGGTTTTCATCCTAGCAGATTTGAAGAGAGTGCTGTTGGTTGTAACAAGGAGGCAAGAGAGGTGTTGAAAGCTTCGAAAGTATTAACGATTATATAAAATACACATGACTATTATAAATATTATGCAATTTGTTTTGGTCATCTCATTTTTTAATGATGTATTTTGTTCTCGGTAGTAACGTTATGATCGCATGGTTCAAATAATCTTCTTGTGTAAGCGGATTTTCAGTCATCATCAGTGCTATTATCAATGAATAGTTGAAATTGCGGAAAACTGTCACGCACCGTGTTTTTCTTGCTCTCTATTGGTCAATTTAATTCTTTGAGTGTTTCTTTATCAAAATATGTAGAATTTTCTCCATATCGTGCATTGATTGAGTAATGGGGTTTTTTTTGGAATTAATGTTCTAATTTGTCTTCGAGGTGTGATAGGAATTTTTCGCCGTTCAAAATAATTTGAAGTATTTTTACAAAATCTTTGTATGCGTCTTCCTGATTCGTCTGCAAATGGGCTATTGTACTTTGATCTTTACGGCAAGTGCCGCTTAAACACAGTCTTTTCCTGTCGTTGCGAAAAATAACACTAAATAATGTCAATAATCAGATTAAATCTTGAGAAACATAGGCCTAGATAAATCTTTTGCACGGTGGGTTTTTGCATGCTTAATTTTAGTTTCGCGTTATGTGTTGTCGTCAGTCTATGTATATACCATCACTTGTTTACGCCATTTCAATGCCTTTTAAATAATGTCCTTGCAGAATCGTGGAGTTCACGAAATCATCTGTTAGAGTAACTGTCGATGAACCACGATAGCGATTCATTGTTTTAGTATATTTGATTTGTGAATAGCCTCCATCGCTGTATTAATATGAAAGTCACGAACATGTTATGGTAAGGAGTGTAGTAGCTATTATTGTTTTCTAATCTTAATCCTTTCATCATCTAATCCTCAGAAAAAATGCTCATGGTTGCTACGAACAAATAAATTTGTTTTGATCTTACTAAGGAGCAACAAATATTTACCAAAGGCATGCGACCACTTTTTCCCTGCACCCGAAGTTCATGTTTTTCGTGCGAGTAGCGTACTACGCTTCATTTTCTAAGCTTGGTTTCATACTTTGATAAATACCCACTGATCGAGAGCTGAAATGACATCAAAACAAGTAGCGACAAGTCATTTCTCCATCAATAGCTCTGTCATTGACCTTTTATATCTTGTCAATCATTTTGATTATTACGATTATCAGTATCCATGAACTAATCACAAAAGCTTTAAACTGGTAGTCTAGTTGTGGCATATTTTAATTGTATTGCTGGGATCTTCTTGAATTGTTACGGTGTGCTTTACCCCACGAAATGGGGTAACTAATTATTTAGATGCGTGCATCAAAATTAACACGTGATTCATAGGAAAAATCCCGTCTTAACTCTCTTGACCCTTCACACGTACCGCGATATTTATCTATTATAGCTGTACATTAATCATAAAAATAGTCTATAATTGATTTTTTTTGCTATAAAAGGTTATACGCTTGTTGAAGACGGAGTGTCCAGCTGACATTTGGTGAATTCGATTTGGATTATCCGTGAGTGAATCGAGATTAGATAAAGGTAATTCATGTTAATTAGCATAAATTGCGCACACACACACACGGTCGACTCATCGCCTGTAAATGTGTCTACTTATTGTACATTGTGCGCATGTTCCATTTTTCCCTATAAAATTTGTTTTGGCGTGAAATTTTCGATAATAGACATTAATTACACGCAGTAAACAATAAACAGAAGAGATTTAAAAACGCGTTTCCTCCTCGCGGCTAATCGCAGTCTTGTCGACGTCAACGTTTAAGGACGTGATCATGCCATAAATGAACGATTAATTGTGAAAATCTAGCCCTGTGGCCAGGAACTACCGTAATTTACCCAGTTCTTGTGAAAATGTCAACGAGAGTTAATTAATAGCATATTTTGTTATGGATGTGATGACTTGGTTTTGGATTGGTTTTCTTTGGATGTAACTACAGAGTTTTTTAAGACGTGCCTTACTGTGTAAATGGTTTGGTTGCTGTCTTTGACCACGGACTTGTTTACATTTATATATGAATGAAATAATTACTGTTTTTCTTGTTTGGATTTAACCTAAGTGCAGTTCTGCTTTTTTTTCTGTAGCAATATTGCATTAACAGATTTGCGGGATCTCTGAGAAAAAACTTTAAACAAGAAAAGCGTAAATTTTCAACACATGCATAATTTTTAATCCATTTATTTTTCTAACTTGAGCTAAGACCAGATCTTTATTGCATCGTTGGGAAAAATGCAAAAAAATAGTTCATGAATGAAGCACCAATTTTAAATATTTTGCCTCCAGGTAGCTGCAAAGAGACATCACTTTTCACTTAACCTATTCTCACACTTTTAAAGAGCGTCATCCTTGTGTTTTACAGCGTCTGACTTTAAATTCGGAAGTCAAGAAACAAAACAAAATCCAAAGCTGATGTGAAATCAGGAAAAGATTTAAGTAAATATAGCACAAGCGTGTTGTTTGTATGTCATTGCAGCTTTAACATCTCGTGTTTGTCTCATGTGCAGCTGAAATTCACACGGATTTGATATCTGCCGAAATGACAGCAATGTTTGCAGAGCGATCCGAAAATGGCTATGATAGGATTTGTAAAGTTTATTCAGTTGAAAGTTTACTTCCTATCCTTTGTATAGATCAATCGTTTTACCTATTGCCATAGTAAAAGAATATACAGATTGAACTAAGTTGATTCGCATTTCACGGCAATTAATGCGTGTTATCTTCAGAAAAGCCCCATTAAGGATGATTCTTATTAATCTTGTATTGCTACAGCAGGAAAAGTTGACAAAACTGGTTTTAATTACAGTAGATGCAGTTTTGCCTTTCGCTTTTTCCAATAAAAATGTGCAAAGAGAATCAACGGTTATCCATGCAATAAGGGAATGCAACAATACATCATTAAAATAATGAATTTCTCCTTCAAGTGCGCGTTCACAGTCTGAGTTCATTAGGACAATGTCAGATAATGAGCAAAAAACGACATCAGCCTAAGAGTGCTGAGCTCTTGAACTAAGTTGTTGGCTTCAAGACTATAACAAAAGTTATTGGTCAATAGAAACTCAATGATATTTCGTCACCGACTTTTTTGTGCCGCGTCTGAGGTTTCTCAATGACACCTGTCTTTGACGATGAAGACAGTAAGCGTATCTAGAAAATATTTCCACGCATCCCGCGAAGCAGCCTTAGCCCCAGGCAGTTTACACAGTCGAAACATTTTGATGAGAAGGTGTCCCAAATGGTCTCTATTTGGAAATAATTCTTTTTATTGAACACGTGTTAATACACATCGGAAAACTGAACTGAACTGAAACTGTGCACCTAAAGGTGTTTTAAATTCTCTGGAGGTAAAATAGCGCAACTTTAACTTGCTGTAAAAACAAAACAATATTATTTTTTAGGGAAGCTTGTAAGGGGAAGCACCCTGTGGACGAATAGTCGATTTGGTGTTGGATTTTTATGTACAACTATCTCATTCATTGAGTTCTATTTTCCTTTCGTTTTTTGCATACACTTATCCGTTGAGTTGCCGAGCATTGTCACGTATGTCGTAAAACTAGAATCACTCTACTTTCTAAGTTTCGTGCCATGAATTTTGCACTTTTTCCACTAAGGTTGTCCACGATATTCTCTGTGACACCTGACATCTTCCAATATCTTGGGACAAAGCGAAACGCCCACAGCGCGTTGAGCAGCCAATAATTTTGATCATTAATCCCTGTTAGCTCATTAAGAGTAATTATTATACACGCCTATTTGATTCAATGAAGTATTATCAAACGTCGTCAACTGACGACTAAATGCTATTAATAAGGTCGCTACAACGATCATATAATTATTTCAACATATCTACAACAAATTATCGTCAGCATCTTGAACACTTATATATATAGTTCAGGTTTCCGCATCGAAAATAGCCCCCGTTTGATAGTTGGCTGGCAGCACTATTGAAAACACGTGAATCATACATAAAGTATCGAAACGGGATATATCGTTTGTCGTTCATCTCCGCGGATTAAAGTTTGAACTTCGCGAGCTAATATCCTGGTTTTATGTTTTGTTAGCAAAATGGCTCATATTGGTCATCATGGATCTTTGACGCGAGGTACAAGTTCCTTTCAAGTATCTCCAATTCCCATACCATCTCACAGTGGATATTTGTTCCGCGATGTTTCAGGTAAGAATCATTATTCGGCCACATGATAATACACACACGCATCGTGCTTTCGTTGTGAACAAGTCAAAATTTTCACGTCTTACTCTTAGCACCTTAACACGCTAAAAGTATATAGATCAGTCTGAATAAACATGTCTTTTATTGTGATAAATGTGATTATAAGCGGTTGGTGTGTCTATTACCCGCCTCGTTCAACTGCCCAGTTGTTGATTCTATCGTTAAAATGTGAGAGACTGTTTTATTATACGGCTAGAAAACGCCTAAGTTTTTGAAGTATTGTTTTGTTTTCGAGTGAGCACAAATATTGAATCATGAGGAATAGAATGGTTGTCGAATGAGATAAAATAGTTATATAAGATTAATTTTATAGATTTATCCGTAATATTAATTTGCGCTTTGTCTCCATCTTCTTAATCGTGGTTTGTTGTTTGCATGCCTTTATATATAGCATACATGCGTTGGCAACGCTCTCTTTCCATTCGAAAGATAGAGAAATTTGTGCCCGTGAAAATTTATTTAATTTCTTTTTCCTTGCTTGTACAAAGATAATTCGTACTGTTACGTTTTGAAATAACTTTCGTCCTAAGAAAGAAACTTTAGTGTTTTAATGAATGCGAAAAGATCATTTTATTTGTTGAACAAGTATAAACAATCATGCGTTTGAAATTTCTTAGATTTATGTTCTTGTGAATCAACTGTAACTAATCTCTCCAAAAATACATACTCAAAGCATGTGTCTGTTGTTCTGATATTCGCGTGGAACAGTAACATATAAAATGACGAAATATTGTCAGAATTTGATGGTTAATTGAACGCTCTAAATTCAGTTCAGTAACGTCCATCTCTTGACTTGAATTCTCTGCTTAAAGTTAGTATGGTATGAGGACTGTCGTAATGTTCTCACGATTATTTGTGTCAGCTAACACATTAACTAACGTCAGCTTATATTTTGTAACAAAGACTTATCGTTTTCTTTTGTGCATTCATCATTACATATAAACTTTGGTGTTTTAATCAATGCTTAAGGAACTGTAAAAATTGTTTTAATAGTCTGTTGGTGTCTTGCAGATACACGTATACTTTCCATTTTGAATTTGTCCTTATAGTATTGGATAGTTGTACTTTAATATCTTGGTACAATTTACGATGATATTTATCTCTGTTGCTTCAACAACTTTTGATATTTCATTCAGATTATCACAGAAATGCCACTGGGCTGCATCCTTCGTACGCAAGACCACCAAACTTCTGTGACGACTACTCGTACGCAGCATCCGCTCCTAGCCATCAGCTGTTTTCAAATTCTGCAGCGTCTTTTCTCGGTGGATCAGGATTCCTCGAGTTTTCGGAAGCGAAGAGAAAGCCAAGTGGGAATATTCGAGCCGAACTCGATAACAGAGCGTTGTGGAAAGGTTTTAACGAGTATGGAACTGAAATGATCATAACAAAGGCTGGAAGGTACGGAGGCTTTTATTCGCTTTTTGATTTGTAGCTATCTATATGTCAGAAATACAACATATGGGGCAGTCGTTATTTAGAGTTTGTAAATGTTAAATTATCAATAGCATTTTTCCGGCTCCATTTTACTTGTGTGTTAAAGTGCTCTAAGCTACATCAGTAATTTTTCCGAACTGTTCTTCTGTCTTCTTTCCAGTCAGTAACGATTATATTTAACAGGAGCAAAAAGTATCTTCAAAATGATGCTTTACAAATATTTCAAATGAATTTGAACAAAAATTCGTGTTTTAACTCCATAAATCATACACAGACATTTACTTTGACAGACATTGCCATCATTCTGGCAACTTTGGTCCCAACCTGTACAAATATTTTTTCTATATAAACAAGCGTTTCCTTTTGCGCAATATCCTATTTGGCATTGTATCTGGGTCAGAGATAGCACATCCGTTATAAATTGCATTTATTTTATCAAAAACAAGCACTTCAATTTCCCTTCTCGTCATATTTAATAAAAGATACTTCGCGCTCAAGCGATTTCATGCGCTGACATTTTGTGTCGTATAAAGCCATACTTATTCAGAAACTTCCCGTAAAAAATTCTCTATTATTATAAGTTATATTTTGTGTCTGTACGACTTGCCAGAAGTTTCCGAAATCATATCATAGGTATTTTTGGTTTGCATGTCGAATACATGAGTCTCAAATCAAATAGAAACCTGTCTGTTTTTCGAGGAAGTATAATTTCCTACAACGCCCATAACGTCTTGTATATTGATACTATTTGGAAAATTAGCGATGTAAGTATAAAATATAGCTATGCTCATTATGGAATAGCTGGGTGGCATATGCATTTAATCGTTGAAAAGCAGCACACTGAACGCGATGCTGACTTGCAATTACAAGAACAGCTGAGTGTTGTTTGAAGAGTTAAAACGTGGCTGCGTTATGTAGCCATTGTTACGGAAAGAAACGAGCAGAAACTCAAGATTCTTTTCCAAAGTACTCGTGAGAAAATAGTTTTAATCTTTGATTTTAAGCTCGAAATATGCCACTTTAAAACAACGAGGCATTTTGTCACGTTTCCCGTGCTGCTTTTATTCCCGTCTGTGTATTTTTCGCACATTAACGTTGTTTAAAGCTGTCAAGTCGACTCACCGTATCGCTATCTTACACCCGGTTTTTTATTTGCTGAATCGACAAACACTCAATGTGAAGTTTATTTTGTATTTTAGTTTTTGCTCCTTTTACTGTATTTTATTATAAGATTACATGCTTCAATGGAAGTGTTCTTAAAAGAATGAAGTAGAGACATGAAATTCAACGTTGTTCACTGCATTTGTTCGCGTTTTCTTCGTTGTGTTAAGCATGCTGTTGTATGTTGAGCTAAAGTAATGATTTCGTGTTTTGGTTTTACAATATTTCCTGCTTTAATTCATATTAAGACAGATTTGAAAGCCTTGAAATAGTCGTGAAGACCACAAGGTCATGTTAGGCGCCAACTAAAGCTTGCATCAAGAGCCGCCCGATTCCGGATTTATTGCTTTATTCATTATGTTATTGTTGTACTGTTCTCTAAATATCTTTTTCCGTCAGTGATGTACATTCCGCTAGAAATATTCCGTAATTTCTTCTCAAACTGTAAACCATAGTTTCCAACACTTTTGGGCAATCACACTCATGTTAGTTTTATGGCACTGGATCTATAACAGATTATACAAAGTCTCTGAATACAATTTAGAACTTATGTAACTATCTATAATGAAAATATAAGATGTTTTTCTTCATGGCAAGATCTATACATTATATGATAACATGACTTGAACATTAAACAAGAAACAATCTGTGATTGTACATGCTTTATTTACATAATAGGAGAATGTTTCCAACGATCAGAGTGAAACTCGAAGGATTAGATCCCAAACTGAAGTACATCCTAATTGTGGACATAGTTCCCGTAGACGACAATCGGTACAAATACCATAATGGCGAATGGGTAATATCTGGAAAAGCAGAACCTTCGCATCCGTCAAGATTACATTTTCACGCTGACTCTCCAGCCACTGGTGCTCAATGGATGAGACAAGTTGTTTCTTTTCAAAAACTAAAGTTGACCAACTGTCAAGTCGATTCAAATGGACATGTAAGTATGAATTCCCTTTATTTGTATGTAGCGAAAATTATTTTGATATCCTGCATTTAGGGATCTCTTGCTATGTAGCTATAGATCTCTAAGAATAAATGTGGGAATTGATCATTTTGCTCTGCAATCAAAAAAGCAAAGTTACTCGTTGATCTGCCGTGAATAAATATCTCATAATGGTAGATACAACATCCATGAAGTGCAAATAATTTTTCTGTTTATAGTTGAAGGGTATTTTCCTGCTTAAAGCAGTCATTTTCCTTAGAGCAGTGTGTATATCGTGCATTACTATTTTAAGCGTCTTCACATATGTTAGACGGAAGAGCTTTTGTTTTTCTATATTCTTAATTTACAGAGATATTCACATTTCAGCAAGTATATTATTTTTAAGTATAGAAGATTGAATTGTAGCTGCATCCGGCAGTGAACATGCACGTAGTTTATCATCAAGGTGAATGAATGTTTTGAAGCTGTTTGAGACTGAATGAAAATCTGTTTACGTTTAATCACTTCCCCTCCCATTCTGTTTCGCGATATTGATCGAGCATATAATTTTAACGTTTTGAAATAAAGATTTCGGTCTATTGAATTATATTGGAAAATATTCGCTTATTGAAATACATGCGGGTAGTTCATTTACACCAATGTCTTCAAGTCTGTAATTGCATGTACACAAATACTATTATGATATAGAAAACCTTTCAGATATCTCAAACGTTAATTGCCGTAAGAGCTATCATGTACGTTGTCTTGAATATTTTTCGCGATAATTGATCATTTAGATCGATGTTTAAATAGGAACAACACTTTTTTGTTGTTTCTCCGATCCGCCCATCTCGTTAAAAATGATCGTTTTTGCTGTGTTCAACTATTGTATCATTGATATTGTAGGATTTCCGTAAACATATAGTCGTCAACTGCATGTGAAATTTTCAGCAAAAATATTTCCTTTCGCCTTCATTTGTGTGAAATTATCTGTTTTTGGCTTTCCGCAAATCCATGTCAGGTTGATTTTTTAAATCCTGTACGACGGCTAACTGAACGCTTTTGATAAAGTCTGATACTTAGCTTCTTGTAATAATTAGAAAGGATCGATTACATAAAAGCTCCTCACTGTTTTTTTTAACAATATCAGTTTCAAGTTGGTATAGCTATTCAGTAAAAATAGGCTATTTGGGTATTATACTTTGCAACATCAATCGAAGCAAAATGACGCCAGATCTCTTAACATATTTAAAAATAAGTGTTCTCACGGAAAATTTTTTTGATTCACGGAATTTAACATAAAAGAATTATACTGTGTTTATATGGGTCTACAATAAATTTAGGCAATTTCGTCGGCGTCTTGGAGTGGCTTTATAACCTTTATAAGAAGGCTTATCCACAATTATCCAGCTTAACTTCTCTAATATTAGAATTCCATTCATATAATACCAGATTACTGTTATTTGTCGCTTAAATTTTTGCCATCGCGAGTTTTTTTTATGTATGATATACGCTGTTTAATGTAATTAGGTTTCCATTTACCATAGCTTGAACATTACCATTTTAATTCGATGAGAAAATGAAAAAATCGAAAAAATTTTGTTTTTCCGAGCAACCAATACGATTACGTCGTCCAATCTTTTCCTATAATCGTATTATGATGACTCAAGTATGAAAAACACTCAGTTTGTGATGAAACATTTCTAAAATAGATTAGATAGATTCTTTCTATCCACCAGCTGAAAGGATTCAATTTTTATCAACAGCATTTTCTCTTATTTTTTAGGTAATTCTGAATTCGATGCACAAATATCAGCCTCGCCTTCACGTTATTCAGACCAACGACATCCACGCTGTAAACGCACACTTTAATATCCACGAGACTTTCACTTTTCCAGAGACAGAATTTATGGCTGTCACGGCTTATCAAAACCCACAGGTCGGATAAAATTTATCTCCCACATTGAACGGTGAACATCATTATCAGTAGTATGTTAGATAGCTAATTATCTCATTTTCTCAAGTGGACGAAACCATTTTATTTATTTGTAGATTACTCAACTAAAGATTGAAAACAATCCTTTTGCAAAGGGGTTTCGTGGAACGTGTAATTCGTTTGGGGCAACGTACGGCGCAACGAAGCGCAAACTAGAGGATGACTGTGAAGAAACTGGGTCAAGACTCTCGCCACATTTGATGAAACTGACCAATTGCAGCAGTCCTTCCTCGGCATGTGCTACGTCATCACCACGTCATGTAATTCATCACTACACTACAGGTACTCTAAATAGCTCAGTTGTGTTTGCTTTTCATTACGACTGAAGCAATCGACCTATTTTCAGCATCGTCTAATCACGAGTCTCCAAGTCACTTGGAAAATAATCCCTTCGACTGTCTTCAAAACATGACGTCACTTGTTGGGAAATCGTCGTCACCTGGCAACATGGATTGGCGTCAGGAGGTAAGTGTTGGATCGGTTTGCCCGACACCTTTATCAAGCAATGGTGATACCCAGACGTACCTTAGCTCGTTTACCAAGACAAATTGTCGCTTCTCGATGATGAAACCTTACGCCCATTATCATCAAGGCTTATACTCAGGCACACAGGAGCAGGGTGCAATACAACATCCATATGCAATGGGACATCATTTTGGTGCACATGGTGGGGATTATTCCCCCTCATGTTACCGTTATATGCCCGGAGAACTGTACCCGGGTAATTTTTTGAAAGGCCAGGATTCCTTCGTGAATAACGGCTTTGTCAACCTGCCCATTTCAAGCACGCAAAATGGAGCTAGTTTGAACAACCCAAATCAAGATTTCAATAATTAGTAAAGATAGGAGTAGAATTTTAATGAATTAAAGATTAAAATCTTAAATAAATGACGTAAGATTATATGCCAATTTATAAAACAAGACTTGTTGCCTTATTAACATTTCGACCAAAAAACGGTTCTTTATTTAATCAATCCTATCAAGAATACGTAGCTATGGTAACACACCCGTAAATTTGTACGCTGAAATTTTCAAATAACTTGAAGACAGAAGTGTATAAATGTCACTCATTGGTAGAACAAAATCTAAGCAGGCATTATTATTGATATCATTGAATTGTTTGAAAAATCAGAAGTTTTGCCTGCGAATTCAGATTTCTGTGAAAAAAAGTTCGGTTGTTTTGCTAAAATATAAATACATATTATCGCTATGAAGTGGATCTATATACAGTTTATTTATTTCTTGCTCCCAAGGAAAAGATAAAAATTAACCTATCTATACGAGATTTTAAATTTTAATCAAGGTATTATTGGTAAATTCGTCGATAAATTAACAAGCACATTTGGCTTTTTAGACCGAAGACCACAATAACTGCTCGTGATTAGCGCAACTTTTAATCATCTCTTGACATGTCAAGAGACGCGAATTTTCTGCAATGCTTTTTTGAGGGCAGAAATAGAAATTGATTTTTTTCTGAAACAAATTGGATGCGGCCATTAATTATCATTGAAATGTATAGAAATTATGTAAATATGAAAAATTCATGAATAAATTCAAACCAGGTGTCGCTAAAGCCTACAAACGTGTCTGCATTTCAATAACACTTAAACTTGCTTAACGAAGAACGTTTTATTATAATTTGTTAAGCCAGGATTTTACCGAGTTTACGTTTTTCTGTTATGAAGAAACAGCTGGCCCAAACAGTCGTTGAACTAGCGTTACTGCAAACGATATTAACCGAAGTTGACGCTGCTCACTAATTCATAGACGATACCATGACTAAAGCAAGTGCGCAAATTGTTGCTTGTTAATCGAACAGGTTTTGCGTCGAGAGACGCGCCAGAAACATGCCACCTTGTCATGTGCTTGGAGCTTTGCTAAAGTTACAAAAACTGCCGTTAACCTGTCGGAGAACAAACCGAGGAAGGCGAGATTTTTGGCGGCATTGTAAATGGTTTATTTCTATTTCGAATGATGCGATGACAAGCTCATCAAAACAAGATTTCGGACTCTGCTTTGTGCAATTAACCGTATTTGCAAATAATGCACATACAGGTTAACCGCTCAGAATTACACTGTCTTTACCGGTGATAAAAGCATTAAATTATAGACGAAATTTTGTCTGTGATCGTTTCTTTTACCGGAAGTGATATAGTAATAACGAGACGACTTTCGATTTTTTGCGTTGGATTTGATTTCAACAAGAGTTCCAATCCTGTTTTAATCCCTGTTACATACGGTATTTTTTTATGTGACAAATTTTATTTATTCTAAATGCGTCAAAGTCTTGCACCCTGCCTATTTTTATCTGTGAGAAATAGCTTTAAAAAAATAACTTTTAACGAATTCATTTCCTTACTGGATTTCGTATATCTAAAATAGTCATAGCTTTGTTTTAGTCCAACATTTCTTTATTTTGTTTGGACTGTTGTATTGGACATCAATTAATATTTCTCGATGAGAATTGTTCAATTTTACACATTTTCACTTGTAAATGTTGTTGTTTTTTAAACATCAGTTGCAATTAGAGATTTCTAATGGATTTTGATATTGACAGAGCACACATTTAGCTCGTCTCGAGTTTTTTGACAATTTTTATAACAGCTCGAAAATGTCCGGAAACGAATTTGAAAAAATGCAATTCATCTAAACATATTGTCCAATAAAGTGAAAAAAGATAATATTACTTTCGGCCTGAATCAAAAAACCTAATTTCCCTTTTCTTTCTGCAGAAAAATGCCGTTCCCTTGAAATTTAACTAATCCCTCTTGAAACTCGGTCCTTGCTATGAATGAGCGAGGAATTGTTTTTGACAATATCCTTCCTAATAAATGAAGGTATTTTGTATATATTGGCTAATTTCCTGCCTGCAATGACATCAATATATAAATTGCAATGCACAATTCGCTCATTTTTCAAAACACACGATCTTCCCAAGAATTAAACCAACAGCTTGAGGAAACTGGATAAACAGGGCACCACTGCTAGCGTTTTAATATTTATGATTGGGAATTAAGTATAAGCGCCGATGCAATCAGGTAGCTTTTGCTGGTGTGAAAAATATCACGTTGTGTGATTGGTTCACTTGTGGCACTGCCCAAATGAACGTGTCAAGTTGTTACAATTTGGCAACGTACCCAGCTTTCAGTCATTTTAGTCGAAAGGTGATTGGGTCCCGTGGTCAGCTGTCGACCAATTACACGCGTGGACAGCTTGTTAACATTCGCCGTTTTAATCGATATATGTTTACATAACAAATATCTAAGTCACACTTCCAATCCAGGAGTGACTTGAACCGAAACACTCCAAATTCAGAGCAAATTTAGAGAGTATACAAAAGATATAAAAAAGGTAATTTTTACATTGACTTTTGAGTGGATGTACTAACAGAACATTGAAGAAAGAAATCCATGCAATTCTGAACAAAAGAAGGTAAGTTTTAAGCTATTCATTCATTGTTACAAAAGCCAAAGAATATACGTGGCTGTTAATTGAACGCGAGGCAAGATTAAAAACTGTTATTTATCACTCTTGTTATTCTTATTCTAGCAAGTGACCACTGGTAATTTTGAGAAGAAATCTAAAAGAGATTACTACGAACAAATAATATTGTCCACAGGCTAGAACTGCTTTCGTTTGTGCAGATTCCTCTTCTCACACTTACATCAAAGGAAATTGGCTCTTTGGTTAGGCTCAGACAAATCTCGTGAACGGAAAACTTTTAACTCCGTTCATATCAGGGGCAAAGGATTGTTTACAACAAATTTGTGCGCGTGGTAAAATCAATTTATGCAAGTTCTCAGGTTTCCTACGCAATAGATTTGGTCACACAAAGCGCAAAGTACGAGGATAAAGAAACACTCTTGTGTACTTTTGAAAATTTAACGTTAGCAGAACACAAAAATAACTCAAGACATACGCAAAGAACCTCACCTAAAGTTGAAATAATTTTGCTGAACGTCAGTTGGATTTTGTAATAATTGAAATTTAAAACTTATAGATTTCATTTAACAAAGCTGTTTTAATATTCAATCATAAGAAAAGATTTACAAAATAATCGATGGCATATCATTCCTATTACTCATCAGGAAGAACAGAATTCTCTGTTCCAACAATAATTCAACCTATGATAACACCAGCTGTCAACGGAAATCCTGCGAACAAACAAACAGTTGCGTCCAGTTCTTTCAACTACCATCATCTTTCTCCCACAGCTACTAAAGCAAAGTCTTTCAATCCCAGTTTCTCGGGATCAACATTTCATCCTTCGCCATCCATGATGCCTTCTGGTGCCTTTGATTCCGAGTCAGAGAGATCCTACAATCCTGCACCTACAGTGAAGCTGGAAAACGAAGATCTTTGGCAAGTATTTCATAAACACGGCACTGAGATGGTCATAACAAAGGCTGGAAGGTATGTCTTTTCTTCTGAAATTAGTGAATTACCATTGAATTCAAAAAACTTGTTGTCCTTTAAAAGTATAATTTAATAGTTTAACATGGTCGAGTTTGCAGATTAGAGAGATACTGAATGACCATTAAATAGCTTAAAACTGACGGGCTATTGATTATTAATAAAGTTAATCTTATATTGCCAGGAGAATGTTTCCGGCTGTTAAAATTCGAATTTCTGGACTCAATCCCCGAACAAAATATATTGTACTGTTGGAAATTATTCCGACAGACGATTGTCGTTATAAATTTCACAACTGTCATTGGTCCATTGCTGGTAAAGGCGATCCAGAAATGCCCAAACGCATGTACGTCCATCCAGATTCACCGAGCGCTGGCGCTCAATGGATGCAGAAAGTTATATCTTTTCATAAAATGAAACTCACAAACAACGTCAACGACAAAGACGGTTTTGTAAGTTTCTGCATTTCATTCTCTACTCGTTAATTGTCCGTCGTCTGTCGTTTCTTAATTTTTAAAGCTATTAATATTTTGTTTGCAGACAATACTTAATTCAATGCACAAATACAAACCACGTGTCCATGTTGCTAAATGTGAAGACGTGTACAGACTGCCTTGGAGTCCATATCAAACATACGAGTTTCCTGAAACCGTTTTCTTTGCAGTCACGGCTTATCAGAACGAGAAGGTACACGCGAAAACTAACTACAAGTAAACCTTAACAGTCATAAGCTGTTTCAAGATACCCAAAAATGGCAACATGTTCATACTGTTATTAGAATGAAATTGTCAGTTTTGACACGTGGGGCGATATCCTTGGCACGTCATGGGGGGTGTTGTTAACGACACATTTCACCACTCAATGTGTCCATTTCTTTGTTTGTTTGCGAAAAATAGCGAAATTGTAGATTTAGTGAGAAATATAGATTCCTCTGTTCCAAAAATGCATGAAAGGAGAAAAGTGTGCACGACAAATAGTGTTTATTTGCTGATTTTTAATGGTTCGTGGAGGAAGTGCCAATGTTCCCTCCTTGCTTTGGAAAGATTACATTCAGTTACCCTACAACTAGTTGCAATATATATGTTTTTTACTCTTAAGACAATACGCGTTTGCCGAAATTAAGGAATTAACACCAAAAATATAGAGAAAAACATCACCTCTGGTATGTGTGAACATCTTGGACTTTTTTTAAAGAAGGCATACATTCTATAGAGATACATTACATATAGTGCGCTAAGTAGTGTTTTATTTCACCAATTTACATTGTTTGTGTGCCAAAATCCTTTTTACACTTGATGGTAAATTTTAAATAACATAATGTTCGTATACAATACTATGAAAGCCATTTCTTAAATAAATACAAACAAAATGCCTTGAAAAGGAATACAAAAATGCCAATATCATCATTTGGTTTTAGATAACGAAACTGAAAATCGATAACAATCCATTTGCCAAAGGATTTCGTGAAAATGGAGCAGGTCAAAAACGAAGGACTCAAGAAAAGAGGTTCTTGGTTAATTTATTTGTTTCCTCTGGTGCATGTTCTCATTTCGTGCATATTGTAGTAAACTGCAGACATTAGTCTTCATTTGTTTTTTCCCCTTCGTGCAGGAAATCTAAGATATCGGATGTGCAAACAGAGAGAATTTTACCTGTAAATGACGTTAAATGTGAAAACGAAAGACCAGCTGATTGCACTCGAACATCTACTGTTGATAGTAATCTTACAGATGATGGTAAATAGTGTTAAAATTTTGTCTCCAACTACAAGAATTGGCTTGGCTGAGAGGGCCATGATAGATAAAGAACTTTTAAGACAATGCAATTAAAAAAATCCATTTGAACGAAGAGAGTCGTCTTTGTTGAGCGTGTGGTTTACCTTCTTAATCACCGATTTAACGACCATCAATGTTTGTCTTATTGTCCAGGTTTTACGGGAACAATTGCGATCACAAACAATCAATGAATTGCATGGAAACAAAGCCTGTTTATTTTGACACGTGTGAAGAACTGCTGTCTGCTATAGAATCAAAGACATGTTTAACTGTTGCCTAGGTTAGCAGCACAAGTTGCTGCGTTAATAAAACGCATGAAATGTAGGGCACATTAAAAACGTACTGATTATTCTTTAAAGATTAAATCTTTTTCAACAAATGTTACTTATGATTATGACCGAATTTGACAATTATTTATATACTTTAGGTGTCAACAGTACTATTGCGCAAAACCCATCAGGACATACTCTCTCCGCAACCCCCACCGAGACAAACTCTTCTGGTCAACTTGTTGACAATTGGACGTTTTACAACGGTTACCAGAGCAATAACAACGAGCACTTATCTGACATTCGCTACCCATCATATCCTGCGCAGGCGCAAAGAAACTCCTTTCTATCAAACCCAGCATCGTTCCCACATAGACCAACGCCGGTCATGTTTGGACAATCGTTCGCACACCCAATGTACGGTACGTACACTGTCCCCCCGGCTTATGTCTCCACATGCGATGTCTTTACCCCGGAGATGAGTATGGATAACAATGTCGGAGATATGTTTAACATTCCTTTGACCAATAATTTTAATAGGTTTTAAGCACCACAAAATGAAAATTGGCACACAAAACTGTCTTTTAGTATTGCTTAAATATAAAGATAAAATTGGTACACATGCTACGGTCTAACTGATAAAACAGTTTTAAAAGGGGATGTAAATTATTAAAATGATTCAACACGGATAAACATTGGACAGTTTAATTAAACTTAAATATTACCATTGATAAATTCCATAATATTTTACAACAAATTTCAATTTCAAAGCACAGCTTGGAGCATAGAAATAAATAATTCCTTTTTTTTGTTCGATTCATCGTCAAGATTCAATTAAATAATTGCATAGTACGAAAGTCGTTAAGAGTACGGCATCTTTTGAAAAACATTGGTGAAGAAATATTACTTCTTCTACTAATGCCACACAACAATCACCAGCACCTGAAGATGGACATACCACACTTAAAATCTACATCTAATGAATAAATTATTTACCAAAAAAGATATAAGTTATACGGGTACATCCAGTTACATATTGAGTTCAGATTTAGTGGGAAATTTGAATGACTACACAAGTCACTGCCAGAATCTAATATTTTGTCGACTCGTGAAAAATACTTGATAAAATTACTATTCTGGTTTACTGGCGTTTTTCTTCGACGTTTGTTTACGCTTTTTCGACAAACCGAAATGTCCATGGTGAACAGAAACCATCAAATTACCAATGGCAGGTCTTGATAGGGGATTCTGAACAAGTGTTTCAAGGTGTGTTGAATAACCGTCGCGTAAATACTAAAACAAAAGCGAGAATTATTTCAACGTTTGTATCTTTAGAGATGCATATAACTTCTTCAAAATACATTCATCTTTATGTTTATCTAAAGATATATCTATCTTTAGACAAATTGGATAAAATATTCCTGCTTTATGTGTAAACAAGTCATTAAATATCAACCAAAAATTACATTTACAGCGATATCATCAACAGTAATTTGTCATCACTAACCAGCTTATTACAGACGGACCGTCACCACCCCCCTGACTTGGTTCTTGTTTATTGCGTATTCTATAAGGGGGGTAGTTTTTGTATGATGCTTTTCCAGCAACTTACCGTCGCTTGCTTTTCATTTTTTCTGCTTTTGCTTCCAATAACAAAGATGGTATTGGCTTCCATACCAAGACCAGAATATACCGCAACATCTTTGCTAGATCCATAGGCCGCGTGGATTTTGATCTTTAACTAGATAATGAAAAGTACTGGCTTCAAAATTTCAGCGACTGTACCGTAAAGCTAGTGCCGAGCAAACTCCAGAGGGAGTGGTGGGGTGAGTTAATCCGCCTTCGGAAAAATATCAAAACTCCAGCTTCGGTGAATAGCAGTAAATAAAGCAATTTTTTTATAAAAAGCTCTATGAAGTTTGACATGCGTAAATGGCTTACGTTAGTCGTAAGCGTCTTTAGATACTCCGTTTTGTGTCTTTGAATGTCCACGGTGGATAAACTGCCGCAGAAGGAAACTAAGCCAAAAGGGAAGTTGTGCTCGGACATCCATGACATCACGTGGTTTTTTTGAAAATCTGGTCTGCTCGTCACGTATATTATGAGATAACCATGTTCTTGCCAGTGACTGGATTTAAAACAAAATTGAGGAATAAGCTTCCATCGTGATTCGTTCAGAAGCATGGTTAGTAATTGGGGACGAAAGAAATGTTTCAGGGACAAGACTAGAAACATAAATTGTTGTTCAAAGTTAAATGAAGCTTGGTGGCTTGCAACTATTGTACCAGGAATCAAAGAATTTTTGCCATGTTGGTTGAAATTTGAATTGCACACAAGAAAATTCTTTGTCAAATTGGACCAACATGGCAGCCGTGACGTAACATGCAACCCGCCTCAACGTATGAAAGAACTATTAACAACAAAACATGAAAGTGGTTTCCCCAGTTTAGCCATGGAAAGTTTCTCGTACCGTACAACATCGACAGCACCAGGTTGAACCTTGGGATGTCTACCTCGTAGAGAGACGCTTGCTGAGAATGCTCCATCAATACTAAAGACGACAGCCTCCGTTGACGGTGACAACACGGCTAGATTACAATCAACTGTAGTATGATCACCTCTAAATTGAAAATTTTCCACAGAAATTCATATATAAACTACAATAAACTTAAGAATACATTAAGAAACCAATTGCTTAAGATCCTACAAGAGCACTTTTATTTTGTAAAGGATTGCTTGCATATGAACTAATGCCTTAGGTTAGATAAAGACTATCTCGTAATGGTCCAGTGACGTGGTTTGAGGGAACAATAATTAACACAATTGTTGGAAGCTGTGCTTCATTCTAGCTCTAGAAATGATCATTAAGAATCACAGATAACCATAAGTAACAAGAGATGACCATTAAGGATCATAGATGACCATAAGTAACAAGAGATGATCAATAAGAATCACAGATAACCATAAGTAACAAGAGATGACCACTAAGGATCATAGATGAACATAAGTAACAAGAGATGATCAATAAGAATCACAGATAACCATAAGTAACAAGAGATGACCATTAAGGATCATAGATGAACATAAGTAACAAGAGATGATCAATAAGAATCACAGATAACCATAAGTAACAAGAGATGATCATTAAGAATCATAGACGAGCATAAATAACAAAAAATGATCATAAAGAATCATCGAAGATCACAAACATGACCATTTAAGTATCTTCTCCTCGACCAAGTAAGATAAATGAATTGTTTTACAACCTGACAACCATTTTTATAGGATAAATTCCGACGTCCAGTTTATTTTCATCCGGCATGGTAAAACTGGCACGACCACCGCTTCCGGTAATAACTGAATCTGTAAGATTCCAATCTCCGGGTAAACTCATCACGTACATATCAACCTACAAATCATTATATAGATCATATCAATTAAGCTAATATGAAATATATATGTCCATCCAGTCCACCCACTTTTTCTCCAGTCAACGTGGCTACATCTAATGGGCCGTAGGCAAAACGAGCTGTAACAATTTGCAGCGAGTCCTTTAGAACGATTGCATCGTTCGCGCGGTGATTTGGTGCCAAGTTCTTTATTTTATACGCCGTTCTCTTTTTCAGCCATTTTTCTCGTGGTTCTGCGATGTGAAACGAAGACAATCTTCTGTATAAAGGTTTGTTCGTCGAATCTGAAGGCTGAGAGTCGTTGAGATTGAAGATCTAATAATATGATAAAATGTAATGATTTATGGAATAATGAACGCATGAAGAGAGGAAAGAAACACGATATAAACAGGGCCTTCGGAAAGGGTTTGGGCAACATGTAGATGAAATGCTCAGAAAAACTGGTGTGGCTATCAAGTTGCTCTTCAAAAACGAAGAAACCTCTAACGATTGTTGCACACAAAGCATTTTGATTTATTATTAAGTGTCAATGTTTGTGGTTATTAATAAATGGATAATTTTTCATGTTTGCTCAACGCAAATTTGTCAACTTAAATCTCCTTGCGAGAGCCCTGAAAATGTAGGTTTTTTAGCAGTGAACAGAAGGAATGTAGCATGTGTTAGAAAACGTATTAGAAATAAACGTCTGTTTAAGTAGTCAGGTGTAGCGCGATTTCTGCTAAAAAGATGATAAACTCAAAATGCATTGGTGATTAAAAAATGGCGATACTAATATAGCGATACAAAATTTAGAGTGTATTTCTTTGTTTTGCACGAAAGAAGGCCAACTTCAAATGCCTTTCTTGCGATGAGCAGTGAACCAAACTATTCCTGAAAAACAGAAGCGAAGCTATACTATTAGCCAAGACTTTGATTCACATACCTGACGAATCATGAAAGCAACCACATCCTTCGATTCCCAATAGCTGATATGAGACAGTGGACACAGAACAGACAGCGGTAGTTGTTGAAGACTTTTAGGACTATGCAGAGCATAGTCGACTCTGTCAATCCCCCACCAGTTACATAAACCTTTCATTGAAACAGAAAATTACTCATCCAACGAGTAAATGATCAAAATAGATAAAAAAGAACGCTCTTGTTTCATAAGTAAAGTATCAGAAACAAAAAAAAATGACAATGGCCTCATCTAACATCATCCCAAATTGCAAGAGATCATTTCAATAATTTGTTTGAACTCGATACTAAATTCCCATGAACGTCTATTCCTACTCTAAGTCTACTCCTAAAACTGACTCTTCCCTAATCCAATCCTACACCTAGGTGACTTTCACTAATCCATTCTTAACCCTTACTTACCTTCTTTAACATCATCCGAAACAGAAAAGTCTAATTGGTCTAAGGACATCGTACTGCATGAACTCAGGTTACTACATGTTCTTTGTACTTTCATTTTACTGCTTTTCATCATTTTTTCATGAAATAACTGCGGACGACCGCTGATCACGGCCATTACGTCATTGCTCACACCGTCCCCGCGTGGAAATTTCTGATAACGAGGTACTCTTACGGAAGAAATCTGAGAGAACTGAGAAAGAATAAGCGGCTCGATGCGGGCGGCCAAAGGCTCAAATGGATGGAATAAATTGTAAACCTGGTTGCAGGCTGGCCTAATGGGCGGTCCTGAAGAAACACAAACATGTTTTTTGACATTTATAGGAGGATGATAGCAGTTAGTTGTAACGTTTGTACTACATAGAATGAAAAGATTGAAAAAAGTCGGGCAAATTCTATACACCCAAGTTCGAACAATGAAGATAGAATCTACATGGAGCATTCCTTACCCGAGTTTCTACCAAAGGACGACGACACTTTCCTGTGAAGTAGCACTAAACCAATAGGAGAACCAAATGCAAAAAATTTGGCGACATCAAACTCAAATTTTTTTGTTTTATACGAACAGACGTCAGAGACACAATCCAAGCTATCTTCAACAGACACGCTTCTCCTCTCCTCTGTGCTTAACACGTGTTTAGGAAGATCTCTCTGACTACCACGTATATCAAAATCACTGGAGCTAAGTCTTGAATTCTTCATGGCGATCGTGTTGTTCCCACTTGCTCGCTCCATATCTGTAAGTGGACTCGTGGGCATTGAAGGATTTGTGTCGAAACTACTTACACTCCATTGATTCTGGCACATTGCTTCGTAAGCAATCAAAGCTCCCATACAGTCACCAACAATACATACCTTAAAATGGTTGAAACATTACGTAGATGAAAAAACACTATTGGGCTTAATGTCATGTGGCCATCAAAACGAAACCCCACAAAACAACAACACCAGCAGCAAACGGACGAAGTTATTTCATGACTAAGGATATATGCCCCCACCCAAAAATAAAAAAAAACATCATCAACAAAAACAATAATAATAATGCGGGTACCAAGTCTAAAACAAATTGCAACGAATTGTTACTTTGTTGGCTTCATAAGACTACCTCTCCAGCAAATCCTGCTCCTTCTTCAGAGTTGATAAACTCTCGATATACTTCGTTGGCTCGTGTAATGGTTGACTCAACCATCTCGGGGAAAGAACTCGAGCACACTGCCAGGATAGACATTGAAGACATTGAGAAATTGCTACACACGAGAGGAATTTGGCTCTCTATAACGGCAAACAATAGCTATGACAATCGAAAATTTCTCAGCAACGCAACACTTTTATCATAACAAAAGCTTTATTTAACCTTGCTGATAATCTTCAGCTGTCTGCGGCGTGATGTCTTTCAACGCTGGCAAAATATTCTTCAACATGTCTGGGCATTCTACCAATCTGAATTTAACTCGCTCCATTCCTTCTTTATAATGATTCTGCATAACATTTTGAAACTCTCGCTTTAGTCTGTCGCAATCATTTTCCTTGGACTTCATGTCAAGTGTCGTGTCAAGGGCATTTCCCCCGTGAATGATCAACATGAGTATCTTCACGTGGCTTGTCGTTGAAGACCTCGTTGATGCAGAACTGTTTGAGCTACATGTCTTTGCAAGTGGACTCTTGGTAAGATGGTTGTCGCTCGTTTCGTGAGACTATTACAAAAGAAATGCATTAAACTAGTATTCCACTTTAACGACATGAAAAGTTGATTCCAAGAGACCATCTGAAGTCTATACAAATTACAAGAATACTTACCGTGTCCGAATCCAAATCTGATGATTCGACGCTTTCCCCAGAATGAGAAAGGCGATCGATATTTTTATGAACTGACAGATATGATGTCATATCTTCTTCGTCAATGGAAGAGTCGCTGTTCAAAATCTCTGAAAATAGAAAAAAAACACAAAAAGGTGTTAAAAAGAATGCGGGTGCATGTGGTAGAGAGAGGCAGCCATTACGAACAAGTATGCATATGGACCTTCAGCATCGAAGAATTCGTCATCACTGCTGCTGTCATTGCCTATCTTCCATTTTATTGTTTCTTCTGTATTGTTATTCAGAGCACTGCTGATCTCGACAGATTCTTGCGACAACAGCTCAATGGCGGAACCCTTTCGTTCGGCATTGAATCGAGGTGTTTCTTGGCGTCTCTTCAGACTCGATTCATCATCATGAGTTAGACTCATGCTGCATTCTACAATCTTGCCCATCTTCTTTGCTAACATTCTTTGAGTTTCCTCCTCAAGCTTCCTGATATCCTCAATTGTCAAGCCATACCACTCGTCCTGCCAAACCCACGCTTGTCGATGACCCATTTGCATCGGTCGTCGTAGGCCATCGTGTATGAATTGTTCAATTTTGTTCTGCGTGAATGGTAAAATTATTTCATATGAAATAATCTGACAATAGAAGTGACAAAATAACAACAGAAAAAGGATACGATCTTTCCACGGGTTTTTCAAATGTTGACTTTACTATCGTGAGTCAGTTGTGACGATAAGGAATGACAGACATGACCTGCCTATACTCGAATTTGAAACAGCAACTTCGCAAACGTGTGTGCTCCTTCTTGGACATGCATTCCTTACCTGCATTCCCCAGTATTTAAACTCAACAGAAATCTTCTTATACGCACACATTACAGATTTTTGCGGTTGATTCAACCAGTTGCGAGTCAGTGGACCTCTTCCAGTCTTTTTAGATACGTACAATAAAGGATCTTCTTCCTCTTTATAAAGACTACTTGGTATGGGATCTTTAACAGGATCAATAAGGTCTGCAAGTTTTGGACAAAGAAAAAAATAAACCTTAGCACGAACTTTCTGAAGCAATAGAACAGTAAATGATCTTATACATGTAGTTTAGATATTCATATTTCATTATGTTTTGTGTATGGTCTGGAAATGAAACCTTTGACTTCTGATCAGATAACTGCGTATGCTACAGCTTCCAAGATATCTTGCTATAAACTTAAGCATTCGAACACTGTACATGTAAATGTGATTTAATGACCATGGTCACCCCCCCCCCACACACACACAGTAATGTTGTGTCCAAGTGCATTCTCCTTACCTACAGTTTGATTTCGAAGTTTTGCTGGCGTTAGCTTGAATACATTTTCCTAATGTAGAAAAAAAACAGAAAATGAAAAGATGACTGATGTCAAATGAAATATAACATAACAAGTCACGTGGTTTAAACGAAATTTGCAACACCACGTGACTTAAACGAACTTTTGCAAAATATCACGTGAGTTAAATAACACTCACTGTAGAACCATTATCTGGTAGATACTTTGTTTCAACTTCGACATAAAATTTCTCCACAAACGGACATGTCGTCTTCATTTTTGTGTATGGATAAGCATTCCATGCTTCCTCAATAACTTGTAAAGCACTTTTAGGCACAATTGCTTTCAACCAACCAGGAATATGGTTGCCAATATGGTAAATTTTCTTTGTGTATTGACCAGAGCCACCAGGACCATCGTTATAAGGACAGTTCTCAATAATTTCAACGCCACTACCCTCACCTGTACTGTCAACACGGCTCTTTTTCTGTAATAGTGAAAAGCTGATAGTGAATTCCAGTCCCCCCCCCTTCCCCCCGCTCAATTCTTATAAAACTCAGAAGATAACATCTCTCAATTTGCATGCAAGTCAGACTATTCCCTAGGAAATATGTAAATATAATGTAAAAAGGTGTATATTGTATAATGCAGTGCAAAAGTAACACATATTGCAGAATGAATAATGATAAAATAAAATCAGGATCACTGACAGTCTCGACTGCAAAAACACCATTCTTAAGTAACAGAGTTATGTTTTTGAGAGTTTCATTCATTAAAACAACTTTTTGATATTTACATTCCATATGAAACAGTGATAAATGATGTAATTCCACGAGAAAATCGTTTTGATCTAACAAAAGACCGCATGTGCAGCGTGCCTTGTTTTTTCCAGTAGATTGATCAACGTCGCCCGAATAATATCGCGTACGTCGCTTAAGCGAAATATTAAACAAAAGCCTTTTATGGATGTGTATTTTAGCCTTGTAAAATGCTATCGGACGCGCTTTATTAGGCAAGTTTTATATTTAAATCAAGTGCAATGTGTGACAGGTGCAAAAAGCCAACTGTCCATTTGAGGAAGAGCCTTTAGACACTGAACAGAAAATTTACCGTTATGCTTTGTGAACAATTTAAAATTACTTACTAGTATGGAGTCCCATTTTCATAAAAATATAGCGAAGAGTTATAATAAAGAAAGCATGCAGAAGATTTGAAAAACAAGAAAGAGTATCAATGTGACCCAACCACATCGCAGATTCTCTTTAATTAATAAATTCACATGATTTGCGGTTAGCATTTGTGTTGTCCGTATCATATAATTTGACGATTTAACTGCGAGGGCAGCAGCATGGATTAAAGTTATAAATCATTTGTTATCTAATACCGATCGCTACAAGACCCGGGCGAACATTTAGCAAAACTTATCCTATAATTCGCATTCGAGTGAAATTTCACATTGCAAACACAACGAGCAGAGCACGCACTGTTCCTAGATAGCAACTGGATAATTGAAACACTTGTATGATTCATTTTAAATAAAGCATGAAGCCCATGTTGCTTAATATATTAAAAACGTTGTTGAGAGATTTGTATGGTAGTAAGAAAACATAGTATATTCGAAACATAGTATAAAATACATTTTACTCTTAAAGGTCACGACATTGAACAGTGCAAATAATATACCGCCATAAACAATTCAAACACATATTACCTGAATCATATACAATTGAGCAATTCTATATTCTTCGACGCTCATAGGCAACGGGATGCGATATTCTTTGATAAGCATGCTTGATGTTAGTGTTTTTTCATTGAACGTTTGGCAAGAAAATTATAGTCCCTTCATGAACAACAGTTAATATATTAGTGTACACATTACTTGTGCATTGAATAAATTCCCTCGAATCAAGATTATTCAAATCTCTTCGAAGTGTAACCGAATTAGTTTCCATGCAGCAATCAGTCTCATCTAAAGTCTTTTTTACATACAAATACAATACCGGCTGGCATGTTTTCAACGGAAGTGACGAAAGTGAACGTAATATTGTTTATTTTCATTTTAAATAGTTTTAAAAAGTAAGGATCATCGGTCGAGATAGGTCATTGGTTGCCTTTATATACAGTGCTCCCAATAAAAAATGTTTCATATAAATACGAATAATACATTTTAAAAGTGTCACAAGATGAGCACGATAAGCAATGGTCTGTACTGAGAATAAAGTGTAATAGTTGTCGGAACTTTTACCTGGGACTTTTTAGACCACCGTCACTTAGACCGTTTTTTGGCTTAAGCATAGGCAGTTTGAGCCTTGGATGACGTAACGGATCAAAACAACAACAAAATTTTTTTTCAAGATGAAAGACAAAGATGGGTGGAATCATTCATGAAAAATATCTTTTTGAAGGGCATCTTTTGGCAAGAGAGAACCCTTCTGGTGTTTATAAAATATTTCGCCATAATTTGAGATGTCTGGCGATCAAAATCGGCGAACTGCGCGTGGAAACTCAACCGTAACAGTTCGTGCTCAGCCTTTGAGGTGAAACAATAAATTTTCACATAAGTACTTGTGATGATTATATGGCTTCATTTGTCATCAATATGATTTAATTTTCAGTGACAAGACTTACGTGGAAAGTGTTGTTGACTTTCTTCATGAAGTAGTACCACAGGTATGAATATTTTCCTTGTAATTCAGATCACAGCGACCAGCGTCACGGCTGAGAACTGACCATTAGCAAACAATATTAGCTTGGTACAACGTTCCCTGTCAAACTCATTTTTCTGGTTTTTCTATGCGAAGTTCCTATTAAGATTTTATGTCTGACTAGTCTGTAGATGTGAAATTTGTATATAATCGAATTTTATGTTCAATTACTTGCCTGAATGCCCATTCGCGTTTTACTTATAGGCTGTTGCTGGGGGCTGCAGAACGGAGGATTATGATCACATTAGTTGGGTCAAACTAGAAAAATATGATATTGGTACATGCATAGTCTGAATTTGGCAGTAGATATTGCCCAAAGTGTCACTATTGAGCTTGTAAAATATACATATTTCTAAATGGCATTCTTCTTTTGTTTATGTAAACTCATTCAATCCTGGATGATTTTTGTTATTTTTTGTATTTATGAAAAGAATCAAGCAAGACTCCACATGAAGCAAATAGCTTGCTATTTCTAGTTATTGGATACACTAATGGCTATCAAATCTGGCACATTAAGGTACACATTGTTTTATTACTTTATTTGTGTTGTTGAGTACAAACACCCTCTCTTATATCATGACAGTTAAATGGTGAAGCAGAAGAGTTAGTTTCAGTTCGTCAGGGTCCAGTGAAAGTTGTTCATATTGTTCAAACACCCAATCATGGTATTGTTATTTTGATTGACATGGGCCTTAGCTATGATAGCCAAACATACAAAGTTAATTTGAATGAGTTTTATGATTCTCTAGAGGACCAGAACATTGACATGTATCATGACAAACGGCCATTGCTAGCAGTCTGTGATGCTGCAAGGTAAAAGTTGTTGACCAATTCCTTAATTATTATCAATGATTAGTTTTTGCTACCAGAAATTCTATGTTGCTCTAACATACACATCTGTAATGTAAAAAAAATTCAAATAGACTTTAAAGTAGTCATTTTCTTATAGTTCATCTTGTCCTTTTTCTACTGTGAAGTTTTTGCCTTTGGGTAAGGGTGATTTAATAAAGACAACAGATTTCAAAAGTGAAGTGTACAGTGTTCACTCAAATAAACGGTAAACATTCGGTGCATATGCTTCTGAAAGAGTTTTTATAATGAGATGGTTTGTATAAAAGTTTCTTTGTGATTTTAAGGGTAACTATAGTGTGTTTGTCAGAGAGGATTGCTGTGTTAGATGCATCAACATTGTCAAAAAAGTTTGCAATAACAAGTAAGTTATGTGTTGACATAGATCTTGTTTGTATTACATGTATTTTGTTGTGGTAACAGCATGCTGAAAAGAATAGCATCAAAGTTAAGCTTTTCTACCTTACCACACTTCAATCTTATACTCCTAGGATAGCCATCCTCAATTAAAAGTTTAAAATATTATTTTACATGCATGAAGAGCCTTTTTTTATACAAATTTTTGTTATTTTAAGGATGCAATTCTCTAATGGGGTGTTCACATTGGGTTTTTCATATTTTTAGATTGCTATCCTTCTTGTGAACCTAATGTCAATCCAGTGTCACTTGGTTCACGTTGGCTTGCATTTGCTGATCGAAAGGTAACTATAAAAACATGTTGGAACTTGTCACTTCATGATTGTTCTCTTAAATGAAATCACACATTTTTTCACAGTTACTGCCAGTATACCAGTCAAGAGGTGGGGTCTCCTCGGAGAAACTTATTTCCTACACATCAGCCGTCTTTAATGCAGCGAAGGTACAACAACGTCATGTACAAACTTCGTATAGTCTCTTTTATCTTGTCAAGTGAGAGCTATCTTTACGTGTTTGTACTGTAGATGTTAATTGTCCATTTTATCGTGGTTAATGCAGCAGTGCTGAGAAAGACTTAGGTTGTTTTCGTTGACGTTTCGACATCCTGCCGTATTTTCTGGCTAAGGATGTTAAAATGTCAGCCAGCAAATACACCTTATCAAGACTGCACTGACCTAGACGATCTACACCTAAAAACATGTTACGATACTTTATGATTCAAACCATTCCCACAGCTATCTTGTCGTTTTATTATATATATTACGTTTGAGTGATGTATTTTCATGCACTAGAAATTTATTTTCATCTTTTCCCATTTTCTCAGTTACTGCGTCTCGTTTAGCAATGAAATGTTGCTAGCTTTTCTATTCACGCAATCTTACTTTGGCTTACGTGTTTTTGTATAGACGATCAGCAAAGGATTGTCGTTAGTTGGTATGTTAAATATAATAACTTTCACATCTTTCAATGAAGTACATATAATCATCAATTATTATTTCATCTTTAGGAGAAACAGTGGGTCGTTTGACTGGTTCTAATAGCTTTGAAAGTCAAGTGAACGAATATCCTCAATCGAACACAGTAAGACAAGAAAATATGAAACACTCCACGTTGTAACAAACTTACCGTGAATATGATTATCGCACGGTATGCATGTTGTATCCAATGCTACTGACAGAAATAAAACGGTCGCTCACTGTTGCATGCTGCATTTGAGGTTGAGCTAACTTTTTGGATACATTTGTTCATGTTGTATACCATATTTCATATTGCTGTGAATATCTTAGGTCTTCATGTCATTTCGCATTTGCTATAGATGTATTATTCAATGTCATGTCCTAAAGTTCACCTTGTATTCGATATTATTTTTCAGACAGCGTACAAATCAATGGCTCCTGGGACTGTCACTGTGATAGACATCGAGAACCATTATGAGAACGAGGCAAGTTTAACATATTACCCGGCTCGTGTTGTAATGATAATTTTAATATTATTTGGCTATGAAACATTGTTATCTAAGTATGTAATATTTGTAAAACATGGTTGTTTTAGAAAGACGATGAGTTAAGGGGACGAGCTATTGCACATTTTCTAGCTCATAACGGACAACCGATTGCTGCGTTGTCGTTTGATCCTAGGTAACGTACCACGTAGTTGTGGTTTTGTTCATCTTATGTTGACAAGTTTTGTATTGTGTTGAATTCTCTCGTTTTTAATTTTATACAGTGGATCTTTGTTATTTACGGCGGATACATTCGGTCAGGATTTTCACATATTTCGTATCCTGCCTCATCCTATGTGCCCCTCACTTGGCTCTGTTCATCATTTGTACACGCTGCACCGTGGAGACACCATGGCAACGGTAATGACCGCTCAATCCATCTCTTGTTTTATCTTGAATGCTTCTCCGCTTCCCTTCATTTAAGTCACATTCTTCACGAATGTTGTCCTAAATGTATTTTTATGTCACTTGTGTATTTATAGTCGTATACTTCGAACATCTCTTGTGCGTGCTCCCTTCTTCATTTCATTCCATGTTTTTTGTTCAGGTGTGTAATGTTGCATTCAATAACGATTCTCGTTGGATAACTGTTACCACACGTAGAGGAACAACTCATCTCTTTCCTATCACTTCCTATGGCGGTAAGAATCCTATTTTAACAAGGATGAATTGTCTACGGTCTTAAAACGTTTTGTCTGTCGACTGAGTTACACCCAGGCATTGATATCCATAGCTGAGGTTCTTCGTTTCAGTTTCTATGCATAGCATCAGTGCTTTCTAATCACTCCTCTTTCACCATCAGGAAGTGTAAGTTTACGGACACACAACAGCAGTCGTGTTGTAAATCGAAGCAGCAGATTTCATACAAGTGCCGGTCTGGAAGATCTAAAACGAAGTAGTGGTAATCAAACTGCAAATGTATTTCAACAAGGCTCACCAACTAGTAGTCTCGTGGGACCGTTCACTACTGCAAAAGATAGCCTGATGGTTGGTAAGAATGGTTTGGTTAATCCCAGGATGCCTCCCTTTCCTCCACCCGATGTTATTTTGGCGTGCGTTCAAATCAAGCTAGGAGCTTCATCTAGGTAAGTGTAGCTACATTCAATATATGCATATCATCACACTTGAAGATTGATGTGTTTACCATTGGATTATTTTATTTTAGTTAACTTATAGCTACTTGGCAACAAAGGAAGTTTTATTTAAATTGTCATGTAAATGCTTCAATTTCTGGCGATGATCCATTTATTGTAAAGCAAACATTTTACTTTGACATTATTTAGGGGTAGTACCGCTGGCAATAGTACATGCAATTCACCCACGACCATGTCGAGAGCAAATGGGTTTTTTTCAACCGAATCTGTTGCTGGTTCAGCACTATTCGCGGCGTCTAGAGCATGGATTACAGGCAATAGTAATTCTCCTAATCGGATAGGTAAGTGTATATTGAGTGGGTTAAAAAAGATACAGGTATTAATGACAAAAGGAGATGGCGGGAGGGAAGGTGAAACTTTGAAAATTGTGTTCTCCCATATGTCAGTGCACTTTTATATATATAAGAAAATATCGTTTTTTATTTCATTATAAATGGTTATTTTGTGTCAGACTCCTCGAAATCACCTCCTGTTGATCCACTCTTCGTGATCAGTAATTATGGAACACTCGTGGAATTCAATATTGACATTGAACCATTGAAAAACAGTCCCCTGAGTGAAGAGATGCCGTTTCAAGCGACAGCTGAAGGAAAAGGAAGATGGATATTTTCTAGGTATTATACTAAGTAAAGTTGACCATCTGATATCACTCTGTGCATTGCGCTTTTTCACCTGTATTCCACTGTTGAAGTTCCACCATTGGATATGGATGGATTGCTATGTATTCTGTTTGCCAATTCATATTTGATTACTTTTCTTCTTACGTACATGTACTCTTTTTCATGTCAATTCATAGACGCGCGACAATGGCAGAGAACAGAGCATCTCTTGTTGACGACATAATCGCATGTCAAAGTTTTAACAACATGAACAAACCACGAAATTCTCCACACGGTAGGTCGACTTGTGTAGTGTGCTCTTTCGTACCGTTTGTGTTCAATCACGAATGTTATAATAAAAATTTCAATCTATATATCGTTATATAACCACCCGTGGATACAGTAGTCAAAATGTACTGTATGTCAAAAACTATGCATCGATTATATTGAAGGAATTACGTTAAAAGAGAGCTCTGAAAGTTTTCGAGATGACAATTGGCTGGCGAATATCGAGATAGAAACACATGCTCCACCTCATAGACGACTTTGGATGGGTCCTCAGTTTGCCTTCAAGACCTTTCAACCACCTGGGAGTATGACTTACGGGCAAACGCCCGAATCGGCTGGAGCAACAATAAGGACCCACGATGGTGACTCTTTGGATCTGTACACAGAGGAGCTCGATTTGCAGTCTCTACGGATCCAGCCAGTCCGTTCAGATCCCTTACCCACCCCCAAAGCCAGGTATGTGCTTGCGAGTGCACGGACGAACTTTGACGAGAATACGATGTTTGTGGATAACGGACCAGAAAGTTTGACAGACATTTGTGGCTTGTGGCCTGCTGGGGAGGAACTGATGTCACTAGAGAATGGAAAATTGATTGAAAGCATCGCAGACGCTATGAATGATATTTCGGAGCGATCGTCAGTTTCTGATGATGATGATTTTGCAATTTTTCCTCCTAACCTTCCTGAAGCAAGTTTAGTTAACTCTTCTTCCAGCATGTCTCCTGACTGTTAAACCGGTATGGGTCAAGAAGGGAATAGATCAATGCTTTTCACTGTCCATAAAGTGCATCAGTGGCTCAGTTTCTGTCAAAGTTTTGTTGCCATTAGCTTTCCTTGGTATTGCTTCATTGGAACATTCGCCTCTTAGTTGCTCATTTCATAATATATTTTGTATTCTTGTTGTACTTATTATGTAAAGTGGTCGTATGTATAGTGTAAAATAAATGGATGAAAAATTTCAAAAAAAGTCTGTACATATTATGTTATATGTACATAATAGTTGTATTAATAATTAAAAAACAGGCTCTCACAAAAAAAAGGGGGAAATATATTCTTTGTTATTTTACTTTGAGTGTGTGTCAATGGCTTTTTCCATCTCAATCTCAATTAGCATTACATTTCAAAACGTAATCAATTGACTCTTTTTAATTAAGAGCCAAATTATTCACAATTACAGTTACATTTTTCGTGTTTAAGAATTTATGTTTATATAAATAGTAAATTGATAAATTCTTACACATTAATTAATAAACAAACAAGTATAAAACAATCATGAAAACAATTATTGGCCTAATACAAATGGATTTGCACTGCAGTTAACCTCTTGCACACCTTCAATGGAAGGAATTGCCAACTCGTCAAATAACTTATCATGAACTTTTTCATTGTATTCATACAATTTCTCAAGTCCTATGATAGCATGCTTATATATGTAAGCAACAACATCTTCTGAGATGATGCGATTTTTTCGCTGCTTCGACTGCTGAATTATTGTCTCTAATGAATCAGCAACCAGAGGGTTGACTTGGATATTATATCCCGTCTCTTTCAAACGTTCCATGTATTCAATAAGTTCACTGTACTCAACACATGTACCTTCTGCGACAAAGCTGATATTTCTTGTCAAAATCCAATCAGTGAGGTTGATGGCAACCTTTCTAGCAAGACGATAGTAAACGTCCACTTTGTCTGCACTAAACGCGTCTATGCTCCCCATGATTTCGTCTGTATCAACATAGGCATAGTTTTTAAATTCAGGATGAGTTTTGAAATATTTGTGGATTCTGGTCGATTTACCAGCACCCATTGGTCCCAAAACAAAAACAGCATTTCCTTTAGCCTTGACGTTTGCAAGTTTACTTTTCCATTCGTTCACAACGCGGTCTAGTATTGCCTGATCAAAGCAAGCCACGGTTTTTACTAGACAACCTCTATAGATTCCGCAAGAAAAATGTTTCGTCACTACCAAACGGAAACCTGAAACCTTACGAGCGCAGAGAGAACGATTTATTTCCTTCACATTTATCTTACGTGATAAATTCATGCGTCCTGCAATTGTCTGGAGCTTTAGATTAAATATACATTTATTTTCTACGCTGCAAGTTATCCCCAACTATCACTCTGCCATTGGCATAAACAGGAATTTTTTTGACGTACGACGGCCATGTCAAATATGATAACACTCATTGAGATCTTTAGCAGGCTCAGGCGATTTAGAACTCAATGGTCAGCAGTTAGTTCTGATCATGACATTTGTGCGCGAACAACACTTCAAAGTTCAAACTTAGAAGTAGGATTAAAACACTAACATATGTCAAAATTTTCGTTTTGCCTTTGATATTTCGCGATGAATCGAAGTGGTATTTCTCGATTGGAGACTCGAAGTACTCGGGCAAATAAAGAAGAGCTTGTAAAACGAGTCATGTTGACGGTAGAACGCGTGAGAAAGTGGTATGAATTTAATTTACACTATAACCAACAACTACAAACAATAACGACCTTATCTAACAACATTTGAGAAATTAACCTTCCACTCCTCTTCCTTGTAAACGAGACAAGTCTACTCAAAAGCAGAGAGCCTTATACGCTACAAGTCCCGGGCTTGTGACCGGTATAGCAGAGTTAAAAGGTGAAAGGTTTATCATAGGTTAATCAACTGAATTTCTCAAACGTTGTTAGATAAGGTCGTTATTGTTTGTAGTTGTTGGTTATAGCGTTGTGCTATCATTCTTTTTGTTTAATAACATTCCAACTATTTAACCTTGTAATTTACTTTGTGCTAAACTAAACTTACTGGAAGGATGTTATAAATGAATGACGTTTGTTTTGTCTGTTCAGGGAAAAAAAATGGGTTGATTCAACTGCAGAGGGCTGTACTCTGAAGATTTTTAAATGGGTTCCAGGTTTGTGTAAGCATTCAAAGATTTTTGTTCAACATGTTAGATCAACTAATGCCAAATATGTTACATTATTCCGTTTAGTTTCAGATGAGGATATTAAAAAGGTACAGGTGCACCACAAAACAATTGTTAAATATAGCTCAGAAAACTGTATGTTTTTCATCAATTTTAGGTAAAAAAGATGCAAGATAATACATCAGATTCTAAAAATGTGGTGGAAAAATTGTCGCCACCAGATGCGGAAAAGGGCATTGAAAAAAGCACTGACAACCATGGAAAAGAGTTGGATGATTTAAGTGAGAGTTGTGCAACCCAGAACATTCATAGTGATGGTGTAACTACATCTGGTACAAGGTAGGGAATATTAAAGTAAATGGTTTGAACCCAGGAATATCGTTACATGTTTGTAGATGTAGATGACCCTGAAGATGACTACCGCTAAGGTTGTCGAAATGTCAGTCAACAACAACAAAAACAGTCCTTCTCGGGACTATACCAACCTGGACAATCTACATCTACAAACATGTAGCGAATACTACACATGGAAAAATTAGCTGTTGTTTTCGTGAATCAATTTCCCAACGAAATTACTATGTTTTCAGCAAGGACTGCATAGCACATAATACAGATGACAATGTTGAAAATCAAGTCCAACAAAGTGTGGAAAGTAGCAATGAAAGTACCATTGGTTTAGAGTCATCAAAAAACATTGCAGAACAGGATTCTGGATCATTTCATTTAGCAAGCTCTAACGATGAATCAGTATGTGTTTTTACTCAAAGTCACCCCTTTATTTGTGTAATTATTGTACCCTCCTGTGTATTTAATTGTATCCCTGCTGTGTACTGGATTGTATCCCTGTTATGTACTGGATTGTATCCCTGCTGTGTACTTCATTGTATCCCTAATCTTTTCATCTTCATTAAATATAGAATTATGAACCTCTGTCTAAAATAACCAAAACGGACTGTTGAATCCAAATTCGTGATGTTCAGATCGTAAATCTCGGGTATTGTGGAGGTTGATGATGTAAAAGTTACATTTTTTAAATGTATTTATTTAAATTTTGTATATACTGCATTTATCAGAAGCTTTTTCAATATCCAGAAAAAGCTCTACTTCTTAATACATTACAGTGATATCGAAAAAATTAAATTACAATTTTGAAAATTTGCGAAATTTTCGTCAGAAAATTCGTCATTATTATGCAATAATACCTACTCTGACGAAAATGAAAAGCCCACTTCCGGTGATGGCGATGACAATAACCAGAATAATAAACATTAATAATTATTTGAAACAAAATGGCGAGTTGGGCAGCTAATGAAAGAAAATATCCTAGTGAAGACGATTTGGATGATTACGAATACGACACAGTCGTGAGTAAGCTTGAACAGACGCAAAACAGAGTACTTGGTAGTACGTCTCGATCTTTGGGCCTTATTGAGGAATCTCATGACATTGCAATCAAAACAGCGGAAGAATTGCAACGACAAGAAGAAAGTCTTAATCGTACTGAACGAAATTTAGATAATATATCGCGCGACGTGGGTACAGCCAACAGACATATCAAGTCAGTGCAAAGTATTTGGGGGGCTATTGGAAACTATTTTAGTAAACCAAAGGAATCTACGATTGCGAAACATGAAAAGGAAAAGTCTATTGTTGAAGAAACGACGTTAAATCATAGCACGGAATTAAGGCTCGATTATGCTGAAAAAGATGTTTTGCCAGGCTATGACAGTCCAGGACAAGGTACTGAAAGCTTTGAAAAACAATATGACACTCACTTGAGTGAAATATCTCGTGGACTCAGTATTTTAAAAGACGATGCTTTAGTTTTGGGTCAAACCATTGATCGCCATAATGATATCATAACAAGAATTGAAGGAAAGGTTGAAAGAGTAGATGACGAGGTTGGACTGGCTGACAAAAAGATTCGGAGGATCCTGGGAAAGTAATGAGCTTTAGTAGTCGTACAATGCTTACATGCATAAAACCAAGTTGTTGTCTTGTCTACTACATACTTTGAAGATCATTTAATGTAAAAATAATATATACTATTATAATGGCATGGAAATTTCATTACAGAAATTTGGTGTGAATAATTAGAAGCCAATTGGATTGGTTCTTCTAACCCTAAATATATCATTTGTATGTCAATGATTTTCCCAGTGTTTTCTGTTTGACTGTACTTAGCGAAGCAAACCTGTTTTACTCCTACAATGAAAATATTTTATATATTTTTTCACTGGTGAAACAATGATTGCACTTATTTTTCTAAAGTAATAAATGATATTCTTGAAAAATTTACATTGTAGAAGTAAATGTTTGGGCTTCGGAATTTATTACATGTGACTTGTAAATTGTGTGTTGGGTGAATAAGACGGCTGTTTATCACAGTCTGCTAGCAATATGACATGATTTGTCATCACATAAATGGCATACTAGATAAGTTAATCCTGAACAAAAATAAACTCAATATATTCAATTTTTTTTCATTTGATTTTCATATGAAAGTTCTAAACATCAACAACAGTTATTACTATCCATAGCACTATCTTCCAGTTTCTGTAACATTTTAAAGTTTGGCCTGTGAGTTGTCAAGTACTTTATATGAGGGCAATGTCAGGAATTCCTCCATGTTTCTTGACAAAACAAGATGATCTAATATTTCGGAAGCTTGCTGTAGTCTCCCTTTGCCAGCTCCCCCCTGACTACCAAACTCTTCCTCACGGATGGTACGATACATGTCTGGAGTAAATGTTTGTCCATCATCCAGGATCACAGAATGACGTAACCATTGCCAAAGTTGAGCACGCGATATCTCAGCGGTGGCAGCGTCTTCCATCAAATTGTTCACGGCAACTGCACCTCTCCCCTAAGTGGAAGATGAAAAGATTATCTCACTTTTTGCATACACATTTGTTTTAAATATGCTGAAATGTTATTGCTGAAAAAGGTAAATTATCCTCGTTAGTTCTCTGAGAATCACGTCATTTATCAATTCAATAAAGATTCAGTATAAGTGAAAAACACTTCAGCAAACCTGTAGCCATTCGTTAATGTATTTAAGAGCAACAGACACGTTCAATCGAACACCAGCCTCGGTAATCTTTCCTCCATCAACCTTGATCGTAGTTAAATCGTTCACTGTTACATTAACGTCTTCGCGCAGGCGATGTTTTTGGTGGTTGGCATTTTGCATACCTTTTAGAAATACTTCTCGTGCAACCTGAAGATGAAAAGTTAATTTTTCGTATGCGTAGATTTTTTAGGACTTTAATTTCTTCTTACGTGCAGAAGTGGTATAATCTGAGTCGTTTTTGTAGAATGTAAGGTTTCACTATCTAACATTAAACCTTACATCCTTATAAATCCCATATTGCTCTCACACTATCCCTACTCATCTCTTCATTCCACTGCCTCCATTGAAACATCTGCGAAAACGTGAACATCATTGTGAACACACACCTTCACTAGGTCAGGATGAGCTACCCATGTTCCATCAAAACCATCGGCAACCTCTCGTTCTTTATCTCCTTTCACTTGAGAGAATGCTTTCTTATTGATCTCCTCGTCATGTCGGCTCGGAATGAAAGCGGACATCCCACCCATAGCATGCGCAGCATGTTTGTGACATATCTTCACAATGCGATCCGTGTAAGATCTCATGAATGGCACTGTCATCGCCACCTACACACGAGGAAAACATGTTGTCTTGTGCAATATCTTCAAGCGTATTTTACTCCTAGATTGGGTCCAAATTTTATCTCCTCTACAAACTTCGCCTACCTGCTTCCTGTCAGGTAAAACAGCTTCCGGTTTACTCTGAAGTCTTTTGATGATACTGAAAATGTAATCCCATCTTCCGGCGTTAGCCCCGCAGCAATATTCACGCAACTCGTAAATCATTTCTTCAATATCCAACGCTGCAGGCAACGTCTCGATCATGACAGTTGCTCGAATAGTACCTAAGAAACAATTCGGTCATTGCAGTGTTGTGCTTACCAAAAACCCTTATGCATGCAAGTATTTACCTTCAGGGATCTGGAGATACTCTTCAGCTGCCTGAAACACCTGATTCCACAGCCTGCATTCCAGGAAGGTTTCCATTTTGGGTAAGTAATAGTATGTAGCGGAACCTCGCTGCATGCGTACGTGAATGTTATGAAAGAAATAGAGACCAAAGTCCACAAGGGCACCGGCCATTGGTTGACCATCACAAAGTATATGTCCTTCATCAAGATGCCATCCTCGCGTCCTTACAATCAAACACGCTATCTTTTCTTTCAGTTTCCTCAGGGAGCCTGGCGAGATACAATGAATGAAATATATGGTAAGTTTGCCTGTAGGCTAGAAGCGTTGCAAATTTTCATGGTTATGTCTAACCAATCACAAACGTTTTCCTATATCTTGATATGCTTTATATAAGAAAAACCTGTTTACCATCGGCATTTTGGAAAGTAATCGTTCCTCTCTCTGCATCCATAAGATTTGCCTGCCCCTCGATAATGTTCTTCCACGTGGGACTTAACGAGTCTTCGAAATCAGCCATAAAAATATCAGCACCACTGTTAAGAGCATTGATGACCATCTTACGGTCAGTTGGTCCCGTGATTTCAACATGTCTCCGCTGTAGGTCCGCTGGGACTGGTGCAACCTTCCAGTCATCACCATGGTTTGGTTTGGGATACTCCATGGGTTGCCCTGCATTGATAGCAAGCTGCCTCTTGAGCCTCTTCTCGAGCAGTTGAAGTCTGGCATAGTTGAAACGTCGGTGAAGATCGGCCAGGAACGCCAGCGCATCGTACGTCAGAACTCGTTCATACTGAGGCTGAATCTCACCTTTGACTAGCACTCCTATGATGACGGTGAATTCGTAATTCTTTCAAAAGACAAATTCATTTCTAATCTGTTTCAATTATGCTCCTTAGTAGCCAAGACAAAGGAAAAGCAATCTGTTTTGATATTGTTTTATTGTAATACTTGCTTAGCAACCATGTTGATAAGCTGACTAAGACAAAAACTTTTATTTTGTTACGTAACTATGTTTTTTTTATGAGATTTGTTATGCGCAATGGCATTACAGCAATCAACATGTTTGTGATGTTACCTGGGGGACAATTCATTTCTGAAGACTCCTGCATCTAGTGAAAGTGAATCTAGAAAATATGGACGGACTTATGACGTACGTATAGGCATGTTGGGGGCGGTAGTCCAACGTTGAATTTGATTAACTCGGTTGAAGTTATGTAATTTTGTGCCATAATTTTATAAATAAGAACTGTTAAAGATACATTAAACTGGGGATTATCATCCGAACATTTTCCACGATTGAATTATCAAGTGCAGTCATGAATAACAGCTTAAATTTGTGTACAACTTGCTTATACAAAAGAGATCAATAGTTGAAAACTTTGAAATGATACTCGCAACTATTTGTTGGAATTTACTATTTACTGCATTCGCATTCGATTGCACTGAATAAAGATAAATAAGAATACTGTTATTTTGTCTTTAGTGATTCAATCATCATACGGGGTTCAAAGTCCAAAGTTAAAACATTCTTATCCTCACGTCCAAAATATATTTTCAAATACCACTGTACAATACACTACAAAATTTGAGCAAAGCCTTTCATCACCTATTCCTGGCATGTAAAAGATCTCATGTTTAGGTTGTGAGTTGCAAAATGAACGCAGAATGAATGTTGTTATGTCAATGTTTGAGTGACAAAAGTAACTCATATTTGTTGATTTGTGTGCAAAGATTTAAGTCTGCTTAGTTAAATGAAATCAGTAGATTGCAGTGCAGGTTTACCTTGAAGAATTCTTGAGTTGTCACTTGTCTGAACAATAAAATCTTCGTTGTAAAGGCTAGCACTAGCGATCAATAGGCGATTAACAATTCAACATGCAATGGTGCGGACCGGGGGGTTATAGAAATATTTACGTTTTCCCTTGACCAATCAACGTTAAGAATGTTGTAATTTTGAGACGGTCAACCAATCAGCATGACCGCTGCCACGTTGTAAACACGTTGCAACGAAGCAACTAAATTATTTAGATTACCTCCTTTGCCAGTCGAAGTTTACTGTAAACTCTGACAGAGAGAATTTTGTGTTATTTAACGTCTTTGAAAAATGGCATCTTATCGAACGGACCGATTTTCTGGGATCAAAAGAGACTACTCACTCGACACAGTTCGTCGTTTGTCGGGGTCAGTAAAAATCGAATACACTCTGGCCAAGCTTGGTGCTGAAAAATTGTGGAACTATATGACTGCTGGAGGAAGCGAGTATATAAATGTGCTTGGTGCTTTAACGGGTACAACAAAATTTATATTTTTCAATTAATTTTTGTACTTCAATGAATACGATTAATGTTCACTGTTCACTACTATTTGATTTATACTCAGGAAAATGCTTGATAACTGAGCAAGAATTAACTTAGAAACAACGTTGGATACTTCAGAAACTGAATTATTTCATTATAAGTGCATTTACTAAAACAACGTGTGCTTTCTTAAAAAAAATTCACAAGATTTTTTGTGTAAAGTTTCATGAGTCCAAAGGTCGCAACCTACATAACATTCCTCGCCTACCACACGCCTACTTTTAATTTGAATTTACTCTATGATAATTATAGTTAATAAATCCCACTGATAATTCTTCAAATAGCTTTAGCGCACTAGTAAAATTAGTTTATGTTTAACTAAATTATCATTACGCAATTGTTTACTCATAGACAGGCGCTACCTGAAACGTGCTATTTAGTATTTAATAAACGTAATTGTCACTTCTGAGCCACGTTCTGACCTGCCAGAGTTCTTTGTTGTTGTTTTTTAACAAAATGCTTTGAGTAGTAAGGAATAAATTTAAAACTTCCCGCATCATACTTTAGAGGTGCTCCCTCATATGATTATCATGGATTGCGTAAAACGAAGTTGCTACATTTCCGACAGTATCTTTCTCGTCGTAAATATTTTACTGCTATGTTTGTCTGTTTGAGTCTCATCTTGTCCGTCTTGATGTTTAGGAATGCAAGCAGTTCAAATGGCCAAGGCGGGACTCAAAGGTATCTATCTAAGTGGTTGGCAGGTTGCAGCTGATGCAAATCTTGCAGGACAAACATTTCCAGATCAAAGTCTGTATCCCGCTAATTCTGCACCGCGACTCGTGGAGAGAATCAACAATGCGTTTCAACGTGCAGATCAGATACAGCACATGGAAGGTGGTCGTTCAAGAATGGACTATTTCCTACCCATTGTGGCCGATTGTGAGGCAGGATTTGGTGGACCTTTAAATGCTTTCGAGATTGTCAAGAACATGGTAGGTCTTTTGTGTGTTGAACTGTGACTAACCTTTTGAAAAGCACGTGTAACACGAGACAACTGGCTGTGCTGTGCTCTCCCCAACTCGCCGCATGTGCTCGTTTTTGTCATGTTGACATTGGCATGAACGCTTTATTAAAATGGGAAAATTCTGATAGATTTCTCTTTCTTCTCGTCTAGATCAAAGCTGGAGCAGCGGGAGTTCACTTAGAAGATCAGCTCGCTTCTGCCAAGAAATGTGGTCACATGGGAGGAAAAGTCCTGGTGCCTACCCAGCAGTTTGTTCAATTGTTAAATGCTGCAAGATTAGCTGCCGACGTCATGGGCGTGAGCACGGTTATCATTGGACGTACGGACGCTAACTCTGCTGGATTAGTGACCTCCGATGTTGATCCCCGCGATAGACCGTTCCTAACCGGAGAAAGAACACCTGAAGGATTTTTTCGTAGTCGGGCGGGTTTGGATCAAGCTATTGCCCGTGCTTTAGCTTACGCACCATATTGTGACGTATTATGGTGCGAAACAGGCAAGCCAAATATCGAAGAAGCAAGAAGGTTTGCGAAAGCCGTTCATGCCAAATTTCCCGGCAAACCGCTGGCGTATAACTGTTCTCCGTCGTTCAACTGGAAGGCGAACCTGAATGATCGTGAGATAGCCATGTTTCAGAAGGAACTCGGTCGACTTGGTTATCGTTTTCAATTTGTCACATTAGCAGGCTTCCATTCCCTAAACCACGCCATGTTCAAACTGGCACGTGACTACAGGGACAACGGCATGACGGCTTATACGAAAGTACAAGAAGACGAATTCAATCAAGCGAATTTTGGCTTTACCGCTCACAAACATCAACGCGAAGTTGGCGTATCTTATTACGATGCCATTTCCTTGGCTGTTAGTGGAGGAAATAGTTCTGTCACCGCTTTCAAAGGCTCCACGGAAGATGAACAATTTAAACATAAACTATAAACACACAGCCTCCGGCGTTTAAAGTGGCAATGAAACAAAATATGAAGACAATACCAAAGGCTTCGGTCTGAGGTCCGATAAATTTTCCAAATTTTTATTGTATTAAAGGCTCTCAAGAATGCATTTTGGTTTTGAAATAATTTTGATGAGGTGTTATAATGTATTTAGTATATGTATTGTTGTAATGATTAAGTAAATTCTGTATAATTTTGCTTTTCACATAAGATTTCTCTGTTTGTTGCTTCAATTAAGCAATCTAAAGATTTTTTTAATGTTACAAGTTATTCAAAATTCTTATTTAAATTGTTCACGCTAGTATTGCGTCGTTACGGGCCGAACTCGTTCAATCAAATACAAAGGAGATGATCTACAAATGCTACAACCTCATTTAGGACGCGAGGCTACATTATGTGATCTATAAGGATAATTTTTGCATATGAAGTAAGAGTTTTCACGAAGTAAAAGTCACATTAAAGTCGTTCAAGCGTCCCTTTAGAGTCCGATCACACAAAATATTCAATTCATGCTGTCTTTCGTGGGAGCAAGCAAAGTCATCTGGTCCCTCGCCGCAGCCTCCATAACCAGTGACGCATGGATATCCCGGATGCACCATAAGCTCACAGATCGTCGGCGCTTGTCGGTTGTTCATCACTGCTTTTTGATAAGTATGGATAATTCTCTCTACGTTCATGTTGATCCCCATCAATGATACACCGATGAAGGATGGAGACCTAAAAATTGTGTTATTATAAACATGTCGAGAAACGAGAGGAAACTGTGTGAGGTTTCTACCTTATTCCATAGTTTCCATAGATTTCCTTCGCTGCCTTGGCATTTTGAAAGACCTGTTGGTAAAAGGTAGCATTACCTTCAAACCAGGAAGATAGTTGAGCTTCAAAAGGAATCCGAACCTGTCGCAAGGAATACCCGTTCATCATTTGAGCAATGATACGGCTTATTTCTGGAAGAACATGAATATGCTGATGGCCATCAACATGATTTGGAATGTAACCAACTTGTTTGATAAATTCGGTTATTTGAGCCTCTATTTCATTCCTGTAAAATAACGAATGAAGCTTGCAGTAAAAAGATTCTCGGGGAAATCTTGAAGTGCAGATGAGATTACGATAAGAAGAAAGGGTTGCTTTTTCAAACGTAATCTAGAATGAAATAATGACTTTTATAACTGTCGTCTCCAAATGAAAAATGTTGACAAAAAGATAGAGGAAAAAGTAGACAAAAGGTAGACGAAAAGATAGACACAAAGGTAGACAAAAAGGTAGACAAGAAGTAGACACAAGAGTAGACACAAAGGTAGACACAAAGGTAGACAAAATGGTGGACAAAATGGTAGACAAAAAGAGTGAACAAAGAATGCTGAAAAGACGATTCCTTTGATACGACAACTTTTAAAATAACTATTCTTCTAAAAGAAACGAGGAAAAAATTACTTGATATGACTTATGTGGATTTCACCGCGAGAAAATGCTTCTCTAAATCCAAACTTTCCCCGGAAGAATGGCTTGTCTTCAGCTAACAGCGTATTATGCTCTTCTGTAACATTGACTGCTCGACCCTCAGTTAAGTTAATATGAATACCTAGAGCAAGTCCATGCTCTTTGGCAAGTTTTACAGCCGTAGCTCTTGAGTAACCGTTAATAAGAAGAGATGCACGAGTAACGATTCCTTCATTATAAGCGTCGATTATTCCTCTATCTCTCTCAGGTGAATACCCCAAATCATCAGCAGTCACTATGAAATAATGGTTTTTTTCTGCATTTTCCTTCAAGGATGTATTTACTGATAGAGAGTTAAAGGAAATTACCGGCCTCATGACCGGTTTTTATGCGTAAATTGCACAATAAACTAGAGGATCTATTTTTATAAATTTTTGCGACCATTTTGGAAATTTTAGTAATTATTTTAGTATCCGCTCTCCCCCGGTCCGCGAAGAAAACAAAATTGATTACCCCCTGACAAAAGCAACATGGCCGACGAGAATGGTACAAGCAATATGAATTTTCTTTTAATTTTATATTTTTCTGTTTTAGCTGCTTATTATTCTTTTAATGCACATCTATCTTTCAAAATTTTTTGAATCTTTCGTGTAATCTTTGGGTATTTTCCACATTTTTAGCTCTTTCTGGAGATGGAAGAAAATCCAGAGCAATTGCTTCATTTATCTCAGTGAGTTTTATGATAACTATTGGTATTCCTATCTGGTGGAATACAACCAAAGTTTACAGAGCAACGCTTCCATATGATGAACTGCAGGAGCTACAGAATTTAAAGGTGATAAGATGATAAACTCAAAGTTGTCTCAATCACTAATCAGTCAATGTACAATACAATCTCTTGTGCAGCAGATCGCAAAATGCTCATTAATATGTAAATGTGTTTGTTGTCCTTAATAGTTGCACATTAATGTGTCCGTTGATTTAATATGGCAGCAAGATTTTCACACTCAAGAAGACACTTTGCAAACATTATCTGATAAACTAAACTTGAATGATTCTAAAAAAGGTTTGTAGTTTGTTGACGTATGTTTGGCAATCACGAAGTTTTCATTTTTACTTTTGATTTTATTCAACTGTTTTTCAGATGACCACATTCACATTAATTTTAATTTGAGAGGTAGAAAGATAAATCCTAATGAAAATCAACTATTGGCTTCATCAATGGATAATGTAGAAAGTAAGGTTGAGCAAATTTTTTCATTTCTAATTGCATGACTTAAATGAACAAAATCAAGTGTAAGAACTGTTCACAAGCATTATTTTCAATTCACTTCTTAGCATTAGATGATGGTTTACAAGAATTATGGGCAACCAATGATGATTATTTGGAATATAAATTTATCATTGTCTCTGACAAAGAAGCAGTTTTGTTTGATCATGGAACTGATATTTTTATTGGAAAATACAGACATGCCCTCCTATCTGATTTTAAAGGTAATGAAATAATCTCTTTATCTTATATGTACATTCAATTTCATGTTTTGTATGTTTATTTTTATTTTTACGTCTAGGGCTCAGTGAAGCAGTTAATTTGATTGCAAATGTCACAAGAAACATATTTCTTCCTCGGGCTATCATGAAGCTACAAGTTTTGAAAGAAAGTCAACCTAGGACAAAAATTGACGAAATTCGTGCATTTAAATCTGTTACAGGTTAACAAAAGTTTCGCTAACTTCTTAATTCTTTCAATAATACTTTTTTCCCTAAAAAAATGGCCTTTTGTTCTTTTAAATTATTCATATGAAGAATTTTACATTTGCTATGCCAGGCTATCAATTGTCATTTAATTTGATCAATGATGAACCAGAAACTGGAATTGTTAAATGGAATATAGAGCAGGCGATATCAGGTATGATGTTTGGGGATCTGAGTAATCATCATTTTCTCATGAACCTGAAGTAGAGTTGGATCTGGAGTACGCTGATGATCAGAGTAATTCATTAACTTGTGTACAACAAGAAGGAAAGGATGTTATAGAAGATCCTTTTGCTATTCATCTTTTTACCCTGTCTATCACCATTTTTTAGATGTTCTGAAACCGTTTGTCAATAAAATCAAGTATTTTGATGTTACTTTTGATTCACAGGTATATCTTTAATCTTATTTTGTACCATATAACATCATTATTACAACAATTAAAGTCTTGATTTGAATGTTTCAGGTGTTGTATTATAGTGGACTTAATTTGGCACCAAAGACAGATAACAATGTGAAATATTTGACTGTTGAAGATCTACCACAAATGATTAATCCCATTGAGTCAAAGCTAGGTATTAAGTGCAATTATAATATATTATAATTTATATTTTATAATTGTCAATTTCTCTTATACACTGGAAAGTAATTAGGCATCATTTGCTGTAGACATTAGGAAATTAACCAAAAATTCCCTGCAAAATATGTAGACCAAACCAAACCAATTGTGATTAGTATTTAAAGGAGCACACTTCAAAAAATCTCACAAAAGGTAACAGTATTTAACAAGTCTGTAATGCCATTGCAAACAAGTATTCTGTTCCTGGGAATTTAACATAACGTCTAAAAGCGAAATTTTTCTCAATAATAAACCGCATAGGCATAAATCACAATGATATGCTTTAATTACAATAGGCATTGAAATTTTAAGAATTGTCATTTTCTAAAGGTTTCTTGTGTTTATCATTGGTATTTATCTTTCGTTTACGTATTTTGAGTACATAGCATTTTCTTTTCACTTAAGGTTCCTTTGTTTCACTGAATCCCAGTTTAAATTTCATCGTTTATATTCCACGATGGAAAGATACGCCACTGAAAATTATTGATGACAATGGTAGGTTTCATGATTATGATGTATCCATTGTTGTTGTGCACGGTACTTGTAATACGTCACTCGTTCACGAGGCCTTATTTTATTGTCTACCTATTGTTGTTATGCATGATGCTTCTATTGTCTAATACATCACTCGCTCATTAGACTATGTGTCATAGTCTTCCTATTCTTGGTTTTCATGTGCGTCTCAAGGGAATAGCTAAGAAAGAAAGGGCATCCACATTGTCGTCTAATAACAATGAAATCTAATGATATTCTTTTGTAAGGAGTCCACCAGCATGGCGCACATGAAAACCACCAATTCTTGTAATACACAGCGCTTTTGTAAATTTTGTGGTTTGTTTCCTAGGATAATTAATTTGCTCAACTGAACTCTTTGAATAAAAGTTCTTGTTGTAATCGTGTTTAGGAGTGTACGTTGCTACAAATGCATTTTTGAGTCCGCGATGGGGTGGTTTAGTGATTCACAATGTTCATGAACGTAGTGAAAACGCGACAGAAACTCCACCAATCATTCGATTGAAAATGAGCCCTATAATGAAGATATTTCTTACACAAATACGCGCCCTTGTTGGCATTAAACATGAAGTAAGCCAAGAAATGTTTCTGTAAATTTCTACTATCTTTTGTTGTTTGTATTTCACGATATTAATTTTTCTACGTTATCCTCTCTCTACAGATCACTTTAAAAGGTGTGACAATGTCCTCTTTCTTAAATTCTGGCGTACAGGATTGGGTGAGTGCTAAGAAATTTCGTAAAAGTGAAGAGAGTTAAGCAAATTTGTCGTGGTTTAAAGATTTAGAAGTGATCTTATAAAGGAGTTAAACATTAAGGCCCGTTTCAAACGTCGAACTTTACATGAACCGAACGCATTAAAGACAAAAGAAAATGAGATGAACTTTCCATTATCTTTGTTCGGTTCATGTAAAGTTCGACGTTTGAACTAGGCCTAAGGCCAGCAGTAGCATACCTTTGCAGGGTAGACACTATAGAAATTATTTCATTTTTCATAAACCTTTGTTTAACTCGCGTGATTACACAGAAGGGAATTTATCGAAGTTTACAAACTGTGGTTCAAGAACAATGAGATGATTTCTATGGGTGCACCCTTTGGGAGACTCTGTGCATCGTCTTTTGTCTTAAGGTCGAAAAAGATTAAAGATATTAGTGTCAAGATCATAGCTACATCATCTTTTTTTATGATGTACAGCTGTTAATTCGTGTCTTAGGAAGTCGATCGTTTATTGCTGAAGACAAGTTTGGAATACCTCTCTACGTCAGTAAAGACATTGACATCCTTGACCCAACTTATGGATAAAGTGAAAAATATGATAATTGCTGACAAGATAAAGATAGACATTGAAAACGCGCTGATGAAAATTAACCAGGTTTGTTTACGTTGCTGATGTTATAATGCAGTCGTGACATCACGTTTCGTCAATCTACCTAAATTTTGGGGCCAAAATGGTTTCTTTCCACATCGAAAAAATGTCGATTCCACAGCTGAAGCAGAAAAACAACTACAAAAACTTTTATCGATGTATTTCACCCGTAGTGCCAAGAGGCTTTATCACAAGGAAGGATAATTACAGCTTTTCAAGCCGCAAAAAGGGCCGTTCAACTTTCAGGTAGAAAAGTTGTATTTGCTCTGTTGTCCAAATGATCGTAATAAAGTGAATGGTTTGAACCCGGGAGTATCGTTACATGTTTATAGATGTTAACTGATGTTTCGCTGTCAACACCAACACTAACAGTTCTTCTCGGGACTCAACTAACCTGGACGATCTACACCTAAATACATGTAAAGATACTCCCGGGTTCAAACCATTCACTTTAATAGTTGTATTTCATGTATTTTCAGGCATGAAAAGTTCAATTGAAATGAAGTTTCATTATTGATGATTTAAATTTTATTCATTGTGCTTATCGTTGTAGAGAAAGCCTTCTACGATCCTTCAGTTTTAGAGCTGTTGTATTTTCCCGATGATCAAAAGTATGCGATTTTAGCATCAATTTTAAATTTGTGACGTTGTAGTTCATTATAATGTGGTTGATCAAGAAATCTTTTCCTTGTTTTACCAGGTTTGCCATCTATATTCCTCTGTTTTTACCCATGTCCTTGCCTCTTGTGCTATCCCTCTTTGCTTCCATCAAATGGTTGCGTAAGAGAGACGAATTGAAAGATGTGCAGTCGAGTGAAGGTCAGCGGTCCTTTCTTGTCATTATTTCAGTCCTACGAAAGCCATTTCTTCCCTCCCCTCTCCTCCCAACGGAGAAGAATGTAATCAATTTTTGCTATGAGTATAGAAAATGTGTAATGATTTATCGAAATTTTCAACACAATTGTGTAGTTTCATTAATAGTCATTATACTTGAACAAAAGAGAGTAACTAACACAAAATACACGTTTTTTAATTAAGGTGATGAAATTGCGAAGAAAAAAGATGAATGAGCCGATGTACGTAAGTGATATATAGTCTTTTTAAAATACAATAGTGAAGCCTATTTTTTCTTTGCCACATTTCATTCTCCCTGGTTGCTTTTATGATGCAAAACTTATTTCATGACGACTGGTGCCATTTTGACGGATCAGCTCTAAATGCAGAAAAACCTTTTTGTTGTTTTATTATCAAAACACTCAAACTCAAACAATTGATAAAGTAATGCTATTTTATGATTTTTATGACGGTTCAAATCAGTGAGGAAAACACAATGAAAATAATTGTCACCTGATCTTATCCGCTTTAGGCATAGTACCGCTGTACAAACGGTTTGCAACATGCGCGGCAATCGGATCCTTTCCTACAGTAGCAACAGCTAAAACATCGTTTCCTCTATAGAATTAAGAAACGCATCGTAAGATTTTTCATATTTTTTTGAACATTCAGCTATATCTTGGAGGTTACTTGATGTAATAGGCAGCAAACGACAAATCTTCGACGCTCCCTTCTATAAGAACATCATCAAAACTTTCAGCATGACCTAAAATAGAAAACTGTCAATTATGCCCTTATTACTTTCATTCCTTCGAACTTCCATTCCTGTTCATGAATAGCTTTGATAACCAGATCAGAAAACGATAACGGCTTGCCTGCATAGCGAATGCTTTTTCCATATTGCATCGTCCAAAAGAACGGCACTGTGTCAACTTCTTTACTTTTAGCAAGCATATTTAAAGCTGCTACTTTTCCTGCACAAAATCAAAGGTGAATTTCACAGCACCATAGTTATCATCTTTGGCTTACGTAAATATTGCCTTACCGTGCGCATGAGCAAGCTGCCAGTGACCTATGGTCACATGTTTTCCATTAAGCATCTTGAGAGGAAACGACGCTATGTCGCCCCCAGCGTAGATATCTTCATTTGCCTTCATATACTACAAATATAATAGTGAATCTATTACATTGTTTTCTTTCATTTGGTTCTATTACAATATCTTCTTTCATTGTCTTCTTTCATCGCTTCTTTCAAAAACATTTCCAACCGAGAAATTTGGAACACTAACACTAACCTTATCGACAATAATACTACCGTGTTTTGTTGTCTCAACCATACAATCGTCAACAAAACCCGTAGATGCCTTAACACCTAAAACATGCAAGTTAGATTATGCAGATGGTAACTATTCATTGAGCAAAAGATACACAGTTTCTTTCACCTATGCCTATGACGCAAACGTCAGCCTCCAGCACTTCGTCATTTGTCAACAACGCCTTTTCGAGCTGAATGACAATTTTTTTTTTGACATGTTGCTAAACAAGAAAACTGTTTTTCATTTTGGTGACTAACCTTTCCGTTGACTCCTTTAAACTCTTTCACTGACGTATTAAAATGGAACTTCACACCTTTTTCAGCATGCATCTATTACAGAATAAGATGATTACGTTAGAAAGGCATTGTGGGAAGGTTTAGTTTAAGGTTTCTTGGCTGCACTCACTTTAGTTATACGCGCACCAACTTCTGAACCAAAGACCCTTGCGAATGGAGTGGGAGACTGCCCTACGACGTCAACGCTTGACGCTTCACCTTTGTCCACGCCGAATGCGGCCACCTCCAAACCTAAAGTAAAGAAATTTATACAGTTTATGAAAGTATTTTGACATCCTCGACCAGGAGTCCATGACTTCGCCGAGACTTTGACACATCATGAGATTTCATATTTTTTTTTAAATTACCGATAAATGAAGTTCCTATGACCAGCATCCTCTTTCCTTTACATGCAGCAGCTAAATGACATTTCAATCATTATCATTGTCTATGTTCAGAAGAAGGCATCAAGAACAGTAAAAAACACTCCCACCGATGGCATTGGCGTCGTTGGGATTTCGCAGGTAGAAGATATTTTTCAAATCACCACCGGGAACATTCATCAATCTTGGACTAAAGTGAAGACGGACGAAGGATTTTCATAATTCAATGTTAATGTTTTAAGCAAGCAAACCTGTTCCTGTTGTATGGCAATTGGCAAAAAATCTTTAAAAGAAAAGCTAAGAATATGGAAAATTGCACAAAATCGAACATACGTTCCGCCAGTGCCAATGAATAATTTATCATATTTGATTGTTGTTCCATCCGTGAATTCAACGAGCTTATTTGATTTGTGTAGTTTACAGGCCTTAGAAAGAAGAGTAATCAATGTCACAACTTAAAGAAAAGTATTTTACAGATTTTGTGATTGGTTTCAACTTTATATCACCTCCTTCTTAAATTCTACTTTGATATCATAGTTTTCTAAAAACTCTTTTGGTCGTAAAGCAATTTCATGACCTTTTTTCTGTAGCACCTTGAAAGAAATGGATAAAGTCATATTAAACATGAATAAATATTTCATGGTTTTTTTTTAAGTCAAACTTTCAACATACTTTACTAAGCATGGGTCTATCATAAGGCAAAAAATCCTCTGCAGTGGCAATTACAACTTTTCCTGTAACACAATGCAAAGAAGAAAAAATACCATCACTTCTAACTTGACACTATCACTTGTACTTTCAACATTCACCTTTGAAATTATTCTTTCGTAATGTTTCAGCACATTCAAGCGATGATGGACCTTGTAAAAGAAAACTGTTTGCAGTTTAATGATGAAATTTCATCTGACTTTTGAATTTAGTACGTTTTACCTCCACCAAGTAATAGAAATGTTCTTCCATCTTCATTTGGAGATGCTCGACTCATTTCAGATACTTTTTTGTGGGATTTTAAGTCCTTTAGATGTTGAGATTTTATATTTATATGATGATTCTATTAAAATTCACATCAAGAAGAGATCACTCACCTCTGGATTGGCTATTACAAGAACATTTCCTTCAACTATTTTGGTCTGTTTTTCAAAAAAAATGGAATATAAGATCAAAGAAAGGCAAACATATTAAAAATGTGACTAGCACTGACTTGAAACTTGGGAATTGCATCAAGACCAGGAAAATCTTCAATATCACCAGTCCACACATTGAAACAAGCTCCATGCCATGGACAACGGACACGGCCATTCATTAAACTACCTTTAACTAACTGGGCACCATAATGGGTGCATTTATGGCCTACAGCTGTGTATGTTCCATTTTCACGCACCAGCAAGGCATGGCCATTTTCACCAATGTCAATTTGACGCATCCTTAATGACAGTCATGATTATTATCACAGTGGCACAATACAAATTCTGATAATGAAGCTGAGTAATCATTTTCTCTTAAACTTTTATTCAATTATGGAGGTTTTTTGTGGAGATTATAAAGTTCACTCACATGTAATAACATTTGTAAAAGACAGTAATTAGAAGGAACAATGTAAACTTATATCAGTTAACTTTCATTTTTCAAAACAAACATTGCAATGGTTTTATTGAAAAAATAAAATTGTATTAATGCATACTCTCCATCTTTCATGTCATCAAACTTGCATGCAACTGTTTGAACCATAGATGATGTCATTCTCGAGTATTTCTTTCCTGTTTAAATTAAGTTTATTTACAGTAAGGCGTTAAAATGAGGTGACAGCACTTAATTGTGCAAGAAATTACAAAATATTGATTGATTCTGACACGAAGTCAATACGAACCACGGTAGTAAACAGCTCTCGCTATTAAGGAAAAGTCGCAAATATTTCTTTCGTCGAGTTTGCAGACGTTAGATCGCAAACAAACTGAAAGGTTTCTACGATCGATTAGCTTTGCAATATACAACTTGACGCAGTATATTTTGTTAAACATTTGTATGTTGACAGTTGACAGTTCTGGTCGTCTAAGAAGTTGATTTGAAGATGTTTTGCATATTTAACTTCGTATACGGAATAATTTAACTCTTGTACTTTAGTAAAGTCAATAAGTAACGTTGACTGAATAATTTAACCCTTGTACTTTAGTAAAGTCAATAAGTAACGTTTACGGAATAATTTAACCCTTGTACTTTAGTAAAGTCAATAAGTAACGTTTACGGAAATACTACGACTTGCATACTTTAAACAATTCAACATCAAATTTCTAATTTCTTTACCTACCCAGTAAAAATTAACACGAAGTGTTCGAAACCTTGTTTCTTTGATAAATGGTCAGGATCCTTGGATAATGTTTCTTCGTTTGCATAGTATTTTAAAATATGCATTTATGTTGTTTGAATGTCATTCAATGTGAGCAATTAATGAATATAATTACGTAAGTCTTACAATGAAAAGAATCTTCTAAGAACAAAAAAATTAAAATAGAAATTTGGTCAAAAGAAATTGGGAATTGAACTGACACAATTAGTCAATTTTAATAATCAATAATGAAATATGCCATTAACAGCATAAACAGGAATATTAGTACAGTCAGCAGATGAACACTCTCAAATTTAGTCTTCTTCATAACCATCAGGTAAAGCATTGACATGAGAATTATGGAACAAAGTATGGTTACCATCACCCCATGGAAACGGCTAGAAATAATAAAATGAATAATGCAATGAAAATACTTATAGTGTACAACAGTTGATAAAATAATTTATACTTTTATGTACTTGCTTTATGACAAGAAACCCTATTATACAAAACCCTCCATGCCAGGTTTAGTTATACACAACGAACACGCTTCTTCAGGCACAGGCATCAGGTAATAATCTATAATATCCATTAAACGAAATCAAATAACCTTGGATCTTATCCTTAAATGAGCATATCCTTTAAATTCTGCTTTTTCATGATGTGCTTTGTGTGCCATTTCTTTCGATACAGTGTTGTAAACACAGAACAGAATACCGGGAGCAGCAACAAATATCGATATCAGTTTCCATGTTTTCGTTGTACCTAAAAAGGCACCAACTCTTTATTGATGCAAAGTTTTATTTGTTCAAGAAATACTAACTATATACCTGCGGCATGTTTTTCTTCGGCCAGCATCTCACTCTTGAGATCGGAAACTGACGCCGTCGAGAAGGATCGCCTCTGCAATAAACGAGAAAATATTCTTGAAACCGACGCCATATTGAAAATCCCGAACACAACAAAATTTTATGAACGGAAATTCGGATCAATTTGAAGGATACGTTCGTATTTAAACGGTAACTCTCGTTAATTACTCGGAGTCATCCGGAGTTCAAAAACAATAATCTACTGAAAGGTCACATGCGAAGTTCTTCAAAGAGATGGAGATTCTTTCTAAAAGTACTTTTGTCCTTGTCATTTTTGCGAGCATCTTGCCTTCTTATGTATTATCCACGAAAGGTGTTCTATCTTTGGACAGTCTGACTTTTGACAAGGTTTTTTAAGGATTTTATATCGCTTTTGTTTACAAACATTTCACTTATGATATTTTGCACGTGGCTGTCAAACGCATCTTTTGATTTTTTGTGCTTATGAAGGCATCACACTGTAGTGCTTACATTTCCTATAGTGAAATTTAAAGGACGTTTTCAGTTAAAATAAGGTGAAATAAATACGTTTGCCGGTTGATGTTTGAACCCCGAGATTTTATCCAAGAATATTTTCAAGGGTATCCCTAACTTCACGTAGGTGATTAAAAACTTCAAGTTTGTTCTGGTCAAATTTGACAAGCAATACGCATATGGGGATAAAGAAGATGAATTCAAAAAGTTTGCAATTCAAGTGGCAACACAGTCAGAGTTGTTGGTTGCTGAGGTCGGAGTTTCAGGTAAAACGAGACAAACAATTGATATAATGAAGAGTTGCTCACATGTAAACTTGTTTAGAGTATGGTGATAAAGAAAATGAAGACCTACGAGAAAGATTTGATGTGAAAAAGGAGGACTATCCTGTTTTCAAATTGTTCAAGGCTGATCAGGATGAACCCATCAATTTTAAACAAAGTGTGACAAGTGATGATCTAGCTAGGTTTATTCGTCTTGAGAGTGGCCTCTGGCTAGGTATGTACTTTTTCTATTTATGGTGGTAATGAAATGGGTTTTTCTTTTAAAAGACGACCTGTTGTTTTAGGTAAACCAAACACTTTGGAAAGTTTTGATAAAGTCATCATTGAGTTTGTTAAAGCAGATGAAGCAGAATACGACAAATTCATAACTCAAGCAGAGACAGCCATGGCTGCTGCTGAAGAGAAGGATAAGGTGCCTGCTAAAGTCTACATAAGTACTATGAAAAAGATTAAAGAAAAAGGAATAGCTTACGTAAGTAATGAAATGGCAAGAGTTAATAAACTTTTAAATGAGAAGTTGAGCGATGCTAAAAAAGCAATGTTTAAGAATCGTTTGGATATTTTGGCCTCATTTGCAGATTATATCAATAAAGGAAAAGACGAGTTGTAGTTTTCTTAAAGTCATAGCCGTTGAATGTGCTTTAAATTTTACCTTTTTTAAGTAACGAACATTGCTGCCATGTTCTGCCTTAGCAATAATCATTGAAGCTTACAAATGCATGCATGTTACAATAGAACAGAATAAATGGTAGTATTTTTTCTTTTCACAATTGCTTTCTTGACGTTATATATTTATTTCCCAACAACACGTACAAGAATTATTCATTGGTATTCTTATGAGTAGCATATAAAAACAATATCTTACTTTAGAGAATTATTAAGTGTAAGGAATACCACACAACTACGTATACCATTACTTAAGAAGTGCAAAAATTTTAAAATGAAACAGTTTAATCATGTAAAATACCCAAGGGAAATGTTTGAATAGTAATCTCACACTTATTTTGAGGTCAGTCTTGTTCTTCTTGTTTATCAGAAGTCTCTGTCTTAGATTCAACTTGAGTTTCAGGTATGTTATCAGTACTATTTTCCTTTGTGGATTCTTTGTCTTCTAGTTCTTTAGCGGATAATTTGCTGGGACCTGCTGTTGAGCCACTATCATTAACTTTCAAACTTTCCAGCTCGTTTGCTAGTTTCTCGCTTTCCACATCATTCTTTGTAGGTGCAACTTTTTCCTTGCAGCTGTCAAATACTTCCTTGAATTTTTTTGCATCTAAAACAATCAATAAGATGAGAGGATAGTAATAGCAACAGAAGTTTTTCATTTAAACTAACTCTCAGCATTTGCAAATCTTATTGCAAGGGTCTCTTTTTGTGGTTCTTCATCAGCATAGTCTGCAGCCACAGTCCATACCCATGCACGTTCACTTCCACAGTTGGGTTTCAGCTCCATATCTTTAGTCACTGCAAAAGGATTCATGAAAATAATAACAAGCGGATACAAATGTGTTAAAATCATCAAAAGGCAAACAGATATACACCAAAAACGAACGAAAACTACTTATGCAAAGAGAGAAAGAGATTTGACTAACAACACACAATTTGAAATTTAACTTTGAAAATAGTGAAAAGTCAACGTAACTCGGCAAAAAGCAACAAATGCAACACTTACAAAAGTGATTGGCGCAAACTTTAAGTGTCTTCTCCCGCCTCATAACAAGCCTGTATGAATTTTTTCCACGAGTTTTTAATATCTTTACTTCACCAACCCCTCTTTCTTTCCATTCAGGTGATGTATCATGCTGACCAATAATATATCGAAATAACTTTGCTCTTCTGTGAAATTAAGTCACAAAATCAAAACCAAACGGCGTTGCATTGCGCTATTTTACCGTTTCTACCTTACAATTTAATCATTTCTTCTTCGTTTTCTTCAAACGTTTTTACTTCCACTTTCGCTAATGTAACGACCGGTTCGAAGTGGATTTCAGGCGATGACGGGGCTTCTTGCTCCTTGATAAAACAAGAAAATTCAATATACCAGCAAATTGAGTACAAAAAGTAAACGATTGCATTCCCCTTGAAATCTAGACGTACTTGTTCCGTAGACATTGCGACGTGCGTGTCAGATCGAAATGGATTGATTTGACTTCTTCCAAAACTATCACGACGACAAATCTCAACTTTGCCGCCACATGACAACAAACAAGATAATGTTCAGCGGTGTGTGCTTACTTCATGTACGTATGATGTTGGGAATCTGTATTTTTGTTTTCGCCAAGTACAAATTTAATGGGACATAATTTTAGTCTTTTCTCTTTGATTTAGTACTGACAGCTTTAAACCAAATTATACTAAGATGGGAATCTTAGAAAGGATTGCTGAGATTGAAAACGAGGTTTGCCCACCAAACAATAGTGTTTCATGAATAGATCTTTGATACCTTGTATATGTTTATAGGAAATTTAGGATGATTTAAGTATTTAAGAATATTTTCAAACAATTATGATGAATCTTTATCTTTGTAGATGGCAAAAACTCAGAAGAACAAGGCTACAGCAAATCATTTGGGTTTGCTGAAAGCAAGATTGGCCAAGCTTCGCAGGGAGCTTATAACCCCAAAAGGATCAGGCGGGGGTGCTACTGGGGAAGGTGAGTGTGTTCTCCAGTGCCAGAGTTGGGTGAAATGAGTAAGAAATTTTTTTCGGTTTTGATTGGGCTTAATATTTTCAGGTTTTGATGTTGCAAAAACTGGTGATGCACGCGTTGGTTTTGTTGGTTTTCCATCAGTTGGTAAATCCACTTTGCTGACTAATTTAGCTGGTGTATATTCTGAAGTTGCTGCCTATGAATTCACCACTTTGACAACTGTACCAGGTACATATTTTGAGAGATCATTTTCACCATTATACGGATTTAAGAAGAGTCTATAACAAGATTACGTATGTTACTTTGCAGGAGTTATCCGCTACAAAGGAGCAAAAATTCAGCTTCTTGACTTGCCTGGTATTATTGAGGGGGCTAAAGATGGAAAAGGCAGGGGGCGTCAGGTCATTGCAGGTTTCATAGAGCATTACTAAAGTTGATATGTTTACAACATGTTTAAAACACACTACTACTGTTTTTTTACTTGTCTTTTTTATCCAGTTGCAAGAACTTGCAGTCTTATCTTCATTGTCCTTGATGTTTTGAAACCACTGGGTCATAAAAAACTAATAGAATATGAACTGGAAGGATTTGGGATAAGGTATTTTGTATATAGATACTTATGATTGCTCATGTACTTCTTAATTTGACTGCTTGCCTATTCAGAGATGCCACAGCATATTTTGTTCTCCACATTCTTTCCATCATATCATTTTGTATCACCCCATGTTCCTTGTATCCTCCCTCAACATATTCAGCAATCTCTTACATGTGAGCTTATAAACTCATTCACATAATTCATATCTATTTACATGGATTGTTGAAATGGCATATAAATTTTATATAGTTTTCATTATCAACTGTGTTTCATTTTCAGATTGAACAAGAAGCCACCAAACATTGCGTTCAGAAGAAAAGAGAAAGGTGGCATCAATTTCCAGACAACTGTAAGACAAAGAAGAATGTCTTGCTTTTGTCATTTCCTTTACATTACTATCATGGATGTTTTTTGTGTTTAGTGTGTGCAATCAGAGCTTGACATTGATACAATACGAACAGTTCTCAGTGAGTATAGGATTGCCAATGCTGATATAACGGTGAGAGAAGATGCTACAGTAGATGATCTCATTGATGTTGTTGAAGGCAACAGGTTGGTCATGATGTTTCTTTAGCTGTTTTAGATTATCATTCCATTCAATATTTATTTCATTTTGATTTCAGAGTATACATTCCATGTATATATTTGCTCAATAAAATTGATCAAATTTCCATTGAGGTTGGTTTACATAATTTGATGTCATAAGATGTCATGATGTCATATTTTTCATGACATGATATAAATTGTAAATTTTTATTCTTTTATTTTGTAGGAGTTGGACATTATTTATAAAATCCCACACTGTGTCCCGATCTCCGCACATCATAAATGGAACTTTGATGATCTTCTCGAGAAACTATGGGATTATTTGAATTTAACACGAGTGTTAGTTGTCATCATCATCCTATCTGCCCCTTTACTAACAACGACTGGAAGACTGTAAAAATTTTTGACTGAGTAATTTGTTATCTTTTTTAACAGGTACACTAAACCAAAAGGTCAACTTCCTGACTATAACTCTCCTGTTATTCTTCGAGATCAATTAACCACCGTTGAAGATTTCTGTAACCGACTTCATCGATCCATTATCAAGGAGTTCAAACAGTAAGAAAGAAAGATGATTTTTTACTTATTTCCTTTCAAACAATAAACAAAACCCATTTGTGACCAAATTTCGAGGTTTAAATGAATTTCGTTATAAGATGCTTCGAAAATTTTACGTTGCTACTTGTGCGAATATAACAGCATTCGTTACCAATGTTGACGCATTATTACTTTAAAGTTCCCAGAACTAATGTTACTGTACGTAATATGGCGCTAAGTTGCCTTTGCTCACATTACGCAACATGACGTTAAGTTACGAGTGTTAACATGATGTAATAGTCGATGGTAATAGTACGTTAGTTACCAGTGCTAATGTTACGTAATATGACATTAACAGTGCTCTGGTTTGGGGATCATCGGTGAAACACAATCCTCAGAAAGTTGGCAAAGAACACAAACTGAACGATGAAGATGTCGTACAGATTGTTAAAAGGTTTTTCAAGAACTCGACATTATCGTTTTACGTGTTCCCTTCCTAAATATTTTCATTACTTTCGTTAAAGGGTGTAAAAACAACAAGAAATTGGCGTAAGATTGAACCTGGATCTAGGTGAGCTTGCTTGGAAATTTTGGTGTTTATTATTGCTGGAAGGTAACTGATATAGTGTCCCCATATGTATAACTTTATGATGATTTCAGGCAAAAGTTTCGTAACTGACACCAGACATGTCTGAAAAACTGGCATTTAAAAAAGGCCAAACCTGGCTATCGCATAAGCATAGACAACATTGGAAGATATCAACGGTATACATATGTAAACTAACAGTCGAGAGAAAGCGGTAGTTTGCTTCCACGAAAATGAAATAGAAATGCGTTATTTTGTAGATTCTATCGGCTAGACATAAACAATAACACCCATTATACATCGAAACTTCTGCAACTGAACATGATTCTTATAATTTTCTCTGAGCTTTCCAAATTTCTACTTAAAACTTTTGTATAACTATACTAACGCCAATTGCGATGTTCAGGCTAGCATCCAACGATCTTTAATGTACACCAGTGTTACCTGTATAACTTATGAGATCCACTGAGGATCATATTTCCACCAATGATCTTTAATGTATACCAGTGTTGCCTGTATAACTTATGAGATCCACTGAGGATCATATTCCCACCAATGATCTCTAATGTACACCAGTGTTTCCTGTATAACTTATGAGATCCACTGGGGATCATATTCCCACATTGAAGGGTCGTCGGCAATTAAGTAAGATTCATCATCATACGAATGATGAAATTGAAAAGGACCTTTGTCGTCTTCGGAATCATCATCGTCCATTGTTAGGTTATCCATGATTACGTCATCCCAATCGACCAAGGGATCGTAATCCGACCTCAGACGATGATTAGTGAAGTCGTGAGTGATGATGTTCCAGTTAGGGTGGCGTTTTCTGGTTTTCAATACTCGTTCATTTGAAATTCCAGTACCTAAACGAGCAATGGGTATTTACTCAATACGACATTTCCTTTCCAATCCCAATTGTTTTAGACAAAGACAAAACTATCATAGGTTACTAAAAGGAGTTATTCAACATCATTTATGAGTGAAGAGAGACTTGCTTGTAGTTTTATGTCGTTCTGTCACTATTTTGTGCAGGAGCACAGCGTATGTATGTACAATCCCGTTGGCAGTTATTGCCGTAAGGATACATACCTCCAATGCTCAACACCATAAAATCATTATCACCAAAATGCTCCTCCAAACAATCAAGCGATCTATTGGATATCCTCTCCGATCCACAGATATCCAGCTCTTTAAGGTGCGGACAGTATATGGCCAACTGATTGACGGCTAAAAAAATGCATTCATATTTTCAGTAACTCAGAAACTTCTTTACCTACCCTAAATGACGAATGTCTTACCTATATCTGTTAAGTTAGAACACGATTTAGCAATCAGCTCTTTTAATGTTCCATTCTTGGCCAGCCCTTCAACACTTGCGTCATTCAACTAAAATATTTTATAAGATTGATTGATTGTACGTAGATGAGAAACTGGTGCCAGGTTTTACAGTGTATACAGTGGGTGTTAGGTTGAAAGGCCAATTATTAAGATATCGTGTGTTAAAACCTTGGAAAGATAGCTGATGTTAAGTTTCTGGAGTTGTGAGCACTTCGCAAGACCGACGAGGCCAAGATCCGTGACATTATGACATACTTCTATGTTTAAATATCTATTAACAAAGGAATATTCAAGATTTGTTGATTTCATATGTCATTTATCGTCAATGCAGCACTTTGTGGTTAAATATGATCCATGTCCACCTTAATTTTGAGCAACTAGAGGCAACTACATGCAAGACATTGTCGTCAACTTTATCTTGAATAGATAAGTCCAACTCTACCTAGAAGATAGAAAATATTAACATGTTGGTCAATCGCAGTTCATTGAATGAGAGTATGAAAAAAACTTCGTCATTAACTTTCTTTTGTGATTGCATCAGACAATCGATAAAAGTTACAAGACTCTCGTGCGTATAGAATATTTAGTTCTTTTCTTATATCGACTGACCAGTTGTGTTTGGTGTCGCAAAGCCATAAGTCCGCGAGTCGTAACTAGAATTAAAAGTTCACCACCACACAAATTAATTTTCACAAAGTTAAGAAAGATGCGAAAAACAAACTGATTGTATTTATCGATCATTGACCTCCAATATATAGCTCACAATTACCTTGTGACGAGCTTTGTCTAAACGAGAGGCTTTTTAACTGTTTACATTGAGTAAGCAGTCGAATAATCCCTGAGTCGCTTAACGCCAAACAATAGGATATATCGAGATTCTCCAGGTAATGACATCTACTAGCAAGATGCTGCAGGCCATCGTCTGATAACTCAAAAATAAATTACGTTTTATAGTATTTAATTTATTGAAAGGATAAATTAAAGAGTTAAGATAGAGTGAAGATTTTGTCTACCTTTTTGCATTCGTTGACAATTACTGTTTTACATTTATCTGTCAACATGTAGAAGCACTATAATTTGACAAAAAGTACATTTAAACTTGAAATATTTGTGGTGACGAATGAAAATAACCGAAACTGGAAAATTGGGTATTTATCTACTAAAATAACAACATGCAAGAAAATTGATTTGATAAATAGAATAAGATGTAAAAAATACTTTTAAAGAATGCTGTAAATGCAAAGGTAGTTTAAGGATCGACATAGCTTAGCAACAAAGGAGAAGCCCGGGGGATGCATCGCGTTTTTTAAGTAAGAGTTTTATAAGGCTTTTTAGGTAGTTCTTTTAAGAACTCTACCATTCGCCATGGTGTGCATGTATAACGTTTCCTAGAAGTATACCTCATTTTTTTACAGTTACTAGAATGGCATACAACTCGTATATAGGAGGGTATACTTATACCTGTCCAGTGATTCTTGTATTCCCAGCTATGTCGATGTATTCCAAATCTTGACATTGTTTGAACAGCCACCACAGCCTTATTTGAAAATAATTCATGTCGTTTTTCATCACATGAAATTATTCAACACAATATATCATACTCATGTTTCTTACGCTTTTTCATTTACTTCATAACATTTCCGCAGCGTAACTTTCTGCAAAAAGGATATGTTTTTGTGTTGAAAACCACCTCATTGTATCGATGGAAACACTTATCTTCACCTTAAGCTTTGAACATCTGCAACTCATCTCTTTTAAAGAACGCATCGTTACTTTGATGCCAGATAAATTTATGTCTTGCAGTTGAGAACAGTTTTGGGCTGTGAAAAACGGTTAAAAGGCCAAATAGTTAGTAACGTGAATTTAACAAAACGAATACTGATTGAATAAGGTCGCGAGTCAACCTTCGATTTTATGTGAAGAAATTGCAATATGATCTTACCAATAAGATATAGTGAATAATCGGTTATTGATCGTGGCGAGTGTGAAAGATTAAGGGATTTTAAATTATGACATCCACGTTTAAACATTGACATTAAAATATCGTCAGTTAGACCTAAAGCAAGCATAAAACAATATTATAGAGGTAAGTGTTCTTTTCTCAAACAATGGCCCACAGTCTTTACCTCTACTGACTCTAGTCCATGAGGGGATAAAAACCCCATTAAAATCTAGGTGCGTAGCAGTTAGCCATGTTTTTCTTGCTAGGTTGTTCCATCTATGACAAACTGTTGATTGAAAGATAGACCAAGATGAAGAACAATTGGTCTGAAAATGTGTCAACTGATCCAATGAATGATAGTATGTGAATATATGGAGTGGTGAACACTTCAGAGACATTGAAGAAAGCCACAGATAAATGTGTAGTTCTGTTGAATGCATTTCAATAATTGATGATATGTGAAGATGTGGAGTCCTACATTTTACACTGTACCTCTTTCAATCACGATTCTTTCTCTCAAAGGTAAACACGAAAATATCAACAACAAAATATCATCATTAAGAGATGCTATACTAATAACATCATCCTTAATGTCCTCCATTACTGCAGTTTTACATTCAATGGCTTCTTCTTTTGTCACATAGTTCTCAAGGAAGTTCTAGGAATGTATAACAGGGTTTGCATTATACACATTATGATATCTGTAAGTATGATCTTATGAGCATGATACTTAATAAACACTATAGATAAACAACAAAATTTTTCAATTTTATGTTTTTAATTACAAACATGTTTAGACTTATCTAATAACTATTCACACTGAAGATGACTTAAGTACAGTTAAGTCAAAACATGTTTGTAATTAAAAACATAAAATTGAAAAATTTTGTCATTTATCAAAAATGTTTATTAAATATCTGGAAGTTCTAATAATCAACCTTAAATGAGTCTTTAGACAGCATTTCGTTGTTGGACTCTTTAATTGCTTTTGCTGAAAGATGATTATTATGATGATTAATCCATTAATCACTTCATGTGGAATTACATCTAAACATTGCACCAAACTATGGCAAAATGGAAAAAATACAAACATCTTCTCTTTTTCTCCGCTCGATTCACTCTGAGTGTTCTGGGAGAAAACCCACAGTAAATTAGTTGAACCAAAGAAACATACACTTTAGTAGGACACTGAAGAAGATTTTCACTTGTTTGCACAATCAAAAATATACCTTCCATCTAAGATGAGCTCTTCATCAGATGCCTGGAGTACCTTCTCAACTTCAATATCATTACTGAATGTAACAAAACCATACCTAAGAATAAAATACAAATAAGTAAATGGCCTTGTCCATTCAGTTAATGCAGCAGTTTCTCCTTGTACATTACTCGTTCATACAATGCTCAATTCTTACTCTGTATACCTTGATGCCCCTACTTACCCCTTGGATCTCTTCTTAACACGATCTTTGATAATTTGAGCATAAATCACGCGACCAAAACTGGAGAAAAATTCCTTTAACTGAGTGGTGGACAATTTGTAACTTATATTACCAACAAAAATCTTTGGTTGACATAAGTTTAGCCCTTTCTCTCCATACACATTCTTGATGGAGTTGATCAAACTACTTTTCTTTTCCATACGCTCATATTCAGTGTCCTCTTTTTTATTTCCATTTTCTGAACTTTTAGTATGGAAGCTCTTGTCAAATGACTCAAATCCATTTTCTGATCTTACAGCAAACGAGTCGTTGACTACACTCGCGAGACCTTTTCGATCATGCATGTTGCTATGAAGGTTTTTTAGTCCGTTAAATTTCCCGTCTTTATCCATAATTTTGCCTTACCGTAGTTGTGCGCTGAAGTTTTTGGAAACGCTGGTATTTAAATTTTTCCCGCCGTTGTTTATGGCCCCTTGTTGAAAAATTTCTATTTCTGTATTTCAGTTGGTCAACGTTTGATAATGAATTAGTAAAATAGAACAATCACAGGTTTTCTTTAAAAGCTCGAACCTACGTGTTGTAAGGTAAAGCAAAGTACCAAACAAAGAACTAATCTTGCTTTATAATTGCTGTCTTTTTTATTCCAATTTTGAAGCTCAGCTCACGGGGGTAGGCAGCTACTGTTATTTTTTAAAACATATATTACCATCGCCGTTTATGAATTACGTAATACGAACAAAGATCACCATGAAAAGGTGCAATGACACAATTTATTTACGCCAGTTAACCGTTTTGCCACGTTTGTTTAGCGACGACGAGCATCTTTATATGAAAAATGCAATGTGGCTTACTGGCATGGCTTTCTCTCAAATTTTCTGCTTTTGGAAAAGTTAAAGATCAAACTCCTTTACCTAAATGGATCATACTCGCCTTGTTCACCAGTATGGTAATATTTGTTAATGTAATGTGCCTTAGCTGTCTGAACGTGATTGTTATGTCAAACTGCAAAAAGAAAATTGCTTGAATATTTTTATATTATATTGATCCAGTTTTAGCGCATTTTCATCCAGTTTTGTTTTCTTTTTGTCAGATAGAGATTTTGAAAAGAATATTTCATGTAAATGTTAATCATAGGCCTTCATTTAATCTTTTCAAGTGGCATGATTCAATCAATTGAATTAGTGAAAAAGATTTATCTAACAAAATAAAGGCTTTGTGGAAACTATTAAATGAAAAGCACCTTTTTTTCATGTTTAGATTGGAAATGCAATTTCTTTGCAAGTATTATTTTCCTTTTTACCTGACATGATCAAGGTAACGACGTTTTGTTTTCAAGTCATACGTAGGTGTGACTGTTGATTCCAACATTTATGTCTTCTTATCATTTAGAGCTTTGGAATTTCAGATGAAGATGCTGGTAAGTAGTTTTATGAAGCTCATTTGCTTGTTCATGGAACTTTGCTAAATATGTTGTAGCCAGGTTAATGATCTTCACACTAATACAATGTTTCAGAAATGTAATCCACCTAGTATGTTTATGGGATAATGTTACTTTTGTTCCACAGAAGAAAACTTTTTATTTCACAATGTTTCTTCTCTAACATGTATAATTATAAGTGAATTCCTATCATTTCATTTTCAGGATATTATGTTGGATTTGTGGCATCATCAGTTTTTCTTGGGAGGTTTATATCAAGGTGTTATAATGAAAAATTCCAGTTTGATTTAATTTGGTTTGCCACCTAAGAAGCTAAACATTTCTTGTTTACTTTGTAGCTATTTCTGGGGCTGGTTATCTGACAAGATTGGTCGAAGAAAAGTAATGCTGATGTGCACTATTATTATTGGAGTTTTTATGATTGCTTTTGGCTTCTCAAACTCATTTGAAATGGCACTCGTGATTAGATTTGTGATTGGTTTATTTGGAGGTACCATGTACTAATTGAAAATTGATGTTTGCAAATTATTAATATAAATAATAAATGACAAATTGAGTAAAATTCAGGTGTTACTGGCACAACAAAGGCAGTACTTGCAGAAATCTGTGATAATACAAATCAGGTAAAAAAAGATAATACTTCATCATTTCATCTCTGATTTTTACTGCATTTATACTTAGAGTTTTGCTAATTTTGCGGGGTATTATTTGCAAACCAGGTCACCATTGATAGGCTGATTTACCTCAGCAATAGTGGTTTATTTCACTGGTGGTTTGGTGGGTAATGGCTTAGCTGACATAGTTTCTTAGTCCTGGTATGCATTATGCAAGTATTTGGTGTTTAATCACTCTAAAAACATCAGCTTTCTAAAGAATTGAATGAGGATGGTCTTACAAAATTTGCATATCTCAACTAAACTTATGGACTTGCTGCACCAACTATTTGTAGGACCTGTTCACTATGTAGTCGGAAGATTTACTATGGAATATGGGTTTTCATTGAAAAACTAAATCAGTATCTAGACAATGTGATTGATCACTCTGGTTGAGCATTTTGAAAAGGTCTTGTAAGATCTTTCCTAAGCCTTGGCAAGATTTGCATAATCGATGTCATGATTGTAGTATGATCTTGCCAAGATACAGCCAAGATTTAATGCCTAAATCTACTGTGACATCTTGGCATGATCTTCCAAGATCTTGGTGTGATCTTAACAAGATCACTTCAAGCACATGCCAAAATCACGGAAATGTGCTTGGCTAAGATTTTATCTTACTCTTTCAAGACCTTGACATGTTCATCACATAATCATTAATAGATTTCCCCAAATCTTATGATCTTTGCAAGATCTTTCCAAGTTCTTTCCAAGATCTTGCTAAAATCTTGTGTGATTATGGCAATGATCTTGACATGATATTGCAATTGTGATATTTCCAAAATCTTGCAAGATTTTATTATGATCATGTCAAAGATCTTACCAAGATGTATATATCAAGTAGGTTTTTGTCTGATAGCCCCTTCGATGCATCTTCAAATCAAAATTAACTCACTTCTTATTGCAGGCTTTAGCAATGTCTCTAATTGTGACAGCTTGGAACAGTGGTTTAATAATTGGTCCTGCTATTGGAGGTTGGCATCTTTGATGTTTTTAAATAATTAAGCTTTTTCAAGTTCTCTTTACAATTTTATTATATTTCTAGGCTATCTATCTAAACCAGCATCAAAATATTCAATTTTTAAAGGCAGTATGTAAAACACCTGTAAGGTAGTAAAATTAGAGAATTAGCCCACAGAGGAGGGAAATATAGACTACATTTTGTTCCAGTATTTACAAAATGCTTCTTGACCTCCAAAATTAAATGAAAAGTGGCATTGAATATACTATCATTTTGACTGCGTTTATTTTATGACCGTTTGGAAATTAATGCTATCATGAAGAAGTGCAAATGTGCCAACATGTCAAATTTACGGAGTTTAGTCAAATTTAATGATGTTATGTTTGTGAACTATTACAGCTTTTAATAAATTGTCAATTTTAGACGATTTCTTTAAGAGGTTTGCATACTTTTTCCCCTGTCTCGTCAACGCTATCATCTTGTTTGTCGGTTTTATAATGGTATATTTTAAGCTACCGGAAACACTGGCATCTAAAAGGTTTTTATTTATCCTTCAATTCTTCCATTTTGTTTTTGTTGCTGGTTAGTTTCATTTTATAAGTGTCCTCTCTATTGTTCTTCACTATAGAAAAGCCATAAAGAAGATAGACTCGTCTGCAAAACCAACAGATTTGACAATCAATGATGATAACAATAGTGAACAAGTATCACGACAACGTGTGACTAGTTCCAGTAAAGGCCATTCGTCCATAAGTAGTTCTTCTCCTCAACTACATGACAAGGAAGTGACGTTTAGAAAATCTGCTCAAGATTCTTTATATTTCTTTGGTTCAATGACTGCTCTACCAAACTTGTATTTTGAAAGACAACCAGGCTCGCTAGGATGTGTTGATGACGACTTCAATCAAGATTTCTCGAACTTGCTGAATGCTGAAACACAAAAGCAAACAGTGGCTAGAAGATATTTCAATTCCTTCAAGAAGAGTAAACTTGCTCAACTTTGCAGGTAGACGATGGATATGCATCAATTTGTTATCTTAATCATCGCTTTTTGTGAGTTTTTCTCCTGTAATGACAGCGTCCCTGTATGATATCATTGACTTCAGTTTTGAAATTCCCTCCCTAAAAAAAACAATAATTTGTATACAAAAGGAAGCTCTTTGCCGGTTGATATGAATTTTTACGGATGGATAAAGGTAAATGAAAACTTTATGTTTACACGCTGTGACTGCATCAACTATAGCTGATTTCCACAAGGGCGTGTGAAAATTTCCTGTTTCGTTTTTTTTATGTTTTGTTCGAGAATATCATCAAAAATCCTTAGTGATTTTATCTTTTTAGAAACAGGAATGTCAGATATGTTATCAGCGTTTATACTGTTTTTTCTTTTGCTGTCGTTGCTGAACACGAGATGTACAGTTTATGGGCAGCCACTGGTAGAGAACATGGTCAGTTATGTGATCAAGGGTGTTTTCATATAGAAAGTTCTTCATGTTTGTTGTTTGATTTGTCGTAGGTGGTCTGGATTTCGATACAAATGACCTTGGTTTTACTTTAACATGTGTTGGTGTTGCTTGTGTGACGTCTAACTTCATTATCTTTCCAAAGTATGTATTTCATATTCTTCCTATCCTCATTTGAGCATACGTTTTTTGAATTTTCCGTTAAAAGAGATTTTTGAAATCTTTTTCTCTATTCAGATGGTCAAATTTTTTGGACAAATAAAGGTATGCAAAAAATGTCGAAAACTTTAAAATATCTTCTTGGATTGCATTATTTGTTTGGTTTAATTGAACCTTTGTTTTTTTAGACCCAATTCATCATGTTAAGTATTGCCATGTTTTTCACTGTCGTTCTTCCATCAACAAGTATTCTCTTATACAGGTAATAATCAAGCAAGAATATTTGTGTTTTATGCATCAATTAGTTTTGAATTTTAATTCCTGCCTTATACGTGGGTCAACGTTTATTCGAAACTAGAATGCTTATCGAAGGGGAGGGAGTGTGAAAATTCATACATACAGCTTAATGCCCAACCGATTTCTATTGAAAGCGTATCATATTTGAAAATTGAAAGTCTGGCAGAGTTTAATATATAGTCCTGTGTTTCGTAGCGCTACGAATTCCTGGTCAAAAAATTACGTTACTTTTAAATTTTTGTGTCGTTTGAGAGAAACGTAATGCGTGCGTAAAGATGAAAAAGTGTATTTTTGTTACTTTAGTGGCGTTGTGCTGAAAGTTGTCATCATTATTGTGATGATATTGATCAGGGTGGCACAGGGCTGTTGCTTTACTGGACAGTTTATCATGCTCAATAATTGTGTTACGTCAGATCTCAGAGCAACTGCGCATGGTTTAGCAATGACTGCTGTCTGTGCTGCCAGGTTTGTGTAATGGTCTATGTTGAATATGGTTTTTTACAGGCTGTAAGCAGGGGGGTACAGATTCTCCCAATCAGTTTTTGGATCAACTTTTTATTCAGCTGAGGGGTGTAACTGGTTCACAATTTTCTAATGTGTGTTTCAGGCTGCAAATTGACTAAGTATTGTTGATCTGTTAATGAAATAGTAAATTACTTTCATTTGACGTGAAGCTTTTTCACACATTTCAGGGCAATATCTCCCACAGTTTCAGGCAGTATGTTTTCGTGGTCAATAACATCTGGTCTCAACTTTCCGTTCAATGAGAAATTTGTATTCATTTTCCTTGGGTTCATTTTTTATCTAACGATAATCATCCTTTGTTGTGTTGACGAATCAGCAGTAAGTAAACACTGTGAGTGATAAAACCATGATTTCGAATATATTGCTGACTGGCACTTAATCCATCCGTGCATTGTGTGAATGGTAGAAGTGTTGAACCAAGAAATCTAATTATTTCATGTACTTAACTTTGTTAATGCTTCGTTTCTTACACACGAATAGTTGACTTCACTGCTGAAGAGTAAAATTTATTGTCATTCACTGGCAAAATCAATACCCCCCAACCCCTCATGGAAAATGCTTCTATTATAAATAAATGATATATTGTAGATTTTATCGGCTAGACATAAACAATAACACCCATCATATATCGAAACTTCTGCATCTAAACATGATTCTTATAATTTTCTCTCAGTTTTCCAAATTTCCATCTTAAACGTTTGTATAACTATATTAACCCCAATTGTGATATTCAGACTAGCATCCAATGATCTTTAATGTACACCAGTGTTGCCTGTATAACTTATGAGATCCACTGAGGATCATATTCCCACTGGATTTTACTGCAAAATTGGGTATTTATCTACTGCTAAATAACAACATCTATCATCTATGGAATTTGATATACTAAATAGAATAAGATGTAAAAATACTTTTAAAGAATGCTGTAAATGCAAAGGTAGTTTAAGGATCGACATAGCTTAGCAACAAAGGAGAAGCCCGGGGGATGCATCGCGTTTTTTAACTAAGAGTTTTATGAGGCTTTGAGGTGGTTCTTTTAAGAACTCTACCATTCACAATGGTGTGCATGTATAACGTTTCCTAGAAGTATACCTCATTTTTTTTACAGTTACTAGAATGGCATACAACTCGTATATAGGAGGGTATACTTATACCTGGCCAGTGATTCTTGTATTCCCAGCTATGTCGATGTATTCTAAATCTTGACATTGTTTGAACAGCCACCACAGCCTTATTTGAAAATAATTCATGTCGTTTTTCATCACACGAAATTATTCAACACAATATTTCATACTCATATTTCTTACGCTTTTTCATTTACTTTATAACATTTCCGCAGCGTAACTTTCTGCAAAAGATATGTTTTCGTGTTGAAAACCACCTCATTGTATCGATGGAAACACTTATTTTCACCTTAAGCTTTGAACATCTGCAACTCATCTCTTTTAAAGAACGCATCGTTACTTTGATGCCTGATAAATTTATGTCTTCCAATTGAGAACAGTTTTGGGCTGTGAAAAACGGTTAAAGGCCAAATAGTTAGTAACGTGAATTTAACAAAACGAATACTGATTGAATAACGTCGAGAGTCAACCTTCGATTTTAAAGGAAGAAATTGCAATATGATCTTACCAATAAGATATTGTGAATAATCGGTAAATGATCGTGGCGAGTGTGAAAGATTCAGGGATTATAAATTATGACATCCACCTTGAAACATTGATAGTTAGACCTAAAGCAAGCATAAAACAATATTATAAAGGTAAGTGTTCTTTTATCAATCTGAATAAGATTTTCACTTGTTTGCGCAATCAAAAATATACCTTCCATCTAAGATGAGCTCTTCATCAGATGCCTGGAGTACCTTCTCAACTTCAATATCATTACTGAATGTAACAAAACCATACCTAAGAATAAAATACAAATAAGTAAATGCCCTTGTCCATTCAGTTCATGCAGCACTTTCTCCTTGTACATTACTCGTTCATACAATGCTAAATTCTTACTCTGTATACCTTGGTGCCCCTACTTACCCCTTAGATCTCTTCTTAACACGATCTTTGATAATTTGAGCAGAAATCACGCGACCAAAACTGGAGAAAAATTCCTGTAACTGAGTGGTGGACAATTTGTAACTTATATTACCAACAAAAATCTTTGGTTGACATAAGTTTAGCCCTTTCTCTCCATACACATTCTTGATGGAGTTGATCAAACTACTTTCCTTTTCCATACGCTCATATTCAGTGTCCTCTTGTTTTATTCCATTTTCTGAACTTTTGGTATGGAAGCTCTTGTCAAATGACTCAAATCCATTTTACGATCTTACAGCAAACGAGTCCGTTGACTACACTCGAGACCTTTTCGATCATGCATGTTGCTATGAAGGTTTTTTAGTCCGTTAAATTTCCCGTCTTTATCCATAATTTTGCATTACCGCAGTTGTGCGCTGAAGTTTTTGGAAACGCTGGTATTTAAATTTTCCCGCCGTTGTTTATGGCCCCTTGTTGAAAAATTTCTATTTCTGTATTTCAGTTGGTCAATGTTATGATAATGAATTAGTAAAATAGAACAACCACAGGTTTTCTTTGAAAAGCCCGAACCTACGTGTTGTAAGGTACAGTGAAGTACCAAACAAAGAACTAATCTTGTTTTATAATTGCTGTCTTTGTTAAATTTCAATGGTTGAAGCTTAGATCAGGGGAGGGGCAGCTACTGAGATTGTCAAAACAATTAACAAATATTACCATTGCCTTTAATGAATTACATAAATACAACAAAGATCACCATAAATTGATAAAATAATTACATAAATGCACGCATATAAATAGGTGCAATGACACAATTTATTTCAATTTATCTATTCCAGTTAACCGTTTTGCCACGTTTGTTAAGCGACGGGCATCTTTATACGAAAAATGCAGTGTGGCTTACTGACATGGCTTTCTCTCAAATTTTCTACTTTTGGAAAAGTAAATGATCAAACTCCTTTACCAAAATGGATCATACTCGCCTTGTTCATCAGTATGGTAATATTTGTTAATGTGTAATGTGTCTTAGCTGTCTGAACCCGATTGCAATCGAAAACTGTAAAAAATTGCTTGGTTTTTCATCATTACTGTCAACATATTTTTATAGGCTAGACTATAGTTTAGTTTAGCGCCCCGAAGCCCGAAGCGCTTGTATCGAGAGCGCGGGCTCATTTTGCTTAGGATTATACGGTTAAGGTTTGGGTCAGCGTCCAAGGTGTCCGCCAAACTGCAGTGGTCCTTTTCTATACTATATTGATCCAGTTATAGCGCATTTTTACCCAGTTTTGTTTATTTTTTGTCAGATAGAGATTTTGAAAAAATATTTTATGTAAATGTTAATTATAGGCTTTCATTCAATCTTTACAAGTGGCACTATTCAATCAATTGATTTAGTGAAAAAGATTTACGAACAAAGTAAATGCTTTCTAGAAACTATTAAATGAGAAGCCCCTTTTTTTCATGTTTAGATTGGAAATGCAATTTCTTTGCAAGTATTATTTTCCTTTTTACCTGACATGATCAAGGTAACGACGTTTTGTTTTCAAGTCATATGTTTACGTGACTGTTGATTTCCAACATTTATGTCTCCTTATCATTTAGAGCTTTGGAATTTCAGATGAAGATGCTGGTAAGTAGTTTTATGAAGCTCATTTGCTTGTTCATGGAACTTTGCTAAATATGTTGTAGCCAGGTTAATGATCTTCACACTAATACAATGTTTAAGAAATGTAATGCACCAAATATGTTTATAGGATGTTATATTTGTTCCACAGAGAAAACTTTTCTTTTCACAATGTTTCTTCCCTAACATGTATAATTATAAGTGAATTCCTATCATTTCATTTTCAGGATATTATGTTGGTTTGGTGGCATCATCAGTTTTTGTTGGGAGGCTTATAACAAGGTGATAAAAGAAAAATTCCAGTTTGATTTAATTTGGTTTGCCACCTAACAAGCTAAACATTTCTTGTTTACTTTGTAGCTATTTGTGGGGCTGGTTATCTGACAAGATTGGTCGAAGAAAGGTTTTGCTGATGTGCACTATTATTATTGGAGTTTTTATGATTGCTTTTGGCTTCTCAAACTCATTTGAAATGGCATTTGTGATAAGATTTGTGATTGGTTTATTTGGAGGTACCATGTACTAATTGAAAATTGATGTTTGCAAATTATTAATATAAATAATGACAAATTGGAAAAAATTCAGGTGTTGTTGGCACAACAAAGGCAGTACTTGCAGAAATCAGTGATAATACAAATCAGGTAAAAACCCATAATACTTCTATGGCATTTCATCTATGAGTTTTTACTGCGTTCATCCTTAGAGTTTTGCACATTTTGCTTGGTAATATTTGAGAACCAGGTGACCAATGATAGGTTTGTTTACCTCAGCAATAGTGGTTTATTTCACTTGTGCTTTAGTGGGTAATGGCTTAGCTGACATAGTTTCTTAGTATTTCCAAGATCATTGCAAGATCCCATTATGATCTTGCTAAAATCATGCAAGATCATGGCAAGATTTTTTCGTGTGATCTTGCAAGATTTTATTATGATCATGTCAAAGATCTTATGTCAAAGATCATGCCAAGATGTATATACCAAATAGGTTTTTTCTGATAGCCCCTAAGATGCATCTTCAAATGAAAAATAAGATCACTTCTTTTTGCAGGCTTTAGCAATGTCATTAGTTGTGACAGCTTATAACAGTGGTTTAATAATTGGTCCTGCTATTGGAGGTTGGCATCTTTGATGTTTTTAAATAATTAAGCTTTTTCAAGTTCTCTTTACAATTTTATTATATTTTTAGGCTATCTTTCTAAACCAGCATCAAAATATTCAATTTTCAAAGGCAGTAAGTAAAACGCCTGTAAGGTAGTAAAATTAGTGAATTAGCTCACAGAGGAGGGAAATATAGACTACATTTTGTTCCAGTATTTACAAAATGCTTCTTGACCTCCAAAATTATATGAAAAGTGGCATTGAATATACTGTCATTTTGACTGCGTTTGTTTTATGTCCGGTTGCAAATTAATGCTATCATGAAGAAGTACAAAAGTTCCAACACGTTAGATTTACGAGTTTTTGTCAAATTTAATAATGTTATGTTTGTGAACTATTACAGCTTTTGATAAATTGTCAATTTTAGACGATTTCTTTGAGAGGTTTCCGTATTTTTCCCCTGTCTCGTCAACGCTATCATCTTGTTTGTCGGTTTTATAATGGTATATTTTAAGCTACCGGAAACACTGTCATCTAAAAGGTTTTTATTTATCCTTTAATTCTTCCATTTTGTTTTTGTTGTTTGTTAGTTTCATTTTATAAGTGTCCTCTCTATTGTTCTTTACTATAGTAAAGTCATAAAGAAGATAGACTCGTCTCCAAAACCAGCAGACTTGAATATCAGTGATGACAACGAGAGTGAACAAGTATCCCGAAAACGTGTGACTAGTTCCAGTAAAGGCCATTCGTCCACAAGTAGTTCTTCTCCTCAACCACATGACGAGGAAGTGACGTTTAGAAAATCTTCTCAAGATTCTGTATCGTTCGCTGGTTCAAAGATTGCTCTACCCAACTTGCCTTTTAGAAGACAACCAGGCTCGCTGGGAGTTGTTGATGACGAGCTCAATCAAGAATTGTCGAACTTGGCGAATGCTGAAACACCAAAAGAAACAGTGGCTAGAAGATATTTCAATTCCTTCAAGAAGAGTAAACTTGCTCAACTTTGCAGGTAGACGATGGATATGCATCAATTTGTTATCTTAATCATCGCTTTTTGTGAGTTTTTCTCCTGTAAAGACAGCGTCCCTTTATGATATCAGTGACTTCAGTTTTGAAATTCAACCCTAAAAAACATTAATTTGTATACAAAAGGAAGCTCTTTGCCGGTTGATATGAATTTTTACGGATGGATAAAGGTAAATGAAAACTTTATGTTTACACGCTGTGACTGCATCAACTATAGCTGATTTCCACAAGGGCGTGTGCAAATTTTCTGTTTCGTTTTTTTTATGTTTTGTTCGAGAAACATCATCAAATATCCTTTGTGATTTTATCTTTTTAGAAACAGGAATGTCAGATATCTTATCAGCGTTTATACTGTTTTTTGTTTCGCTGTCGTTGCTGAACACGAGATGTACAGTTTATGGGCAGCCACTGGTAGAGAACTTGGTCAGTTATGTGATCAAGGGTGTTTTTCTAAATAACGTTCTTCATGTCTTGTTGTTTGATTTGTCGTAGGTGGTCTTGATTTTGATACAAATGACCTTGGTTTTACTTTAACATGTGTTGGTGTTGCTTGTGCGATTGGTAACTTCATTATCTTTCCAAGAGTATGTATTTCATATCCTTCCTATCCTCAATTTAGCATGAGTTTTTTGAATTTTCCGTTAAAAGAGATTTTTGAAATCTTTTTCTCTATTCAGATGGTCAAATTTTTTGGATTAATAAAGGTATGCAAAAAATTGCGAAAACTTCTCTACTTGGATTGCATTATTTGTTTGGTTTAATTGAACCTTTGTTTTTTTAGACCCAATTCATCATGTTAGGTATTGCCATGTTTTTCACTGTCGTTTTTCCATCAACAAGTATTCTCTTAAACAGGTAATAATCAAGCAAGAATAATTGTGTTGTATGCGTCCAATTAATTTTGAATTTTAATTCCTGCCTTATACGTGGATCAACGTTGAGTCGAAACTATAATGCTTATTGAAGGGGAGGGAGTGTGAAAATTCATACATACAGCTTAATGCCCAACTTAATTCTTTTGAAAGCGTGACATATTTGAAAATTGAAAGTCTATCAGAGTTTAATATATTACTATTCACCCTTCTCTCTTAGTCCTGTGTTTCGTAGCGCTACGAATTCCTGGTCAAAAAATTACGTTACATTTAAATTTTTATGTCGTTTGAGAGAAACGTAATGCGTGCATAAAGATGAAAAAGTGTATTTTTATTACTTTAGTGGCGTTGTGCTGAAAGTTGTCATCATTATTGTGATGATATTGAACAGGGTGGCACAGGGCTGTTGTTTTACTGGACAGTTTATCATGCTCAATAATTGTGTTACGTCAGATCTCAGAGCAACTGCGCATGGTTTAGCAATGATGGTATCCTGTGCTGCCAGGTTTGTGTAATGGTCTATATTGAATTGGGTTTTTACAGGCTGTAAGCAGGGGGGTGCAGATTCTCCCAATCAGTTTTTGGACCAACTTTTTATTCAGCTGAGGGTGTAACTGGTTCACAATTTTCTAATGTGTGTTTCAGGCTGCAAATTGACTAAGTATTGTTGATCTGTTAATGAAATAGTAAATTACTTTCATTTGACGTGAAGCTTTTTCACACATTTCAGGGCAATATCTCCCACATTTTCAGGCAGTATGTTTTCGTGGTCAATAAAATCTGGTCTCAACTTTCCATTCAATGAGAAACTTGTGTTCATTTTCCTTGGGTTCAATTTTTATCTAACGATAATCATCCTTTGTTGTGTTGAAGAATCAGCAATAACTAAACGCTGAGTGATAAATTAATGATTTCGAATATATTGCTGACTGGCACTTAATTCATCCATGAATTGTGTGAATGGTAGGAGTGTTGAACCCAGACAATCTAATGATTTCATGTACTTAACTTTGTTAATGCTTCGTTTCTTACACACGAATTGGTGACTTTACTGCTGAAAAGTAAAATTTATTGTCATTCACTGGTAAAATCAATATCCCCCTCCCCCCTATGTAATTGTTTCTATGATAAATAAATGAAAAAATTACATTTCCTTGTACAATTTTACATGTATTATTCTACAAGCAACTCATCTGCCATGATAAATACATCACCATGACGTTTTTCTTAAAAGGAAGTAGGATAGTTAATCTGCCATAAATCAAATCTATGGTCATAAAATGAACATGTACCAATGACATCATTCAAACCATCAGCATTGTTGGCAATGGTGTTGCCCCAGTCTGCACCATATGCCAGAGATTTGTGGGCTTTGTATGAAGCAATCACTTGCATGTTAAACTTTTCCTGGTCATTAATTGACAAAACATGAAACCCTGAATGACAGCAAGCTGCCAAGAGATAATTTGCTTTCTGTGGATGCCACTTAAGTCTCCATATTCCACCTCCAACATTACAACTTGACAATGGATCCTTAATCATCCGATGATCCCAGATGTGGACTAACTCGTCATAGCCACCACTAGAAAAGAGATGTTCATGCAAGTGACTGCTTTGAATAGCACAAACACCCATTGTGTGATGTTTATTTACAAATGTTGGTCGAAGACAATCAGTTCTAATGTCCCAAGCCTTTAAATGACAATCATCACCACCAGAAAAAACAATGTTCTTATTCCAATAGTCATATGCAACTACCCATGCATCAAAGGTGTGTGCTTTCCAACTTTGCTTGATTACTATTTCACCACTGTGATCTTTAATGCTTAAAATTGTAACCCAACCTCCTGAATCACTAACAGCAAAGTATCTCTTGTCACTACCACCCCAGTCCAAGGATAGTGTCAGTTTGGGTGAGCATATGTCAAATGAGCTTAAACTTTGCAGTTTTGCATTGTCATTATTCTCAGTTAAACAATAGACCTCAACTTTGCCAGATGAACCGGCAACAGAGAGTAAAGTTGAGTTATTGACGGTATTCCATTTCATGTCTGTAATGGCGAAAGTCGCGATATTTTGAACTTCAACCACATTCTTCAATAAAAAATTATATTTCAGCAAAATAATGCTCCCAATTCTTGAATTATTCTGGCTTGATTTTTCACTACTGTCTGACTGGCTATCTTCAATTAGCTGATATGTCCCACAGGCAAGATACTTTGTATTTTCTCGACACCATTCCACACTATCGGCGTGGAACTTTGTATCAAGTTGAGCTATTGTAAATACTGAAGACGTCATCAAGAATTCAATGTCTCCTAAGATCTTATAAGCAAAAGGTGTTCAAGGTAAACACTAGACAGAGAAGTTGAGAAAACGTGATGAATACCGAGAACGTACTAATAAATACTGAGTGCCAGCGAGGCAGCACACAATTCCTGACGCTTGCCAGAATTGAAAAAAGGAGCATTTCCTGAAGTATTTCATTGAATTGATTTGTTCGTTTAAAGCTCTTTTTTACTGTTTGTGATGAAAGCCATGAACACTTTAGTGTGCAATTTGGAGGAAAGTATTGTGCATTCATGACTTTACGTTATTTCGTTTTTTCGCAAAGCTATGTACTAGAAACCCATGTTGAAGTATTGCTCTATTGAATTCTTTTCTGCAAAGCATTTATATTTAATAATGTCCCAAGGGCAAAACAGTAAAGCAATCTCTACATGCGAAAAATATTTTGCTAGTAAAAAAAGGATATGCAATAGACGCACGTAGACAATACTGTTATAGAAAATACGACAATACCTTATGCACCTATTGGCTTATCGCTATACGTTAATTGCAAAAGGTATTCTTTTTTGATCCTCCATGTAACTTATGAAATCATCCATCGTTTGGACTTTGAATGATTAAGCAGTTATTTTACTTATTTATCTTTAAGCTGGCGTAAACGCAATTCACAAGAATTTCATGTTGGGGATTTGCTATATGCGGTAGCTGCAATTTGTATGTTCTATATAAACGGTTTTCCCTTGGATTTCTAAAGATCTTTTTTTTCACACACTCTGTACTTGGAATGTATTTTAAATTCCTAGGATTTAAAATTCATCTCTCTGCAATACAAATTGTTGTTTTCAGTCATTTCCTGTGGGAAATCTCGCCACAAAGACTTTTTTACTGTGAAATTTGAATGGGATTCAATCGTATATAAATGTGTGCATGTGGTTTGTGTGAATTATATCAAGGCTGACATCCTATGGCAAATTCTTCAATTGACGAAAGTATGGAAGATTTCTCTTTCAGGACTCAACACTGCTTCCTTTGAACGTAGTTCAACTGTGGTCAACTAACTGAACAATTCTCTATGATTTTACGTCAAAACTATCCTTTACTTTGGCTCAACAAGCGCATTTCGAGAAACAGCCTCAATCACACCGACAGAAACCGTTGAATTCATTGCGTTTGTTGATACGCCCTACAAAATGATGTAAACTCAATTGCTTTTCCTCAATACGATCTAGATTGCATCACAGTGTTTTTGTACGCTACTAACCTGCTTTTTCTTATTTAATAGAGTGGAATCTAAACCTTTAATCGAGATGAACCGACTAACGTTACTTGGTGACCTGTATGATGTTTGTCTGTAGTTTTGATTCTTGCGAATGTTGACGCTCGTGTATTTGACAGTGAAGGGCCCCACTGTTAGACGCATGGTCAGTTTACATTCAATATGAATCTTTTCTACAGTCGGCATTTTACGGAATATCGGAGACTTCTTTTGGATTGTATGTATGTATGGTATATGGCAAGATGTTTATGGATATTTTGATCATCATGTTGTTTTGTGCAATGACTTTCTTCGTGATGTACTTTGCCTTTATTCGGTAAAGAAAAAACTTTTCAGATTTAGAGCTGGTTACACGGAGAAAGACAGCGGTATTGTACAGTATATGGGAACGTCAATACGTAACTATGGTAACTGTTAGCCATTGATATTGGAATATGGGGATGATTTATCAATTGTAATGTACTCTTGGAAATGGCGGTTGATCTCAAAGGATTTTGGTGCCCGATGAGGATGAACGGAAAAACTGCAATCTGGATGACGGAAGATAATGGATGACGAAAGAAGAAAACGACAAATTCAGGTTCATTCTTAAAACCAAATTTTTTTCACAATCTCATGCACAGCAGACATCATGCGACTGTTCCGATGGTCTTTAGTGTTTTATTTATTTTGAGTCTGCTGTGCTTGTTTTTCCTATTAGCTAATCAGGTCGTGGGGGTGTGTTTGTGTTTTAAGTTTTTAAAGGAAGTTTCGACAGCGAATTTCAGATTGACTTGTTTTTCTAACGTTATTCGTTTGTCGTCATTCAAGCTATTCTGATCAATCCAAAGTTCTGAAAACAAAAAAAGTTTGCTGATATAAGGGGTGCATGCTATCTTTTCATCTGAGGTCTAGGGTCACTCCATATTTTCCAATTATCTAAATCAGTTAGAAAATACAATTGTATTGGATGAGTATCTTTCTTAGGGGAACGTTCTAGATAACGTTCACAGCATATTATTAGAATTAATGGTCGAGAAAGTAAGACAACTAGAATAACTAAGCTAACATGACATTACATCGCTTGATCTAATACAATGACTGCAGCCCGACAGGACTGAATTTTATGGTGCACAATATGGAACAGTACGAATCATTATTTTGGAACTATCTACGAGAGTGATAAGAGTGACAAAGATTAAAGAAAAAGTACCGAGCTTTATGATAACGACAATGAAATAAAAGAACGACAAGAAAAAGCTAACCTTTCCTTTTTTATTCTGGATTCTTGATTATGAACTAAAGTACTTTCACACGGCTTTACTTTGAATCAGCTTCTTGATGCTGCAACAGTGTTGGAATGGCAAGAGAACAGTCTCAAAATGGTTCGAACACGTCGTACTTTGAACATTGCGAAAATCCATATGGAGCAAGCAGCACCTTTAGTGTTCATTTACCTTCCAAACAAGGGCAGACATTTGTAGGTTTTATTTCTCCAATATTAATTGGGCACAGAATGTCTTTGGATTGATTGAAATGGCTTGAAATTTTAATAAGGACTAAAATAATAAACTGAGCAACTTTTAATTTCGACATTTGAAAAAAATGATTAATCAATTTAATTAAGACCAAAAGAGTAAACCGAGCAACTGTAAATTTCGATATTTGAAAAAAATGAAAAAGAAAATTTGACTGCTTGTGCTGTTGCATGTTCAAGACCATTGGAACTAAAAATTACCAGAAATTTAAAAACAACAAAATCTCTAATTTGAAATTCTGTTTTGCCGGAAGGTTTTTCCCAGGTTCTCTGGTTTTCCTTCCATTTCGTTTTGCGGTTAAAAAACTGTGTCCACGTGTTGGGGTCAAAAATGACGTGAGGATTGTTTAATTTTTGCTGCTTGTAAAAAACGGTTTGTAATTTATTTTGAAAGAAAATTTCATAGTCAACATCATATTTGACCTCTGGGTTAAAGTCCCAGAGCACAATGTCAATGCATAAGAGCATTAGAGTTCAATAAAAATGCTTGCACTGTGTAACCAAATCAGCAAAACAAACTCTCTGCAGAAGAAATTTATTAATAAATAACGGTGATGGATGGAGATGACTGTCCAATCTGAGCTGAATTCGTATAATCGAAAAGCAGTAATAAAGTACATTGTAAAACGCATTTAGATAACAACGTTATTTGAAGTATCTTTGGATATAATAGTTTATTTCATGAGAACTCTTGCTTTGTTTACTTTTACTTTATTTTTAGGAAAATTGGTGCCACTCCTGTACACTATCTAACCAAGTGTAGGAAGGGTGCACATCTACCCTAATCCCACCCCCGTCTTTTCTACCTCCCACTTCTTTTCTTACCTCTCAAAAGCCATCGTTTATTCTGTACACCTTTTTTTGAAAGACTTCACGTAATACAAATAAAGATTACCACATCGAATCTGCCTTGTTTTTATCTTCGAACCTTCCCGCCAAATAATTTAAAAACAAGAAACATGGAGGATGAAAAATGCAGTGTTTGATTGTTAGAGGTTTTCAACGAATGTGTTATAGAGTTACCTGAATTTATAAGCTTTACTCCAATATGTTCATAGAAAACCTTAAGGAAGAAATGTACGATGTCATTAGTAAAGAGGTAATCAAAGAAGGGCTCGCTTGTATTATAAACAAGCTTTTGCTCAAATAATAATTTTCATCGAAAATAACATAATGAAGTGAACTGTTGTATGTGTTTGGATTATTGTGTAGAGATTGCTTGTGCTGGTTTCAATGAACGTTGACGCTTTGTGTGCATGTAAAATACTACAGGTTTGCATTAAAAAGATGAAATAAAATAAATGGTTGCAACTTGGTTTCGTGATATTATTTTCGTGGTATTTTAGTGGCTGTTGAAATGCGACAACGTGGAATATACTTTACTATCTATAAGAGGAAAAGATGACCTTGTAAAAGCGTACCAACATCATTCAGAACAGGTACATGGTATATGCAAAGAAAGGCATTCATTTAGCTTAAACAAATCTTTATGATGATTAATTCAATTTCACATAGGTGAAGCATGTAGTTCTTATCAACTGTGGTGGAAGCCTGAACATTATAGAACTGTTACAACCTCTGGATGATGTCATGTTTTACATTGCAGATAGGTAGTCAATGGTCACCACAACCTTGTCCTGCCAACAATCATTTTGATGATTTTGTATTTACCGTAGTCATAGACCCTTGGATCTTGATAACATTTACAATCAAGATCAGATCAAAATTCTGATGAAAGAAGGAGAGATTTTAGAAGTACCAGAATTTGATGACATATATGCAGCATCAGATGTAAGTTTCCAAATAGTAACATGCATACATTATTGCCAAATTGCATAGATGATGCATCATAGATGACATGTTGAAATAATGATCAATATGTATTTAATCAAGGATGAAGAAGATGAAGACTCTGATGAAGACAATGGCACACCATTAAAGCGCAGGCGAACAGATGATTCGGTATATCTTTGGACAAAATTTTTGGTTCATTGGTATCTTTTGGAGAATGTTCCCCTCCACATTTTGTACATTTTCCATACACATCAAACTGTCCCATTGTAGTCTTCTGTTGAGCTTGTTTTTGGATGGTCTTTCCCACATTTGATTCCAAATTGTCATATCTTTATTCTTATAAGTAGATATTGTGAAAAAACTGTCACTGTTTGGTTGTTTCATTTTTTCTAGGAATCACCACATAAATCTTCAAAGGAGAAACGCCTTTGGCATAAGAAGAGACAAACCATTCTGTATCAGTATTATGAGAATGCATTTCATGGAACATCGGTTGGTCATATTCTTGTAATGCTAATTTTGGTGTGATTCAGCATTTTAATCATGATATCATAACTCTTTTTGTAGTCAGCCATCGTTTTATATGAGCTCTGCTGGAAATTGAATAAAGATTCAAATTTGGCTCTTTGGTAAGCGAAGGAAAAATTGTTACTCTAATTTATGTTTCCAATGAATAAATTTAATTTTTCTCATTTAGGTGGGCTTCCGTTGGTTTGACGGATCAATTAATCAATGAAAGAGTATCAGAGTAAAGACAGGACTTCACATTAGTAATTCGAGTGATTTATATAGTGATTAGGATTAATGTTGATCCGTTTAGTGAGAAGTACAACGCAGACTCCAGGTCACTTCATCAGCATGTATTGAGACTTAACCAAGATAATATTGAAGAAAATGGCGTGTCATCAAACTTAATGAAACTAACATTTGAACATGAGTATCCTTCTCCATTTGTGTTAGATGTATTTTTATACTTTACATCATGACATCATCACACACATCAACTTTACATCATGCCATCGTCACACATCAACTTTACATCATGACATCGTCACACACATCAACTTTGTATCATGACATCATCACACATCAACTTTGCATCATGCCATCATCACACATCAACTTTACATCATGACATCATCACACACATCAACTTTGTATCATGACATCATCACACATCAACTTTACATCATGCCATCGTCAGACATCAACTTTACATCATGCCATCGTCAGACATCAACTTTACATCATGACATCATCACACACATCAACTTTGTATCATGACATCATCACACATCAACTTTACATCATGCCATCGTCACACATCAACTTTACATCATGAGATCATCACACGTCAACTTTGCTTCTTGCCATTGTCACTCATCAACTTTACATCATGCGGTCGTCACACTTCATCTTTACATCGTGCGATCGTTACACATCAACTTTACATCGTGCCATATGTTTAAACTTGTCCTTGACATCTGGTGGAGAATGAAATAATTGACGAGGTTCTATATCATAAGTCAGTCTCATCTATGATACAATCTCTCCGCTGAGTTTTTTCTTTGACGTTGATTTATCAGTCTTCGCCTCACTTTGTATCGACATTGGTCTTTATTTCAAAGTTTCTCCCATTCAATGTACACAGCTTGTAGGTTGGTAAGCTGCCAGATTTGTTGGCATTTCAACATGTCGAAATGTTTTAAAGTCAAAATAGCCTTTCATACATACATTCTTTTCACATCTATACATAATCAGGTTCCGAATTTGGACTTTGAAAGGAAAGCGAAGGCTGCGTGAGTTCTTAGCGGAGATTGGGTACAACGAAATGCATTATTTTTGGTCGATGATGAAGTGAAATGAGTTTAGAATGGTGTTTTATCGATATCGTTGACAGTTTACCACTTCATCAATGCCAACAGAAGTTTTCTGCGATGGATGTTACTCTCAAAAACACGCTAAAGGACTCCGTTTTAGAAGTTGCTGAAAAATACGGGTATGGGTGTAATTTATTCCTTTTGTTTCCAAGGAAACTTTCTGCTGATGAACATTGTTCAATTGTAAGGTTGGATGAGATTTTGTTTGGGTCTTTCAACGTTCAACTTGGTTTTAAAATCAAGGTATGGAGATAATTGCAACTATTTATAATATCTTTGGCGTAGTAGAGAGTCGTGTTTTTAACTTGAGATGTTGTTGCCTTCATTCTAGCTTACTGCCAGTGATGTTGTGTTTGCTGTGGCTGCTTTGATTGAAAATTCCACAGTAAGGCACTATTTCCTCTTGAAGTGGTCTACAGAAAATTCGTTGTCTATCTTACGATAGGCGATAGAGTGAATGTATGCTATACTGTACTTGCCCATAGAAAAGTGTTTTGTACTTAGCTATAGAGCATGTGCTTAGATGTACTTAGCCTGTAGTTAGACACAAGTGTATTCTATGCTGTTATCAACCATAGAGAATTGCTTGCTATTCTGCATTTAATCAGAATCTAGTTTACGTAGGCTATTTTGTAATCAGCTGTAAAGAAGAGTATCTTCCCTGTAATCAAGCATAGACAATATTCCTAAGTTTTATCAGCTAAAGCAAATTTTGGCATACTTCAAGCACCTGGAAATCAACTGTGTTTTAGATCAGTTTCGCGTCGGTGAGGAAAATATACAATCAAAGTCATCTTTTTCTTCACTTCATAGGAAGAAGGAAAAGCATATTCCGAAAACTTTTTTGAAGGTCTTGATGCTCTTTCTCGGTGCAAGTAAGAAAAATAGAATTTTTAGAAGTTAGTCAGTCGTAAAACCTTTTATGCTATACGAAACGTTTTTTCTTTTTTGAGCTTGGGTGGCGAATCATTGGAGAAAGGGTTAGATCTTTCTAAGAAACATGTAAGTAACTAAGAATTTATGATAAGGCATTTCTAGAAAAGAATTTTCAACTCGAAAATTATCAATCTACTTTCGTCAATACACCATTGGACTCACTGATCTATTTAGCTTGTTGCCATCTGGAATCAGGTTCATTCCTTTTTGAGCACACATCAAATTGTCTGCGCTGGTCCCTTTTTGTATGCCCATGTTAGAGAGGTAAATGGAAGAAAAATTTCAATTTCCATGCAGATACCATAACTTATTGACGTCAGAAAGAAAGCAGGCTGCCATTTTGTTCGTTCGAACATTTTTTCATCATGATGTTTCCATCAATAGGGAGCACCCGATTTTCAAGTATTTTCGACGCCAATGAACGCTACAAGACTGGCAAAGTTTGTTCAAAACTGTTACGTCATTATGGTAAAATTACGTCATTACTTTTAGTTCGTGTCTGTCTTATTTGTAACAGAGCGCAAGATGCGTTAAATCAATTGATTTTTTAGTCGAAAAACAAGCGAGCTGCAATGCTGCCACTTATTCTTACAGCACCATTGAATTTGGACACAGGTATCGTATTGTGTATTATTCGTGGTCCGAAGATATCGTCTTTGTTATCTTTACTTTGTTACTGCTAATGGACAATTGTGTCATTTTGTGACAATGACAAAAAACAAAAGCATTTAAATCTTGAGGTTTGTTTATAAACTAGTCTAAGCTTAGTCTTGACTCTAAAAGGAAACATCTCATTATACATTGGGGAAAACACGAGAATGTTCATATGTTTTGTTTCAACCCACTTTTCACTGACGCACAGTCACTCTGCAGAAAAAAGAAGTATCTGAAGACATCAAATATTGATAATTCTATAAATGTATAGCTAATGAAATATATTTCCAACAGTTATAAGAAAATGAACATGCAGAATGTGACAAAAACAAAGTACGACAGTACTTATAAGTATATTACCTAATAAAGTAATTTTGCCTTTTTTATTGGCTCTGAAAAGCCTCTTTGGGAAGAGTTCTATAAATTTTATTTTCTTGTATTCTCTAGGAACATGTTTGGTAGTTGGAATCCCCCCTGTAGCAGATGATACAAGAAAAAAGTAGGTCATCACGTTTTTATTTTCGCTTGGCACCGTTGCAATTAAAATATTATGTTCCAATGGTACGCACTATAAAATCTTATTGATTTCTTCAGTTTCCTAGGACGTGCATTTGAACTAGCTGCTGAAAAGACGAAATGTAGATCTTTCCACGATAATTGTGAACCTGCAGGTACCCTTCAAAGCGTTGTAAAATTTTTAAAAAGAAATTTGTAGAAGTGTTCTCTCGTAAGTCTCATTGGGGAAGGTGTTGTTGGGGAACGCTTTCAGTGTTCGTTTATCTTTGCGATTTTAGTCGTGCTGTGTGAGTCGTTTATTTATAGCTTTTAAACATTCAAGTAAATAGTTGATGTACGAAAAAACATAGCGAAACGGGATATAAACGACCCCGCCGTTATTGTGTTCGTTTACTTTGAAAGAGTGAAACCCACTCGGGATAGTAAATCCCATTGGATCCCATGGTACACACGAATGAACTTCAGTAAGACTTAAAAGACTAGTTGCATATCGAGGATGCTTAGAAATGGGACTGTCAGTCAAAGTTTTTGTTCTGAACAGCCTCAAATATATGTAGAAGAAATTATGTTTTATTTAATCTTTCATTAAGTCTGAAATGTACATAACTGTTCATATTCCTTTTAAATACGAATTCAATGCGAGCTTTTTCAAAACAGATGATCTACGCTGATCCATAAAAAATGCACGATGATTGTTTATTATAATAATTTTTCTTTGTAGTGGTCGAAATAAAATCCAAGGATCGAGGTAAATTCTTTGACGCTCTTTCATCTCTTCTGGCATAAAGTTATTTCTTCGAATTTAGGACTGTTTGATTGTATGTATTTCTTATTTCAAATATTTTAATAGTTAAATTATTATCATGTGCTTTACTCAACAACGATTTCAACATTTATCATGTAAAATATACACATTTTCGATCCGATATGATTTGTCTACTTTATCTTATCGATTTTATCTACACGCGCGGTTCCCACGCATGTCCACGTTTTCCTTTTTCTCGTTTTCAGACTTCTTAAAGTTTGTTTACTCGCGCGTTATATATAATTCAATAAATTCATTTAGTTTCGTCAACAAACCTTCATTAGTGTTAAGTAAAAAATATGAATGATTTTTACTTTTTACAACGGGAAAGAGGAAGGAAGTGTCGTGTTTCATAAAAATCCTTACAAGGGAACCAAGTTGAGGTATCGCTTCTATTGTTTTAGTTATGATAATTTCTCAGCAGGGATATCAGTTAAGAGTCTTTTAATCAAATTGGTCGTCTTTATGTCTTAAGTGTCTCACGTTTTGCATGCTTACATGACAATTAAAATCTCAAAACATGGATACTGTTTTGGACAAAGTTGATAGTTATACAAAGGTATGAAATGATCATGAATGTATCAGATAGACTAAGTAGTGAAAATATTATGTATGAATGCTTTTTAATCGTGCGTACTGTCGTTACTTAGTTATTGAAAAGGTTGCTGGCGTAAAAATATTTATAGTATCAAAAAACTACGATAAGCAATGTTAAAAAGCTCTTAAACATACCAGCATAATATCAGTCACACCATTTGTACTTTAACGCGATTAGACTTTTAAATACATTGGATAAGAAATATCGTGCTACTATAATAATACGTACCGTTATAAACATTGTGTAACTACCGATAATAATGTTGTACCGGTAATATGTAAACATTGTAGAAGATTGACAGAAAAGGTTTTTGTGCAGGTTTGTGGTTTTTTCTCATTTGAAAATAAATATCAATGATATTTTATTTGCATACTTTGTTGCGGTTGATGCCGCATTTTTATCAGATATTTGCATAAAAACTTATTTTTGTTTATTTTTGATTTAAATGGACGGGCTATTTAATTGGATAGCAAAACGTGGGCAGGAGCTCCTGCAGACTGCTATAACTTTTACATTCTCTTCATTATAGAGTGATTATTTGGAAAGCAGCGATGAAGAAACGCAAATCAATGAAAATAATTACATATTAAAGCAAGAGGTAGTATATTATGCTCTCTTATGTTGCATATCACCATTAAAACAATAAAAATGATCTAGTCAACTTGCAACATTATTCCTGCTATTTTTGGTTTGGGACATCATTATTCATTTATTTCGAAATGCATTTTACAGTGACTGAGCACAGGAATTTGCATAGCAGGACTGAATAAGAGGGCTTTCTTCTCCACTGATAATATTTCAACACAAATTTGAACTGTTTCTTTTTTCTTTTCTCTACAGGAATTTGATTGTAATAATGGTATTGTATGCTATATGTTCTTGTGTTTTGTTCTCATATTTAGGAGCAAAATTTTTCATTTGTTTGAGTTGTCTTTTTTCATTTTTAAGGAGTTGAAGATGAAGATGTGAATAATGTAATTAAGGAAACCTTAGCATTGAATGAAGGAGATAAAAATCATGAAAGCACTGCAGATATTTTTGATTGTCTGATGAATGAAATGGAGAAAAGTAAACTGCTTGTTGACAAAGATGACCGGAATGTTCAAGAAAAAATTGACACAATGTTGAATGAAAGAAATCAAGGAAACCTTGAATCAAGTGAAATGAAAATAACAGCACAAGTATTGCAGTCAATTCAAATTACATACTATGTATCTATTGTCATCCATGCTGTTGAATGAAAATCTTGCTCTCTTGCACTTCAATGTAGGCATTAAGCAAAGGGGCTAGATTGTCTGCTGGAGATGTATTACTTCATATAACAAACAGTGAAACAATTGACAACGAAGAGAATGGTGAAATGGTGATTATTTGACCTAGTGTAAATTATGAAACTTTTTATAAAGTTTTCTGACAATCCATTTTTGTTTAGGATGAATATTTCAGTAAAATACGGTCAACAAATACTGATGACGATTTTTTGGAACAGGTATGTAACATAATGTTATGTATGGTTCACAAAGAGCATGTTAGTACCCTAATGTACACAGTTTCAATGGTGCAGTATCAGTATCCACACAATCAATTTCTAGAATTGAACCGATGTCAGAGTTTCAAAAGTTTAGTTTGCTTACTCCCCCGTTGGTGTAACTTTATTTTATTTGTGAACCATTAATTAAGGAGTTTTGAAAAAAAATTTTAACATTACAAATAAAGTTGCACGAGTGCCTTGATCAGCTTAACAAGCAGGTACCTTTAAAAACAAAGTCTCTCGCGTGCTGCACCAGCAATGCAGGAAATAAGATGTCTCGTTCATTAAGAAAGACATCTGAGGCCATAACTAGCGATCTTCGTTCCCCAAAACCACGTTTGAGTAATCAGAAACTTTGCGGAAAAGTAACGATGGCGATGCACACTTAAGTAACGTTTTATAGTTTATTAATTAGAAGAAATATAGATACAGTTACTTCAGCACAACACGTGACCAGCTGGCCATCAAAGCAGCCGTAAAATCTGAGGATACCCATCAACTCAATATTTCTCCAGTTTGACGTACCACAACTTTCCAAAACTTGCTATTGAATTTCTAAATTCTCTGACTTCTTATTTGCTCAAAGATCTCTCCACCGCTCAACTTGGTTGTTATGAAATCCTAACCACAACTTTCCAAAACTTGCTATATAATTTCTAAATTCTCTAACTTCTTATTTGCTCAAAAATCTCTCCGCCGCTCAAATTGGTTGTTATGAAATCCTAACCACAACTTTCCAAAACTTGCTATTGAATTTCTAAATTCTCTGACTTATTTGTTCGAAGATCTCTCCACCGCTCAACTTGGTTGTTATGAAAAGTAAAGCAAGCATGGCTCGTCAAGGTTTGATGAAAGGAAGGCGCAAACCCACTGTGGCAAAGAGAAGAAGCTGGAACACTTCGATGGATGATGCGTCAATTTTTACAATGGATGAACCAAATGATGATTGCGTTGATAATGAGAAGAACAATATTGATGGGTAATCTATTTTAGTTTTTCATGATAAAGTCAATAAAAAATCAAGGCCTAAAAGTATTGATGTTATAAACTCTCTCATTCATGATATTTTGAAAGCTTAGATTTCTCATTTCGTAATAAAGATAGATATACTTGCCTTTCCTCGTCTTTTCATTAACTGTTCTTCACTGTCTATATGTAAAAGAGGCTCTCTTATTTTACTTTCCAGAGAAACCAGCTCTGCTTCAAGAACAGAAGGGAATGAGGATAATGATCTCAAAATATCATCAAGTTCCAGTTCAGAAGATGAAAAAGAAACGTGTAAACAATGCTTAAGTTCCGGTGTGGCTTTGCCTGGTCTTGGTGATGCTCTAAAGATACAGATGACTCGATCAGAACTCAAGGTAAATTATGATGAAGTTCTGTCTGAAATGGCATTTACTTGAATAGAGGAACGAATGAAATATTTCAGTAGTTTAACTAGTTTTATGAAATGTTTCTTTCTGAATTTTCATCTCATAAGTCTAATCTCACCAGTTTTTACAGCAGCTGCGAACTTCCTAACTCAGCTACCAAAGCTATTTTCTGATAGTTTTATTACAAAAAATTTTCAAAACCTAACATGTTAGGTTTCGTGTGACGAGTAAAAATGCATTTTTTGACAAGAACTGTTCTACAAAAATCCGTGAAAAATTTATTGGATCCGATGTTACTTTTATGTTTAAATTTCAATATTGAATCATATGGACCTTTGATTAAAGTACGATTAAAGACGTGTTTATTCATTGAACCTTTAGCGTCCAACCGCGTTGCGTTTAGCACAGAACGCTCGTGACGTAAAAGAAAACGAAGTTATAAAGGAAGATCGTGTAGAAACACCAAACAGCAAGCCGGAATGGATGAAAGAATTGGAAGAGATGAAGAAAAAAGGAAAGATATCTACACCGAAACAACTGGAGATGTTACCCGAACCGAATTCGGAGCTTCAGGCACTGTTTCAACAAAAGAAGCAAGTCACACTCGGTGAAAGTACATACAGTGAAGACTTTGGTAAAGATGATAGGACAGAAGACCAGACTATTGATCCAGAGCTGCTAGAGATGTCTGAAAAAAGAAAAAATGCAGATTGTTTGTATCGCCCACCAGAGCACGATCAACCTAGAAACTTTCACGGAGAGCACGATCAACCTAGAAACTTTCACGGAGAGCACGATCAACCTAGAAACTTTCACGGAGAGCACGATCAACCTAGAAACTTCCACGGAGAGGACGATCAACCTAGAAACTTTCACGGAGATGGTATGAATTCGGAACTAAATCAGAAATTTGAAAAACGGAAAACAACTAAACAGTTGGATGCAGGTGGTAAAGAAGGCTTTAAAGAATATCAGAGACCGTTAAGTTACCACGGAGGCAATGCTAACACGGAATTGAGTAAAATATTTGAAAAACGCAAAACGAACGCGTTAGAATCTAGCGTTGATGCTGGTATACACGACAGCGAGAGACCCCGCAGTTTCCATGATGGGAATATCGATTCTGGACTAAATAGCAACTTTCTTATACGAAAGAAATTAACGCCTATTAAAACTCGTCATATTGACGTCAATGACGGCTCGAGGCCCAAGAGCCTCCATGGTGATGAGATGGACTCAGAACTTAGTAAGATTTTTGAAAAAAGAAGGAATTTAGCTTCTTTACCTGGTGAAATTGTGGCAACTCATGGCGACGTTGTAAAATCTACCGCAAGCCCTGTCGTACCCAGTCATATTGATCCAGAACTTTGTAAAGCATTTGAAAAACGAAGAATTTTGAAGCCGTTGGATGGTGTTCACAATGTAGAGTCTCCGCTACCTTCATTTCAACGACTTCAGGAAGACAAAGGCAAAGAACCACAGTCGTCTGTTGCTGGTAATGATATAAATGAGACATCTTACATTGCTTGTGATAGATTTACTATTGGTAATAACGGGATTGAAGAAATGAAGGCAACTTTATCTGAAAGTGATGTGATGTCCGTAAACGAACAAGGAGGACCTGAGAGTTATAACAACGAAGAAGTTGATCATTTAAACGATACCGAAAATTCCTCCGTCCTTGATGGATCTATTACTTCTGTTGCTCCAATTGTTATTGGTAGTCAAGTGTATTATACACGTGTTGGTCGCATACCCAGTGCTCAGTCTACTCCCTATTCAAATAAATCTGATTCTTCCTCCTGTACTTCTTCTCGTTTTGCAGAGTCGCAATATGTGGAGAATCATGAATCTGGTCGACAATCGCGTTTACATCGTCAACTTCACGACCATACGAAGGAAAGTGGCACTTACCACCGAACAGGTAATTTCGTAGCTTCTTCTATTGAAGTGGTTGACGCTATGAAGCTTTCTTCACAATCTTCTAAATCTTTAAAATCCGACACAACGAATTTTATCGACCATCGTTCTCATGAAATAAAACAAGGTAGTGATGTGGAAGAAACGATTGCAAAACATGGGATTGAAGTCGTTCCTCATGCTATTATACCCGATGGGAAAACCCGTGATTATCATAAAACGAGGGACACACGCACTGTATCCCATTCAAGCCACATGACTAGCGTCAATACCCTTCCACCTTTGATCCATCCATCTCAAGATGTTGATCCGTTGTTGAAGGCAAATTCCAATAAATTTGAGTCAGATAAAAGGATTACTTTAGAACAACTACATAATGTTGATTCCTCCTCTCAATATGAAAAAGCCACTCTCCTTTCGGTTGCGATTTCTGATCCCCTACAACAAGTTAACATGCAAGAAGCTAAAGGTACCCTTCCGCAAGCAGTGACAGTGAGAGAAGTGATGAGTCCAGTACGGGAGGTTGAGTTTGAGTGGAAGAATGTGAAGAGAAACGCAAACAACCCTTCAATGAAAGAATTTGTTCAAACGTATGTCGATGGATCTTCGAATGATTTAGGAGATCGCGATAATGATGTCAGGGAAAGAGTTCGAGTTGTGGAACCTGAGAGTTATGTAAAATCACGTAGCAATGGCGATGCCACCAATGTTCATTACAATTCCAAATCTATCGTTAGTAGTGATGATCTTGTAACGCTAAGAAGAAAGACCAAGTCTGGAAGAGTGGTATCTAGGCGGCCATTTTCTGAAAACTATACCGATGTACGTTTTCAATCCAGCTATAATGAAGAAGGAATGATGAAGTTTCAAAGGTCTGAAAGTTTAAGGAATAGAAGGAGCGAGGGTTTTATGACGAGTAGTGATGACAGAATTGTACGTCAGAATGATGGTGGAGATGTTGGGGAAAGTCGTGATTATCGTGAAAAACACAACTCTAACATTACGTCAGACATCAATGGCCAGCATTCCTCCGAAAGATTAGAAAGAAAGAAAGTTGATAAAGTTCTCGATGTTACCGAATCAAGGAGTCGTTATGATTGGAACGAAGCTAACGAAGAAATGGTGGAGTTATCTGACTATCGTACATGTCGCAGGGATGGTGTATTGAGAGAAATGTCGCGAGATGTGTGTTTGATCTCCCCTGACATGAACGATATTCACAATCAACGTTGGCATTATAAAGACCAAAAAATAATTTATAAGAATGAACAAAAAACCTCGAAAGCAATTCCAAACGGTTTACAAAACGATAAGAATTATGAAAATAGAGCATTAGGAATGAACGCTTTATCGAGCAGGGCTCAAGAAACTTCTAATCTTTTTGCCCATGCTTCTTCTACGGTTACAGCATGGACTGGCGCCTACTTTTCTCCTTTGATTGGTGGAAAATATGTCACGAATGATAGTGAGTGTATAGTGAATGAAAAAGAGGGTAATAGAGAGTTGCTTGGTGGTGGTGAGGGGCGTCATTCCTCACCTGGTGAGTGTGACAAACTATGTATTGTAATATTTTGTAATAATTTATGATCAGTAATTGTTAAAAAGCACTAGTGTTTGTGTTAGTTTCAATTTTGAACAAAGGATTGAGTGCAAGTGTATCAAAGTTGGTTTTTCTTATAACTTTTTTTCGTTTTGAAGATGTCCAATCCTCGAACAAAATGTAATTCCCAAATGGAAACAAGAATTGCAGGAAAGGAGGCGTTTACAAATGGCCCAAGGAAAAATAGTTGCTCCGAAAGATCCCACTCCAGCACCCCAGGTAAAGTTATGTTTCATTTTGACAACTGTGTTGCTTCTTTTGTATGTTTATTATTTATTGTAATGATCAGCATTTCATTGTTCAGAATGATGTTGCTGAATGGCAAAAAAGATTGAAGGAAATCAGAAGCAAGTGGGAAGAAAAGGTAATGGGGGGTAGTGGTAATTGCTGAGCATCAAAGAAGGATGATGTCTTGTCATTGAATGAGTAGATCTCATCCAAAGGAAAAGGGTAATAATCCAGAATTTCTTAATAGGTTTCAACAGAAAAAAAATAATGAAGCATTGAAAGTATTATTGCAAGAGCAATAAGGATATTACAACCAATATGTACCATGTTGGAACACAATTGTCGTGTTGATTTGTACTTTTATCTGTTTTGCACTTGTCCAAGTAACAAATCTTGAAAAAAACTCAATATTTTAATCCCAAAATTACCAGCTGTTGTAAAGTTTTTATATTGTATATTTCATAAAATTGTTAATATATTAGACACACGCCAGTCAATGATATGTTTATACAATTTATTTACTATCATATATTTAACTATTGCAAAATTTCTACACATGATATGAGGATGAAGAGTTCATTGTGTATAATAAATATCTTCTGTAATGGAAAGTATACAACAAAAATTTTAAGTACATTTCTAAGCATTGTCCCATCACCTGAAGCTTGGTAAACTTTCAAAAGTATATCCTCTCCATCCTTTCGTTGCACGATAGATGTATACTGTATGGTAACCTGTTATGAAATAGTGTAACTTTCATGTATTTACTTCACAAGAGTGTAATCTTTGAGTGGATAGTGCAACATACCTCCTGGCAAAATGCAAACTGCAGCACACACAAAAAATATCACTGCTTTCGGACCTTGAAAAGAAATTATTTTTCACTTCGAAATGTCCTTGGTTTAAGTTATTGTGTTAAAATTGTATATATACAAGTTATGATTAATTTTGTTGGTCACTCTAATTGATACTTACCATCGTGTTTGGGAATTGCCGACAAAACAATACCACAAATGAGAAATGCTAAAGGCAAATGAAAAAACAATTGGTCTATATACATCAAGCAAACAATATGTGTCTTTTGATGATACTTACACATCCCAATAACCAGTAAGAACAAAGCCCCAGCCACTGTCTTCCAGTTTTCACGTACCTTTGGATGATGGTACCACCTGAAGAAGAGAAAAAGTTAAAGAAAAATTGAAATATTGATTGGAATAATACTAGAGCATAATTCAATTTTAGTTTCACCTTTGTGAGCGTGTATGTCTCCTTCTAGGAGTTGTGTTAACATTTACATGAGTATCGTCATTTTCACTTTGTTTGCTTCGTCTAAACGAACATGATGGTCTATTAAGAATATAATCGGCATTTATCTATCAATTACAAAAACACATTTATACTTTAACTCATTTCGTCCTTTATTCGACTTGAAATCACTCTTCTATATTCAAAAGATAATCGTTGTTTTATACAGATTTATACTTGTGGTAACTTTCTCAATCATGACAAATGCACTATCGTACAAAGTAAAGTTTTCTTGTGATAGATGAAAACATGATTATCGACTATAGAGACAGGATGATGTGAAATTATCAAATATGATAAAAACCTGATACGAAGCGTAGACATTGTCACTGACACGAGTAACACCTATATCTCCCTTCTCATTTATTTCATCGTCATCTGAGTGATCACGAGTAGGCGAACCAGATCTATTTTCGCTAGCTTCACCCAAATCGGCATAAGGAACTGAACTCATTCCTTAGAAGTTTAAGCTACTAAAACAACATTTCCCAAACTCACTTTGATTACTTTGAAACTCAGAAATTTTACTGAAAGGACTTTGTTTTGTTTGTAAATTAGTTTGTGACAATTTAAAAAATTTTCCCGTGAAAATATTGTTTTCGGTGACGTCACTCTCGGAAATTATCCGTCGTTTGACGTATGGTTTTGTCATTGAAATTAGAATTATTGCTTTATTTATTTGTTTGTTATTATATTGTATATTTTGCAGAATGGGAAGTTTGTTATCAAATGGCTTCCTTCAGAAATTCTGAAGGTAGTAATGTGTGTAATACTAGTTAAGAAAGGGTAGATGTGTACACAACTGACATCACCACTATCCTTTTGAATCCCTTTGAATTGATACATTAAACATTGACTATCATTACCTGTCTTAGTAATACCAGTTTATCATTCCATTTGTAGACTGTGTTACATCAACGACTTACTTAAGATAACTATTATAAAACTTCCTACTTCGTATTTTTTCCAGTCTAAAGTAACATCTACTATAGATAATCATTTGTAAAACATTCTAATGGTGTGGGGGGAATGGCTCAAATAGGTTTGCTTTAAATTGCATTGTCACTGTCAAAAAATTTAGTGACTCAAAGTTTGGGGAACAAAGATGGAAAGAGGACCAAGAGGCAAAGGTGTGTGTTTAGAATAAATTATAACATTCAATATTTATAGGTAACAGTCCATGTTTTTTAAATAGATTGCTGGATGATGATGAGATTAAGCATGCTGATGATGATTTAAGACAACTTCTTTCGAAAGAGCTTGCTAATTATTTGGATCGGTCTGTGATTTCATGTAAAGAAATTATTTTTGTTTCAAGCACTAATGTGAATCTCTTTATTTTTACTTGTGCATGTTTAGAAACATAATACATGTGGAAATCAACAATTGTTGTAATGGTAAGTAGAACAAAGAATTTCAATTGTATTTAAAATGAGATTACTACCATTTGATGGTCTACCTTAGAAGAAAGTCAACTGTGTGAAGAGCAAAATGAAAGAAATGAGAGTGGTGAGCCTTTTCACTGACAGATAATTAATGCATCAAGTGCTTGGAACCATGGAGTTTTGGTGGGATGAGGAGTGTGGTGTTTGGTTTTAAAATTTTGTAAATTATTTGTCTGCAATATCTTTTATAGCTTTTCAACTGTTTTCTTCAAGCTCCAATCAAGGAGAAATTTCTATTGCTGCAGAAAGCAAAGAAAAACTAAATTTAATTGTCAACGACACAAATAATGATTTGAGGTTTGTGAGTGTATTAAATGGGCTGCTTCAAATGTAAAACTCATCTCCAGGGCCCTATTCACATGACAAAAACAAACCTGGGTTCTCCCAGATTAGTTTTTGTATGTAAGCTCTACTAATCCAGGGTTAACCTGGGGGTAAACTCAGGCCATCTCAAAAGGTTGGTTGAGTTTAATCTAGTTTAAACCTCGGTTAGAAGTGTTTACATGCAAAAAATTTAACCTTGGTTGAATCTGTGTTAATTTTAAACTGGATTGAACCCAGGTTAGTTTATGTCATGTGAATAGGGCTCAGATTCCTTGAATTTTTCACTTTTCATTTAGCTCTAGTGATGACGAAGAAATGATAAGAAAATTAAAAGAGTCTGCTGTCTCAGTTGCAGATTTATTTGGAAGTAGAACGAGTACACAATAGAATTGACCTATTTGACTTGTTGTGCTTGGATTGAATAATTTAATTACATGACGTATCACACGAACTCTACAAATTCAAAGACATCGATATCCACGTTCTTAAGCGAAGGAATTCTACAATTTACACAGATTTGGAGATTTCTTTTTGTCGTGCCAATATATTTCGTTATTTTATTGTACGGGCGACTTCTCTTTCTGTAGAAATCGATGATATAATATCGTAGTAATACTTATTACCTACATTAAAAACTGCAATTGTTATTTACAACGTGGTTAAAGTCACCATAGATTCAATATGCTCCAACGATGGAACTTTGCCGTTCGTCATCTTCGAAATGTACCCGCTGTTTTCAAGGTAATGAGAAAACTTGGTTGAAATCATTTGTTGTATTGGAATAACGATGAACAACCCACCGCAAATACAAAAACTGCTAAAATAATAAATGTATCCGTCTTATTAAAATAGCCTCGACTCTCCCAACACCGTTTTCGTAAAGCTTGGGTTTAATCGGTTTTATAAAAATAAACATTTAGATAAATGTGCAGTTCCGTGCAAATGATTTAGATCACTACCTTGAAAATTTAAATGTTCACAGTTTGGTAAAAACTAGAGAAAATTGTATTTTTTGTGTGCATTTCTAATGTTTAACATTCAACAACTGTATATTTTTTGAAATCAGGGGGGGATATCTCCTGAAATACTCAGGGTGGGGATAAATTTTGGGGCGGACTGACTTTTTAATATCCTAATGTATGCTGGTTACTCCAACCTACTTTTAAGCACTTTGAGGGTACCCCCTCCCTGGCAGCCATGAGTACATTCCATACATGAACCGCCCCACCGCTCCTCTACAGTCCTTCTCACCATAAATCTTCATTCAGAAACAAGTTCAAAAATTGTTTCATCTGATTACAGCACGGCACTTTGCTCCAGTACAAAACCACTGACCAGTCTATTCACTTTTTATTACGACCATTCAAATCTCATTTTTTGCGACCTCCTGTGCGACGCAACCTTTCAAACTTGGCTTGAGATATCGTCGTCTGATTGTACTTGAAGATACTTCCTTATCCGTCCGTTTCAGAACAACAACTTTGGATATAGTTTACGCAAATTGACATTCCGTATTCACTGTAAACATACAATTTTTACTTAATTCACCAAAGCTGAGCTTCTTGAACATTGAAATATGAAGTGTGACCTAAAACATTTACATAGCACTTTACCAGAACAAGATTTTCAAATAGCACGACGAAACACTTGCCATTATTAAACGACACGTTGCAGCTTCTCATTTCTGATAGAACAACATTTGTACTACTTGTTGGCTAAACGTTTCGTGGAAAGCACACAGATCTTTTTCAAAACCGAGAATCTAGACTTTCTTGTTTTGTATTATGATCATGTGCTCAACACTCGTTGTGCTCTTGTTTTTGGAACTAAAACGAGTTATAATTTCTATACATTTGTTTTCCTTTGCTTAGATTCACTGAGCATAGTATCAGGAAACAGGGCAGACAGGTTTAGTTTCTTCCTATATGTAATGTAGTTTATGTTGTTTATAAATTATTCTGTGTATTAGTTTACTTATGTAAATGTTTATTGCAAGTGTATGAAGTGAAGCACGTAGCATCTTCCTGTCTGTTATATTCTTCGTGTCCATTTGTGTTTTTATGTGACAACTCTGATCACACATCATCATCTGTCGTAATATAAAGATACTACTTAGAACATGATAATTGAACTTACCGGTCAAATACGTAAAGGCCACTTATATAAGACCGATGCTCTTTTCCTTCAGACCACAAGCACCAAGCTCAGTTTTGCTCGCGTCTATACTGACGTTTAATAAATATCAACTTTGTATTTCTTCAGACTTCGCACTTTAGCACACAAATGCCTCACTTGAAAGCAGAATGGGGTTACACCGAGGAAAATGGTAAGCTTGATATTAATTTCTTTCATTCAATACTGTTGGAGAATAGTTTTAGCTCTTTTTATAGCTCTTTCTCGCCGTTTGTTTTTTATAATTGATAAACAAATTGCGAAATTACGCACGAAACCTAATTTTCCCGTTTTGAGGAATGCTGTTTCGCGTTTCATGAAACAGCAATTCTGCCCTACATTATTTATAAATTTTGTCTCCTTGCCTTCATTCTATGTCTACATGACAACAGAAATGTTGTTATATCAGCATTGTATATATTAACGATCACGCTCATGATCGGCCTTTTTGTCTTGTGTCTCGAGCTTATTGATTACTGGAACAGTTAACTATTCATACCTTGAAAAAAACAACTTGGTTGCTGTATAGTCAATCGAAAATAATGAAAACACTGGCGTATTACCAAATGCAAACATACTGAATAGACAGAAAAAAACATGAACGGAAAAAGAGTGCCTGACGGTTTCGCGGGTGAAGGATACGACGTATTAACGAATAAATAGATGGCCAAACACTTGTCTTGGGGAGGGGGGGTCTGTAAAACATTAAAATATTTGCTCCTTTTCTGCAAGAAGTGTGCACGCGAAGAATAAGATATTTATTTACCATTTTTGTGCCAGGCTAATAGAATTTCTCAATGTCTACGTGGTCGTCACTGTCTCCCGGCATCTATCTGACTGTCTACCCGTTTATCCACTTGTCCGCTTGTACCTATTCAGCGTTTGGTTCGCCTTTCCTGTCTTATCAAGTATATGCTCTAATCTTTTTACTCAACCATGATTACGGTTAAAATATTGTAATTGAATTGATTTGAAAAGAAAATGGGAGTAGAGTCTGTGGAAAAAGTCGAATATTCACGCTTTTTATGAAATAATTGTTTGCCTTCGTCGAGTGTGAAATGCTCGAGAGCTAGACATGTTTCCTACTGTGTTCTACCTGATCATCACATTTTTATTTGTCGATTGCAATTGTTCTGGTGAAATGCTGTTTTCTTTGAATAATTATATTGTGTATACGCTTTCCTGCGAATCGTTTCAAATATCTAATGTGCTGCTGCCTTGCGACACACACACATATTGGTACATGTAGTGTAAAGTATATTGCATACGCTTGGAGCGTGGGGGGTCGGTGCTATATGCGAGGTATATACTATAGGGATGATTAGGTATATTTACATATTTTCGATATATTTTCATGATAATTTCACTGCATGGTCTGTTTTTACTGATCCCAATTACGTATACATGTGCGTGAAAGACGTCACGATTGACAGATTACCGTCATCATGATCTGGATACCAGTTTTTTGACGATATTTTTGGCATGTTATGCGCTTTACGTCCCTCCTACTCCTTAGCGTGGTCGCTAAATTAACGGACGTTTCTTGAATTGCAGTTATGCAGTTTATGAGAAGTGTCAGCTGACAGATGTGAATGATGACCTTTGATCGTATGTTCGTAGAAATACTGTATATTCACGTATTTTTAGGTCCGTCTACATGGTGCAATCTTCCAGGCGTAAAGATTGGTAACCGTCAATCTCCAATTGACATTATTCAAGCGAAGGCTTCTTTCGACGAGAGTCTCAAGTCTCTTCAATTCTCCTATCCAAACTTTGAGAAAGCGACATTAAACAATAATGGTCACACAATTATGTTTGCACCCGGTGACGACGAGAACGCTTTTGGTTGGTAATAATTTACTTTGGTCATCTTGAACTTAAATGACGTTTGTTACGTCTCCCATTGTTTTTTTTCTCTTCACTCGCTATTGTTAATCATTAGCGTTTCAAAAATCTTCGTACAATGCTTCAATGCTTCATCCTTTCTTTCCTTATTGTTAAAAGTTGTAGGTACGTGATTTTCCTACATTCGTGAATCATTCGTTATTGGTCATATGCGATTAAAAAAATTGTAGAAACAGTTTGCAAATGTCAATAAAAAAGCGTCAAATCGAATATGATGGCGAGCACTTTTAGCACACTTCACTCTTTCAGAATTGAGACTTTCCGTGGTGACAAATATAAAAATTGTTTTAAAAATTGTTCTGAAAGAACTGCATATTTTAAAGCTTTTTTCAACCATTCACCATGGTATTCGCGACTTTTGAAACAGTTCTGTACGAATGATAATATGTATGTTTTAATAATTTAGTCGTACGTGGTGGTCCTGTTACTCACACGTATAAATTGGCTCAGTTTCATTTTCATTGGGGCGTCCATGATGACGTTGGTTCAGAACATACAGTTGACGGGAAACCTTACGCGGCCGAGGTAAATGACGTTATTGTTATCGCTGTTCATGCAAATTTTCACGACTGCCAAAGAACCTCTTTTTCATGCTTGATGTTATATCTTTTTCTTTCTTATATATTTCTAGCTTCATCTTGTCCACTATAACACTGATCTCTATGCTTCAGCTGGCGATGCATTGACTGCCGAAAATGGTCTTATTGTTTTTGGTATTTTCTTAACGGTGCGGGATAGTCTTAAATCGCTTTCGAAACTTTTGCTATACTTTAATAGACTACATTTTTATAAAAAAGAATGGCAGTTTTTATTGAACATTTATTCATGAAGGATTATCGTAAATGTGTTTTCTATCGATATAAGTGAATTTTTCATGTTAGGTTGGCGATACAGAGCATGCTGGCTTGCAGAAGATCATTGACAAAATTTCCCAAATTCAATCATCGGTAAGTTTGTATTCATGTCGGAGAACGGAACTGTCATTCATCCTGAATTTGATGCGATGTGCTTGAAGTCAGTGAAAATAATTTGTCGAGCATTTTAATAAAAGTGTATTTTTTTGAAGGGAGCGAGTATTACATTAGAGAGCGCCTTCAATCCTATCGTATTGTTTCCTGGTAAATATTTCTTTGTGTTTCTTTTGTGTGTGTGTTTATATCTATTTGACACTAAATTGCTCAACTGCTGTGAATATTTCCTTCAGATAACTTGGATTATTGGTCGTACCCAGGCTCTTTGACAACACCACCACTTTCAGAGAGCGTCACGTGGGTTGTGTTCAAACAACCCATCGTAGTTTCCAGTGGACAGGTAAGGAATCGAGTTTGAACATACAACCTTCTATTGAATGCATTTCATATTAAGTTATTTCACAAGGCGTTTAAAGCAAAATATTTTCATCGTGTTTTGTGCAACGTTGTGTCTATGAAATGTTGTACTTTTAGGTCGCAGCATTTCGTGAAATTGAATCAGCTGATGGCCAATGTCTGTGTCAAAATTTTCGTCCAACTTGTGAGTTGAACGGTCGCGTTGTGAAGGCATCTTTTAAATATAAAGCATAAGGCTAGCTAAACTATTTGTAAATTGTAATATCTATGTCACAATGTCTTCTGGGACTGGACGAGAAATCTTGTGTTAGCTGTGGAAGATCAAAAATACTTCTTATACATGAGAATACATTCTAAATACGGTAAAATTTTAATTGTTAATGGATTTTGAACTAAATGACTAGAATTTGAATGAATATATTGTCGCCAATGGAAAGCAATATATCTCTGTTTTGTATAATCTTTGTACAATATTCAAACAACCCTCTCAATATGTGTCTTGCTTCTATCCTGCTTACATGAGGCCTACATGGAGAGTTAGTCCTGCCATTCGAGAACTGAGCTGGAAATGCTGGAGATTTTTCATGTATATGCCACAGGAAGGGCTTGATCTTTCTACAAAGCTGAAACTTAAAACAAATACGCATCATGTGACGATGGATCATTCTTCATCAATGAAGGCATGAAAAACATGAAAAGACATGAGCGTTAACTTGGTTTGATGCCAGCCATTTTGTATTTAGCATTAAAGCTTACGGTGCAGATATAGAGTTGGACCTTTGCTCATAAAATTCAACCCTACTTAAAAGAATACCTTAGATCTAAATTATTGATGTGCATCAAAGGGCCTTCTCCTCCCGCTACCCCCTGACCCTTGCCTTTGTTTAAAGCTTGTCGATGGGAGAGTGGAAGACAAGATGGCTGACAAGCAATGGCAAGTCGTAAATGAAAGTGAAATAAAAGAAAAATGGCCATTACACGCTGCCGTTTTTGAAGACAACTTGATGCAGCTTCAAGATTTGTTGAAGAAAAACACGGTAGATTTGATATCATACTATTTGTATTTTTTAAGTTATGAAGTCCGTTATCTTTCAACTGTTCATTGTCATCAACTGTCAAATTATTGTGTGTACTGTTCAATAAAGAGTCTTTAATGTCGTTTTATTTAATGCGACGGAGTTTTAGGTGGACATTGAAAGCCTTGATCCTTGTGGTAGAACTGCATTACATTTTGCCGTAACTCTTGGACGAACGAATTGTGTCAAAACGTTACTTGATTATAAGGCCAATGCCAATGCAGTCAATAAGCAGGGTTGGAACGGTAGGAAACGAATTTTTCATTGATATTCATGACAATCTTTATCTTTAAAATAATTTGTGATACTTCTCTCAGTTTGTCAAGAAGCTGTAAGCTGTGGAGACCCCGAGATTCTATCGTTTGTTTTCAAACAGAGAGATTATCAGCGAGCTTCACAAAGAATGGATGGTATTCCTGAGCTCTTGGAAGACTTGAAGGCTGTAAGAAAAACGTAGAAGATATTAAAAAAAACATTTTTTGTTAGAAGTGATGTAAACATACCTAAGATTTTCATTTTAGGCTCCTGATTTTTATATTGAAATGAAATGGGAATTTACGACTTGGGGTAAGTGAATGAAAAGTTTCTTGTATAATCTGTTGTTCCTTTAACCCCCTTGTATCCCAATCCTCTACCTCATCTCCTTTAATTTCTTTTATTTTTGTTGGAAACTATACATACATTTTGTGAGGTGCCTTCTTTCCTATCTATTTCCAGTAAAACCATTAGCATTTTGAAGTCACTGAATGTCTCATCTTGAAGCTCCAATCCTCTTGATTTCATTGGATGAACCATATGACATGCTATCATGCATTGTTTTTACTTCATTTTATCTTTTATAATCCTTCTGATCTCAATAGTTCCTTTCATGTCACGGATGTGCCCCAATGACACATACAAGATATATAAAAAAGGTTGTTCTGTTCGTGTGGATACAACTCTTGTTGGTTTTGATCAAAATATCCTCAACTGGGAACGTGGAAATATGAGCTTTGTGTTTAAAGGCTCAGGTAGATTTAGTTTTTATTTTTAAATATGACATTGTTACCATCATTGTCCTACCTGTATTTGTCTTTATACTCAGGATATCTGGTATTTTTGAATGGAGGCTGTATTTTGTGCTCACATTTTTAAACTCTATTACTTTGCAGCTGAGGGTGCTGAGTTTTATGAAATTGATCACGACAAGAAATATTACACCAAGGAGAAACTTGAAATAAGGTTTTTGTGAAGATGGGAGAAATTTTTCAAGTTTTACTGCATGACTTAATTGCAATTGTATGCCTAATTTCCAAATTAATTAATTACCTGTCAGACATTGTCCTGTCTCAATTGACATCAATCTTATGTTAATAGGGGGGGTATATCATGTATTCTGCTATTCTTTGCTAATTTCTTTTCAAAACAATTTTGCTTTCGAAAGAAATCTTTCTGGCATAACAGAATGTATGAATAAGTTCTCTCTGAATTTACCTCAGAGTTTATGCAAGTTTCAACTTTTCCACACTCTCTATTATCTCTTTTCACCATTCATGCATACGTTCATGTATAGTTGGGAGTAGTGAGCATTTTCGTTGCTACTGCAGTTTTCAACTGCAAAAAATATACACTTAAATCTCTTGTGAATGTAGATTTTATATGCCATGTATGTGCGCAATTCTATTTAGAAATGATAGACGAGATCCTAGTACATTTGAGACCACGCAAGATGTGATAAACAAAAGAATGAGTTCACCAAATATATCAACAATCCTTGACACTGATTCCATTGCTTTCACCAAGTATGTATTTTAACTATCTTTGTTGCGACTAAGGCTCGTTTCAAACTTCGCATTTTACATGAGCCGAATGCATTAAAGACAAAAGAAGATGAGATAAAATGCCTCATTATCTTTTGTTTTAAATGCATTCGGCTCGTGTAAAGTGCCACGTATGAAACCGTCCTAAGTTGAAAATTTTTGACATTTATCGTCGGAGGCAACTACTTTTTTGACCGTTACGTACATTTTAAGGTTTCAAGGGATTTCCTCTTTCGTGAATACAAAGTTTATTGTGGAGTGTGTCTACCTTATGATAGCGCAACATGAAGTACCAAAATTGATGACGATGATTGTTTTTATTGCTGTTTCGTTTTAGACACAAGTCAATGTGGGGTTGGGGAGGTGACAAAACTGAAACAATCAACGATTATGAAGGGAAGATGTACGATGCGTCTGGCATTGATGTCGTTACTAGAATAAGACTTGAACATTTGACAGAAGAAGAGAAGAAACAACAGAAAGAGAAAGGTTGACAATTAGATTAAACTGTTCCGAACACAGGCGTATGTTTAAAACATTTCTTTCTGCTAGTATCTGTAAAAAGTTCTTCATGCTGTAGTGCTGTAATTTGACAAGATATAAGCCAACAAACGTATATTTATATATATATATATGTTTAAAGATTGGTAATCCAGGCATATTTAATGTATAAAAATAAAAGATTCTCCGGATTTTATAAATAATTTTATTGAGCTTTCGACTCGTTGCTTCGAGCCTTCATCAGAATGAGGAAGTTATCTATTTACAGTTGCTTTTAGCTTGTAGACGCTTAGAGGTCTAATTGGATTAGCGGTTGGATTAATGTGATCGGATGGGGTGAAATGCGTTGCCATAGGTTTTGGTGTATTGTGAATATGATCGGTGTTAATATTATTAGAGTGTAATGTTGTAGTTTTGGTGTTTTAATCCACCCGCTAATCCAATTAGACGCTCTAAGCGTCTACAAGCTAAAAGCAACTGTAAATAGATAATTTCCTCATTCTGATGAAGGCTCGAAGCAACGAGTCGAAAGTTCGATAAAATTATTTATAAAATCCGGAGAATCTTTTATTTTTATACATTAAATATGCCTGGAGAATCTTTTATTTTTATACATTAAATATGCCTGGATTACCAATCTTTAAACTTATATATATATATGTGTACTGTTGTATATATATAAACAAAATGAAAGGCAGAGGTTGATAGGTATGAACTGCATTAGTTCATTTAGTTGGTCGAGTGGACTGTGAAAGTTTCCAGTCATTTTATTGGCATGTTTTCTTTCTCTTTGACCTTGTTTCAACAAATGCATCTTCAAACTCGTTACCTCAACGATCCTTATTTGCTTGGTGTACCCCAACCATGCGTTAAATCAATACACAACTATTAACATTGCACTGTGGACAATAATTATCATAGAAATTAAATGTAAATCGTGGACAACAAAGCAACTTTTGATAGGTTTTTGTTTGAAATGTTGTTGGAGTCAATGGATGTCAGTTTCGTGATACACGAGTCAAAATTCAATGGGAGTTTATCGAGAAATGTAATAAATGTATAAAAAAATTTCTGGTTAATTCAAATTTTAAGTGAAAAGGCAGTGTGTTTTTTATGAAACTTTGCACTATTCTCGGGTCCCTACTTGAATAGACGATAAATTCATTACGTCTGTGATTGTCGTGTATTTTGTTGACATTTTTTGATGAAATAGCTCTACTTTTATCTTATTTCAGTATCAAGTTCCGGCTCTGGTATTCAAGGTGTCTTATCAGGAGAACATCAAGAAAGGATTTGTAACCTTGAGGTAATTCACTTACGTCTTTGTGTAGCATTATGTTGCATCACCTTAGATTCATCTTCGTCTTTTTATTAGGATCCAAACATTGTTGATCCGCATTCATCAAATCCGTATAACTTGTCTATGGAAGAGTATTTTAACTTACCTCTGAATAAATCAAAGAAAGGTCAGTGCATGAACAGTCGTTGTTGATTGGTCGATAGTCGTCTCTGTGATGATTAGTGAACTGCTAATAGTCTTTAACGGCTGACGAGAAATGTGATAGCTTGCTTTTCTTGGTTTATGCCAATTATAAATTAGTGTTTTCATTTTTTGTTATGCTTGATTCTTTTTAGACATCGGCCGAGCAAAAGATATGATTACTAAATCTCAAAAATTCAAAGCGACATTATGCCTGTGTCCTAGCTATCCTTTATCCTTACAACAACAAATATTACCTGTCATAAAGCTGTTGGTACGGTTTACAAACCATTAACTTTCCTTATGTTTATTCCCTATACTCATTTTGTTCGTTTTATCACCAGGCGATCAGTAATTCTCATTTTGCTAAGCTTCGTGACTTTGTCGCTCTTCATCTACCTGCAGGATTTCCTCTCAAAATAGGTAATTATCTCAAGTGTTTGAATACATATTTATTGAAAATTTTTAGAGCTTAATTTTAGTCTTGACTTAACGCTCCGTACCCTATTGAGATCGTCGGTTTTCATGTCTATTTTCTAGAGATTCCGCTATTTCATCTCCTTAATGCTCGAATCACATTCGGTAATATCAATGCTATGTCAAAACCCAGCCCAGGTGTAACGTCCCAGGTGAATACCGACTCTGGTTCTGGTGAGGGGTCTAGTGACGAGTCTACAGTCACGTGCGTTATTGATGACGATCGTTTCTGTCCTCCGTCCGACTATGTTGGCAGTACAACGCAGGATAAGCGTTCTGGTATGAGTTGTAATGTTAATTATTAGGGGAAAGGGAACTAGATGTATTTTTCAAAGAATGAAATTTGACATTTTGTTCTTTATAAACGTTTTTTTTTACTGGAGTTGTTGACAAACAAAACTTTTTCTTTTAGAAGAGTAATTTTGTTGCATTCGTCATCAACGCTCTAACTCCGATTTGCATTGGCGTTTGCAAGTCCCGGAAACGTTTTTCTGCCTTTTTTACTCTATTTTTTAGTTCTCCCTTCACGTAACGTGTTGATTTTTAAGTCAACCTATACTCTAAGACTTTTATCTGCTCTCGTTTCACATAAAGCATTAATTTTTTAGGTCAACCTGTTCAAAACGAAGAAGAGTTAATGATACAGCTCGCTATACAACAAAGTCTAGCGGATTCGGGTAGCTTTGACGTTGGTCGTTCAGAATCATGGGCTTATCAGGCTGGTTTATCAAATAGCGAAGAAAATTTGCAAAGGTATCTTTCCAAGTTTCAACATCGCTAGAGGCGATCGTTCTCGTTATAATGTATATTATATGGTAATCGTTATGATGTAAAGTAAAAGTCTAAGCAGTAAAAATTCACTCAGTTTTAGTAAAATTAGCTTAAAAGCATCGTGGATTGTAAACGAGGAATAACAGGCAAGGATATGTCATAACCCCTCCTTCTGCAATTTTAGGTAGCACCTAAGATTAAGGCAACCATTTTATTTGACTTCTGAAATGCTCTGATAATGTTGATTGCTCATATCGTATTGAAGTGCTTTATTCCTCGCAATCACAAATATTTACGATCATTTGACAATGTGCTCCCTAGAAAAAATTTGCTCCGAGCCTCAAAATTTCTGTGTGGGGGACAAGGTGAAGGGGACAATCTATCCTTTGATAAATTTGGACGGTTTAATGTCTTACTTAATATAGAGCAATACGCGAGAGTTTAAATTCATCCCAAGAAGTTGACATGACAGCACAGACGTCTTCTCGTGTTGCTGGAAATTCTTACGCGGAGCAGCTTCAAATTGCTATAGCAATGTCTGAACAGGATATGATAGAGAAATCACATGAAGTTATGAACGAAGATGACGAATTAGAAAGGATTTTGCGATTGTCGTTGACGGAAAAGTAGCTTTGGATTTTGATGTTAATGCGTGCCTAAGTCTGAAAATTGAAAATGTCAGGAAAGCTGTGTTAATGTATAGTAGTTGAAAAGATGAAGGACAATGTACGAAAAAATTATCATTAAAATATAAGCCATGACGTTCTGGATCTTTACCTGTTTTTAATTCCTGCTGTGATTGGTGGAATATGCAATCACAACCACCAATCATGCCTCAGGTCCTTGGACGTCCCAACACGTGATGTTGCGAACGAACGCCCCCCGTTGCAACGTCCATTTTGACATTTTCAGAAAAACCTGTAAATGTTTTTGATTTTTGTTGTTCTGTGTTTTCTGGCTGAAATTAACTGTCGTGAATAATTAAATTATACAAAGGTAAATGCTCATCCACAATTTTGAATTGTTAGTGTGTATTTCAATTAAAAAAGAACCTAATTTTGAAAAACGAAAGATGTCTGATGGTTTGAGATTGAATAGTGGTTGATGAATGTACGAGTGTTTTTTTACGATAGATAACCATTAATTGGCAATTGTAAGTATTGTGCATTCTAGTAATTATTTAAATTGTTTTACCAAATTGTGTTTCAAGTGGAAATCGTTTTAATTTTCATAGAAGGGTTCATATTACCTAACTAACATAAGAGCAATCTTCAATAATTTAGGCGTCTTCATAAATATCATATATTATAGTTTTATTTACAGAACAGTTCAGTATAAATAGACGATAAGTATAAAAAACTAAGTTTTAGCTTTGCTTTTATCATAGGGACGTCGGTAATTGATATTGCGAATGGTCAATTTTATTTTTACAGCTGCCATTTTGGACTGGCGAGTCGTTGTATACATCCAAACTAATGCTTGCCGTTTCTGCGTCTACTTTATCTAAAAACAGAAGCATAACGTTAGACGTTTCTCAACTGGTTAAAAACTACATCTTGTTCTAAAACAACTACTGCTTGAGCTTAAAAAGTAACAGACATATTTAATGTTCAAGCAACAACTAGGAACCATCTGCATGACTGACATGAAAATCACCAATACTTTGGTACTCTCAAGCAACAATTTTATTTTGTTTGTCCTTGATATTGCTTGCTGGGTAGTGAAGAAATTATTAATATATTAGGGAGATATTTTCAACTAAACTATGGCATACATAGTAGCATGTTGAAGAAATATCAATCAAAAAATATACGTACATGTTATTTCTTTCTCTTTCTTCTTGATGCAACTATTTGTAAGACTGTACATAAAACCTTTCTTGTTGAACATTAGGATGAGATCAATGACAAACAATACTCCCAAGAGTGTACATATGGCTACCAATGATACTAATTTGGTTTGACTTGCATCTCCTAAATAGTTGGAACATTTATTTCATTGCTTACACAATACTTTCCATTAACATTCAGACAGCACAATTTGTCAGTCCGAGAGATAATGAAAACAAACATTGTGATTAGTTTAGCAAGTAGCATAAATACAACCAAATTTTTAACACTGAAACTTTACATATGATTGTATTCTTAAGTCTATTTTTATGTGTTTGTGATGGGTCTTACAAAAGAGATAACTTTGTTTGTAGGCGTGTCTCCTTATGAAATATACTTGGATAACATGATGAACTAAGCTACCTCTCCTTGCCTGGTCAATACAAAATATTTATTCTATTTTTAAATAAATTTGAAAGAATGATGTAAGCAAATCATGAATATACCTTTACGATTTCTTGTTTCAGATGTAACTGCTGGACGTGGCCTGCAGTGACATTTTCGCAAATCTGTAGCCGAGTTCATTCGAGAGCATTTTGTAAACTCTGATAAGCTACACTGACAACTGCAACTGGACTTATTCCACTTTGTATTACCTGGACATGATTGCGGTGCTGGGGAGCACTCGCAATGGCAGGTCTGACTATTCCAATGGAAATTTTTTGGACATTTTTTTTTTGCAAGACATAGACAGCTGCAGGTTAGATCATCAAATTTATAATTATCCCGCAAACACTGATCTTTATGACTGGAATGACACTGACTGGCACAGCTAGTATGATTTGTGAATGTCCTTGTTTCCTGACCTTTCTGGGTGACAATTTGTACATTTACATCTTGGGTGGTCTTTGCTTTGCACTCACACTTTAAAGGGGAGTTTGTGTTGCCTTGGCACTGTCCCATACATCTATGTAACTCTATGTAGAATGGTCGGTGATTGTGGTTGATAGGGTCCACTGCAACCGGTATAGCCCATGGCTTACAAATAGCTGCTTTTGCTTTGTTGCCTTAAAAACAAATAAAAGAAAAAGGTTTAGTCTCAAAATGCATAATTCAAATGCAATAGCTAACACTGTATGTAGAGATTGTGTTTGACTATAGTCTATGTATACTTCTCTACAACCAGTATTACTTATTTTGTTTTACTGCAGAAATATAATCTGATGCAAAATCGAGTAGACATGTATAGACTACCAGTTAAAAGAGGTTTATAATATGATGTTCAAATACAATGACAAACCCCAAAGTAGATATTAGCTATGTAAAAAGTTATTATAAAAGTTATTAAAATACTAATTGTTTTATACGTTAAAATTTATTTGAAATTAGCCAGCTTAGTGAAACTCCCTTTTATTTATATGAATTATTCACAAAAAATTTTAGTTGACCAAACAACATTTTAAAGTAGCTTAGAACCGGCTTTATGCAAAATTGTCATGCGTACGTCATACCAGAGTAATTGAGATATTTTTAGAACTATTTTTCCAAATGGTGCGTTTTTGTGCCGTTCTTCCGCTAAGACATTATAGTAAAAAGGCATGTTCAAAACCGGATAAGGAAACTACGTCAATTTTCTGTTTCATCTTTATTTAAATCAACAAAACTTTATATGTTGTGATGTCATAAGACGGATATTACGTCTAAACTCGGAAGACGTCTAGGACTAATGAACTATTTCCAAAAACATAAGACAATTTGCGTAACTTAGGCTTGGCTGTCAAATTTCATCAGTATGAAATATGGAGGATAGTCAAGTTTTTTTTGCAAAAAGTTGATATGTGGTTGTCTCAAACACAACAGTCACAACAATCGATAAACTAAAAATAAGTTCTTTAGTAAACAAGTGTTTGATTACGAAGTTAGGTTTGGTTGAAACTTACATTCAAAGTTGATAGGCTGTATTAACAGAAGCAAAATTCTGCTCCATGTTAACATGCATATATCATTAATGGTCTTTGTTATTATGAACGTCATCGGAAATGAAGTGGTGTGCAGTGCAGCCGTAATTGAGAGCTAAATTTTGATTCACAGTATATTTGTGTATTTTGATTGACCCCCGCAATGTTTAAATTTAATTCAAACGTGTTGTGGTTGTCCTTATATCGGCTGCATATTTACAGACATATGTCGGTGTGCTGTCGCTTATTTTTAATGGAAGATGCATGGATATGCTCTACACAACAGTGCTTAACTACTATACCTACCAAATAACCTTTTTTCATTATGTAAAGATTGAAAAACATAAATCATCATGTTGTTGCAATTAAAGTATTTGACCAATTGAAGTCAATGATGTAGTTATTACAAATAATGATGTGAGATTAGTACGTTCCTTCAACGAAACATTTAATCATGTGTAGACTGGCACGTTAGTTTACTTTAGCTTCTATTATGTTTCATTTGCCCTCAAGATTGTTCACCTACACTAAACTCTTAATCCGTTTAAGTGTTTAACGTCATTTAAGCAAGCAGACACTTTCAGGTTCACATATTTATGTCTCCGTTTTCGTCTCGGCATTTATGAACATTGTTGAGTCGCAAACCAAGTTAAGATATTTTACTCTAAAGCAAAACCAAACTGTTATCATCTTGCAAACTAGATTACAGTTAACAAGAAGTAGGAATTTAAAAATCGTTGTAGAAATGAAATGACGCCGGAAGTACAGAGGAAGCTATACCGCTGATATTTTCTTTCAGTGAAGAATGTTTGTTAACGTATTATATGAGCAATTAAGATCATGAGAAAACATCGAAAGGAATGCAATCATGTCGCGACGATATGCCAGAAATGTAATTCTTCACACGCAATTTATTATTGGGTAATAATTAGTCGAGGCGTTAATTCATGGTAATCCAGAATACTACTTTCACTACACATGCGTTGTTGCATATGTTTATTTGCTAAGGTTGTAACGAAACTTATAATTCATGTCTACCTCCAGATAAGATTCGTGTAAGCTTGTTCATTTCTATCAATGATTTTGGAAAAGGTCAGGCAGATGAACTAACACAAAAATGTTGTAACAATCGCATCTCCTTACGATTAATTATTTATCAAATGTCTAATTTCTAATTCAATATATATGTCCTTGACGTGGTTGACTCAGAAGGGTGTTAACCCATTGAGTTTTTCGTATTGTAACATAATAACAAAATGCTATTTATGTTTGATATGTGATTGGTTTTGTGCTCGTATAACGAACTGCACGTCTTCTGTTTGGTATTTAATTGTGACTAAGTCTAGTTCATTCTGGCTAACGCTGTGTCGAACGTGGCAACGACCTGTGACATCTGTAGCGTATTTAATGAATTTTTAAGTCAAATTTTCTCCATGTAAGGAATCATAACACAAGCAGTTTTTACATTGCGATACGTTTTACAATGTGTCTGTTTTGAAAATATTCGATTTGATCGTTCTTAGTGATGTTCAGAAAAGTGCTTTCTCACAGTGGCTAACATAAATAAATGAACTGATTATTGTGTATATCTCTTTGATTATTGTGTATATCTCTTTATTTATTTTTCTTTGCGACAGCCAGTTGTTTTTTTGGTCAGCTATATCATGGGAAGAATGTGCGGGCTTGCTAAATTGTGAAATTATCCTTCTAGTATCGTTGTGAACTGTAATTATAATTTTAAAAGAACGCGATATGCTATGGTCTTGATGATCAATGTTTGGTAATATACTTGTGATCGCCACTGTACAGGAGGGCATTTTCAGCATCCTGTTCGCGCCGTGCTGCTGTTTTTCTTATTAAAAAAATTGTTGATGTTTTATGAAGCTATGGATATTTTATATAAATGTTATTGCTTTACGCCGATACTATAAAACTATGGACGTAGATAGCTGCATACCTTGACATAAAGAAATCATTTTGAATATAACAATGATGAATCCACTTTTCAACATCAATCCCATTTTGGTTGTTTCTGCTTCCCTCGGTCTTTAACCTTCGAATGTGTGCGTTCTGACTGCTGCAAATGAAAATACACACACGAAGTTAAATGATTTGCACACCCACCAGTACTTTCTTAACCAATAAAAGAGGTCTTTCACGAATTTTAGCCAATCAATGAAGGCTTTGTGTGAAGGGTTTCCCCTCTTAGACTAGCTGAGTACAGGAAGCTGAAACAGTGACCATTACCTACTTGAATGGAAATAACATGGTCACTCCTCAATATATTAATCTGTTGATATGTTTAAAGGCGATGTTTCCTTGGGGAAAACGCTTAACTGTGTTTTTTCTGTGTAACGATTGCTTCTTCCAAAGGAATCCATTACATTACGGTCAGACACGTTAATGATAGCTTGACAATGTGGTGGGCGAATATTATCGACAATATTATAACTTGCAAAGTGTATTCGACTGAAAGCGGTCGCTTGCCCCGTTGTTGTTGCTTCAACAAAGCATAGTGTTAAGTTTACGCATTGCAGTAAGCAACGTGTTTCGTCAATGAAATTATGTATAAAACAATGAATGTTGAGCTTCGTTTATGTAGCAAACACTTCTATATAATTCTTCTAAAACACATTGTCTAACGTTTCGCAAAATTTATCTGATTATCTCAAAGCTCCTGTAAAAATTTAATTGTTTTTAGTTATATGATAAAAAGCAAGCTTTTAAAGGAGACTTCCATCCAGAGTAGATTTGATTAAATTGTATTCATGAGGAAGTTGATGTTAAAGTTTGGCAGGTTTACGCGATGTAACGTTGTCTACGTGTCCTTTCTAATTTATTTATGACGTACAGGAATGTAATTAAATTCTTGTAAACCTTTTTTTCAATTACTTAGCTGATATATGCTGTATAGGGCTCATTTGAGTAAACTGCAGTTGTATTTAATATAATGAAATATGATTTCAAATTGGTTACAACAGACAGCAGCCAGTTAGTTCTATTTCATAGTAGTATGCTCTTGATTATTGGCAAATACGGTATAGCTAGATAATATTCATATAGAAAACAATTTTATTAGGATTTTGTGAAGGAATAATCAGACACAATTATAGTGTTTTGGTTAATGAAGGATTTTTTCTTCTAATGAGATGATTATATGCCCATGCCAGCTCCAGGAATGTGGCTAACAATCTAAATAATTATTCACGGCTCGTCATTTGATTTTTATCCAAAGTTTAAGAGCGTTTGTTTAAGTTTATAAACCATATTAAGATTCCTTCAAAGATTTTTTAACAAATTATGGTCTTAAGATTTCAAGTTGTTTTTTTAAGACACTAAAAACTTGGGGTTGTGTAGCAGTGTGGAAGTGGAATTTACGTTACCATGGCGAACTGTAAGGTTTTATTAAATGTCTTTGAAAGCATTGAACTAAGACCTTATAGTTGCTTTGTTGCCGCCTAAAATTTGTATTTTGCTGACAGAAAACGCTCTTTAAAATTAAGTCTGTCGTCCATTACTAGGTTCTACGAGATTTAATTTAGATTTAAGCGTTAGAACGTTATTTCTATGCAAATATTTCATTGACTAGTGAGTTCTCATGCTTTTACGGGAAAGGAAAATGGTGGCAAACACTCATTTGTTGCCAATAAACCAGCCCGTGGGCTACGATTTTAACTCACGCGAAAGAAGCTGTCATTTACGTAAGCGTCCATGTATGATGGAGTATTGTAATATCAATTACGCATCATGTTTCACGTTATGTGGTAATAAAATCATTGCTAACATCGTCAGTGCTTTCTTCTTTTACTTATTTGATCATTTTTGTTTCATTGTAACTTCAAGTTGAGTAAAAACACGTAAAAGACTCAATTAAAATGTGTTTCTCTGGCAGTTAAGTATTTAATAGACTTGAGTTGTAGTTCAGACGATTTCGTTCGCTCAAGTCATTTCCATACAATATTGGTGGAATAATTCTGTGGTCGAATATTCTCATAGCAGTGATAGTCACGGCAATAACACTAGAACCTAGTACACATGTGCATTGCTTAATGTTTTTGGTTTCCACGGTGATTCTAGTTACAACGGTAACTTCCTCATAGTGTCAATGTGTGGCAAAAGTGTCTTAATAAAGTAGTGTCGTAGGATAATATTATGGTCCGCTGACAAAACGTTTTATAATAATTTCGCATTGCACCTCACCAAGTATACAGTAAATAAGTCTAACCGTTGTAATACAATATACAGTAAATAAGACTATCCATTTTACATGTGATACAAACTGTGACGTGAAGATGATATTGATATATTTCAATATAATAATAGTTTCACGAAGTTTACCTTTTTATTCGTTTTTCTCTTCGTGCAAATCGATGCTTTCAGTAAGTTGAAGAAATTTATGATGGTTTTGGGCCGAAGGCTACTTTATGTACACACGTTAATTGATGGTTTCAGTCTGACGACGTAATCTATGCTTGATCTATAAATAAGTTATCAATTAACAAGGGTGTATAATGTATATTGCCTTCCTCTTTGTTTACCATTTTCATTCAGAGTATGTGGGCGCATTCTCTTTGTTTACCATATTCTCGTATGGTTTCGATTATAAGAATATTAATTTACTGCACTCTACGAGCTTCCAGAATGTTTGAAGGAAGAAATTTTAATGATTTTATCGATAATGTAAGGAAGAAGTTAAGAAACCATCACAACAGCTATTTGGCTGTGTCGATTTCTACGTTGATAGAATGGTTTCAAATTGAGAATAAGAGTGAGGCGATTCTAAAAAATAGATGCTTTTTGTGTTAACGCCCATTTCCACGTGTGCACACGGATGTTTTGCCAGGGTTGATGAATTTTATTAATTTTTGATGACTGATCAACATTCTTGTAAAACAACGATTCTTTGTTCAATTCAACGTATACAGCTCTTTAAACGTGATGGAAAAATTTTTAATCTTGTGTGTGTAAGACAACATCTTAAGTGTATGATCAAATATTTTCCAATAAAAAAAAACAGATGACGTTGGCAAAAGGAGTTGAAGTTCCTTGAGTTCAAGCATGATTCAGAGCTATCTTATGTATTTGAACTCTGCCAACTTTCGCATAAGTTTCTTGCCAATTTGTCATAATCGTTATTGACGTCATTCAATCTCCTTTTTCGGACGTTGAGATGTCGGGAGAACTTGAAAACACTTCTTCGATCGCTTGCTTTGGTTATAAGATGATGACATTTAGGACATCCTGGTATCGCATTTCAAGCTTTCGATAGTTGCTTCTTCCTCATTGATCCCACGTCATGTTTTAGTTAATTTGAAGCTGCACATATATTAGGGATAGAACATTTGGTTTTTAGGGGAGACAGTTAAAAAGTTCACAAACAATGAAACTAACTTTTAGGACTCTATTTATGTGCTGATTTATACTTTGCTATATCGTAATGGACGTGTATTTTGATTAATTCAAGAGGAAATTATAATAATATTATATGTTTTTTAAGCTTTCTTTCAATTATGTAATGTGCCTTCATATATTTAATTGACTAATTGCTATTAGGAAAAGGCGACTGAAATATTTTGTTTTGGTCTTTATTCTTTTAGTAAACTTAACCTGTTATTTAAACTATGTAACTGAGTACCGGTTGAGTTCAATATCGATCTCAATATGTTTCCATAATTTCGTAAAAGCACTATTGCTAATGCACATTTAATATAAACGACAAGTTTTTTGAAAATAGACATGTTTCGACATCTCATGATGCCATCTTCAGTATAAGTGAAATAATAAGTGATACAAGGTTTGTATAAAAGTAATATGATACATAAATTACAACAATAAAAAGGAAATAAGATAAATTAATGGGGAGCGTCCGAGCGTATTATAAACTAAATATTGTATTGAATTTAAAAACTTGAACATTGAGGTCAGGGATCTTAATATGAATAGGATCTCACCCTCAAGGATTATGGCCACATGCACATATTGTTAACATAAAGAATAATATTTTCATTGGTTTTTGTCAAATGTCATTGGAGGTGACTTGCATGTTGTTAATATTCTTGGGTATGGTCCTATGGAAGGGGGCAAGGTCGGGGTCGTAAATTCTCATTTCTTGAAATCTTCAAATCTATTGTTAAATAAATATATTTTGTTTTGCAGCTACATCTAGAAACAATAATAAGACAAAATTTGGCATAGAAGTTTTTTTCATGCTTTATTCTTAGAAAATTCATAAAATCAAAGAAGCACGAAAGTCGCTTAAATCAAGCACAGAAGCCTTCTCCAAAGAACAAAGCCAACACTTAGTTGCTACTTCTAAGATAAAATTCTCTTTCTTGTTTAAATTAAAGTTATGTGCGTCGCTGCGTAACTAACTTTTGTACCCTCTCTAGAAATTGTATACTATCAATGATAGATTCAGCGTATTTGCATGTTGCTATCCTTGTATGATTTTCTGGGCAGTTGTTTTTTTTGTCGGGGCGGATTTAGTAGGAAGTGTATAGAGTCAGCGATTTTAATACAAATGTCAACCAAGGTCAGACATGAAAGACTGGCAAACTAATATAAGCTTTTTTGAAAATATATTTTGAGTGTCTTATCCATGTCATTTAGAGGCTTTTATATATTTTTTCTGATAATTGTAATAAACACCGATTATTTATTTAATGATTAGTTAAATATAACTGAAATTTTAAATCGATGTGGTTCATATATGGCGATAAACAGTAATTTTGCGTTTAACTGCCTCATAACCTTTTCCGATGATCATGGCATACCTCACTCTTGGCTCCATTCACTTGCAAATTTGATATTTTCCCCATATACATCAAATAACAATTTTTTCAAATACAAATAGAATCTTTATTAACTAACCTTAAATTGTGTAAAAAAATACAAAACACGAACAAAGTAAAAAATTATTTGATCATATCCTTGTGAATGTCATGTTTTCGGAAACAATGACGGATCCAGCGTTACTAAAATGTATTACAGCAGCTAAATTTTAAATTCAAAATACTTTCACAACCATGCTAATTGTTAAAGAATAACATTTTAAAAATCTAGATCCGCCATTAACTCAGAAATGTTAATATAAACGTAAATCATGTATGTATGTAGGGTATGCGTATACTGACTTGGTATGTGTTCGATGGTTTTGAACGTTAAGGCGCAACAAATTTCTGGAAAACGGAGCATTAGATATAGTAGTCCTGCAACGTATATCAAGCCATTACTGTTCAGTGACAAATGTAATGCGTTGGCGGACTGTGAAGACAATCACTGACAAAAAATCTTCCTCAGAAGTCTTGCTTTGCATGCTTTGTTGTCATTTCATCTTGCTGTTTTTACTCCTTGACGATGTGTTACTGTGCTTGTTTTGAAGTTCTTCGTATTCGTCTCGAAGTATTATCCAACAGTTCGTAGTTTCATACAAATGTCTCTGCAATATTGTTATGGTCTGATTTGACATCATGATTTGTAGATCCTTTTGAAGCAAAACAATATCTCTTCTTCCGAATGCAGAATGTTAGATAGGCCATCATAATAAAGAAAACACAAACAATTAGTATTAACGCTAGCGTCGTTTTTGTTGAGCCAATGATGAAGAATTTGTCTAAAAACGATAGAAAATATAATTAGATACAAAAATACCATTATAAGATGAGTTAAAAACAAGAAAGATCGTCATTCATACTTGTTCTTACTAAAGGAATCGTTTACTGAATTAATCTTACTCTAAACACTCAGTTTAAATGTAGCTACTGTGGGGATATTTTTACCTTAGTGCTGCTCAATTTATAAGAGATTCAAGAGTTCTCTAAAAATCTCTTAAAATTCTAATTAAGTATGAACCAAACTTGTTTGTTATTAAATTTCTATTTATAGTTTTTTACCTTTTTCATGTGTATTGTGATTTAGTTCCATTACATACGAACACGATACATCAGATGTAACATTAAGCGTCTTATCTTGGGTAGTCATTGCTTTGAAGTTCATTTTTAATATCTGTTGTTTCGTAGGAGCACAGTCGTAGGGTAGGCATTGTTTGTAACGAATGTATCTTGGAAACCATCCGCTTTTACTGATTTTGAAACGCGGTTGAGGTTGACTGCATCCTTCAATTCTTGCCGGGTTGTTTTTTTCGTTTTCTTTGAAGTAGGCTTCGTTAACTGCAAAAGTAAATAATAAACTTACAAAAATGTCGACACTACCCGAAGCAACATCATGTATGCTCAAAACATGTTTGCATGATTAAAATGTGAGAAGCATTTTCATCCTGAATGCGCTACGTGAGCGCGCCATCATTTATTGTAAGAAATAAAAGTTATTTACTGTGTTTGCACAGGCTTTTGCAGACCGAGGAGACCTTTGGGAGAATTCGAGAGCATATAAGTGGAAGCCCGTGACCAATGGTCGAGAGATCTCACTCTTTGAGGTTTTGCATGAGCCAGTGCAAACGCGTAAAACATCTTTTTATAAATTAACAGTAATGCAAAACAGATAAATATTAAAAAAACTTCTAATTTATTCTCTATATATATTCATAATTGATTTGCAAATTATCGTTGATTGATTATTTGCAAATTATTTTTGATTGAATTTATTGAATAAGCTCTGGTCGGATGCAAAGGCTAATACAAATTGCAAACTCGGCAAGATACCAATCAGCGCATGCATTTTCTTGTTCTTATCGTATAATTGATATTACTCAAAAATCCCCTCACTTCGGGGAGTGGACAAGTATGCAGGATAAGAGGTGCATTCCCCCCCGTGACTGTATGGTGAAATAATAAAAATTTGCTTAAACAATGAAATGAAAAGCTTATGGAATAGCATTAATCTTTTCGGTGGGAATTAAGTTCGGGGTGTGCTATAACGTAATATTATGTATGTTTTCACTTACCTACACGCCTTTCTCTGTTGTATTGAAAGACTGTTAAATTGGTGGAGCATTTACACTTGGTGTGATTATGTAAAATGTATTCGTAATATTTAAACGTCAGTGAATCTCTCAGTACGATGCCTATCTTTTGCCATCTCACTGGTTTCGACGGATAGTGAGTTTGTGAATATTCTGCACAGCGGTGTATTTTGATGAAATATGGTCCGAAGCCTTGAGGGGGGGCTTCGTCAAATTTGTCACTGTATATGGACACAACATCTTCCTGAGGTTCACACGTTTTCTTTGCTGGAAATATAAGTACATATTAATTTGGCTTGTCTGTGGACGAACAATTTTCAATTATGAGAAACCAAATGAAAAATGTAAAACGACTATTTCATTATACAATCAGTAAATTCAACATGTTTAGTTTTGTATGTTTACCTGCTGCTGCACAGAGCTGGCACAGTGTTAAAACAATAACATAAACTTCCTTTTTACTTCTTAAAAAATACCGATCTGTGATGAAAGATAAAAGCGCAATCAGTACCTGATGCAAAATATATTAAATCTGCCAATTGATTGGTAGGATTTTATTAAATTCACAACCAAAGGCATAAACGCATTTATGAATTTAAAATTACAGCTATCATTTACTTTGCTCAACTATGAAATATTTTATACAAATTGATAAGCCATTTTGTAAGTCATACTAAAACTAGCGTCTATTTTGAACGCAACATACTGGAGATGGTACAGTGTTAAAAGTATTTTTTTAGCAATGCAATGAATGTTGCTCTCAAATGAGCGTCTTACAAAGAGTGATAAAGAACAAAGACACAAATGTAAACATCGGGTCATTGGGGGTCAAGGGTGGTGTGAATTATTCTTATCTTTTTTATATCAATAATCAATATACATATATTATTTGATCATTCGATATATTCATCAACAATTTGTTTAAGAGATGCAGGGATTCAAAATGATACTTCACCCTATTGGCCCTATTGTCCTTTGTAACTTCCCGTAATGATATTTTTTAATGTCATTTACTTAACTTTTTAGGGCATAGTTTACAAAAAAAATTTTAAATGTTTTGTATCCATACTTCCTGCGCTGTTGAACCATGTACATATCAAATCGTATGTGAAAAAAATTGACCCTATGCCATATTCTAATGCATGTGAACGTCTCTACTCTAGGTTCATTTAAAGAATTTTGTGGAATTACTTCAACAGAGATTCTTTGACACCGAGGACTTTGTCAAACATAATGCTTCATGATTGGGAGAGGGGTCATTATTGTAACAAATTTTATAGCTAAATTGAATACGAAAAAACGATTGAATAAATTGGTAATGGCAATCAGCATGGTATACAACAAACAATCGTGCTGTTTATTTCAACAATTTTTTTTATACAATGCTGTTTCTTTGTTTAATTAGCGCAATTGCGCAACGCGACAGCGAATTGTTGCAGAATTTAAAACAATATGTAATCTATACATTGTATGCATCGACGACACATAGTTTTGGCTACTATACAAGGTTAACACTACTCGATGGTGCTTTAAAATCGGCGCATAAATAGTCATCAGGAAGTGCATACGATAAATTTGACCTAGTAATACTTATTCATCGTGCAATTAGAAATACAAATAGAATGTATAACTTACCCATTTTGCTTGCAGAAAAATTGGTTGATCGTTTTTTTTGCAAATCGTCTTTCTTTTCGATGTTAGCAACTGTTCGTTGACTTTTGAACACTTGTAAATGATTTATGGTGTTTGCGTTTTTTATATTTATAATGATGCAAGACTTGTTTTTCACTGCATGGTGAACCGCACTTTATTTTGTTGGGTTAACCATTTCCTTTTGACAAATAATGGTGCAGCAGAAGGATGAATACTCTTTAGGTTATTTTTGATATACTGTATTGCGCTGTTGAGGTTAGCATTCCTTCATAACTTATTTACGCAACAACACGCAATGCAAGAAAAAAAAAATGCTTTTATTGATTTCTGTAAAGTAAAATTGATCAAGTCGTAAAACTTTTTTAATGCTCGAAGGTTCCTGTAGGTTCATGAAAAATACAGTGGAAGTTGTCCCACCCCAAGTTCTTCAGAAACGCATGCGTGATCGCACATAACACGCCTTAAAACTTGCTATTTTTTATAAATGTCCGGAGTTGTTTTTGACGACTTCTGGTGGGTTTTAATTAGCATGATGTAAAGTGACTTGGGTATTTCATATTTTCCCAGTTGTTTTGATAGGAAAACGCTCAACGGCTAATTGATTTCATATTAATTGATGGTTGTCATCACATCATGTGTGTACAATAAATCTACTTTACAGATACAGTTTCTCCAGTCTTTATCAAATTATGATTGCTATATAGTACATTCAATCACTAGCGTTCTTTTACTTTATTCTTCCAAGCTTAAGGAACAAAATTTTGATAATTTAGCTCGTTATAGATAAGAAAAAGAAATTGTGTGAGCGAGAGCTGTCAATAATATAGAAAAACCTTTTTCAAAACAACAAATAGTTTTGACCGTGTAGTATAGACCGTATGGTCCATGACGATTATATAGAAAGATCTGAAGATCATCATCGCTCTAAGGCCTTTTTCTAGAAAAATATATATAGAAAATTGGATTTCCCTCATTTAACTGCAATGGTTCTTAGTTCTTCGTTGTTGGTTCTTTCCGTAAAACATTGAAACTAATAAAGTACATTCGTAGGTGTGAATTTAACTGTAACGTATTGTCAAAACTGAAATAATTGCGAGAGGGAATTGCGAAACGGCACAAGTGCGCTTCCGATTGTGTTAAACAGTGTTTTTAATTAGCCTATAATTGACGTAGTTACATGAAGCAAAGCTCAAAGGTTACTGCTTTACGTGCAGCACAGTGGCCTTTGTTGCGTTTAGTTGGGTTATTTTTGTGGCCTAGTCATCCCTTGGGTTTGGTCTTGCGATGTAAACTTCAGATCATTATCAGTGTTTATTTCTTTGAAGTCTTTATTGTTTCTACGATGAGTAAACACCGAAACGTTGGTGATAAATTTGCGTTCTATAAATACACAAAATTGATCACTAATCCGGAGCCTAGTACTCGGCTATAAATGACATATTTGTCAGAGATTGGATTAAGGATCAGTTTCGCGTATTATAGAACACGTGATTATTACCGAAATATTTGCAAGAGTACGGCCTAAGATAAATTTCAATAGTTGAACGTATTTTACATTGATTTGTCTTTACATGTCATGGTTGTAGCAAACATTAAACAGAGGAGAATCATTTATTTTTAAATTCCCCCTTTATTATACGATTAGTGAGAACAAAGTAAACCACATTCCATCCTATCCCCAAATTTGGGAGTTTTAACACAAGTTTGATTGAGAACTTTTGTTTACTGGGAAATCGGGAAGTTTTATATGCATGAGAATCGCCGATTTTTACGACTTTTGGCATATGTGTGAACCACAAGGGAGCATGTTGCTGAATTTCAACATTTCTTTCCGGTGACCTCATGAGGAAGTTATTTGTTTTTTTTATAGAATCTCGTGGCGAAAGAATGCCAAAAATCCACGCCGCTCTGTGAATTACCGTCTCTTGTTTATTAAGGTATGTAGTTTTGAATTTACCTGTTAATTGATCTACCAAAAGTCATCATCTGGTTCATTTAAGTTTCAATGCCAATATTTACCAAAATTTCGTTTTTACCGGAATTGTTTTTGCTACTGGGAAGAATATACGCGTAGCTGTGCCTTTCGTGTTTGAATGCTTCTGACTGAAGCCCAGTGCAAACAAAGTCAACATATAGATCCAGCATTTTTGGATACCACATATTGACTTCGTTAGAATCAATTTTTTGTGTGTAATGTTAGCTTGTGTTAAAATTGTGTTTTGAGGTTAAACAAGTCCATAATTTTCAATCTGCAACATCGGTCACATAAATGCTGACTGTAATTTGAAAGTCGAGGAAAAATTGTTACTGGAAGTTTTAACTATCGGGGGGGGGTATGTGGTGCGATGTGTTTGAAGACACACTGAAAGAGTTGGTCCTATAATGGCATAGGTAGTTCCTGCGATTAGGAAGGGGGATGAGGCATATTCACATGTGCATTCAATAAATAATGCGTATATCGATAGAACTGAAGGCAGAACTTTTACGTGTGAATATTGCCCCACCCTACCTTCACCCCTTTATTATCAAGCTGGCTGTGCCACTGATGATATAGTTTGAATTTACCGGGACCTACAGTCTCATATTCTCAAACAAGCCGTTTTGATACAAAAAAAACACACTGGCGGAAGAGACTATACTTGCTTCGATGAATTGCGTAAAACTAAAAATATTGTTCTTTAAATTTGGATGTTTTGGGGGAGATAGGAGTAGAGATTTTTTGTAATGACAATCAACACGATGCATTTATAAGCGGTAACAACAGACGATTGACGACAAATGTAAGCTGGTGCTGGCTATTTAGTTGAATCAAACATAATGGCGTGGATTAAAGGAAAGGAATGGAGTGTGTATCTTCTATTTTTGTGTCACCCGCATGCTCTTATCGACTATTTCCTTGCACATAACTGCATAATTGAAGATGAGTCATCTGCCACAACGCATTTCATCATTTGAAGCATTCTGTTTCAAGAAGTCCATTTGACCTTGAAAATCAAAGAGAAATTGCTTAGAATTTCCGAATTAATTGAGGTGAAATATCGACATTTGCGAATGAGGATTATTTGAATGGGAAGAAATATTTTATGGAAGCGAACGGCCTGGTTTTATATTTCTTCTGCAATCTTCTTTTCATGTCTTTCCAGCAGTATCTGCTCATTTCTTTCGAAAGAATAGCTGTTCGAAGTTTGTTAAGGCAAAGAGATGGTAGGATGGTGTGGTTTTAAATTTTTGCGGCAATTTTCTTCTTATGTCTTTCCAGAATCATATCTTATCGAGATTTGCTAAAACAACGAGATAATAGGAAGGTGACGTTTCAAATTTCAAAGGCGATTTTCTGCTCATGATATTCCAGAAGAATATCTCTTTGCTAAAACAAAGAGATGAATATCTCTTTGCTAAAACAAAGAGATGATGGAGTGGCGTGGTTTTGATTACAACGGCGATTTTCTTCTTTTGTATTTCCAGCATCATATATGTCATAGGATCATGTAATTTTTGAATTTTCACCTCAATTTTGTCTCATGTCTTTCCAGTAGCAATATCTTTTCAAGGTTTTCTAAAGCAAAGAGCATTTTTTACTCTTCTTTTTTTGGCGTCATGATACAAAAATAGTTCAATGATACAAGAATAGTTCTAAGTATCATTTTTGTGTCTTTTAACTGGCGAAATACTAAGAACTCTTGCAATTATTTCCCTTTTTATGAAGTATTTGAGGTAGAATGTTTTGCAAGAGGATTTGGAGTACTCATGTTAGTACTTATTGCGGCTTCTTTGTGTTATTAGACGTAGTGGGTGTATTTTAACTAATTTCTTTCTTTCGTGCTCGGTTTCCGTTCATATCGATGACTCGACATTTAGTACTTGAAGGACTGTCTTCCCTTTTTAGAATGAATTTTTAATTTGTTCGCTCTATTTTTACATTTTTGTAATGCGTTTTACTTTTCCTAATTTGGTCAAACAGTGAAACCCTGCCTTACGGTCTGCCGTTAATACGGTTATATGACGGTCGTATTTCTATACAAGCAAAACACTGGTGTATTTTATAACAAACAACCGTTTAATACGACCAACCTGTCAGTACTGTCCACGGGTGCATTGTGAAGTCCCATTTTAAATACGGTCAATTGAAATAATAATTGTGTTAATTGACGGAAATGGAGCATATGGTGCATGTTGAAAACAATATAAAAAAATTACATCGTATAATTGTTTATAATGTTAATTGTAAATTTAAATCTCTCGCAGAGGACTTAAAACAAAAGAATAAATATGCAAGCTTCTTTTAACTTCGTTTAGCTTTTAAATTTTTAAAGTAACTTCTGCTTTTTTCTTGCTTCAATACTGGCTGATGAATTACTCTTAGAGCCTGATTATATGGAGGCGAGCTGGCCCAGATAGCGTGCTAGCCCTATGATTTCAAGGGACTGAGAGAGGCCAAAACTTCAAGGTTAAAAATTACAACTGTGTTTGCAAAGCGCCACACGTTATTCCTGTTGTAATTCGATAATTCGGGCAAATTGGTTGTTTTAATTTTAAATGTTTTGGGTAGTTATTAAATCAGAATATTGTGAAATTGCTTGAGATGATTTGTCTGATGTTAAGTATTAAATCTTTTCCATTTTCCAAAATCATTTAACGTTTGGCTGAATCCCGGCTACCGGATCATGTTATCAGCCCCTTAGTGTTCAAAGAGTTCTTAGAGCGTAGTTATTAGTTGCGATTTTTGTATGAGATGGTGGCATTATAATTTTCAAATAAACTATTTAACATATCTTTGATGATGTTACGCTTTTATACGGCTATTTTAAAATCCGGGTTTCAAATTCTACAACCATTTGAAAACTTCTATTAAACCGCACAGTGGAAACAAGTTCAAAAATTGTGAACAGCGCGTGAGGAAAATGATCTTGAATTCTCAATGATGTTGAAATGTTACGCAAAATTTTATCGACGCATCTTATGCAAATGAGAGAATATTTTTTTCGGAAGAATGAAAACAATTAAAGACCTTCCTGTTGGTTTTGTTGATACGGATTCAGAGATATAATATTGTCCAAAGATATGAATGATCACAATGGCAAAAGATAAGAAACAATACGAGAAAAACTTTATTCAAGCTCAAGAAAATATTTTGTATGATAATGTCACTAATATGATCTTCATTCTGACGAAGAACAAACACCCAGAGAATGATGAATGTTTAATGACGAGAGTGGTGAGGGTTAAGACGAAGACCAAGGATAATGCGCTTATAGTTTGTGGTAGGATCAATTTAAGATGTTATTGAGGAAAACGGAGTTTAACACGGGAAGTATACTCAAGCTGTTACTTAAGCAGCAACACATGTTGAAAGTGGAAAGCTTGGCAACGAATGACTTTGAATCTAAGAACTTGTCGTGATGACACAGAGAAAACTTGTTCAGTCACTAATTGTTGTTGAAAAAAATGAATTGCATAATGTGTTGAGAATTGAATCAAGGCAGGCTAACAGCCGTAGAGAATTTCATGATGTGGCGGCTCTAGCGTTGGTAAAAGTACTGTACAAAGCTCTAACTAGATAAATAAATTATAGCCAGAAAATTATTCTGACGATGTCAGTTTTCCAGAAGTACCTCCAACAAGCAAAGCTGCCTTTAACACAAGAGGGAATACACTCCATTTCGCATTTAAGATTCCTGTAAACACGAGATTTGATTACTTCACACTAAGTATAAATATTGGAACCAAATAAAATTTTGGCGATCTTAGTATTATAATTGTTGATGACTTGTTCGAATATTATGTATATTTCCTCATTGGATATTTGAGGATTAACACATGTTTATCGCATAAGCAACCGAACTCCGGTCAAGGCTTCAATTATTGAGCTTCAAGAGAAGAGAAGATAAGGACCTCGCTAGAATTTTAAATTGCATCATGAAAAGAATAATTAATGAAGCTGACATTAACATTTTAATATTGTAAGAAGGGATTATCTAGTATAGGGGGATATAGCAATGATTTGACTGTTGATGAACATGATCACGATGTTTTTTATTTTCATTAATCCAGAAACGAGAAAGTCTACTCAAAAGAAATTGACATTGAACTTGGCGATTTATTATAAGACATTAAGGTTTTTTTCTAAAGCATCAAAAGACTCCTCAAAAATCACGAGGTAGTTCTCCATTTGTTCCATACTAAAAAAAATGCAAAAAATTGTCTGGCAGCAAAGTCCTCGTTTTTGATGGTATAACTAATTGTGCTGAATGTTAACTAAAAAAGTAAATTACCATGTAATAGGTTCACTAATGCCAAGTATTATGTACCAGTTTTATTTCAAGAAGAGCGTATAATCTGGAGATACGTTCGATAAAGACTTAATGTTGTCGAGATAATCACCATCCGGAGTTAGTACAAGGTTGTTAGGGGGGAGGGTAGTATTGTTATCACTTAATATTTGTTGGGGATATTGTTGGCCGTTGCGAGAGTACGACTGCAGCTGTTCTGTTGCTTTAATTTTGAAACCTTTATTGAAACATTGATTTATTTTTTATACTTATAAACTTTTTGTGAATTTCTATTATTTCCATCCTGCATTAAACAATAGCACCAACTAAATTACTTGATCTTGATGTTCACTGCACAAATTCGTATACTTTCTTCTCCACTTCCAAAATGCTGAATTAATGGGACTGTTGTGTTGTGCTCCAGAGATTGCAAGATATATGTTCTTTAATGACTTCAAACTGGGTTGAACCATCTAGGATTTCTGTTTTGACAATCTTCATTGCCTCTGGGTGATGTGATGTAGACAAATAATCCGTTATTTAGCACGAGGGGTCGACTTTCTGTAGAAAAATTTTATGGAAATAAGATCATGAAGCAAATCGTAAAATATGATTATTTTGCAATTTTTCTCAAAAGTTGTGCACATCTAACTACACACATAACGCTTTTTGGTTAATTCTTTCAATCATAATTGAAAATTTTTTACCTGTATCACTGCGTCTGCTATTGGAAGGTGGATTTTATGGACTTTTGTATTCCAAAAATTACACGATAAGTGTTCCCTGACGACTTCATATAGGGTTGAACCATCTAGGGTTTGTGTTTCGATGTTTGTTGTGTTTTTTGTTGCTTTGCAACCAGGCAAACATTGAGTGAATGGGATAAAGAGATAAGTTAAAAAAATCCTTTGTATATTCACTGTGCAGATGAAAACGAGGTTGTGGATGCTTGCAATAGTCATTACATGTTCTCACGTTTGGTGGATTGTATTTTACTTTTGTTGTAAATTCTGTTTCGTTAACTGTAAACACAAAAGGAAAAGCGTTTCAAATTTAGATCTCAGTTAAAATTTTAATTAAATACAGAAGTCCTTACTTTCGTTTGAAGATAGATTCTTGTGTTGATCAAAGTTCAAGGCTGTTAAGTTTGTACTCATGTAACAAGAAGTGTGATTATATACAATATATTTGTAAAATTTTGTGTAGTTTTTTAAATCAGGAACGACAATCTCGACTTCTGTCAATGTCATAGGTTGGGGCCAACAAAATACACATATAGGAATTTTATCTTTATCGATGATACATCGTTGAACTTTAACATAATAGGGCTCCCTGTCCTTGGGAATGTCAGTGAAGTTTTCATTATAAATTGAGACAACTTCTTGCTTGAGGACTGGAACTATAGAAAATGAATATAAACTTTGACCATGCCATTTTCATTATGTTTAAAGCCGTCGTTTTTGTACCTATTGCAGGATATTTCCATCTCCCATTCACGAAATCTAAAAATATAAACAATCTTGATTTATGAACGAGTACACATTGTTGTTATACATACAACAATATGAAAAGCATTATTAACATTCACCATACTATTTTATGTTTGATTCTATGAAGTTTAATTTCATAGACTTCATATTTTATTGTACCTAATCCATGGTCTCTTCCATTCACCTTTTCGCTTATTTCAAAAACAAAGACCACGAACATTATCCAAGTATATATTAAGTTTTCAAAGATACCTTAAAAAGACAAAGCTTGGTCATACATAAAAAATTGTGTCTTTACACGCCTCTTATATTACATAATTATGTATTTCAAATTCGCATTACAGGTTCAATGAAAGATTTTTTATAATTAATGACTTGGTAAAGCACGAACTTTTAAATTCGATGATCAAGGTAGTCTGTTTTACTCACCCATAGTTCGCTCTATGATATTTGCAGAGTTGAACGTTACTTACAATGAGCAGGCATGTAACTCTTACGTAAAAGCAATCGCAGCTGTTTTTGTTATGAGTGGCAGTGCTCGTACGTGTCATTGAAACTTAATCTACTCTGCACGTCAGCACAGCAGGCCATCTTAAGAGTTTATGAGAGTGAGGGTCAAGAATCAATCATAATCATGTGAAAATGACTGTGAGAGCACGCAACAGCAAGCAGGAAAGCTCAATTAATGAAGGATCGAAATTTTCGTATGTTTGTCATACGAAATCAATCGATAGTAGGAAACTAGGTGTTAAAATTAAGGCATGTAAAGTTCAAAAATCTGCTCTAAACACGAAAGGTCATAAAAAATTGAAATTTGCATTTTCGTTATTACAGAATGTCTTTACATGTTTGTAAATGTAGATCGTCCAGGTTCGTATAGTCCTGAGAAGGACTGTTTTTGTTGTTGTTGACCATTTGTTGCTGTTGACATTTACTTTGGTTCAAACCATTTACTTTATTACAGAATGTCTTGTTGAATCAATCGTCGCCATAATTCATCCGCAAGCAGAATAAATCAGCTTGCTAGCATGAATTTGCTGCGACAAATAGAGAAAAGCTGTACTTTCCTTTAGTATAATAAGAAAACATATTCCGAATAAAATGTTCATGTTTTAATCAATATTTGAGAAACAATCCGATGATGAATTGTAATAAATTCGAAATATTACTGTGTAAAAAACTGTCTTGTTTGTTTCTTAAGTATTGAGTTTTGGATCTTTTATTCGGAGGAAGTTTTTATTATACTATAAAATTGTCGGCTGGTAATGGATTTTGTATAATCTCAGAACAACTATTCTTTATTTACGAAACTTACCAGCATTTGACTTTGCTGGGGTTTTCATTTGTGAAAGTCGTCCACAGATATCAAAATTGCGAAATGAATCTTGTTTGTATGGTCATGGCAACAGCGTTAAATTGATTCTTTTTCTGTTTTAAGTTAAACTTCCAATAATGCCTGCTCTGACCTAGAGGTTTTGGACGCCAAAATTGACCGTCTGTTAGGAAAGAGAGATGGAGAGATGTTTGAATGTGGAAATAGCAAAACAGATCAGCCAGCTTGGGTATGAAGAATTACATAATTCCTTGAACGCGGAAAAATGATAAATTCATGTGATTACTAATAAGGGAATTCAAAAAAAAAGTAAAGCTTTGAATGTAGTTTTAGTGAACGCTAATACCTTTCACATTTAAAAGACCGTCACATTTTATAGACTATATATGGGCATAAACTTCATTTTACGACGTAATGTATGACAAGTCGTGTTTGCTAAATTCTCTAATTTTAATGAATAACATGTACTAAGGAAACATAGTTTTGACAATGGTTTGCCCTGTCAGAATTGAATACGCGTGTATGCTAATAAATAACGACGAACATGTTTGAGAGAAACTTTTAGTGAATAGCTCGAGGAAGTAGAACGCCTCGAGAAAACATCAATGAATTAAGATTATATGGGAAAGACAACAATTAAAGATTTTGATAAAGCCGCACGAGTTCTTAGACAAGTACAGTTCATACAATACGTCAATGTAGCTTTCAGCCGTTTCTTGTTTGTTCTTCTTCATCAATTTTATGTTATCCTGTTCAAGGCAAAATTGTGGTCAGAAATACTCTATTGTACGATGTGTGTTCCGTGATCTTTTTACACGTAATAAAGCCTGTTTTGAATATTGTTGTAACACTGAAAATGTTCTCTGTTGCATTGCACCCAGGCAGGCATTGGTTGAATAGAATGAAGAGTTGAAATACATCATCAACTATAAGTTCACCGTGCAAAGTAAAACAGGCTGTGGATTCTTGCAGAGTCATTACATCCTTTACGTTTGGTGGATTGTATTTAACTTTAGATTTATCTTCTATTAGTTTAAGCTATGTCTATTCAAGGTCATCTCACATTCAGTAATCCGGCTTAATTTCGTTTGAAGCAAGTCTCTTGTGTAAATCAAAGTTCATTGCCGGTCCTGAACTCTTCTTCCAATGACAAGAAATGTAATCGTTGACAATATATTTAAAAAACTTCTTGTATTTTGAATCAGGAACGGCAGTTTCAATTTCGTTCATTTTTTGTGTTGAGGATAATGTTTGTCACATGGCACATAGGAACCCGTTGGACCGTCAATGACGGCGACGAACCTTTACGTAAAATGGCTCCCATGTAGGAATATTTGGAAATATTTGATGTGGATCGAGACAACTTCATCTTCAAGTGCTAAATATTGATAAAAGACATTAATATTCTTGACAACATTTATATATAACAATTATAATATATATGGATGAAAAAATACACCAGCATACATGGGTTTATGCGAATTCTCTGTTACGCAAACGATACTATGACAATGATGGATATGATTGACAACACATAAAAACAGAACAGCATATCCTGCCTAAAATAAAAAAATCTACCGATATTTATAGTAAAGACAATGACATCACCTCTTAAAGTATAGTGTTTTGTCGACACAAATATCTGTCGCAATAATATCTGCTAACATCTTTACGATAGTAATGTTGCGAGAAAAAATAGGTATGTATATTATTTCCAACATGTCTGTTTTTGACAGAAATGGTTTTGCTGCATGGATTAAATCAGACAAATATAGAGACCGTGAAATATGATCTCTACAATCGTTTCTAATTTTATTTATAATGATTTTTGAGCATAATAGAGTGCTTGTTAAAGAGTTGTTCAATACAAAGCTTATTTCCATACAGTAGAAAGTTCGTCCAATACAAAGTTTATCGAATAAAGTTTAGATGGCATATATTATTGTTATAGCGGAATGTTTTGCCTTAATTTCTATCTTGACCACAGGAAAATTCAAGTTTGTTATATAACCAGAAGAAATAAATAAAAAATAAGCATGTAGCAGATTACACAAGGTGTGTCTATAATTCTCAAAATGGACAAACGGAGATTTACAAGCTACTTCAAATGCGAGATACCAGGAAAAACATAGTTATATCAGTACGCTGATATTAATTTTGTTAGATTTAATTGTATTAGTACCCATAATTTTTCTGCATTTACGCTGACCACGTCACAACTAATTCAAGTCTTGTTCTTGTGGGGTCATTTCCTGTGTCTGCATCAATTTTTATTGATGACTCAGTCTGGTTCTCTGTATTCTTCATTTCTTTTGATTTGTGTCTTTTCAGCATTCTATTAAACCATTTCGATCATGGTTTGACGTCTTCTTATGCAATCTTCGCACTCTTTATTCTTTCCACAAGTCATCAACAAATACATTATTCCTTTTTTACGACAACACAAATTGCAGTCCAGAATAAGTATTGAAATGAGGACAATTGAGAGGACGAAAGCAGCAAACATCATTTTAGGTGATGTGATGTAGAGGAACAATCCTTTATTTAACAAAATGTGTTTGATATCTGTGAAGAAATTTTAATAGGAATGAAATAAAAAGAGAATAATGAAACATAAATGCAAGTGTGTACAAGAAGTATACTTCTTAAGTGATGAACATAACTTTGCGTAGTTTTTTCTTACAAGTATATCATAGAGATTCATACCTGCATCACTTCCCCTTTGATGTTTATTCAAACGTTGTGATTTCCAAGTGTTTAATATAACAGCCAGTAAATTGCTATCGGCTGGTAATTGCGTAGATGGACTCCAAGGATTGCAAGATGTATGTCTTATGATCTTTAAATGCTTATAGAAGCCATTTTTGAGTTTCGTGCTAACATTTAGAATGTTCTCTGTTGCTTTGCAACCAGGCAGGCATTGTTTGAATGGTATGAAGAGTTGATGTATATTAACTGCCATGGGTTCACTGTGTACATAAAAACGTGGCTGTTGATTCTTGCAGTAGTCATTACATCCTCTCACGTTTGGTGGATTGTATTTAACCTTAGATTTAAATTCTGTTTCGTTAACTGTAAGAACAAAATGAAGTTTTTAAGTTAAGCTGTGGTTATTCAACGTCATTCTCACATTCAGTAATCTGGCTTACTTTCGTTTGAAGTAAGGTTCTTGTGTAAATCAAAATTCATTGGCTGGCCTGACCACTCCTTCCAGTAACAAGAAATGTGATCGTAGACAATATATTTATAAAACTTCTTGTAGTTTTTTAAATCAGGCACAACAATCTCAATTTCTTTCATTTTTGTGGGTTGGGGATAATATTCGAGACCTGGAACATTGTAACCGTCGTCTTTCATGTTGAGTACATCGATGAACCTTTACATAAAATGGCTCCCTGTCCTTGGGAATATTTGTGAAGTTTTTGCTGTAAATTGAGACAACTTCATCTTCGAGGGCTGGATATTAAAAAAGTTATTATTCAATAAAGTGAACTATATCTTCAAAAACCTGTCGCTGTGTAAATGAATAATAAAAGTCATTTGTTTTCCTACCTAATCCATTGTTTCCTCCATTAACGTTTTGCTGCATAAGACAAATGCGTAAACCACCCATAATGCCTGTGAAAAGTTGGCAATGGTACCTAAGAGATAAACGTTCGCTTGTTAAATCAAAGAGCCCGTTTCCTCGCTATTTTTACGTTGTATAAAGTTAGATTGCGTGTTTTATTAAAGCAAAAAGCGTTTCACGAGAGGTTTGTTTCGATCAATTTAATATTTATACTAATTTTGTGTGTCCGAGGTGATTCAAGTCAGTGATCTAACATTAATCTTGTCAAATAAAGTATCTTTATTAGCAATGAAAATTTTGTCAATTGATATCTATTACGGTATATTTATTAAGTCTACAATCATAGTTATTACTGTCACAATTGCAAAGCATTTTTACGTACCCATTTTTTTCAGATTCTAGTTCACTTCAAGGTACAACAAACAATAAAGTTTCTTTTCTTGTTACTTAACACCTCACAAATCTGCTGTTTATGCCTGTTTGTATTGTTACAAAACGCTGCCTTATTTTATACCGTACTCAATTGTATCAAAGGTATGCTTGGACCTCCCATGGTAACCGCACCGAAAAAAAAAATTTTTTCTCGTCGAAGGACATCCTTCGACTGATTTAGTACTTGGTAGG